TAGATGATAGATGATAGATGATAGATGATAGATGATAGATGATAGATGATAGATGATAGATGATAGATGATAGATGATAGATGATAGATGATAGACGATAGATGGTAGATGATAGACAGACGATAGACAGACGATAGACGATAGACGATATCCCGGGATTCCTAGACGATGAATCGATAAGAGAGCAAGAGATGACCTGTTCTGGACCGATCAGAGCTGGCCATAGCCAAGAGATAGGCCATGTTGGGATCTTTTCAGTTGAACGCAGGTTGGTCCAGTAAGACCAACAGCAATGATCATTCTGTGGTCTCGCCATTCCCTTGTTCGGACAGCATAAGTCCAGCATCTTTCTTCTTCATTTTAAGTCGTGTTGTTGCCGACGGTGTTGATGCTATTCGCTTGAAAATCTCTCATGTCAGCAATTACAGTACAGTTTATATTTTTTGTGGGACCATCGCAAGTTTATTTACCCTACCTACCTACCTATCGATGCCAAGCACGTGAAGCACGTGTCAGCACTTTAATATCATTTCCAATTTATCTTCCAAGGTCCCACTATTGAAGATATTCAGTCGTCAAAGTCAGAATGGCTCCAAAGGTCTTTGAAAGGTTCAGGTTACGGACCGAGCCTGGATCATACGCCAGTGCAAGCGGAGGACTGAGTTCGAACAAAGATCTCGACCCTGTCCCCTTTGAGTCAGAAGAGAGGAAATGGACATGGCCTTCGTTACTTGGGTTCTGGATTGCGGAGGCGTTCAGTATTTCAATGTACCAAGTTGCGTCGAGTTCTATCACGAAGGGACTGAGTCCGGTAAGTCAATTCTGCTCTTCTACTGAAACTTGGGGAGCTAAGCTCGAAAAATATCCTTTAGTTGATACCAGCTCCTGTGCTCTTCAACCTTGTATTCGAAGCGTACTAACTTGTCACTAGGGGCTTTCTATCACTGCAGTTCTTGTTGGCCATCTCCTGGTTTGTATTCCTGCCATGCTCAATGGTTATGTTGGATGCATATACGGGATTAACTTCCCTGTCCTCATGAGATCAACATTCGGAGTCTATGGAGCCTACTTTGCCGTCTTTGTAAGAGGCGTTGTAGCCTGTATCTGTAAGTAACCCAAACTCTTACCTCAACACCAAATCTGACAGAGTTAGGGTTCGGAACTCAATCATTTCAAGGAGGCCAATGCATCCAGACAATGCTCACGGCAATCTGGCCCTCTTTCAACCACTTCCCCAACCACATCCCAGCCAGCGCCCACGTAACCTCTGCTCAAATGCTCTGCTTTTTCCTCTTCATCATCATCCAACTCCCCCTCCTATACCTCCACGTCTCCAAACTCCGCTACCTCTTCATGGCCAAAACAATCATAATGCCCGTCTTCGGCCTCACACTCTTCATCTGGGCTCTCGTCGCTGCCAAAGGGTTTGGCCCAACCTTCTCCAAAGGTACGCACATCACAGACGGCACATCCGTTGCAGTCGTCTTCTTCCAATGCGTCACCACCGCCATTGGCCCCAAAGCCACTCTCGCGCTCAACATGCCAGACTTCACCCGCTACGCCCGCTACCCCAAACAAGTCTTCTGGACCCAAGCCGTTGGCCTCTGCATCCTCGTCACGCTCTGCGGCATCCTCGGCGTGACAGTCACCTCTGCCACACAATCCGTCTACGGCATCACGACCTGGAATCCCCTCCAAGTCTCCGTCCTCTGGGACAACCGCGCCGCACAGTTCTTTTCTGCGCTATGCTGGGCGTTTGCTGTGATCGGGACAAACATCTCCGCTAACTCAGTCAGCTTTTCGAATGACTTGAGCTTGTGGTTCCCGAGATGGATCAACGCGAGAAGAGGGGCGTATGTATGCTGCATCATCTCCGTAGCTGCCACACCGTGGAATATCCAGTACTCAGCAGCGTCATTCTCAGCGTTCCTAGGCGGATACGCCATGTTCCTTGGTCCAATCGCTGGTATCATGATTGCGGACTTTTGGGTTCTGAGAAAAAGACACTTGAGTCTTGCGGCTCTGTATCGACATCCAGATATCTATAGTTTTTGGCATGGGTTTAATGTCAGGGCCTTTGTGGCGTTTGTAGTGGGCATCGCGCCGAATTTGGCGGGCTTGGCAAAGGCGACGGGGCAGAAGGGTGTTCCGAAGGGCGCGAGCTATGTGTATAGTTTGAGTTGGGTGGTTGGGACCGTTGTTGCGTTTGTGGTTTACCTGGTGTTGGGGAGAGTTTGGAGGATGGAGGAGAAGTGGAGTGGGGATGACAATGAGAGGGAGGTGGTGGATAGTGTTAGTTGGGGGCAGGGGAGTGATGAGGAGCAGGTTAAAGCTGTAGGAGACGAGAAGAGTAGGAATTTCTAGATGGAAAGAGAGGTCGGATGATATAGATGAAGATATGAATGATGAGACATGAGCTAGATTTCAACCTCTAGAGGGAAGAAAGTTAAAAGGAAAATGCCTATGGGTTTGAATTATCATAGCGAACATACCATTGTGAATGTAACCGAACTCCTCTTTAGACAATGTTCGAATTCCAAATAAGGTCTTGCACTAGTCATGTTGTTCGAAAAGTAGTCACACACTATGCTATTCCTAGAGGCTTGAGACTTGGTTCTGCTTCGACAGCAAGATGGATCGATGTCCCACCACTCTGGCTGCATTCCGTTTCTAAGAAGGGATGAAAGTCACACGCCTCCAAGACCTCGATCACAATGAAATTCAACAAAATTTTATCACCAATAAGCATAAAATCCTCAATAAGATTGAAAAGCTTCAAATTGAGGTATCATAACACCACCATCATAGACCTAAATATATACCCAGAGACAAACATACAAAAAGCCGCCCATCCGAATCCAACTTTTCAGGCCCCATTCTGGACCGTCCCATTTTCCAACAAAAGACCATCCAATCTCAGCAAACCCAAACTCATTAGACCGTTCCCAGTACTCCCGCTCCCAATTCGCATGGCCCACCTCCATCTCGCTACCAGATCGTTAATCTCTGCCGATTCAGCTTCGGTTTCGGATGTTACTAGTAATTGCATGAGGAATGATGAAGCGATGGCGAAGTTTGCTCTTGACCCTGAATTTTGTTAGTTGAAGAAGAGGGAAAGGGAAGAGAGACTCTTACAGGAATGCCAAAATGCATCAAGGGCGCCTCTTCCTAGATTTTCTACAAACTCGACAACTTCTTTGGCACATTCTTTTGCACCTGCTCGAACAGCAAGGCGACTGCCAACGATACCATGGTCTTCCTCTTCCACACTAGTGAGGTTCTCTAGTGGTCGTAGCAGAGCACGGAATAGTGTCATGGTAGCAACGATGTAGGCTAGTGACAGTGATGGATTGGCACTAAGACGGGTCATGCCTCTGCTGTCGACTCGTTCAGGTTGCCGTAAAGCCAGTGCTGGTGGTAATGAGTCGTTCCAAATCTTAAGTCGAGACCTCAATGGTCTAGCAATTTCAAGCGAGAGTGTGAAATCCTTTGACGTTCGTTGCGTCGCTCGTAAAGAGTAATACGAGTCCATGATATCACTCAATATCATAGTCAACTCGGACAGTAGTCGAAAGTGATTGCTATCCGTTTCTGGATCGAGGAATCCAGGGATAGAATTTGAATGAGGATCAATAGTTGGTGGTTCGAGGTCTGCATCGGTGAGGGGAAGGACGTCAAAGTCGTCAATTCGGATATGGCTAGGCATTCCTGCTCCCAGAGATGCCCATTTATCCATAATGAATACGCCATACCAAAGACGTTTCCTTAATGTCATTTCCCATGTAGGTATGCTTGTCCAGTCGGAACACTCTTTCGAAAGTCCTAAAGTTTGAGCTAGACTAACGGTCCAGCCAACAAGCGAGTTTTTCCATGGAGTATCTGTTGTATAACGATTGGTAGGGGCACGTTGCAGCAAGAGCAGACAAGCCTGTATGGTGGCAAGTCGGGGTGTATGTAATTCTTGGGTGACTGATATCCAAGATATTCGAAACAATTGATGTGCAGGAGGCGGTGAATGAACAAGGGTAGTCGCTAACAAATCGTCATAAAGCCTAAAAGAGTCAGTAGGTAATAGCCCGACAATAGGTCTACTTACATAAAGGGCAACGCCGTCGCATACATAGCAGCTAGTAAAGACATAGGTAGTATGTGTAAAATACTGGGTGACAAACTTCCATTGGGGTACATTTCGCTTCTACTTAGAATTGGAAATGCCGGGTATACAAATCGAAAGAAGAGACCAATCAACCTCAAAGCTTCTTGCTCATTGAACATTCCAGCAATGTCTGAACGTGCCTTGGCAAGGACATCATCCTCGACACGAGGTTCTCCTTTTTGTGCCAGAGAATCATCTGCGAGCATGAACACCACTGGAGGTTCTCCTTTCTCTCCTGGCAAGGCATTCTGGTTCAATGAAGTCTTGATCCGGCGGTATGTCAACTTGGAGATGGTACACTCGTCATTCTCGTTATATCTATAATGGCGGAGGAGGTATGGATTAGACTCTCCTGTTTCTCCTATGAAACGTGCAGACCTGGTGGACTGGGAGTCCAACGGACGTATTCGAATACCACTTTGTAACCACGGATCCATGTTATATATTGGAGAAGCATCTTGGGCTTGGCCGAGGTGAAGCTGATTTGGGGAGGAGGGATCGAGAGCATCGCCGTTCAGGCCATTGAAAGCTTGTTCATGATTGTACTGGGCGAGGAATCCAGGACTTAATTGGGGTATGGATTGGTCAAACTGCTGAGGTGCTACGGATGTATGTCAGCGATGGGCACATCTGGTGAGATTTGACGCAGCCTACCCGAATTCCCACTGGATTCTCCATTGCTGGTCGAGTTGGGCCTCCTCTTCTTCTTTGGCCTCTCCACAAAGGTGCAGGCCTTCCCGTGAGAGCTGCACAAGGCACACGGTGGTGCGATGTCAATCTTGCACGCAACCTGGCGGCTCCGACAGAAGTCACACGGGCGGTACTTCCTCGACTTGTAACTCCTGGGACCGGGCTGCAGGGGCTGCTGTGCAATGTCCAAGCCGTTGAAAAAATCGGTGGGAGATAGAGAAGGTTGCGCGAAGTTGTCCATGTGGGAAGACGGTCTTGGGGAAGAAGCATCAAAATGCTTGCTTCAAAACGCGAGCTGCTGCGCTGTGAATTTCGTTATCGGACGCCCTAGCTTATCGTGGTGCGCGGTGCGGTGCCTCGCAGGCTGCTGGCTGGGTTGGGTGATGCTCACTCACGCCCCCATACAATCAGTCAGTCCAGCTCGCTCCCTCCCTTCACATCGCGACCGTGAGCAATTCAGGCGGGAAAGCAGGTCGCAGTTCGTCGGGGAAGAAAGTTTGTCTCGAGGATTATGGATCCATTCTTTTTGTTTCGTGAGCGACGTGAGAGATGCGGGGCCCTGGGAAAGCCACCTGCTGCCTCAACGGAAGACCGAGTCCATCGGCCAACTTGCCCGCGTTATCTCTGAATGGTGAGCAGTTGGAAGTGGAAGCGTTCCTATTGCTGAGTATTCATGGAGACGAACCGCTGATGGCTACTCTAATTGGGTTTCCAAAGCATATTCATGAGCTGTTATTCCCTTGGGTTGGCAGGAATCGAGTGATCTATAACATCGCTCCATGCGTTGTCGTTTCTCAGCTTCCCCCTTTTTCAAATCCCGAGAAGCCTCGTTCGCTTAACCCCCTTTTCTCCTATGGTTTAGCGACAGCCTGTGTCTTACTTCAGCTCGCTCGACCACTCGACCACTATGGCGGAGCTCCCTTCAGTCACGGGAACCTCCACTAAGCCCATCAATATCCTCCTCATCAATCCCAATGGCACCTCATCTATGACAGAAGCCTGCCTCCGATCTTTAGAATATACCCTTCCACCGCACTGCACAGTTACAGGCTTCACCTCACCTCATCCTGCCCCCTCGGCCATCGAAGGTCATCTCGATGGTGTACTTTCAGCTGCTGCTGCCATCAGAGCTGTGGTACCAATAGCATCCAAATACGATGCGTTTCTCGTTGCATGCTTCAGCGCCCATCCTCTGATTAATGCTCTCAGAGAAGAGCTGTCAGGTCCAGTGATTGGGATCATGGAGGCATCACTATACGCAGCTCGCATGCTTGGAGGACGATTAGGTATTGTGGCGACTGCCTATCGAAGTAAGATCATGCATGAGGATGCTATCCGATATTATGGTCTCGAAGGTTTCTCGGTAGGTGCCGAGACTACAAACCTGGGTGTCTTGGAATTGGAGAGACTACCGAGAGACAAAGTCTTAGGTTTGGTCGGCGAAGCTGCAAGAAGGTTGGTCCAGGAGAAGGGTGCAGATTGTATTGCCTTGGGTTGTGCTGGAATGACGGAAATGAAGTTGAAATGCGAGGAAGTCGTTGGTACGAAAGATGCCACTGCTCAAGTTATCGACGGGGTGGCGGTCGGTGTTCAGTTCCTGATAGGATTGGTGAGAGAAAGTCATGTCACCGCGAAAGGTGGTGTGTTTAGAAGTTCCGCAGAGGGCCGGAAAGCAAGAGGCCAGGATTGGTTGTAAATAGTGGCAATAGTTGTCAAATATCGCAAATTAAAGGCTAGCAAGACGCCATTTTCAATAATCGCATTGAGACCTTAATTTTCCCTTTCTTCTCCTTAAAGCCTTCCAATCGCTAGCCTTACTCTTCGAACCGACCAAACTACAAGAATTAAAGTGCTACGAATTCACAACATTCACTTTATTTTCACAACTATCTCAACCATTTTCATCTCAGTTTCCATTCATTTTTTATTATCTATGCACTATTTCTCTACAATAGCTCAGGCTCCACAACTCCAGTCTGGATAGTAATCGGTCCATACTGATCCACCCTCCTATGTCTATCAAAATCAAAAGTCTTCTCCTTCCCCTGCCTACAATCCTCTAAATCAATCTCTGCAAACACAACCTCATCGTCCTTCGTCTTCGCTTCCGCCAACACATGTCCCTCTGGACTCGTAATACAGCTTCCCCCAATTAAATCGTACTTCGCATCCTCCAACCCCGCCTTTGCCGCACTGATCGAGAAACAACTATTCATATACGAGTTCCCTTGCATCACCAGCTTGTGATGGAACACTGCGTCCTTCTCGGCTTCTTCTGGAATCATCGGTTTCCGAGTTCCCCAGAGATCAGGAGCAAAGCCTGCAGTGTTATACCCACACAGCACGATCTCGACTCCTTGAAGTCCGTAGCAGCGCCAGCCTTCAGCCCAGCGACGGTCGTTGCAGATCATCATTCCCATAATCGGATCTCCCTTTCCATGCTCTTTAATTCCACTCTCTTTTTTTGCAGCTCCCGGAATCAAGTCCGGGGTTCGAAAAGCTTTGAACCCTAGATTTCCTGGCTCGAAATACCGTTTTTCAAGCTGGTTGACGGCGTCAGGGTTTGCGAATGGTTCTTTCGTGCCTGGTAAATGGACCTTTCTGTATTTGGCAATTACTTCTCCTTTCTTTGCCGAGAAATAAATACTAGTATTATACCCCTTTCCATCAGCAGTTCGTTCCGCGAATCCGATTGAGATATCGATCCCTAGAGTTTTCGCTTCGTCGAAGAGCGGTTTTGTGTTCGCGGATTCGGGGACGTTGTCTTCGTGCTCGAAGTAAGAATCGAGTTCTTCTTGAGAATTGATAAGGTGACGAGGGAAGAATGTCGTAAATGCCGTTTCGGGGAAGAGTACGAGTTGGGCACCAAGTTTGGATGCTGTTCTTAGGAGAGCGAGCATGCGGGAGAGGGTTTCTGGGCGTTTGGAGGTGAGGTGTATAGGGCCCATTTGTGCAGCTGCTACTTTGAGTGTGCGAGGCATCTTGCTTGATCTTTTCTTTGCTGCTTTCTTCTTCTCGTTCAAAGAAGATGTACGATCACCAATTTTCAAGCCTCATTCAAGGTTCGAAGCTAGAGCTCCAAAATTCCTTCCTACACTTACGGCCACCACTTAAATCCCACCTCACTATCACACTACAGCCGTCTATCTGCCTCGCCGTCCGTGGTCGTTGCCCTTCTCCTCCCCTCGAAAAGTGAAGCGGAGAATTGATACTGCACAGCGTCTGCACCCCATCTTTGGTAGCCCCTCGCCAAGCATAACCTTATCGGGCTGCATGCGACGGGACGAAACGAGGTGCTGATCCCTACTTGGCCGTCGGGCAGCATCTATCGGGATTTCGGGAATCGCTTGGCCACGGCAGACGAAGCGAACTATCTCGATGTTGGTGGATGCTGGATTGGGAGCTTGGATAGATAGTTCAAAGTTGGAAAGGATGGGATTAATGGATGTGGATGGAAGATTCAAAGGAGGCTCTGTTGCCTCTTATTGTTACTTTTGAGAAGAAGAGTTTATGAATGATTCAAGTGTTGAGTTGTTCATCGGCGTTTGATACGTTTCGGAGATAAGATGGGGTTTGACCTTATTGTGACGAATGGCATAATTGTACGTATGAACGATTCCATTTTCTTATTGTTCTTAGCATCGAGGTCTTTCGGGCAGATGGAGCATCTCACGCTATTGATGAGATTTTATTTTGGGACTCTATGTTGAAGAGAAGTGAAGGCTCCAGTGAGCCAATTATAGATCTTCGTTTACGATCGCATATTTGAACATCTTCAACAACGGGCAATGCTTTCCCCCCAAGCCATGATTTTTTTGCTTGCATAAGGTTTCAAACAACCAAGCCAATCTAAAGACCTATTCAAGTCTCTCAGATACTCATCAAGTCAGCTCAAGCAAGGCGGAGGAGCCTTGGCAGCGAAGTTCTCGTTCCAGCCCCCTTCTCGCAGTGTGCTACATAGTACAAAATAGTAATCATAGCTGTCACATACGACCATAGACTGGAGAGAATTGGGCATCCCGTCCGCTCTGCCATACACAAGCTCCAGATCGGCAGATTAGTAGTTGAGTGGGTGACCATCAGCGAATACCTGCTGTTGTATGTTTTTGATTTTTTTTGCAAAATTTGCGCTACCGAGACCCACTTAGAAGTTGAGGCGGTGAAGCGAGGGACGTAGTGGATATGTTTTATGCTTAGAGACGCGAGGTGCATTGTGCCATTATAATTGCTTTGCTGGAATGAAGAGAAAATTACATTTACTTCGTCTTTTTGTTTTGATTTTTGATTTTGTTGATGTTGGATCTTGGCTCGCTTAACCCCTTTTCCCATCCTCTCACATCATCACTCATTTGACTCCGCAAACACATTTCATTCACACAGCTGACAATCTCTCAGGTCACAGCCAGCGATGTTCTCTCCCACGGCATCGAAATCGGCATCAAAGACGGCAAAATCTCCTGCCTCGGAACCTGTCTTCCCCGCGAGTCCTCCACCGAAATCATCGATGCAAAAGGCGCTTACATCACACCTGGAGGCGTAGACTCCCACGTCCACTTCGCCCAAGACAATTCACCGACAGGCGATAACTGGGAGACTGGCTCTCGAAGCGCCATTGGGGGTGGGACGACGACGGTCCTCGCATTCGCCTCTCAGCGCAAGACCGAGGACTCAGTACTACCTTGTGTAGAGGAGTATCACAAGCGAGCAAAGGATCAATCGTACTGTGATTATGGATTTCATCTCATTCTTACGAATCCGACGCCTTCGATTATGGAAGCGGAGATGCCGCTCCTTATTTCGCAGGGCATTACTTCGGTAAAGCTCTATATGACATACGAACCTCTCAAACTCGGCGATTCCCAACTTCTCAATGTGCTCATGTCAGCAAGAGCACTAGGATTCACGACCATGGTTCATGCTGAGAATAGCGATATTATCTCCCTTATCACCGATCGTCTCGAAGCAGCTGGTCACACAGACCCATTTTTCCACGCTATTTCGCGACCTCAAATCGCTGAAAATGAAGCTACATACCGCATCATCTCCCTAGCCGAGTTGACGGATACGCCTATCTTGATCGTTCATATGAGTTCTGAGATAGCGATGAAACATGTGAGGAAAGCTCAGACGAGAATGCTTCCCATACATGCGGAGACTTGTCCTCAGTATCTTTTCCTGTTGAGTGAGAGGTTAAAGGGAACTCATAAGGATAAGTTTGAAGGTGCGAAATGTGTTTGCTCGCCGCCCTTGAGACATGATCCGAAGGATTTGGAGGCAATGTGGAGGGGTATAGCGAATGGAACTTTCACCACGTTTTCGAGCGATCATGCGCCGAGTACGTACGATCATGCTGGAGGCAAGAAATTAGGAATGAAGGACGGGGTCATGAGGTACAGAAATATTCCGAATGGGGTTCCTGGTGTGGAGACGAGGTTACCATTGTTGTTTAGTTTTGCGGGGAGAGAGAAGGACAGTAAGTTGAGCTTGCAGAGGTTTGTGCAGCTGACGAGCTCGGATCCGGCGAAATTGTATGGTTTGGAGGGGACGAAAGGCAGTATTGCACCTGGTTACGATGCTGACTTGGTAATCTGGTATCCTGAGACGGAAATGAAGGAGGGCGTCGTGATTGAGCAGAAAAACTTGCATCATGGAGTTGATTACACCCCTTATGAGGGAATGACAGTCAAAAATTGGCCAAGATTTACGATTCTGAGAGGGAAAACCGTTTGGGATCGAGAAAATGGAGGGATTATGGGGAAAATGAATGCTGGAAAATTCTTGCAGAGGGGCAAGGGAAGGATTGTGGCTGGGAAGACTGGACAGGAGGTAAATGGGATGTTGACAGGCGAGAGGAATTACTGGTACTGAAACTTTGGAGAAGAGGTAGAATGGATATAGATAGATAGAGAAGCTAATTAGTCTCAAGGGTGTAGCGTTATGGTTGTATCGAGAAGGAGCGTGTAGCATAGCTGAGGCTCATTGAAAATCCTGCCCAGTAGACACAAGCACTGCTTTCCTCATTCGGCTCCATCACTTGTTCCTCCCCCATCAACCAATGAACTAAGTAGGATGGAATGTCTCGACCCTCGGCCATGCATCCATCATCATCATCATCATCATCATCATCATCAAACAGAAATTCCGGAGAACAGCTCTCGCTATCGATATTCCCGTATCAACCACATATCAACTTCAGCGCCCTCACCGAGTTCTCAAGCCCCGAACATACAACACAACATGGCTAATAGTCAAACAACACAGCTTGTGATCGCAATCATCATCACAATTATCTGTCAGTACTCTGCAACCCTCCCCTTCATTCAATCTGCATTCTTGTTCTCTGCGTTCTCTCCAGACACTGATACTCTACAGGTCCTTTCGCAGGTACTTTCATCGTCGCTGGTTGTGGCCCAGATGGATTCATTACTCTTGTACTCTGTCTCTGCGGGTATGATTTACTACCGTTCAGTCATCTCTGTTCGCTGACATCAAACAGATATCTTCCTGGCATCATTCATGCCCTTTACGTCGTTATCACTTGGAACAAACGAGCCGAGGCGCGTGGGAAAGGCATAAAGCATGAAAAGGAAGCTCCTATAATCTTCAGTGAAAGAGTCCAGATGGGTCTGCCCATGAGCTGTTGCGATACAGAGAGGAAGCCACGCCAAGGTCGACAGCGCATCACGGACGGGCCACCAGCTACTGCTGCTATCGCTGAAGTTTGAATCGGACGGCTGGAGCAAGATTGTCTAGACGAGAGTTTTGCTGAGGAGTTGAGGAGGACTGGAAGTAGCATTATTGCGAAGAGTTTACAGGTCATGCATCGGGGTTTTGTATTGCAAGCAGTGTTAATACGACGGACGGATGGTGTTTGGAGGGAAAGGGTTTTCCAATGAATAACCATTGCATCAAGTGTTCCACCTTTCGATGTGATGCGGCAGAGCAGCAAAACTGAGAGCAGAGAGTGAAGAGGAAAAGCCTGTCCGCTCTATCATGAAAGAAACACACTCACTAAACAGAAAGACTGGATCTGAATGCGCCAAGGAAGACGTCTCATACGGACTTATTAAAATCTAGGACTTTAAGCACCCAAGGAAAAGGTGGGAATTTATCGATAGTATCAGCACTGCAGACTCATCTTCTTCAATTGAAGATCTTTTTCATATCACCCATCTCATTCTGTAATGGTGCAATATATTACAATACGAATTATACAGCACCAATATTCCCCAAGCATACATCCATGTCGTACCTTTCTTTGTGCATCCATTCTACCAACAATCTGAGGACGAATGCAACACCCTGATGAAAACACCAATTCCATTTCCCCACCTGCACCTGCCCCCAACCCCAGTCCCCGAAAATGCGCAAGCTTTCCCACGGTCAAACGCCTGTAACGCCATCTATGCAGATGTCCCCAATATTTGCGTCGAAAATAATACCATATCATGTGTCCTGCTGTTCGTGTCATGCCGTATCGTTATTAAATCGTATAGTCAAGGTTACCAGCCCCATCTTTCTTTGTGTTCTATATATTTTGTCATTGAGGAGTATCTTGAGTTCGAGTTTTGATTCGGAACGCGTCTCTCAATCTGCCCGTCAACCTTGCTCTCCTGCTTGGCTCTTCGCTGTCTGCGTGCTCCCCTTCACCTTCGGTTTGAGATTGTTCTCTCAGACGTCGAAGTGCAGCAATACGTTCATCGGCTGGTGCGTGACGAAGACGATTCGGATCGAGGAGACGTGAGGCTCGGCTTCGTTGGTGGGTACTCTCGTTCTCGGCAGTAGTGGTCTCACCATCGATGGCCAAAGGTGGTGGAAGTTCTCCTCCTTCGGCTCCTTCGGCATTGTCACCGGCAGTCTCGGTTTCGTTTTCGGCTGTAGCTGAAGTGGCAGGACGGAGGTCATGACGACTATTCAAGTTAGTTTTGAACATAAGTAGGAATGGATGAGCTTACCAGAGTGGACAAGTGCCAGACACGTTCAGCAGCCACGGGTCGATGCAAGCAGGGTGGTACTTGTGGTTACACGGCAAGACTCTGACATCCTCTCCAGTGGTGAAATCCTCAGTGCAGATAGAACATCCCAATTCGCCCTCCTTTGGTGCAGCATTTTCTTCCCCGCTTTTCACTGATTCGGCTTGGGCAGGTCCCATGCCAGACTCGACAGCAGTAGCTACCGTAGTGGGAGACTTGGCACGTTCAGTATTACCGGATGTTGCTACAACCTCAGGAGCGGTGTGTGTAGTGGTTGTAGTGGTGGTTTGATCTCCTCCCATTTCGATATCGTTTGTTCCTGGCTTGACCGGCTCTGGGTCACCAAACTTGACGATCGGTAGTGTCTCCAACATAGCTCGAGCAAGTCCCTTGGCACGACTCTGTCTAGGTCTACCGGGAAATCCGGTACGTGGACCATATCTTTCTGGATGGCGATGAGCTCGAACAGCACCAGTGGCAATGATGACCAGGAACAGAAGTGTAATGATACCCGTAATACTGTACAGGATACTCATTGCAACAGCTGTAGTCGGTGCTGGACCTCCTTCATTCGCAGATGATGATGACGAACTGCTTTGACTTGTGGTTGTAGAATTAACACTAATATTCGCAGTCAGGATACTCGTCTGTGACGGGTATAATCCAACAGTGGTCATCAATGTGTTGGAATCTTTCGACGAGATCATGGTGAAGATCGACGTGAATGAGTAAGACCCATTGAGAGTGCATTCTTCTGCACCAAGACTGTACAGCACGATTGCTCCTGGCTTTTGGTCTCCTACTGTGCCAACCACTGTCGAAGGGTCGATATTTGAACCATTTGGATCGCAACTTATGAAGGCAATATCTGATCCATCAACACCTCCTGTCGAGCTGTAATCGGCTTGCTTGAATGTTCCCGATATTTTGACGTTCTAGAAGTGAAGTATGATTAGCCACGGAAAATGGCAGACAAGAATGGAAATTCATACAGCAACGGCAGTCGGAGTCTGTCCCTTGCCAACTTCCGCGGTCAAAGGAGCAATATTATACGTCTGGCCAGTGAAGATCGGGCCTCCTGTCAAGCTCAATACCGTCTCTGAGCCGCTCTCTGATGTCGGCAGTGTGGCATTCGAGGGCTGGACGGATTGAGCGGAGGCCAGCATGAAGGAGCCCAGAAGAAAGAGGAAGCTCGCCATGCTTCTCGCAGCGGTCGACGCTGCCATTGTTGAACGAGGAAAGAAAGCGGTCGAGAAGAGATGTCCTTTTCACCCGTTCGTCACATATCCAGCTGGTCGAGAGGTTGGTGGTTGAAGGTTGAAGGTTGAACGAAGGAGAGGCGAAAGTGAGTGAGCGTTGTCGAAGATGAAACCCTGCTTCTGTTTGGAGATCTCGCTTCGAACGTACGATAAGCTTAGTGGAGTTCGGGGGTTAGAGAAGAATAGTGGCCGATTAATGCGATCTCGGATAGCCGCTGATCTGGTTCGTTGGTACGCCAAGCGGGAGCGGCCGGGGTCGAGCGAGGTGTTTTATATATTGGAGGGGGTATTCAAGATCAACGGAGGGGTGTCTAGAAGAGAGTGATATTCAAGTCGCAGTCAGCTTGGACAGCAAATGCAGTCGGTCATCGAGAGGTTTGCGTTGCTGTTGACTTTGTTCCTTCTCGTTCAGTACGAGTGAGCAATGGCCGTGTTTGCAAGTCAATTCGCAGACGATCGTGTCGGAATATGAGAGGCAAATATTGGTATGCGCGCGGAAAGGATTGTTCCTTTTGAAGAAACTCGAAGGATCAGCTCAGGGAAGGGTCGGTAACTTGGAAGTCCGGGCTGCCCTTTTTTGATGCAAATGCGTACGCACCCTGTCTCAGCAACCTCTCCATCGGCTTGGGGGGAGTTCAGATGGTGAGGTATGATTTGCTGTTTGTTGGCAGGAGGAACTTTTTGCGCGCTTCCAAATAGGACACAGCCAGCTTACTATGCTTGCCCCGCAAACAAAAACCTCACGAAGTGGATGCCCTGCCCAGCTTATCCTCGTCATGAGATTCTTTGGGAAAGTCAAATCAAATACTGTACTGTACTGTACTCGTCGTCTATTTTGCACTGCCCCTTTTCTCCTCGGTTGGCATGCGATCGTCAGTATTTCAGATTAGCTGCCAACCGTCAGACAACCATCCGACATCGACATCGACCTTACCATCATCCACGATATCAGATTATTCTCCTTCGCCACCAGGTCTCTCGCATTTCTCTTGTCGTTCTCCTCCTGACATCTCTGATACCCTCCACAATGCCTTTAGAGATTGGAACAGATCTCCGGCAGTTAAGCTTCAGTAAGGCGCCCCAAACAAGGGAGGGATCAACCATGGCATTTATCAATGACGCTTGGACTACGCTCCTGAGACAGCCAATCACACGGTGTTTACCAGTCTGTCTCTCGGAGGTTTCTTAGTTCTTTCGCCTCTTTGGAATCATTGTGGAAGCCCTGAAGCACCTGCAGGTTCCTCTCAGCCATCTCAGCTAGAAAGACACCTACCTACCTAGGTATGCTATGATATGTCCTTCATGCGCATGCAACACGAAATTGTGGTCGTCCCTCAAAATGCAGGGCATTGAAGTCACCTCTGTACTATACTGTACTGACTGATACTCGACACAAAGGACGACAAATGCTGTGGAACGAGGAACGAGGAACGAGGAACGAGTGAGATTCCTTTTCCGCATTTTCGGTTTCTTCGGATTGACGCTGAGCCAACAATTTGTCGAGTCTCCTGCAAGCAGCCAGCCTGTGATCGTTGCACTGCCAGCTTATCAAAGGATACCTGCATCCGCGAGTTCCGGTCACACAGTAGGCGAGTCGACCCAGGAGCAGTCAAGTCGAGTATGGGAATGCCATATGTATGAGCGCATCAAGCACCCGCACATGACGAGAGTTCGAAGGGCTGCAGCGACGTGTCGAATTGCATTTTCAGTCGGATCAATTAGATCCCGCAGTCGGGTTCGTCTGTTGTTCATGTGTCAGGAGTCTGATACTCAAGACAAACATGTTCATAGGAATTGTCTCATGTGCGTCTCATGTCTCGCACGTGATGACCGCGCGTGACTTCAGCTCTTTCGTCCTTCTCTCACCCTCTCACCCCACCTCAGTCCAGGAGTTCCACTGATGGTAGACTTGCTCATGAACATACCAACGGGTTTCTCCTTTTTGCACTGCGCGCTTAGCCCATCGACGGATTTGACACCATCGTCAAATCAAGTCGTTTCCCTATTTGCCTTTTATCCTATCACGTTCTGAGCGCATTAGGCATTGCAAATCACATTCTTGTGTTGGTTTGAAAATGAATGTGATGGAAAAGGTAACGTGTATGCGAATACCAACGTTGCACGGCATCAAAGCTGTTCTTGTACCTTTGTCACCATTGATGATCATCGAGGCGCAGCCCCTCAGTAATCACAGTTCTCTTCACTTCGATCCACGGCTTGAGGATTTTCCTAATATCTCAAACCCAATATCATTATCCTTCGCCATGACAATGTTTGAGAATCCAGTTCTTGTGTTCCCTCAACTCGCTCTACCAACAGGATGTCAGCATTGGCATTAACCATCCCTTTAGCCTGAACAATGTTCCCCCAGAATATGCAATCCTATCACAAAATAACAACAAATACCAACATGTTGCATGTGCCTTTGCATTTCCTCCCTCTAACCACTATATCATCCCAAATCCTCGGGACAGCAGTAATGATAACGTAGAGAGGCAGAATGCCTTTGGCTGAGTCCCATAAGTGTCGGACCTTTTCCTGTTTGTGGATCTCTCTGTTTTGACTTTCATGTTCCTCTTACCATAAATTCGTATGATGCTATTCTTTTCACGATCTTTCTCAAGCTAAACATAGCCATAATGTCTTCGTCTCCACCTTCGCCGAGACCCGTTCGTCTGCCCTGGCTTCAGCTTGCGCTTAGAGCACTTACTGCCCTGGTCGCGGTTATGGCCATCATCATTGCTATTGTCGTTAGCGCTAGCCGCCATCGAACATGGTATACCGTTTTTGTATCTGTGAGTCGTCCTATGCCAAGCCGCGCTCGAGACAACCTCTAATGCTCTCGACCAGGCTTTTGTAGCACTCTTTATCGACACCGCCGAAACTATAGCACTCGCAAGTCGATATGTCGGCAAACTTCGCGATCCGGTACCGCGGATCCACCCCGTCATCTTGATTGCTCTAGATTTCTGTGCTTTATGTATGCTCATCTGGTCTTTCTTTGCCTTGTTCCTCGATGCTTGGGGACCGCACAAGAATACCAGTTTGAAACCTTACAACGCCAGCCCTTTCAATATTGTTGAGACTTGGTTTGCTGTCGCCATTGGGTGAGTTTATTGCTCGTCTGTTTGAGTAGTCTGGACTAATTGGATTCAGGGCTATTCATGCCATTCTGCTTGTCTTTGACTGTGTCGATTGCTGTAGCATCAGAGAGTCGGCAAGTCCAGTATATGAGTATGAGCCGAGACCAAGACCAAGACCGAGGCAGAGGGCGACGACCAGAAGTCGGGATGATCTGTTTGATATGGATTGGTGATGAGCCGGCTGCCGCCGCGAACAGGTCTTTGCTCTTTTCCTCATTAGGCTTCCGGACATCAATTGAAGATCGCTGCTCATGGGACGACTACCACACATTATAGAGAATTTGTCTGTACGAAGTATACAATTCGACTCCGTGATCCGTCTCCTTAAGATACTTACCATACTTCGGAAGAAAAATCTTTCAAACGCAAAAGGATCAATGTTTTTTCCGCCCGCTTTCACCTCCAACTGTGCTGCAGGACTCAGCTGTCAGTGTGAACTTCCAAAGTCTTGTTGCACGTCGCAACAACAACTGTCAATTGTACCAAGTTTGTTGAATCTTGGCTGTGTATGAGTTTTGTTGCATGTCGCAATAACTGTGATCTCTCAAAACTTGTCATACTTCAAGAAGTCCCTCCGTCAGTTTTGTTGCACATCGCAAAATGAAGTACAACAGTCTGACGTCCAGAATTTGGGCAAGGACGGCCATTGTGGAATCGGTCCGTCTGGTCAGTTGGTCGATCCGCTGGAGAGAATCGACATGTCCGGTGAGCGAGTCGGTCTGTCCGCTTGAAGAATCAGTCAGTCGGTCTGCTAAAGGAGTCGATTCGTTTGTCAAAAGAGTCAATCGGTCAGCTGAGAGAGTCGGCACGTCCATTGCAGAGGCTGGAGTGCCTAGGAGTTTTTCTCCTGAGAGAGTCGGCCGGTCCGTTCTAAGGAAGGGAACTGTCAGATGTGAGAGAGAGAGCTGTCCCATGTTCGAACGGTCAGCACGGAATCCTCTAGACGGACCGTTTCGGGAATCTGTCAGTCCACAGCTCTGTCTGTTCTTAGCCATCCGTTAGGTCTGTCCTGGAAAGCAATTTTTTTTTGGCACGTCGCATAAAGAAAGAATCCGTCCGAAGCTGGTTATAGGGATCAGAGCGCAGAAGTCTATTGAGAGCATCGGCCCGTTGGAAGAGCCCGCTCTGTTCTAACGGAAGCTATCATGAGGGAGGGATCGGTCCGATGAAAAACTGTCTGGAAGCCTCTACATTCTTTGTTGCCCGCCGCAATGATAAATTGACAGATCTTGCCTGGACGGACGGTTCCGTCTGTCGGATGTCTCTATCAGAAGCGGTCCGTCAAAGGTCTCATTCAGCTCCGTCCTTTGCATCGGTCCGATGAGTGAACTGTCTAGTCAATTTTTGTTGCATGCCGCAATAACCAATTGACAGATCTGAGACTTTTGACTGTTCCCAGATTCTGTCGAACGGGGCCTGCGAGAGATCTGTCTTTTCTGAATTATCTGTCAACTCTGTCTTGGGAAACAAATTCCGTTGCACATCGCAAGCTGATACATTTGTCGGAAGTTGTCTGCCTTGATTACGGGGAGCCATCAGCCGTATTATTCACCAGTCGTCACTTCTGATAGATCTGTCAATTATGTGGTATTAGACAAGTCTGTCGTGTGGGATGGTTTTGTTGCACATCGCAAAATGACCAATCAGTCTGCCGCAACTGTCTCTTCCGCATTTATCTGACAGCCTCTTCTCGAGGCGGCTGAGACAGATTCTTCTGTTAAATTATCTGTTTTCGGAGAACTGACAGCTCTGACTGATTATCAACCTTGCTTGACGCAGCTATCACTTTGACATGGATGACTTTGGAGAATCGAGGATATTTGTCAGTTCTACTACGATGAACTGGCATTCAAGCCGTGGCTTAAGCCAGAGAAGAAATGATTGAAACGGGAAGGGTTTGGTTGCGCTTACGAGGAGAAGGGGGGTTGGAAGAAGTCTCAGCTGCGGGAATACTCTTCAGCTTCTAACTTCTAGCCCTCCAGGTATTATTCTGGTCAGGAGCGATACGCACGGCACTGGAAATAAAGTTATCGGAACGGGTTAACATGGTAAGATTTCATGTTCGCTTGGAGGATACGGTGCATGGAAAAGGGGTAGCGATCCCTAGCTTGCTAGAAGACGCTGGCGTTGGTTAGAAAGGAGGGCTCACATTCCATATGGAGTGTTTGCACTTGTCTTGCTTTCCTTGTTTTGCTTCCTTAATATAGACTTTTCTCTTGACTTTGACTTTGACTTTGACTTCTTCTTACTCACATCGTAACGCAGACTTTGTTCTTCCTTACTTATTGTCTTCCGTGTTGTGATTCTTACTCCTTTGTGCTCCCACCACCAAACAGGTGGCTCCATTAAGAACTCTCCTTAGGCCAGAAGTATGAACCTCTTCCAGACCATCAAGAAACTAGGTTGTCGTGGATCATGTAGCCATGACTGCTCGCAAGAATTCAACATGCTCACTATCCAGTACCTCGGCCTCATACTGATTCCCAGAAATACACACTTTTCCTGTATCATCGACATTGACATCACCTTCTTATATATCTTTCCAATCTTCCTTTCTGCTGCTCGTAATCCACTCCAAAGCAAAACTCTAGTTCACAGTCGTGCAGCCGGGAGAAGCATCTCGGAACTAGGGTTTCCAGAAACCGAGAAAACGAGGTACAAAGTTCCGCATCGCGATCAGGGCTTCGCAACGGAAAGGAAGTCTGCTACAATTCTTGATATTGGGTACACAAGAACACTTCGATAATCATTGAGGGTTGATGTACCTTGATACCAAGTTCAATAGACCGTCCACATGGCAAGTAAGTCAATGTTTTGCTTTGCAGCGTCTGTAGACGGGGTTTTCCCCGAAAATAAAACGACCCGAAAAGCAAATCTGTAGGAACAAATAAGTTGAAATGCCAATAATATATTGCATCAACTATAGAATTGGGTGTTTGAGGAAAAGAATTCTTAGAGAAGTGACTGGTTCTCAACAACCTGTTTGTCGAACTACTAACGACCTAGCATGACAGTAACTCTTACTTCAGAGGAAAATTCTCTCGCTTTCGAACATATCTCGGAGTAGTGACGTCTTCAGGGTCAGTGACTTTCGAATAGACCTTCACTTTGTTCCGGAAAGTAAACACAGAAACGTAGATTTGTTTGTGGCAATGGACGCAAGCAGAGCCGAGCCGCTTTGATCGACGTCGAGGATACATCGAGTTCTAGGAATACCCATCTTGAGACAGTGTAGCAGTGTCAACAGGGTGGACAAAGTTGCGATTAGGTGGACAGGGTTGGCAATGCATGTTTGGGAAGAATTAAATATGGGTTGACAGATCAGCAAAGTTCTGGTTGTGGGGTGTGGGGCTTTTCTTGACTTCTTTCTTCGATGGAGAGGATGTGATAGCAACGAATTGAAGTAGGTAAGAACGTAGTGAGCTGGTGAACTTGTTTCTTGCTCCGCGTTCGTCTAGACATACAGCGTCAAACACAGTAGAAACATCTAATGCGAGAACTGTCTCTAGACTGAGCAAAGAATTCAGAGAAACACCAGTTACTTACCGGAACCCACCAGAACCCCACCAGAAGTCTTGAAGAAAGAAGATGACATATGCGTTTAAGATCAGCAGACTTTCGCAACGAGCGGGACATGATGGTCGCATGGTTTTCTAAGAGCCGTTAGGTTCCCCCGAGAAAGTTCCACGCTCCGAGAGAGTTCGAGGCAGAGCTGGCAGTTATATACATGGCAGGGAACGCAAAAATAAGGTTCGCTCGATCCACTTAGATCTCGGTTGATCTGGCCAAGCCATCGCTCGGTTGTAGAGGGTGAAATAAGGATGGGGATGGGAGTGACGGTGTCAAAAGATATCTAGGTAGTTTATGATAGACATGGTAAGAGCGCGAGACGACAGACTCTCAAGATAGAGATCGCGCAATGTCCTGCCGTGCCATTCATTGATCTGGAAGACAGGCAAGCATGCGGAAAGTGAGAGTAAAGGCTGCTTGGAGCGGCTTCGCAAAAAAAGGAAGAGTGAATAGAGCGAAATAGAAGTCTCGAGGCTCAGATGTCGACGATAAACTTTAAAGATGATTTTCATGGAACGTGCGTAGAAAGATCCTTAAAGTTCTTAATCTACATCGATCGTTAGCAACGTCAGGGTGTGATGCTCCGCCTTATGCTTTGTACGAAACAAGCTTAAGCCTTCAGTCGCCGATGCTGCCTCATGACCCATTTGGACATATTCCTATTCGGGCGAAGCATGAAAGCATGGAATATTGTCCCGCATGAGGTATTTGATGACATGAAAGGCGAACTCTAAGAAGCTAGCCTGAACGCTTGAGACGTGCCTGCCACGGTGGGGCTTATCCTTCCAACATAAACTTTATTCTGCCCCAATGATGATCATTTCCACCAAAGCAACACACTTTTCGAACTCTGTCTGCGTTCATGCTTCTATTTCGTAGTTCTCCTCAAGGCAGATCATCTTCTGGAAGGTTATTTTTTCCAGGCTCCAGAGGTTCCAAAAGAAGTCCGACTTTTTGCACATATACCAAAATGCAGCTCATAGTTCGCCACAATCAGTAGACTGAAGCTGTCCGCCGCTCGCCACTACACTTGGAAAGCTTCTGAAACCGGGTGTTTAAAACAACAACCCTAGAAGTGTCATTTTTTTGGCTTGAGAAGAAACCGAACTCTCTTTCAAACGGCCGCTTCCCCGGATCCGTCGTCTCGAATACACTTAGTAAAGACCAAGATCAGCTGCCGACACTCGACCTTGTCCATTTCCACTACCTATCCGCTCCCCACCTGGCTCACTTCTACTTCCAGTCCCGCTCGAACCACTGGTTCTGGATCCCTGACTCCCAGGTTCCTTATGCCGAGGAAAAGATCCGAGGCTCTTTTGCTCTTCAAATGCAGGTACTTTGCCCGTGTCTCTAGGATCAGGATTCCAGTCATCTGACATGGGAACACTGGGCACATATGCAAGATCCCCATCAGAGGCATTGTCCACCATCAGAATCCCGCCATCGTCAGAATCAGAATCATATTGACCAATATCTTGCTTTGGTGCTGGATTGCGAGAATAGGATGGCGGATCGGAGACGTGAACGCTGTTTAGACTTTGAGTAATATTCAGAATGTCGGTATCGGTTGACCGACTTTGTAGGCCAGGTGGAGTCGGATGACCTAGTTGTGTGGACGGGTCTGACATGCTTCGATGGGCTCCATCAGGACGAAGAGGCTGAGAATTCATGCTGAAAGTAGGAAAGGACGGTCCTGGAGCAGAAATCTCGGAGGACATGTCCAAGCCACCCATACTCCTTGTTAAGTCACCCATGCCATTATCCCCTTCAAGTTCGGATAACGGTGTGTCCATCAAACCTAACAGGTCCATCTGATGCGGACTCTTCGTATCTTTCTGTTCAATCGTATCCGGATTTTCCACATCCAGTAATTGAATCTCTGTACTGTCACTTTCGATCTCGGTTCCCTCAATCAAAACATGCTCAATCCCAGTTCGCTTCATGATCTTCCCAATAAGCTCTGGGTAACGCAAGTGTCCAGAAACCTCCTTGCTTAAGTTCATGTTCTCAATGCCTTCAACATCACCAATTTCCTGCAAGCCAGCCACGCCAAACTGGATACTCGTAGCCCGATAGAGGAACGCTAGGATATAATCGTTCTCTGAATAAATATTGAACATCTTCCCGGAAACGACGCTGCGCATCACTCGCCAATTGTTGCTGTTCGAAGGAATAGGTGATCCGATAAAAATAACATTTTCGACTAGTCCAAATGCTTGGCGTTCTGCGAGAGACTTCAAACAGGAGTATATAACCCTGGAACCTAATGAATATCCAATGAGTGTTACTGGGCGCTCACCCTGAGCTCTGTTTATCAAGGCGTCAGCCAATACTCGACCAGCTTTCTCGCTACGGTTTCTTGCAATAGCGAATGGATTGTCGATACTTGTTGCCATTTTCAGAAGGTAACTATACAGAGCAGTCAGTAAGAGAGAGTTCAGAAGTCGAGCAAGGTACGCATGTGGATCATCGTCGCTGGGCGGTATTGGGATAGCGTGACATGGCATTGAAGGGGCTTACTTACACTGGCCAGATTGCAGACCAGAGGGTTGCAAGAACAGTCCGCTTTAAGATCTCAAGCTTGACATACGACCATGCGTAAGACGACACCATATTCTGCAAAGATAATCCCAGGGACAACAGGGCATCCATTTCGTATCGCAAAGCAAATACTTCACTGTCTTGTCCTAGAACTCTCCAAGGTTTGACAACATCATCTTGGGTGTTCAGCCAGCCATTGATGCCAATAGTTACACGCAGCCTCCTTGCGTCAGCTTCAGCTTCTTCTTTTGTACCAAATTCGCCCCATTCAGATGCGATTGGGAGAAATTTGAAGTCCGAAACTTCTTTCGCGTATGTGTCGACCATCTCTCCCTAAAATCTACTTATCAGTGTTTGTTTCTGTTCATCTTTTCCAGATTCAGGGCGAAGGCTAATATCAAATGGGTTGTTAGAACAAGGATGGACAGAACTAATCAGCTTACAGTCATCTTGCCACCAAATGCTCCGAACAGACTTCCAACTAGTGCCCCGTTCATGGCAAATATTCCCAGAAAGGAGGCCAGCCCACCTAGACCAACTCCGCCCATAAGACCGCCAATTGCTCCTGCAACGACAGGTGCTGCTAGGCCTCCGGTGAGACCAATAACAGCTGCACCGGTTACAGAAGCCAAGCCTACTTTCCATCTCCTGGAAGATGCATTTTCAGCTTGACGCTTCTTTGTCTCAGCATCAGCTGTGAGAGCTTTTGATGCCAGGATAAGTGTCTTGGCTATGTCGGTCTCCTCCTTGGTTAGGACTTCCAGTGGAATAGCAAAAGCTGATGTGAGGTAGCAGAGCAGAACTCTGGAATGAGCAGAATAATGGCCTAAGCTGAGAAGTAATAGGACCATGCAACTTATTACACACACACGATCCTCTTTGGGAATAGTAGTAAGACGAGTCGGAATGGGATGGTATAGGGACTGCAGTGTAGAGACATCTTTCGCCTCCTGTACTTCTCTTGCCTCAGCCTCGACTTCCGCTGCGACATCTTTCACATCCGTTGGTGTGGCCGAGTAAGGTGGTGGTGCAGGAGTTCTCGCTGCCATCCACTCTAGAGACAATTAACATGAATAAATCGCAAGAGACATTGACTCATTCTATTGTACTTACCTTTCCGCCTCTGGTCTGATCGTGGATCCTCAGGACCATCACAGGTTTCTTTGAGAAATTAGCCAATGCACGTGGTCTTAATCGTGCGTTGTGTATGTAAGAGTTATAACTCACTCCTGTATTGGCCTCTTACTTCAGCTGCCCAAGCATCGAAGTAGAACAGGGCATTCTTCTTCAGATCATGTAAGCCGGAATTTGACAGATTCTTCTCCAGTCTCGCTTCCAGCCGCTTCTCGGAATCCGAAGGTTGGGGGGATGGAGAGGGAGATAAGTCGCGTGAGAATGTTGACTCGACAAAGAGAGGCGCTGGTTCTACCTGAGGAGAAGAATCGAAGGATTGCTCAATCCTAGTTCGCATGTGTGAGACGATAGCTGCGATAAGGCTCGTGAGTGCTTTTCGACGCGCTGGGTTAAGCAACAGCTTCAAGTCTTTTGGATCAGTAGCGGAAGGCATTTTGGGATTAATGACAGTGAGGTCTCCAGAGCAAGGAGTTGTGATTGGGGAGGTGGGGTCGTATGTATGTATATATCGTCAAGCTGACAATCCTTTAAAGCTGCTGCCTTCAGGATGCTGCCGCCAAGGCTATTGTGCGCCAACTGTGGCCGTTCCTTGGACGTTGAAGCACGGAGGTTGGTAGCGAAGGTCTGGGGGACTTGTCACCCGGCAAAGAAAGACCATTGTCGGTGGACTGGGAGAGGGCGAACATCATCAATTTTGTCGACGTTGAGATGGATGAGGCGCAGCGCAGTACTGGCCGCCCAAATTTGATTGGTTCGCTTGATCAATAGCAAACGATATGTGAATGAGGAGGACAAGGACTCTGGTATAGTATAGGACTGATAATGGAAAAGTGTCATAATGGAGATTATGGCAAGCGATCATCTCTAGAAGATGACTGTCCGCTTGGACCGGCAAATATCACGTGCATCAAATGTATCTACCCGGGTAGATATCTAGGTAGGATGCGATGGTCGTTTGTGCGCTGTAGAAAGATGGGAAAGGATGTCCTGGAAGCTACTGATCTCTCGAAACAGAGTATTCACAAAAGCGCGAGTCTCCGGCGAGTTACACAATCGTGAAGGTCTTCGCAAGCCATATCAAATTCGAAGCGAGCCCTCGCAACGAGACGAAAAGTGCAGGTGATGCCCAAACTTTTCAATTCTTGACATTATATCCCGAGGTCTCTCTCTGCGAGTCACTTCAAATCTCCTCTAGATCATCTAGATCATCCAAGGCCGGGAAATCGCCAGTTTCCACCCGTTCAGGTCGGACAAAGACCCCGAATTTTGGATCACCTTCTTTACCCCAATACCGCTTGCCCCCAAGACTTCCGTCGTTCCTACCAACAGGTTCATCCAGCTTCACGCCAATCCATTTGCCTGCACCACCGGGAATCTCCTCCACTTCTCCGACATACATGACCTTTCCTCTCTTAGCATCCTCGCCTCCAACTCTACATCTCTTGCCCACTTCAATGCCCCTCTGCTTGACCTCCGTCTCAAGTGCCTCAAACTTGGCTTGCTCAATTGAAGGAGCATTTGGATCGAACCTACCTAGTTTCTTTGCCTTCTTCCACGCAAGGACACTGTCGGTCTTCTGCTCGTATTCGGAAGGTGGCATCTCATATTTCGGAACTAGAGTGACATCTGTAAAGTTTTGGCGCATGCCAGGGGGGCGGATGTCTGTGACCTGCAAGAGTTGAAGTTAGTTTGGAGAGATAAATTTGGGATGGTCTTGCTTTGAACGCATGCCTTAGCGGGTAGATATAAGGTTTAGACCATGTTTCGTGGACGAACTACTACGCATGAAGGCGGCAGATAGGTTAAGAAACTCTGGCTGACGACATGTTCTTGGAACTCATGATCCTCAAACTTTGGAAGCATAAAACGTTCGAATTTTTCGCCAGAAACTTCGCAAAAGGTGGATTCGGATGTTCGCCCCACAAGGCCCTGGTTCATCATCACTTGATAATGCAAGTTGAACCGCATCAACCACTTATCCTGGATAAGCGTCAGACGATCAATCGAGCGAACACCTAGAGCTGCCTCGTCACGAATGTAACCTCAGGTTTAGTTCTGCCAGGATGGAAACGGGGTGGCGCAGTATCAAGAACCGTTTCGTGAAGCGAACAGCAATGAATTCCACACTCACGTGAATCTCCGCGTAGGGCGCCAAAGGGAAACTCCCCAACTGTGTCTTCTCCTCATCAGCGGCCTTTAGAGGGATGGATTGTTGGCTCCCGCGCTTCAAGATCAGTCTTTGTGACAGCGGTGGGATGCCAGTTACGGGCTCCAGCTTCGCCTTGAATTGACCAAGGGTCCATGATGGGCTGATGCGGCGTTCGGAGGAAGAGTTCTCGGAGATGATCTGGAGGGGAATATCCCCTGCTGTTTGCATGCTGCTCATATTTGACAGCTCGCAAGCCTGTGCTGATATGGTGCTTGGTCGCGAGATCAAAAGAAGAAAAAAAAAAGCCTCGTGAAGTTTTGTGAGAACGCGTGGGCGATTTGATCCTTTCTCCAGGGAATAATTTCCGAGTCCGTAGAATGGAAAGGCCTCGTGGTCAAAGTAGGATATCTGATGCACGAGCCTCAAAACGGTTTGGCAATAGTGTGGCAGGTGTTCGTGAGGTCAATCTGAAAGCGATTTAGAATGCGCCTTGTTGTTGTCGCCTCTGATTGCTTGTCTTGTCTTAGATTTTTTGGTTTTTGGTTATCGGTTCCCAATAAAGCCTAGCGCCAGGAAGGGTCCAATGGTAATTTCAACGTCACAAAACCACGTCGTCCAGGTCACTTCAACTTCTAAATGATATTCATATTCGGATTCTATATCAGAAGCTGCTGTTATATCGCGTGTTGTAAGTTCAAAATCCAGTCCACGAGCATCAGGCGGGATCTAAATTGATCTACGAAGGAGTTTGCGAGCGGAGCACTTAGCCACAACCACGACAGCCACAGCCGTGGCCGGGCCAGGGTACGAGACGGGTTCAACGCAGGAGGGTACACAACTTGGTAGCGATGGCGATCGGCCACAACGACATGCCTTGAAGAAAGATACAAGAACAAGAAGCTTGGTAACCTCTCCTTCCGCGTTCGTCCTCTGTTGCGCATGGCCATCCCAAGTCGGTTCCTTCGCCGTTGGGAAGAACAAAGCATGAGTCTGACAGCACAATGCTGTGGTTCCAGGCAGTTTCACGTTCCGACGCTCTGACAAAAGGGAGGGCTGGAGCTCACCTCCCCTCCATTGGTCAATCTCCGTTTGCACATCCATCGTCGGAGAGGTTGTCGATTGGGCTGGGTCGCGGTTTGGGTCTGGTGTCCAGTCGGGGTTCAGCATGAATCGACGGTCCCTGCATCGAGGCGGTCCTCGAACGCTTGACAGGTCGGATCCGATGCCATTATTGCCATTGTTGTGCTGTGTCGATGGCCGTGCAAGTTGCAACGCTGGTTTCCATCACCTCCATAACCTTGTCCCTGTCCACGAGCGATTGCCATTGCCATGCCTGCTTCACCGCTCAAACATTATTCATGAGACCTGAGACGCCGTCTCCAGCCCTGCCAATCCGGTCGATCACGCGAGGAGGATCTCGAACGAGTGCCCCATCCTCTTTGTTCCGAAGGTATTCGGATGTCCTCCTCCATTTCGAGTGTCCCCAGATCCCAGTGAGAAGTGTCAATCTGGTCAACGATGACGGCTTCACTTGCTTGCACAATGATTACGGCTGGCCGAGCAGACGGGTTCAGGGCTAACAAGGCATAACATCGGCAGCGGACCGAACGACACTTGTTCTGCAACTAGAAACTGGATCTGGAAATAAGTCTCGATTGTCGTTCCGGATCAATCAGCCCTTCTCAATTTCCACATCATCGTCATCGGTATCTCATCTCATCGGCCTAGTGGCTGGCTGGCTGCACGCAAACGGGCAGAGTCGCTTCCTCGGCTTTTCGCAGGAGATGCATGCTTTTCGTCGCTCACAAATGCCATAGTTTGGCTTTGTCGTTGGATGCTGCAAGTGGAGCGAAAACAACGACAGCACGGTCTTTCTCCATTGATGCGGCGCAGCTAATGCACGGCATAGTAGTAGAACTCAAGAGCTATTATGGGAGACCGTGCACGAAATCAATCGTCGGTACCCTCCTCCTCCTCGTCTGATAATCGAGCGAGCTAAAACTCCATAATGGCCTGAAAACACCGATCACACCGCTACCGTGGGACACCATCAGTGCAGAAGCGGCAGAGATAGAGTTCACCACCTTAAGTCAGCCAAGACATCTTTATTTTTATCGCACGTTTCCAGAAACGCCTTCTCCGCCAGAAATTCATATTTGGCGCTAGTCATTGTCATTCCGCGGCTGCGTCCATAATACATGGATGCCCGGTCTCGATATACTCTGGAGAAGGTTTCTGACTCGATTCTTTGAACTACCGTGAAGTCTGGCGCATACTCACATGACTGGCGCTTTTTCACCGCCATTCTCACGGCTGTGAGGTCCCGCTGCTGAATCAAGAGGAAGATGATTGTGCCCCTTTGTGATGGGTAGGCGGCACCCCGGTGCAAACGGCGAGGACTGTTCAATTGTTATCCTTCGGACACTGGCGGATTGACAACGCAGAAGTCATATTGCTTTGTTTAGGCACCAAGCCCCATTGTTGAAGACTGGGACTATGCAACCCCAACTGTCAAGGTCAGGCATCGTGTTCGTCTTCAGCCACCAGCCAGTGAATTCCGTGGCTTGAGAGAGCATGCTCAACTCGGTCAGTCGGGCTGAACAACGAAGATCGTAGTTCATGGCAGCCTCTGTGAGGCGCTGCAAGCCATGGAGATCATACACCTTGATCCCTGAGGTCCTGGAATGGCACCCTTGCACCTTTGACCGCCAGTTCGTTGGCCCGAGCTGGCAATCCAAGATCTGATGTGTTTGGTTGTCATGCTGAGTGGCCGCCTGGAACCAGCGACCCATGAAGTCGCAGTTCGGGGACGACAAGCGACAAGCTTCATCTTTAAGTGCACAATCAAGAAAGGGTACAGTGCAACAATAGATGTATGTAATGTGGACAATTGCGCACAGACATACGCCCAAAACGGTCTCGAGGGGTCGCACAAAAGTCTGAGATTATATAAGAAGAGTTTCAACACCACCACAGCGGGTTTCAACCGAGGAATCCGTGACTCTCCTCCACCCCTCTCCCACCACTGAGCCATAAATCCTAGAGCCCAAGGTGGCAAGTAGGCAAGCATTGCTCCTCGTTCATGTTCATGCATGAATTCGTGGCCACGCCCTAGCAGCCTCTCCTCCACACTAACATTACCCCTGCTGACTCCCCCACCATGGGTAAGGGTACACTCTATCTGCATCGCGCACCCTCCCGAGAGTCCGTATAGCTTGCAACCATGTAAAGCCTGGGAGATCACCAGTTCGAACAAAGTTCCTTGTACCCTTACCACAAAGCTCCTCAAGCACAAGCACACATCCATCTTGACGTATTGTTCCGTTGGTGCTGGCTTTTTCTTCCACTCTCGACTCATCTTTTGCGATTGGCTAGACCTCAGACGTGCTCTTGCCAATCATGTTGATGGCTGTCATGATCTACGCGAGCAACGCAAATTCTCTCTGAAGCCCTGAAATAGGAACGCTCTCCTCGTCGGAAGTAGCTCGTCTCAAGATTCTTCTTACCGAATGCCCTGGACCCTCAAGTCTGTAAAAGCTACTTTCTTGTTTCACGTCAGTGACCTTTATCCCAACTGTCAGGACGTTCTTTTGGACCTTCTTGACCCTGATATCCGTCAACCTCGACCAGATCGGATAAACTAGTAGTCAGCCTCAACCCTCGTTCAACGAAGCTGCTATCGACAAGCTTCTTCTTAACTAACGGCTTTACATCTCTACGATATCTTGTATTCCCCTTGGCCAGGCAGTCAATCGCATATGATCCGTCAACCTTGACGGCATCGGCGACTTCGAACCGTCACCGTGGATATCTCCCTCCTTCTCAAGGCTCCAGACTCTAATGAGTCTGAATCATCTTCGCCCACCCATCGACACCATACGCGCTCAGCGTCTATCCCGTCAACCAGCGGGCAACAGCAAGAAGCCCCGTCCTATGCCCTGGCCAGTAGCGGCGCCGGTGGCAGCAACAGCAAACGTAGCATGCCTCCCCACCCTGCTGAGTCTCCAGCCAAGAAGCAGAGCAAATGGTCTGCCGAAGAAGACTCTTTGATCATCGAGCTACGAGGTAGTGGGATGAAGTGGGAAGATATTTCTAAGAGACTCCCAGGACGTAGCGCGATTAGCTGTCGGCTTCACTACCAGAACTATCTTGAGCGACGTAGCGAATGGGACGAAGAGCGCAAGAACAAACTCGCAAGGCTCTATGAGAGGTAGTACCCCATCTGCAAGCTTGCCACTGCCTCAACCCATCTTCACTCGCCGTCTCTTTCTTTAAAGTCGCTAACGCCCTCTAGATTTAAGCCAGAAATGTGGTCTAAAGTAGCAGAAGAGATGGCTGTTCCCTGGCGCGCAGCGGAAGCCATGCACTGGCAACTCGGCGAGCAAGACATGGCTCGTCGAGCTGGCGTAGTTCCTTTCTCATTGTCAAGTGTAACTTTGGACGCTCCACCACCAGGTCACCGATCCTCGCCTTCCCGGGGACACGCACATAGCCAATCCCAGTCAAGCTCTATGAGTGCATCGGCTTCTGGCTCTGGGTCTTCTGCGCAGCGCTTCAACAGGCCTGCTACTTCGCACAGTGGCTCTAGTACTGGGCGGGGAGGTGGGCAAGGGAGCGCAGGAACAGGCTCTGCTAGGACGATCGCAGCAAGAAGAGAGAGCACCCCAAGGTCTGTTCTACCTGCGAGTCCAAGTGATGGAATTGCGTTGGCGGCTATTGGAAGTGGAGGCATGGGAATGGGTATGGGAATGGGAATGGGAAGAGGAGGACAGCTACTTCCCAGTGTAGCGGAGATGACGACGGGGGTCAGTCCTTACAACACGCCAGCGTACGCCATGAGTATGCCGATGTCTGGAGGAGGTTATTCGAGCCCTGGGCCTCAACTTCCAGGCATTGGAATGATGGGACCTGGCCCAGGAATGAGTAGAGGGGATGGGAAGAGGAGAGCAAGTCCGGACGCTGGACCAAGAGAGTCGACTAGGAGACGACAATGACACGCCAGAGACTGTAAGGCAGGTGCAGTCCTTACGGCTCTACAGTATTGAGAAGACTAAGAGTTGAGTTTTACAAATAACAAAAGGGGCTTCAAAGAGCATTGGGAGTTGAAAAAAGGGTGTTCCGGCATGGCGTTTGCTTGGCGAAGGCGAAGATGGATAGATCGTGATCGCGAGAATTTTGGCAGTCTGGTGTTAGGGTTCGACTTTCGAGCGTGAGAATTGCAGGCGTGGCATTGCATTGTTACGATATGATATCCCTTGATGACAGCATCTTATTGCATGGGGTTCTGACAGATGGACCATCGGTGTTTGGGCTTTCTATTCTAGAATTGTATTAGGAAGTTTGTCGTGTACAACACATAAAGCCTATGGATTGGATCTTTCAGAATTTTAATGATTTCACTGTTTCTCGCAGAAACATTAACATGCCCAGCATTTTCTCGAAAGGACCCAAGAATGTCCATATTTCAGTGACGAGTGCTTGGCTCTCCACTCTATACTCTCCGCGACTTCGCTTTGCCGCAAAGCTTGTATGAAAACAGGTTGCAAACAGACGTTGCGGGACTTTCATCACCATCAAACAGAGTGGATAGTAGAATAGGCAGTGTTATCCTTGTATAAAGAGTCAGGGCCATACATTAATTAGCTGTGAAGCAGCCCAATATCATCCAAAGAATCCTGGTTGCGATCTTTGCCAGCTATTCGAGATGTTGTATCGAGTCGGAACAAATCCTGATATGGACCATGGTCTTTACTCGGCGAGCAAGGGTTTACGGGAGAGGACCCACTGATGGTCCCAACCCAGGGGCAGAGCGCGAGTGCGGACAACTTCCACTTTGTTTTTCTTCGGCACAAGTGGCCCTCGGCTCTGGCGCATGATAAACTGTTCCACTGAAAAGAAGAAACCATCGTCTCATCGTTCGCATCGGATGGATGCGAAAAGCGTTGACGGCACAACTTCGTGAACGTTCATCCCTCTCGGCTCTTCGTGGACCTCCTGCAAACAGCCCACCAGTTGTCCTTTTCATAGCCAAATTCAATCATTTCTCCCCCAATAGCAACGATGTCGTCTGCCAGTTCCCCAGATCGATAAAGATGGTAATATCGTTGGAAGGTCTTCTCCGTAGACCCATCCTCATTGGGATTCTTCTTGCCGCTCTTCATAACCCAAGGTACCATGACATCTTGTTCATGGCCTTCATCCCACCCTCTTCTACTATTTTTCTGCTCCAACGCCCAAACATAGATCAACGCTTTCCCGTCATCTTTGAGGCATTCCAAAATAGCTTTGATTGCTTCTCTCCTGCGTTCTGGAGTAGACAAATGATGAATGACAGCGATACTGATCGCAAAATCAAATCTTCCAGCTCGATGCGGCAAAGACAGAGTATCCGCGACAACAGCTGTATGCGGTTGATGCTGTGATGCAATCTTCACCAAATTTGAAGAGCGGTCGCTTCCAACAATAAAGACGTCTCGATTAACAGTGAGATATTTCCCGTTTCCACAACCAACATCAATTCCAATAGAGCCAGGCGAGACCGATTGCAGGAAAGCTTCCACTATTGGCCAAGGCTTGTACCTTGTAGAAGAGAAATGCGATGCGATTTGTTCATAGACCTCGTGAACATGTTGCTCCTCGTACTTTTCTGGCGCAGTATCGAGTTCAGAGGACATTGTTTTCACGATATGTCGTCAAAAGAAGCTTATACTTCTTTTGCTCTCAGACATTGGCTTTCCGAGACATAAGACATCAGACAAAGAAAGGAATTAAAGATTTTGGTTCAGCCTTGTGGCGTGAAGCGGCCGCTAGCTTGACCAGGTAACACAAATTTTTGAGACCGAACATTGACTTCACACCTGGGGAATTCACCATCATTTGATCTTGACAATGCCACCAACGTCTTCACAATAGCTACCAAAACCTCATTGTATCAATTGTTTTCATTGCACAAGTTGCTCTGAACAACTTGAGCGTTGAAAAACTTCAAACACCAAATCTTGACATCATTGTAGTCCAGATCAAAATTTGCCTCCATGCCAAATCATAAGACCCTCCGTGCGGAATCTTTGTTTGTGCTCCATAGGGAGCACAGTTTCATACTGATTTATATACCGAACTGTACGCAAAACATTTGTAGTTGAGTTGGACTTTGAAGAAAAACACTCGAGGCTGAATTCCCGAATGGGATAAGCGCCGCACAAGACCAGTACATTTTCTTCGTCTCGCAACGCTTTGTTCGAATCACCACGAAGCCAAATCAAACAATCTCTTGGGTATCTTATTGCAATTGTCTTAGACGTCCAAAGCCGTTCTCTTCCCAAACCAAATTTCATTTGGCAAACCGAGATACAGCAAAGAAGGTCCAACGATTCTGCACCTAGGCATTCCTAACACCATTGTCCGACGCAACGACGAAACAATAGCACGAGATTTTGAAGTTTTCGTTCCTATTGTCCTGGGACATCGAAAACTTTGGTTCGCTTAAGAAGAGGAGTTGACACTATTGGGTGGTTCGCTCCCCTATTGTCCTCGCTTAGGCTACCCATTGTCCTCAACGATATCACCTAGAACCTCACTATTGTGAAATCTTCACAATGAGAACAATGATGGAGCGCTCCGGCGCTGGCGGAGGGAAGATGGGGAGATATATAATCTCGGGATCCCTCCCAGCTTTTGCAAAGTTTTCCTTTCCCCTTTCGTCGAAAAACACAGCTTTCCAGCGTCACCCTGCTCTTCACAGACTTCCTTCTTTCCAAAAGCTTCCTCTTCGACTTAAACAACCTCACCACCAACGAGCTATGTCTCCAAGAACTCGTACTTCGATCAAGCGATCCCGGGAGGCCGCTGGTCTCACTACCACCGCCGCCGATGCCGATGAGCCTTCTGCGAAGGTTCAGAAGGTTTCTGCGGAACCAGGTATGTGATCGAATCTCACCATATACTTAGGTCTTCGCTAACGTCAAAATCAGAACTCAAGGGGGTTGATGTCACTGCCTCTCCTCGATCCGTCAAGGACAAGATAAAGCTCAAGCTGAGAACCAGGTATACTCCTGCTTACAATCTCCGTCGTCGCCGCCGCTTGGTAAGTCCCTCGGATGCACACCAAAGCATCAATCTGGTTTTAACACTTTACAGGCCAGCGTTGTCCGACTGGACTGGAACGGGATGCCCGCCTCTGCCCAACAAGGTATGCGTAACTTGACGGGAGTGCTCTGTTACCGAAGTGCTCTCCTCCAATCCCTCCTTCACCAACCACAGTTTTGTCTGTGGCTCACTAGCTACCATGAGCCGCAACATTGTATTTGGGCCGAAGAGACTCCTTGTGTGGCCTGTGTGCTACGCAACTTGGCGAAAGCCTACTGGTCTGGAGAGTCGGTCGACGCAGCATACGTTGCTGTCGACAAAGCATTCAAAGCCAGTAAGTACAATCTTCACTTGAAAAGTCCCAAATCAGTTCTGATTCTTGGTTAGACAATTGGCAAAACGGCATGGGTGGCCAGCAAGACCCAGAGGAGCAATTGGGCTGGTTAGTCCAAAAGTTCTCGGAACAATTGCCTGTCGCGTGAGTACCAGAGTTCTTCGGAGATTGCTCATTCGTTAACATTCAGTAGCCACTTCGCCGTCTTCGAGTCCTTGACTCACTTCGTCCTGGACTCTTCCACCAAGTGCATTGCCTGCGGGCACATATCCAGCAAGCCCGGGGACATTGAAGGATCCTTGGCAATCGACCTTCTTCCACGAATCAAGGGGGGCGATTTGGCCGCGTACGTGCAGCAATACCTGTCGTACAACGTCACCGACTACAAGTGCGACTTTTGTGGCGACAAGGCCACTGACAAGAAACGATCTCGGAAGATCGCCCACTCTCCGGACTTCTTCGCAGTCCAACTCAAGCGCTTCGATTGGCAAGGGAAGAAGGACTCTTACCCAATTCCCTTCAATCGTCGCCTCGATCTGGAGTCCGTCCGTGCGCCGAACAACGAGACCAAATCCAAGTACGACTTGTCTGCTGTGGTCTTGCACAGTGGAACGGCCAAAGGAGGCCACTACATCAGCATGTCTCGGGGTCCTGATGGACAATGGTGGAAGTTCGATGACAGGTCAAAACTCCCTCTTACTGAGGCTGCTGTTCTCGCTTCTGCCAACAAGAAGTCAGGCGGATTCACGCCGTATCTCCTTTTCTACCAACGGGTGAGGTAGTTGAGTGCTCCGATGCTGCTTCCAGACAATCACTCCTCACCCTGTGGGGTAGATCGATACGTGCTGCGTCTGGTCCTCGTCTCTGCTGTGTTGGTTCTTGTCGCTGGACCGAGGAGGAATCATCATCGACCTTTCTCTCCCTCCCGTTTTCCGAGGGAAGTTGGGCCCCTGAAGGCTCGTCGAAGCTGGACGGGGGTAATGTGTCGTGCACTTTACTTGATGATGATGAATCCGAGGAAAGGCTTGGCTAATTTCATGTGTTCCCGGTTTCTTCGCTGGGCGTTTTTGGAATTGATAATGAAGACGACGACAAGATACCTGTTTCCTGCTTTCTTCTTGTGTGCATAGCGATGGCGTTGAAGAGATACCATTGTGAGGAGAACTCACCTGAATTGATTCGTCCTTTGCTCCGAAGATTGCTCTTTGATTTGATATGTGTGTGTGATCATCCGGCTGTTTCGTTTGAATTCGAGGATATCCTAGGTTACATCTGAGTCTTCGTACAAGATTTAAACTCGCTGTCAACCTGCGTCACACTATTATCTTCATCATTCAAGCAGAGAGCTGACAGTGAATGCATAAGAGCGGGCATGTGAAGTGATGAGCTTTCCCTTTGGCTGAATGGTACGAAGTCCGAAAGAAGAAGAAAGGTTATATCAGATTGTCAAATTGATTATACTGCATTCACCTGAAGCAAATGACCTACTAAACATGATGCAACGCCCAGATGAACCACATTGCCGTCACTTCACCTAGTCTTGGTAGTTATCGCACTCACCTAAACGAGCACATCACACTTTCCCAAAAATAAAGCTACATAGATTTAAAAAAAGCGTTGTCTATCTCACAATTCAGCATTCCATTTAGGTCAGCGATTCAGGTCAAGAGTGGGTTAAGAGTTGGAATTACCTTGGGGTACTAACAATTAGAGACGAACGAACACGACTTCAAAAACTGCAATTCGAGAGTCTGTCGAGCAAGTTTTCTACGACCTACCCACTTCGGTGCTTGGGTCTGAGTTTTTGCTTCTTTTTTCTTTTGGCAGAGTGAGTCAAGATAGGCTTCAACAAGTTTTGATTTTTGCGTCATATGGAGGTATGAACATATCTTGTGAGTTTACATTGGCATTCTTCATAGAGCTCGCTTCAGTAAACGACTACTTCCCGTTCAAGGGACTCTTTGGATCATATACATCAGTCTCAATCAACTCAGGGTATTTCAATCCTCCTTGCTTCCTCGCTTCATCCATGGTCTCCATGATAACAACACTTTCTTCCCAATTCAAACCGTCACTCTCGAGTTTCCCATCCCTGATACACCTAGCCGCCTCATCCGCTTCCCAGAACATGCCATGTCCCCATCCATCTCTGTCCTTATCTGTCGGAATTGGGCAATCAACTTCTTCGAGTTTGCCTGTCTCCCCTCCGACCATAATGATTCGATATTTTTGTGGTCTATACAGAGGTCCAATGACCTGTATTTCTCCCTTGGTACCCTGGATCCTACACGCTGGTCCCGCAGCTGGACTTCCTTCGCCATCCGGTGTAGTCGCAACCCTCATACACGTCGTAGCAATCCCCATGGTCTTCTGACCAGGCCACTGGAGAAGTAGACTCGTGTTCTCATCCGCACCCGTCAACTCATATTTCTGAATCGCGGCCAGAACCTTTGGCTTCTCTCTCTGTGCTTGTGCTTGGCAATGGTACAAGATTTGGAAAACCCACGTCAAGCTGTAAATACCCAAATCTAACAGGCATCCTCCTGCAAGATCCATGTTTACCATCCTATTTTCGGGTGGGAATTTCAGACCGCCATCATCCTTTGCTTGCGCGAGACTAAGATCGGCAGTCACCCTGTGGATCTTGCCAATTGCACCGTCCTTGACCAGTTCCCGGATCTTGATGCTTAATGGGAAATATCTGGTCCATACGGCTTCCATCAGAAACAGCTTCTTCGCTTTCGCAGTCTCGACCAACTTCTTGGCTTGTGCAGCATTAACTGTAAATGCCTTCTCACAGAGGACGTGTTTCCCAGCTTCGAGACAGAGCATTGTATTCTGGAAATGGTGAGAGTGAGGTGTGGCGACGTAGATTATCTCCACGTTGGGATCTTTGACTAATTCGGCGTAGGAGCCGTAAGCTTTTGCTCCTGCTGGTGCTTTGACATCTTTGAGGAATTCTTCAGCTCGAGAGGCAGAGGAGGAGGATGCTGCCGCTACGACGGAGTGGTGGACGTCGTGGACATCGCGGGTGGCGGGATTCGTGAGGAGATCTTTTGTGAAAGCTGGGAGGTGTTACTAAAGCGATGTGAGAGACTGGGAATCTTACTTTGAGCAATGCCTCCTGTGGCAAGTATACCCCACTTTATGGTATATGGTGCCATTGTATTAATTGACTGGGTATTTACTAACACAACAAGTAGATATCAATTCTTGGCTGTGATCTAATTGTTTCCAGGAAAGCACTTCAACAATGAAGTTTGTGAGGAAACATCAAGAAGAGAAGAGAGAGAGAGATGTTGTCGTGTAATAAATAAATGCACCCCGCCAAAGTGGGTCGCTACCCCTCAATGAGCCTAAAATGGAGGAATGTCCGCAGTGGATGGATGTGACGTTGAATGTTTCCTCTGCAACGGCACATCGTCGGGATCACCAGCTCAAACACGACCACCAATTGGTGCGCATCGACTGTTGACAACCCCATCTCTTTCTCTCATGATAACGTTGTAATATGTCATTGAACGACGCTGTTCACGGATTTTGAATTTTCTTCTCTCCATGCTCATTCGACCCACACTACTCCGAGACTTGTCTTGGCTTGCAAGGCTACGATATCAAAACAGAACCATGGCTTTATCGGCTACTGTCCCGGCATTCGCAGCGCCGATGGTGTTTAGAAATCACCCAGAGATCCAGATCCCAAAAATGGTGTACGGGACAGCTTGGAAGAAAGATAGGTCCGCCACTCTAGTGTACCAGGCTCTGAAAGCTGGCTTTCGAGCTATTGATACGGCTGCCCAGCCTCGCCATTACAATGAGAAGGGAGTGGCAGAAGGTATTGCGAGGGCAATAGCTGAAGGAGTTGTGAAGAGAGAAGATCTATATGTTCGTATCTCCATTGCCCATTGCCCAGGTGGAACATGAAGCACATCACCTGACAACCTTCAGATCCAAACCAAGTTCACAGCTCCATCAGGGCAAGACCCAAACAATCTGCCCTATAGCGCTTCGGATCCAATACCTCAACAAGTGGAAACCTCCATTGCATCCTCACTCTCCAACTTCACTTTTCCGAACCAAGGAGAACCATACATTGATTGTCTGGTCCTCCATTCCCCATTCCGCAACATGAAAGATACGCTCGTCGCGTGGCAAACCTTTGAATCATTCGTCCCAACAAAGGTCCGCTCACTAGGAATATCGAATACCACACTCCCTATCCTCCAATCTCTCGTCTCCTCAGCCGCCATCGTCCCGTCTGTGTGTCAAAACCGCTTCTACCCAGGTACGGAATGGGAAGTTCCCCTTCGGTCATTTTGTAGAGAGCATGGGATTATTTTCCAGTCTTTTTGGACTTTGACCGGGAATCCTCAGTTGGTGAGTTGTAAACCAGTTCTGGAGATGGCGGATAAGTTAAGGGGAAAGAGAGAGATGGGTGGCGATGATAGGGCGCTGGCACTTTATTGTTTGGTGCTTGGCTTGAAGGGAGTTAGCATACTTAATGGGACGAAGGATGAAGGGAGGATGAAGCGGGATTTGCTGACAGTTGATGCCGTTGGAGGTTTGATTGAAGGGGAGTGGAAGGAGATGTGGAAACGGTGGCTGAATGATTTCAAGGAGGTGATTGGTGAGAAGTAAATAAAAAACTTCTACATGCGCTTGACTTCGCGATGAGAGCATTATTTGACGTCGCCAAGGGTACACAGGGTTAACAGTTCGTCCAAGAGTCATTCCTGGGGGTATAGTACAGTTTTCTAACTGTTTATACCATTTCTCTCAGGGTATCTTCGCACCAACATAACATCAACGCATAGGTTGACTACCTCGAAGGCGTAATCAGTCCAACCCATCTCGTTCATTCAACTCTTTCTAGAATTCACCGAAACGATAATCGCACATGCAGGGACAGATATTCCGTATAAGACTTCCATAATTGATATTAATCTTCAACAACAAACACATGAACAGCTATCATTACATCCCATATACGACCACCGCCCAGTATCTCCGTATTATACCTCCCAGAAGGATCCTACTGATCAAGCTCAAAGAGCCAACAAAGCTCCAGCCAACAGCATCAAGCCAGGAACTACATTTGCATCAGCTCCACCGGTGACTTGCAAGGGCAGCGAGCTGCTCGTTGTCGTATCAGTGCTGTTCAATGTCGCCGTAGTGTGAGCCACCTTGGAAGTCGTGCTACTAACACCTGCGGCGGAGCTGCTTGTTGTAGTCGGTGCAGCAGCCGAACTTGAGCTTGAGCCAGAAGCCGAAGCAGAAGCCGAAGCAGATGCGGAAACCGAAGCAGGTGTGGTTGATGGAGCAGATGACGGGGTTGAAGTCGCGGTTTCGGACACGAGGGAGCCGGTGAGGGAATATGCTGCAGCACAAGCTGCTAAGTCCATGCCCTAGGGAAGTGTTAGAAGTGTCCCATTAACAAGTGAGACGGTATAGGAAGAAACTTACATCAGGACAGCACCAAGTGTTTCCTGAAGCGTCAGACGTGCAGTAGTACCCGTCGGAGCAAGAATCTATCACAATTCATCAGTGTCAATGTTCGGAACAAACGAGCAGGAAGAGAAGATCGGCTTACTCCCAGAACCATCAGGACAACAAGTCTCCTTGATAGTTGGATCATAGCAATGCAAATCCCCATCAGATGAAGCACACTGAATGTAATCGGCACCGCAAGATGCGGCACAATCCGCTCCTGGACCACAGTATGTTTGGGTAGGTTGGTATCCTGCTTGACGTTTGAAGAGGCCGAAAGCGTTGTTCAGAGACATGGAGCCAAGCTTATAGGGAGCAGGTTCAGCAGCGGCATGAACAACAGCAAGAAGGACTGAAGATACTGCGAGAGTATTGAACAACATTTTGATGACGACGAGGAAGAGGTTATGATAATGAACGAGTGTGGTTAAGAGAGGGCAAAAAGAGAGGCAACTGTAATGTCTGAGAAGATAGAAGTACGCACAGAGCAGAGGACTCTTCTCTTATACTCCAACAGCCAAGACTCCTAAGCTGTTAGTGGAGATGAACAGCGGGCCATCCTTGCTATTCAGAAGGACTACTCAGTCCTGAAAAGTTCCTTGTATGAACGGACGATAATTCTGTGGGGGCTAAGCATCCTTCTCGTGTTTGCCTATTCCTGTGGCACCGTACGGCTGAGATACTGGCTGTGCTGATTGGTGGCCCTACAGCAGGCTCTTTAAAATTAAGCTTGATCCAACGTGACACCATACAGGAAAATTAAATGCTTCACGGAAAGAGGGGCTGTGATATTACAGAATCCTACTCTTTGTCTTGTTGGTAAGTAAGTAAAGCTTCAATAGGGCGCTGGCTCCTAGGAGTCCCTTATATTTCCCCCAAGGCAGCCGAACAAATGAAGACCCAATTCATTTACCTTTCAACTAAATACCGAAAGTATGCATTGTGACCAATTTCAGCCGCACGGTACTGGCGAGTGGCAGAATTCTGGACTCCTACGCCAAGGAAGACAAAAATAGCACGCTTCAGGGGTAAAGCAAAGAAGATATTCAGACGAAAGCCATCTTCAGCCCGTTCAAAATTCCATTTGCTAGAACGAATTGTTTCTGTGACTTGGCGAGGCTGATTGATGCGCCAAATGCAAGCCATCGGAAGCGAGCTGAAATGAGGTTGGCAACATCCAGCCAACCAATCAAATAGAGCAAGGGTAATTCCCGACGAACAAGTAAGATCGGGCTTGGGGTTTTACCGTGAAACATTTCCCCTCATTCTCTAGAAAGCCATTCCAGATGGCTCGAGCAGGTGATGAACGCAGGACAAAAACAACAATAAAGATCCAAGTTGGCTCATTCACGTATTGAACTCGAAAGTTGATCAACGCTTTGGTATAATGGCCAATACAATACTTGTCCTAGGTGCAACTGGAAAGCAGGGTGAGTATTAATTCAGGTCAATAATGAACTGGTTCTGAGGTGCTCAGGCGGTGCTGTGATCAACGCTCTTCTCGCCTCTCCTGATGCAAAAGCCATCACAATATGTGCCGTCACACGCAAGCCCGAATCAGCGGCTGCGAAGGCCTTGGTCCTCAAAGCGCCGGACCAAATAAAATTGATGATAGGCGATCTGAAAGACTGTCCGTCTATCTTCGCCAATGCGCCACTTCCAATCAAGAGAGTGTTCTTCGTGTCCATACCAGACATGGGCCTGATGACTGACGGCACAGGTGAGGAAGTTACGGGGAAAGCTCTCATTGATGCAAGCCTTGAACATGGTGTTCGACATTTCGTGTTTACGTCCGTTGATCGTCATGGCTCTGATTCAGATACCAATGATACAGACGTTCCACACTTCTGGCGCAAAGCAAACATCGAGAAGTATTTGCAAGAAACTTCTAGAGGATCTCAGATGACCTGGACGATCTTGAGGCCTACTGCTTTCATGGATAATATCTCGCCTGGTTTTGCTGGGAATGTCTTCCCCACAGCGTGGAGAGTGGGTCTACCTCCGGAGACTAGACTGCAATTTATTGCACTTGCAGATATCGGACATTTTGGTGCCAAAGCATTGCTGAATCCCAAGACGTTCGCTGGACGTGCAATCAGTCTTGCTGGAGATGAGTTGACGTTTGAGGAGGCGAATGCTATCTTCCACACACAGCTGGGATATGATATACCAACAACTTACAACTTTGTTGGGTCGGCGTTGTTGTGGGCCATCAAGGAGGTAGGGCTGATGTTCAAGTTCTGGGAACAAGTTGGCTATGCAGCGGACATAGCATCAATGAGGAAGGAGTATCCTGGCCTACTTGGTTTCAGGGATTGGTTGAAGACAAGTTCGTGGGTTCCTAAAGTTGCTAATTAGTATGGTGGTAAAGTAACAACATTTCAGAGATGCAGACTGTACTGATACTCATTTGTTTTACTTGACGCTGTTATATCTCGGCAACGTCGTAATTTCTAGATCTTTTTGTTGGTTCATTTTCTTCCTAGGGAAATTAGGGGCTCAATTTTCCCCATATCTAATAAGAAATCTGGCAATAAGATGCATTAACGACCTTATCACGGATTTAACATCTGCGCGCTACGAAAAGCTTATGCAAGCCATCCTCTATCGAGTCTGGTAAATCTTTGTATTTCTAAGTACGGCAGAAGAAAAGCGCAAGAGGTTGTAAGGGTGAAGCTATATGAGGCTAGCATTTTTTTAACGACACACCTCGTCGGGTTGACGACGACATCGACGGTGCTTCGTGACAAGTCAACATCACATATCGATACTTCCATGCGGACTGCCCGAACGTGGCGAGTTCGAAGTAAGTACAGTAGGACTATGATGATATCCAGTAGCGGACAAGGAGCCAGTGCAAGTGCAGCATTGATTTATACTTTCGATGTGTGTCCGACCCGAGAACTGGCAGTAATGCACTTTCCATATTGATTCACAGCTGCTTTTCAGAAAATTTGCAACCGGAAAAAAAAAACCGCGTAGAACGCCTTTTCTTGTCATCCGATGTCGCTTCTTGCTAGTGCAAACCCCCAAGTTGGATTTTGTAAGAAACATTTGACACACACAAACTCCTCACTCTTCACAACTCCCTGCTCACTTCATTGGTTTTCGTCGACATCATGTCAGGCATCCTGAATACCATCACAGGAGGTCTTTTGGGAATTAGTATTAATGTTCCATCTGCCTTGCCTTCAAGCGCAGCCTTGGCCGCATGTGCAGCCATTGCTTCGGGAACTCAAGTTCTTACTGAAGTCTGGCCAACCAATGAGTACACCCCGCAATACACATATGCACAGAATCACTACTGGAGTAGTGCTAACACTGATAATGTCCCTGCTTGTGTTGTGCTCCCACAGAATGCTCAAGACGTTTCAGAGGTAGTCAAGATTTTGCTTGCGTACCCAACTGTTGCCTTTGCGGTCAAGAGCGGTGGTCACAATGCAAATTTCGGGTTCTCAAGTACGGGAGGCGTACTTATTTCCATGACGAACAACAATTCAACCACTCTGTCCTCGAATAACCAGAAGGCTACTATTAGCCCAGGTGCCACTTGGGCCCAGGCAGTTTCTGATCTTGAACCATTTGGGGTTACTGCCGTAGGAGGTCGAGTTGGTAGGATTTCTCCCTCTAATTGTCAAGGTCAAGGTCAAAGGCACTGATATAATTGTATAGGTGACGTCGGTGTCGGAGGACTTCTCTTAGGGTGCGGATTGAGTTTCTTGAGCGCTCAGTATGGCCTGCCTTGTGACAACGGTAAAAATCACTCCAACTCCACTTCCACGATCTTACTCATCATCTTCTAGTTCTTGATTATGAAGTCGTCCTCTCGAATAGTTCGATCATTCATGCAAATTCTACTTCTAATTCGGACCTCTTCGGGGCACTGAAAGGTGGTGGGAATCTGTTTGGTAAGCATACCCGTGCGAAAGTCTGTGGATTTCATGTTAACCCAGCAGGCATCGTCACCAAGTTCACCGTGAAAGTCGTTCCCATTGGTACAGTCTGGGGTGGTTATCGTACTTACAGCAGTAGTTATGCCAGTCAGCTATTGGTGTGTATCCTTCCCCTTATTTGTCAATCTTCAGAGTCATACTGTTTCCATTTCTCCAAACTGACTTTATACAGGCCGCTACGCAAGATTTCACGGAAAACTTCCCCGGTCCTGCTGCTGCCCTCTTCACGACTTTCGAGATCCTCGCAGACAATCTTGATCAATTTATTACCGTGTTTTACTTCTACAATGGCCCGGTAGTACCTCCCGGTGTTTTTGACAAATTTCTTCCGATCCCAGCTACATCCGATATGACAACATCACAATCTTATAGCAGCCTGGTAAGAACTGCCGTCTGCCTTTATACGTGACATCGTTGAATGTATGGCTGACACAGGAAGCTCAGTCAGAATGCCGGTATCGCCAGTCAATACGGCTTCCGATATTCTCTTCGGGTAGGTGAACCGTCTCTCGGGTCAACTTTAGAGCTAACTAGTAAGGGCGCTACTATTCCCAACCTACCATCGACAAACGGTACCGACCTGATGATGGCAAATTACAACAACTGGATTTCGTACGTCTTAAGTCAGGGCCTTCTGCAGCAATCAACGTACATCTTCACCCTCATCTATCAACCAATGATGATCTCTATCCCGGCGGCCTCAGCAGTCGTGAATCCACTGGGCAATTTACTCAACCTCTCCACAACCTACGGTGATCAGATGTGGATGGCAGGTACAGTTGCATGGCTTGAGTCTGAAATGGATACCACTGCTCATTCCATGCTCACTGACATCATGAACGATGTTGCTTCGTATGCCAGGACCAAATACCCAGGTGCCGAAGCATCAAACTTCGAAGCTGGAGGCAATATTCAACATGAATATGCACCTGCGATCTTTATGAACGATGCTATGTACGATCAGCAGGTCTTCAAAGGCTACGGTTCCGATACATATCAACGTTTGAAAGTGGTTCAGAGGAAGTATGATCCGATTGGATTCTTTCCAGGAAGAACAAGCGGTTTCAACCTTACCGGATAACTGCTACCTGGATTCCCGCAGATGTGTCTTTCCGGCCTATGTATTAAGTCGTTGTCAGATAGCATTCTAGGCTAGGTCGATCTTTGCGTTCGGCTTCATGCCTGATAACTCATTGTCCATGTAATTAGCACTTGATGGTGATCTTGGCATAAATCGAAAGAACAAAGATTTACTTCCATCATAATTACATAACTTCTCTTTCTGACATTGACGGCCGATATCCTTCATTCTAATAGATCAAATCGACAAGAAATGAGCTATCTGTGCACTATGTGCAATTAACACATGCTAAAGCAAGCATATACCTTTCAAAACCTTGCAGCAAGAACCTAGGTAGCTTTCATCCCCACCAGGGCTAGTTCAATGATCCAGGACTTGTCATGTGGAAGTTCCGAGAAACCAAAATTGACATCTTTCAACAATAGCACTTGCTATTCATATCACATCTGTAGAAAAATATGGAACATTGAAGTACAATCTAAGGAGTTTTCTATTTCGGTATTTTGGTATCTATTGCAAGCAAGTCTGCCACCTTAATAACGCCACTGCTATGCTTTTGAGAATGTAAACATCCGCCCCAAGCCAATCGGACGCCCCGTCTTAGATGTTCTGTCGGCATCGTCTATGTCAAAATACAGGCATGAGTTTCAAGCCACTGGTTCAGACTTGATCTTTGCTCTGAATGCAAAGCCATCATCCTGCAAAATGAGTCAGGGACCGTTTACGTGGTTTGTGAAAGAGTGAACTTACCTCTGCCTTACGCTTGCCCAGAACAGGCTCTGGAGTACCACGCTTTGCCTTTGTATTTACGTCCTTGGTTGCCTCCGCAAAACAACTTGCATGATAAATCCTGTCACCAACCTTCTTGGCATCCATCCACACAAACTCTTGTGCCTCATCAAGCCACTTCATCTCGAATTTCTCTTGGCAAATGGGGCATGGCACAGCAGCAAGGGCGGGATCATCAGGAGCTGGTATGAACTGCAACTTGGGATTCTTGGCCGCCGCAGCACTGTTAGAACTTTGCGAAGAATCTGCAGTGGTAGTCCCAGACTCGCCTTCGACCTCACGAGACCTGATCCAGTCCTAATGTATATTTAGCAACATTTATAGAAGCGGAGATTTATCTATTGTGCAGGCTTACCAATTCATCGACATACCAGCTTCTATGCTGACCTCTGCTTTCAGCCTCATCCATACGCTGACGGACGTGGAAGTGCCAATCCATGTGAGCTGCTTTCTTCTTCTTGCCTTCTTGGTCTGACTGAAACCGTCTGCCACATTGCGTGCATGGTGCACCTAGCTGTTCATATAGACTTGCGATCAGGTGAGGTCGAGGACTACAAGATTAGCTGACTTCGAAGTAAAAGAGCGAAGAGACACTTACATCTTCAGTGAAGCAGGCTTCAGGATGACATCATTGGGTATCGTTGCCAGAGGCGTTCTTGCTGCCGAGGGAGGAGTATTTAGGAATGGCGGGGGAGCAACAGAAGTGGAGGAGTTGAGTGGCGTTGGTGCTGTACTTGCTGCAAGTCCAGGAAGCATACCAGCGGCCCGTAAGCGCCCTAGCAGAGATGCTGGATCTGGAACCGGTGTCGTAGCAGGAGCAACAGAAGAGGGTGGCTGAAAGGGGTGGCTGTTATTTTGGGGGGGGGACCGAATAGTAGCAGGCACTGCAGAACTTGGTTGAGGAGTTGCAGACTGTCTCGCTAGTAGCGCTGCAAGAGCACCAGGACCAAGAAGAGAGCTCAGTGTGGGTTGCTGTACAGGAGGAGGAGCCACTACAGGTGTTGGAGGTAGGGGAGCCGGAGCAGCCTGCATGATAGGTGCAGACTGTGGGGCTTGCTTTAATTGATCTACTTGATTTTGAATGAGAGAAATCTGGTCTGGCGGAAGCGTTTGGCTTCGCAAGACGGTTTGTAGGTCTAACAGAGCCTTTATCTTTGGTTGAAAGTTAACCTCATGAGGATTCCGCGACCACTCCGCCTTTGTTTCATTGATCAAGTTCTCAATATCAGAATTTAAGGCAGCCAAGCTACTCGCGGGAGCAGTGTAGCCAACAGCCTGCACTTGAGATTGGTATGACGGTTGAGGCGGGGTTGGATATCGTTGTTGCTGCCAACTTGAAGAATTTGGCAAAGCTTGGGGATATTGTTGATTTGGAGGGCGCTAGAAGCGATCAGTTTGAGTACATTTCAGCGAGTCGCTTGAATTCAACTTACAGGGGGTAAACCGTGGGGCTGGTAGCCATTTTGTTGAGAGGGGTATTGTTGTCCATTTGGTGGCAACTGGGTCGTGTATGGTGGTTGTGGAGCAGGAGCTTGCTGTGATGAGTATTGCTGCACATTCATAGACGCCGGATATTGCTGCGGGGTATAGTTCGCAGTATATCCAGGAGCAGGTTGAGCAGATTGAGTTGGAGGCCGATAATTACTTGGAGGTGTTGGAGTCTCGCGGTATGGAGTGGATTGTGCACGCCCACGGCCCATAGCACTCTGCTGATTTCGGGTCTGCTCTTGATGAGCTTGAAGAAAGGATGTCCGGGCCTTGATGAGGGCATTCTCGATAGGCCGTGTAACCTCGGGTGGAAAGACAGGTCTGGTATCCATGGATCCGGGAACGGGTTCTTTCCAAGTCTTCAACATTTCAACCATCTTGGACCGAACATTGTTATCCACTAGGGCATATGATTCCATGAAAGTCGAATAGAGCTGTCTGCCAAAGAACAGGGTGTACGGGGTACCAACGTTCTTGATAATGGAATCGAGGACATAGAAAGCAGGCAGCTTCTTAGAGGGAGAGGTCTAGAAGTATGGTAAGCACAGGAGCCACAATATTCACATTGGATCTTGACGTATGGAAGACAACATAATTAAAGGATGTCTGTCAACCACGAAAAGGAAAGTATGTCCTACCTGCTTAATATGAGTCTTCAATGCCTCTGAGATGACAAGTGCTGAAGCCGTATTTTCGCGAGCGATCAAGGTAAGATTACTGATTTCATAACGCGAGTTCATGCTGAGGTCTGCAAGAGCTGCTGCAAAGTCCTCTGCAATTTGCTCTTCAGGAATCTCGTAAGACATGATGGGCGGTTTTGGAGCCAAAGAAATGCAAGTGATTGTGGGGAAGGGCTCTGGGGCTGGTCAACTACCAGAAAAGGTACTTGATGGTGAGCGGGAAAAGAATGGGCGAAGAAGAAAATGTCTTTGTCCGGCAATCCACCACACTTGAATCTTTGGTCTGACAAAAGAAATATTCCACGACAGCTATCTAGATCCACGCGAAGGTATTCAACTCTCAATGAGAACTAGAAGTGTGTTTATTCTGCCAAAACCCTGGCGGCCACTCGCCCCTCGCGCTTCTTGCGTTTGTCAATCTGGTCAGCCTCGCGCGTTCGCCCTTCTCTCCCTGCGCACCACAAAAACCTTCGGCGAGTATCGTCAAACGTTAGAAGTTCTGGTCGGCATCTGTGTTGTTGTAGGACGGAGGTCTCTCGTATGTTGGTCGTTGAAAGGTATGTGGCGTTGAAAATGGGGAGGATGACTGAAGCTCTTTGTCGTTCCAGACCAGACGCAATCGGCCAGAATTGGATATGGGGCTAGCTCAGTCACGGGATCTTGGCGCTAAGGCAGCCATTTCTGATCGTCATTCCCCATCTTCCCCTCAATCCTGTTCAGTTACGGCACACGACACAATTGAAAATTGAAGAACCATGAAGTTTACAATTCTCACAATCTTGTCATTCGTGGCAATCGCATTTGCTGCTCAACTTCCCCAGAAGAATATCATCGTATCGTACGATGACAATGTACCAGATTCTGTAATCAGTCAAGCCATGGATGCCATCAAAACCGCTGGAGGAATCATCACCCACGAGTACAGACTTATCAAGTAAGTTGTTGAGCATCGCGCTCGTTGGAGGTACTAATACTGCATCAGGGGATTTGCTGCCAAAGCACCTGCTAAAGTCCTCGACACCGTCCAGACCTGGGGAAACGATTACCACGCAGTCATAGAAGAGGATCAAATGGTTACCATTGTTGGTGGAGAATCGTAGAAAATACAATCGATGGAGTTGACTCGGGTTCATGGGGAAGAATAGGACAATCGTTTTTAGGAAGAATACCATGGGCAGGCAGGTTTCAAAGCATACATACAGATGGGAGGATTCTTCCAGGCGCAAAGGTCAAGGCATTGGGTCTATCTGGACAATAGAGTTAATATTCGAATCAACTTCAAAGCAATTATAGTGGCAAACCGTTGGATCTTAACGTTGCGATGAACAGTGGATAAGTGAACTTCATGATACAATACTCCGAACCAAAGCAATGCATAATGCCAACTTCACATTACCAGCGACGCCATATATTATTGACGCTTCTGGGAACAGTATCATATATCATTATTCGAGCTGTTTGACTTACGGATAGCTATTCTATGCTTCTGCTCCGTTTGGCTTTCAAAAAGGGCCAATTTGACTCGAAGCCTCCAAACGCGTGATGTCATTGGACAGACGTTCTGGAAACGCCGAGTTTACCTAGATAGACAACCAAAGTCTTCATAGATTTTGCGTTGGCAGACTGGTATCAACCATTTGGCCTGCATTATTATCTTCTGTGCAGTTGCATTATGACAGGTAGGTGCTGTGCTGCGATGATCCAAGCTCTCGTTTTGGTTTGGTCCAACGAGGTTCCTTGACGCGATGCTCCTCTGTCGCTTTTTCGCGACGGCATCAATGAAACACCAGCATAAATTACGCTGCCGGCTGTTCAAGATGTCATACAGTTTTCGAATCAAATCCAATCATCAAATTTTCTTTCGTCTCACAGTGTCGCCTGCTTGTGCTTGAACACAGCGAGTCAACACCTAAACTTTGCCCGCGATAAGAATTAACAATGAAGTTTACTCCTGCGGCAGAGGCAGCTCTGCTAAAATGGGTACGAACCTCCTTCTCCGCTGATACCTACCGCATCTGCTAATAATGTTCACTAGGCGAACCTTTTCCCCCTCGATTCACGAGTTGAGTCTGTGGCAGATCTGTCTGATGGCTACGCTCTGTCTAGAATGCTGGGTGAGTACAAAATTCTCCCTTTCTTTGCCCTTGGTTCCAAGGACTAACATTTTGGACAGAGGATATTGATCCGCAATATGCTGTCCCCATCCGCGACTTCGAAACTGTCAAAAACAGCAACAGCCCATCGAAATGGTTGATCAAGAAGAAGAACTTGGGGGCAGTGTCCAAGCACCTCTTCCGGTACATCCAGGAACAATGCCAATCACTGAACAGCATGGCACTCGAAGATCCCATAGATTTCAATGCAATAGCCGAGTACAATGATGAGCAGAATACATACAAGGTAGTTCGCCCCACCAGCACCCTCAAGTGTCCATGGCAGTAGCACTAATACCAGCATCAAGCTCCTTGCCGTATTCCTAATGGCCGCCGTCAAAGGAGCTAGAATCGCATACTATGTCGAAACCATCATGACCAAACTCGACAAAGTAACGCAAGCCGAAATTGCAAGCATTATACAGACGGTACTTGTCCAAATCCCGAGAAAAGATGACCGAATTAACTTGTGCTTAGATGGAAGAAACGGCGCCTTCGAGTAACACCCCACCATCGGGTTCTAGCCATCGACATGCGGATCATGACCTCGCGCTTGAAGAGGAGATCGCTACCCTTCGAAAAGACCTCGACGAATCGATGAAGAAGAATGCAGACGTCTTCTCTAGGTTGGATCGCCTGACTGTGAACAACGATAATTTACAGAACGAGATCAAACAGAGAGACGCTACTATTGAAGCTTTGGAAAGTGCTAGTCGTGGCGATCAATCAGATTATATCGTCAACTTGCAGACACAAATTCAGGAGCAGAATCAGCTCATAGAGAGACAAGAAACTCAGGCAGATATTGACAAGGAGATCAAGGAGAGTTACCACAAAGAGCTTCTATCGTTACGCCCTACAAGAGAAAAACTTGTCGAGGCAGAAGATAGATTAAAAGAGCTAACGCAAGCAAATCTGGAACTCGAAAGAAAGGCTAACCAGGTTGACCATTTCAAGAGGAAACTGGAACGTCATGTCGCCATCGAGAATGAAAATCTCAAACTACGAGATCAAATAGAAGTGCTTGAAGCTAATCAAGTTGATTTCGACAAAGTTCATGATGAGAATGCGAAAGTCAAGAACACGCTGCAGGAATACCAACGAAAATTCGAATCATACGAGCTTCAGGTCGTTGAGATTTCCAATCAGAAGCATCTTCTCGAGGGCGAACTTCGTCTCCAGACCCTTAGAATCGAGCAGATAGCGGAACGGCAGCAACACGACGAGAAATTCATTTCCGATCTGCAAGAACAGTTGAGAACCGGGCCTGCTTCTCCTAACTCTCCAACGACAGCTACTGGTGGCCTGAATCTTGAACAAGAATTGGAACAGAGCGATGACCCAACACGAAACTATACTCTGGAAATTTCAAGGTTGAGGAGCGAGATCAAGGCCTTGAAAGAAGGTGATCGTAGAACTGACAATGCTAACATTCGAGTCGACCTCGCCGAATCCGAGAGAGTCAGGAAAAGAATTGAAGATAATTTCCGAGATCTTACAGAGAGAAATGCCATTACACAAGAGCAACTTAGTGCGGTTATCAGTAATTCAAAGGGCGAATTGTTAGTACAGCCCACAAATCAGTTGTCCATTATTGGACCACTTCACATTCTTACAGAAGATTTTCACAGAAACGAGGCTCTCGCACATACACGAAAGCTATATCTTGAGGCCAGCCAAGAGTTATCTACCCTTAAAACCAAGCTTTCCGTGGTTCAGAACGATTTGGCCAGCCGAGACCGCGAAATAATGACAGCAAAGGCAGATTGTAAGTTGCAAATTATTGCGGCGTTTGAAGTACTTCTCGCTGACACATCTATAGTGAGCGCTATTGATCGAGACGAGTTAGACGCTATCCAAACCCTAAGAACTACCAATGGGATCATCACGACTTCTTTAGAAAACGACCTGCTTGTCCTTCGCAAGCAACATCAAGATTTGACAACTGACTTCGAAGTACAGAAAAGTCAGCTACTTGATACCCTATTGTCGAAGGACAGACTCATGCACGACCTTGCTTCACTGAAGGAACGAACAGGTCTTAGCGACCAGGAAACAGTGGAAAGCGCCAAAGCTCGTAGCACGAAAGAAACCGAATTGGCAGAGGTAAGACACATATCCAAAATACCATTTCTGCCACATCCTCCCCCAAGTGCCAAGGGAAAGAAATTTTGGAACGCATTTCAAGTTTCTTCATTCCTGTCCCAAGAGGATGACCGAGTAGCACCTCTAGCTTGCTCTAGTACGCCTCGTCCAATATTTATATCTGGACAACAAGCAGCTTAGTTTCTTGTCTTTCTGCTACAAGTGATGGGACTCATATCCCTCTTTTCAGGGTCTCGGTCTCGAGCATGTAATTGATGAGATTGAGCTGCTTAGAGCTGAATTCCGAGTTTTCGACATATTTTCAGTCCACCAAAGCACATTGCACTATCCCTCTTTGCTGCTAACTTTGCATGTCCATTTTTGTTGTGCGCATAAGAACACTTTCAATTTAGACTGACAACCGTCACAGCAAATTACGAAGAAAGATGCTCTCATAGAGGATCTCCAGCGGAAACTCAAAAGTGCAGAAGATGCAACACCAGATGCCCAGAAGGTACCGTGTTTATATCATTTCCTTACCAACAACCACTTTTTACCTACCTTGACTTATGCTTGTGTTTTTATACACCTAACACGTTTATTACACTTTGTCTATGGTCCTTCGAACCTTGTGAAATTCGATTTAATTACAGACTTTTGGAACTTTGAAACTGATAACCATGTGAAGGCGGCGAATGAAACCATGATCAAGAACCTCGCACGCGAGAATGCCCTTATTGCCACGGCTTGGTATGATCTTACGAGTCGACTACAAAGCAATCACGTTGTATTGCAACGCAGACAAGATGCTCCGAGGAGCTGGTTAAACAAGCAGAGGCAAATGGTGCAAGCTACCGGCGGTCGACGGTAAAGCAAAGAGTGACGATATTGGCATGCATTGTAAGGGGCTCGCGCGGATGAATGAATAGTGTGTTTTCATTAGCATTTTGGAGACGGCATGCATGGACGGTATAAATTCATGAAGGAAGGCAGGTTTTCCTGAGAAGTTTCTGGAAGGATAGACGGATTGGTGGGCTGGACTCAAAGTGTGTTTTATACCCCCTTAGGCGATATTGCTTCTTCATACACACAGGACTGTTGTTGCACTCCAACTTAAATTCCTAGACCATGCTGTGCTTTGCATGCCAGATGAACTCACCGCACACAGAAGCCTAGCCAAGCTATTACGCTGAAGTACCCGCCGTGGTAATTATGTCCGTACTCGCATCATTAATTGGCTTTCCATCAGCCCCCCCAAGACCGATGATCCACGATCTCAATCTTTGTTCCCGGAACACCACTCCGAGTCGAAATGCAACAAAAGCATTGAGATCATTTTTGCTCGAGTCAGTGGAAGTTGTGCAGGGGATGAGGGTGTGATTTGAAGCCCCTTCATTGGCTGGGCCGTCGGCTGAACACACAACAGAGGAGGCGAGTCCGCCTCCGAGAGAGTATCGAGTGATGGTTTATGCAGGGTCTTGCTTGAGTCAAAAGCTCTCTGATTGGATGAGTAGGGAACATCATTGGGGTATTGAAAGATTCTAAGGGTAGTGGCTGAAAGAGAGTTTTTGGTTCTCAATATATCTTGGTAATGTTGGCACTTTTGCTCGGCGACTTGTCTGAGTAATCGATTACTGAACTGTAATATCTGGACATTTCTTTATAGCGTGTACTGTACGTACTTCAATCGAGCTATCGAGGCATTTATCATCCTGAAAACTCGATCGATGCGAGAGACTGATCGTTCTCATTGGTGATCGAGATCACATTTCTTCGAGACTTCGTTGCAAAAATGTGGTCGATGTTCCCGATGAGGGACATAATGCACGTCGGATGCAAGCAACAAGAACCAAACACAAGCAGCATGCATCAAGAAGTACTCAATTGAAGGCTACATCGTACGATGATCGGCAGTTCCTTTGACTCTCGACTCTTTCTCGATCGACTCGAATTCGATGTTATGCGGGTTACCCAAGTCAAACATTCCATGCCCCCAACAACACTTTCCCCGCCCTCGAGAAACAATCATGCTATCTATCAAGCCACACGAAAAACGAACGAAAAAACCACGCCGAGGGCAAAATCGCAGCCATCCACCAAAGCAGGCAAGCATTGCTTCCACCAGAGTTTGCCGCCCAAAAACACTAGATCCCACGACCCCATTCTTCATAAGCATATGCGCTATAAGGCATCTTGAAATAATCGTTATCTCCCGCTTGATCGAGGAGAATGAGGCGTTTCTCGATTACACTTGGCTTGATCTGTGTGTCTTCTTGTTAGCATATGTTGCCTTTGATGTTCCTATTGCTTGCGGACGAGATTGTGGGAGCTGCGCCGCAAGCCTGAGTGGATGGCCATGTGTGGGTAAAACTCATGTCTCAAAGCCTCAATTTGTATCTGATCTCTTCGAAGTATTGTTATTGATCGTTTGTTTAGTAGGGACAATGGAGACTTCCAAAGTCTTTACTTTTACTGTCTAAGTTGCCTCATGGACTTCTTGACCTTAACTTGACAAAAGCAAACCAAACTTTCCATTGGTCACCCGCAACGTCGAAGATGTTCAAGGCCGAGGTAATAGTCAAATCTCCGTCCATTATCCTCATACCAGTATACAACACAGGAAGATTGCACTTACATGGCCACCCAACCTCGGGAATCTGACCACCAACTCCTGCGCAATATCCGCCGTCTTCCATCTCTCCTTCTTCTCTTCATGCCTAGGTATGTTCCCATTTTTGTCCAATGGAGCATGGGTAGCCATATAGGCAATGAATTGGTCGTGGATGGATGTCCACGCTAGTGGCAGACCAAGGCATGATGGATGCTTGGAAGATACGAGCTCAGGACCAGTCGGACGGGTGTAACGAATTGTGTTGTTGGCCGAGGACTGTTTTCAACATATATGTTAGTGAAGATACAAGGTAGATGAAGTTTGATGAGAGGCTGACTTGTTTCTCACTCATGCTTCGTCTGATATGTTGCTGCGCTGATGCTCGAATGGAATCATGCCTGGAGACGGCACTGGTGGAGACGCTTCTCTTGTGCGGATTTTGCTGATGAAGTAGGTTAGCAATTGTCACTGGCAACAACATCTTCGGAACCTGGCACATACCAATTTTCTGCCACGACTTCCGTTCGAATACCCTCTCGAGATATGGCCTTTCGAAGCGGAAAGCTTCCCAGCTTCTTCAATAAGTTGCTTGTTGAAAGCACTCATGGGTACATCTAGAGACTGTCTCATACTAGAGCGTTGAGGTTTTGCTTGAGCAGGCATCTTGGATATGATGTCAAGATTTGAGTTCCAGGTCAGTCAGCTGGAAGCTCATTTATACCAGCAACCCGGTTGATAAATTGCTGCTCTCGGCGTGGCCGTTCTATAGAAATCGGATGATGTACTTTGTACCTTAATTCCAGAATCGTTCCACCTGAACCTCACTTTGCACGACGGAGAACACATCCCGTACTTATACTTTCAAGCTACCCATGAGTGCAGCACCTATCCACGATCTAGTTGACCTCGAGAAATCTGGTGTGTATCGAAAACACCATGTCTGTGTGACTTATTAGCGGGATCTCGCATCGACACATCTTACCTATAGGTTGGGAGCTTCCATCATCTGCAGCCAAAAGTCCGCCACCGTCCCTTCTTTTCCGACGGGGAAAGGAACAATCACGGTTCCGGATATTAGAATGGTATGGGGAAGTGAAATCGTGCATAAGCCATTAACGTTCTTGATTGTACGAGAGAGAAAAGCTATTGTACATAGACCGGACCAACCCCCTAATTACTGGGCATGAAACCCATGTGCTAAGGGGTCGTACAGTCGTGCAGTCGCCCTCCCGCTCTTTAAGAGGCGAACATGAATCTATGTTCCATGTCCACAAACTTAATCACACATCTTTCGTAACTTTTCCTGACCTGGTGACACTGTGTCTATTTCCGATGCAAGCTTAGTGTCCAGTAATCTTGCTGAGCAGGCTTGGCTTTTTCTTTTCGGCATCGAAAACCCCGAGCAAACTCTTCCAAACTTGTCCAGGTTCTTGGCTGGCGTCAATACCTTTCCAAATACTAGTCTTTTGATAATAACCAACAACGGGAGCAGTCTGTTGGTGGTATGTCACAAGTCTCTTTTTCAAAGCCTCAGCATTATCGTCTGATCGTTGGATTAAGGGCTCGCCGGTGATATCATCCTTCATGTCTTCCTTGGGTGGATTGAAAATCTTGTGGTATGAGCGGCCAGAAGCTGGGTGAACCAAACGACCAGTTATCCGCGAGACAAGAAGCCCATCATCAATCTGAAGCTCGACAGCATGCTGTAATTTTTGGTTTCGGTCCGCAAGCATGGAGTCCAATCGCTCTGCCTGAACAACTGTTCGTGGGAAACCGTCAAGGATGAAGCTGTTATACTGTCAGCGAAAACCCGGGTGCCGTGCTATCTTCACACTTACCCTCCTTTGCATTCCTGGTTTGTCTCAAGCTCAGCCTTGATCATACCAATGACGATCTCGTCGCTGACGAGACCACCTTGGTCCATAATCTTCTTGGCTTCCTTCCCTAAAGGTGTCTTCTTCGCAACCTGTGATCGAAGCATGTCTCCGGTGGCCTTCAAATATGTTAGCAGAGTCACACAACGTTATGAGAAGATGTAGGCCGCGTACCAAGTGACAACATGAGAATCGTTCCTTGATCTTTGGTGCTTGAGTTCCCTTTCCTGAGAAAAAGCCAATTAGCCGGTGCCCCGACGTCGAGTAGAAAGGTGGTAAAAAGAAAGGGCAAACATACCTGCTCCAGGAGGGCCCATTAAGATCATGCGAACGCCTTCTGCTACAGTATGCGTGGTACCGGCTTGAGCATGGTTCAACTTGTCCTCGAGCTGCTTCACCCGCGATTCAAGCTTCTGGACCAAGTCTTGCAGCGTTTGCACGGTATCATCACCAATTGGTGGCATCGTGGACAAGTTCTTTGCGCAAAGACCTGACCAAGGTAGGGAGAAAGGCGGGAGGCCTTTATGAGAGGAGAGTGGAGAGTGTTGAGGAAATTGTTGTGGGTTGCGACAAGTTCGGGCTCAGGATGATGTTGATTTCTTTCAAGTAGCTTTGGAAGCTCGGTTCTTTGCGCGGCAGACTGGGCCCGGAAGTCTTTCCTTCTCGCCGAAAGCTGCTTTCACAAGCCTCTAGGACAGCAGCTTTTCCGGTGAGCTGGGAAAACACACACAGGAAATGCAGCTACAAGAATTGGAATTCTCAGAGATCAGAAAAAAGTAGAAGGACAACCGTAATCTCAATGTCGCAAACTTTCGAAGACATTCAATTTCTTGGCAAAACTACAAATGCCATGTGAGCACGTGACGCGGTGTAGCGCTAGTTGTTTCGGGGAGCTCTCAGGAAACCAGAGCCGCGCAGGTCATAAGCAGCCTGGTCAACATAAACTCGAAAATCCTCTGAACACCACCCACCAATTCGAAAATGCCTGCCACCACTGCAGAGACCCTTTCGTTCGTCTCTAGGAGCGTCTCCGTTGCTCCTCTTGTTCTTCTCTCAGCTGCAGATCATTACGGACGCTCAGCCAAGGGCACGCGCAAACGAGTCGTTGGTGTTTTGTTAGGACAGAATGATGGGAAGAATGTGAGGGTATCAAACAGCTTTGCTGGTATGTAGCCCCATGTCTGCATGTCCAAAATCTATACCATGCCGTAATGCTAATCCAGATTTCAGTGCCTTTCGAGGAAGACGACAAAGACCCTTCAGTATGGTTCTTGGACCACAACTACGTCGAGTCGATGAACGACATGTTCAAGAAGATCAATGCGAGAGAGAAGCTGATAGGATGGTATCATTCGGGGCCAAAGTTGAGAGCTTCAGACCTGGAGATCAACGAGCTGTTCAAGAGATACACTCCGAATCCTTTACTGGTTATCATCGATGTTCAACCCAAAGAGAGTGGTGTTCCTACGGACGCATACTTCGCTGTAGAGGAGATTAAAGATGTGTGGATCCTCTTCTTGTTTTCGCGAATATAATGCTGATTTGACCCAGGACGGAACCACCACATCCAAGACCTTCGTTCACACCCCCTCAATCATCGAAGCTGAGGAAGCTGAAGAAATCGGAGTAGAGCACCTCTTGAGAGACATTCGAGATGTCGCCGTAGGAACACTGTCAACCAGAATCACAAACCAACTGCAATCACTGCAAGGATTGCATTTACGGTTACGAGATATCCAACAATACCTACAAAAGGTGCTCACGGGGACTCTCCCAGTCAACCATGCTATCCTGGGAAATTTACAAGACGTTTTCAACCTTCTGCCCAATCTCTCTACACCCAAAACTTCATCAAATGTCCCCAACGGCATTGATGGACCGGCGACGAACGATAGCGAATTAGCACATGCGATGAGTATCAAGACCAACGATCAACTCATGGCCATCTATCTTAGCAGTCTGATCAGAGCCATCACCGCGTTCCATGACTTGATTGAGAACAAGATTCAGAACCGCCAGCAACAAGATACCCAGAAGGAGGAGGCCAAGGACGAGAAAGAGAAGAAAACTAATGGAGTGAACGGTGTCAACGGAGAGGCTAAGGAAGCAGAAAAGGAGAAAGACGAGAAAGATAAAAAGAAGTGATGACGTTATGATGTGGTGGCGTTTAGTTCTCGGTGTTCATGGGGCATCAACTCGGCATGGCATATTTCTGATCATGAATGAGATGTGCCTTTGTATCATAGATGCGTAGCTTGCAGCAAATAGCAGCCATGCAATTGTGTCTTCAAACATGGATCCTGACTTGTGATCATCCATTTGATATGCCCTGACGCCGATGCCCAATTCGTAGCTTATTTAGCTCCCCATAACACTAACATTCATTTGCCTAGAATATATTTCATCACCCTTCGGCACCGTACCCAGCCATCTCTTCTCTCGAAGCCTCCTTCTGCTTCACATGGCTTCCAAGAACATCGCCCCATCTCTCGCCTAGCAAGCAGGCAAGTAAATGCTTGCAAACAGGCACTCCTTCCCCTCCTTCTTTGGTCCCATCGAGACTCAGCCCGCCGAACTCCCAGTCTTTCTCCGTTTCCTTTTCGTTTTCACTTACAGTAACCCCATCTCCCATTTCATAATAATCCTCGTCCCCATCCCCATCCAGATTCCAACGAACATTTCCAGACCCCGAGGCCGGAAAGGCCGCAAACGCAAAAGCAGCACAACTACAATTCCATGCCTCAAGGTGAACCGTATACACCGTGCCTCCGGAACTAGTAGCATAGCGCCCTCTTGTAGGTTGCGAGGAGCGGACTAAGTACATTACATCTTTCTTCTCTCCCCCTTCACCTGAATCGGGTCGTGGGTTTGAGGAGGAAGATGGGAGATGAATGTGTGCCTGGGGTGGCCAGACTTCTTGCTCTAGTTGTGGAATCACTGGCTCGGCCGCAAGCTCTCCACTTATTGGACGAGCAGAGATGAGACGTGTGACTAGACTTCGATCCAGCAAGTCGAGTGCTTGTAAGAGCATGGGCGGTGGAAAGAGGACGTGGAGCGTTGTGAGGAGTGCTCTATGAGATGAAGGGAGAGTTTTCGGTGGATTGGTGGGCGCGTCATATGGTGTATCAACTATGGGCTGGGTTGGTGGAGGAGCGGGTTTGATGAGGGTGTTGAGGAGTGAGGTCAGGAAGCCTCGAGACGTGGGGAGGGTCGTCATCTTAAAATTTTTTGTGTGAGCAGAGACAGAGAGAAATCTGAGCATCTTCAAACAAGGTAGATTTAATGGTTAAATGATCTTTCAAAGTAAAATGTTGTGCTAGAGAAGAAGCTGTTCAGAGGAAGGCGATGCAATTTGAAGCGGTTTTATCGCAGTTCGCTTAAGCTCGAGGAGAAGGAAAGCTGATGATCAGGCACACTCCAATTACGTTCAGCATGGTATGTACAGCATAGTGTGAACATAGAGACTTCATGGTACATCTAATACTATCCGTAGGTCCAGAATATTAGATAGCCGCCAACTCTCTCGCCACCTCATCAAGAGACCTCACAACCTCCTTCATGCCTTCAACACTCATCTCCGGGTGAATAGCACAAATCCTGATGACCGTCCTCCCGTCTAACTTCGTTGTTAGAGCAGCCGATTTATTCTCCCTGATACATATTCCAGAAACCTTCGCATTCAGCTCGTCCCATTCCTCTACACTTTTCCCCGTTCCCTCATACCTGAAACAAACAATCCCCATCTTCGCGTTACTTACAATCTTCCATCCATCCAGCTTGCGTAACTCACCCTCAACAGTTTCCGCTAGCAGGAATCCATGATCAATCATCTCTCCCACCGCATCAAGTCCCAGTACTTGTAGCGAGAACCACAATCTCATACCTCTTGCTGGCCTCGTTAGTTCTGGTCCGAAATTCCAGAAATTAGGACTCTCGAAATCGCCAGAGTCAACTGCATCACGGGTGTACTCTGCTCCTGTAGCAAAGCTTTGTAAAAGGTGTCTTCGGTCACGCAATAGAGCCATGCCACAACCATAGGTTTGAAAAAGCCACTTATGAGCATCCCATGACATGCTGTCTGCATGTTTCAAGTCTTTCAGAAGATGTGCGTGAGACTTCGATAATAGGACTGAAGCTCCGAATGCGCCATCCACGTGCACCCAAAGTGGTGGTACTTGTGCTTTTGCAATCGTATGAATGTTCGAAATAGGGTCAATGCTGCTTGTATTGGTTGTTCCACAACTTGCTACTATGAGAAATGGCATAAGTCCTGCTTCTTTATCTTGCTCAATTGTCCGTTCCAGATCTGAACAATCCATCTGGAAGTTTTCATCGCATTTGATCTTCCTAACTTGCTTGTTGCTGAACCCCAAGATTCGAAGGCCTTTAGAGATGGATGAGTGGGTCTGCTGGCTCACATAAATGGTTCCTCTGGCTCGTTGTTCCCATTCTTCGCCAAGCATTTGATCTCTCGCAGTCTGAAGTCCAACTAAATTCGCCATTGAACCTCCCGAAACAAACAGTCCTCCTGCCGTATCCGCAGGTAGTCCAGCCAGCTCTGCAAGCCAGCGAATCAGACCCGTTTCGATGGCTGAGGGACCGGAAGATTGGAACCAAGATCCAGCGTGAGGGTTCTTGGATGCGAGAAGCAGATCTCCAAGTAAGGTCAATGGATGAGTGGGTGAAGGAATGAAGCCAAAGAATCGAGGGTGGTTATTGAAGATGCGATTGGAGAAAATGCCATTTGCTTGTTCAAGCACTTCTTTGATAGATCTCGAGTCCATTTGAGGTTTTGCTTGGCTTCTTATTAGAGCTGCTTCATCGTAGCTCGCTATGGTCACAATTGGACATGACTCTAACCTCCGGTGCTCTGCTACAAAGGAATTGGCGATGCTTTGGGCCGTTGATGGGATATTGGAGAGGATCTCCTCGAGTAAGTCGAGGTACCCGCGACGGTTGTCCATGGCCAGTTTAAGCAGGGGTCGTGCTGCGCAGAACACGGAGTTATGGAGACTCGAACAATACAAAGCTCGAAATTAAAGTTCAAGAGCGGTTGTGAGTACTTTATCTCTCAAACAGCTGTCGGTGAGTCATACCAAGACGCAGTAGTGGTAGAGTACAAGTTGATGCGCGCATGTAACCACGGATTTGTATACATTACCCTATAGGCTCACACGGACCGGTGCTGACACGGGTATCGGATCGCTTGAGGGATTGGCAAGGTACAGTCTGACTAATTTGGAGCTGATAGCCGAATGTATTGTTTAAACAATTGAATAAAGTGATTATACTATGCATATGTAGAAGCTGGCCAACACTAGGAGCTTTGAGAGTGTCTTTGCCCGGTCTGGACGCTGCTCAGCTACTTGAAGGCTTAGCTGAGGATGGAAGAGGCGACATAGAACGAGTCATGGGTGTAGGCAGTAGAAAATAGTGACAGAATTCCTCGAGAAACCACGACGCAAAGCACATTTAGAGAAGAGGAATAATGTGGTAGCTGGCCGGCTTCCAGGCATCCGCACGACGAATTCGTGTGCACTTCACTCTCGGATAAAGCCGAGCAAGTATCCCAGTGCATCATCGTTGGACTCTCAATGTAATATAAATAAAACTCAGTGAATCATACATTCAGCTCACACCAGGGTTGCCAGTCCCAATGAATATTTCTATGAGTATGATATAATCTATGAGATCTACAATCGACATGACATCCTACCACATCAACTAAATTACGGAGTACGAGGTGACGGCAATATAGATACAGAAACATATTTACTGGAACATCCACACTAGTAGACGTCAAGTCATGATTCATATTTTACATTTGCTTTTTAAGGTCTATGTGAAAAATATTCTACACCCATTCTCTGGGCTCCCGTAGGACGTCCACCAGTCTTTGTTCCCTGCTACCCTTCTCAGGCTCGAACATGTATCGCCAACTTGCTGTTAAGGGTAAGCTCATCAAGATAGCTTCGACTCGGGCACTAGGAGTGTTCAATCCAAACGCCGTTCCTCTATCATGTACCAGATTGAATTCCACATATCTGCCTCTACGGATCTGCTGCCATTGCTTCTCCTTTTCTGTATATGGCATGTCTTTTCTCTTCATGATGATCGGAATGTATGATGGGAGGAAAGCCTTTAGTCCGCTTTGTGTGAAGGCAAACGTGTTCTCCTGATCCTTCTCCTGTTCATCCAGATCGTCGAAGAAAATTCCTCCGATACCACGGGCTTCACCGCGATGTTTGTTGACGAAATAGTTGTCACACCACTTCTTGAAGCGTGGATAATATTCCTTGTCGTGTTTGTCGCATGCCTCTTTAATAGTCTTGTGGAAATGGATAGCATCTTCGTCAAACAGGTAGCTCGGCGTCAGATCTGTTCCCCCACCAAACCACCACGCGTTCGACGTCCCATCTGGGTTTGCAGTTTCAAAGTAGCGGTAGTTGAGGTGGACAGTCGGTGCCATTGGATTGATTGGGTGGAGCACCATACTTAGGCCAGCCGCAAAGAAGTCCAAAGATTGAACATTGGGGTCGATGGCTTTGTGGTTCACTCGCATCTTCTCGATAGCCGGTCGCGGAAGGGTCCCGTATACGATACTGATATTTACTCCAGCTTTTTCGAAGACGTTTCCATCTTGCAAGACACTTGATATGCCACCCCCGCCATTCTCGCGTGTCCAGGTATCGACTCGAAATTTCTTGCCATCGACCTTCTCAAGCTCTCGGACTATCTCTTTCTGCTGTTCCTTTATGAATTCTTCCATACGCAATCGCATAGGCGAGTTCTCTGTTACTCCAGACTCCCGCTTCTGTAAGGCATCCCGTTCAGCGATTGAGGGCGCATCGAGCTTCGATGGTTCGTCTGTAGCCTGATAACCATCAGTACAGGTCGTACATCTTTGATGTCTTTGATGGCAACAGGGTGAAAGTTACCATTGAATAGATCATAGCTCCAATGAATACAATCCCAATAGCTATTCTAGTTCTTGGAGCCCAGACACCTTTAGGTCCACCACCTCTTGGATCCGGTGGCGATGCGTATCCTCTCCGAGATATAGTATGAGGTCTGAGGAAGCGTGTATTTGTGTGGGCTGGTCTGGCTTTGGGCAAGCTCGAAAGCCGCCAGCAAGAACGTACTGACGACGACATTTATGTATGGACAGAGCTGCGCCGGCAGCGAGGTAACAGTGCTGGTGCACGAAAGAACATAAGACCACAAATGGGGAGAATACCGAGTAAACGGATTGACCCGACGGACCGACTGAATGGAAGGGACTGAAGGTGGAACGATTGTGACAGAGTTCAAGTCGATATTTTGAAGGTTATGATACGACAATTAAGCTGATTGTTCGACAGGGTTTACCTTACCCCAGACCCTTGCCGAGGCTTGGCCTGGCGAGCCTGGTTCTCAAGGGCGGAAAAAAGAGGCCGTTTTTGTAGGCGAAAACCACCCAAAAATTCGGCCACTCTTTTCCGCCCCCTGAGAGCCTGGCTTGTACGATGTGGAGGACTGAGGCATAAGACGTTATTGGCATGGCGGATAAGGCCGTAACGTCAAAGAAGTGCTGACTAATGGAACAAGTCATCACCGGTGGACGAGAAGACGGAGTCAAAGGCGAAGCCAGAGACAAAGGAACAACACAGCCTCAAAATAACGAGGAATCACTCATTCGCCGCATCATTAACAAGTATCCAGTCTGATCACGGCCCTGATTGTACCACGTTCTCTGATCATTCCCGCTGTTTCTCGCATCCACGTGATTGATTTGTCTACTTAGGTGCCTGTTAAGGCGGTGAATGGGAAGACGCTAGGACCTTTGCTTAGACTCATCCCCCGCGCCTCCATCAGGCTTCGACCTTCCACTCCAACTCTTCTTCCTCTTCCTCATCGTAAAGCGCAACAACCACCCAATCTCTTACAACCACATCCAACCTCAAGCACCCAAATAACTCAAATTCAAACCTATTCATCATGCGAAGCAAGTTTAAGGACGAGCATCCCTTCGAGAAGCGGAAGGCTGAGAGCGAGAGAATAGTAAGTGCCTGCGACGCCGCTGCAACCTGCGTCCCCACCAACCACCTCATTATGAACATCATCTAACCATATACTTTCTCACAGCGTCAAAAATACTCCGATCGCATCCCCGTTATCTGCGAAAAGGTCGAGAAGTCAGATATCGCGACTATCGACAAGAAGAAGTACCTGGTGCCAGCTGATCTCACCGTCGGCCAATTTGTCTACGTAATCCGAAAGCGTATCAAGCTCTCCCCCGAGAAGGCCATCTTCATCTTCGTCGATGAAGTTCTCCCACCCACTGCAGCTCTCATGAGCTCCATCTACGAGGAACACAAGGATGAGGATGGGTATGTCGCTCCCTGTTTAGTAATTCCGTCATCGAGAGTGGGGTCTGTGGTTGGTTATTTCGGGAGCTTAGGATAATGAAGTCCTGCGCTCCGGCTCGAAGAACGCTCATGACCTCAGATACTCTCGTTCCTGTTGTTTGTAATTTAGAGGATGAATACTAACATGTCCTCTTCCAGATTCTTGTATATCTCCTACTCGGGCGAGAACACCTTTGGCGAGGAATACGCCATCTAAGCCCTTCCTTACGAATCCTCTTTTCGCTTCTCGTCTTCTTCTCGGTCAACCTCTCACGGCGTTTCGGACAATATGGTGGCAATCACGACGGCTAGGCAGGGTCAGGATTTCCCTCATCATGCTTCCCACCAACTTGTGCAACAATTACCCCAAATGGCAGTTTTTTCCCTTCCTTCATTCCCTTTGAGCAGGAGAGCGGGAGTGGTATGGGTAGCGTATGAGAAAGTAAGGCAGTGGAGGGTATTGGGCAGGCTAGGGTCGGTAGGCTGATGGGAACGGCGAGACTGCTTTCGATCTCTAGTGCTTGGGATAGGTACAATACGATGCTTTCTGCCATAATTATGTGGAGTCTTTGAGTGATGTGACTGGCACCTACATTTTTTACTTTAACAAAGTGCTTGCTATTGACTAATGTATCGAGACTTAAGTGGTTGAGGCAAGAAATCCATACAAACAATAATTGTGCAGAATCTGTCTGGACGAAGGAAAGGCTTTCGGAAAATATTTGTATCACTGGTCTCAAAGATCATTACCCCCAGCTGTATCGTGAGCCCAGGCAAGCACCTCAAGACAAACCGCAGCTTGAGTAATTCATACTTCATTGGAGAGCACGGCTACCATGCACAGGCTCCTAATTACTACAGAAAACCTCTCGAAACACTGAATATCATTATTAATACACAACGATCCTGTTCCACCCTCCTTCAAGCTTTCATTCGATCTCATTCTCTGTCAAAGTAGTCTTTCACAGGGCGCCGATTTCTCTTGCCGCTCGAGAAGGTGAAAGGCTTCTTGAAGGCATCCAACAACCTACTAGCCTTTCTTCTCAATGACTTCGGAGGACTAAAATCCCAATCAGAACCCTCATCGCAGTTTTCGCTACTATGCCGAATGTTGTTTGCAAGCTGGACAGTAGTAGCCAAGCCTCGAAGGTCGTTATATGAGATCTTGTGGCGCTTGAGCTGTGGCAAGTCATCTCTGCCCCCGACCAAAGTCTCAACTTCCGAAAGGAACGAGGCTACAGTTGGTACAGGCTCGAGTTTCACGCCATGAACACTTTCTAAAATGATATGCTCAGAGACCGAATCCTCTAGACATGGGTCCATAAGCATCGGCCCGTCAAAGATTGAGGGTGCGATGGGTGACTTGTCGGAGCTGCCTCTTGAAGCTTCCGAGCTGCTATTTGAAGCCTCGGAGTGCCTCTGAGAGGCGTTGAGGTCCCACACAACCTTCGACTGAACGCGAGTCTCGACTTCACACGACGTGGCATTTCGAACAAATGCGGGTTCGAGGGCATCTGTCTCTTTGATCGTCTCGGGCAGATTTTCTGTAGGTTCTCGAGTAGCCGTTTCTCCATCCTGGGTCTTTCTCTTTGGAACGCCTTTGCTATCCATCCAGACCAGATCTTGGAAATTCTCACACTTCTCGTGACCAAAACCATAGAGAAATTTGAGGTGCAAATTATCTGCTTTCTGGGGTTCGGTTTCTTGGTCGTTACTAGACTCTTGACTCGCCTTCTCATTCAGACTTCTCAATCTGCGAAGTGAGGCTTGAACCGCATCGTCCTTGTAAAGTTGAACAATTGCAAGCTTGTTCTCATCTTTCAACATGCAGAGCGCATCAAGTTCGGTCTTGGTCAATCGGACGCCTTCCCTTAAAGCCATAGCTTCCAGCTGTAACCGCTTGTAAGATCTAATAAAAGACACTTGGTCATTCGCCTCCATCCACAGGAAATCATCCATGAAATTTGTATTCAACCCATCAAGGCCGGCGTTGTTTCTCAGAAGACCATTCGCCTGATGCCATTGGCTTTCCGCACGCTCGACAAAATAGCGGCAATTCGTTACTAGCCACTGAAATATCTCGTATCCTTGGAGGCAAACGAGCTTCGTGAATTCAAATTCTGTCAAACTTGAAGGGTGGAGGGAGAAAGTCTGCATAATCGTTAGTATCAGATGTGTGCCCAGCTTGGGAAGGTCTCCGTGCAGTAGACTTACTTCGAGCAACATTGCAGCACAGTCCCAGAGCACTCCCCGACGGTTATAATACTGCTGGCGTGCCACAATCTTTCGATTATCTTCTGATATATTTTCTTCTTCCGAATGACTTGAAATGCTTGAATCCTGAACGAGCCCTGTAATTGGCGTTGGTGACAGTGTGACGAGGTGCTCCGGAATCTCAAGACCAAAATCCAGCGCATCAACTAGAGAAGGATGGCTGAAAGAAAGGCTAGACTCTTCTTCGATGTTGTTTTGGCCAACATTTACTTCCTGTCGTGCAGGGCTTACATTCCAATCTTGGTGTTCATTATGCGCCTTTTCAACCAACGATGTATGTTTCAGTCGTTGATCTCGTGGAAGAGGCATCTTCTGGGGTGTGTCATCTGCAGTGTGCCGAAAGTACCATCGTTTCAAGGCAGGTCTCCCTGAGCCAGTGGAAGATGCATCGTTCTTGTTATTCATGACATTCGATCCCGACACGATATCTTTAGCTGTACCTTCGCTTTCGTCTTTCAACGCAAATTCATTCTCAAGGCTCCCTTCACTATCGAAAGACCACAGTCTTTGCCGGTAGTTGTTAAGATCATGGTCTATCAACGGCTTGGGCTCAGCAAACACTTTCAGCTCATCGGAAAGTGCGAGTATTTCTGCTGGATCTGGTGTTCGTTTGTAGAAGAAATCGGGAGTAGGCCTTCTGTCGTCGTCGAGGATGCTGAGAGACGCCATTGTTGGCCCAAGGCTGACGCTGAAAGGTTATCCGAAGAACGAATTGAAGCGTATAATGACAGAAACGATGTATGCGTGTTGTGAAGATATGTATACCAATGACGCTCAATGATTGATTTTGGTATTGATAGCCCACGTACTCGAATACAGCGAGGGTTGTCCAAAATTGACTTGGTGTTGTTCTTGAATTTTCAGCCAAAGATGGCAGATAGTCTTAAAATGGTAGTCATGCTAGGGCGTTCCTTCCATAATATTTGTGTCCTCGAAAGAAGGTGCTTCCTGGCCTCGTTTCTTCCATTGCAACTTGGCTCGGCCTGTGATATCTGTCTGCATATTCACACCTATATATCGACGCCCAATGACAATCAAAACTCGTTCATTCCATCAATAGGAGACATCCCCTCACGAGTCAGCCTGTTCGCGCTTGGTTACTGCCGCTTCTTGACCTCGTAGTCCAATTCTCCTGTGATATGTTAGGTTGGAATTACTTTCCAAAACAAATCTCAGAGCATACCTCAATCCTGCATCTATTGTCTGCTGCGTAGAATGCCCGAGTTCTTTTTCTTCGCGGTTAATACGAGTCGCAGCTGCAGAGAGACCGATGAATACAGCGAAGACTGGGTCGGCGACCTTGGAGATCAGATAGGCTGGGGCAGGCATTTTGCAAGAAAAGTTTGAGTTCGTTCAAGAGCTTTAATCTCAAGGCGTGGTGGTGATTTTGGGATATGAGGTTCTGCGGATGCTCCCGAAATTTATTGGATCTCCAAACGCTCAACACATCACATGATCATAAAGAGGATTAAATTTCCAAGACAGTCTTTGCAATATAGAGTTATTGGAGTCGAGAATTCTGTGAATTTTTCCAAGTCTGGGTGCGTTAAAGTATGTATAGAGAAGTTGGGCATTATTCTGCTAGCTGACAAACGCCATTTTCCCCGATCCCTGATCTAGTCATTTTGTACACCTGAAAAATCACAGTAGCTAGCTAGTCTATTTCTTTGATAGAGCAATATCAAAGGCAGGAATCAAGGTTTGAGCAAGCCAGAAAGAGAACACCAATTTCGGGCCCGTCATTAAGAGCTATGCGAATATTAGCCGCCGGGTTGAATCACGCATTAGACACAATATCAACATACCTTTGGTACTAAACCCTTGAAGAAACTTGTGATACCTTCGTTCTTCATCATGCTTCCAACAATCTTGAAGCCACTTTCTGGATTGTCAAAATTTCGATTTTGGATGCGAGTCTTGATCACGTCCAGAGGTGCAGACACGATCAATGATGCTGAAGCACCTGCAATCGAAGCAATAAAATTTTGGAACCAGGTTGCTTTGTTGTAATCCGACAGGCCGAAGAAATATCCTTTCGTGAAAGCCGATCCACCAAAGAGCTTTTCAAGTGTCAGTAATGAGCGGGATAAATGGATCGACAACTGACAGCAAAGGATCCTGGAGCATTTCTGGCAGCAGTCCATCCCCAACCTCTATATAGCCCAAAGCCCTCGTCTCTCACAATTCTGACCACACCTCTGCCACGGAAAGCTTCGGGATTTGTTTGTCTCTTGATCTTGAGGACATCGAGAGGTAGAAGGACAATTTCACCAATACCGATCAAGCTTTTAAGTCGTTAACTTCCAACTTTGAAATCGTGGTTATCTTCAAGAACTGACCTGCCTGCAAATGAATGCATCATCGCTTTGCCAGTCTTCGGTCCAAATGTCTGGTCGAAGAAATCGCCGTGGTTCTTGGCTAGGTAGTCTCGGACGAAGGGTTGCCCTCCATACTTGTACACTCTTTGCAAAACCTATTGTTGCATAAGCGCTGCTGCATTCCCCAAGCTTTATACACCACCAACCTTATAGCCTGCAGCATATCCGAGTCCTGGGAACAGAGAGAAGAACTTCCTGCCGACTGGCGCACCGGCTTTGTCCTTGAAGATGACCGTATTTAACTGTGATGCAGAGGTAATCATTGAAATATTAGCATACGGCATGCAGCATGAAAGGTTCTTGAGGCTCTACCTTGCCATGATTGCTCATCAAACGCTTTGCAATAGTATCAACCTTTGTCCATTAGTATAATCCTTATCTCCATGAATTCTGCTTCGAGCATACAGGGTGGAAGACAGCAAGTTCAGCAATTCCAGCGGAACCTTCATAAATTAGCAGATTATTCGATGCAGCAGCTCCAATTCCAAACGTACCTGAGCCTAATAATCGTGCCAGTGTCGACTCCTTCTTGTAGTCCTTCGAGGCTCCTGCTGCAGCGATTGGGGACATCTTGACGGAATTGGTTGCAATTGGGACCTAATTGTCTGAGAAAGAACGAGAAATCGAGTCGACAGCTTGTCCACGGGTTTGGACGAGCTTTTCAGGCGTGGAAGGATGTGGGGAAGGTCGATGCAGAATTCTTCTCAAATGATCAACTTTTTCTTTGCACATGCGTGATAACTGCATATGCGACAGGGGTTCGCGTCGGCCCCAGATTTCTCCCGCTAGCTTCTCTTAACCCCGAGTCGTCGACCTCATTCTCAATATATTCATCACTTCTTGAGTTCTAGGTCGAAATTACTCAATCTGGTCTTGTGCAACCCTTCTAACAACACGTTGCTAAAAAGACAATCTTCCAAACCTATGGCTCATGTGATAGCAATGGGCGCTTCTTCCAACCAGTATTGGGGCAGGTGCATAAAGTATACTCGAGATTCTCTAACTTCAATACGCACTGTTTTGTCATTGTTACATATATTTTGATCGTACTAACTTCAAATACTCTAATAGCTAGCATTATTATGTCCTATGAAGAACGAATAATATGTTAACTTAATTTTCCATGGCGTTTCAGTGCCTCACAATTCACTTGACAGAGATCCCAACTGGTTCATCATCATAGCATACTCTGCTTTCTATGTTATGGGGACTGTGGAGGATCTAGTTGTATCTTACATTCGGCGCGGCACATGCCTTACCCCTCGGAAACAACACACTTCTTTCTAATATCGCCTCAGGTTGTGCTTTCCTTTAGAGACAGTTCCAAGTTCCGTAATATTCATGGTATCGCTCCTGGAGAAAAGCAGAAGGAAGTTGCTGGGGGACTCCATTCGTAACTACCCAGGAATGACCGCCAACAAGAATCATTAGCCAGCAGTTGCGAGTAAAGAGCGTCACGAAGGTACGAAGTAGGCTATGCATCGTATAGTGAGTAAACGAATCAAGATATTGTTGTAGCTGGTAGTTTTAGTTACCGTCGCGGATCATATCCTCACTTGAATTCAGCAACATGGATCAAAAGAACGGAAAGAGCATCAAAGCCATTTTACAAATCGAATATGTATTTCGCCTATCTGACAGCTCTCGTTGAGCTCAGAAGCAGATGAGTGGTATCACAAAGTTGTCAGTGCTTTTCGCAGCTTGACTCTTAACGCCATCCAATGCAGCAAATAACGCCTGCCCAATGCATCTTTTTCACATCCATAACATGCCATCAAAGTTAGGGCTCCGCTGAAATCACTGCGCTAAAATTCCTGGAAAAGGCCAATCAATCCATCGAGTCGTCCTATTTGGCACAAGAGGTTGTCGATCTTCGCATCAATGGCTCGGAAGTCATTCAACTGATTTGCATCCAAGTAGACTTCAGGATCGAAATCTCTGACATCAGATCTCTTAGTCAAGGCCAAAACATCATGAGCTCGTCGCCTCTCAATGTCCAACCGCTGAAGAATTCGTGACATAGCTTTGTAGGTGTGCTCTGTCACCATCGTGGCAGCTCGAGCCTCATCGAAGAACCATAGAAAGATAGTACGATTGGTTGTGCGATTGCTGTCCCTTGGTACCTCCTGAATGTCAATCACACCGGCCATCTGCATTTCGGCTAACTTAGTACGAATATCCTTAGGCTTGAGCTTTGCGGTATCCACCATGGTCTTCTCGTCAAGTTTTCCCAATCTCCTCAACATTCTTGCTAGACGATGACCAGAGATACCAAAATTCTCCAAGAGCAATGCATCAACTTCGCTTTCTTGCATTTTTGCCACGAGAGTTTCGAAATCACAGGTCCACTCGCCGTAGCCGTTGTTGCCTGTTCTGCGGAGGAATTTGGCGTCATCAGTTGCGAGTAGCATCAAGTGTTTCTTGACTAGTTCCAGACGATTTTCTCGGTCACCTGAGGACTCCGCTTGGAAAGTTACAAGCTTGCGGCGCTTCGCTGGGTTGGATTTGTCGCCCTCTTCGAAAGGGTCGTCATCATCCTCGATATCTGAAAGGTGGGTATGGCCATTGATTGTTGGTTCTTCATCCGGGCCGTCACCCATGCTAACATCACCCTCGATTTTGACCTCCTCAGACTTGTGCTTTCTGGATTCTAATCTCTCCAAAGCTCTGGTATTGACTTCACCACTCGAAGCTTTCCCAATTCCCGTGCCGGGGTTGACTGCTTTGCTGAGAACAGTCGTGAGCTCTTTGGTTGTAAAGCCAGGGCCATCCGGAAGGTCGACGACTTTGTCTATGCTTGGATTTATCCGGCATCTTGGAATCTTCTTCTCCAGTATAGCAAGACCCTGAGCAAAAATGAGTGATGTGATCTCGCCGATTCGTTCTTTCGCAAATGCTACAAGGGCCTCGTTACGAAGCGCAACGTTGCATTTTTCGTAATTTATGTGTATGACCAATGTCGGCTTCAATTGAGATTAGCATCAAATCTATTCCTGCTTCTAACAGCTGGAGAAACCCACGTCAAGTCTTGAGCCGTCATCTTCGATCAAAGGATCACCGCTGACAGTGCTGCTGCCATTCGAGAGTCGTCTTCGCTTGTTCGTGCCATTGATACCATTGATGTGTTCCCCATTCAGAGGTCTCTTCTTAGCGTTTCCCTTCCACTCGCGTTCGGCTCGGATGGCGTTCATTCGGTTCTTGATCTTGAGCTTCAACTCGTCTTTTTGCTTCGCGCCTTTCGTACTACCTCCGAAACTCTCTTGAAGGATCTGCCGCTCAATCATACTATGAGTATCCTCTGGGCTGTGGAACATGCTCCGGACCACAGGCTCGACAAACCCAGAATCCAGTAACTGGATCAGCACTGAATGTAGCTGACCGATTGAGTCAACAGGTGAAACACTCTGTCCATTGACGTCGTTTGTAATCGTGGAAGACCCTTCAGCATTGCCATTGGCATGATCTTTGTTCTTTGACTCATACGCCGTTACCAAGTCGGACACGCTGCAATGGCCAAGCAGGAATAACTTGTGCACAACGTCCCTCGCAGCAGGTCCAAATCGATTCTCAGCCACGTCCATGATCTTTCCAGCGCGAGCCAATCCATATGCAGCATCATCGTTTGCTTCGTAGAATGTAGTGCCAGTATCGACTTCCAGATTGTGGTAGACAAGACCCTGCTGGATGAGAACTGCTAGGCCATGTCGCAATTGACGAGGAGTAAGGAGGGTATGCATGGAAAGGAGTCGTATCGGAAGTCTTCCTCTTCGGAGAAGGATCGTGAATATCCGCTGTATGGCATGTCAGAATGGAGCAAACCAACATGATCAACTCAGCCTGTCACAAAGATGTGGCTTGCATGTGGTGAAGAATTTCATGCGCGGCGAAGATGAACAACGTACGGAGGTTAATTCGCCATAAGCTTCATCGACGAGCAGAGCCATAAGCTCTACAGCGTTCTTTGACTGTATGGCAGTCAGTCACAGGCCAGGCTGAAGCGAGCGGAATTGTCGTGCGCTGCTGGAAAGTAAAAACTTACTGGAGCCATCTCGTTGCTGCTAGAGAGTATCCCACGATCTCTAGAGCTTCCACAAGTACTACCGGTGCTTCATTGACGAAGTTGAGGTTTGGAATTGTGGAAGAACTTAGGTATTTTGGATTGTGTTTTATTCGCGGTGGGGGACAAGCACCTTCAAAAAAAGTCCCCGCCAATTTAGCTATTTTCGCGCTAGCGAACCAAAGTTGATCTAGCAGCAACCGAAAACCTCCTCGTATGAGCTCTCGACGACTTCAACCGGGTTTGTAAAGCCATTGCCTTTCCACGACTACCAATCTCCCCCGAACAATGATATCACGGTCGGCGATTGGACGAAATGCACAGTTTGCCCTTCGTAGGCAATGCTGTGCAAAGCCGAGCAACCGTCGAGGCCTCGCTGCTGCCGTGTCCGGATCAACAAGCTTCTCATACGATAGTTCGGATGTCAGCGGCGTGAAAGTAGCCAGCAGAGATGTGGCAGGACCTACGACGAAGCTTGCTGTAATTGCGAAGGCCGGTACCAGATATCAATCTGCCCCAGGTTTGACGTCGGGCCTTGAGCACTTCGCATTCAAGGTGAGCCGAAATGCCTCTTCTGTTTCTATCTGAAATCGCAGTATTACTAACCTGTATTTGACACTTAGAACACCTACAAACGATCAGCTCTGCGAATCACTAGAGAGTCTGAGCTTCTTGGGGGCCAATTGAACGCACATCACACTCGAGAAGCGTTAGTGATTGAAGCCAAGTTCCTTCGAGAAGATCTACCATATTTTACGGAACTGCTCGGCGAAGTGATCTCACAAACCAAATATACCCGTATGGCAGATGGTCTTTCTGTATTCCCAGTCACTAACATGTTCCAGCCCATGAATACCACGAGGAGGTCGAGCCTCTCATCAAGCTCTCCCAGAAGAAGCTGCTTGCAGACGTCTCAGAATTGGCAATCAACTCCGCTCATGGACTAGCATTCCACCGAGGTCTAGGAACGCCTCTGTACCCATCTTCTTCGACCCCATTGACGAAATACCTCAGCGATGAATCCATTGCACAGTTCGCTGCCAGTGCCTACTCGAAGCCAAACCTTGCAGTGGTCGCGAATGGTGCTAGTCAAGCTGATTTGGCCAAATGGGTGGGCGAATTCTTCAAGGAGACTTCAAGCTCGGGTGTCGGACTGACGAGTGAGGCCACAAAGTATTATGGTGGTGAAGAGCGAATTGCACATGACTCCGGCAACTCTTTGGTCATTGCTTTCCCTGGCTCGAGTTCATTTACCTCTGGAGGATCCTATAAGCCTGAAATTGCCGTTCTTGCAGCTCTTCTTGGCGGCAAGTCAAGCATCAAATGGAGTTCTGGTTTCTCACTTCTCTCAAAAGCAATCTCAGCTTTCCCAGGAGCCAGTGCCTCGACAACCCACTTTGCCTACTCCGATGCTGGACTTTTGACTATTCAATTCAGCGGTTCCGCGCAAGCTATTCGTGATGCTTCTGCCGAAGCTGTTAAGGCCCTCAAAAGCGTCTCGGAGGGCTCTATCAGCAAAGAAGATTTCACCAAAGCTGTTGCTCTCGCCAAATACCGTGCTCTGGAGGAAGGTCAAAACATTGAGTCTGGACTTGTTGCGACAGGATCAGGTCTCATCCACGGCGGCAAGCCATTCCAAATCGATGAGGTTGGCAAGAGTGTGGAGTCGGTGACTGCTGACAAGCTGAAATCGGTAAATCATTTCCAACACAAGCTTGTTTTGGCCCGTTCGGGAACTGACAAATATCACAGGCAGCTAAAGGACTTTTGGAAGGCAAGGCTACCGTCTCGGCTGTTGGAGATCTTTATGTTCTTCCATATGCTGAAGAACTTGGTCTTAAGATATAGATGGCTAGGAGTCTACGGTGAGGGGAAGCGGTGGGTTGTATCAACAGCCTTAGAGTGTACTGTAGATATAAGCGCAAATTTACTATGTCCAAAATGTCTCCCTGGTACTTTCCGGTATCTGAGATTGTGAAGTATGAGCGTAATGATTGAAAGCCCGCTTGAGATATGAAAGGTAGAATTCTGCAATGACTCCGAAAACACGATACAGTACGTGATGTATAGAGTGAGCTCGAAGATGTATCTCCTCCTTGCTTTCAACGAAAGATTGTTCGTTGTAGGCTTCAAGAAATACTTCGGGGTGTATATTGGCCTTTGATTGTCACGTGTCAAGTTCGGCAAATTCCGCTCCTGCTTCCGAGCCCAGATTTGCTGAGCTCCACGTCCTCCGAAACAAATTATCAGAACGCTACACCTCACTTCAATAATCTACCATCAGACACAATGGCATTCGCGTGGAAAGCTTCTGGTCTCACGTATGTAATTGTACCATCCTGTCACCAATTGAAGCATATACCACGATGGAGTGAACTTGGACTGATCAAACCTCGCAGCTACAACAAATACCTCTCAGTCGCCGCACGAGTCGTCCGACGAAGCTTGAAGGATGACAAGCGATTGGCAGCTGAGCGAAGAGGAGAGATGGAGTTGAAATTCGCCAAGTGGAACGTGAGTGCTACCCCGAACAGAGTGGTCTACCAGAAATAGGGAGCTAATGGAGAATTCGATACAGAACGGAAAACAAGGCGAGGTGAAGAGCGTTGCGGACGCCAATGCTGCCGCCGCGACAGAAGCTGCTTCCCACACATCCTAAATACGGTCTTTGGCATGGTTGAGGAAGATTGAAGGAACATAGGCGTGGAGCGGTCTGCGAGAAAGTCAAGAGAGGCTTGTACATGTGTATTATTTGAGGACGAACATCCAAAATCAAAAAGCCCTCCAAAGTGCTGGCATAACTTGTGAAAAGTGCATGTTGTGACCTTGCGCTTTTGTTGGACTACAATTCTACAGTAGCTACACTACAAAGACTTGCTGTGACTTACCATCATCCATCCTTCTATCCTTGCAGGCAAAGGATGCACAGCTACCAACAAGGAAAGACGAGGCTCAGCGGATATCAAAATCATAGGACAGTCACAGACCTTCATAAAGTCCGTAGGGAGTGAAGCTTTAATCAACCATGTCTACCATGCAATGTGAACACATAGGAGATAATTAGCTTCTGCAAGTCACCTTGTCCTAAAGTCTCTCAGTCGATGCAAGGTTTAAGGAATCACCTTTCAATTTTCCTTCTCAGAATCCTTTCTTTCATTTTTACACCTTCTGGTGCTTTACCGAAGCGAGCCCCAGCCGTAGCCTTGCCTTGAGAAGATTGGTGCTAAAATTTATTCTAAACCCGATATCGAATTTACGAAACAGAGAAAGTGCACAATCATGAGTAGCAATGGCTCGGATATTGTCTCGCAAGGCAAGGATACCTCACGCTCTTGAATGCATAAGCTTACAATGCGCGCCTCAGAGATAGCAAATCTTGATATCAACGATGGCGCAAGAGACGCTTTCGCCATGTACGATTCAGCACCTCCTCCTGCTCCCAAGTTGAAGAGTAAAGGAGTCATAGCCATGGATATGACGGCCGAGTTTGCCAACGCCGCCCAGCGTACGTGCTATCTACCTACGCACAAGTATGAGATCACGTGTTAACAGCCTGACACAGAGCTCGATGTTGGGCAACTCGTCAAAGACCCCTATTTTACCTTATTTGAATCTGTTGGTGCCTTAGAGGTGAGTGTTTTGGATGTTTCGGACGCTCTTCAAGCTGATAGTAGCTGATAGATAATGGACCGAAAGATGGACAGCGGTTGTCTCGAGCCTGGAGAAACCATGGAAGATGAATACGATTTCAGTCAAAGCCTACTTCCTGAGGAGATAATTGGGATCATTGATCAGCTATTGTGTCATGAAGTACATACTCTCGTCAAGGAAATACAGGACACAACGTTGCTAACATAGTCAGATGGCCTGGCATATGGGCTATCCTCTCGCACAAACGATCTTCACAAGCCTCTACATCGACAAATTGCTGTCACCCTGCCCGCTAAGCATCCAGCAAACGTATTTTGACACTCGGCATGGCTCTAGCATCCATGAGCCACTGACTGTCCGGATTCTAAGAGCATACTGTTTGGGCCTAATCAAGACCTGCTCTTACATCAACAACCGTGTCAAAGCAGAGCACTTCTACGAGGTAAGGAAGTGCGACTTTCAAAGTAGACGAAAATTGTTCTCACAGCCGTTACTAGGAAGAAGATTTCGTCACGCATACGTTCAACAGAAGTTTGCTCGAGGGAATCGAACACGATGACATATTTCAATTTCTTGAGGAGACCACGAGACTCCTAGCGATCTCCGACGATGTGTCACCAGATGTCAAAAAAGCCCTTGACTGCCGTCTTCGATTTCGAGCACAGTTCCTAGAGACTGTGGAAGTAGCCGATTCTAGTACATCCGATGCTATCGCACAGCACTGGAAGACACTAGGAGAATTCTTACCATTTCTGAAGTCTTCGAGTAAGTTCGGCAAACCAAGCCCATTCTCGTTCAGTGTCAAGATTCAGCGAAAGTTGGCGAGTACGGTGCCTCCACGACCAATTGTGCAAGTCAGTCAAGAATCCTCTTTTGATCACCTGGAAAGACTCTGCCGAGATGCAGCTGTGGCTGTCGAAGTCCTCAATTATTATAACAGCCAGAGTCTCCTAGTATGTTTGCCCGGAAGTCTTTCACTGGCCACAGCTAATTGTAGACCAAGACTTTTGTCATCTTATTTCAAGGTCGAAAGCCCCAGCCATCGGTCTATGTACGCACACTGCTACAACATTACATATTTGCAGATATGATAATGCTGGGTGACAAATCTATTCGCCACATCCTTGATGACGATTTGGCATCTACCGTTCTCCCCAACCACAAGCTTTTGGATCGTGATAATGATGATATAGAAGTCCCGCACGATCTCCGGCACCAGATGGCACTTCGCATGGAGACATTCCGTGCGCGAGCGGCAGGCTCATACCTAGATCTACTTCGCACAATTTGCCAAAACAGATGTCGAATACGACGGAGCTTATGTCACACAATTGTGGACTGGGATACTCTTCAACTTGATGCTGAGGAGCTTGATGTGGAGCTGAGGGACTTTACCATGGAAGCACCAATTTTAGACCAACAGATCTCAACGGAACCCATATACTCATTTCCACTGTCGTCATGGGCTTATTTCTACAAGCTTAAGCAAATGGAATGGATAGTGCAGATGGGATTCGAGCTCGAGACTTATCAGCAGGACGAGCTGGCAGGAATGTATTGGTACCTCCAATACTTGGTCAGAACTCGATATCGTCACCTCGAGCGGATTAGAGGCTTCGATGTGCGCGGCTTTGCTGCTGCTCGCAAGGATCCTAAGGTACCCAGCAATAAGATCTTAGAGTATACGAGAGCTGTATCCTTCATCGATTTCTCTAGCATGGAAGCTGCTGCAACGTATGGCTTTGCAGATTCGCTTTCCTCTTTATTCACAGTCCTCAGTCGATTATCTCTTATCAAATCACCTCCTCGACCTTATAGCAACGACTCCATGCGATATGAAGTACGAATGAAGCCTTTCCTCGGCATTGGTCTTCCGGAGCTGGTACCATTCGACGAGCTGACCCGGACGATAATGCAACCCGAAGAATCAAATCTCGACCTTCTCAAATTTGCAAGCGAGTGTGCGGTTGGAGCGAAGAAGGGATTCGAGGTGTTGACTAAACTCAGTGCTAAGGATGCGTACTGCCAAGGTTCCCATGAGAGCTGGCTGAACAACATCAAAGCTTGTTTGAAGGCTTGCATATTCACCAGCATCACGATTGCGTCTGTGAAGAAGGCAGTAGAGGTAGCAGGAATCGATGGGCGACCTAAGATTAAGATTGAGATACCTCCATCCGGCAAAGGATATCATGATTGGTGGATTGTGCCGAAAGTCGTCCCTGTATCATAATGTTATGCTAGGTCACATAGTCTGCCTTCTCATCCCTGCTATGAATCAAATCAACTTATGGTATTCATAGCTAGAACGTGAATTTTCTGCTCGGTGTTGATGAGACCTCATGCTACGGCATTTCAGACCCATGTTACCTGCGCTTCATGGTCATCATCGAGATGACTAGAAATGGCCTTTTTGTCGTTCTTTACAGTGTGTTGTTATTTTTGTGATTGCCGACTGCAGAAGCAGAAAGGTATCTATACAGATACCTGGAGCACCTCCAACTCACGAACTCAGCCCCTGTGAGTTGGGAAGAAATGCATTTACGCAACCTTGACCTGTATGCTTGCTTTAGCAGTACAGAGAAGCCCCTCGAAATATACATGCACTATGATAACAGGCACCACCTATCCAAGTAATACAAAGGAATGGGTTTGCGGATATTATCTGTCTGGCGTCAATAAATGATAAATTTTCATACATCTACATACATAGACAATTACATTTCTATCCATAAAAACTTGAACATAGTCAAAATGGAATAACCCGATGGATATCGAACGCGCTTGACGATGAAAATACAGGGAACACCAACTCCATTCTGTAACAACTTCAGAAGAACTTTTTCACCGCAACTCTCTCAGGCCTGCCTCTGCTCCTACTCCGACTTCTCTCTCTGCCATCCAATTCTACCGCCGACGCATTCAATTCTAATCTCTTATCCTCATAACTTGCGCTCTTATTTCGAATGGTCCCACTATCTATGAGTTCTTCTTCTCGATATCCATGGTAGTTTTTCCTACCGCCTTCAAGCTCTTGCACATATGGTCCAGATATCTTTCGTGGGCCATCTGCTGCTCGCTTTTTCTTGAACCACCGGATGTATAAAGCAATCAATGACATAATTATTATGAAACCAGCACTACCAGCTACGGCAATTCCTATCTTAATCGGTGTCTTGAGTGTATTGACAGCATTGATTTCTGGACGGGTAGGTGGTTGTGTTTGAGCGGGAGGTTGTGGAGGTGGTGTTGCGATGTTATTCTGGTCCAGTAAACTGATGAAGTGTTAGTACAGTAGTAAGTTATCTATTCTTTCCCAACATACCTATCAATTGTATGCAACACACCATTCGCGATTAGGAAATCAGTGCTGATGATCTTTGCTTGGTTGACAAAGGTATCATTTCCTTGTATGGTAATCGTCAGGTTGTCTCCCTGCATCGTCTTCAATACCAGGCCATTCCTGAGATTTGAACTGTAACCAGAAAAATTCGGAACGACGTGGTAATTAAACACATCGCCGAGCTCGGATTGTGTGGCATTGGCAGTGAGGGAGGTAAATTTGGAGAGAGCGGACGCGGTGTTCGGTGCGAAGATAGTCACACCGGGGCCATTGAGGACGGGAAGGACAAGTGGCTGATCAGCAACGTTGAGAAATCCTCCTTGATTCAAAATACCTAAAGAAGTATCAGTCATCGACTACGCTGGGCCCAAGCATGGGAGATAAGCTTCAAGATAGAGAGACATACCAATGAAGAAAGTTAGATTAGACTGAGTTATGACCGTCACTAGTCCTTGTGGGACATCCAAGACAGTGTCGATGACATGAATTAGACCTCCAGTGCATACGATATCCTAAGCAAGTTAGTGCCATCAATCAAAAAGTGTTGGCAAAGACAACTTACCGCTGAAGTTATTGTTGATAACGTTTTCGATCCCGATAGGAATTCAGATTCTTTCCCATTTTGGAACAATTCCACGACCTGGCCGTTGGTGACATTTGTAAATGCAGCACTGCTCAGCTTGGTAGAGACAAACTGGGGCTTCGATGAAAACAAGACAGTGGGAAAGCCTCCATTGACAAGGTGATAGCTCAAAGTCGCATCTATCAGATCTTGGCTTGGAGATGTTGGACCTTGGTCAGCGAGCCACTTCTTAAATGCATCATTCGATGGTGCTAGGAAAGTAAAATTGTTCGCTGTTGACAGTAGATTCTTCGCCGTCGTGGAAGAGTTGATCAGAGAATTCAGGGTACTGAGCGTGCCAGGCGTGCTTTGAAGTATGGATAGCAGAGCTTGTCCAAAAGCGTGCTCGACGAACGTCAAAATAAGAAGATATATTCGCCGCATCTCGGTCATGTAATGTGGAGACAAACATCGACAGCTCCTCAGTTTTCGGACTTGACTCCCAATTGATATTGATCCTCGACAAGCCATGCACTATACTAGGAGAGCCCACCATGCTACCCCTCCATGACGCATACGGCTCAGCACTACATGCAGCGAATGCCAAACCATCTTTCGAAAGGACCAGACATTATTCATTTTGGATCAAAGAAGATCTCCTGGATGAGACATGTTGGGTAGGCACAATGTCAGCTCAACTAACACATTCGTAAGAAGTGCGTCTCGCAAATCGAAAGACAGTTTGTGATTGGCAGGATAAATATGTTACTCGGAAGAAGCAGCGTGGGTAGTAGTTCCTCTTGCAGAAACTTTTTGAGGGGGCCAGGGAAGGACGTAATTGGCATTCCTCGGAATCTTAGCACTACACTTATGCTCGACTACAGATCGCACTTGCGTACATATCAGTAAACACTGAACGCTATCAAAGCCGAAGCAATCGTAAAATGTAAAATGTATTCGATTTGCGGGCTGCCAGAGTACTGTAGTTCTATGTGGCTTGCGCACGGCTTCCAGGAGTTGACAGGAGGATTTTGTGGGGTTTCATAGTTGCGACACCTCGCCCCCGCATACCACAACGGTTACAGCCTCTACCACACCTTTCCCCAGAATGGTGGGCATGATCAACCTCAAATTTTCAAACAACGAGAAACTAGCCAATCCGGAGCTAGAAGAAAACGTGGTGAATCAGGGTAATTGAAACTTGTCCAACGAGCATTTGTCATTGAAAATGATTGAATTACCCAAGTGTACAAACATGAGGGGCTCGGAAGCAGAATGAAGTATTATAATACGGTCGAATCAAAGCTTGAGATCCTCCCGCCTCAACGGGTGGCGAGACTGTGTCGGACAATATCGTTCAAAGATAATCTTTGAACCTCATCTTCCCCGTGTGTCAATCCCTCTTCGAAGTAGCATGATCCTTCTCCGTCAAACCCCAACTTGAGAATCTGGCCAACATAGAAGCTTCTCGTATCACCTCCCTTGAGCGCTATGAGTGATTCGGTCACGAGAGCATCGGTATCCTTGTGGACGCCAGTCCACTGCTCGCCCGTCACTTCTTCGAGAATGCCCAGTAATTGCTTCCCACTGAACTGTACCTCAGCTATCCTTATTCGCGAGTTCCTGGTTGCATCTTCGGGCATGGTGACAACAGCACGAACGCATTGAGCAATGAAGTCCGTGGTACATCCTGTCACTTGATGCTCACCTCCGTCATACAACATCACTGTGTGACTGTCGAGATCCACGATGCCTTTGACAGCCTTCGAGAGCCAGAAATCCAAGAATGCTCCCGTCACCAAAGTGGTGTACTCAATTTTGCCCTCAGAAGCTAATGTTTGGAGTTTCCTTGCGTTGGCAAGCTTGGTAGCTAAGATCGTAGATCCAGCGAAGGCGATGGAGTGTGGATGAAGAACATCTACAGTGTATTCAGAAGGCATAAATCGTCTGACACCGGCCATGACTGCTGCTTCGGCCAATATTGCGTCTATCATGCCAGCTGCAGCCCCAGCAATGGTTGATATTAGAAGGTCGTGCCCTTGAAGGACATTGGCGAGAGCCTCGGTGTCCTCGTAGGACACAATTGATACGAACGATAGTATGGAATTATTGGAAGTTTTGACTGGCTGCTTCGATCGGGTCAAGATAGTCAATCGAGTGATGTCAACAACAAGGGAAAGCTGTTCAATAATCTTTCGACCAAGAAACCCCGAAGCTCCAGCGATAGCGATCCGTCGGAAGGTCATTGTTACAGCTAGTGAGAGATGTAGGTGAAATTTGAAAGATGGAGATAGAACGATAGAGGCACTTCTCGACGTTCGATACATTCTTTTTGTACATCAAGACTTCCCTTCGAGAAACTCCGCTAGTCCACATTAGGCAAACCTCAGCGCACATTGCATGCTTCATTCGGACTTTACAACAATCAGAAGCGACATGACTTAGTTGTTCAAGCAGCAGCAATTGAATCGCCAAACGAAAGGCACTTCGCGCTCTCGGACATTTAGTAGCGACGAGAAAACTCATGAAACGAGAACTGAGCAGGAACAGACTGATGACCAACAAAAATCAAAGATTAGAAATATTTTGGAGGCGTCTCGCGCTCTCGGACAATATCTAACAACGAGCTTTCTCAGACGCAATCGGAAAGCAAAAAAAAAGACAACGCTAATCGCCTTGAGAGTTGTCGGCCGACCCAAGGGTCGAAGTGAGCCGTGTCTTGTGTGATACGCTGGCAATGAAGCGGTACCCACCTAAGGCAGGGCTAGAATATTTCAGCACTCGCACATCGTTGTTTCTGACACTCATTTTCTCCATTAAAGGTTGGGGTTTCGAGGCGATGCCATTCATTGTGTTCGCTCCATTAAACAGAAAGTCGGGAGCTATTCATACCTATGCGAAGTCAATTCATTAGCTGACCTGAGCTTCTTTTTCCCATCTGTGGTATTATTTGACTCATTTCACATGGCACTTGCTTTGACGAAATTACACTAATCAATGAAACCCACAAAGATTTTTACATGTTAGCAAGAAAGAGGACTTTGCTTACTCCATTGTTCCATTGAAACTATGATCATGCCAACTTGTCAAGTCTGTGGACCATAACATGAGCATCCATCCTTGAGCTTCGGAAAATCGGACCTGCCCCTCTATCTACCACAAGGATCGAGAACTTGTACGCATAGAACAAAGTAGTTGAATGTTAAGAAAGTTGTGTTCTTGCAGATGGAGAACGATCAGGTCAGGTCAGATTAATAAGCCGCTCGCTTACTGTATGTACTGTAGTTCTGCCACCGCCTTCACTTCCCGAGTCGGTACGATAGGAGGATAGGATGAATTGGAGGCGGAGGAGCAGGCGGATTTGAGAGCATCCACATCAAAACCCGAATCATACTATCCTCTTTCTCACCTTGCTGATTTCGTGCTTAGTCGTGTTTGCACGGCCCCAGGTTCTAGGAATCTGCATGACCTAAGCTGGTCAGCCTCAAGCGACTAAGCTAATTCTAGATATTGGTCCCTTGTTGAACATGGGTAACCTTTACCAGGGGCGAGCTCTTTTCTATACCTACTACCCATTTGACCTAACCTTGCCTTTACTCATCATTTTGGTTTGATTTACCCAACTCTGCCGTGCAAAAACTATCACAATGGACATCACCGAGTGAGTGATTAACCCTCTTGAGAAATGTTCATGCTCCTGCGGCAGCAGCCACAGGCTTCAAACAAAATGCATCATGTTTCTAATTGGCACATATTCTCAGCAAAAAGCAGTCCGCTATGAAACTAGTATTCATTACACAAGTGGCTTCCGTGAAGAAAAGCAAAGAGACATCCACTATCATAAGAAAGCATGTGATGCGCGACATTGGCAAATCGAGACGGAAGCAGCGCCGCTACCCTCAAACGTCCCTGGAATCACCCGAATCTATCAGTCGACTGGGTCGACAGCAGCTATCTGTACCCAGAGAGACGCCAGTGCTGCCATGGGTCGAATCGCAAGAGGAGAATGGTCCCCTACTAGCACAACCAGAGCCTCCACATCAACATGACCCCGCCAAAAGTACAGGGGCGGGGTCGTACCCAGATAGTCAACATCGACAGCCACCGAACGGAATATTTGTACCAGCAGATGTAGAACGTCCCGCTATCGACCGAACATGGACGGGTCGTTCCGATCCTTTTGTCAAATTCCCTGTGTGAGTATTTGGCTGTCAAAGTTTTATTTGTGTGTTTCTCTCTTGGATTCGCTTTGACCTCCCGCAATGCTTGCATGGCAGCAAGAAGAAAGACTACTAACAATTTGGCAGGGAGATGAATGACAGAATACGGGAACTCATTGATCTCGGTACGGTGATCATTCTCTACCTCCCATACCTCATCGCTAATCCTACCTGCTTTTCACCTAGCCTTCGACGACCGATACATCAATATTGGACCATTCAGAGATGCATGTCTGCCAGTAGGTATGCTGGACGAGGCTGCCTTCCACCAAGTCTTATCAAATGCGCTGCTCAATATCGCCAGTCGCCGTCCCACCGGCGCTCAAACGGAAACTTATGATGCCATGAACCATCATGCGTTGGCCATAAACTCCATAAACGAACGAATAAAGGATGTCAAAACTGCAACGTCAGATGGTTTTATCGGGGCGGTGGCTGGGTTTATGTGCTATCATGTTCGTAATTTTCGCGTTGTTTACATATTTTCGAAGACTGACTTGGACAAAGGCTTACACTGGCAACTTGGCCGCATGCCAGACTCATATGAAAGGCGTGGAAGAGTTGATACGTTTAAGAGGCGGAGTGGAGACCCTTGATTCGAATAAACCCGTCAGGTTGCTCCTTGGATGGTGAGTAGCTGTACTCCTTTCAGTGTTGAACAAATTCTGAGCGTCACTTGTCATATCTTTGACATCAACTCTCCAAGGAAAACTGGTTAATGTTCAATAAGGTCTGATGTGGGTGGGTCTGCGATCGAGGACTCACAGCCACGATTTCCCTTACCCCAAAAATTACTTCCCGAGATAGACAGTTTTCAACCGTGCCAAGCAATAAGTAACCAAATCGATGACATTCTTACCATCTGGTCGTATAGATTCCCAAGTCACGTAACCATGCTAATCCTCATTGGTAAGTTTCAATTATGGTGCAGACGTCCCTTGTTAGTAGCAGGTCATATACTGATGTACTCCGTAAAAAGGCGACTTGTTGAGATTCAATAACCACCTTAAACGAGAAATGGAACGTACAGATGGACGTATACTAAGCAACGGAGAGTAAGTTTGCTCTTCCTCAGACTTTACATAATTCGAAGCATTGCCAGAAAATTCATTGCACGAACCAAGCTGAGTTTCATCTAGCTTCGCCACTGGATACCTGTTTCCACTGCTCCACCGAACATTGAGCCTTGCCGGCGACGCAATCATTGCTGCTCCTGACGATCTAAATGTCTTACAGGCGTGCCGGATAGGATGCACACTCTACCTCGCAGAGATTCGTCGCCTCTTCGGCATCTGTGGTGTGATAACCTCTTTACAGACACAAAAGCTACAGCATTACCTTAGATCAAGCATCGCTAACTGGAAAGGTCTTGGCTTGCTGAAGCTTTGGTGTTTAGCAATGGGTGGGATGGAAGCTGTGGGAGACTTAAAGGGGTGGTATGCGGAAGAAATCAAGCGAGAGGCCTCGTTGATGGGTTGGGCTACCCCAAGGCAACTGGAAATGCAAATGGAGGGGATGCTATGGTTTCCAAAAGCGCATGGCCCAGCTTTCTGGGTACTCTGCAGAGGTCAGGGTCATGTCGCCGTTGCCCCTGGGACGAATTCGCTGCATAGCGGGAAGTGGGATGCAAAGTGGAAACCGGCTCTTCAGTTGTAGCTTTATGGTTAGAAAAGTCCTCGCTGAACTTTCCTGCAATAATGTTAGTGCCTGTCTATTGGCATTGCGAACTGGAACTTTGCCCAAAGAAAAGTCATAGTGAAAGAAATACAAGCTTGGATTTGTACATGCTATTAAAAGCTGTTCAATACACTGTGCTCTGTCGCCAAATTAGTAGCATAAAATAGTTTGCCAAAGTGTCAGGCTTGGAAGAGAACATTTTTCTTATCTTCACTGTATTTGCAACAGGTGATGCGCAACCGAGACAATAAGAATGGTTCTTCAAGAGAATTTGGATGCAACACTAGCGCTAGGGTTGAATGAGCAGAGTATTCTGATTAAAAGCATCTCGACAATGTGGAGTGTGCATTCGAAGCGGTCATATGTTCAAAGCACGGCAGATACAGAGTAGCCACACCGTTTTGATCTCACTGGTTGAAGTCATCATTGTATGAATCTATGTGCATCTTTCTTTTTTTCAATTCCTGCCTTCATGTCTCGTATGCATGCCCAAAAAACACCTCTGCACGAACAGTATGCTGGGTATATGCTCGCTAGGGGAAGCCAAGTCAGTGCTCAAAATGCCTCGTCTCTTTACTCCCTATCTGAGAAGCTCAGATCTCTGTCTTGTCAAGCTTGGCTGCAAGCGCATCGACCTCTTTGTCTTCGACCTGCACAGTAGGCTCATCTTTGGCCTCCTCTGCTTCATCGAGAAGCTTTTCTCTTAACTCCTCCGCTTCTTCTTCCTCTTCCTCCTCATCTTCTTCGTCACTCTCATCCTCCAGATCGCTAAGACTATCCAGACCCCAATCATCCTCCATGACAACGTCGCCAGCAAGCTTCTCCTTTCGCTCATCGAGGAGCTCTCTGAGTTCCATAACGTATTGATCTTCCTCAGAGAACTTGTTGCCGTTGAGCTCAATCTTCTTGAGTGCTGGCAAAGAATCCTTAGCTGCCTTGGCGAAAGCCTCCAAGCCCTTCGCAGTAATATCGTTGTATTGCAATCTCAGAATCTCGAGCTTCTTGTTCTGTCCCTTGCCCAACGCGTTCGCAACAAGAACACCACCCTTGGCACTCAAAAGCGAATCTCCGACACCGAGTTCTTGAATTTCGCCCCAACCAGGTGCAACAGTAGCAAGCGCCTTGGCACCCATAATCGTAAATGTATTATCCTGCAGATCCAGCACCTTGATCGTCTTTGCATGTCGTAGGCCATCCGTCAGAAGATGCGAGATACCCTCCTGTCGAATCCCATTCTGTACCATCTTGACCTCCTTAACGCCAGTATGCAGACTATATGCCTTTGCCCAAGCTGTCATGCTACCATTCTCCAATCGATTGCGACCACAAATGACAGTCTCCAGGTAAGGGACTTCTTTGCCTGCCTTTCGGGCCTCCTCCTTCTTGCCATGAAGAGCAGTAAGCGCGTCGGCAATGAGTATTCCGGCGTGAGGACCAAGGCCGTTATTGTTGAGAATGAGGTGTTGAAGAGGGACATGGGATGAGATGAAATCAACAAGAGGAGCTTGCGTATTTAGCCCGAAAGCGTTGTCGTTCAGGTTGATTGTGTGAAGGTTCGGCAGCTTAAGAAGTGCGGTAAGGAGAGAAGAGAGAGCTTGGGGAATTTCGTTCAGAAGACGGCCCGTGAATATGTCTGCCAAGTTCGCGATCTAGTACGGTCAGTGCGAAAGTTCCACGCAAAGATGCCCGATTCTTAGAGAATGGGAATGTACCTGGAGAGTCTTCTTCGTCTCGAGGACCTCGCCTAGTCTCTTGCAGGCTTCAACGCCCAAAGTATTTCCGAGCAGTCGAATCTCCTCCACATCCTGCATCTCCATCAGCGGCTTGATATGCGCTTCGACGTCTGCAGCAGTGTCAAGCTTCAAACCCTTGCCCTCAAGCGAAAAGATTTTTGTGCCCGGCGCCATGTTTGAGAAGTATTGTTGAGTAATAAAGCAAGATGTTTAGACAGATGTTTTTATGTACAGGCTGCATTCAAATTTCTTTGCTGTTTACCTACGTATTCGGTCTATCTTCTAATTTTGGCGGGGCAATAAGGCTAGAACAAGCTTCGGAAAAACCTTCGGCCCGGATAATTTAATAATTGCCATGATCCGACTTTCGAATCACGAATTACCAATCCACTATCAAGCTCCTTGTACTGGATGTATTACTACCAAAATCTTCAAGCTTCAGACATTGAACACACAATGGCCTCGAAATCAATTTCAATGCGTAAGTCTTCCATCCATTCTGATGTATTTCAACTAACAACTTCTAGCTACCGCCACCAGCGCAAACATGGGCCAAGATCTCAAGACTGAAGGCGAAGCTTGCGTGAAAGTTAAGGTAGGAGTCACAATTTTCGGCGAGTGTTCTCTACTTACATTTGTTAGCCCTGCTGCGTATGCAAAGAGGAGAAAGCTTCAAGAGACGAATGTATGCTTTTCAGCAATGCGAAAGACCCTCAGAACGATTGCGCCACTACGATCGACAAGTATAAGAGCTGCATGGCAGGCTTCGGATTCAGTCTACCATAAACCCAGAGGAATGAGGACGTACGCAATAGAAAGACTGTACAATAGGATTGGGCATTGGGGGAAGGCATTGTTGGCGCATCGGAATATCTAGATCATCACAGCATAGGATGCGGAATAGAAAATCACAACTCCCAGTACGACCTAAGATCTTTCAGATACGTGCAAGATGCAACAGGCTGTTGAAAGCATTCAAGATAAAAAGTGCCTTGGTATCTTGCCCCAGTCCTACTCATACATACACCTATATACATGGGACCTCGGGATACCGGAACCTTTGAACGCCTTGCAGTTTTGATATACGCTTAGATCAGATTAGTTTCACAGTCCTGCAAGAACGCTCTGGACGCCCACACTCCCAGAATCATCCCGTTTTAAGACAAACGCTCTGAAATCAGCCTTTTGGAGCTTCTTTCCAGCACCACCAGGTTGGATGGTACGTGACCTATCGCGAAGGGCTTCTGGTCCAATGATGAATAAATTCCCAATCTCGCTCAACACTTCCACACTACCCTCGGCTTCCTTTGTCAACGGCCAGTCCTTCAAAGTGGATGTATACTTCGAAATGTCTTTTGTGACCATCAACCCTCCCGTGGCATTGACATTGAATTTCTTGAAGTGCTCAAACAAAAGGTCGCGGATGCTCATTGCAAGCTCGGAGCTCAGTATTTCCAGGTTTTGGCCGTCAATCGCCTGGGCAGATAGACTTGCAACTCGATTGAGAAACGTACAAATGGAGAGGCAGGTTGCTGTCTGTAACGTTTCGAAATACCGCCCACCTTCCAGGTCGCTGTCCTTGGGTCGAAAATCGGCTCTTTTTTGGCCAGCTAAGAGTTTTGTAACCCAATTCAGAACAACAGTCAACGTGCTGCGGATGATGTTGTTGGTCTTCGACTCGATTCTCTCAACTCCTTGCTTCGTTTGCAGTTCCATTGATCGTCTAACGGTGGTATTCGACTCTGCTAACCGTATTAGAACTGTGTTGATAAAGCGAGACATGATATTCGTTATGGTAATCGCGGGCTGTAATGATGGCAGATATGCAAGGTCTGGTTCTACTTTGAGGGTCTCTTGAGCAGCAGCTGAGTCGGCAGCTGCATCCAAAGAGGTCTCAATATAGACTTGGCCAATACTTGTCAATAATAGGTTAAGCAGAGCCGAGACATCCTTCGGTGTATCGCTACCACTGCCCAACTCTAGTGCTCTTCTAACCCCTTCTGCTAACCACTTCAGCATGCGTTTAGCATTCGGTACACTGAGAACTCCATCTTCATCGGTGACCTCAATTTCGTTCTTGTTCTTATTTGGATCTGTATCTCGCAGTCCGGCAACTCGCAACATCATTGCCTTCTGAGTAGGAGTGAGCTCGGAAGAGTCCAATCGGTCGATATAAGCATCCTTCGCAGTAGCCAGTAGCTGAGTTCCTTGCTGTGCAAGTGAGGCCATGAATCCCGTAGGCACCTTCTTTCGCCGTGAGTGATAGATGGTGTATTTGAAGAGTAATGACGAATATAACTCTTCCAAGCTTTTTCGCTCTCTATCAATATAGGAATTCCCAACTAGATATGGAACAAATAGCTCGTCTAATTGCTGGTCAAGACTCAGAGCAGTTTGAGCTGAGCACGGTTCTGGGTGCTCGGTCAAGCCGTGTGCTTTCAGATCTTCTATCAGGTTGTTGATGTAGCTTCTCGAAGCATGTAATGATCTCAAAAAGGCAAGGGACGAGATGGTATCAGCTTTCTCTAGAACCATCTCTAGTCGTTGCTGTATCGACTGTTGAAAGATTCGCTGGATGAACTTGGTTAGTACAACATCATAGTAGGGAAAAGCCCGTTTGATGATGAAGGATTCGTCTTGCATAACAACACGGATCTCATCAATCAATGACTGAAGACTTGGCTCGACTCCTGGAGGGTCAGAATCTGGATCCGCAAGTTTTTCCCACGTCTCGTTGTCTGTGGTGACCTCGTCGGTGATCAACTGACTTCTATCAATGAAAAATTGATGCTGATTGACGAACAAGGCAACGACACTTGCTCCGCCATTGAAATCGTGAAGGACTTTCGCGCATTCCAACATGTCGTCGAAGTTCTGCCTACGGTAGCTGTCATCAAACTGTTTTAAGAGATCCTTCTCCAGAGTCTCGGAGAACTTCTCTATCAGCTCTCTTGTGTTATTGTTCCTGTAGCCCACCACGCCATTCGTGACACCATTGACTTTCTTCCCATTCGTCTGTGACCAAGATTGGGGATCAAGCCTTTGGCTCATACGCATAAGCTGCCTGGCTATGATCGCGCATCGAACCTTGTTCTCGCCACTTCCTTGTCGTCGAATCATGTCTTCTAGAGAAGTGAGTTCTCCGGCCTCACTGACTTCTAGCCAGCACTGAATCAAAAAGTTGGCGTCCAGCGCTCTCCGTCTCTGCTTGTCCAGATCCTCCAGTCTCTCACCGATCTGTACAGCAACCATACCCCCTCCATCTGACCGGCCATTTCTGTCGTTACCATTGGCGCCATTAGGATTGTTTAGGGTAACGTCGAGGGTCTCGAAGGAGTCTATCGATTGATCCAGCTTCCTTCCCAGAGTCTCCAATGTTTGGTCGTGTTGTATTTCGGCGCGCCGTACGGATGTGAGGAGATCTGTTTCCCTTTCTCCCAGCTCATCTGATAGAGTTGCAAGTTGTGAGAGAGCGTCTGTGTGCCATTAGCCATATTCTATGGGAGCATGCGGGGGGGTTCGTTGTGGCATACTCTCAAAGGTCCTGATCAAAGGTTTTGGGTCGAAAGCCTGATGCGCCGGTCCAGATCTTCGATTAACAGGTACTGCACTCTCCGCGAGGTCTTCAACGAAGTCTCTCACAATAAAGTCCTTGTTCGAGAAGTTCTCTAAAGTAAAGCTGGGGCCCTTTGGGAATATTGACCTCCCGCTCCCACCTCCACCACTATTCAGAGACGACATTGATTTCGAGGAGCCACCCGGGGGCCCAGTCCTTTATGAGGCTTGCGAATATCCTTCAAACATTGAATATTCAATCTCTCGAGTTCGTAGGATCCGAGTATGTTATGTGTAACTGACTCGGTGTCTGTGGCTTTGACTTGCGACAAGGACAAGCCCTGGGGTCGGGTCGTTCGCTTCAAACGTCGTGGCCTTGCGCCAGCCTCTGGTGCTCCCCCGGAATTTTGAACTCTTACTTGTCTTCCCAACCAGGAACGCTTCTTTTCACCACTTTTCCAAATTCCAAAGTTCGAAAAGAGATTGAACGGATATGCCGCGTGCAACCAGAGAAACAGAGATTTATAGGCGGGATGCCAAACTCAACCACAACCTGCTCACCCCAGCAGAGCGAGAGAAGCTCATAAAGGTACACAGTTCTGCCAGCATAGGACAAAGTACCTTCTAATTCAATCTGCAGCCATACCTGCCCACCCTACCAACAAAGTCAACATCAAAACGAAACAAGAATGGAAATATCCCCGCCATCCGAATTGAGCAGCCTACAGGTTCAAGACTAGGAGTCCGGAAGTTCCTCCGAGCACAGCTTCACATTCTTCTTTACGCCATTGTTCACACCATCTTCTCTGTCTATATACGAATACGACTTGCATATCATGCTGTGAAGGACAGAATACTGGCTATTCTCTATTATCATCATCGGACGCCCGAGCTCATTCAGAAAGATGTGAAAGGACTCAGTCGACTACCCGAGCACCTTAGTGTCATACTGAAATTAGAGGACGGAGGTAGAGGGGGGGCTGGCTTGGAAGCACTTGTGGACGAAGTTGCGGAAATATCGGCTTGGTGTGCTTGCGTAGGGATTCCAATGCTGTCAATATACGAGAAGACAGGTACGGACTATGGAATGAGACCATAGCTCTGCTAACGTTGCATAGGTATTCTGAAAAGCTATGTTCCTGCTACGCATAGAGCTGTTTCGAGGAAGCTGTCTTCTTATTTCGGCCCACAACAACCCGCTCTATCATTACGAGCACCTCATGTTCCCTCGATGGAGTCCTCATCACCGACTTCATCATCTGAGAGTCGAAGATCAGGTGTCCAACACTTATCAGTCCTCTTGCTCTCGGCGGAGGATGGAAGAGACTCATTGGTCGACCTGACAAAGACCTTGGCAGAAATGTCACAACGATCAAAACTCTTACCAAATGATATCAACGTAGACTTAGTCGACGCCGAGATTTCAGAAAGCATCATGGGTGAGCCAGATCTGCTGGTACTTTTCGGACCTTCTGTCGAGCTGTCTGGCTATCCACCCTGGCAGGTCCGGTTGACTGAGATCTTTCACGTGCAGGATAATCAAGGAGTTGGTTATCAAGTATTTTTGAGAGCTCTATACAACTACGCTAATGCTCAAATGAGGTTTGGACGATAGATCATGTGAGGAATACTAAGGCTTCCATAGCTTCATTTCTCTCGATCTTTCGTCCCATCTGAAGACAGGTCCGTTGCCTACATTATAATTGTAGTAATTCTCTGTCCCTCCTTTCACCATGGCTCGTCGAAATGTGATGTTGATCCTTCCTCCATCCTCTGCGTTCTTTCCTGTTCTTTTCGGGATGGAATGAAGCCAATTAGCTTGCGTTGGACCTCTCATGAGTATCATATCTCCACTTGCTAGTGGCAATTTGATTGGGGTTGTTGCTGGAGGTGGTGGTGCGGAGTCATTGGGAATGATAGGCTTATGCTTCATGAGAAAGTCTCTCCTCGCCCCCAAAGAGAATGATGCGATGGCTGGTAAGCTCCCAAGAAACCTCTCGTCGTCACTGTGATATGAAATGCTATCTGAGCCGGATGCGTAGTAGTTGACAAGACAGAAATTGAATTTGCATCCAGTGGCTGCTTCAGTCGAAAGCCTTAGATCGTCGAGGCACTTTGGTATTGGCCGTGGAGAATACTTCGAGTAGTACTTGTCGTTTGATATCTTTTTCCTTGTCTTTGCATCAACCACTTCTCCGTTCTCATCAAACCGTGAGGTTTCGTCTAATCCGAAAACTGTAGTGTATCTGTCTACATAAGCACTTGAAAGCTGATTATAGAAGAGTGATTTGCCTTGGGGTTCTGATTTGTGTCTCTACACCTCCCCTCTTTATCGTATACTCAACCCTGTAGAAAGGCAGTTCTGCTCGTAGGAACTGAGAGATTTGACTCTCAAGGTACTTGGGCACATAAGGTTGGAAATACAGTAAGTCGAGGTCCGCTTGGTCGTTGATCTCCTTGCCGATTGTAGATGGAAAGGATGGTAACGCTGATGAGATGGAAGTTGGGAAATTCACAATAGGGAATGGGTATGTTGTATGCTTTGAAAATTCGACATCCTTTACGGTGTCAGAGAATAGCTAGATATGTTCATTGGGAAACTCACCTGATCGGGTGCTGACGAGGTTTCATCCGCTTGTTCCAGGTCTCCAGAGTCAACTACATCTGAGGACTTTGCCTTCTTGGCAGGAGGTTTGAAGAAGGCATCCAAAGTCCGTTTCTTTGTAGAGGAAGACATCTTGGATTATGCATTGAAAAAGTAACAGACAATTTAAGAGCATACCTAGATATAGCCAATGAATGACATCACCAATAATTGGTAGCCTTGCATAACTCTCAGCCTTGTCTCTAAAAATTCTTGTGACTCGCAGGAACACAGCAACCACAACGAATGTCCCGAATCCAAATATGAAGTCATGGAGGTGTGTAAAATACTGATTCATCCTGTGACAAAATCTAACATAATGTTATAGGAAGAAAATCTAGCCAGAGCGTTCGACACAATGTCCTTCCTCTCCCCTCCCATTGTCCGCTCAGCGGGCGCAATTTTGGATCGCTCCCTATTCTCGAAGACGTTCCCTATTACTGCAGCGAGGATAACAAACCTGAAGAAGATCTCCCAATATCGAGCACAGTTAGAAAAGACTCGAGAACTTCTGCGGCTGGAAAGAATTACCAATGTGCAACCAGATCCAGATCCAACTCTAGCCTCAAAGGGTGCGAAATGTATGCTGCTGAGCCCAGACGTCAAGCCTGGAGATTCAAACACGTGGAGTACTAGTCTTAGAGATGCTGTCCAGCAGAAAGACGTAGAGGTGGTGCCATATGGCTTGAAGCTTGATTACAATCATTGGACGTACCGTGAGTACGTCGAAAGATTCAAGGCACATCCAGACACTTACTGATACTTTAAAGATGACATTATGAAATCTATCTTACCAGATGAAGATCAAGAAGAGATCCCTGTCGGGTTTGCAATAGTCGGGCACGTTGGTACGATACCCATCTTCTTCGGCCTTCTCGCACTAATTCACCAAGCCCATTTGAACTTGCGAGACGAGTACCTAAAATATAAGAATCTGATTGCGGAAGTCCTCGTTGACAAGAATCCGAATATTCGCACGGTCATCAACAAGGTAGACGATGTGGGAACGCATTCGGAATTTCGAACCTTCGATTACGAGGTGCTTGCTGGTCCAGACGATATGGATGTCGAGATCAGCGAAGGAGACTGTATATTTCGATTCAACTACTCAAAAGTCTACTGGAACAGTCGCCTCCAAACAGAACACAAGAGATTGGTGGACTCCTTCAACCGTGGAGAGGTCGTTTGTGATGTTATGGCCGGAGTAGGGCCCTTTGCTATCCCAGCTGGCAAGAAAGGAGTCTTCGTGTGGGCAAATGATCTTAACCCAGCCAGCTATGAATCTATGAAGGATGCCATTGTGAGGAACAAGGTCAGTCATATCCTGCTTCTAAACGAGTACTTCTGTGATGATTTATATCACGACGGTCAACATAACCACAAGTTGGCATTGATGATACTGCCTATGACAAGGCGCTATAATCTGATTCTCAGGCACACACTCTCCCCTTCACTTCTTACCTCGATTCCCTATATATCGTACCAAAGCTAAAACCAACAAGGTCCAACCTTTCGTCAGACCCCATTGCGAAGACGGCCACACATTCATCCGCTCAGCAGCAGATAACCTCCTCTCTCTCACCTCCACCGGACAAAACACCACAACCCTCCCCGCCAAATCCCACCGTCCCAGACCAGGAGCCGGGCCTCCACCCGCCCCAACAGTCCTCACCATCCCATCCACGATCTCCCACTTCGTCATGAACCTCCCCGCCACCGCGATCGACTTCCTCGGCTCGTTCAACGGCTTCTACGCCGGCCACGAGGCCTTGTTCGCAGGTGATGATGCCCAGGCGAGAAGATTACCCATGGTGCACGTACACTGCTTCTCGACGAAGTCGGATGACAATTTGGCGGAGAGCCACGAGATTTGCGAGAGGATCACGGAGAAGTTGAGGTATCAAGTCCGTCCTAGGATAGGGCAAGGTAGGAATGTGGGGATTGAGGATTGGGAAAAGTTGGGGTTGGAGGAGGGGGAGGTGTTGATTAGGGAGGTGAGGGATGTGGCTCCGAAGAAGAGGATGTTTTGTGCGAGTTTTAGGATCCCGAGAGAGGTGGCGTTTAGGAGTAGATGAGGATGAAGCAGGCGGAGGGTTGGATGTGGTTGCTCCGATAGGCTGTGTTGGAAGAGATAGCTTTTGGAGCTGGATTCTGATGTAGTCGTATCTCGTCATTGTAGTAGAATGACGATAGGTTCTACAACAACATGCAATCCATCACCACATCTTTATTAACGCGGCGTTTGGGGGCAAGCTGTGGTAAACAACGAGAATCGTACTTGCATAAAATCATTTGAAGATGATCTTGGCAGCGTTGTTAAGAGCTATTCGATTCCTAGATTATCTGGTATGTGCCTCAACTCCAGTAGGGTAGTCGTCCTTCGCAGTGGTGCCCTTGCAGAACATGACGAGTATCAATCCCATACCCTCTCACACCAATATTTGTCTGTTCAGGGTATACCTGGACCTTTCTCTACTACTCTAGGTAGGGCTCTAAAAAGGGCGTCGAAAGAGGCTGGTTCAAATTCTTGCATGATTCCATCGATTTAGCTCGATCTGTCCATCAGAAAGAGAATCAAATACATTGTTTCTCACAACATAAATACCTCGATCAAGATCCCCGTCAAACGCGATCATCCCTTCTGTATGACCCGTATATTTGCTGCCGTAGTTCCCACCTCGACATATCCTGAACTCCAATCTAATCCTTCTGCGAACGTTGATCCTAGCCTTCAAAGAGAATCAAAATTGAATGCCAAACTACGAGCAGTTGGCAGAGGAAAGATCCATTGTCAAGAGCGAACGAGATAGCCAGGCTATGACTGGGGATACTAGGCTTTCGATTCGTGGAGAAGAATATTCACTTATGTTTGCGTCTGTTCCTAATTCAAGCTCTATTTCTATGACTTATTGATGATGATAACATGTTGTGTCCTTTTCGACTCTCCTTGTCCCATTCTCTGCTACGAAGAACTTGTGGGTTACGTTTTTCGTCCGTCTGTATGCCTATCACTCGAAGCTGGAACTCCAATCCAAACTCACCTTGGTCTGCCAGCCTATCTGTAAGGGACAGTACAGCAGTTTATCCTCTGAATCCGCCAGTAACGTCGAGCGCTATAGACCGAACGACGAGAGGGTGATATGGCAGCTCGGGACCTAGCTTCGAACGCGCCGATTCTACGGCTTGCTCATGTTGGAGGGAATGGATAATGAAGTAACCTCCGACACTCAACACATGGTGAGGCGAAGTATCGATAGGCTCAGTGGAAGTGTTGCAGATGTTGACAGATTGGTATGAGACAAAGGTAGCAGCTGACAGAGAGAGAAGAGAGCTCGAGATGTGAATATGTGATGGAAACTGCTGGAATGTCAGTATAGATGCCGCTTGAAGACTTACTCTGAATTGTATATCAAAAGCCCTGATATCTGACAGGAACGGGTCTGCTGTAGTGCAATGATATCTGGACGCAGCTAGTGAACACGATAGCAGTTCGGGAGGCAAAAGATGTGCTCATAAAACTTCGATGATATCGTGTGTGAACGTTGTTGACAAAGTCGAGAACCCAGAAATGAGATATTCGACAACTGCGTGTGGAAGCCATCTTCACTCCTAATTTGCCACCCACAAGAGCGAGCATTGTAAGAAGCTCAAGGCTCAATCACAAGCATCGCCTCACCTCACTTAGCTCTCACCTCACACGCAACACTTTGTATAGCGCCCTAACGATCCCAATTCTTTCCACCAAAGCCATGATCGATGATGATTCAAAGCCACAGGTAGAGACGGCAGAGGAGTGAGATGTTTCTCCAGCTCCCAACAAGCTACCATAATAGATGATCAAGGCCGTAGCCACAAAGCTCTTGCGGGACAGCCTTTACTGCGAGCCTGATGACGGCTTGGACCGCGACACCATGATCTGCAGGCCCAGCCCTTGGAGCCCATAGACTATAGCAAGGAACGATAGAGCATCTCCAAGATCTCTGTGGTCTTTCTGCCAACAAACCATCATTTACTTGAAATTGCCAGCTAGGTATTGAAGCCGATTGATTGTAACATCTGCTTCCTCGTCATGTGGACAAGCATCTCCACGATGGCTCTGAAACCTGCCCGAATGGGTGTTCAATCGTAGCACAACATCTCGGGACAGACCGCTGTAGACATTTGGTGCGTCGAGACTTGGGCTGTCGGCGGCAACGACAATGAGATGAGGAGGCTCGAGTATCATTTGCTTGTTTCTCGACCCCGTAGGTACGGTACGGTGCATTATCAACAAGTACCTACCTCCGCAATGTCTCGGACGTCTGGACTAGGAGGTCTCGATGTTGCACGGCATTCCAATAATGTTTGACAGAGAGAGGATCGTTGCATGGCAAGAGGGGCGTAACCTAGTGTCCGAGGCTCGAGCCGCGACAAAGAGCAATGGTAGGACGACAACGCTTGTCTTTTGCATTCCTCTACTCATCAAGAGGAGCATGCTCCGCAATGTCTGACTTTCTCGAGCCCCGGTCCTGGTTCTTGTATAAACGGCGCTGGCTTGACAGGAAAGAAAGGGCCGACAATAAGATATTGCACCATCCGATTCTGGCGCAAATAGACGATAGACCAGGTGACTCGTGTTTGGAGATGAGCTGGCAATATCTCCAATATTCTTCTCGAGGTCCCTTCAAGGTCTAGATGCGGACATTAGAAGCCAAACTGTGAAGCGATGGGCCAGTCGGTGACAAGTTCGAGACCTCATCTACAGCATCTGGTCGCATCAGACCCTTGGCTCTGTCCGATTGGTATCAGCCTCGGTCCACCTCGACATCACGTCTCTGTTTCGGTGATGAAGATCGCCGGAATAGAAGTGGGCATCTCAGCCTCGTGGAACCCTCGTGATCTGAGATTAAGGGAGCAGAGACAAGGAGGCTGGTCGTTGCAACGCAAGTGGTCCATGACATCAGATCATCCCAACAATCAAAAGCGCAAAGCAACACATTCGGACAATAATATGAAATAAGCGCCAGGGGGACCGAAACCCATCCATTGTCAGCATGATTCATCACACCCACCGCAGCGCGTATGCCCGTAGCAAGAAGTCAAATAGGCGCCGAATGAGAGGTCAGAAGTGCTGATTCTGGCTCTCATTGGCTCAGGCTCGAACCATAAGGCGGGCGTCCGTTGCGGGATATGTGTTTCAGGAGATTGAAGATGACGATGGAGAGGGGAATTGATAGACATTTCAATACACTTGTTTTGATGTTGCTTTTTGGGCGCGGTTTCAACGGCGGCTTGCGATGTACCGTGGTAATGCAGCATCATATTCTTGCATGCCCTCCTCGCGCTGCAACCGTGGGAGAGCAGGGGACCTTAATTCGGACAAAACAATTGCAGAAAAGAAAAGGAAACATGGCTGGACTCAGTGTCCCCTCTGACCTGCCCCGAAACACTTCCAGAGGCTCCGGCAGAGCAGAGCACATGGCGGCCAGACGGTGCGATGAGATCGGGGGATGACTGTTGCACACCTGTCGAGCGAGCGATGGAGGGATTCGTAATCGTTTCCAAATCATCAAACCTCCGCACTTCATACATCCAGACATAGAGTATGGTAAGGTTACATGCAGTGTCGTAATATGGAGTGGCAGGATAATGGCAGGAGATATTGACTCCGGGGGATCAGCGGTGTTTGGGGGGACATGTGGTGGTGCACGAGGCATATAACAGTCATAGTTATTATGCCATGCACAGGAAATAAGAAGACTTGGAAGTCAATTCAGGTCTGAGGCAAAGTGTTCGCTCTCTCTTTGCTTGGAGAGGGAGAGTTGGATGAAAATAGGCTCAATCGACGAGTGAAAGGACCGACCAGGTTGAACCTGTCATCGGACTGGCCGGAAGAGGTCTATACGACGAACAGGGTTCCTGAGCTGTGGAAGCTTCGATCCCTCGTGCGAACGTTCGATATCTCGCTTGGCATTAAATTATTATTCGGTGAGAGGATGATGCTAATGATTACAGTATTATGATTATGGTTATTCTTGTGCCGGTACGGATTCCTCCTCCAGTACTCCTCCCTTGCGCCGCCTCGTCTAAGTAGGTTGAAGCAAGCGTCTGAGGCGTGGGTGCAATGCAGTGCTGACGATGATGAATGGGTGACAAAGTCGGGGCATCGAGGCCGCCTCGTTTCTGCATTGGAGGAGGTGAGGACAGGACCGGGGGTGTTCCACATCCGGCGGGACGGTCGCACTTCAAAACAAGTGAGGCTGGGAAGAAAAGCATGGGGAGGGGCATGGACGGCATGGCATGGCTCATGGCAAGGCATGGGCAAGACATGGCAGCTCGAGAGCTTGAGCACGAGCAGTCGATCAGTGGGAGGAGCAAGATGAGGAGGGCCAACACAATCATTGGAAGAGCGTTCGACCTCTCACACGTGCGGGAGGAGAAAAGAGCAGAGAACGATTGGAGCGCAAGACATAGAAATAGCAGAGAAATCCCACGGAATCGACCAGTAACAGAATTTTGTGAGTGTCTTTTTCTCGCTGCAGACTTCTGCTTTTGGACATTTCGAAGCGTCGCTGCACCACACATGCGCATCACTCTCCTCCGGACTACTTCACTGTTTCTGCCCACCCGCCAGAAGAAAGTGTATCATCTCACACACTTGCTCACCTCACTTCACTTTACCTCGTCCACGCACCCCTCCCAGCGCTGCACCTCGGATCTCTCCCGCCTCCCCGTCGTTAAGGTGTGTTGTGCTGTGCTGTGCTGTCCTGGACAGACAGCATCCGACGACAGCAACAGCAAGATCTTCCAGCGTCGCGAAGCTGGGATTCCAGCAGCAGTCGGTCCCAATCTGGACGCGTACACCGCTTTTGTGTGTCCCGTGAAAAGAAGAGCGGTCGAGCGGTAGCAACGGCGGAGGTCGTCCATCATCGTCATCATCTCATAAGCTTTCTGCGAGCCCCCAGCCATCGCGCATCCGTCTCGTAGTGGATTTTGACGCCTCTTCCTTCGGCGACGCAATCCTCTCCTGCTCTTCCGGTCATCTCTCGGGCCAAGAGAGAAGAAAGTAGCATAGAGAAGGAGCAGCGCAAGACGAAGAAGCACAGTCGCATATCAGAATCGCATATCACGCGCTGTGCACGAAACGCGACGGGTGGTGAGCCGAGCAGAGCACGTCTTACTGGAGTGCGGGACTGAAGCTTGGGGGGAAGTGTTTTCCAAGCGTGTCAGTGCACCACTCACTTCTCGTTCCAGGAAGCGGGCCAACGCAGCAGACGCAGCAGCAGCAGCAGCGAAAGGGAAGAGACAGAAAAGAACCCAACCCAACCCAGCCACACCATTTCTTCTAGCGAACCCCGGAACCCAGATCCCAGATCCAGGAAAAGAACTGGAAGAGCGCAAAGTAATTTACTTGTCCAGGCTTTGGGGCACTCGAGTCCGGACTGGGGCATCTAGACTACCACGGTCCCGCATCTCTGGGTCAATTGTACCGTCGTGTGTGGGTGGTGCAATTGGTTTGTCAGTTTGTCAGCACTTGATGATTCTCTGGGTCTACCCATCAACAACGCACCCACACGTTCTTACAGTATATTTCGAGGGACGAGTTCACCCACGCCGCTTCGCTTCTTTCTCGAGCAGAAGGAGGTCGAGAGTCGAGAGCGTGAACGCTTTCTTCACTCCACCCCACCCAACTCGCCTCGCCTCGCCTTTAGCTCCATCCGTCCCTCCGGATCATCAGCAGCAGTCCATCTTCCTTCACCACTTCACAGTCCGTACAACCAACGCACCTCAGCCTCCACTCCCCTACTTTTATATCGCCATTGACCTGCCACTAAGCCCTTCCTTCCCTTCCACAGCTCTGTCTCTCGCCATCCAACCCCATCCCCATCCCCATCCCCATCCCCATCCCACTCCGCCGTCGTGTCTTGTCTTGGCCTCCTCCTGCTCCTCTGCCTCATCCCGCTTGCTCTGGTCGGCCGCACCCAAGCCCAGGAGGACTGCACTTCCACTCCGTACCAGAACCAGACCTGGCCTTCTCTATCCGCACTCCATCGGGCCTTGATCTCCGCTCGTCACCACACCTGCACACCTGCACACCTGCACACCTGACATCCCGTATACGTACCGCCACGGCCTGTTTATCGCCACCCCCAGCCCTGCCCGCCACTTCCTCCTCCTCTGACCGCTGCGTCTGCGTCCTGCTGCTCTCCCTCGGTCGGTTTCACCTTTTCAAGCTTACTGATCCCTGGTCGGGCTGCCCTGGCTGCGGATCCCGGGGTGCCATTCTTCGAACGTAAACGAGCGAGTCATCTCGTGTCCCTGCGCTTCCATTGTTCGCTCTCCCGTCCGTCATCAGGCTGCCACCATCCACATCCACACCAGCAGCATCCACACCAGCATCCTCTCCACCACCACCACCATCATCATCATCATCCCTCACTCACTCGAGCCACACCCCCTCGCTCACTCTGACCTGCACTGGCCCCAAGCCCCAAAGAAAAGAATTGACGTTCCCATTTTTTCACACCCGGCCACTCAGATCTTCTCCTCCCTTCTCCCATCAACATTCATAACCAATCACCTCCGCCTTCTTTCTACGTCAAATCATCTTTCCAGAACGTCCTCAGAACAGAAAAAAAAGTGCAGAGAGGATCGATCCATCCTATCGTCGCCAATCCATCGTCCCAGATCCAACCAAGATAACGATCGATACTGTTCCTGTTCCTCCTCCACTCGCGCACACAAAATCCCGCCAGTCCGCAGTCTATCGGCAACGCGCTGCAACGACTGGTTCCCAGCATCGCCAACCTGGGATGCGACACTCGACCAATTATTCGCACCAGCGTCAACCCTTCACTGATCACCGCCCGGAGCCCTATCAACATCGTGAAAGGCTTCATCGCGACGACATTGGCCTATTTCAAAGTCCAGTGACCAAAACTTGCTGCGGTCAGGATCTCTTGTTCTGATCCATCGGGGCCTTGAGAGACGCTTGACGTCGTTCCATTGGAGGTGAGTCCTTCCCTGGGGCGCAACGGCGGAGAATTTAATTCAAACGTCGTCGAAGCTTCTCCTCCACAGCGGTCGCGATAGTTGCGCGTCGCACCGAGAGCCGCTGCCAACCTGCTTGCCTGCCTGCAGATGGGCCGCGATCGTCGACTGACTTTTTGTATTCAGGTTGTGTGAAAGTACGTCGATTGTTGCGAAATCGCCCTGACTATTATTTCTGCCCGAGCTTTGTCGTGAGGCTGGTTCGCGACTGCTGTCCCCCCATCCACCTCGCCCGCACTTCCAAGCGCGTCACGACCTCCGCAGCTATCAGCATCAGCATCTTCCCCGGCTCGACTCGACTTCACCTCGATCAGCTTGAAACGGTTTGGCATTACGAGCTCACGCCACAGTCGACAAGACAAGAATAGGAATTGCGCGGGTGAAAGCCGATTGACAAGGTAAGCCTAGTTTGCAGGCCCGCATGCATGGCCAACGCATCACAACTGGTCCAAGGCGAAAAACAACATCGGCCCAAAATCTCCCCCCTCCCCCAATCGCCCTCGAAGCTTGACACTTTGACCAAATCACCGTCACTAATACGTCTGGTTGGATAGTATCCGTGAAGCATTACGGAGAACCTCTCACGCCGCTCTCCAGGTGGCTCGTGAAAACCCGGTCCGTGAAGCTATTCAGCAGCAAGAGCTTCTTGTCTCAACAGCCTCAAGCGCGAACCGCCGCCTCATCTTGTTCCCCTCACGTGGACTTTCGAGGACGAGCCTGATCCCGCAAGCCCTGCCCAGGACGACATCAGCTTGCATATGCTGTGCTGCGGCCAATTGCGGTGTACACACCTACCAGATCGCCTGCCAGCACATCCACGCATAACGAATTGACCAGAAGGCTTATTCACTAGCTGAACGTCAGCCACCTGGATACTCTCGTCAAGAGTCAGAAACGCGTTCTCACAAGTCGGCGCAACTTCGATCTCTCCAAGTACATCCTCAAGACCCAGTCTTTGGATCCATACCGATCGATAAGCGCTTCCAATATACCTCCCTTCAACAAAAGTTCGCAACTTCTGCCTGCGTACCAAACGATCTGCCACTAGGTAGACGTATCGATCGACGCGCCGCGCATATCGAGCCTTTGCGACTCGAATACATAACATCCAGTCCTAGGGATATATCTAGGAACTCTTCGTACAAATGATGGAGTACGCGCAATACCAACAGCCGCCGCAAGGCCAACATGGACATGGTCAAGGGCACATTCAGAGCGGATACCCGAATACCGGTCAACATCCAGGCACCGGGCCCTCAATCACTTCTCCATCACAACCTATTCACTCACAGCATGCGGTGCACCCACAAGCGTCTCCTATACTCTCCTCTCAACCTCAACAACACCAACAGATGAACTATCAACCTGCCTATGGCGTTCAACAACCAGCCATGCATTATGGGATGAGCCAAATCACACCGCAAGCGGCAGCCATGGCCGCAACAGCGGCTGCTTCTGGAACCGGGTATCCGTATACGCTCCCAGATGGCGCGCTCCCTCAGACATCGCCGAGAATGGGTGGTGGTGGGGTTTCTGTCAAGCAAGAGGCTGGGCGCAAATCACCCAGACAGATGAACAACCAGATGGGCCATGGACAAGTTCAACAAGCTAGGAGAATGAGCGCTCAAGTCGGCAGCCCAGCTGTACCCAATTCTCAACCCATCATGAACCATGCTCCGCGACCATCCGTACCGCCAATGCCTCAAGGCCAGCCACATCCACAATCTCCCGAGCTCGTGTCTGGCGCAGTTGAAGAATCACCTCTTTATGTCAACGCAAAGCAATTTCATCGTATCTTGAAGCGTCGCGTCGCAAGACAGAGACTCGAGGAGGCTCTGCGCCTGACCTCGAAGGGACGAAAACCTTATTTGCATGAAAGCAGGCACAATCATGCAATGAGGAGACCTCGAGGCCCAGGTGGGCGATTCTTGACTGCTGATGAAGTTGCCGAGATCGAGAGGACAAAAGGTGAAGGGGGTGACGAAGGCAACAAGGGGTCCTTGGAGACACCTGCAAAAGGCCCTTCGGGTAGTGGTGGAGGATCCGGCACCAAACGAAAAGCAGATTCGGACAATGCGACGCCCAGCAAGAAGGCAAAACCAAATGCGCCACCTGTGCGAAGTAGTGCAGAAGAAGAGGATGATGAGGACGATGATGGGGAAGATGATGGTTGAGCCTCAAGATGTATTGGGCATCCATTCTCGGGACTGATTTCCTTTGTCGATTCATTTGTTTCATGATGTTATGACAGCGTTGATTTTTGCGTTGCTTTACCGAATTTTACTTCATTAGCAAGCCGGGGCTTTGCTTTCGCATCAAACTTTCCCTCATGGGTACGAAGAAACATCTCAACACTGGGGGACGGTGGCGGATGGAGTTTTTTCTTGAGTTTCGGGACTGGGCTGGCGGCATACCTTGGGCGATGGGTCGGGATGGGCTGCATCTGGACGGTCGGTGGTTTTACAGGACACTCGTTTTGCTCTTGCACGTTTCTTCTCATAGTCGCTCGCTAGAGAACTAGAATACCCCCCTTTGTCGTTGCATTTCCTTAGCGATGTCAATATTTCTCTTCTTTGCTGCCGACCCATCGACGACCATTTCTCCTGGCTTGCCAGGGTCGGGTTGGTTCGATGGGATCGCGTAGTCTGGGCTTTGATGGGTATGGAATGATGGAATGGATGGAGATTAGAAATTTGGCACACATCCCTCACCGGATCAAAAAAAACACAGAACGGCACGCGTGACGCAGCCGAGCTTCATAGCGGGTGGCGCGCGGGATGGAAATGGAAATTTACGATTATGGCTTTCTTTGTGTTCGTTCGTACCTTGCTTGTAGGGCTGGCTAGCAGGCATACGACTACCTACTACCTTCGTTGGAGCGATGAAGAAACTTGATGCGATGCTGGACGGGCAAGAAGAATAGGATGAGATAAATGGGAAAGATCCTGTATCATATTTTCTGCTACTCCGCTAGCGCTTCTGTTGAGATTACAATGAATGACACAGATTGAAACTTGATAAGCTGTGTCTCTTTCACTACGCATCTACTTTGTGATTCCGTGAGGTCTTTGCTTGTTAACCTGCCTTGTATATGCTAGGACTTTTCATCCTCGGGTTCACTTCATATAGCAATACCTGGTCTCTATGTGTATGTGGACCCGTAGTTGATGCCATTCCATCCCTTCCTCAACAAGTTGACGAAGACCCAGCCTCTCTTCATGCTCATGCCTATTCACTTTCCCCCTAACTCCTCATAACCTTCCTCTCTCTCCTTCTCACCTCAACTTACCATCTTTCCTCTCCACTTATTCCTATCGAATTCATGGTCTTTCATGCCCAAGACGAGGAAAATCTTTCTCTTGTGTTCAAGTCATTGTCCTGCTGTTGAACTGAAGTAGTTTTTATCCCTGTACTGCTCTGTGGTTCTGGTCTTGGTGTTAGATTGGGCTTCGTTCGTTGTTTGCTGTTCAATGTTTAGCACACGTCTTGTCCTCCTACTCGTACCTTGGGATAGTGAAGCGCAGTGGTCCAGTGGTCCAGTGCTGTACTGCTGGAGCACTCGAGGCAAATTACGGTAGAGTTTCTAACTTGTTTGGTTGCTTTGGTTGGGGTGAGTGTGAGGGTAGTGGATGTGGGTGCTTTGTATTAGCATTTTTTTTGAGGTTTTGGATTTCTCTTTTTTAGTAGAGGAGTTCTTTGCCCTCGCAAATATTGCTGTTGATTACATTTGAGTGCTGGGTAAGATAATGATGTCGTTGCTGAAAGGAATGGGTTGATCGACATGACAGCTCAATTCACTAGGCATAATTTCTCTTCCGTGCAGGTGTATGTCTCGGTTGGCTAGGGGGGACATGTCGCCATGGATGAATTACAAGTCCTCGTTCTGTTTTGTTGCTACCTGGCTTGAGTGATAGGACTTCTAGGCAGAGTGTGGAAGCAGTCGGTCAATTGTGGGTGCAAAAGTGTTGTATTGACTATCTGAAGGCTACGGAAAGAAGGAGTAAAGAGGTGGTGATGAGTAGTATCCCTTTCTCCACAGCCTGTATCTTGCTATTTTCAAGCTTGTGTGCTTTTATAGCTAGCTGTGGTAGTTCTGTACTGTATTGCGGTGTGCTTGGATCTGTACCGGGTAGCAGGTAGTGTATGTATCTTTATCATTATTGCAGTTACGAAATTTTATTACGAGTTACGACTTAGACCAAGGTTCTAGGAGAGATGTTCGCAAATTCACTAGCATGCGCACGAGTAGACGTTCAGGAGTGCGTCATTTGTGCTGTTCTGGTCTTGAATAACTTGGACATCAGATTGTCTGTTTCTTGGCTTGATTGGAAGTTAATGTGTATTCATGATTCTGATAACATACAGGAATAGGAAGTTGGAGTTGAATATCGGTTTGTGTGAACACGACTACCAGCGTGTACTTTGTGCTTAAGGATAGAGGATGGGTATCTCGATACCCTTTGATTCATTGTCGGTTCACATATTATTCCTCTCGTAAGACTTTACTAAACATCGATGTGAATGATGGTGAAGATAGCCGTCTAGCATTGTTCCATGACAGTCCCCGACAGTAAGTACTGTTCACCATCCCTCAAATTGTACGAACATTCTTGAGCGATCATTGTTGATACTCAACCTGGACATTCAGACTCCGGCTCTACCTTTCCACACCTTCCCACACAATTCCTCTCCACCCAACTCCAACACCCGCCACCCAAATCCCTCGCAATCAGGCTTCAATAACAATCTGACAGGCGGATCATCAGCTTGCGGTCCGGACGCATGCATGTCAGAGCCGCTTGCGGCACTTGCCTATTTGGACTTCGCATTACTGTCAGCTTCGTACTGCTCTTGAAACGCGATTCGAAACTTCTGATCTCACGACACGTTGAGGAGGGGATGGGTGGTTCTAGTAAGCGGGTGTTGTGGTACATTGATAAGGAGGAGTTTGGAGGTGGGGGTTGTTATATGGTCGTGTAAGCTCGTGGGGTTTGAGGTGGGCAAGAAGAGGAGGAGAGGAGGCAATGTGGTTCGTTATGGATTATTATCTGGGGGATGTTACTCAGCATGTAGAATGAGGCTTGTGGAAAAAGAAGCAAGTCATCCAATTTGAGACTGTCTGGGGTAATGTTTGACAATCGTTGTGCAGACGACGAGAGGATGGGTGGCTTGAAGATAATGTGCAGACTTAGCAGTTCAATCATTTGGACCTGATGATAACATGATCTGGCTGGTTCCTGTGCTGAAATTCATTGGGCTTTTGCTGAGTTATCCCATTGGATGATGGACTTCGACGAAGGATGTCATCCTAATACGCCTGAGAGGTATCCATCTTAGAGCTGCGGCTCAAATTCTTCCGTTATAGGAGAGGCAAAGTGAGAAGATTGCCTGAAGTAACAACTTTTATGAGAAAGCGTGCCCAAGTTAGCAATCTAGCGATCGCGAATAGTCGTTTAATCCTATTGTACCTTGCATAAGTTCGCCGGCTGACACAAACTCGAAAAGAGCTGACCGGAATCGCGGCCCGAAATCAGCGTAGGCTTCTACGAGATGTACGGTGGGAAACTCAAATCAAGCTGAGGACTAGAAGTTGACATTGCATTGCAGTTCCGAATATCGGTCTTCCGGATTCTAAAGGAAGAGGCTATGGCCGTGGTAACTTAAGACCCAGCTGCAAGCGTGACTGGAGTGTTGCATGGCTGATATTAACACTAAGGAGAAGTTGAAAGTCGAAGTGACCATGCATCAACGTCCTCGACTTTAACATGATTTGTATCGGAAGCTGAATGTTTACCAAACGTGTAGCTACCAGAAACTACAACGACCTGCTTGGAAGGGTCCACACAGACGACGATACTGTGTAACGCCTAGCTTGTACACTTGCGGAAAGTCTGATTCAAAATACTTTCAGTATTTTGGACATGAAATCTCATCCCTCTACCATTGTAACTGGTAGCATGATACCCTTCCTATAATCACCTCCCATTTGCCACTAGACAGACAACATGGAGACTTTCGGTTGTCACCGACATTGAATGATATCACATAGTGTGCTCAAGTCAGATGAAGATCTCCGTGCTGATGCATAGAGGTACGCTGTATTTTCGATGACCTCTAGGTATTGAAGATGTCCTGATAGGTCATAATTAAATCTAATGCTTCGTGACCAAAGATTGTGTATCTTGGCAGATATGAACTTTCAATATCTCAAAGCTTGAAGCTTCTCAAATGAGCGATATGACAAATCCAAACATGAGATTCGCTGGAACACTTATCCCAAGGCAAGGAAAAACGCTTTGCATTGCTTTATGGTTCCTGAAATTTGAACCACCCCGCACCTCTGATGTCTTGAACCTTAATTCCTCTTCTTACCTATCCGAATCCTACCCTATCGGAAGCTATCCCTTTGGCAACAAACAATGCCCATCGAGAGGCTCCAACAATACTCCGAAACTCTATAATCCTCCTGCACAGTCCAGGATGGAGGGTCCTCCAAGCGATCCGCGCTCCGATCGAAACATCAAACAAACACTCTCCACAAACGTTCGACCCCTAATCCCTACAGTATATTGAGTTCAAGAGCTCCCAACGCATGCTTGCATGGACCCATCCTGACCAATGATTCGGAGATGCCTTTCGAACAAGAGATGTCGGAGAGATGAGTGTCCCACCAGACTCTCGTCCTTGGCGAAAGTCTCCCCACTTGTTAAGAACTTTGTCTGAGCTGAACCTCTCCGCATTTCCCCGTCTCCACAATACTCAGCTCTGCACTAGCAGCGAGGGCAGACAACTTCAAGTCTCATTCCTCGAGATCTGGGGGAGGAGAATTCAACAATGTTGGTGCAACTCCTGAACAAGGAAACATGCAGGAGCGGTGAAAGATGACAATCTCAAGTAGTTACCTCGAATGTCCAGCCTTAGAAATATGAACGTAAACCTCTTTTGGGCCGATGATGCAACGTTTGGTGATCGTCGACACTCACATTTCATAGCGTTATCAAGCAAACTCTATCTTCCCGCCACTGCCCCCAATCGGCCAGTACAGCGCAAAAGCATCGATCGTACCTAGGTATCTCGTGAAATGCAACGAAGTAGCAATACAACAGATATACCTTGCGCGCGACTGTGTCGGAGTAATCCTCTTCCAACTCGGTGGCAATCGGACGATTGCGGTCTCTTGAGGAAAAAGTCAAACGTCGAGATCTCGACCTCGGAAATTCTCGGCTGACTCTACTGTAACCGACCCTCCATCCCTTTCTCGCCTCGCCTCGCCTCATCTTTACGGGACCCTTTCGCTACTTACCTATGCATTCGATTAGAGTCCCTGGCGTGCAAAGACACCTCAACGTGCACTAGCATTAAACGCTAAAACCAAAAAAGGAAGAAAGTTTATCTACTCCCTATGTCCAAAGCATCGTATACGTTTTCACCTACGCGTCCCGAGCACATGCTTCTCTGCATGGGGTTCGGCATGCCGAGACCGCAATTTGATGTCTGCGAAGAAGGGTGAATGGTGGCGTGAATGCTCTTTCCAGCCCTGTTTACCGAAGCTGCTATAGAGCTCCTTGCTACAAGGATCCTCCAGCAACGAGATGCTGCAGGTAAGCAGCCTTGTGCTACCCACAACGGGTTGCCTTCAAGCATCGATGTGTGTACGACAGGTAAGTGGCATTGCGGGGTAAGGACGGGGTCATGTGGTTGTGAAGGTTGGCTGCCACAAGGGCTGGAAGGTGACGCTCTTGCAGGACAAGTGAGATGGGAAGAGAGATAGAGCAGAGTATCGTAGGCTCCACGCGACGATTCTGACGACAGTGAGAAGTCAGAGACATGGGCAGTAACTTGTAGTTTATGTTTGGATTTCCATCTATGTGCTTTTGTACCATCTTCAACTAAATAGCATCCTTGACTAGCACCTATCATACGCCGTGATCCACCAGCGTTGCTGATGGTCTCTTTCCAGCCGTGACTTCGTGGTAGCTGTCAAGCAGCCACAGGGCTCTGTACAAGACCGTACAGTCCCTTAACCAACATCCCAAGCCGATAACCAAACCCAGTAAATCAACAGTACAGCCATTCAACAAATTCCGTACGCCAAGCACCCCAACCATACCACTAGATTGTGTGTTCCGCGGTAATATGCAGAAGCCACCTTTAAACGCCGCCCATATATGCAATTATTAAGTGATCCGAAGCTCTCGACTTGATTCCATTATGATCCTAGCCTTTGATTGACTTCATTGAGTGTTCAACTGAAGAGGGTTGGGGCTCTTCATAGCGCTCACCTTCTCCATCCAACATTCCATATTACGTGAGCGATGTCCTTTGCCGTATTTACAGTGTCCACGACCTTTCCGAAAAGACCCTCAGAGACGACATCATCCTCATCTTCCTCATAGGGCATGAACATTCCCGAGGGCGTACGCCTCATGCCAGATGGCTCGCCAGTGAGACTAGAAGATGAACCAGATGTGTGAAGATTTTGGAATCGTTCCTGGGTGGTTGACACACTATCTTTTCGATTGGCAAAGGCGCTCGGCGGTTGCCAGTTCATGTCCTCGTCGTCCTCGTCCTCGTCATCCCCAAGCAGCATTCGAGTCGATGGTTTTGAAGGCCTCAACGTTTCTTGGGACGGCGAAGGAGATAACTTGGATCCATTCCAGAATCCATTGCTGTGCTTCATTGCCGTTTCTGGAGGTTCTGGGGTGTCAGCTCTGTACTTCAGTGTCGTCGAAGGTAGCATTGCAATGGTCTTGCTCTCGGCACTGAAGCTCTGTCTTGGTGTTGTCCTCCTGCTATGAAGAGGTGGTAATTTTCGTTTCGAGTTACTCCGCTTCATCATGATTGCCCCATCATCTGAATCGCTGTCATCGTAGTCGTGTATAGCATACGCATCAGGCTCTTCCTCGTCATCTCCCTTCATCTCTAATGCTATACACTGCTCAACTTGTTCGTTGAAATGGATATGTTTCTTCTCCCCGGTGCCTGGAGATGCAAGTCCAGATGAGGAGATTGATGAGAGCATACTGGTATTCTCACGACTCAAGCGTCGAGAGGAGAAAGGGATTGTGTAGTCGGAAGCACCACGACCAATTGATGGACGCGCTAGTCCACCATATTGTTGTGCCTGAACTGCTGCAGCTGCTTGCTTTAAAAGTGATGATGACGAAAGAGACCTCTGAAGCATGATTTCCGACATACTCCTCTTCTTCAAGATTGGCTTCTTGTTCAGAAACGAGTTGGACTTGGATATCCGACTGCTACCTACAGGTGATGTAGAAGGGAGGTGTAGCGACTTCTCGGAGCCAGTCTGCAACGGCCCATATAGCCAAGTGACATCGCAGTCTTTGAGCCTGGAAAGTTGTTAAATCAATGCCAACACACTGGACTGGATAGGCCATTATAGTGCTTCACTTACCAATTAAGCGTTTCTGGAGAGACGGTCTTTAGTTTGTTCTTTGATTTCGTCCATGTCCTCCACGACGCGTTTTCCAGTCTGGCACTATTGTTGTATGCTTTTCGCTTGGAAACAATGTGCTTCCACGATGACCAGATATCTTCTTCTTTCCAATTGTGAGATAAGTAGTCTACATGTCTCGAGGGCTGAGTTCGAACTGCTGTATCGTCTTCCGCATGTTCCAAAGGGTCTGGGGAGACTGGCCGCGATACATTAGTCGAGGTACTATTAGAAGTGGGTGAAACGGTGTAAGAATCACCGGTTCGAGGGCTGGCCGGCGGTTCCAGATCTTCGACTTGATCGTAGTAGCCTACGTCGTCGTATGAAGGAAACACAATCTGGTCTTCGTCGTCTTCGTCGTCACAATGAGCGTCGAGCGACAAACTGCTTGCGGGCGTCGATGAGTACGAAGGAGCTGCAGAATCGGCTGTCAAGGTCCTCGGAGACGATGGTATGGAGGAAGATGTCGAATTGGTAGGAGATATTATGGTATTGAACCCGCCACTGCTTTTTGATCTGGAAGGGGTCTTCGCATACGATGGTTGTGTTACAAACTTCGGCTGTGAATGTGAACGGCGAAGGGAACTCGAGGAGAAATAGCAGTTCTCTTCGGAACTGAGCACAACGGCCATTCTGTGGGGAGAATGGGGAAGGTGGAGGGTGGCTGCGGTATTTTAAGGTCCTGGGACCAGGAATCGAGGGAGAACGGGCTCCTCGTCTCTAAATCGCAACAGTGTGCTCGGGGATCCAGACTTTCCCTCTCGCTGTCTCCCAACAATCAAGTCGCGCTATCCGCTGTATCATCAAGACAATGGTGAGAATCCCTGCCGCAGAGAAATCGGGGAGAAATCGAGGAGAAACCGAAAGCGGTGACGAGGAGGCGTCTATGCAATGCAATGCCAGGTCCTCGAGTACGGATGTGGGGTTCGACCAGAGAGCGGGGAGATCCAGAGGAGATACAGGTCGCGTCGATGAGGTTGTGGTCGAAGAAGGGAGGTGTTTGGAGGTGTATATCGGGAGGAGGAGGAGTGAGTTTGGTTGGAACGGCGGGAAGAGGAGAGGAGAGGAGAAGTTAGAGAGTTGTGGTGAGGACCCACTCGAATTGGAGCGTAGCGTAACGCAGTGCAGTGTAGTGCAGTGTGCACTTTCCCTGGTGGGCTGGCCAGGGCAGGCTAGTTCTAGCGAAGGCGAAAGGAAGGGATGCGATGCACTTTTTTTTTCAGATCTAGCCACACACCAACGAAAGCGGAATCTGACTTTTTTTTTATTTCCTTCTTCTTCTTTTCTTTACTGTACATCGTGACCAGGTTCACGATCTTAAAAGTTCATAGTCATGACAATTAAACATTCACGAGAGACCACAATCCGAGGATCCCACAATGGCGTGCAACGACGCCTGTCCTCGTCACACATTCACGACTCCCATACTAATACATACTAATTCACGAATTCCGATTCCAGACTTCAACCATAGCCCGCCGCCTACAACACGAGAATGCTGGTCCCGACTAAATCCCTCCAGTACCTACCTCTACCTACCTCCCCTCCCCATTTATGCACAATCTCGACAATCGGCGGTACCCTAACCCTACATCCCATATGGTTTATCTATTTTATCAGGAATGGTGTTATTAGGGTTGCTATTTAACACCACACGACGCCCATGGACACCGCACGACGATAATGCCTGCGCATATGTGATGCTGTTGGCATTATTTACCTCTTCATTACGCCTTCTCAATGGCTATTTGCTCCACACACGATGACATCCTAGCGGGGAGACGGTGTGCTTGGATGATTGTTTCTCGACCGCGAGCGGCGTCTGCCAAAGCGCACTCTGGAGAAAGTCCCCAGGCTGTCTGATTATTCGGAGACGCAAACGAGACGAGGCGAATAGTGGGCGACTGGACGCGAGACAGAGGGGAGCAGAGAGGAGGAGGCTGCCGATGGCTGTTGGGGATGCGCAGTCCCTGCTAGGCGCGATGTGAGAAAGCAGAAACACCACATCGAGACATGATTGTGCATACCGTTGACACACGAATAATAGGCAGGTCTGGCATGGCATAGCATGGCATGGCATGGCATCGCGGCGTGTACGACATCTCCAGGGCTTGTGGGGCATCATGGTTCAGACGGCTTGGGGACTCCACCTCTTCCACTCACCCTCCCACGGTACGCCGGGTACGCCATGGCCCAGAGCCGACAGCCACTCACTCCTTCGAAATCTCGACTGAGCCGGATCCTGATTTTGCTCCTGCCGACCTGCAACTCGATCTTGGTTTTATTAATGCAGTCGGGGGACAAAGTCAAACCAATGTACGAGCTCTCCATATGACTTCGTTTCTTTGCGCCTGCAGAGCGAGAGCTGCGGCTCGCATGAAACTACTAATCTCAAGGCCGGATAGCTTTCCCTACAAGCAACGAGCTTCCTGCATGATCCATTGTTGCAGCCAGAGATGTGCAGTGTAGTAACAGATCATCATTCAGTCGCCCAGCTCAATCGCCTATCGTTCGATTCCAGGCCTCTCCATCTGGAGTACTGTACTACGACGCAAGCAAATCCCCTCGACTCTTCACCGGCGTCGTCCTGGGTCCACAAACCCTATCGCCCGAATGGCAGCCCGCGACCCTCCGCCTCTCCTGCCCCCCAGTCCGGGCTTGCAGGAGCATGCAGAAGCACAATCCCCGTAACGGTCTGGCCATCTGTGGCGACGATCTCTCCCGAATAACCGAACGTGGGGAGAAACGAGATTCATGCCTCAGGTATAAAAAAAACCCCATTCTTTATGTTTCTCCTTCCTTCAGCCACTCATCTCTCCACACCGTCAAGCTTGGTGTTCGTCAGGAATCTGGGACTGTGGGGGCGCTGAAAGCCTCAAAAGTTCTCAACAAACGCACAGACATTAATTCGACCCGTCTTCTTGGTCAAGAGCGTGCATTGCAACAACCATCCATTCATACACGCAAGATATGTCCATGATTAGCGGCTCAGGGATAGAAATACAGCCCAGTTTTCGGTTCGATCTCATATGCTATCTTCCGGAGACGAACTCCTTGGGACGTAATCATTACCTCAGTGACGAAATTTGCGAGCGATTCAACGATCTGTCAACAGTGGACATACAAACCAGGCTCACCCCGTTACTGATAGATGGTCGAGCTGGGACTCGGATCTGAAGTCTCGTATTTTGAGGACATTTTTCTCCCGCACGGCGAAAACTTTCGAGACTCTAGAGACCTATCTCCGTGTGCTGACGCCACCCACCGTTCTGCCCGCTGTGTTCTAGACATGACTAAAGTCGACGGTTTTCAAGCGATATGCTAGTGGCATCCCATTGAAAGGCCAGTCAGGTCGCGTAGGCTCCAAGGCCGATAAGGGTCTTTGTGATTTGCAGCTATGAATGGTCTCCATGGCCCTACAGTCTTGGTTATCGTCAAGTTCTTTCTCTACAACTATCAGCCATCATCTCGAGCTTTCATAGAATGACGATTGAAGGCTCGTGTTTGCAAGTCTGTTGATGGAGTCTCGAGTCGAATCATTACGTCTCATTCATAGGTGACAGGACTCTCATCCTACCCCTGCTCCGTGCTTTAACTTTCTGTTACTCGTGCTTAGTCTCGAAAAAGGATCGGGATGGGAATTAGGGGCACGGGAGATCGGCGTGTCTACGAAGTTAAACCCGAAGCAGCCCTTTCTTTTACTAACATTTCACTTTGTCAAATGTGCAAGTACACTAAGTTGTTTGTGGTGGGACTAGGAGTCTGAAGTGGATCTCGCGCAAATAATCGGACCGTACAAGCCATGCCACCTTGGTTTCTTCTGACCATGTTGCCAAACCTATTGACGATTTTGGCAAAGGCTGAAGTCATTACGTTCGAGTGAAGCATCAGAGCACAACCATCCTTTATCCCCAAGGCTGGAAATCATGACCGATGCGGAGCCTCGCGTCTTCGAGCCATGTTCAGGCGTCGACCTGCCCATACAGGTTCCTGTTCCTATTCCTATTCTATTTGAAGGCTTGAAGGGCATCACTCGTTACTTTTAAAAAATCCTGAATCGTGTGCATTGTCAACTGCAGCTTGCTCCTTATCATATTAATGGTCAACGTTGACGTTTGCGCCCCAGGAATTGGATCACAGCATCGTCCAATGTAACTAGGTGACAAGCGTGGTTGCAAAATGGCGAGCAACATTCTATCCTTGAAATTACACAACTTTGTCTAAAGGCCCCCTAACTGCTTTGGGGACTCCTACACCCGATTGTCTACGTCGCTATCTCAGGCTTAATCTCATCCTATCATTGGTTCAGATATGGCTCTGCAAGTCTCCGGAAGAGGGTACAAGCGTGCAGAATCAGAATGTCTACAGTTTTGCAAGCCTTTGGGCGAATTAAGAATTGTGTTCAGAAGAGGATCGAGGACAATTGCAACCTTTGGAAAGTTGGGCACTTTTATGAGGCATAATATCAGTATTAAGGCGAGCCTGCGCTAACGTTGAATTCAAAGTGAGCACTGGACGATTCTACTGTAAGTCATGGCTTAAATGCAGTGAGATTTTCTTTTCTTAGAATCACTAAGAAATCTTGAAGTTGAGATGTAGAGGAAGCAGACTAATGGTGGTTCTGTGGCCATCTGCGTTGGCCCGAAGGTGCGGCTTACATATTCCATGCTCCCGGTTGTCGCGAGTATCGGATTTCTGGGATCTCGATAAGAGATGATAGGGTCCAGCCACAATACAGTGACATAGCGGCATGGCATGGCACTGCGTGGGGTGAATCAGGACGGGAATTGATCAACCAGAAGATTTTGTTGTCGGCTCGCTCGCCCTAGATAATAAATCTGTTCTCGCTGTGGCTGCGGTGGTTGGGTTTGTGTTGTGTTGTCCAACGTTGGCTGGATCATAGCTTTGTTCGTACAAGTACAAGCGTCTCCATGCCTTGTTCTTTGTAGTCTCTGTATGTATGTATGCACGTTAAGTCTGCATGGCGCCTCAGCGGTCAAAGTGGTGGATGCACCCTCTCACCAATGATGCTAAAGTGGGATATTCGCGGCAGCCACAGGCATGCCGAATATTCCTCGTCCGAAGGAGAGAAGCGATAGTTGGCTGCGCTACACCTACCACGAGGAGAGGACAGTGGCCACGGCCGTTTTCATGCTGTATCACCAAGCCCATCCTGTCACCAACGGCGAGAGGCAGTCGACGTCGTCGTCTTATTTGACACCATTCCACCACACCTGCAAGTCGAGTCAACTCATATAATTAGCAGCATGGGACCGACGACGGCCCTGCTCACAGGCTGTTTTCAAGATAAGGTGTGGCACGGTATAGCAGAGAGAGTATATGGAAAAGAGGCGGTCTCTCTTCCTTCCTTCCTCTTATCTACCTGTCTATCTCGTCTAAATCACCTCCTTGTGCCGGCTATTGATATCCTGGACGCCTCTCACTCACCCAGTCTGCAGATTGCGTGCGTGCACTACACACCCTCTCTTCTCCTTCTTCCCTGACTGAACTGCAGACCCAAGGAGACTGACTGCATTCATTGCCATCATTCGCTGCGAGATCGCTTCTCTTAACCACATTAATTGACCACACATCACCGGCGTGTGAACGATAGGCCGGCCAACCTTGTGTGCTTGTCCCAATTGCCGATTGCCGTGGTCACCGTCATGGCCAACGATGCTTCTCAGACAGTTCAACGGTCGAGAAGCTCCCGTTCGTTCGAGACATCGGAGAATTCAACGTCAGATCCCCAAGTCGCACAATGGCCAACCATGGTCCTCTCCCAATATACCGGAAGTAATCTACTTGCTTGGTACATCAATCGCTTCGTGTGTCTCCAGTGCGGCTAGGCCCGCAGGCAGTTTACTTGTACTCTGCTCCACTTGATCTCGCACATAATCGGCTCTTTTGCGATCGATTCCACACGTTGCGCGTCGTCCAATCTTTTTGAACCCCATTTCCACGTTATTGTATTTCCAGCTTTGGGCATCAGCAAGCTGCAATATATTTCCCCTCTTTAACGGCGGGATGGATCTTGGCGAGCACTTCCGGATCACCGCTCCAGCAACCGGGGCCCAACATTCTCAAACCTAACCTGTATCTCTCGACCCCTTGCTCTTCGACCGCCGGGATCTGACAGGTCAGAAAGCGGCTTGCTGACATGATGAGAGTGGCGTCTGGGATGTCGGCTTGCAAGTCACGAGAAGGGAGCAGGTCAAGTCAGATCAAGCATTATACCTAGTGAACTCCTCACTCTGTCTGCACCATTTCACCTCGAAATTGCATTGCCAGGACAGAACACTTCATCTGCCCGATCGGCCTGCAACATCGGCGAGATCCAAGGCTCTTCACATCTTATAGGCGCACATACGCTTCTCGGCACGAAGCTAGACCCGGTCGTCAAGCCGAACAGCAGGCTGAGGGCCGTGTTGTACGACATCTGCGACCTCCCCCGCATGCTCGCCTCTCTTTCTGTCATATTTTCCCCCTTGTGAGCTCTTTCGTATGATCTCAAATTAATGAGGAAGCTTTTGTTCCTGCACGACATCACTCTTTCGTCGAAAGTCCCTGCTCGGGGTGATTCCCGGCCCACAAACCGGCCATTGCTTGGGTCCACTTGCAAGGAGAAAGATTGTGGTTATGGGTCTACACCTCCATGTATAACAATACTTTCGCTCTTGCCGCTGACTTTGTAATCCTTCTTGGCCCAGGGGTGAGGCAATGCAGACATTCAATTGCCACATCTGGAGCTAGCTTGGCAGTGCCAGAGCATGTGAAAACGCAGGCTTGAATCCGATCCACAATATCTCTGCAGTCCGTTCCATTTGCGGTATGTGGCTGCTGAGGGGAAATTCACTGTATTTGCGACTCAGGGAAAGGGTCTGCTATTTCATCGACTCGAAGGAACTGCCTGTGGGTCGTTGCCCGGTCGGTCTGGCGGATCGCACATGTTGCGTGCTGTACAAGATACATCAGAGTATCATAGCCACCGACAGGAGTTGGTCCATCATGGCCTGCAAAGTATCCGGAAGGTAGTGTGGATTCCGCGACCCGCCATTCCGTGATATTAAAATTGCTCGTATGCAGTCTGCGCATGTTTTCAGGGGAGGATAGAGATTCTTACCAAGAACGAAGCAATGCAGGGTCAACTTCAGCTCCAACATTTGTTCGCAGTCGCAAAGGAGATACCTCCGCCTGGTGTGGGGATCAATAACATGCACTATTTTTGTTCTGGCCAGAAGACGAAGGAAGGGGTTGCCATTCATAATATCCAGCAATTACTGGGACTTCCACTCTATGTATACAAGTGGTACTCTTTGTCATCTATACACTCTTCACTGTCCTCTACCACACGTTGTAAACAACATCGTCCACCCATGGTGGCTTGGACCCCAGTCACATCTCCCTCATGATTCCTCGTTGCCTTTCAGATTGACCTATTCTTCTTCAACTCAGACAACTGCTTGCTAATCCTCTGACTCTCGACCACGCATTTTCTGAGCCTATCCCTCGCCCGCTCAACCTGCCTGCGCGCTTGGTCAACCTCTTCTTTCGCTTTCAGGGCTCGCGCTTCGAGTGCCGTCTCTTTATCGTCTGTCTGGCCAGATTGTAGGTGATTGAGAAGCCCGAAGCTATTCATCCCTTAGATTAGAGAGAAAACTTCAAGATTGTCGTATTCTAGGCAGGGTAAACTCACATGTTCACCTCCCATGGGACGAATAGAGGAGGACTTTGTCGTGAGCTGTGTTCTCTTGCTGCTGGTGTGGTGGACATCTTCGTCGAGGTTGCCGATGTCGAGCAAGACTTGGTGCTATGTAGTATAAAGCGATAATGCTGCGCTTCTATCAAGAAAATATTCCGGCGAATGAGGATGTGGCGGTTATGTTGCAGAAGTGGCTTTGTCGTGACGATCAAAGCTCGCTTTCAGGCATTTTTATGTTGGGAGAGCGAGCTTCATCGTTCTTTCCATGCCATGCAGGTAGCTCCGTCTTCCTTTCCTCGTTTACTGTTTTCATGCGCGTAAGCAGTCGCTAGTGCAAGTTTGCAGAGGAAGGCTCCAGTGATGTCTGGTGCTTTCAGAAAGAGCATCTTGAAATTGATTTCCAACAGCGAGGTTGCCCACCCTTGTACGATTCGGGAGCAAGTCGAGCGACTTATGAAAGTGATCCATCGTGTTAGCTATGCTGTGACCTTCATCAAGATTTAGATTCAAGGCGAGCTCATAGTGCCGTCCAGCTTCTATCACACTTCAGTATCGGCGCCGGTTGGCGTTACCACACCAGCCAGCGTGAAAGCCCTGATCTCGTGCTAACCCAAGAGTACAAGTGCACGTCCAGGCGCCCATCTGCAAGTTCCTTCCCTTTGCTTCGACCCGATACACTCTAGCCCGCAAGTGGTCCTTGGAGTCAGAAGTCGGAGAGGAGGACAAGACGGTGGTGACACGTCAAATCATTGTGACCATTTCTGCCACGACGTTTTGGGGGCTTCTTACTTTGTTATGGTCAACAGTGGAAAGAAGTATCACCAGAATATGGAAATATGAGTTTAGCCCTTGATTATTTGACGCTTTTCGAGTGTCAGGCAGAAGTACCTCTTTGTTAAGCGTGAAATTCCTGGACTATGTCTCGGTAATTAAGCAAGCCCCTGAACATTTGACCGGAGGCGTCATCATGATCTGGACACCTGCTTCTGACCTTCTAGAACCCACGAACTGTTAGCTTCCGCATTATTTATGGCCTGTGTTCCTGTCACCTCCAAGTAGTAGCACTGAGATCGCCGAGAGAATACTCTTCAGGCTATCGAAAGTTTGAGTCTAAGGATAGCTCGTGCGCTCGTTGAGGATAACCAAGCTTCAATGTATTGGAATTAAATATGTGTAAACATTTGCCGACTTGTACTTTCATGAGCTTGTTTCGCGAATCATATTGCATAGCCTCAGATATCTACTCACTCCTTTATAACTGCAGCTGGCGCCATCAAGTGACTTGATTGTTTGAACAAGGTAGCTAATTATAACAGCGTTCTCAAGGAAGCGGCATTGTAGCATTTGGAATGACCTGGTACAGACGTAGAATCTTTGCCTCGTGACCAATGACCTCTACCATATATGGTTTGTCATAGGGCCCGGTGGTTTCATGCTTCCAAACATCCCTCACAGTATACTGATCCCACGCCTCAGTTAAATCCCTCTCCACACTAATACTCATATCCGCAGTAACACCTCCTCTGTTCAATAGAGCAACCGCATAGCTCCCATCCTCCATCTGTTTAGCATAGACTTGCAAGTTTCCTCCATCCTGGTCCCCGACACCGACAGTGACTGCTGCTTGCCCGAGAGGATCTTGCGAAATGGCTATGATTTCCGGATTGGTGAGAGTCTCCATGGAATCAGCATTTAGTGTTCGGACATCGGAACCGATGAGAAGTGGAGACGCCACCATCGCCCACATGCTGAAGTGAGTTCTGTATTCGACACTTTTGCAGATTAGTAGCGGGTTCTATCTCAATAATAGGTATTGAGGAACGTGAATCAATCATCGGCAGCGGAATGCAACGAATGTAACAGCTGGCACAGACGAGAAAAAAGAAGACTCTGGCTCACTTTGAGCAGCCTGCCCCAACATGTTGACTTTTGCCATTGAGTCCAATGATAAGCATATCATAATCATTCCAGTGTCCCGGACCAGCAAACTGAGCAAGGCTGTTGCCACGGTCAAGCAGATCTAAGACATCGAAGAAGTACTTCATCCTATTGCCAGGGTAATCGAAGTCATCTGAAATATCTTGACCTAGCCGAGCAGTTAGCACCGCGAAGTGCCCCGGACATTATTTTCCTTCGCTACGTAATTAAGTGCTCTGGGTCGGTTCCCCATGAAGACCGACCTACTGACGTAAGGAATAGCTTACCTATTCGCCACTGATTGGCACCGTACTGTGCTGCCCATTCCCATGAATCCTAAGTCAATATATCAGTAAGTCTTTTCTGTGCCCGCGGAAAGTTGAGTCTGCTGATCTGCTTCTGTTACAAGTATAGCCCGCTGTGAAGCACGAGCACGGAGACACGAGGCATAGTGATGCTCAAACTTACTGCCCAGCCACAATGGCACGCATGGAAAACTATTGGACGACCACTTGCTAGAAGCGATTGGGACATCGTAAGAACGACTTGTTGGACGACCGATTTCGGGGCGAACTGGTAGGCACAACAAGAATCGTACTTCAGATGATCGATACCCCACGATGCGAACATTCTGGCGTCCTCCTCTTCGTGGCCCTGGGAACCGGCTAAAGATGAATCAGTAAGTGTTTCATTACAACGACACTGTGCAATGGAGCTGGGCTCTCGAAAACTTCCTCCGGGAGAGTTTAGATCTAAGATATGTTTTTAAACAAAAGCAAGTTCTGACGTACTATATCCGGCACAGGTCGTTTGACCTGGACCAGAATAAATGCCCAGCTTAAGGCCTTTCGAATGCGCATAGTCAGCAAGAGCCTTAATGCCGCTAGGAAATTTGACAGGATCTGCTTCGAGCGGGTTGTCTAGGCGGTTTCCTGGGTAGCGCTGCCAGCCATCATCCAGATTTACAAAGACGAATCCGGCTTCCTTCAATCCATTTGAGGCTATCGTATCAATGGTGTCTCGCAATAGGGTTTCGTTGATGTTCGGACCAAATCCGTTCCAACTACTCCATCCCACTACCCAGCTAATTAGTATTGAGGCAACCAGATGTTACGAGAAAAGTATGTGTGCTTCAAACATCTTGAGAGCCGTAGACAGAAGATACTTGTCTGTCGTCTCACTCTAACATCTACCAGTTCTGGGCTCTCTGATGACTCAAGAAAGCAGCAAATAAATGGAGAGATGACACTTACTTGGTGGTGTTAGTGCAAGACCATTGGTCAAGTTTGGTCCTGCAGAGACACTGGTGGAGACTGGCAGAGGGGATGTAAAGGTAGGAACAGCAGATAGGGGTTGAATAGTGTATATATCCGTATAGGTGCTACTCTGGCTCTGTGCACATCCTACACACAGTATGACGAGGATGATCACCAGATAAGTCTGCCTCGGAACTCTCTGATATTGCATTGGAGTAAAATTTAGGTTATCTTGGGAGGGTAAGTAGCGAAAACGGAATAACTGGGTAACGGACGGCAAGTAGCAGCGAAATACTAATTTCACTCACAAGAAATGGGAACCTTCAGGTAAAAATGAGAAGTCGATGAGTGCGCGGCGACTTGTTTAAGTACAGGGAGAATTTAGCCGTCGCTCCCACATCAGATACCCTGGCAAGAATTCGAGAAACGCAGTCGAGAAACGTTACGTTGGGCTAAATGGAAACCCAAAATTTCACGATCATCTTTTGAAAATCACGCACTTTGGATTGTTCTCAAATATCAAACGTTGGGCTTCAAAGTTCTATTCTAAGGACAGTCATCAAGTTTTGGTGATTTGCAATTGAATACTTCTTTAGCTGCCAGAAAGGTTTGTAGTTAGGCACTGCTGCAACCAAAAGTATATCAGATCACGACTTCTGAATAATGGATCTCAACCTTCCACTTCCTGACAAACTCATTTGCACATAAGAAGCGAAAAACTTGAACAAAATCTCTGATAGTTGCGGCTCAAGTAGCTCGACAAATTCCATGACAAAACGACAAGAAGGACATGGTAACTGTTCACCGACTCTCAAAAGTGGTGGGAAGATCATTTACACTCGCGACATCAAAATCCCGACCAATCAACTTTCTAGATGAGGCGAAGAAGGACAGTGTCTGGGAAGCGGTCTAAGACTCGTCTTCCACCGAGACGAATGTTTCTTAGTGAAAGCTCACCATATGATATTCTGAGATCTACTACCCTTTCTGCCCATGCTTCTCGTCTCTGCCATTGAGGATGCTTTCCTCCACTAAAGAAAACCTAGAGTCACGATGAGTCGCGATTTAGCTGCATAATGAGTTCTGGAACATGAACTTGATTTAAAGGTGGACAATTTGGATTTGGCTTGCCTTATGCTGCGAATGATAATCAAGATTTTAAGGCCTGGATAACTCAGAAATCTATCACAATTCCAGCGATAGAAGATCCCAAGGCGATCGTTCTTCGTAATGTAAGACGATACTGTATTCCGGCGTCTATGCTAGTTGTACGGTAAGCACTTGCATGCTTTCAGCATAAACCTTTGACCTTCCTAACTAGGTCATGCACGCTACACTACCTTATGAGTTACCTGTCCTCAATCCGCCACACAACGTATCTTAAAATCTGAATTTATTAACACAGATCTACCAGCACCCGTGATTAACACAGGAAACAGCAGCGAAATGGCGCTCCCAAAGGAGATGCAAGCCCTTGTGTTGGGCGACAATGGCGGTCATTCGGTGAAAGCGATCCCATTGCCAAAGCTACGTCCAAGTTACGTCTTGATCAAAGTCGAGTCTATTGCTTTAAATCCCACAGACTGGAAACATGCTTTCTTTGGCCGCGGAGCAATACCATTCAGCATCCTAGGTTGTGATTACGCAGGAACAGTCATATCCATCGGCGCCGAGGTAACGAAGCCATTCAAGGTCGGCGATAGAGTCTATGGCTGTGCTCACGGTGGCAATTTCAATGAAGCGTACGATGGTGTTTTTGCTGAATATGCTAGTACATATATTCCCTGCGTAGCTTTTGGTTGATAGGTAGCGCTAACCACGAGACTATAGTGGTGAAAGGAGATGTCGCGATGCATGAACCAACAAGTTCTGCTCTTGACTTGAGTGATTTGTGTACTATTCCTCTGGGAAGTATCACTGTTGGACAAGGACTATTCCAGCCGGACAAGGGTCTCGCACTGGCCTGGCCAGATGAAGAAAAAGAGATTACAAACGAATGGTTGTTGATATACGGGGGAAGCACGGCTACTGGCAGTCTGGGTATCCAATTCGCAAAACTGGCAGGGTATAAAATCATTACTACCTGTTCCCCGAGGTGTGTAAAGTCTATCAGTTTGTACCAAGGATGCGAAGCATATTCTGCATTTGAAATCTCTTTACCTCCTGTCCTGACACACGATCTGACAATTGTCTATTCCTTCCCGAGACATGTTGAAACAAGAAATGTTAATTAGCTGCTTATAGAAACAACGATTTAGTCAAATCCCGTGGCGCCGATGAAGTTTTGGACTACAACGATCCTGAATGCGGTCACAAAATTCGACTCTTAACAAAGAACAAACTAAGGTATGCTTGGGATACAATCGGGAGCGGAGAGTCCGCGAAAATCTGTCACGATTCGCTCAGTGATGATCCCTCGATCATTAACCACTATGGCTCTATTCTAATGACCAAGTTCCCGGGAGAAGGGGCAATTTGTACATTCACTCTTATGTATACCCTGTTTGGAGAGGATTTTTTTAAATACGGAAAAAATTGGCCCGCGTCAAAAGAAGATTATGAGTTTGGGAAAAAATGGATGAATTTGACGGAGAAGTTAGTTGCAGAGGGGAAGCTTAAGCCGCATTCAAAGAGGGTGGGAAGTGGTGGTTTTGATGGAATATTGAAGGGAATGGATGACCTCAGAGCAGGGAAGCTGAGTGGGAAGAAGATGGTCTATTTCATATGAAAATCAACACCTGGTGGGGGCAAAAAGGCCACGAGCAACGGCTGCTTCGTGTACCTGTCACTTTCTTGAACACAAATTCACTTGGAAGTAGCTCGTGGGCGTCTTCGTCTACCAAGACACAAATTACCACGATCTTCGCATTATCCCCTTTCCCTTGCAGAAATCTGGAGCGCGGTTCCACGTGCGATACTCGAGACAACGGCTGACTTTTCCCTTCTTCTAGAAACAGTGGCGTTATTGATTGTGGTTTGGGATTGCCAAATGGCCCAGGTTGGCGTTTGTGAGACAGTCATTTTATAAAATGATGATATTACTTTTGTTCACGCTTTAGACCATGCCATCCGAAGACACCGGCCATCCAAAGACGCATTTTTCTTTCAATCTTGAAGATATGGCTACTCGCCATAGGAATACAATCGACCAAGATGGATTTTCTTAGTCTTCTCACCTCTGGCCACAGCGATCAGGGACCACTGCCAACCAGATCCCGAAATGAGCACAACTCCACTACAGATATATTGGAAGAGCAAGAGAAAGGAATCAGTAACGCTCGGATCTACGATTCCAGTCAACGCTTATTGACCTCGTGGCGACAAGTTGTATCGCTCCTCTTTCTTGCTCAAAAGCGAACTCAAATAATACTTGTCTTCAGCGTCTTTTGGGTCTTCTTTTGGGTGTTCTTTCTTATGGCGAGGCACGAGTTTTCAGAGCCCAAGCCACAAGAACTGCCTCAAAGCACTGCTGTCATCATTGTAGATACGGTACCAGAATCTAGCCTGTCGAAACTCTGCAAAGAAACGAAGTGGACAGACGGACTCTGGTTACACTGCCACAATCACGCTTTGAAGATCGGAGACAATGGAGGGTCATTCTCTGGGGGACTCACAAATGCGAGAAATCGATTCCAGACTTGTGTTCGTTTGGCAATAGATCTTGGAGCAGGAGTTCTCATCCCCTCGATCACCGCGAGGGCCGAGGACAATTTGGGGCTTGCCAATACACATGTCATTTGTCCCGATCTCTGGTTCGACATCGAATACTTCAGGTCAGAAGTACAGCAACAATGCCCCCAGCTTCAGATGAAGTTCTGCCAGAATTCCATGGACGGCGCAACAGTGGTGAACATGCCATATCGTCCCACTCATGAGGATCCATCGCATACCAAGACGACCTTCGGTTGCACAGTCAATACTGAACTTCTGAGACGCGACATAAAACGCGAAGAAATCGATCCGATGAAACCAGTCTTGGTCAATTATGGAGATGCCATGTTCACTTGGAACTATACTCGCTGTGACGAGAACCCAACGATCAGGAAAGATTTGATCAAAACCATAAGAAACAGCCCAAGCTTGGTGAATATGGGCCTGGAAATCTTGTCGCATCCGGAATTGGACGAGAAGCCTTTCTTCGGGGTGCATCTTCGAGCGGAAAAGGACGTACCAGCATCGTGGGGACCTGTGGATGTTCAAATGCAGCGTTTTGTCGAAAGCATACTGGCCACCAGCGCGGAGAGTGAAGAGGCGGTATCGACGGTGTATGTGAGCTGCGGAGATCAAGATGCTATTGAGACCTTTCGTCAATTACTTCGGCCGCATGGCTTCTCAGTAATCGACAAATGGTCCTTGCTCAAGGAGGACACCGAACGACTGGAGATATTGAACTCCTTTAATTTCGACCAAAAAGGAGCAGTCGACTCGGAGGTCTTACGAAGCTCGACTTACTTCCTTGGCCATTGGAAATCGACAATGTCACTTCAATTGGTTTATGAACGAGTGATGGATGATGATCCTCAGAAGTGGTTTCGAGAAAATATTTATCCAGAGAGCACTGACCCTGCGACATGTTGTCACCGGAAATGGGTACACAATCTGGTCGTTAGCGGAGATACATTTCAAAAGCTATACATCATAGATGGGCCTGATTTCATGGATACTTTTCCTTGAAACTATGTTACCAAGCACAGCTGGAGTGAGCAGTCACTGTTGTGGGCACTCCCCAGCAGGAGTCCCGAGAAGCGAAGTCGACTATTATTTCTCGGAAGACTAGCTGTGACGAGAGGAAGATGGTTCTGGCATTGATTGGAGGAGTAAAGGAACGCACGATTTTTTATGTTTCTCCTGGACGTTGAAGTGAAACATGAAACATGCCACATAGCGAACGCCACACCATCGAGCTATTTGACGCCTTCAAGCCAAACGGGCATTAAAGGAGCTGTGCTGCAATATCTGACTATCAGGAGTCAGAATCCCGGTCAGAACTCAGCGATCGTTGCGATGAAGTCTCAGTACCACACAAATGAATCCATTAAGTCTGAGACCCTTTGCTTCTTTGATCTTCCAGAGAGCCATATTTGTATGCCCCCTGGCGGAGGTTCTCGAGACTAAAATTGCTTTTTCCCACCAAATCAATACGCCTCTGCCCAATCCCGGCGTGGTTGCGCCGAGCGCATGCAAGTCTTTCAGCCTTTCTTTTGCTCCCTTTTGATTTATTCACGTTCCCTAAATGGGTAAAGTCAACCCCTATCATCTTTGAGGAATTAGACATGCTTTTTATCTCGCGAGTCAAATCAGTCCCTTTGCCTTTCGTCAGCTCTCAAAGAAAGTTTCTGCTCATGATCGCAAAAACTCACCTGGTTACCTCTGGTCTACGAACACCAGAGGCAAAACTATGACAGTCTTGAAGCAAACTGGGAATGGCCGTATCGTATTGTTTGCTCTTGGGCTGCTCATCCTAATCTGGACAGTGGCTTTGAATTTACCGGCAAGTGATCTTTCCCTTCCTCCCTCCTCAAAAAGCTAACTTGAAGGAGCCCCGTACAGAGTCGGCGGGTCTGGTCGATGAGGTTGAGTACGATCAAGATCTATCGGAGGGTCAGCTAGTGTCCTCACTGAGTCCGTCTACAACATCGAAGCCCATTCCCTTTCTAGGATCCGCGTTTGTAGCTCCGACCTCGACGACTCGTGTGTCTAAACCAAAAATTACCGAACCTGCCGTCAAAGATCGACCCTTGATTCTATATTCCTACTTCGAGTCTGAAAATGCGCGAGCGAACTTCAGATACTACCTCGATCATGCTCTCCACGATGCCGCCGACTTTTTGTTCCTCATTAACGGACCAACCGACGCTGAGAAGATGCTGCCAAACAAAGGAAACATTCGATTCATAAAGCGTCCAAATGACTGCTACGATCTCGGAGGATTCGCAGAAATGCTACTGACAAACGACCTATATAAGAATTACCAGAGGTTCATCATGATGAACGCTAGTGTCCGAGGTCCATTTTTCCCCATATGGAGCACGGATTGCTGGAGCGATGTTTACCTTAATCGATTGACAAACCATACTAAGGTATTTTCGTCGTCCATGCGAGAAATGTTACTGATCTTGTCAGCTCATTGGAATGACAATGAACTGTCAGGGTACTACTCCCCACGTTCAATCTATGCTCTGGGCACTCGATCGCGTTGGACTTGAAGTCCTCCTCAACCCATCAGACGAGTTGGTAGCAGAGTACCAAGCTACAGTGCCGAAGGGTGGTCCGGGTGCCAAAATTCCTGATTTGGAAAGGCCAGGAATCAATTCATGTCCTCATTCATACTGGGAAGCTGTTTCGGTCGAGGTACATGCCACTTGGCTTATGAGGACGGCGGGATACGATGTTGAAGCGATGATGTACAGTTATCGTGGGTTTGGGGAACCACTTTCAAGAGGAGAGGTGATAGACCTAGGTGGGGGTCCTGTCAAACACGGGACCTACAGGGAGGGTACTCGCTATGAGGACATCTGTGCTGAATCGTTGGATCCGTTGTACGAGAATCATTATTGGGGCATGACGATACATCCTTGGGATACGATATTCACCAAACAGAACCGCCCTGTCAACCAAGTGACCATCGAACGGCTGTCACAATGGGGCGATGGAATACAATACAGTAGTTATGACCATTGCCAGTAGGCATTGGCTGATCAATTCTGTTCTGAACATATTCAAGATTTCCAGTGCGTGTAATTTGTTTCTGCTTTGCCTTTGCCCCAAGAAATATCTGAATGCCGGTATCTTGTCAAGCAGGAGAGAAACGGTAGAACTTTGATATCCCACATCCAATACTCTAAAATTGAAGTTTACCAACTTTTTCTTCTCAAAACATCACCCGTGCCTCCGATACTCCTCTCAAGCAAAGGCGCCTAAACGTGGCGTTATTGGGGGCGGCACATACTTGTAACCCCCGGAAACGCAAATTAATACAAGACTTTTCATCAGAATCTTAAAATCGGACCGTATCTGATAATTTTTTGGCTTGAAGGCCGCTTCTCTACTGGCCAAACAGCCCTCAAAGTACGCCCATTTATTAGACTTTGAAAAAGGGGAGTAAGGTGGATTGCCAGTATTGAGACAGGTGTATGAGACGGTGGGAAAAAACAATACACTATCTTCCAAGGGATTCAGGAGAGTCTTTTTGCAGAATCCTTTCGTTCCCTGACATCTTTCATATCGTCGTTTCGTCTTTTTAATTCACACTTTCTTTTCGTTGTTGCTTCGTGAATGATGGCCGCTCAGGATAGCGAGTGCAGGTCGAAGACGGAAACTCAAGAGGGTGATGCTTTGATCGAGGAATTCTACTTCGACAACGAATCGACCTTGCCCGGAACCAGCCCTCGAGACTCGCGAAATGTTCGAGAGGAAGACGATGATCTGTCGTCAGTCGATCTTCCTGCCTTGCTGGGACAATTTTCAATTATATTCTGCACTATCTTTTGGATCACAATCGATGCTATTATACCAAGTTTTATCCCTCGATTTGGCTTCCTTGCAGTCGGAAATGCAGCATCCGACAAAAGAGGGAGAGACTCTCCAACCGAATTTATGGACGGGCTCCGCGGAATCGCCACTGTCATCGTGTACGCCAATCACTTCATCGTCAATTGGTTTCCAGTATTGAAACACCAATATGGTCAATCGCCAAGCGACATATTCACTCTGCAGTTACCGATTTTTCGAGTCTTTCTCTCCGGCGGCGCGGCTGTAGCGGTTTTCTTTGTGATATCAGGCTATGTTCTATCATACAGTGGATTGAAGAAGATCTCACTCGACCAAAGATCAGAAGCCTTCGATAGTCTCGCAAGTTCAGTATTTCGCAGATGTATCAGAATCTATCTTCCTTGTGCCGCAAATACTCTTTTATGTGCGCTGTTGGCTTACAACGATCTCTTCGTGCATGATCCACCTGGATTCAATGTATTTCCGACACGATTCCCGACCCTTTCGCTTCAACTCGGGGATTGGTGGCTTCATCTTAAGGAGCTTGTATATCCTTTCAGGAGCGTCGAAGAAGCGATATACAGTCCCCCTTACAACGGACATTTGTGGACGATCCCATTGGAGATTCGAGGATCATGGGTTACATATGGAACCGTGTTAGCTTCAGCAAACCTTATTCCTGCTTGGAGAATGCTTTTCTTGTGCGGACTCAATATTTATGTCTCCTCTTATGCCAAATGGGATCTTTTCTTGTTCATCAGCGGAATCATCATTGCGAATATGGATGTCCAGCGACATATTGCCGCTCGACAAGAAGACGCTAGCCTACATATTCATGGCCAACCAGGCGCAGTGTTTCTACCCACTGAAGAGCCACCGATGATTGAAATGCAACATCTTGATCAAGGAAGCAAATGGTCGTCATGGTCAAGAGTGAGCGGCGTTGGAACACAGCGACCTCTGGCTGTATTGCTCAACATCCTAACCTCACTCCGCCAGATCATTTATGTTCTATGGCCATACATTCTTTTCGTGGCTGCCATGTATACCCTCTCGGGTTTAAAGGACCCATGGGGTATCGATGGCCTCATCATATCCTGGTTCGGGACGTCACAGTCCTCCACCGATTACATGTCCCCCGGAGGTGGGAGGCGCAACCCATGGATGATGATTGGAGCAGCTCTGCTTGTCTATTCTCTTTCCCTTTCCACCAAAGCGTGCCACATCCCAACATTCGAAAGTCGCCCAACCTTATTCGAGCGCCTAAAGTCCTCCTGCAGAAGCTTTCGCCTCCAGTGGCTATTCACAAATTGTGTTTCGAGATATTTAGGGCGTATCTCTTTCGGAGTTTATCTGATGCATGGACCTGTCTTGTTTACAATGGGGACTCGATTCCTGGTTCCTGCTTGGGCTGAATGGGATGCTGGTGGGCCTGACATTGAAGATAGATACATGAGCTGGTTCTATTGGGCGATGGTTTGGAACACTATTGGTGTCATCTGGGCAGGTGATGTCTTTACAAGAGTAATCGATGAGCCCAGTGCAAGATTTGCGGGTAAGGTGGCCAAGTTCATGTCTCGGAACAACAAGGTCACGGCATCTTGACAAAAGGTACGAAGGCGAATGCGATGAAGTGGAAGAAGACACAAAGAAGTATGCCTTGAAAAGAGTCCGTATTCTGCAAAGTTTTCTTTGTTAGTTTTTCTTTCAATTTCGAGGCGAGAATCTCATGCCAACAGATCCTTGGGGAAGGACCGATATTGTATCATAACTATACGTACTACATGTAAAAAGAAGCCGAGGGATACAGCACCTTCCAAATTCACCCCTTATCACGCAAGAAGTCCACTAGCGTGACGCTAGTGACGATATAAGCAGCGCTCACGCTCCAGTTCAGTCAGTGGAGCCTATAAAAATTCAGATGCAGATGTGGGCCGGGCTCTGGGTGCGTCAGCATCCGGTGACACAGTCCCGGATCTGCCCATGTTTGAGACGTTTCTTTTTTGTAGGGGTGGATGAGGTGGAGGACAGGTTGTTGTTGTTGTTCAGTTGGGTTTGCTGTCAGGTTAAGTTTTGTTGTCAAGTTTAGTTTTGTTGTCAAGGTTAGTTTTGCTGTCAGATTGGTTTTGCTGACAGCTTAAGTGTTGTTGTCAAGCACAGTTCCGCTGTCAAGTTGGCTTTGTTGTCAAAAGTTGTGGGTGAACCTGAGAGAAGTGACTTTTGGGATGGCAGACGGACAAGGTTTGGATGTGATTGTTTGAAACTACGAGAGACAAGTTATTGAAAGAGTTGAGAATCCCAAAACCAATTCCCATCAAGAGACGAGATGCTACGACAAAGACAGATGTTGACAGTCATTTTCATCACACTCCCCAAAGTACATTCTCATAGTTCTCACATGTATGACAATTGTCAAGCTCCAAGCTGCTACTAAATTTCCAGTTGCTGTTGACTTTTGGACCGCTGTCACAGCCACAGACCTGTAATTCTCCACCACTTTTTAAAGTCAACCCAGACATCCAGCTTAGCAAAGAATCATTACTATCCAGATCGAAACTCCCCCAACCCGATTTCTATTTTGCCAAAACACAACGTTACCCAGGTCGAACCCCCAAACATGAGCTCATCGCCAAGCGCACATAGCCATCAAGACCTTCTGCAGACCCGTGCTATCGCAGAATCAGAGACGCGAGATGCCCTGTTATGGAACGGCGTTCCCACATCAGTAGATCTTCGCGATTATCGAGAACCGCACCACCGCAACACGCAGTCACGGCCCGACCTTGAGAGGGTTCTTCACCTTCGTCTTTGTTCGTCTCCGGCTCTTGCTTCCAGAAAATAACAAAAACAGAAATCTGTGTTTATATAGAAATTGTAAAGACCTCAAGACGAGCTAAGATAGTTGGGCGTAGGACACGTCTATTCACCTCCAGGTTTTTCAAAGAAGAAAATGGCACGTGATAATATACTTTGTCAAAGGATATAAATTTGCTTTCGCGTTCTAGTTTTTAATTTCTATCCAACAACATAGAGCACGAGCGATCTGAAACAAGGCAGAGGAGCTTCTCAAAGATGAAGTCTTGACTGCGGGCTGGGCTCTTGAGCTTGATATGTTGAAAGGCTAAGAAGCCCAACTTTTGAACACGAGAATGTCTGTCTGAGAAAGTGTGGTAGATGGAATTGATGTACTATAGTAATTATCTCTACAGAAACGTGTATATTGAGAAGCTCAAAATATCGGTACTTCTGCCAGACATTCAGCGCATGCTGGAGTCTTCTTGCATTGCCAGACTCTACTACTACGCAATCCACTCGTTTCAAAAGTAGCACACTAAAGATGTCTATGTATCATGCAAACATCAGGACATACATGTTGGAAAATTTTGGTTTTTAGGCCAGCATTTGAATTCCCGGTCATCAAACTTCTTTGCAGAACGAGAACTTTCTCCTCACCATGCGACGATTATTGAGACGTTAATAGTTCCGCATCGCCTTGTGCAGACTATTTCGAAGTAAGTGCTGAACTTCAGCTCTCAGCGCATTCCGCGCGATTTGCGCTACTTGCGCAATTTGCGCAATTTGCGCTACTCGCGCTGATATCGATGGAGATTCACTAAAATTTTGTTATGCTTAAAGCTCTTCAATTCAAATAGTCGCTGCAAATATCATAACTTATTTGAGAAGAAAGATCTCGAAGGATAAGAAGTAATAATTCACGCATTATCCTCGTCTCAATTCTAAAACAGCATTTCGAAATTACAACTCTCCTCGCATTTCGCGCGATTTGCACTACTTGCGCAATCCGCGCTGGCATCAATGGACATTGGGGATACTTTTCTCCCTGCATGAAAACCTTCTCGAATCATACAGAAAACCATTTCTCGATATACATGGTCACAGTGAATACCTCGAACACTGTAATGACGAGAAGTGACAGTTCATATAAAATAACCAACACTCCTCAATTTAAACTGAACCCTAAGCCCAGATCCCACGCCACGATCACATCTCACATCTCATCTCAAAACACCCAACATCTATCTCCTTTGTCTCACGTGCCTTTTCCTTTTTCTTTTGCCCTTCTTGGCAGATGTGCCGCAGCCACGCGTCGACCCTGCGGCAAGCGGGTAATTTCCCGGAGGCCTGGGAATTGGATTGGGGTTCTGGGTTTGGGGTTGAGATTGAGATTAGATGGAAGGTTGGGGCGCGGTGTTGGTATTTGGGGCTGGGTATAGGGGTTTGAGATGATGGGATCTATCACAGAGCATCTTCACGTGTGACTAAAACTAACATTTCGAGGCGCTATGGCAGCAATTGGACTTTTCTCAGATGCTTGCTATTTGTTTCGTGCCAAAGATATCCGCAGGCTTGATAAATGAGGTGCTTTGGCATCCACAACAGCAATTGATACCGCATGAAATGTTGGAACGATTGTTCAGTTCTTGGGCAAGAACTGCCGGATCTGACTCAGTCGTACAATGCTGCACAGATATATTCTTCCCTCTAAACGGGTACCGCTCGGTAACAGTTGGCTATGCAGGTACAGTGAGGCGTGCAGAAAAAACTCTGTGATGGTGGTGTGGAGATATATTCTTGTACCAGCCTGAAATATCGGCCAACCCATCCAACAAATCACCAAAATGCCTCAATGAAAACTTGCATCGATGACTGCATGACAGAAAAACATTCGTGTGATTGAGTAATACTGCAACGACACGTACCTAGAGAAAATTGAAAAAATCATCATGGTGGTGTGGAGAAAATGTAAGTCTTCCATAAATTCATTCGTTGTCCAACTTTTCCAACGGAACGGGAAGTTCGAGTCTATTTCCTATCCAATGAGAATGCGAATAGAAATTGACTAAACAGGAAGTACAACATGACATGACACAGCAGCGTCGTCGAGGCTAAATCACGACCTGCTGCTGTGCTGACAGATCAGCGACGGCGGACCGATGCGAGAAGGATCCGCCCGTCCAACACAGCATCTACTTAGAACCGTCCGTACAACAAGCTTGGCCACGACAGCACGTCTTCCAAGGTCACGCACAAACTCTGCCAACAAAGAACCTTGGAAAACTCTGAAGGTGGTGTGGACCTCGGCCTGTGTCGTCTCAAGGTCGGTCCTCTTGTGGCCTCTGAATGGTGCCCAAGCGAAGGGCCTCATGTTTCCATTCAGCGCGCGAGTAAAAGAAAAACCACAGACGAAAGCGAGCAAGAGTTGTTTCGTATGCGGGACTAGAGAACTTTTAGGACAAGAATAATTTCGCTCCCTATAGGAACGCAAACGGAAAAAGAAGCTGCAGGTAGGTGCAGGTCGCAAAGATGGTGATAGGATAGGTGTTTTGGTACCTGCAGAACGCGGTCAGATTGTACCTGCTTGGGGGCGTTATCTTGGCATCAGGATTCTGATAATAGACTTTTGGGGCGCTGAAGCGGCAGTTTGTCAGTTGGAGTTGGTGTTGCGAAGGAAGGAAGGAAGGAAGGATTGAGTTTAATAATTTATTATGAGTTTAGGAAGGGCTGAGAATTAATTAATTAATTAATCTTGAAGCCTTATCGATACGGTACCTACTGTAGAGATGTTGGTGATATGAAGAGTGATTAGACTGGAAAAGGGGAATCACATGTCGGGACCTTCCGCTTTGGGCAATTTGGCCAGAAGCAGAGCCGAAAAAGGGAACGTGCCATTTCTCTGCCGTGCCGTATCCAAACTTCACTCACTCTTCTTTCTTCTTTCTGGCTCCCGAGAAAACTTTCTCCCTAAGACAAAACCAAACATCCGGATCGATCACTTTTCGAAGGCGAGACCAAGAAAAGGAGGATCATGGGTAAGAAAAGTAAGGTAACTCGCTGAGTCTGCCGAGAAAGCCTTTGTTTGGCTTACGAATGCGTTCGTTTTCTGTTTTCTTCTCTCCGTGGACCTGCATCCACAAATTCACGCACACAACATGCAAGGGCGCAAATCCGCTTCGCTCATTATTCACGCCTCGCACCCGCCCAGGTCTAGAACATGGGTGATACCTAGACAAGCAGTGGAGGCCTGTTCATCTTATCGTGTGGTTTCGAAACAAGCCGCGCTGAACATCTCCCCAATCACCATCCGCCAAAGGCGCCCCATCAGCGGCTCCCCTGAATCGGATGCGCGCCGCTGGGATCGCTAGTCAGGAACCACCAGAACCATCAACCTCGACGCTCAGGGGACGGAAGTGAATTTCCACCAGGACGCGTTTCATCCCTCATCAGAGCTGCGAATGAGATGAACTCCCCAGATCCACCATGCAGGTAAGATTGCCAAGGCCGACGTGTGCATCTCGCTCCAGAAGGCAAAGCCAGGAACAGAACCTCTCTTGGACCCTGGAGAGATCTGTGCCATGCTGGGGAAGGGAGACGCACTCGTTCACGCCCCACTCGAAACAACGACTGATTGACCAAATGCAGTTCTAGTCCCCGATCACATCCTGGTGACTTGGGCTGATACGGGCTGGCTTTGCCGGCGCCAGCGAAAAAGAGGATGAGGACCCATCACCCTATAGATATCTTCACATCTGCTCTTTTCGAACCTCTCTTTTCTCTTGCTCTTCACCCCAACTTTCGGAGTTACTTTCATTCTTTTACTCGGTCGCACTTGAAGTTGCGTGCCTTTACCACTATTGTACTACAGTACAGATCAGTCATTCCTTCTTTGCACAAAGATTACCATTGTTGATAGAGTCAACTCGCTTTCACTCCGACAGTCACAATACCAACGCCAACACAATAACAACCGAACGATCATTCCCAAAACCCCCGATCTTTATCACAACTTTGAATTCTAGACTTTAGAACTTAACATCGTCAATATGCGCACTACATTTTCCAACCTCGCCATCCTGGCCTCCTCTTTGCTGGTCAAAGAAGTCTTCGCTGCCCCTGTTCAGGAGAGAGCTACATACATCGATACCGACATTGTCATGGTTACGGAGGAAGTAACTGTGACAGAGATGCCCGACGGATCTTACGAAACCGGTGCTCCTGTGGCCATTGGAACCGGTATCCTTACCGGTACTCCAGTTCTGTTTAGCGAAGCTTCTTCCGCTACCCCTATTGCGACTCCAACATCTTCTGCTGTTGAGATTCCAGCTACCACTTCTTCTGCCATGTCCACTTCTTCGTCGTCCTCTTCGACTGGTGCGGTGTTCATCCAGAACACCCATGTGAGCGATATCCACACTGCTTCGAGCTCCTCCACTCCAATCGTTGTGGCTCCTACATCCACCTCGGTTGCACCAGTCGTGACACCAACAACCCTCTCCACCAAGGCATCCACCACACCTGTACCAACAACCTCGAAAACCACATCTTCCGTCGCTGTTGCCACCACTGCATCCTCGTCATCCAAGAAGCGTGGATTGGCATTCAACGATGCATCCCTCACCGACGCTTTCAGCTCGTCTTCAGAAGTTTCATGGGCATACAATTGGGCCTCGTCCACCAGCGACGCTATCGCTTCCGGCCTTGAATACATCCCCATGCTCTGGGGCTTAGGCTCTGACAACACCGATGGCTGGTCCAGCATCGCTACCAAAGCAATCGCTGCTGGATCCACCGCCCTCTTGGGATTCAACGAGCCTGACTACTCCGGACAATCAGACTTGACATACTCTCAAGCCGCTACCGGATGGCAGACATTCATGGAGCCATTCGCTGGAAAGGCTACCCTTGTCTCACCCGCCGTCACCAACGGAGGATCGCCCATGGGTCTGACCTGGTTGGAGAACTTCATCTCCGCCTGCACTTCCTGCACCATCGACGCAGTTGCCATCCACTGGTACAACGGCGGAACTGCCGCTGACTTCCAATCCTACGTCCAGCAAGCCTACACCGCAGGCGGCAACCGCCCTCTCTGGATCACCGAGTTCCAAGCTTCTGGCACCACCGATGAGCAGAACTCGTTCTTGGAGGAAGTCATTCCTTTCTTGGACGGCAGCGACATGGTTGCCAAGTACGCTTACTTCATGGCTTCAGACGGCATCTTGCTCACTTCCGGTACCACTTTGAGCACGTTGGGAGAGACGTTCGCTAGCTTTGTGTAAGAAGATATGGGGTGATACGAAATGATGATGAAAACAATACGCTCGTTACAGATAGCCAAAAGACATTACGTTCTTGTACATACTTTCTTGTGCGCACAAATAGGGGGCGAACGAAAAGGGAAACTGGTGTTGGGAGACGGGACAACATATCTTGGATATACAGTAGGAAATCGAAAATTTGGTATCCTTGACAAACAGACTTCTTTCGTGCAGTGAGGATCAGTGAAACCAAACAAACAAATAACATTGTGGCTCGTCAACTAACAAGCCCATCCTCCTCCCTCCTCCCTCCTTCTCCCATCGTGAAACACCGAACCCAAACTCCCAACCAACCACTCCCTTTCCGTCCAGCAAACTAGAAACGCTCGCTCGTTCGTTCGCAGAGATAGGGACTTTCTGTTGCACGTCGCATTCTTGATTGAGCCACGGCCTTCATTTCGGTTCCTTTGAGGGTGAGGTGGCTGGCTAGAATGAAGGTGAGTGAGTGAGGGACGTCAAGGGAGGAGGATTGCGCGTCGGAAACTTTTCGGGACGGGAGGGAAGCGAAGAGGGCACGTGGTGAGATTTTTTTCCCCTCTTGTGCTGGGGTAGAGAGTAGAGGGGTGGATTATGGTTGACTGGCATTGAGTGGTGGAAGGGTGAGGAGGGTCAAGATGGATGGGGTTGTGAAAGTGAACGTGAGGAGGACTGGACGGCACGGCGAAGGGTTGTTTCGAGCGTCGGTACTGTAGGTAGCGAGAGAGACGCTGGTGTGACAGCGGAGGATTTTCAGGGCTGGGCCGAGCCTCCTGGTGGATGCAGGTCGATCGGATTGTATATCTCCGTTTGGATCTTTTGATGTTTCGAGATTTGGTGATTTTTTGGATCTGGGGTTGGACGATCCTGAGAAGATGAAAGGTTCAGGCAAGACGAGTGTTTTGGTCACTTCGGAGGCGAAGTTTGGTCGGGTTGGTGATAATCTGTATGAAAAGCACTTAGCTTGAAAACTTACTTCTCCTGTTAACACTGTAAGATCTTAGGTTCCTGCCGTAAAAAGTTCCAGCATTTATCCCAACAGCCGTCTTCTCCCAAGACAAACCGTCTCCCTCACTAAAATGCTCGATGTGCAACAACACTATTTATCTATCTGACTTCGAACTTTAAGTTGGCCCTACGGAATTAGAGCCTCAGTTCAGGCGGGCGTCTCTGGTCCGATGAAGTATCTTGACAAGGCTACGCTGTGTATTTTAGGCTAGCATTCATGCAAAGACTTTAACCAACACTCCGGCGCTTTGCTAAAAGGTGCGATGGGCAACAAAGTATTATTAAGGACTTGGATGCAGAATTTAGGCCCGGAATTTGACAAGTTTGGCTTTTGCATGAGAGTTTGTCATGGCAGCTTCGGTTGTTGTTGATTCCAAACTTTCCGCCTGGAGGTCTCTTCGAAGGACTTCCAAGCTTCAACTACGAACTCTGCCAACGAATGAGTAGATACTGCGATGAGGAACACAAAGCTTTTTGGGGGACGATTTAGAGCTTGATTGTTATCAAGCATGAAGTGAGTCTACTTTAATGAATCGCTTCGAGACAAGTTTATGGACATGAGTCGAGTAGTTTGTAAGAAAACGCTAACATATCAAGAGTCACCTTGCTAGAACAGCGAGCCAGTGTATTGACTAAAAAGCACGATGCGCAACAAAGATCATAAACTCTTGGAGATAAGGTGGTAAGAAATTCTAGTCTATCTTTCGACCAGGAAGTGTGTTGACTAACAAGCGCGATGTGCCACAAGACCCTACCTATGTATTGGAGATCAGGAGGAATCTTTAGTGTGTTCTTTAAGCATGGAATGGACGAGCCACTGTGTTGACTAAAAGTCGCGATGCGCAACAAAGATAAAGGGCGATTCTGAGTCTTAGGACGCAGTGCTGATCGAGGTGAGGAGTTAGTGGTTTTGTAGTTAAAGGTTCATGTGGACATGATTCGAGTGCGGCAAATGTCAAACGGGGTTCTAGAAGCTCGAAGCCTGGGACGGGACGGGCCAGGGATGGAAGCACATGGTTTTGCCACCATCAACGAGAGGGCCTTTGCTCACCAACATATTATCTTCGAGAGCATGCGTCGAGCTGTTAACTTTTAGGATATGAACCACGATTTCGAAAGAGAAAGAAATAACCATTATTCGTCAAATCTGTTTTTCTAGTAGCACGGAGATCTTCACCTTCCTCGACTCGTGTAGTGCTCCGCACCTTATTTCCGTCGTAAGCTTGGACGACATCGCATCGCATTCCTCCCAAAACAAGACCAGCTCAATCTAAGCTCCTTCAATTCACCCTCCAGGAAGCTTCAAATATACGTTTGTCGCACATCGCAATATTTAGTGAATCCATGGTCAGAACACTATGTCAAGCTTAGAATGACATTCCACCTCAGCTCACTGGAACCTCGTACCTCGAGTAAGTCTCCAAAAAATAAGAATCACATTGCCTAAATTCTCTCTGTTGCTTGTCGCAAACTTTAGTAAAGCAGCTAGATATCCAGAAGGTGGGCTAAAAAGGGCAGGAATTCGAAGTCTCGACTTTTAGTGAAGCACTATCTTTTTTGCTGCCCAGTCAGAGAAGAAAGTAGATTCAGCCTGGATATTTTCGATATGGTATGTATCATTGCAGCCTGGTGAGACTGTTTCCCCTGCATATCACGAATGTCCAGTAGTGCCTGCTAGGCTTGGCCCAAATTGAGTTTTTCTTTGGAAGAACCCGAATTTGGATGAAAGGCAGGAATTTTCTTTGTCGCATGTCGTGGTTTTTAGTATGTTTGACCATTTTTTAGATGGCCTTGTAAGTGGTAGACAAGTTTTATGATATAAGACCAGTGCCACATTCCAGACAAAGACATGGAAGATTCGGATTGGTTGAGGGGAGGGAATGATACCCCAATGACGAATACGCTATTACTCCCACACTTTCAATTCTTATCTGAAATTGGACAGTGCTGAGAGCATCTGATTCTCAATTCTTCTTCGCCCCGTTGGTCGCTTCATGACTTGAGTCTTCCTTTGACTCCTGTCCAATAACGATCACGTGAATAGACACACTGCCCCGACGATCTCATTTAGGTACATTTTCTTGAGCTATTGTGATCGTCAAAAATATTTAGCAACTGCTAGCCCTGAGCATTTGGATAATTTCCATATCTCCATCAATCGCGGAAATATTGGTCGAGAAGATACCTTTGGAGGGTTAAACGCTCGCTAAATGTATAGGGGTCGCTTGCAATTCAGGGGTTCTTTTGTTCAAACTTGAGATTTGTACTATTGAGGGCAGGAAGAATACACACGAGTCCGATGTACTGACACCCGAAACATGGGTCCTCATTCAACGCAGAAATCGAATCATTGCCCCGCGTTCTCGGACTCAGGGCCCGTTTGACGCTGTGCAAGCATGCCATGATCCTCCAGCAAATTCTGGTTATCACTACAAGTCTATCAGCGAAGTTATTCCCATTTCGGAACATTGAAACATACTTCAATGTCTGATTCGGCAAGAACCAGGCAATGATAAATCCTGGGACGATGATGACCATTGCAGCAATATAAAAATACGACGTAACGTTATTATACTGTTTCTTTTTAGCATCCTCCCTCTTCTAGAGCAAGTTTGAGACTTACAGCAGCATTAATCGCTGTCCTCTCTGGAGTTCCCCACTCTGGAACCATGGTTGTAATCGAATTGAACAACGCCTCGACCAATTCCGGTGTAGATTTATCGCCCAATTGTTTTCTCAGTTGCTCTCTAAAAGTCCCTGTATAGATCGCACCACTGATAGCATCTCCGATACTCGACCCGAGTGTGCCAACCATGACTATCAATGCCGCCATCTGTGCTGTTTCCTTATGTGGTACATTGATAGTAGCCGCGACATATCCTCCAGTCTGTACGATGCCATCGCAAACTCCTTGGATAAGTTGCACGACGAGCAATTCCCCAAGCGTAGGATTGGAAGTACGGATCCGGAACATGACTCTATATCTGATGATGCGAATGAAGAGACCACCTACTATCCACCATTTGTATGTTCTGGTCTTCCACATGACCAGTCCGAAGAGAATGCCTGTAGCAAAAGTCATGACGCCGTTGATATAGGAAAGATTGGTAGCTTGCACGATGGTCAGGCCTTGGGCGATCAAGGCCCAGTTGTACAGGTATCCATGAGAGGCTTCTGCTGTCATGTAATCGGTGAAGTAGAGGAGGAAGGCTAGACATATTGATTTGTGCTTTAGGTAACGGACGGGGAAGAATGGATGTGCGGCGACTTTGCTTTCATAGAATGGGAGGGCGAATATGAGAAGGAGACCACCGATGACCATGAGCGTGGGGATCCAAGGTGTCTTGTAGCCGTGGGGTTGGAGGCTGGCGAGGGACAGGGGCAGGAGGATGAATGCTAGGCCGAGGATCATGATGGCCATGCCGCCAATGTCGATACTTGAGCAGACTTCGTAGACGCTCAGGCGAGCTTTCTTGATGTATTCAGCCTACCAAAAGTCAACCCAGACTCTCTCACAAAGCAAGAAGCAAGGGCAAAACTGACGGACTCTCGATACAGCCTTTCAGAGCAGAGAAACAGAAAAGGGATGCATACCTCCAACTTCTTCGCGCGACTTTGATACTTCAGAAGCAAGCTCATAATCGCAACAACCCCAAAAGGATACACAATAGCCAGAATCCCAATACCCCAAGCCCATCCAATGCCACCAAGACTAACGACCGCCAACACAATATAAGCCGAAACCCAAGGCAATATCAAATACGGCCAAAATTACAAATTAACACCCAAAGCTCTCTGCCTCGTACTCGTGAGATCCGCAATGACAATCGTGTTCATAGTATTCAAACAAGTAATCCCGATGATGCGGAGAATGGTTCCTACAGCGAACGCTTGGAAAGTCTGAGCACTAGCTGCAACGACGAGGCCGATGGTGATAAAGAGGAGCGCCGTAGGATACATTTCTCCACGACCGAAGATATCAGAGATCTTAGCCCAGACCGGCTTCATGAGGGAGAATGTTAGATTGCAAGCTACAGACAGAGCGGATGTTGAGGCTGTCTTCTTGAAATCAGAGATAGCGTAGACGTAGTAAGTAGCGAAGGTTGTGTTGTCTAATTCGCTGAAACTTAGTCAGAATGTGTAGTTATTTTCAGGGTTGGGACTTACTAGACAATCATGCAAAGTGCCAGTCTGTATTCGTTAGCTGATGTCTTGTCAGGATATGGATTTCTCGTACGAGAGAAAGACGAAGAGTTTCCCATGCTTGCCCCAGGCCTCTTGCATGAGTTCAATTCGTTGGGCACCTTCTTCACCAAGCTCAACTGATTGAAAAACGGGCTTCTGGATCTCCGAGTCGGTAGCATGGTGGTTGATTGTCATTGTCTTCTTGTCGTCCACGTCTGTGGTGGGAGTTTCAATTAACGTGGGAGCTGGTTCGACTCCCTCCGTCACGGCGAGAGTTGAGTTTTGATTCATAATCGACTTGATATGTTGAAAGATTGCCATATTGATATGGTCAACAACAAGATCTGCCGATTTGATAGAATTGAGATACTTCACATCCTGGGTAATGGTCTTATGTATAGGAGATTGACTTATCTAAAGTCTTCCACACGTACGGTTCGATAATCGAAGCCTTCTTTCCTTGACCGTTTCTACGCACGAATCACAGTAATTGTAATGCAAAGACATCAATAGCGTCCTATCATAAGATAAGCTTATTGATCCTTGCTATCGGTCGCTCGGATACTTCCTAGTTGTTGTTGCCCAGCAAACCTCATATTTGATGATCATGTGACTATTGGAAGACAACGACAGAGATAGCATAGAGATAGCGAAAGCAAAGATGTCCCATTTCATTGCAGCCGCATGTATCGTGGCTGCTCCCCGCTGCAAGTTACTATGCAACCATGTTCAGGTTCTTTCCGACGCAGTGGCTCGAAAGTGGGGGTGCATGCACGCTGTGATAGCAAAAGGAGGTAAGCGAGCCAAGACTCTTGCTATCTTCTCCATACCCCAGCAGAAGACGTCTGGAACGTGCACAACGCATACAAACTATGGAGATGTTAGACACCATGCACCAACTGATAGCATGTCCTTCGGTCTCTGAGGCTATTCTGCAAACCTTCCCTCAGAATCGAGAGCACGAGTATAGACAAGTTGAAGTCCGGAGCAGCATCGACGGAATTCAGATATGACCCTAGTCACAGAATTACCAAGCAAGTCGGCTACTGATCATGAAAGCTCAATAACAATGAATCAAAGTATAATCAACCATCGAGACCTGCTCTGGCATGTGAATCATGAGGTAAGTGACCAAGCCAGAACTCATTTTCGTTCGTTCGTTGATTCACTCAACGGACAGATATTCTCAAACCCAGAGATCGCTTATGAGGAAGTCACTGCTCACGATACACTCGTAGCAGCGTTGCAAGGCGAAGGTATCAAGGTAACACCTCACGCATACGGGATCCAAACGGCTTTCGAAGCTGAATTCGGATCTGGAGGCAGAGTTTTGGCTTTCAACGTTGAATACGATGCTCTCCCTGGTCTTGGTCATCTTGTGGACATAATCTCATCGCAACAACATCCCTGGGGGTATTTCTAGCAGTCGTAGATGCTCTCAAACAAAGCGATAAAGCTGGTCGTGTGCGATTACTTGGCACACCAGCAGAGGAAGCGATCGGAGGAAAGATTGCACTGATCGAGGCGGGAGCATATGCAGATGTCGAAGCGTGCATGATGATGCATCCAACGAGCCAGAGTGTATATCCCGATGATGTGCTAGGCGATGCTTTCGACAAGACTCTGGCAATCTCGGGATTTCGAGTGACGTTTCGAGGCAAACCAGCTCATGCTGCCTTGGCTCCATGGAAAGGAGTCAATGCTCTGGATGCTGCTGTTCTTGGATATACCAGCGTTTCTGCTCTACGACAGCAGCTACAGCCGGATGAACGGATTCATGGCATTATTGCTGAAGGAGGAGTAGCTGCCAATATCATTCCTGACAGAGCGGTTCTGGAATATGGAGTAAGAGCGCCAAGCCTCGCTGGAGCTGAGGCGTTGCAAGAACGAGTCCTTAATTGCTTCAAAGTCGCAGCGCAGGCCACTGGGTGTGAGATCGAGGCTGAGATTTTGGGAGTGTATGCTGACCTTCGAACCAATTTGTCGATATGTCGAGCATTCCAACAAGCGATAGAGGGCATGGGTCACAAGATGCAATGCAACGTCGACCGTGAAACAACGCCTGCATCGACTGATCAAGGCAATGTCAGTTATGTATGCCCGAGTTTCCAAGGTATCTTTGGGATCCCATCTGAGAATGCCTTCCCCCACACCGCAGGGTTTGCACAGGGGGCAGGTTCGATCGCTTCATTCGAGCGGTGTCTCTTGTCGGCTGAAGGAATGGCAATTGCAGCTTATCGTTTTCTGATGGACGATGACCTCGCCAATGAGGTGAAGAAGAACTTTCAACATCAGAAGTCTCTTGATTAGAGTGATTGGGGTCAAAGCAGAATCGAAACAAAGAAGTGACGTGTACAAGTTACAATGAATGCATATGGGGATTGGCAGGCATGGTAGTAAAGCCAAAATACAACCGAGTACCAAGAGGGCCAAGAACTTGCTGCAATTCGACTTACACAAGCATATCGCAGTCTATCTGATACTGTAACCAAGTCTCCTCGCACCAAACCAAAACTCAGGCAGAATATCTGGCATCTGAAAAAAGTCCCGCTGTTTATCAAGGCAGCGCACAATCTACTACGACCGTGGCTGCATTCGTGCTCGAGTATTTTCTATGATAGTACAGCAAATAACGTGTTTGCTATTGCTGTACTAATTATATATTGCGAAGGAATCTGCGTGATTGACATTCTCCTCAAATCATGCTTCAACTTATGTTGATGGGGCAAACTCGTCAATGACGCTAGTCACATCTCCATAAACACCACACGGATCGAACTCCATATTATACCCAAATGCTTTGGGTCCCGCGATCTCGAGCCCTCGTTTGCTCGTCCAGAGGGGATGGGCTGCGGCAATCATAACCATGACCTTTAGACCGTATCGATATTCGGGGACGCCAACTGCTTCGCCGCTTAAAGTGTCGAGGACCATGATCAAGTCTGGAACTGTGGCAAGGATCTACAGAAGTTGTGTGGTCAGCTTCGGAAGTCTTGAGGGAAGAGAGGAAAATGGGCTTGGCAAGGTCAAGGAGGTCGAATGACTCACCTTCTTTTCTCCAGACGCGTAGACAGCTTCTACCCTAAGGTTCTCATTGATGAACGGGATTGAGACCTTTTCAGGCCCATTGTCTTTACTTCCACCATCGTTGTCTTTCTCGTAGTCCTTGAGCTTTTCGATGACAAGCGTTCCATAGCTATGACCTTTGTGCACCGACTGTCCGACTCCTACGACCTTTCCTTCAAACACCTTACTCGCGCTCTGGGGACCACCAAATTCCTGGATGAGGTCCTCATGAACGGTTGCAATGGTACCTCTGGTGCGTGCATGAAGGACGGCACGACCAAGTCTCCAGGACAAAGACATCGATTTAGGTATGCCGTATTGTTGCAGCTCGGATTTTGTTGTTGGTCGGGCTGAGATACCTGCTGCGAGGCTAGATGTTACGCATTAACTCAGGTCTAAAATGAGATATTGGAAGGTGTTGATAGGATCCATACCCCATAGTGATGCATGATGCTCGCAGGACTTTGTCAACTGAGGCCGCGTCTTTTGCTGAAGTCAAGGTCATATTTGTTCCATCGCCGCTCGACAAAGAGGCTGGAAGTAGATGATTAATGTCATCGGCTCCGATGAAGAGTGAACTCATTTCAAAGGATGGGAAAGCTCGTCCTATGTCTCAAAATGTCAGTGGACAAAGAATGTCAAGTCGGAAGAAAGACCAAAGATAATGGAAAGGATCCGTACCCATGAGATCTGCATCAATGCAGGGAATATCATAGTATGTCGATGACGAGAGAAGCAGAGGCGCCATTCCATTGGACCCGCCTATTTCTGCAGTGAGCACCGCGGTGAACTTGATATTGAGATGCTTCTCCATCTCTTGCATTGCATGGAGAATCATGTCGCCACCAAGTTTCTCGATAGCAATTATGGGACTGCCCATCCCTGCAACTGGACCACATTGAGCATCGGCTGGCAAGTCATCAATATCGATGATCCTAATCTTGCCACCATCACGAAGGAGTTGGCGGGTCTGAAGATAGCTTGCGTAGGGTGTGCCACCACCAGCACAGCCGAGAATGTAGCAACCTATTGATATGTAATGAGCATCAGTTTCTGATAAATGCCAGACTCGGTTGCTGTCGATGTTTGGCCTGTAGGAGTCGTGGTCGATTTTTTCATCAGTCGAGTCATGCATCTCTCCATTCAAATCCCATTGCTTCGTTTCGTGATACGGCTCCTCCGCGGCTGAGTCGTCGATAGCTTCATTCTCTGCATCTTCCAAGAATCGTACGTAGTCGACCGGACCTACAACCTTCACTGAGATCTTAAATTTCCCTTCAATATATGGGATGCCCGAAACCTCTTCTTCGATGATGCGGATCTGTGAGGTTTTTGCCCCTCTCGAAATGGCTTGAGCAATGGCTTTAGCTTTCACATCCGCCAGTGCGTTGTCCTTATTGCTGGCATCAACGATCATTTCAGCGTCCTCTCCAATTTCGGCAACAGCTGCTCCCACGGCGTTGGCAACACCTGCATGTCGAGGAACCTCGATTGAAGCCACCCCTTCCAGTTTTGAAGGACAAAGAAACGCTCCTCCTCCAACGAGAAGTAAGTTGCATGGTTCTGGTGATGTCTTCATTCTGTCGATATGGTCCTCGAGCATTTGCTTGATTTTTTCCTTTGCCAATTGGATTGTTGCAAGGGGAACTTCTGGGGTCAAACTACCGATTTTGGCTTCGCCAGCCGCAACCATGATGTCGGTCGTAGTCAAACAATCACCATGAAAGCATATGGCTTTCTCCCTCAGTGCTTGTCCAACACTATCTGGACCAATAGATAGTTTGCCATTTGAATTTTCATGCACAAGAGACCCTCCACCAAGTCCAATGCTTTCCACTTGAGGCATTGCAAAATTGACTCTGACTCCCCCAATGTCGGTAGTTGCGCTAGCCAGTCGGGGAAATCCACTTGGGAGAAGACAGCCAATGTCTGTTGTTGTCCCACCAATATCTATGACATATCGACTCTCACCCAATTGATGTTCTGCTGATAGAAATGAAGCTCCTCTTATAGAGTTCGTGGCTCCTGAAGAGAAGATCCGGATGGGATACGACATGGCTTCCTTGGACGACAGAAGTTGACCGGAATTGGAAGTTAGATATAGTGGACAGCTGAGTTCCAGACGTTTCATAGCCCGCTTGAAGCCATTGATTGTTCGCCTAGCGAAGCGCAAGGTCGATGAATTCAGAATGGTTGCATTCTCTCGTGCCAGGATACCAACTCCAGCAACTATGTTCTATCAGTCTGTTCTTGAATAAAGAGGTAGTTTGCTTTACCATCTTTGGAACATACAATGTCCACATCTTCGCCTAATGCTTTCCTCAGAAGATCACGAACCTTCTCTTCTTGGTGATACTTCTCATCGAATGGCGAATAGATGCCAACTATTGCAACTCTACGGAGTCCTTTCTCCTTGATGATTCTGGCTTGCTCAAGCACTTCACTCTCTTTGATGGGGCCAAGTTCTGCACCATCGATCTGGACGCCACCGGATATGCTGGCAAAATGACCATTGATGACTACTCATGGTCAGCTGAATCATTCGGACTCAGAATTAAACTCACTCCTCTTCAGCGCTGGTGGAAAATCAATAAATGGGGGAGTATATCTCAAATAGTTTCCGGCAGCTAAACGAATGACTGCTACAGGGTCAAGTCTCGAGACATCACGTTCCACGACAGCGTTGATGAAGTGCTTCGCAATCAGCTTAACACTTTACGTGGAAGTTGAGGAAAGTTTACTGTTGTTCCTATCATCAAGCTTGCCACACTTGCTGGAGAAAGTTTTGCACTTTCGAGAAGAGTTCGAATCGCTTCCTCAATCCCAGTGGTCACATCTGTTCCCGTGGTAGCTTTGTAGGATGATATAACTGCATCTGGTCCCGTCTTGTTTGGATCCAAAAGCACTGCGTCCGTGTTCGTCCCTGAGAAACTTGATAAGTAGCTGATCCTCAAAGGTAGTACAAATTGCATACATACCACCGACATCAACGCCAAGGATCAATCTTCGACTCGCCATATCGACTTCAAGATGCTTCAACGAGGTATAAGAAAAGATCGTGGATGTATTTACAAAAAGCTTAAATATATCCTCTTGCGTTTATGAGATAAATCACAAAGTCCGTAAAGAGACGCCAAAGATAGCCTGCAAACATAACGTAGACATAACAAATTTGTCATGTGCCAAGCAAGACACATTATAGTTAGAGATTGTTGTCTGTGTATGGCATAGAATCAGATTGAGAGATAGCCAAGAGTCTCCTATGCTATCAGCGGGAAGGCTGCTCTGCATCCCACTCTTGTGCATGAACCTTCATGCCTTTCAAACTGAAAGTCTACGTACAATCGGTCCATACATCTAAGAGCCCAGACCATTTATAAATAGAGCTATCACAGATACAATGAAGGAGGATTCGTCTTCGAAGATGAAACTGTACATTCGGTGGGGATGTTTGCTCACAGAGTCACATCTTCTCCCTCTATCTTTAACAAATACGGTAAGCAAGGACAGGTGAGTAGTGTTATGTAGAAAAGCTATGAAGGAGAGTTGCAATGTTGATCGCCAATCGATCAAAGTGCGTCTTCTTCAATACGCTTGAGTTCGTGTTCGTCGTGACTGCCAGCGTTTGCCCAGGTGGCTTTCATTTCCGAATGGTCACGTGTGCCGTGCTGTAGACGGGCAATGGTTGTTGAGCTGGGCACCAGAGCCTTGCCACGATACAGCGACGAGTTAGCTTTCGCTGTTGTGTCAACGGTCAAGATCGAGGTGCATCAATACGATCGAGATCTGCGCCTCGGTTCCTCGAAAAGTATATCGTGGTCTTTTCAGCTTTTAGAACGCGTACCGGAAGTCCTTGGCTTCATTGTACCCATCCGTTGACAGTTCCGTCTGAGATGGTCTCTAGAGCTGTGAAGTACTCTTCTCCGAACCCTTCAGCTTGCCAAGACTCGTACTATCGAGATTCGAGTGTGCGGCGACTGCTCGGGGTGTCGAGAAAATGGATGCCGATTTGGGGACGAGCTCTGAATCCCGTCAGAAAGGATTTCGAGAACGATTCAAATCACGATTCTTGAACTCAAAAGACAAAGGCACTAGTGCAGTCTTGTCACCAGCGAAGGAACACCAGACTGCGCCCACGTCCAAGGCAGCTGAGAACGCTAAAGACCGAAAGCACTCAATCACTTCTTCTATAAACACATTTCCCCTCAAAGATGCTGCAAACACGGGTCACAGCTTACCTTTGCAGGCTAAAGGGGACTCCGAAACTACTACTTCGATGCTCCCAATTGTCCCCACTACTTCACGGTCAATCAAAGAACCACAAAAATCACCACCAATCGCAGAGGTGTGGAACCAAGCATACGAAGCTCTGAGAGCCCAAGAGGAAAGGCTCATCAAAGAGTACGAACGCATTCTCTCCGTTGAGCTCAGCACAGTTTTCGGGTTGATAGCCGACATGTCATCGCCTCATTCCGTCAAATCGACAAGAAAAGACCAGATGGAGCGCATTTTGAGTAAGAAAATTGCAGAGATGAAAAATAATGAATTCAAGTTGAAGTTCAATGGCATGGATATCGCCGTCAGGGATCTCGCAAAGCCTGTCCTTGATATTGTCAATTCAGCTAATAATTATATTACTAATGCCGCGAGTGCGAATCCGTACGCGTCCATTGCATGGGCTGGTGTAGGCCTCATACTTCCGGTAAGTTGTAATTCCTAGACTGCATGTCCAATACTAAAATTTCCAGCTATTCCTTAATCCTTCGGAACAAACAACCTCAATGGCAAATGGCCTCAGAACAATCTCTGACCTAATTGTTCAGAGCTCGATGAGAGAGGCGCTGTATGCTCATCGGTATGAGTCTGAACGCAACACAACAGATCACATGTTTGAGAGTATCCATTCTTTGTATCGAAATGCACTACAAGAGCAATATCGCCTGATACTCAAGTTCCAAGCCACGTATGTCTGCTACTGCTCGAGAAGCAAAGGTGCAAAGCTTGTCTCAGACCTAGTCAAATGGGACAAGTGGGACTCGTCACTGCAAGACATTCAGCAACAAGATCAAACTTTTTCTAGAGTCTACAACATCTTGAGAGATAAAGTGACCCAGGAAGAGTACGACAAACTTTCTGGGCGCCATATCGAGATCTTCAGCACTATGGAAGTAATAGATAGCGATACATCAGCCTTGAGGATAGCCATTGAACATACTCAATCGGATCAGCGTACAAGAGAATTACTCCAGTGGTTATCGCCTGTTGATCTAGCAGAAGGCTATCGGAACGCGATTTCAAAACTGAAAGTAGACACTGGCGACTGGCTATTGCGAAGGATGGAAACGGAGTCCGAATTCTCTTCTTTGGCTCCATGGAAAAGGTTGTTCCTGTATCTTCACCTATCAAGATCATGGTACTAACCAAGTTTCATAGCTGGTGCTGGCAAATCTGTCTTAAGGTACGAAATTATTTTGCCACAGTCTGAATTCGCGCGTAGTCTAACAGTATCGGACAGTGCATCGGTCATCAAAAGCCTCGAATCTGCTTATGACACAGATCCAAATATTTCTATAGCCTATTTCTTTTTCAGCTTCAATGATCAAAAAGCCCAAAGCACGGATATAATGCTTTGCTCCTTAATTCGACAGCTCTAGTGCAAGCGGCCCGACAGACCTCCAGTCATCGATAAACTAGACGAATGCCAGAGAAAGAATCACAGACCCGATCTCGAGATTCTTAAGAAGGCAATAGCAGCTATGACTGGTGGCTTTTCAGACGTCTATCTTGTTATCGATGCGCTGGACGAGTGTTTCGATGAGAAGGGCTCAATGAAACGAGATAGTTTATTGGAAGTCCTGTCCGAACTTCATGGACTGGAATTGTCGAATTTTCACTTGTTATGCACGAGCCGCAGCGCGCCGGATATTGTTGCGACGTTCAGGTCACTCATGATCGCCTCTAATAGCACCAAGAGAATCGATTTGGACAGCTCAGTTTGTATTGGCTTTATCCAAAGGGATATTAGCCTTTATCTGGACCGAGTATTCGCTTCCACCAAATTCGAGTTCTGGCCAGACTCAATGAAAACCGAAGCTCGAGAAGTATTGATCAAGAACGCTGAAGGAATGTAAGCTTGAAGATCTCGAAGTCAAACTTCCCTATCACCATAGATCTATGGCTTTCCAGGCGCGCTTTGCTAATCTGGTTTTGCTTTCAGGTTTCAATATGTGGTTTGTCAATTGGACCATCTCGAGGAATGCGCGAATTCAAGCGAGGTTCAACAATCATTGAGGTCCCTTCCAAGAGGTTTGGATGCAACATACGCCAGAATGTTACAAAATGTGAAATTGGATCGTAAGAAGCAAGTATTAAGCACTCTGAAATGGCTCTGCTTCTCTGCAAGACCGTTGACTTTGGGAGAGCTTGCTGAAATTTTCATTCTTGATCCTGAAGGCGACGTTCCTTTCAACCATGAACAACGACTTTTCAAGGCGGAAGCAGTGCTCACATACCTGCCTAAGATAGTTACTGTACCAGGATATAGCGTTAGGTATCACACGAAGATGGTAGTGAAATTCAGTCATTTCTCCATAAAGGTAAGAGCCCTTATCTCTTCAAAACCATCCCGTATCGAAAGAACGTCCGGCACAGACCGTAGTATGCAAATTGACGTCTATATCAAGCTCGTATTCTCTTTCCAAATTCAGAAGTCTCCACCTGTTCCAAAGGACAAGTCCGAAAGTTCGACGATTCCCTGGACATTGATTAGGACTCGCTCCATTCAGCCTGGAGGGCCTGAAAAACCCGACTTGCCGATGTTGGAAATAATTTCTTGATTCGCGGCCAATTTTTATGCAGCTAACTTTGATCTCTCTAGGAATATCTCATTTCTAGCCGGATTTTGGTATCAGATGGGCCTGCCAAAGATTTCTTCACTGACGAGACAAATGCGAATCTCCACATCGTGCATTCATGTTTAGCATATCATTTGCACCTCAGCAGACAAATACTGGTCACCAAAGAGATTTTCCGACAGTTCCAGCTGTGGGACTATGCAGTCGACTATTGGGACGTGCATTTGGACAAAGTGCCTCGACAAAAGTGGCCAGTCCAACTCCGAAGGTGCTTGCTTCAGATATTTACGTCGGGTTCACAGAGTATGTTAAATCTATGTCGGTCAATCGATCCAGATTGCAGTCGCTATTCGAGTTGGGAAATAGATATACCCTATCCACCGCTTTATTATTCAGTCACAACCGATGCTTCGGCATTGGTGGAAGAGCTAATAGAACGGGGTGCCTATATCAATGAATACTCAGAGGCTTCTAGATACGGAACTGCACTACAAGCTGCAGCATATAGAGGATCTGAACGCATCGTTCAGCTATTGCTTGATAATGGTGCTGATGTGCGTTTACGTGGAGGCAGATTTGGGAATGCACTACAAGGTGCCGTAGCTGGAAATGAGCTTGAAATCGCAAAATTGCTCCTTGCTCACGGAGCAAAGGTAGACCCGCCAGATTCGGAGTGGGAGAGCCTCATAGCCCAACTTAGAGCAAAACGCGCGGAATATGAGATAGCCATCCGGTTGTGCGAATTTCAGAAGGATCCAGAGCGGTATCTTGCGAAGGAGATGGATAAGCAAGAGCGAGAGGGTCTTGGAGAGGTAATGCGATTGTGGCGTAAACTAAAATCCCAGGCTTCGTGGAATGTCCCAAAAGTGGACACGAAGGCTAAGTATCTAAGACTGACGAAAGATTATTGAAGTTCTACTCCACCTTAGTATCATGTATGCCACCATCTTTGATCTGGACGTGGAGGCGACATTTGTGTCTTTTCATTTCCAATGTTCGACGGGATGCCATTCGCTGTTCGACACAGGAAGAATCTTCTTGGCACACTACAAGAAAAGGCTCTCGAGGTACGGCTTCGATGTTATAAAACTAGGAGTTATCTGCTATTTAATGTCGACATCATACCGTCATATGATTCGCAATGACAACACTCTCGCTGCCTCTGCTCTCAACTCTTCTAAAACATCTCTTCATCCACCCAACAAGATAAACACTCTCCACTACATTCTCACTGAAATCCACCTTTCCCTCCCCATCCACCTCCCTCTTTTTCGTAATCCTCACATTCCCCAACATACCCGCAGCCAGTACACAAAGCCACATCAACGGCAAGATACTAATAAATGCCCAAACAACACCACTCCTTGCTGCGTCCTGAATCGTCGCCTTCGCTTCCTCGCTCAAGGTGCTGATCGATGAAGTATACCCCTCCATAGCGGATGCACTGAGTCCAGCTTTATTATTGAACACTGAACCCATGATAGTCATTGATATCGTCCCACCGAAGGGGACGGCGAAGGAGGTCAGTGCTATGACCGACGCGATGTTGTTTGGGAAGAACCCGATGCCATGCAGGGAGTTTGGCATGAAGCGCATTCCAGTTCCTGCACCAGTGAGGGCGATCATACCAAAGATGGTCGCGTTGTGGCCCTGATGTAATGCCCAGGTAAGAACAGTGATACCTGTAGCTTCGATGATGGAGCCGAGGAAGAGAGGTGTGAAGGTTTGGCGGGGGTAGATGTTGCACATTACCATGGCGGAATAGACACCTACACCTATACCTGGTGTGTAGTAGAGGAGTTGTACACCGGCTTTGGAGGGGGTGTAGAGTTTCACAAAGGTGAAGTATATATCGACGAAGTATAAGACGGCTATCATGCCCATTCCAGTGCAGAAGTTGATGTAGAATAGCAGGCCCATGTTGCGTTGAGAGAGAAGAGCCCAAGGGATGGTGGGGCGTTGCAGGGGTATGAGGCGAGAGAGGTAGCGTCCCGGCGCCATGATTGATTGGTATATAATGAAGGTTATGGAGAGAAAGGAACCGAGGATCAAGCAGATGATAACTTGAGGGGAGGACCAGGGATACCGAGCTCCTCCCCATGTGAGACCAAGAATCAGAAGACTCATACCGAACAAGAAGAGAACTTGACCTCCAAAATCGATAGTTGAGAGTCTAGCCTTGAGTTTGTGGGTCTCTCCTGATTGTGCTAGGAGTTCTGGCAGTGGTTGAGGACCAAGTAATTCCTTTCGGAGTACGACGAAGAAAAGGATTGCCCCTGTTGCTGCGACAGGCAGATTAATACCAAAACACCATCTCCAAGTCTTGTCTGTCAAGTAGCCTCCAATAACAGGTCCGATGGCGTAAGAGAGTCCTCCAACCATGCCAAAGATGCTATTGTTCTTTGCGTTTCCCTTCAACGAGACTTTGTCAGACATGATGACTCTGGTGGTGACATTAATTCCGGCTACTGAGAGTCCTTGAATCGCACGGCCAAAGATGAGGAGTGGAAAGGCATTAGTTGGCGCACTTGTGCAGATAGCACTTCCAATCATCATCAAGATCAGGACAGCTTCCATTGTAGCTGTTCTTCCAAAGATGTCACACATCTGACTCCAGAACGGAATGAATGCTGCTGAGCACAAGTTGAACGCTGAGATAATCCACGTCATCTGAGATATTTGGCCTGTAGTTGTTAGCGTTTATCGTCACTGAGGCAGGGTCTACTACCAAAATCGATAGCAATCCATGGCAAAGCAGAAGCTATGATGGTTACATCAAGAGCTGACAAGGCGAAAGGGAAGAATATCCCGACGATGAGTTTGAATCGATACTTTCTTGCTGTTAACTGTTCTTTTCGACATATTGTACATCTGCCTTTGGCATCAGGCTGGAAAGCGGTTGTTGCTTGCACATGGTTCTCCTTTTCCACGTGATCGGTTGGAAGTTCCGTCTTGGTTTGAGGCTCGACAGTTCTCTGAATCTGATGATGGCAAGTACGTGCTGGCTTATCTTTTCTTTTTCGATTCAATATGAAACCCATGGCTGATCACGTTTCTCAGGCTGTGCTTCACGAGCAGGAAGCAGAAAGGGGATATAGGTAACAAGGATAAAGCGTTTCAACAAAAAGAGAAGGAAGCAAGTACAAGGGAATGACTCAGAAACATAATGATGGTGCTGTTCGTGATTCATTATCCACATGTTGAAGTCATGCTGTAAATAATGGGCAGATGATTCCTCCCTTTGGAACGCATGGCGCTTTGCAGAGGTCTTCATTGGACGAGATTGACTTACTGCGCACTCGAAGCCATATAGTGAGCCGAGCGTTGAAGACATTGATAATGTCCTACCTTCAATACCTCGACGACGCATTTGATTCTCGAGCACGAGAGAAGTATATCTTCAAAACCGAGTCAAGGAGCAAAGGTTCCGCGGTCTAATTAAAGTATGGCAACACCAGTGGGTGTCAGAATTCGTGAACCACGCTAAAATTAGCGAATAACACGAAAATCGCGCCCCGCCATTCCTACCACTACAACAGCAATTATGGCACTTACGGCACCCAGAACGCGCGCAAATGACCGTCTTACCCCTCCCCCAGACCCAGCGTATAATTACCCAGCTTCAACTCGCAAGCGTACACGATTCTACGACGCGTACGATAAGCAACACCACTTAAAGTCCTTCCGCCAGCTATGTCGCGATGAAGGTGTTGACCATACTACTGGGCTGCGTTGGAAGCGTTAGAGAGAGACAATGGGCCATCTAGCAATGAGAACAACACGTGGAATATCTAAAAAGCCACTCGGGAGGAAGTCTAAAGTCACATTAGCTATGTGCCAAATGCTAGTCGATCCTACACGAAACCCCGTCCGCGACCAAGACCTTAACGCGCAAATTCAGTACTATAAACTCCCAATAAAGAGGCGCTAGTTGCAAAGGAAATTGAAGGAGCTTGTAAAGGCACGATGGTTCAAAATGGCATTTGTAAACAAGCAGGTTTTAGAAAAAAACTTAGAGGAACGTGTTGCTTTTGGAAAAGAGTATATAGGCAAGACAATTAAGGATTACTGGAGCTTGATTACGTATACGGACGAGGCACACCACGATCTTAGCGCCTAGCCTGTTGGCTATATATTGAGACAAGAAGGAGGCGACCGACGTTATGCGGACGAGAATATTATGGAACGGAAAGAAATAAAAGGCATAGCATTCCATATTACTGCTTGGATCAATTGGTGGGGGAAATCAGAAAAGCTAGAGTTCTACAATAACAAAGAAGACACTATAGAATACCCTCCTATGCCTCCAAAACCTCGTCGTCGCCCAACAACAGAGTCTCAAGAGGAATATAAAGCTAGAGTGGAAGAATAGGAGGCTACTAAACCTCACAAAGTAGAGAAAAAGGTTGCAGGCAACCATATGACCCAAAAGTACTATACAGAGCGTCTCTTGCCTATATATATTAAAGCTGTCTAAGAACAGCGTTTATAACATACAAATCAAGTGTATCTTCAAGAAGATGGGGACCCCTCTTATAGTATGCGTAAAGAAGGCCTTGCGTATTAGCTGAAAGTAATCAATTAGGTAGTTAATATCAAGCACCCTGCGCAGTCACTAGATCTAAATCCAATTGAGGGTATTTAGAATATCATTAAGCAATGTGTGCGCTAGAGAGTCTTTTATTCTAACGAGGAGGTAAAACAAGCTCTTTAAGAGGAATGGGATAAAATTACATTAGAAGAGATACGCTTACGCATCGCTGATATGCCTGGGAGATGCAGACGCCTTATTAAAAATGGGGGGAAAGCTATTAAAACTGCAAAATGGTGATTTATTTTGTAATAATATTAGCAATTGACTATTGACCCCCTTTGAAATTCTGGCGTTCTCGCCTAATTTTAGCGTGGTTCACGAATTCTGACACCCACTGGTGCAAAGAATGTCAAGATTAAGTAATCATCACGTGACCATCCACGGCATCCTTTCACCCGATTTCCCCCCAGGTTTAAGCGGCCTTCCGGTGTGCATCTAGAGTCGATTTGAGGTCATCAGAAGACCCGAACATATGGCCAGGCGCAATACATAGACCGTCTAGCGAGTGTCTGATATTGATATATTCTCTTCTCTTCCTGCTTAACCCGAATCACAGCATCTATTCCAACCAAAATCCTCATCCACATTACCCCACAGACATACCCCGGACCGTTTGTCACCGCCTGCAGGTGTCACGTTGTCTCTTTGAAAAGGCTCTCGTCCAGCCTTTCCCTTCCCTCCCCATCCCATCTCTTCCCGGATCACGTTGCCTCATAGCCTACACTCCTATCATTAAGGTTCCTTCAATCCGCAATTGTATCACGGAGCTCCACCTTCCTGCATGCCTCGAGCCAGTGGGTGAGACGTCAAACTTCGACACCTCTCGGCAAAACGTGTTGTACCAACCAGAACATTCTCGGGCAAGAGGAAGCGGCTTTTACTTCCACTTTCGGGACAACATACGCCTCTGTATCGATTTGAGAGAGTCAAGAGCTCTTCACATGTTCTGAGACACTTCGGATCTGGGTTCCGTTGCTGGAGAGCAGCACAGTGCTCAAGCTCCAACTCCACGGCTCGAGCTCCCTGCACAGTCCATTTCCCCAACTCTAGACGCGAACTAATTCGGAAAAATATACGACCTCGCGGAGGAATTGGGCGAGCATATATTGATCTCCCATTAGGCACAATCATATAAGGTACGTTAAATTCGTTAATTGCCTTTTCAGTGCTGGCTATGTATCAGTCGTTCCAAACATCGTGCTCGGTGCTGCGGACCTCGAGATTAGCTCGGCATATCTCCCCCAGCTAGTGCACGGGTGTGGATGCCAGTTGCAGAGACATGGGCCATCTGGCCGATGTGAGAGTTCAGTCCATGTATGGCATTCTGCAGGAAATATCATGCGGGGCAGACCCCACTGCGATCCACTTGGTGACTCGAGATATAACCAAGGCTCTCTGTCAGAAGGAAGTCCTTCTACCTCGATATCGAATGTCTCAATACCACATCCGAGCCATCTAGTGGGATGCCGTCCTACTGTCTCCACGACTGCCATTATTTTTACCGCACAGCCCTGCGCGGTTTGAATATAAGCACCACCATCTGTACCATCCATGCTTAAAGTCATCCTGCTGACCAAGATGCCTTCCGCTACCGCTTCAGTCCGTACATTCACGATGCCTAAGTCTCTGAATGAGTCCTTGGCCGAACCTGGTCAACCTCAGGCAGCATCAGACAAAGGTCGTTCTCTTGATGGTGCCAAGAAAGTCACAGATCAGTACACCAAGGATCAGAAAGACCCACTAGCGACCAGTCAACCACCAAAGACGAAGCAAGGAATCACCTTTGCTGCTCAGGACAAGCTTCCTAAGCTACCCATCCCCGACTTGGAGGGAACAACAGCAAAGTATCTAGCCGCTTTGAAGCCACTGCAAAGCCCTAGAGAGCATGCCGAAACGAATCAAGCCGTAGAAGAGTTCTTGAAGAGTGAAGGACCAGAGCTGCAAGAGAGATTGAAGAAGTATGCAACTGGAAAGACGAGTTATATTGAGCAGTTCTGTAAGTTATCTCATCGAGGAAAAGGTTTGGCACTAACGTCTTGAAGGGTATGACTCGTATCTCAACTTCGATAACCCGGTCGTGCTAAACTTGAATCCCTTTTTCCTGCTCGAAGATGACCCTACACCCGCGAGGAACAACCAAGTCACTCGTGCTGCATCACTAGTCATATCGGCCTTGGCGTTCGTACGTGCTGTGAGAAAGGAGGAGCTTCCACCGGATTCAGTCAGAGGCCAGCCACTTTGCATGTACCAGTACTCGAGGTTGTTCGGAACAGCTCGTGTGCCGACCGAGAATGGATGTCACATTGGCCAAGACCCGGATGCCAAGCACATAGTTGTGCTTTGTCATGGTCAATTCTATTGGTTCGATGTTCTAGACGATAACTCGGACCTCATCATGACCGAGAAGGATGTATCAATCAACCTTCAAACAATCGTCGAGGATGCTCAACAAACACCAATCCAAGAAGCAGCAAAAGGAGCCCTTGGTGTACTCAGTACAGAAAATCGCAAGATCTGGTCAGGCTTGAGAGATGTTATGACCAGAGATGAAGGATCTAATAACGCAGATTGTCTTGGAATAGTCGATTCTGCCTTGTTCATCTTGTGCCTGGACTACACGGAGCCTTCATCTGGAGCCGAACTTTGCCAGAACATGCTTTGTGGCACTAGCGAGGTAGAAAAAGGTGTTCAGATCGGCACATGCACGAACCGATGGTATGACAAGCTCCAGATAATCGTTTGCAAGAACGGAAGTGCAGGAATTAATTTCGAGCACACTGGTGTCGATGGTCACACGGTCTTAAGATTTGCAAGTGATTTGTATACGGACACTATCCTTCGTTTCGCTCGTACTATCAATGGCCAAGCTCCAAGTCTTTGGGCATCAACAAGTCCAGACCCATCGAAGCGAGATCCAGACAGCTTTGGCGATGTTAATACTACACCGCACAAGCTGGAATGGGACATGGTACCAGAACTTGGTATCGCTTTACGTTTTGCTGAAACACGTCTCGCCGATCTGATCCAGCAGAACGAATTCGCCACACTGGACTTTGCAGCATATGGCAAGAATTTCATGACTTCGATGGGATTCTCACCAGATGCATTCGTTCAGATGGCATTCCAAGCTGCGTACTATGGCTTGTACGGTCGCGTAGAATGCACATACGAGCCAGCAATGACGAAAGTCTACCTGCACGGACGAACAGAAGCCATTCGTACAGTGACGCCTGAAGCTGTTGATTTCGTTCAGACCTTTTGGGCTGAGAATCCACCTCAACAAAAAGTCGACGCTCTTCGCCGAGCATGCCAGAAGCACACTGCCAACACCAAAGAATGCGCTAAAGCACAGGGCTGCGATCGTCATCTCTATGCACTCTTTAGTGTTTGGCAAAAAGCTCTGGATGAAGATGGCGCCGAAGCAGCATCCTCCAACGGATTGAGCAGTAACGGCTATTCTTCTCCTGTCGAAGGTGGCTCTGAACGGGATCCTACATCTGTAGTTGGTAGTCCAGGTCGCAACTCCGTTTTGTCTATCGATGGCGACGAAGTTCGCTCTGTACGCTCGAACGGTGGACGCGCTCGTCACAACTCTTCTCCTTCTCGTGGTCACCAAAGCAATATGCCCCTTATCTTCGCAGATTCAGGATGGGACAAGCTTAACAACACCATCATCTCTACCTCTAATTGCGGTAACCCATCTCTGAGACAATTTGGTTTCGGTCCCACATCTGGAGACGGTTTCGGGATTGGATATATCATCAAAGATGAAGGAATCAGCATCTGTGCTTCCAGCAAGCACCGCCAAACGAAACGATTCGTTGACGCATTGGAGAGCTATCTTCTGGAGATCAGACGAGTGTTGAGAATGACACAAAGAAGAGCACCAAGTCCAAAAGCCAGTCGAGCAAGAGAGGCGAGCGCTACGAGACCAAAGGCAGGAAGTAGGATGAAGTCACGAGGACGTGTGATTAAGGCCGAAGGAAAGAAGACGCCTGGCACAATGACTCCCGTTGATGATAGCAGTGCTGTGAGTGATGATGAGGGATTGGGTGGCTGTGAGTATTCCTTTCATGTTCCTATGGGTTATGTACTGATGATTACAGATGGATTCTTCGACGCAGGCATGCTGTTGCAAGCTCTCAAGGCTCGAGGCGAAGGCCTCGATGATGCAAAGCCCGACGCGAATGTAAATGCTAGGCGAAGGGAGATCGGGAAGAGGCTCAGGCTGAGCGAGTACTAATTTCTCTGCTTGTCCTCTGGGCTGCAACTGTGATCCTTCAACAGATCTTATGAGAAGTCTGTACTTACTCTTGTATCTCATACTTTGGATTACCATGCGTCCATGTATTTCCCTTCCGAGCGATGCCGTTCCTTAGCGTAGTTTTTTGAATCGATACTTTTCTCAGAATCTTATTGCTTATGTGAATTGGGTATGCTGCTCATGCCATCTGATAAACCTCTAGCATCAATGAAGTAGTGATAGAAATTAGCTTTTGATTAGCGATGTAAAATCGAAATCGAGAAGTCTTCCTGTTTTGCTCAAGTCGACTAGACTATAATGTGATTCTCGGACATACACCTCCAGCAGGCTTCACAGCTATCGGTACCGACCTAGAAGCACAAGCGAAAAGCAAATGCTGCCATCCATCTATTGACCTTCAACCTCCCTGACCAAAACCACGCTAAGGCTCTCCACCAATCACAGCCTTAACCTTCTCAAGCCCTCTATAAAGTTAAATAAGCAGATCTTTGCCATCATCCTCTGAGACAGCAGCTTCCAGGGTATAGACGCTTGCGGTATAACCGTGCCTCTCTAATACTCTCGTGAACGCTTGAAATACGAATGACTCAAGAGACAGCGGCCTCCAGGGTATAGATGCTTGCGATTCTATCGTGCCTCTCTATATTCTCGTGTGAATGCCTGAAATACGAATGTCTCAAGATTTCCCCCTTTAAACCCAACACTGGCTGTGGTGTTGGATACCACCTGCGGGTGGTTGAGTTTTGCTTCTGAGATCTTATTTTGGCATTTTTTGGCAATTGAGTCGAGGTTCTTTTTAAGCGAGGCTCCTTTCTTTGAAGTTGAGGTGTGCCAAGAACTACCGAATAAACTACCGAGCCTGTTCGAGTCAAACATCATGATCATGATCAACACTACGAGCAATATTCAGGAACAGGGATCAAAGTCTGGAGTGCGGGGCTTAATTTGGTGGGGTTGATGGTTTGAAGATGTTGACGCGGCGGAACAACGGAAGGGCAAATATTGGCATCTGCAATGGGCAGCGGAGAAGCGGATTGGTACTGCCGCATATAGGGCGAAGGCTAGACGGGTCTGAGACTCACGAAGAGGGTTAGAGGTGTATTGGAAATACATAGTGATTCCAAGAAGTGCTGTTATTTACATAGACTTCGACCTAGATTCGTCCAAGTAGGAACTTTCAAGTTTCCCTTAACGGTTATAATAATATCGATCCAGATCACCGATCCAACCCTTCACCCTCTCCTTCGTAGATGGCTTACTCGCCCTGTCTTCCCTCCTCATCAGCTTCAGTTCATCCCTGATGATCTCTCTATCGAGCTCGATTTCGTCCCTACTCCTGCGGTCTCTTTTCAAGTCTCTTGGCATGTTCCCATACATTTGTCTGTCATCCGCCGAGTTCCTACACTCCGGACATTTTCCTCTAACCTTACGGGTCCTTTCAAACTGACGACCATAGCAAATGCCAGAGTATTGGTCGTATCTATGGCATGTGTAAGTTGTGTCATGGACGCGACTAGTGCGGCAGTGGCAGGAGTATTTGGTAAAGTTTGTTTCGCACATTTTGAGTTGGTGGTTTGATTGAGAAAGGAGACGAAGGGGAAGGACGAAAGGGAAGGAAGAGAAGAAAGGCAAGTTCTGTGCAAGTAAAGAGCTCAGTGAATAAGACTGGCAGGTGTAGGTTATGGAATGGAAATGATTGAATCATCAGAGGACAAGTGATTAAGTCATTGTGGACCTTGTAAATATCATTGATGGAAAGTATTAAAAGTACAAATAGATCCGACGTCCATTGTCCTCCCTCTCCGTACATCTAACGAACATCATCGGCTGCCACTTTCGAACGCAAAGTCTGATCGTCACCAACCATTTTCCTCTCCTCTCCTCTTCCCTCTCTTAGTTTGATGAGACGTCCAAAGTCAGGCTCAAAGCTCTTCGAATAATCCAGGAAGTCGAATAATGTCCTTCAGAACTCTTTTGACATTCCACCATGAGAAATTTTCCAGCGAGCGGGCGGATCCATCAAACTTGTTGCGTGATGACACACTCTCAGCCATCCCTTCCACAACCTAACGCCTCCTTCTTTTCCTCCCTTTTCCCCCGCACGGACACATCTCCACCACGGGCCATACCACAATCACGGGTTGCACTCCCATCACAGGGCTCATCTGCTTCGCAGGCGTTCTCGGCGTCGGCAGCGACATGCCCATCTCCTTTCTGTTCTTGTCCGCGATGCATAGCAGACAGGCTCCACACGCGAACGGTGAGGTACGTTTCTCTTTACGTATTGTAATCGTGCCCTTGCACTTGTCTTCCTTGGGGTGGTAGTGTCTGCAATAGTGAACAATTTCTCTCGTACCGCCGCATCCGTGTGTTGTCTCTACAGTCGAGCACATTTTGAAATCGAGAGGTTCGCGGTGCAGGAATTGTGAGAGCGGGAGAACTGATGTGAAGGGGTATAAATACCACGTAAACCATATTGCAAGATGAGAGTGAGAGTCATAGCTGTGATTGGATTCTCGAAATAGGGCATGGAAAGCTGTCTTGTCTGCATGATGAGATAAATCTTCAGGAAAGAGGAATAACGGATGTTGAACTAGAACGGACATTCAGAGAGGACAAGATTCAAACCATGATGTTCTTGCAACTGAAAAGCAAGTAGGAATTTTTACTTCATAGCTCTCTTCAGGATACCTTTCCAACGAACTTTCGACGAAGACACTCTAGCATCGCAAGATTGGACTAACACAAGATCTCACTTGAAACGAACATTGAAAATGGGCACACGAGTCAAATTATCTTTTGTAAGGGAAACCGTTCGGAATGAAGTCTCTGATCGACATGGCTCTCAACCTCAACATCGGTCAAGTCACTCACATCACAGTTCTCGACAATCTGGCCCAGGAGCCAACGATCAATATGGAGCGCAACCACACCAAGGCCCCAGACAATCCGATCATGGATGTTTTAACACTTCTCAACAACAACGTCAACAGCCATACTACGACCAAAGACCATCTGGCCCTAGACAGATTGAACAATACGGGTCACCGTCCTATTATGATTCCCCGCAATCTCAGGCCGGAAGACTTGATCGTTATGAAGCACCACCATATCATGACTCCAGAATGAACCCTTCTGGCTTTGATCCCGGTCCTGCAACAAGGCATGCAAGTCAGAGGGAGGGGTTGCAAGAGAATCGTTATGAACGAGACAAGGAAGAGTTATCTAAACTCAAGAAGAGGATGAAGAAGTTGGAGCCGAGAGTGAAAAAGACAAGGATTATGGAGCATGTTGTTAAGCATTGGTAGAGTGGTTTTGTTGGAGGGAATTGTTTCGATAGCTGGCTATCTAATGGAATTATACATTTTTGTAGTATCTGAACAGCCAACTACTTTCTCACATGAACATTCACGGTGCATGTTTGTGTTCACGCATCCACTTGGTAAGAACCACTCCATCGACCTGGGTTATTCACAGAAACAGCTGGATATAAATTCAAATCTTGTATCACCTTGATTCTCTTTCCTTGCAACAAAAACTTAAATATCTCACATGCACTTGCAGTCACTCAATGAACCCCACTACTACACCAGAAATAACAAGAAATACTCAAGAACATTTACAATCAACAAGCAAAATGTCTACAAATGCCGCCATACATTCAGCAGTTGATGATGCTCAATTTCCCGCTCCATCAAGAGCACGGCCACTTATCGAGAATGTCACCACAGAAGAGGCTCTACCTCGTCTTCCAAACGAGCTGGGTAAAGCGAACATTCATCACCTTGGCCACCCAAGAAACGACAGCGAGAGAAAGAAGCAGCTAGAAGAAGTTAAATGGCTGCTAGATGAAGCGGAAACACGGGAAAGGGACATGAAGAAATAAGCTATAAAAAGTCGTATCGAGGCTCTTACGAAGGTGGCATTTGGGGTCAGCGATAACGGAGATGGGGTTCAAAGAGGAGATGGCTGATTTGTGGATTTTAGGCGAGCATGGATTTTGAGCTGTAAATTCTGGCTGTGTTGTCTTTGCTTGGAAAATTTGGAGGACTGAGCAGTTATTGTGCTGTCTGGTACGTGTTGGTGTGGAAGCGTAACTGTCCATGCCCTCTTCCTGGCAATCAGAATTAGGTTCGGGTCGACGTAGATCAATATCAGAACTGCGAGACACTCCCAAACACATTTCAACGCACCAATTGTGAACGCCAATTCATTCACCCCCACCACCATCGCTTCGCTTGAAACCCATGCAATGCTGAACTCCACCTCAAAATCCAACACACCCAGCCCCATCAACCTCCCCTACAACGACAAAAACAACACATAAGCAACAAAACAAATAATCCCACGAACCCAATAATGATACCATTCCGCGTATTCTGATCCATCCTCCTCTCGATCCTCGGATAGAAGTCGTTGGGTTCGATAGGATGGGCGAAGCCGAACTCGGGGAGAGAGATAAGCAAGAAGAGTATTGAGGCGAAGAAGTATCCGAGGAGAAAAGATATAAGCCGGATTGGTAAGGCGAGGAGAGAACCGAGAGAGAAGATTATGATGAGTGTTATGGCGAGGAGTCCGTCAAGGAAATTGAATAGGATGATGAATGGCAGAGAAAGGAGAGACGCGAGACTGAACTTCATGTTGACGTTGTGCTGGAGGTAAGGCTGGGACTTGCTGCTAAGAGACTGAGAAGATCGAAAGTAGAATTGGCCTCCTGTAGAGGAGGGGAGCTCTTGTAGCTTTGGTGAGGCTGAGAGAGTGTGTGATTCAAGAATTGATCTTGTTATTGTAATCCTTCTTATTCATAGAAACTTGATCGTGCCGTCTGCAATTATTCGAAAGTGAAGCTTGAATTATTCTCTTCCACATGCATCTACAATCTACAATCGCGATGAGAGTTGAGACTTGACTGGTCCATCTCCAATAACAAAGAGCGCGACTTGCATTCATTATTCCATGACTCAAGGACAGGCGATACGATCCTGGTGGATTATTCAACAATTTAAAACTGTTTGCACTGAATCCAGACTAGAAAAGTACATATGCCAAATTCAACTTTGAAAGCCTTTGAATGCTTGAAGATAGCTGGGACGTTACAAAACTGGCATCACCCACCTTGACGACGAAGATCAAGAGCGGCCAACGTTAGAGAATAGATGCTGAACAAAAAGCAAAGTAGAAAGACTTCAAGGTCTTGGGCTACTGGCCTTAATGGAATAAACACTAGTGGATCGTTGGAATTTTAAATGAGCTTAAAACACTCGATGATCAACAGCGCCGCCTTGAGGAACTCGTTTCGATTGCTAATCATGAGCACCATCAAAGACAAAATCCTCCTTCAAATAATATCATGCTGACAGCATCTCTACTCCAGGGTATCTAAGCCATATATTCAAGTCTATACAAGGGTATCATCCTCATATCCATCATCAACTTCCTTGCCTTTCTTCTTCACAGCAGCAATCCCATCTGCTCTAATCTGAAATTCGACGGCGCCCTCCAAGCCTGGCCCACTAGCTTTCGCATGTGGAGCAAAGACAACTTTCATCCAGCGTTTCCACTTTCTCAACACCGGCTCACCTCTCTCGGTCTCTTCGTCTCCAACCAAACCCGGCCCATAAACTGGTCGTTTTATCAAGGCAATCCGGCATGCGATCTGAGTAGTCCAGATTAAGCCAAGACTAGGCGTCTTGAGGCTCATGCTTGCAAGGCGTGAGGGGTTTGGATCATCACCCCATCCAGTAAACCATCTTTGCTGATGATCAAGAGACATTGGATCAGGAGTGCCTCTGAATGGAGCCTCCACGTTCGGTATCTCAGCACCCGAACTCGGTGGACCAATAGAACTTGGTGGACCGTTCCTTCTTGCCAATGGACTGCTCTGCGTCAACCTCTTGATAGGACTACTTCCTCCTCTGTCATTAGAAAAACGGTCCCCAACTTGATTGGCCACCACAATAGCAACCCCATGGTCCCGTGCAAGCACTTGTAGAAGTTCACCAAGCTTTATCAGTTCACCACTTCGCTGTGCCATGTTCTTGCTACTTCCAGTACCTCCCAGACCACGTTCGAACTCCGCTCGGTAGTTTGCGGCCACAGAGTCGAGAATTACGAGCTTCACACCATGTCTCTCAACTGCAACTGGAAGCTGATATCGTAGGATATGATCTTGCGATTCTAGATCAGGAGTGGAGATATTGATCACCCGATCGAGGGTAGGTCTTTCGGCTGGCGCAAGTCTGGATAGAAGAGGATGCGTGTTGATCATAGAGGAAAGCCGTGATGTAGGTAGAGGCGATTCTGTCGAGATGTATATTGTAGGTGCGCCAAGGCCATGCGGTGCTGGCAGTTGTGCAGAAAGGAGAAGAGTGAGAAGAAATTGAGTCTTGCCTGCACCGCTGCAACTATCAGTGATATCCTGAGGTGGAACACTTTCTTGGTAGTACCTTTCGCCGGTGACTTCCGTTATGTATCCTGTGGGAATACCTCCTCCCAATGCTGCATCCAAATCATCATCAAGTGTGCTGATCGTGCTCCAAGATTCCACAAGCTGCGACCCCGACTTCTTCAAAGAAGACGATCCATTGCTTTGCCCAAGCCCTAGATCAGCGCGCAATGCCTCTTGAACTGCATCGGACAAAGTTTTTGCGTCTCCAATTCCTAATGGCCGAGCGTGTTTGGCCAACTCAACGGAGTCGAGCGTGAGCAGATCCGCAGTCGTGATATTGCTCCTCTCGACAATCTGCAGGATGCGCGCATATTTATCGGTAGGAAAGTTCGGGAGAACCACAGAAAGGTCTGTCATGGAGGCATCGAGAACGTGTTGATGTTCTTGGATTTGTTTTTTGTGAGATGTGATTGACTTTACATGGTGGGGCATGGAGGGAACCGCGTTAGCGCGGCTTTTCGTGTGACCCGAATGAAGTCAGATTCTAGATTTAACCTTATTATTTTTTGGCAGAATTTCATCGTGTTTATTTTATCTTCTTCACTCACATTTCAACGGATAACGAGACCGCACGATCAGTTTCACCCCTTCTGCAATGATGAAGTCTTTTGTTTTTGCAGCAAGTGCTGTACAGTGTACGCACAGGACAGCACAGTAGCTCGCTGTAGGCAGCGCCTGCTGAAGGATTCGGGGCCAAAAATAGCAGCCCCTAGTTTCTGACACGGGAGGCTCTGTTTGTTAAACCTGATCTGTGATCTGGGCCTTGAAGATCATGGCTCGAGAGCATACTTCCGCGATCTGATTCTCGACAAGGTTCGAAAAAGCCTGATGCGATACCAGAGTGTATACTGCAGTCGCACTGAAAGCTATGTCTTTCTTTCTGTATAAATTTCTATGAAGATTGGGGAAGATTCTGTCGAGAGACTTGTGAAACTTGGATGATGCTGGATCGGCTCGAGACATCCACGCTTCGGAGATATTCAAGCAGAGGGATAGAACTCCGCATTATGACACAGCACAGCCCAATACCAACTGCATGGCAGGGGAAAAACATGCTTAATTGGATGCAAACTGAGTTGCATTGTTCCATTCACCTGGGAAAAGTCCAGAGGCTGGCAAGGCTCTCAAGAACATTTGTGCAGGATCAGGGGTCGGGAAACGTGCTGCGCCGTGCCCTCACCCTATTCTTACTCCTTCATCTCCTCAATCATGGGTGGCTCACTGGCAGTAGACTTCAATTTTTAGTCGTCTTGGCGTTGAGCGAGCATTGAAAGACGGCTCGTCGTCTTCTTGTTTGAATTGTTCCGTTTGACTCCCCTTCTCTCGCCGTGTCGACGCAATAATGTCTTTCCTACTTTCAATACTTGCTATTGTGTCGTATACATCATTTTGTGAAGCGCTTGTACCTGATTTTCCTGATGCGACACCAATTCAGGATCCACTATTCAATCCCGTAGGATGGTCGCCAAAACCTACACCTCCTCCCAAAATCCCTCGCGACCTCTTCTATAAGCGTGATTATCTATCGAACTCTGCCAGCTACGTGCTTATTGGACCCGATCAGACCTGCGGATATGTTTCTGGACTGGCTGGTAAGGATATTCAGTGATATAGGAGTCAAGGCTGATGAGAAACAAGGCGCCAATTTCGAATGCGGATCTTCTACGAATTGCGTGTTTTTCCCAGTAACTGGAAGCAGCGCGTACGGTGCTGTGGGATGTTGCACAGATGCTTTGAACTGTGGGTTCAGAACGGCTTGTGTGGATTCGAGTGGATTTTATGGCTCCGATTGTACTGGTGGATGTCCTCTGGATGCAAATACAATGAAATGGTATGTCTGTACCAACAATGCAATCCCATGAGGAGCGCGATACTGCTGAAAGTCGGGATCCATGCTGATTTTACCCCGCAGCACCGATTCTTCTTCTCCATACTGTGGAAGCATTCGATATGCTGTACCAGGAGCAACTGTCGAGCAATATTTCTGCAATGCAGGCGACATCAACATGGCAGACAGCCTTTACGACATATAGTGGTGAGAGTGGGAGCCGCACTTTCACATCAGTTGCGCGCGCACTACTCGAAAAATCTGCAGCTTCTGCGTCTTCAACTTCTTCATCCTCGTCATCTTCATCTTCGACAAACAAAGCCACCACCACCTCTTCATCCTCCTCCTCTTCCTCAACTTCTGGAACTTCGGCTCCAACACCGACACAAACCTCAAACAACAATAACAAATCTAGTGACACAGGAGCAATAGTGGGAGGGCTAGTGGGAGGTGCTGCAGTTTTAGGATTGATTGGAGCTGGGGCTTTCTTCCTTTACAAGAGGAAATATGGACAAAAGGGCAACCCTCCATCTCCATCTCATACCCCACTAAACAACCTCGATCCTTCTAAACCGGCAGGACAATGGCAACAAGACGGTTTCTACGCACCTCAGCAACAACCTCAGCCTTACTTATCGTCGTTTCAGACGCAGTATCATCCAGTACCTGTAGAAATGCCCTCCGATTTCGCACAGAGACCACCAGAGCACATGGTCCACGAGAAGAGTGCGACGACACCGACTACGGCAAATATGTCAACACCGATGGACCAGCACTATATGAGTCCTGCTTCTACGTATAATCGACCAATATCAGAAATTGATTCCAGTTCGCCTAACTATCGGTGACACTTCCGGGCTTAGTCAACCGATACGGAGCAGTTGAGATATTCTTTTTATGTTGTGACATGTGTTGGTATATTCAATCTCACAGGTCTTAGCCTTGTGGAGAAAATATCCACCTGGTGGATATGTATGCTTGGCAGGGATAAAAGGGGAGTTCGGAAGCGTTTCTTTTGGAGCATTGCAAGGCGTACCACGTGGGGTCATGACTGATGAGCGTTTTCATGGCGTTTCGATATATGGCGTGCATCAACGGTCAGCGAATACCTTACTCAAAGTCTGTTTGGAATTTTCCAGAAATATAGTACTTTTCCCAATCCTGGATCCTTCGAAGATTCAGAAATTGTGAATGTCGTACCGACGGAGGGCAAGGCTCCTTCCTTAATGGCGAGAAATTCTCCGACCCGATCACACACTTCAATGTCTTAGCATCTTGAGATTTCAGATGTCACAAAATATACTGCCAATGCTCAATCAGGTGATACGGTATTGCCTGCTGAGCCATCCAGATCTTCAGCTGAGACGCCACACGATATACATAGCGCCACCGATAAAGAAAGCCTCCTCAGATCTCTGCTCATTTGTGATTCTAAAGTGCCTTAGACAACGTGTCTGGTTGCCGCATGCTTTTTATTCGATTCTCCAATGAACGACATTGTTTTGAGCCAGAATACCGGGCACCGGTAACACAGATCTCGTATTTTCTTTTTATAGTCTTAGATTTACAGCATATATTGGATATGTTCTGAAGGTCTCGGAGTCTAGGTCTGTGTTGAACATTGTGTCTGTTCCTGAGTGACAGACAATCTGTAAGTCAATGCCAAGACAGTTGAGATAGGATGTTGGAATTAGGAGAGGTGCAAGTAACCCGACTTTTCATTCTCCTAGATCGTTTCATGCTTTCATCTATACTGTTCTGCTTCAATACTCGTGCTCCAATTGCTGCTGCCATCATGCGATTTTCAGTTTCTTCCGTTCTGGTGTTGAGCCTCATTTCAACCTCTGTGAATGCGTTCGTAGTCAGAGATGCTCCAGTCCAAACCACGGCTGTCAGACATGGACATACGATCGATCAAATCCCAGAACCAACAGCTGGACCAGGAGAACAAGAGCTTCGAAGAAGACAAGCTGCTACACAGAGAACCTTATTAGGAGCACCAGACAATACTTGTGGATACTTCAGTGGATGTTCGTCTCTCTTCCCGAACTCGATTGTTGAGTGTTTGATGCTGATAGTGTTGAATGATAGCTCAGCCATGGGGATGCTCGGCAGGATCAGACTGCTTCTTTGCTACGCCTACTCCGCTGCCAGCAAATAGCACGCAGACGCAGACCGCAGGCAGTGTTCTCTGCTGTGACCCCAAGACCGGATGTCCCGCTGCACCAGCACCGACTGCATGTGTTGACCGAGGACGAAATGACTACAACAAGACTTGTACAGGAAGCTGCCCCACAGATTCGATGACCCTGAAGTGGTGCGCTCCCAGCTCCCTTTATACTTGCCTGAACCACATTGCAAGCACATGAAGCTAACAACCATTATCAACAGCACATCAGGGATCTACCTCTATTGCAACACCCTAACTTTCGCCGCTCCATCAGTTTCAGCCCTATTCTGCAACTACCTTTCAACCTACGACATCCTATCCGCAACCGCTGCCCAAACACTGACACCGACAGTAGTAAAATTCGCCGTCGTGCCAACAACCTCCACCAAAGTCTTAAGCAAAACCTCTAGCACAACTTCTTATTCTCCAACAGCAACTGATAATTCCGTGCCTACGTCTGGTGGTAAGAGTACTTCTAGAAAAGACAAGATAATTGGTGGTGTGTTGGGAGGTTTGGCTGCGTTGGCGTTGATTGCTTTCTTGGTGATTTTGTTTTTGAGGTGGAGGTATGCTGAGGAGGAAGTGGAGCCGGCGAAGAAGTAGAAGAAGTGTTAGAGTGTGAAGTCGAATGATGGGAAGAGGTTAAGAGTTGTTGGTTGAGTGGTACTCGGGGCTTGGATGAGAAAAGCTGAAAGAACCGAAGACCTAAGATTCTTGATATGCGTTTCAGTCACATAATTGGGTAACGATATATTGGCTGGATCTTGAACTCAATGTATAATGCGGAAGTCCTCAGGTCTTACAGAACATTTCAAAGCAATAAGTTGGACAGACTTCATGAACTGTGGGGAAGCATGTGAAAGATCTCAAATCAGGTTCAACATGTTCTCCTTGTCAAGTACTACGATCTAGTCAGACTTTTAAATAGAGTATCTGCAGGGAAATCTTAAAAATATTATCGTATAATTTCACTCCAGCAGTTCTTATCAGAATAATAGACACTATTACTACCTGTTCTCTGATACAAAATTGCAATAATGAGCTTTTTGGAATTAGAATAGTCAAAGAGAACATCCACGTATTCACCGTCTCAATATCCAAACACAATCAGTCACAGAGAGCTTCAAGTGAAGTATTCAAAACACACCACGTGACTCTTCCCATATCTTGAACTATAAAAGAAGCTTCTCCCGCATCCTAAACGACAAGAAATCAAATGGAATCCTATCAACCCTCGAATGGCTGGGCCCGGCTCTGGGAACCATGGAGCCCTAGACCTCAGGCAACTTGCTTTGAGCCTTTCAAGATTACCATCGAAAATTGTTTCCGGATATTAGGAAAGAACTTGACAACGGTAAAGATTCGTCTGGTATAATTATATGAGCGAACGAGTGCAAAGATGGGCGAAAGCCTGGAAGTTCCAAAGGGCCCAAAGGGACGGGAACTTCGCTCATCGGAATGCAATGGAGGTAACGGTAGTCGAGAACTTATGCTGAGAGACAAGCATGTCATCTGGAATTTTATTGGGCCCAGCAATGAAGGCTTTTGGAGAACAGGACAGCAGCTCACGACTTTGGTCGCAAAGGAACAACTGACAATAACAGAACTGGGTTAAACAATACCAAACAGAATTTCAGACTCAATAAGACTAGATTGTCAAGACACATAATCAAGAGTTAGAGATATCCAAGATGTTGTAACAATAGACAAGAACTCAAACGTTCTCTCCTCTATAGATCCACGAAATCTCAATTTGAACAAATTATTTAATCAACCCCATCACAACCCACAAAGACATCAATCATCTCCCCCACGAACAGAACCTCGCATCACAACTCATCAAAATCCAAAAGGATTAAAAGCGGGTACACCAGACGTCTGCCGGCCGCGAACATTTCCCATCAAAGCTATAAAATCAAATAAGCATAATTTTCCCTAACAAATAAAATCCGGCTCCCTCGTACAATTGCGCAGTACCCGTCTGCACTTGGGTAACCATGCTCAGTAAAGATGAAAATCCAGGTTCAAATCCTGGGGGAGTTCCATGCTCTCAGTAGATCAGTCTACTTCCCCAATTTTTTGAAATTTTTGCGGTGGGGTAGGGTTGGCTGCTCGATGATTTGTGGGTTTTTATTTTATTTTTTTATTTTTTTGGTGAAGCGATTGTAGTATGAGGATTGATGTCTCCGCTTTTCACGCTTCAATGGATTCCCTTGGAAACTTGTAGGAATTTGCTGTAAAATGTATTTTCATAATTCGTGGCAGATAATAGCATTGCTTCTATAAGCTCAGTCTCTAAGCGTAGTCAACAAGGCGAACGGGCTAATCGTCAGATCGCTGAGTGGACGACAGAGATTCTCGCTCTGAAATGTGCGAACACAATGTGAGCCACAGAAATAAAAGCTACAGGGGGCGTTGATGCAGATGCTTAGTGATGCACTGGATTTGATAATACATGCAGAGCTTGTTGATTGGAGTTTTGGTGAGGATTGGAGTTAACAAATTCCAGACTTCGACTTCCTGAATAGTTTGAAGAGGTTCACCTGCGCACTTGTACCACGATTCCCTCCATGGAGCCACGTAGAGTGTTGTAGCACAGGAACGTGCCTCATGGCTGCGATGTAACTTCGGAACTCACTGAACAACAGAATCACGAGACACAGAACCAAGACTCAAGTATGATTGATGGATTGCTTGATCAACCCTGACCATGATAATGACAAAGATGAAAGAACCACGCAGCAACCATCATAAGCAGAACTCGAGAAAAGACCAGGCAAAGAGAAAACGTTCAAATTCCAATCCCCAATATTCCCCACTCACGCCAGCTGCTCAATCTCCATTTCCCGCACAGCAAAGCCATTAAGTATCTATCCCCCATTCGTGGTTCCCAGAGACAGGTTCAGAAGATTGGAATGCAGGAGGCGGATCCTAGTGACAGTCGTTCTAATGCACGCAGAGAGGGAAGGAAAACCAGTCGTTCCGTTCGTTCATAGCACAAGAGGAAATTGTTTAACAGCAGCCACCAGCCGACCCCTGGTTTACTCCCTGTCCTTGTCCAACTTGTACTGTAGGCTTGTTGTTCGCAGTTGTGGTACCCATTCTCTCCTTGATTTGACGGGCCATGGTCAGGAAGGCTTGCTCGACGTTGCTGGCGTTTTTGGCAGATGTCTCGAGGAATGGAATACCCAGGCTGTCGGCGAATTCCTGTAGGCAAGAGTCGTTAGTCATGTTTTCGTAAGGCAGCAGATGAAATGCCTCATGTGATGTTGAACAGCTGATGCGAGCATGTGACGGTACGTACCTTGGCAACTGTGTATTCAACCACCTTCTTGTCTGACATATCGCTCTTGTTGCCTACCAGCAACTTGTTGACACCCTCTGTAGCATATCTATCAATCTCTTGAAGCCATTGCTTGACGTTGTTGAAGGAGTCCATGTCGGTAACATCGTAGACAACGCAGATACCGTGAGCACCTCTGTAGTAGGATGAAGTGATGGTTCGGAAACGTTCTTGTCCAGCAGTATCCCACTATAAAACCATCAGCACCTGTAGTCTATATTCTGCCTGGAACACTCACGATCTGTAACTTCACAGTCTTGCCATCAAGCTCGATTGTTCTGATTTTCTGCCAAGGTGTCAGCCCTTCCCCTTGAGCATCGCAGCAGAGCGCAACATACAAAGTCAACACCAATAGTTGAGATATAACTCTCGGTATATGTATCATCGGCGAATCGCAACAGCAAGCAAGACTTTCCTACACCGGAATCCCCGATAAGGAGGAGCTTGAAGAGGTAATCGTATCTGCCAAGGTCATGGTTAATATTATTGTTCGATGCGGAGACGGGGTTGTAGCGATGAGATTCATGTATCGTCTATCGAAGGTCATAATAGAGGAGGTAACTCTGCACAGAAGCGGATCAGTATTTGTTTGAGCGGGCTGGATGTCTGTAGCGGCTGTTTGGGGATGACGTTGCCTGGAGGTATACTTACTACTCTGGATTCATCGTGAAGAAGGTGTAAGGTTTGACAAAGTCTTCCAAAGGATACGCAGGACTGAGATGGGAGGTGTGATGTTGTTGCGAAAGTTTGTAGGGTGATGATCCAAAGATATCGCGATTTGGATCCTTGGGAGACTTCTGGAGGTTGAAGGAGGCTTATGCTCAGGTTGTTTCGCCTAGTCGCACGTGACGAAACGCAAGTGTCCTTGTTTGCAGGTTAGAATTTCAGGTTTCATTCACGGAAGTTCTTTGTTTACGGGTATTTGAATTTATATCTGAACAATGATTCACCGAGAAGTGTAAGGCGCAAGAGGCAGCTGCATTCACGTCGTCATGAGGAGCAAGTCCCGCTAAACCCTATCTGGGATTTGCTGGCAATCGCGATAAAGCTTTCCTGGCACGAAAATGAACTTTCCAAACGCATCAAAGTACCCCTCTCTTTCTAGGAATCTTGATGCATTTCCAACCACATTGACAATTCTAGGCTGATGTCGGCGCCCTGCAGCCTTGTACGCTCCACTCCGCGCAATGTCTCTAAACTCTCCTCCCTTACCTTGAGCTCGCGAGGGGTTCTGCTTCCCAAACACGCTGCCCAAGTCCCTTCAAGAACTCTAGCAACAGTCAACCTAGGGCAAAGAGCTCTCCTAGATGTCTGGTTCACTGGATCTAGACCTCACTTGAATATACAACCAACAAAAGATGGAGGTCCACCAAAACCAGACGAGCGAAAACTGAAGCTGGGAAAAAGCAAGCCGGCCTGCCTATTTCGCAGAGTATAAGTTAGCTAACAGCAATTGCAGCCCTTCGTGTCATTCAAGAACGTCTGCCAACCCTTCTCCAATCACCTCTACCACAAGAGATTCTCTCCCCACAAATAACACTCCACCTCTTCCCCTCCACACATCCCCACCTCCCCACAGTGTCCGGACGACTTGCCTATTCAGCAGCTCTTTGGACTTCACCTATAACATGGGGCCGCGTGCCTATTGTTGGGAACGTAAAGCTCGAGATATTGTCTGAGCGAATGATCAAGGCCTCATTGTCAGCGTCAAATCGTCCGGAACAGCTTGTGGTGCGGTGGAGGACCATTGGGAAGACAAGGGGAAAGGGGACCGGGGCATTTTATAAGGGTATTGGAGCTACTTATGATGTGGATAAGATCACGGAGTTCCTTGGAGGTGGGAAGGGGGAGGATGACAGTAAGGAATTTACTGGACTCTTCATCTTCGAGTTTGATGAAGAGGGGAGGATAGTAAGCCATACGATTGAGCATTCTCAGGAAGGTGGGAACTGGGAACGAGGCGTTGGAGCTAGAGTCGTGGGGTTAACGGACTGGCTCCTGGGAGGAATGAAGAGGAATGGGAGAGATGATGGCAGCCTATGTCCTGCATTCTGGGTAGAGGGAGACAAAGATGACCGATTGAGGAGGCGATGACAATGTATTATTCAATATGTATCTACGATCTATGGCGTTACGGTCATGGATGGATTGGGAGTTGAGGTTCTACAAATGGATATACACCTCTCTAATGCTATGTACAAAGAACATTGCGTCTCCATTACGTGTATTGATATGTCGAGGCTGAGTGACCGAGGCAGTCTTAGGACATAGCCGAAGCAAAATACTTGTTCTGATCTCAGACATTCTAAGCGATCATAATTGTACAAGACATCAATTGCGTGGGACAGACATTTAAAAGTTATTGTAACCTTTCACAGCGATACCATAAATGATTGATTCAAAATGTGGTATTAGCTTACTCCGTCTCTCAACCACAAACAAAAACGCCACCTAACCAGAGGAGTACATAGAACTACAATATTATCCCAACCAATCCAACCAACACAAGGAAGGAAATCGACTGCTATGCTACAAGTGGTGTAAACAAACAGCGCTTTAATTTTACCCACCAAAGAACAAACAAAGGGAATACAGGGTCGTAGTAAGTAGCAGTCAACGCTCGAATTACGCCAATCCTAACCATTTTAACGCCTTTCTCTTATCCCTCTTCTGCGTGACAACCTTCACTTCGGGCTCCGGAACGATTCTCTGCCCAGCTCTACCCATGATCATTCGATCATAAGCATCATCCTCGCTATCCTCGTCGCCTATGTAGAAATTCTCCCACTCTTTATCTCTCCTCCTCTCTTTTTCGCTAGCGGTGGTTTTGGTGCTGGCTATACTTGCCGCGTATTTATGTCTCGTAGAAGCGATCGATGGATCGTAGTCCGTATCGCGGTCTCGCTCGCGGTGACGGGTCGAAGGACGAGCCGTCGAGGTGGAGATTACGGATGGAGAGTACGTTGAGCGGGGTCCGGAGGGTCCGGTTGCTGAACCGCCTGTGAGGCGGGAGATCTTGGATTGTGAAGCTGTAACGGTGGTGCGGGATGATGGAGCATAGTTCGAGTCCCGGTCTGCGTCTCTGTCGAGGTCTCGTTCTCTGTGCCTTTCGCGCTCTCGTTCCATTCGATCCCGTCTAATATCCCTCGATGATCCTGTGGGGGTCGGTGGAGGTGGCATTGGTGGTCTCTCAATGATGATGGGTTTTGGTTCTGGCTCTGGGGTGTAGAAGACTGACTTCTCCATCAACGCTTTCCAGATACTGGAGAGGAAGGTAGTGATTTCTGAATCTGTAGCAGTGCTCGGAAGCAGGTAATCTGCCTTTGCGAAAGAGGCAGATGTCAAGCTTTTGGTAAGTGAGGAGCGAACGGAGCCTGCGGAGGAAGTTTGGCGTTGCAAAGTGGTAATAGAGTCTGCCCGTGTACTATCGATACGGGTTCTTTGGAGTGAGTTGAGGCGAGAATGATTTGCTGCGCGTTGGCTGATGGCTTCATTAGAAAGAGGATTTGGTGTTCGAGGACGGGACATAGGAGGAGGATCTGAAGCAAGAGAATCGAGGATGCCTGCGATCTTGAAGAGGTCCGAGCCTAGAAGTTTTCGCAGTGCAAAAACTGTGGGAAGATGGCTTGCTGGGTACTGGAGGACTAGAAGCCTCGTGCTGGTATTTATAGCCAAGTAAGCTTCAATTTGAGGGACGAGAAGCGCCGCGAGGATGTGTGGATTTGATAGTGGGTTGACAGAGCTCTGCGTCGAAAAGCCAGAGGAGTGTTGCATTATGTTCGCAATCAAGTATCTAGAAATTAGCATTCATAAAGTAATGAGGAAGGCATATATACCTGATATCAAGTCTTCCACTTCTGTTGACACCGTCTCTCTTGGAGCCAAGCCTTTCAACCTGACCAGACATCTGAAAGAAGAAATCCTTCTTAACTCCATCCTCACAACCCAAAGCGATGATTTGGTCGACATTCCTGCCATCATTCCCAATGCTGGTGTTTTGATCGTTTCTAAACACCGGCTTCCAGAGCCTCTCCGCCTCGGGTGTCACGGGATAATAATGTTGACTGTATCCGTTTTCTCCAGCTGGCAAATGGAGGATAAGGAGCTGTCGTAAGGAGTTTTGAACATTAATAGCATTATTGGGATTCGTCGGTGTGAAGTCGACGAATTTCTGGGCAATATCATTGACTTCTGGCACAACTGGCGGTGTTAGTGTGGGTGTGGGAGGCCCGACGCTTGAGTCTAAGCTGCTGACTCGTGCATTGTTCTGCATTGGTGGCCATTGTCGCTTGATATCCGGGGGATAGCTGTCGTTGTAGGGATCATAGTCATGCCGTCTTTCATATCCCATATCATCGGTCTCAGCAGTAAGACAAGATTCTGGTCGGAGCGCCTTGTCTTCCTTCTTACTTTGAACAGCACTTATCGGGGCTTCTTGATCTTCTCCTTCTTCCGGAAGTGGTGACGAAGTAGTTGGTGGCAGGGCTGGATAAGTGCCATCCTTGTAAGAACTTATGACGGACTCCAGAATTTGATTGGCATTATCGTCGACTAGATGTATGATCAAATCTTCTACCACGGGGAAGACGGGTACAAAAGGCTCCATCGACTCTTTGCTAACCTGAAACGCATCTTCACCTCGATCGACATAAACACGAGGAGGAACAGCTTCGGTTGAGGAGGAGTTGGATTTCGCAGAAGCGCTCAATGTCGGAGATTTCCTGATTGTGGTCTGAGATGCCTTCATAAAAGTCGTCCGTGGGAGAGTTTGATAGTTGTCAGAGCGTCTTTCAGGAATTGCTGGCCGCCTTAGATGGTAATCTGATGCCGTGTGCTTAAGTTGCATTGGACCGGAAGAAGGATGCAAAAGCTTCGAATTCCTCGAGTAGAACATGTCAATAGACTGTGCTTTCCGGACTGTCTTCGTTGGAGGACTGGACTGCACATCTACTAGAAATGCTTCCTTATACACAGCTGGGGTAGCTGGAGCTGAAAACATAGACTCTTCCTCAGGAGAAGCGAAGTCCAAGTCTTCGTCATCTTCCTCGGTCTCCTCTGACTTGGTCGGTCCTATGGTTGATGCGGTCGCAGGTGTGCTGATGGTAAATTGAGTTCCGAAAGTTGTCCGTTTCTCTTCGACAGTAAACCTTCGGCTCCGGCTCGGCACTGTCAAGACGGTTCTGACAATGTTGTTGCCATTCTTGTCTATGCCTACCACTTTTTGGGGCACTTCGCTGGCATCAGACGACTTCAAAGGCACCGATCCATTCAAGGTACTGTGTGAGGCACCCATTGCATGGCTGTCAACGGTGGTTTCGAGTCCAGGAGTACCTTCATGCGCAGAATTTGGCTGTAGTGCTTCTGTTTCTCGTTCGAGGGAATCGGCTGCCTTCATCGCTCTAACACTTGGATCTTCCATCCCATCTTGGACTTGAACTTCATTGCTTTCCTGGGCCACTAGCATTGCTTTGTCGTCTTCACTCCCAACATCCAGTTTCATCAACCCGGCCAACCCATCCTTCACAATCTCGTTGAAAATTGTCTCGGCTCGCCCGATATCTCCCTCTGTCAGATTTGCGATTTTTGAGATGCATGTTGCGCGTGCACTGACACTTCCTCCATTTTGGAGAACAAGTCTCGGCTGGGTACTCGTCGATTTTCGGAGGAACGCCCGTGCTGCTTCGCTTCTTTCCGTGAAAGCTGTATGAACGTTGCGAATGAACGTGCTGGGGTTGAAAGAATCTTTATCCGAATTCTGCGAGAAAGCGTCTGGTAAGGCGGGCACAATCAAGATCTTCTGGGAGGGTGGTAGGAGTCTCAATTGCGTAGCGATGGTCTCTGAATCGCCTTCCAGTGCCACGAACCTTCCAAGTTGCTCCGGCTCCAGCTCAAGTACTGCCATCATAAGTCGTTATAAGTCTATACTTGCAGGTGAGCTCGAAGTGCTACTGTAGGAAAGACTCGATCCGGCGAGCGTGTCGTCATATATCAGGATGAGGGATCTGCGCGGCAAGAATAAATACGCAAAGCAATACTCAGAACACCATGATCCCAAAATAAGATATACGAAGCGGTAGGAGCAGAAAACTTTTCGTTCGTGAAACTCTGGAGAAGGGCACCAGAAGGGGAGAAACAAGGAACAAGGCTGCTGGCCTGGAAAGATTGCTTTCGAAGACGCATTTCACTATGGGTCTCGATCAGCTCTCACTTACATGTAGTGTCGAGTCCAGTTGACGCCATTCTTGCATCCCCTTGGTGGGATGCAGCATGACCCTGGTCAGTGGTGGGTCTGGAGAAAGGTACTCGTACAACCAAAGGCCAGCGACTCTCAGCAGCCAGCAAAGCAAATCCCCGATGTCTGAGCAGCACAAGCCACCGGTTTGCTGCAATTGCCCAATGGGATGTCACGCACTTCCGGTGGACGAAGACAATGTTCCACGCCGTTTGGGTTTTTGAACCACCAACAAGACTGGCGCGTGGAGTTCACGAGGGATGGGAATCGTGTTGGGTGAAGGCGTGGCCGCCGCCTTCCCAAACCCCCTTGCATCTGTTCGCGACAACCCACATTTGTTGCGGAATGATCTGAGTAGAATACGTGCTACTGTACGCACATGGCTCTTGGTCCGCCACAGTGGAGGCCGCTGGCCGGCAACGAGCATATTATGTTGTTGAGCGGGGGCGACCTGAACTCGGAAGAGTAAAGCTTGGCGGGTTTAGACTTGATTTGCTGCACTTCCCAGCAGCGATCTCGCGCGTCGATCGCCCATCGATAGAGCCAAACCCCTTTGGAGAAATCTCGTCGACCAACATTTGGTTGCTTTTTGGGGCAAGCCATATCTCGTTGCGGATCATAATTGACACCTGTATGCTGATCATTTGAAAATGGAGAGACATGCGGAAAATCATGTCTCACAAGAAAAATCTCTCCCATTGAAATTTCCTGGAGAAAGCATGGTGTCCCACGTCGAAAATGATAGATCCATCTCATCATCCTGCATAAAAGGATGCATCGGATCTCAAATCAATCCGTGCCCCTGTCAACTCAATTTGCTCCGCACAGTCCAGAGTACATGCGGCGGTCGCTCTGAAACTCGCGCTTTTACTGGAGAGAATATTCCGACGAGAATCTTGGCTGCCAATTGAACAACTGCATTTCGACAACGATTGCCCTCTATGCAGTATGCAAGACTCCTCTGTGGCTTTCTGCAAGTATAAGTACATGTGTTTCAGAAGAGCACACCGAGTACCGTTCATTAGTGTCGTCCTTTAATTTGTCCGATTGGTTGAACCCGAGCGTTTAGTTCAAGGTCCACACTGGAAACCTCGAGTACCGTATCGTAGGGACATCCTTCCTATGTTCACGGCAACGGGCATATCTACCCATACAAAGTCGTATATTATTCTGCAGAAATCGGCCCGCGCCCGTGTCTGAGGGGAAGCTGCAGCATGTGCAACACCCGCAGTTCTCCCACGAGAAAGAGTCAGGCGATCTGTATGCAATCTGTATGCACCCCTGAGGTACCTGACTTGTTGCGCCATCTCAGGGACAGGATGATACTGTGCTGTAGATATGGCGGTGCTAGAGCAAATAGAAGCAAGAATGGAAAATGTGACCTGAGCGATGGAACGTCTCGAAGCTTGTTGAGAATCGTAGCTCGAACTCAATTCCACGGTACTAACCAGAGTCTCGGTGTCCGTGTGTGCATCCGACTACTTCGAACGATTGGCGACTTACTGAATGTTAAACCTCCTGAAGCCGTTCTTGTGAGGCAAAGCTATACTTGATTCTCGCGCTAATGGATACCTGTAAGTTTTCTGCAGCCAAGTTGACAGGCTCAGAAACATTGGAGCCAGTTATGAAGAGCAGCTTGTAGAAGATGGATACGTACCATAGAATCAGATGTCTCCTACGACAAGCACTATTTTTAGCTTGAGGTGCTTTACTAGAGCCAAGAACCATAATGTGATGACCCCTGATGCCTGTGAACTCTTGAGATGCAGAAGCCTTATGATCCAAGACATTTCACAGAAGCTAACGGCGATCAGGCGCGTAGAGCGGGTGCGGCTAGATGTTGCGTGATATGTTGCCCAGCTTAACGTTTCATTCATCCCCAGAATCCATCAGTTCGGCCAGTTCGGCTTCTTCCTCTGCTGTGAGAAGACTCTTTTTCTCCGGCACCTTCTCATCTTTAACGACTCCCTTTGACTCTTCTTCTCTTTCCTTCCTTGCTTTCTCAAGATCTGCTCTACCCAGTCCCCAGGTTCGCACAGTGCCATCAATGCTGACACTGATGACTTTTCTCCCGTCTTCCAAGACAACCAGACCGGTCACTTCCTCATAGTGGCCTTCATAGGTATGCCACAATTTTCCTGTTGCTCGATCCCAGACTTTCACATCTTCATCTCGTCCTGCAGTTATAACCCAATCGTCTGTGACGGCCACGGCTCGTACATAGTCGCCATGCTGGTAGGAGTCTTCTGCACTCCAATTCCGTGCTCTCGAGAGGCATTTTGCAGTTCCGTCTGCACTTGCTGTCCAAAGGTCGACATCATCCTCTTCACCAGAGAATGATATCTGATAGACGCTGGTCTCATGCTCGAGGATCGTGTCTCGAGTTACCTTGTTCTGAGTCGACTCTTCCTGTACCGAATCAAATATCTGTGCCGCAGAGGAAAGGCTTATACGCCATCTACGGATATGGGGATCGCTGCTCGAAGACACAAGGACGAGCTCCGCAACGGTTGATTCTACAGGATCGAGTGCCAGATCCTGTACAGCCATCATGTTGTCGCTCTTGTCGCGTAATGTATGCAGTCTTTCACCTGTTGTAGAGTCCCATACGATGATCTTGGAGTCTGCACCGCCGGATATAAGGATCTATAGTCCGTCAATCATATGCACAACCAGAGAACATTGGGACACTTACGTCTTTCCCCTCGACCTTTCCTGCGATGACAACCTTCACAAAATCTGAATGGCCCTTAAATTTCTTCCCCAGACTTCTGCTTTCTCTATTCCATGTCCATATATCCTTGTCCCAGCACCCTGCGAATATAGTAGATCCTCCATGACCACCAACAGCAACAGAAGTAACAGGAGCAGTTGGGCCTCTGTAAACTGTTTTTGAATCTCTGGTCTTATATGAACGTTAGAACAGCACCTAGAATACAGTATACGAGCTAACTTACTTCAATGTTTACTCTGCGCACGCACCCTGCACTCTCTGCAATGTAAATACATGCTGGCGAAAATGGATCAGGAGTTACACTCAGGATTTTTGACTGGAGGACTATCGGGTTGCCGTTTTTATTTCCCGACTTTGCGGCTCTGCGAGCTCGAGTAGATTCCGAAGCATCAGTCTGGAAGAAGTGGCCTGGATCCGTTGATCGCGACATTATTGTATTTCGAGTGGTGTTGTACTTCGTAAATATTTATTTTGAAGTTAGCCTTGGAGTTGTCCCGCGTGAAGTGGGGCAATTTTTCCAGGAGGCAGAATGTCAGGGGTACTTTAAATGGAAAACGCGTCCTCGCGTCGATGCGCGTCTCCTCAGATTTCAAGCAACAACTCTGCAAAATACTTCGCCATTGACGAGGACAATTATGGCGACAATTACCCAAAATCGTGTACGAGGACGACCAGCTCATACTAGAGGTCCTACATATCTATCATATACACCTGATGGCACGAAATTAATCACTGTCGGATCCAACAATACGGTTCGGGTATACAGGACCGGTTTTGACGGAGAACCTACGAACATTGATGAATGTCCGGAGCAAAATAGTGGCGTTTCTTCTACTGTAAATCCTTTCCTTCCCTACTTGAAGTCTGCTAACACTCCAAGGACGATTTCTTCGTTATTGGTTCTGAAGATGGCAACATTAGCAAGTTTTCTTTGGAGACAATGTCTTTCGAAGGGTTCCTCACTCGATGCTCCCTACCAATCCGCGATGTCGAACTATCTCCTGATGGCCAATGGTGTGCTGTTTCGAGTGATGATATGGCAGTCAAGGTCATCAAGATGGACGATAAGAATTCCGTCATGGTTTTGAGAGAACAGCCAAAGCCCGTCAAACATCTCTCCTTCGACCCAAGTGGTAAATGGATAACATTATCTTGCACAGATGGTCTAATTTACGTTTACTCGCTCAGGGATGAAGAACCAGACCTCGTGCGGAAGATTGACGGGTTGATCAGAGGAGTTGAGACTGAGGATGAGGTCTGTACAAAAGTCGTGTGGCATCCCGACGGGAGAGCCTTTGCCGCTCCAACAGCTATGAGGAATATCCAAGTTGTATCCAAGAACGACTGGGAATATCAGCGGGCCTTTGTAAGTGGACACGATGGTGATATCACTGCTTTGGCTTGGTCACCGAACGGAGCAATGCTAGTTTCTGCAGGGAAGGATAGGAAGGTCGTTCTATGGGAGACCAAGACCCAGAAGCAACTTGCGACATATGACCATGCGAATGTTATGGATTTCGCGTGGCATCCTTCGAAAAACATTCTATCATTCACCAACACAGATGGTGAGGTCTACATCTATAACGACTTCGTACCTGCAGATCATGCCAATCTGGTCAAGCTACCATTGCAACCCTCGCCATTCATTCACGACCCTCTGTCAGAGATATCGGCCAACGCTCGGCGACCAATCACAAATGGTATCAAAGACATACCAAATCGAGCCAGAAGAGGATCCTTGGATAGTCTGGATGACATCTTGCCCTCTGAGCTAATGGGAGACGATGATGATTTTGTAGTCGATGATGATGGCGCAGGATATGCATTGGGATTAAATGCCAACGGCAAGAGACCAAACGGAGCTGTCGATACCTATGCTGTCAGCAAACGTCGCATCCAAGCCTGGGAACCGCAGTATCATGAGTCTTTCCAACCTGGTTCTACACCTTGGCGAGGGAATCGAAAGTATTTGTGTCTCAATCTTATTGGCTTCGTGTGGACTGTCGACCAAGATACACACAACACGGTGACCGTTGAGTTTTATGACCACGAATTCCACCGCGACTTTCACTTTACAGATACGTTTCTGTACGACAAAGCTTGTCTCAACGATAATGGCACACTCTTCTCGTGCCCAGCTCACGATGATGTTCCTGCAACCATTTTCTACCGACCCCATGAAACTTGGACAGCACGAGCCGACTGGAGGACTCAACTACCCAAAGGAGAAGATGTGACGGCAATCTCACTTAGTGATTCATTCGTCACTGTTACCACGACTGCAAACTATGTCAGGATATACACTCTATTTGGTGTCCCATACAGAGTGTATAGGCAGAAGAGCAGTCCAGCAGTGACATGTGCAAGCTGGAGAGATTATGTTCTTACACTTGGGAATGGGCCGGTAGGTGCAGATGGCAACACCAAGCTTTTATACACGATTCAAAACATCAAAAGAGACGAGATCTGTCAGAGTGAAGATGTGGTAGCTTTACCAGATGGCGAGACCTTGAAGTCTGTGTTCTTCTCAGACAATGGTGTAAGTACCGTTGTCATTGTAAAGCTATACCTTACTAAAACCATCTCAGGAACCATGCATATACGACTCGACGGGTACTCTTCTCACGCTCCTTCACTGGCGGACCCCGTCCCAAGCAACTTGGGTTCCGCTACTGGACACCAAGCTCCTCTCCCGGCTCGCCTCAGGGCGGAAAACTGAATCCTACTTTCCAATTGCAGTGGCCGACAATAAATTCCACTGTATAATCCTCAAGGGTGGCGACCAATATCCTTACTTCCCCCGGCCGTTACTCTCAGAATTCGAATTTGAGATTCCCCTGTCCTCAAAACCTGCTTCCAACAACAAAGACGACGATGTATTCAACGAAGAGGCAATAAAAGAGGAAGACGAGCTGAAGAAATTAGAGGGACAATTCGTGCTGAAGAGTATCCTGACAGCTCAACAGCAAGACTTGGTAGATTTTACCAAGAGTACGCACACGCAACGGACGGCATTGGCGAGAATGGAGTTGGAGATTGATAAGACCTTGCTACAGATGATGGCTGTTGAGTGTAGGGAGGGAGAAGAGAGAGGAATGAGGGCGCTAGAGATGGTTAGTCTTCTGAGAGACAGGACGGGAAGGATGATTGATGCTGCCGGGAAAGTAGCTGAGAGATATGGGCGGACTGTTCTAGGTGAGAAGATCAGGGAGGTGGGAGAGGCGAGGTTGGGTGGTGGTGATATGGATGAGGATTAGGTTAAGCGAGGGTGAATAGGGGCGAGTAGGGATGGCAGGATAGGTTATGAACGGCGTTCTGTGCGTGTATAGTGTTTAGGATTGGGTACATCACGAGGGACATAATGAATTGATTGACTGCACACGCTTATTCATTGTCAAACCCCTGCTGCCTGCCAGAAGACTTGTTATTGATCTCAACCATTCGTGCTAGTTACCTAGTAACATTGATCTCACGTCACATCTTCATCCCTCTTGCTGAGCAGAAAACAGAACTTAATCTCATCAAACAAACACACCATTCTCTAACTAAATCCCAAACTCCTCCTCCTCCCTCCTAACCTACACCTCAACTCCCAACTCCCGCCCAATAATAACCGCCGCCTTCTCCCCAACCACCAACGCCGTATTATTAGTATTCGCCCCCACATTCTCCGGAATCACACTCAAATCCACACACTTCAACCCCCTTGTCCCATAAACACTCAACTCCCCATCCACCACGCCTCCCCTCTCCCTTTCCCTCATCGCGCACGTCCCGCACGAATGCCACGTCGTATTCAGATTCCCCCTCACCCAATCCTCGATCGCGGCCTCGTCTTCCTCGCTATACACAATATCCCTCACTTCTCCTTCAAGCTTGCCCTTACTCAACGTCGCCTTCGAACCTTCTTTGAATTTCGGGTGTCCGAGCTCGAGTTCGCCGTTATAATACGGGAGACGACGGCAAATTTCCCGCTGCATCTTGTAAGCCCAGACTTGGGCTTTGAGGTCGGAGCCATTCGCGTCGCTGAGGAAGCCGGTGTCGAAGTCGTAGCCGTCGAGCACGTTGTCGGGGGACGTGATGTGGATGGAGCCACGGGAGAAGGGGTACGCGGTGTAGGTGCCCATGGTGATGTACTGGCCGGCGGGGACGAGCGAGGGGTCGGCGAGGAAGGCGGAGACTTGGCCGCAGAGCATGAGGGGACGGGTGGGGTGGGGGACGAAGAAGGAGTCCCAGTCTTTTTGAAAGGAGGGGCCTAGGGAGGCGATTTCGGTGTCGGAGGGGCGCAGTTTGGCGCAGATGTCTGAGGATGGGGTTAGGAGTTGTGGTGCTTGGGGGGAAGGGGGAGGACTTACCGATGGCGTTCCAGCCGAGAATGGGATCTTTGTCTCCGAGGGCTTTGACGAAGTCTTTGCGACCGCTGAGGATACCGTCGATGGTTTCTTCTTCGCCTAGAGTCGTCTTGTAGGGGTACAGCAAGAGATGGTGATCTTGGTATTGTTCGCCGACTCCTGGGACGTCTGCAATGACTGGGATGTCTAACTTCTTTAGCAACTCTGGGTTTCCAACACCAGATCGCTCGAGGATTTGCGGCGTTCCAAGAGCGCCGGCTGAGACTACGACGAGTTTGGTGGCTTTGATGGTTTTGTGGATGGGCTTGGAGAGTGAGATGTTGGGTTGGTGTTCGTAGTTTGGTTTGTATTCGATTCCAACGGCTTTGGGTGGCGAGGATTCGTCGAAGAGGACTTTGACGACTTTGGATTCGAGGAGGATGTGGAGATTGGGGTGTTGACCGTCTTGGAGGAGAGGGTGGACGTATCGATGAGCGGCATCTTGTCTCTTCCCATCTAAACCAACGTAGCGATGCCATTTCTACGCAAGCTTGTTAGTGCATATCAAAAGAAAAGTAATCAAGTGTCCAAACTCACTGAGAAACCTCCCACAGCCTCAAAATCCTGGAGATCATCAATAACACCATACCCCATCCCCTTCACAGTCTCCACAAAGGTATCCGCACTCTTAGATCTGTAACCACCGTCCGAGATGTGGACAGGTCCATCATAACCATGTTTCTCAGGATCGAACCCGTCTCCCTTCGGATGGAAAGTTTCAAGCTTCTTGGCAAGAGGGAGCATATCCTTAGCATACCAGCCCTCAGTTTCAAAGGAGTCGAAATCCACTCCCTGGGCACGGGTATACATCATGAAATTGATGGAGGAACCACCACCCAGGATACCGCCCATAGGGACGATCGCTTCGCGGTCATTGAGATGTTTTGAAGCCTTCGATTTGTAGAACTATTTATGCATCAATATGTGTCGTGTGTTAAAGAAAAGATAAGAAAACAAACCAAAGCAGTCTTCGAATCCGGAGCCAGATGGCTCAAGTACACAGCCGGATTGGTAACAGTCGGATCCTCGAAATTGTTCCTCCCTCCTTCAACCAAGAGAATCTTCAACGACGGGTTCGCTTTAGCTAATCTACCAGCTGCAACACAAGCAGCCGTCCCACCACCCGCGAAGATGATATCCACCTCTCCCGTTCCATCATTGTACGTCGACATCTCGTACGATAGGTAGTTTACACCGAATTGGGTGAGAGAAGAAAGAGATGAAGAAGATGAAGAGAGAAATAAAAAGGCAAAGAAAGAAATAAAGTTCGAAGCCCAGCACCCACCTACATATCAATGCAAACCAGCCTACCCCTACCCCTACCCCTCCCTCCATCCCTCCACGTTGCCGGATACCTTAGAACGAAACCTCTTATTCCCAGGACCCCCTACCCCGCATACACATCCAGCAGCGTAGCACTAGTGTCGTTACGCCAATATCTGCAGCGAAACCCTCCAGCCTCACACCATTATCCATTTCAGTCCAACGAAGCTGACTTACCTAGGTACAAAAACAGTCAGCAACCGCGTTCGCGTTGCATTGCATCCAACACAGCCGCAATGCCTCAAAGAAGCAGGTCAATTCATTCAGCCCCCTAACGTCGATTAGGTCGTGAGGTAGTGTATCTCCTTCGTGTCTGCGTCTCGAACAATAATCGAAATGGCGGGGTAAGGGAAAACCCCAGATCCGCGCCGAGGTTAAGGCGGAATCCTCCCGTCCCGCCACACCTAAGTACATCCGTTTCAAGAAGAGATCTGGACAACGAGTCAAACGAGCTCTGATTCCTCGAACGGGAGATGTGTGCGGGAGTGGATCCTGGACGGCGATGTAAGATCTTACCTTGACGGGTAACGCCATGAACAGGTGAGTGCAGCGTTATCCCGGTCGAGGGTGACAGGTACACGTCTTCTGAACAGTACGCGAGTCAGTGCGTACAGCATCTTCTGGGTGTAGAACTCTTGGGTTCAGGAAAAGGCACATCCATTGATTGCTCAAAGAGTCAAAGTAGTCTAGTGTACAAAAACGGTTATTTGGCCGTTGTTGGTATAACCCTGCTATTCACAAATACCCCGTTGAGTGTTTCGTCTTTTTACACCTGCAACCACTCTAGGGCTGATCATCAGTTGACCTGGCCCACCGACCCAACGGGAAATGAAATGAATGAAGGAAGTGACCCGAGCTATGTATTCTCACACATGCTCGCAGAATTAGACAACTCAGCGCAAATGCAGACGAAGAAAAAAAGGCGAAACAAAGCAACACATTAACCACCCAATGTCCCATCTTTGCCCAAACGCCCCGTGACTTATATTCATGAGAGTCAATGGAAAAAATGAGAAGAATCAGGACTGCCTCCGTCCATTTACACCATACCACTTTCTTACGCCCCCACCATTTGATATAACCCCAGGTCATAAAGATGTCGTGCCCCAACGCCGTCATTGACCATTGCATTATCATGAAAGAAGATCCCCCACACTAAGCCGTTCCTGGTAGCTTCTTTAAATCCCTCAGCATCTTCTCCACTATTGACGTGGAATCTGCAGGCACATCTGGAAAGTCACGGAGATGCGGCTCAACCTGCGGAGGAGGTATTTGTGCCTGGATTGTGGGCTTCTGGTTTTGGAAATATTGCTGGTGTGCATAGAGTGGCTTGTTCTCTTGATAAGGAGCCTGGAACGGTGATGAAGAACTAGCCTGATAGCTCCCTTGCGGGTGTCCCGAAGACGCATACTGTACATTGTACTGAGTCGGCATAGGCTGTGATACTGCCGGCGCATACTGGTATTGAGGTTGAGTTGCAGTATGATGCATCGGAGGCTGTTGAGTAACAGGACGTGCACCAGACGTATTAACAGACTGAGGACCAGGTGCCTGGTACGGTGTAGTGTGCTGATGTGGCTGCTGCAGTTGAGGTCGTTCGTACATTGCGGGAGGTTGCATTACAGCGCTCTGGTACTGCATTGCAGGACGGTGTTGAGGCTGGTACTGGTGATGAAACATCGTGCTATACTCCTGTCGAATGGCTGGGTGTAATCCAGCGTCGTTCTTCTCGAAGCTGGGCGAATTCTGGGCCCCATTTGACACTTGCATGGATGGTCCTTTAACTGAAGATGCTGGTGGCGAAGCATACGTTCCATAGCTCGAGGCGGGTTGATATGGTGCGCTTGGCATCGATGATGTAGAAGGATATGAAGTTCTCGAGCCACCACCATAAGTCAGCGTTGACAAGAGAGAGCTAGAACCTTTGGTAGACATGTTGTGCTTGAGCTGCTCGATGTGCTTTTCAAGGCTGCCTTGGTATCCGTTCATGAAACCACCGCCAGGTCTATACGGACTCTTGTACTCCAGTGGAGATCTGTTGTGTTCCTTTTGTAGATACGTGTATTTAGCAAATGGACTTGGCCTCGAGTTTTGTGATCTACTACTGAACGGATTGCTTGGCTTCAGTGGCATTGGAGGAGCATAAGCTTGATACAACGTACGTGGCGGAGCCATCAAAGCCGAAGTTGTGGTCTGAGGACCGTAAGAGGTAGTGACTGGTTTGTTCGCAGGTTGCGGATGAACATATGGCTTTTGATCGAGCGGTTGCGCAGAGGCCGTACGAGCAGGCGGTGTAGTAGCCGCGGGCGAGCTTGTCGGGGTTTGCCATCGAGGGTCGGTGCCAAAGGTGTATGGGGTTGACCGCTGGAGGAATTTTTGCTGAGACTGGTAAGCTTGTGTGTCAACGCGATAAGCACCAAGATTTTCGCGAGGCTTGTATACATAAGGCTTCTCCGGCCGTGAAGGCGTCGGAGTTGGCTGTGTTGGCCGATATTGTGTCTTTGATACATTGGACAGATTTTGGCTCGCGCTTGCAGGGAAGGATGCTGGATAGGAAGGTCGAGGAGGCAGTGTCGTAACAAGCTTAGAGAGTGTTTCCAAGAAAAGGCCCTTGGGGTTGAAGCGTGGTTTCTTCGGATCCTCCGTGAATTGTGCCTTTGCTTCCGTAGAATTCTTACCAAGGTAGTACCATACTTGATTCTCTTTCGTTGCAAGGTCCACCTTGACTTGGAAAGGATTACGGGGAATGTTCTCCGACTTGAATTCTGCCCAAGTGAATCCCTCTCCGAATTTGTCTTCCGCTCGTGGTAGATCGTCGACCTGTCGCTTGCTGGTGTTTAGTGACTCCTTAGCCTTGAAAGACTTCGGCATTGGGATGGCCGTTGCAGATGGCTTCTGTAGGTGGAAGTCGGTGGGGTCGGGAAGAAGTAGCCATTTGTACTCGACTTCAACACGATCGCTATAAAGATGTCAGCAGATTCACAATGTTTGTTAAGTGTAACTCACCCTCTTGGAAGTATATCAAGAAGCAGGGTTTCTTCATCGCGGCGATTCTCAACGACTGCTCCAGCAAAGATGTCGCCTCTGAAATATTGCATCTGGCAAACTTCACCTTGCTTCAACTCAAATGCAGCCTTCAATATGCGCTTATCATCGCCGAGATAATCGCCATCCAACTTCTTGTCACGCTTGGTACGATGGAAGCGACAACTGAATTCGATGCCCCAGTCCTTGTACTCCTTTCCATCCTCGCCAAAGACTGCCATCTCGCCTTGTTCAACAAAAACACCGGCGGCAGCCGCACAAGTTGCATGGTATGCTCTTGTACACTTCTTTCGTGAGCATTGAAAGCAAGCACCCTTCTTGGATCGACAGTAGTTGCACTTGAGCTCCAAACGAGCTTTGTTGATGTACTTGACATCAGTGACCGTCTCTTTGTCGCCAGTTTCGATGCTAGTCTCTGGGATGTACTGGGCACATAGACGATGAGCTTCTTGACCGTCTTCAGTGGGCAAAAGCTGCTCCGAAGGAATATCGTTCGGGCACAAGATACACGGCTCTTTGGCCGGTGCCTTGATGCGGACACGGATTCTCTTGACGTTGGCATTGTCAGTCTTGTCGTTCGTTGGGCGCTTGCGCTTTTTCTTGGGAGCCTTTGGCTTGATATCACCACTGCTTTCGGGAGGAGTAGGAAGATCCGTAGGTTTTGTGTCTTGCTCGTCATCGTCCTCATCCTCTTCTTCCTCATCGTCGGTAGATTCATAGTCAGTCTCCTCACCCCGGAGCTTGCGTTCAATGTCCCGAACATCAATCCAGACACTATCCTGTGCTTGGCTGCAATCGCATCTCTTGGCTACGCGGCCATACTCTAGCCATGACTCCAAGGCAAAATTGACAGCTTCAGCGCAATTGTAACCAAGATTATAGCCAGAGTGGTATCCGTAAGGAAAGGTGATGACAAATTCACCGGGATGGCTGACTACTTTGTTGACCTTGATATTGTAGTGTGATAGTAAGTGTGCCGGCGAGATCAAAAAGGTCTTATGTCGAAGGAACTGGTCGCATGCCTTTGCGTCTGCAGGCCAGATAGTCTTCATGGCAGCCTCAAACCGACGAGCATCTCCTTGAGATATGCTATACCATTGCTTTGGAGCACCGAAGTGAAGATAGTTGATACTATACAGATCAACATCTTCAAGATGCCAGGCGAATGTAGCCTTCCACATTCCAAGGTAGAGATAGGCAGTATTGACACCGGGAATCTTAGTGCCTAGGACATCCAGGATATTCTCCAGTCTGCCGAGGTTCCAGGTAGATGTTCGGTCATCAAAGAGCGTTCCAGGCATATCTGCACCATAAAGTGGTGGAGCATAAGTGAGGGTCTTCCAATAGATACGCTCGAGTTCATCGCATCGTTCTTGACTGAATTCTTCAGACTCAAGCTCGTACCTGAAATCTTTGAAGGCAGCTTCATCAATGACACCAGTCTCTCTCCTGTTGTTCTTGCGGCGTGAAGAAACGGAAATGGCCTTTGGTTGTCTTCCACCTTTGGGCATGGAGACGTCATCATCTGGCTCTAGCTTAACGGAATCCTCATCCTCGCCTTTCATTCCAGGGGAGACGGGTGTTGGCAGACGATCAGGTGTCGCTTCTCCATTGACGCTCTGAGCAGTGCTAAGTTTTGACTTCTTGTTGGGGCGTCCAGGACCACCTTTCCGCTTGGAGCTAGACGGGGACGGAGAGCTTGACTTGGGTCTTGGTGTAGACCTCACGGGTTTGTCTTGGTTGGCTCTTCTCTCCCCTCTCTTTGCGGGCGGTTGGTGGTCACTTTGCTCACACAACTGGCGCCACTGAGGAAGGTTATACGATCGCCCATGCAATATGTTTGCTTGTCGATAAGTGCCGCCAGTGCCCATAATTTCTTGTTTGATTGGCTCCTTGACCTTGATAGTCTTGACAATATCGTCGAGGCGGGGTTGCGCCGCAAGCCATTCTGCAGGGGGTATAACTTTGACAATTCCATGCTTCATGCCCCATTTGTTAACAGCATTAAGCTATTCAATTATTAGCACAGGAGCCCCATTCCCAAGAACTCGACGCTTGAAGTCGAGGTACTTACGTATTTCTGGAAGTCCTTGAATTCCTCCATCGTAGGGCGAAAGACGGGAACATTTCCCTCGGACATATGATCGGGTTCAATGTTCAATAGCGGATCATTCGATTCGTGCTCAGGCTCAAGGTCAGAAAGCTCTGAGTCGCTACCACCGTCCTTGAGCGCAGAGTTGGATTCCGGAGGACTGTGTAGACCAGCCGGGACCGCATCGGCGGGCGGCATCGCAATCGCACTGGCAGACATTGTTATGGATGCCTCATATGATCGAATCTGATGTGTTGGTCGTGCTGAATGATCTGCCGGAAATGCTTGACGTAGCTGAAGGAGGCGAATCGGTCGCAATAACGAATGTGTCGAGCGAGAGGACACTCGCGCCGGTTATCGAGTCGTCACCAATTCGTCAGACGTTTGCAGAGGATGCTAATATCGCGGGAGTAGTAGCAGGTAGTCGACGTAGTTAGGAAAGACTCTCCTTTTAGAATCGAACGATATATCGAACGTCCCCCAATTCCTCGGTGGAGGTCACGAAATACTACCTAAGCCTAATTGGGACTAACGCGCTAGCCCATGCAGCCGATAAGCCGCACGACACTCACTTTGCAACTCACCCACATGCTGGGTCTGGAATCTGCAAAGAACATCTTTGATGCCAGAATTCATCATGATAACATCGGAGTCCAATCTTCCATTGCCTTGTGTATGCGAGCCTGGTGAGTACTTGGTTCTGCAATTGACTTTTGTCCTTATCTGCACTGTTGTAGGCCTGCACGTAATCGCTGAACATCGTCATCATCCATGGATTGGACAATAGATGCATATTCCGAATTCCATCTCGATAATCATATCAGATGGCGTTTGGCGGTGCGCGCCACGTCAGGCACCTCGGTTGCTGGGCTGTGGTTCGTGGATGCGAGATCATGCAGATTTTGCCGCTGACCGAGAAGAGGGAATCTATCGTTCTTCTTACCGTATCTCATCAGCGGACATGGAATGGCGAGCTTCATGGGCTTCGTCGCACGCTGATTCCACTTTGTACTTGTCGCAGCGGTGATAAGAAATCGCTCTTAGCCTAAGCAGCGTCGCATCCTCTCCAGATGCATACTTCAAGTGAAGTATACTCGGTCGGACGCCCTTGTGTTGGTTTCTTACCTGTCCAAACTCTGGCATGAATCGAAGACTCTGGTCTCTTGTCCAGGAGAAGCAGGTGGATATGCTCAGAAAAGCACTGGCCTCGCTCCATTACGCATTTGCGTGCGTTGTGTTGGAGTCTGCGTGCGATCTGGGATGAGTGCATCGTGGAGTGGCACGTCAAAATAAGGTTCTGTCATGATTCCCTTGTCGTCCTGCGGTAGATCTGTGCCGAGCGTGGGTCCAATAATCCGGGCTGAGACCTTGAGATGCAGATTGACGGCCTGACGCAATTTGCTTACCTATCACCACAAATATGTGCGGATAGCATCTTATGTTCTGCAAGTGCAGACGCCGCTCGGTGTGCAATGCGAGGACCGTCCTCATTCTCTATCTCTCTTTCTCAGTGGCTTCTCGCTCGAGACCTCTCAAGCTTTGAAGCGTCCTTTGACAGGAGCCGTCGACCCAATCAGGCCACCAAGTGACTGAAGTGACACAAGCCTGACGAGGGATCTCGTGTGGATGTCAATCGACACCGAATCTAATCAGTGTTGTCTTGTCGAGGACGGGAGTTGTGTATCGAGTACCTTCGTTGAACTCTCTGATGCTCTTCGAGGTACTCTTGCTGAGATCGACTTCGATCTCTCAGAACTGCGCAAAGCGATTCCTAGAGGATTCACATGTTAGAATCGGCTATCTTGTTGGATTCTGACTTGCCTCTTGTCAGTGTCTCCAGATCGCTTAGATCCGTTGATCTTTGTATTTGGCTTTTGAGATAGTTGCGAACTTCTTGTTGAGCCGGAAGACGAGGACGAATTTGTGGATTGAAATTCGTTACCTTCGGGTGTTCTGGTAAAAGTGGCAAGTGTTTTCAGATAAGGATTACTGATAAGGAAGAACCTGGTCAATGCGAGGGACCTGTTTAGACTTCCAGACTCCTCAAGATGACTACATATCCCACAATATCATCTTATAAACACTTTCACCGTACTCCATCGTGCAATCGCCTTTCTTGTGCCAATTTGCGTATCTGAAAAATGCGAGTTGTGCACGCAAACATCACAAAATGCATCCCACTAATGACAACAGAATAACAATAACCAGCAAACCCTAGAACACTTCTCTTTTGTGGATTGATAATCTCCCATTGATAACATAGCAGGTAACTCCCAGCAAGCGTGGATCACTGTGAATCTCCCTGTTGGGGTAATTTCATAGTTGACCTTTGAACGCACAGGACACACATGCGTGATTAACGTTGGGTAAGCTTGCTTTGGGCCCATGGTCCAGGTACAACAACCTCTAATTTGGCATTCTCCAGAAATTAACAGCAGCTTGGCCAAAGTCGCCATACGTGTGCCCACATGTAGTTTTGACCGTTTGTTCATTCAGGGCGGAGATTTTGTTAAGTGTTCTCAAGTGTCAAATGAGATCACGTGAACAGACAACATCAGGAATTCATCATTTATCCTGGCAGATGTCAGGTTTTTACTGGCAGTCGATGCGTGCATCTTACCTCCAACGCTTATGAAAGAATTATAACACCAACAATCTCCACAACAAAAAGTATCCATTGTTTGAGATGCATGTCAGCCCGAGAAACCCCAACCCCTTACCTCCTTCAGGTCTACCGAATTCTGTGCCTCCATGTTTGTTTTTCCCTTACTCTTCACCATTCTCTACAATGTGCTGCCAAGATAATTGTCGCCATTGAGACTTACTCATCAGCGGACGATATTGACTAAGCGAGAAGTGCTTACTTGCTGAAAAGATGAATTATCTTGTAAATTCGACGAGCATCAGCTGTATTGTTACGCGAGATAGATCCATACAAGTAAGTTTCATTCATGCAAGTACTACCATATCCTCGCACCAACTAAAATCCGCATCACAAAAACCTTCCACCCCAACATCTAACCATGTAATAGAAAAGAATATCCATCCGCCTTATTAGGGACCTCTTAGAGACCCCAAGAATGTGGAGAGCGAGTAACCTGTGAGTCTTCTCTAAAGCGGATGGTCACCCCTAAGGCCCTTGAGGATAGCGTATTCATCTCCTAGCGGCGATACAGAACCTTTCATCCCCCTGCTCATCCCTCCGGAGAAGAAAGTATTGAAAAACTCATCCAGCTCTTCATCTCTCACAGCCAACACACAAAAACGTTCAAGGCTGTTCCAGAATAGCTCGGGTTCGTAACCATAGAGCTTCCTAATATCATACCTTCGAATTTGCTTCCCATCTCCCTCCTTCATTTCTTGCTCATCTTTAACAGCTGTCTTCTCAAGATTATCAACAACTTTGCCAAAAGCTTTCTTCAGCAGTTCGTTAACTCCGTCCTCATGACTTGGGAGAGCGGCATTGAGTTCCTGTGTCGTGCGGTTGAATATCCTCGCTACCAAGACCAAGTTGTAATACCAAGCACGATATGCACACCCGGTTTTGGTTGTAGAAGGTTTGGGAGTTGGGGAGGTGGGTTCGGGTCGAGGGGTAGCACCAGTGTTGGGTGAAGGCACTTTCATGATGACGGCTTGGTAATCGATGAATGACTTGGTTTATGCTTTGAGGAAGGTGGATGAGGTTCAAAGGTTCCTCTGGAAATTTGCTTCCCTTTATATTCATTGCTTGACGTGTGATGAAAGAGCTGCAGTGTCTAATGGCGGTGGGTAATCAGTTAGAATGTACCAGAGAGCTCCGAAGTGCTGCCTAGTGTTTGTTTACCTCTACAGTCTTGAATTACCTTACTTTTCTTTCAGAATTGAGGCACTTTCCAGAACGAACGATCGTCATAGAACTTGCGGGCCCCCTCAGTGAATTGATCAAGGAAAATGTCTCAAACCTGATACATAGCCTCCCAAATTCTGCTTTCAGTTCACTTTTTGGGGAACTAGGTAGAAGCAAGCTGATTAACAACTATAACGAGGCCGGCTTCCATTTCATATGAAGTAGCTTGATTTTTGATGTCTCCAAACGAAGTTTGGAGATGCTTCACATGCCATATCTTGTTCATAGCATCAATTTTTCGGCTGGTCATACGAGAACCTCAACAAAAGATCAAGAACATGAATGCATTGCATCGAAAAACCACATAGAAAATCTCTCTAGACCACCACCTTTCAAACTCAATCCGTTCCCGGTTGATAACCGAAGCCACTCTTCAGACTAAACATTCCTAACTCGAAATCTAAGCAATTATCAACGCATACCATGTAGTTTCGAAGGCACCCAAAGAAACTTCCCTTCACATTCCGAAGTCAAAGTAAAATCAACAGGCTCTCACAATATTTAAACACGACAACCGATTCGGGACTCCAAGTCTCCCTTCTTCTCGGGCATCGGCTTCCGAGCCTCAATTTCATTCTGAGCCTGTCGCTTCAGAAGCTCAATCCATTCATCACGATCCTTCTGACCACTTTTACCCCCACCAACCACGAGCTCAGGCAGTTTAGACAAAACTTGCTTGCTGACCAGAATGTAATCTGAGATAGACATCGAGAGTTCCGTATCCTTCTTTGCGACAATGACCCAATCATCCTCATCCACGACATCCATCAGATTCTTCATAACCTCGCGATCGGGGTCGGGTGTTGCAGGCTTTTGGATCAAGGGCTTGATGTCAGACCAGCGAACCCACTCGTCGTCATTGTCACGGAAGAAAGGGCGGCTGCTGGTGCTTGGCTTGGTGTTGGCGGCTTTGGATTCCCAGGGTGCATACGACCGGTAGAACGCATCAAAGTATCTTTGCGAGATGTTGGGGAGAAGACTCATGATTGTGGAATTTCAGAGCGCTGTGTTGTGTGGTGTTGTCTCTTTGAGGAGAACTGAAGATCGAAATTGAGGTCTGGGGATATTTGAGACTGATATATAGAATCAGTGATATGTATTGAAAGAGAGGCGCTGCGGGTGGGTGCTTTTGTTGAAGATAAAGATGAATGGCTGTGTATCAAGGGATTAAACAGCATCTGACCCATTACCTTCTTTCTTCGGCATCCATAGTACTCTCTTTACCAACACTGTAAGATTAAGGCAATCAGCTAAAATGGGAATTAATGTAAAGAAAACGACAGTCTCGGGGAAGGCAGCATGACTGATGTGTTTGGTGCAGTCGAGGAATATGCGGGACATTTCATGTGCTTTGTTTACATTTATGCATACTTCCGACTCCTTTGTTGAGTGGCGATGAGATGGAATTTGAGTGAGCACTCTAGAAAGAATCTTCTTGTTTCGAATCTTAAAGGCACTGACGAAGCTGAGTTTGGCTGGCTCAGCTGGAACCCGCAAGGACTGCTCGAAAACAGACAGGAGACAGAGAAAGAGCTCAGGGCATTGGAGGCAGTTCAAGAACAGCATTCTGATAGCATTCGCATATTGGAGCTGTGTATGGCTGGAAGCCACATTCGGGAAATCTTTTCGTGTTCTGCCTGGCTGATGTCTCGCTATGCCATCAGACTTTCGGCCAATCACGCGGGCGGCTGAGCTCAAAGCTGGAGATGCCATATAAGCTCAAATAAGCAGATTTTTGTCAAATCTTCCCAGAGACAGTCACACTCCTCTCCCAAACTTCTAGCATCCTGGTAAAGACTACTTGCTAACTGAAAATAGTTGTATACCTGGGTAAGTCGTCCTCCCCAGTGATTTCTGCGAGTAAGAAAGGTAAGCTTACGTTATTGACCGCAACGTTGTGATTTGATGATTTCTGCGCGCGTGCTTTATTCCCTTATGGTACGTGTAAAAACTTTCATTCAAACACCTTGACTGTCTCTGGGACCCAATTTTTTTGGTTTGTTTTTTTGGCGATTTTTTGGCGATTTTTTAAAAGTGCCTGCGCATTTCTGCCGACTTGGTCTTTGCGATGTACAGCGATAGGCTAAACCGTGGAATTGGTCTTGACCAGTAGAAACTTGAAAGATGAAGGTAGAGGAAAAGAGCTTGGAGTCCTTTTTGATGTTTGTTTTGCTCCATGATCTCCTTGTGTTCGAACTTGCAAGGTGGACGACTTCGGGACTTTGGTGGAAGTATGAGTTCTGGGCAAAGCACCACTGTCTACTTTCAGAACTTTCATGACAGTATACAAACCAGAAAGAGACTTTGTTCAACGGAAAAACGGCCTCCAGAGCCAAATGGATGTCTGCTACTTGCAGGACATAATTGCTATGGTTGCTCCATGACGAGGACAATGCAAAGCACTACACTCTCGATGAGCATATTCAAAGGAAGACACAAGAAGACATCCACATTGTACTACAAGCTCTAAGGGACAACGCGTGATCATCAACATCAGCTTCCTCAATATTTCCTCCGTCTTACAAGTGTCTATGGCAGCGGCTCGAATGGACACATTTCCATGTACCACGTTCCTTGTAACGTTGCTTGATGCTATAGCCAGAAGGGAATATCACTAGGTGAGTATCTCGTGTTGTTCATCAGGCTTCATTTGAGAATGAAGTCAACTCAAATGAAGCCAAGAGTTCTATAAAAAGCTGTCAGGTTCCGCTTGCCTCAATGCGGGGTAGCGTTGGTGTGTCCTCTTTATCCGGCACGTGCCAAGGACCTTTCCTCCTTTCTTCATCTCCTGCCAACCTCCTCGAGGCTCAATTCTTATGCTTTGAATTGTGTATGCGATCATCTCTTTATCCATATTGGACTTCTTGTTGGTGAACTCATGGGGGATCCTTCGTCGATCTCCCACTGCGACTCGTACCTGAGAGTGGCCTCGGACAAGTGTCAGTTTAGATCCGACATTGAAAGACCTCGTATCGGTCGACGGTGGTCCATTTGTCTCTTCTTCGGTGGCAATTCCTTGATTTAGAGTTCATGATTCTAAGACTTGACTTTCTCGGCGCATCTGCTCAGCAAGTCCACGTTGGGCCGCCAAACTCCGACTCTGTTTGTGCGACCCGACAGTCCACGGTCAATATAAATTCAATCACAACCTTGGAGATGGGTCCATTTAATGCCCTGTGTACCCGGGTAAGTACTCTTTGGACATTTCTTTCCAAGCCAGGGCCGGCAGTTTGCCATCCTTGTCAAGCGACAAGTCGATTGACTCAGGGTCGAGATCACAAGTCTATTGGCGGCACAGCAGTGTTTTTGCCGTTCTTGAACTTCATATTGTTATTATTGTTGGACTGTGGCATGATCTGAATAGAACATGTAACAAGAACTATCGATGGTTCCGAGTTCAACATAGTGTCCTTTCAACGTTCTGCTCGAAATATTGAGAATTGCCTCACAATCCTGAGGCTTCGAATGGTAGATGTGCCTGTTTTCTTGTTATGTTGGCTTAAGATCGACTTACAGAGTATCATGGACTGTAGAAAAAAGCAAATAATATAGATTTCCAGGCCTAAAGCAGTCTCACGTAATATTAATCGGAATGGGTTGATTCTGCCATTTGCCATTCGTCCCATGTTTCAATTCGCGGGTTATTATTCACCACTACCATGTTCTGTTTCCTTGCCGTCGACATGGGCATGAGCCGCTTTTGTTCGGGTATCGTGACCGAGGCAGGGTCTCCGTCCCAAGATATTTGAGTTCATGAGCATGAAATCTGGACCTTTGCAGATATTAAGCAGATTTATGTGCTCATAGTACCCCGCCATCTAAAGATAGAGCAGCTTGTCGTTTGACCTCGGAATGTACCTCATCGGTCAAGACCAAGCAATAAGAATATGAAGTCCATTTGGAAGAAAGCAGTTCTATTCTTAGCAAGTAAACAGACTCAAATTCACGTATGCATCGTCCACTGTCAAAAATGTATATATTCAGACTGTTGATCCCCTTACTTGGATCGACCAAAGAAGCAAGCCACAGCGTTGCATTACTATACTCCTCCAGATCTTCATCTACCATGTATCTCATTCCAGCCATTCTGTTGCCTGCCCTAGCACTCGCCAGTCCACTCGCCAACCGCGATGTGTATGCTGGCCCACCTGTAGACCAGATCACTATTCTGAGCGCTCAATCATCTGGTAATGGGTGTCCCCAAGGATCTGTCTCTAACACACTCTCCCCAGACAGGACTGTAAGTATCATACTTTTGGACGTATGGGCCTGAGACTCACATTCCACAGGTTGTAACATTTGGATTCGACGCATTCCAGACCTACATCGGCCCCAGTGCCGCCCAAGCAGACAAGACCAAGCAATGCCAAATCCACTTGAGTCTTCAGTACCCAGGAGGTTTCCAATACGCAGTCGTAGACGCAACTTATCATGGTTGGGCTCGTCTTGACCCCGGCGTAACTGGAACATTTATTTCAAGCTACTTCTTCTCCCAAGCAGCAGCCCAGACCGTTTGTTCCCCTCGCAAACCAAACCTTTCTTCGAAGGTACAGGAAACTAACTTTTTTAATAGTGCTCAACCCGCTCCACAATCTCAGGCTCTCAGTGGACACAAGGTGATATCTACACTAAGCACGACAGTATAGAGTCTACAGCCGTGATCTGGTCTCCATGCGGCGCAACCGGTATCCTCAATGTCAACAACCGCATTGCCCTGTCGTCAACAAACAGCACCCAAACCGGAGAATTGTCTGACGATGATGCAACTGTTGCTTTTACTCATCAAGTGCACGTTGCTTGGCAACCATGTACACCAGCAGCCAGCACACCTGGTGGTCAGTTTACTGTCGGTGGAGCTACTACGGAGGTTACTGAGGGTTAAAGAGATACTTGGATCAGGGGGTATGGTTGGATTCTTGACTGTCGTTCTTGTACATTTTGCCTCTTTTGGGTTTGGGGATTTTGAACATAGCATCGGATGGTGATAGCAAAATGCATCGAATTCTACTTTGCCTCTTTTGGGATGCTCTGTTGATCTTGCATGACTACCTCTAAACATCATAATTTTATAACGACATCATCAACAAATTAGAAAGAAGAGAATACCACTAAGCCTACGACAATAAAACTCTCTTCATCCACTTCATCCTAGTCTCCCTGGACAATCGACTCAGAGCAGAATCCGGCGCATAAGCATCAAAAGCATGCCAACACCCAGGCCAAACGTGCAGCTCAGCCTGCACCCCACCCTCCCACAATTTTGAGGCATAAGCAACAACCTCATCCCTGAACAGCTCCGCAGCTCCAACATCAAGCCATGTTGGCGGTAACCTCGACAAATCCGTCGCTCGTGCTGGAGCTGCATATATACTGACATCTTCCGCACCTCGTTTACCGTCTAGGAGAAAATTCCAGGCCGGTTCGTTGATCCCTCCTTGCCATTTACCAATGTTGAAATACTGCTTTGACGATACATTCTCCATACGATCATCAAGCATAGGATAAGGCAGACATTGAGCATGAATTCGAGGACCGCCTCTATCCCGTGCTAGAAGAGCAAGTCCAGCAGCAACGCATCCTCCTCCAAAAGGACCAACAGTCATAATTCTGACTTCATTGATACCAAGCTCCGAAGCATGTTCCGAGATCCATTTCAGACCTGCGTAGCAATCCTCTACTGGTGCTGGATGTGGATGTTCGGGCGGCATGCGGTACTCGACAGAGACGAGAATTGCGCGTAGTTCTTTTACCCAATCGAGTGCGTCGCCGAAGGTAAATCTGTTTCCTAGGATCATGCCGCCGCCGTGCATGTAATAGAGGCAAGGTCTTCGGTCGGACTGGGATTTCTTCCATTTAACTACGGCTAGGATAATCTCTCCATCAGGGCCGGAGATCGTGATATCTTCATGAGCAAATTCAGGGTCTGTGAAGACTTTTTCGGCTGTGTAGAGGGGCTCGAGTTGAGTTCTGAGTTCTTGTAGACTTTCTAGTGTGATGGTTGCGGGGAGATTAGGGAAGCTTTTGAATGCTTCGTCAAGGGCTGGATCAAAGGTTGGATGGAATGCTGAAGCCATACTAGCTCTTAATGGATACTCAGGCCGCGGATATCAGTAGCTACAATTACGAAATACAGCTATTGCTCGGAATGATCGATACAGATATTTGACATCAAGCCTAAGCGGATATCCATAGCGTTGATGCACTAGCACATCGTAGCTCTGTTCAGACAAGCTCCGGGGAAGGAAACATGTGAAAGAGACTTCTTCGAGAAAGAACTTAATACATTCTAGAAGCAGAGCTAACACAGCTAAATCTGATGTACCCAGAGAAACATTGAAATCGTCCCCCAGACGGAGTCGCCCATTCCTGACTATCAGAATGTCCAAAGGGGCAGAGAAGAATGGTCTCTCGGTCACTCATTCGCACTTGGACTAGGGCTACCTAGCTTCCAAATTTCCACTAAGAGGTTGGACCTATGAATAATTGCTTTTTGAAGGATACAAGGAGGGTGTTGATGTGTTTGGCAAAATTCAGACCTCGTACTCGATAAGAGAAACAATCTGCCAACCCCACAATCGAGGTGAAGCTCCCGCCGCCACGCTGAACACCAACGGCACAGCAGACCCTTGACGTACAAGCCACAACACCTCGCAGCCACCATCCTTAATTCCAAAGCTCTCACGCTTCATCTTCTTGAATCCAACAATTTAATTTATGACCTCCTCGAGCCTCACTCCTACCTCTTGCTCGCAACGATGACCCGGCAGCAATTTAACCTTCATCCCCCATCTCCACAATGACCCGACCCCACCGCTGGCCCATCTTTCGTCTCCGCATAACGCGACTCTTGGCCCTCTTCCTCCTCATCTGCCTCTTCATCTACCAATTCGACCACCAAGCCACCCTTCCCCACGAAGTGACATCTGTCGAGAACGACCTTGCAGCTTCCCATCCTCCCGATCCCGCGAATCATGGATTTCTGCCCTTAGCAGACGCGAAACTGCTATGCAGGAGACAACACTGGAGGCCTTGGCCTAGACGAGATGGCAGGAGGAAAGTCTACGATCTGTTCATGTTGAACGATGAACTGGATATGCTGGAGATCCGTCTCTCGACTCTCTACGACTATGTCGATTATTTTATTATCGTCGAAAGCCTAGTAACGTTTACGAACCACGAAAAGCCATTGGTATTGAAGGACAACTGGGCCAGGATAGAGAAATGGAGCGACAAGGTTATCCACCACGTTCTTGAGAACCCACCGATTGGGGCCCCGAGAGCTTGGGATTACGAGGATTCGCAGCGGAACGCGATGTTCTCGCAGGTGTTTCCGAAGCTGGTGGGGGACGTGGAGAAGGAAGCTAAGATGGGAGATGTGATTATTGTTTCGGATGTGGATGAGATTTTACGGCCTGCTACGGTTATGTTGTTACGGGAATGCCAGACGAGTAGGAGGATGACTTTGCGGAGTCAGTTCTTCTATTATTCGTTCCAGTGGAGACATGTTGGGCCGCAATGGCCCCATGGTCAAGCTACGACGTTTGGTGGATATGGGAAAGACCAGACGATTCTCCCAGCGGATTTGAGAAATGGAGAAGGTGGGAATAGACTCGCGTGGTGGTGGGAGAAGGACGAGCTGTGGAACGCGGGGTGGCATTGTAGTACCTGTTTCAGGACTGTTGAAGAAGTTTTGAGGAAGATGGACAGTTTCTCGCATGTGTCTATGAATCAAGAGCAGTTTAGAGTGCCGGTGAGGATTGTGGATAGAGTGAGGAAGGGAATGGATATATGGGATAGAGAAGTGGATAAGTTTGAGAGGGTACAGTCGAATGAGGATGTTCCTGAGGTCTTGAAGAAGGATAGGGCCAGGTGGAATTATATGCTAGATCGAGACGCTGGCAATGCCGGTTTTGAAGATTTCGACGCGGATTATATTCCTGGGGATTGAGGTATGGACAAGATGTTTGTGATGTTGTACACATCAGCTAAAATGCAAAGGGTAAAGTCAGCACCTGCGGCCGGAGTTGTTTGGACATCAGATGAGGAGAGTCAGAACAGCATTGGCGTTCTTGTTTGTGAAATGAATGATACCCCCGAGACATACCGGATCTATATCCAACATACAACTACAAATTCCCTGTATATCGGAGATGGTACTTTTAGTACATTCTAAGTTCCTCCTCAAGTCATGTCCAGATCATTTCATCATATCATATCATACACCGTCTACCCTCTTTCCCATGTCCCCAACTCCATCCCATACCACAAGACCGTCCTTCTCAATGATGATTGACACCCCCGCCCTTCCCCTGCTCCCACCCATGAATACTCTCCCTAACATTAACCCAATACCTTAACCTAACCGCCTCACCCCTCGCCCCCTCCCAATCCCCCTGCTCAAACCTCTCCCCCAACCGCTCCTCCGTGTCTCTCACCCTCTCCTCGTTCTCCTCTCTCACTGCCACCAACTCCTCTTCCTCCTCCGCACTCTCAACCGCCTCCCTCGCCTCCATAACCTCCATCAACAGCTCCGCATCCTCGACCTTCGCCGTCTCGTCGTCCGCTGTCTCGATCCCTTGCAGAGACAGCAGATATTGGGCCCGTAGGAGCGGCGATTGGAGGGTCTTGTATGCGGTGTTTATTAGGGAGGAGGTCGCTTCAGCGCGGGTTTTGAGGTGTGGTGGGAAGAGGTCGGGATGGGATTTTGATTGGAGTTGGAGGAATTCTTTCCTCAAGGCTCGAAGGTCAATTGCGAATGGTCCTGAGGGCGGAGGGCCTTGAGATAGGGTTTGGGGGAAGAGGTCATAGTGTGTTTTGGGTATTGGGGAAGTGGTGGATTCGGACTGAGGTGTTGTTTGGGAGGCCGTGGTGGCGGATGAGGAGGACTTGAGTCGGCGTTCTCGTTGCGGTTGTTGGGCTTTTGGGGAGGATAGCAGTGGTCTATGACATGCTTGGCAGACTTGTCTTGGAGCTGGAAGCTCTCGAGGGTGAGGTGTGGTGAGGTTGCGCCGAGTTGATAGCGAGGACGTTTGCAGCAACTGTTGGCTGCGCCGGAGTGAGGTGCGCATGGCTTGGTTGCTGTTCGTGGAAATTTAACCTTCTACCAGGAAAATATTCAGAAGGATTACCAGAAAGTTATAGCCTTCAGGGTGCTAAAGGAAGGTCGTGTGAGGGTTTAAGTGTTTATGAAGCTTTTCAGATTTGTCTAAGAAATTTCCCGGACAATGACGTCGGATTGCCGACAGCGGCTTTTTGGTGCAGGCGAGTGATTTTAGGGGGTTTCTCGCTTCCGTTTAGGGGCTGTACATATGCTCTGTCTTGTTTTGCAGGTTTGAAGGAATGCTTTCACTTCTGTCTTTTGTTTCATTGAATGCCAATAGCTAGAGATTTCTTATGCAGGTGCCCATTAAGCAGACCCATTCACCCTAATTCTTTTCGCCAATGCAGCGTCCTCCTCTATCCTATGTTTATACAAAGCCCATCATTAAACATGCTATATCATACAATCTTTGATCATTTACTTCCTCTCCTCGCAAACGATTGCCACTACCACACAAATATCGTCTACCTTACCACCTCTCCAATTCTCATGTGGATAATACCTCTGCACCTCTCTAGCAAAAGGCCCATCTCTCCTCGTATTAACACTCGCAGCTTTCGCCTCTCCTGTGATACCCACAGCCAAGAAACTCTGCAAGCTGGGTATCTCCTCAGCACCACTCTTCCCATCATCAGCCAACAGGAAGCTGCTTAATCCACTGCCAACACTGACTCCGTCCTTGGTATGCTCCCAAGCTCTCGCTCCAAGCATAATCCTACTCACCACCTTCAAAATATCTTGGTGGCTTAAATTATCCCAAACACCATCACTTGCAAAAACAAGCACATCTCCATGCCGTAACTTATGCTGAGAAGCATTTGCATCTTTCGGCATATCGCACAGCTGCTGTCCCCCAAACGCAGCTGCTTGCTTCAACACTTTCTTTGGAACGACGGCCAGTTGGTATGGGGTATTAAAAGCATGCGTTTGCGGCTCGCTATATTCGTGTATGGCGTTCAATCGTAATTGAACAAATCCCGAATCCCCCAGGTTCGCAACCTCGAGTGTGCCATCTCCCTTTGCAATCCCAACACAAGCCGTGCTGCCTCCTGCTTTGACACTAGGATCTTTACATATATCCTCATAGCCCCTCTGCATCAAACTCCTCGCATTAAGAGGATGTTCCGTTTCTGAAGAGTGGGTGTATGCCGCGTGCGCCATGTAATCGCAGAAGCCGTGAGAGAAATCTGCTGGATCCACGCCTGAATCTACCCAGCCTCCCACTCCGTCCGCGATTCCGAAGGCGACGTCGGGGGTTTCGTGGATCTGGGCCACGAAGAAGGCATCTTGGCCTGAGTCGGGTCTGGTGCGCTTGTCTTTTCGGCGGGCGAGGATTCGGTTGTAGGGGTTGAAAGAGAACACATTGGTGTCGGGATTGTATCTGTGATCCTTCGCTGTGAAAGACGCCGCTATGCCATATGTATATTTCGCAGTTGAGGATCTGCGAGGGGATATGGAGAAGGCGCGCTGAGATGTTCGAACTAGAGATTTAAAAGGAAAGGAGGACTGTCGTGATTGTCGTAAGGATGTAAAGTTCTGTGATCTGATAGACAAAAATGTAATTATAGGAGGATTCCGTGGTATACAGGAAACTCCTGTAGATTGTAAAGTCTGTGTCCTACATGCCACAGTAGTCAGACTTCGAAAAGGAGATGCCATGCTCACTGCTCTTTTTAATGAGCTGAAGGGAGCAATAGCGAAGCCCGGAGGCTGCAATTACAAGCAGTCTTTAGACCGAAGAAGACATTCTGCACGGCAGATCCAAGTCCAGGAAATCGTGGAAGAATTGAGGCGTTGAGGCAAAATGTATGTAAGTTACAAATGGCAAGGAGCGTCATCGTGCTGATCCTTGTTCCGCCGCCAAAACTATCGGCCCAAGACATCGCATCGTATGTAAATTAAGCTTCACTTATGGATATCTCAAAGTATAAGTTCAGTAAGTCTCCAACCACCCCATAAGCTTGTAGAATGCTAATCAAATAGACTATAGCTCGCACCCTGCCAAAATCGGTAGTGCCAGCTATTGAAACTATCATTCATGTAGCTCACCAAGGCAAAGCACCAGACATGGTAGCAATAGCCGCCATTTTTACCACCACCTACAAATGGGTGACTCAGATCCGACGACGCCTACAGGAATTCGAGAGCACCGGAATCGATGATCGGAAACGACCTGGTCCCAAATACCTACAGATGGATCTGAAGGCTGTAGCGAGAGCGATTGAGGGCAGGTATGGATTTAGTTTTGGTCTGAGTACAATTAGTAGGTCGATGAAGAATAATGGGATACCGCCTAAGCGAACAAATCAGTTTCTGGAAAGGACGAAGTTGGTTTCGACGCATCTGGAAGGTATGTCATGCCGTTAGAAAGGCCATCAGAAGCGGAAGGTTCTCTGGACGGTCAAGTGATGGCTATGGCTGTTAGTGAGGACTTAAGAGCACAATGAAGGTCCAAGCATGGAAATGTTGCAATGTGATAATTACTCATAGCGACGAGTAGTGGTTAACATACCCCTCGCTCTACGTTTTACCTGAATTTAGGGATTTGAGTGGTCTTTGGGTGCTTTGTTAGGCGAATATCCAACGGAAATCTCTGGACATAGTTGAATCTTTCAGGATGTTGAGAGTGGCAAGTAGAGCGATTATTGCCATTGCCATAAATGGTTACAATATATCGACTTAAAATCCAGGCTCTTTGTGAGCGGTCGGAAATAGTATGCCGAATAGCCCTCCAGCAGCAAAAAACACAATGCTAGGTAAAGAGCAGTATATTTCTCATGACGTTAGTAGAACGCTGATAAAAGCAATACAGGGACCTCATAATGTCTCTCATGCAGCCATGACAATATCTGGCCGTGCTCCCAGGAGACGGGATAACAGGTACTTGCGCGCTTTGTGCAACGTCGAAAACATATTGGTGAGGATTACCACATAAATCAAAGCTAGGTTCTCGTTCATGATCTTGCAAGGATGAAGAAGTCTTGCATCGAGAATTCTACATCTTTTGCAGGTTGTGACCAAGACCATCACCATGCAGTTCGAGTAACATGGAAGTTGACTTACCTTCACGTTGCGCGCTATGCACAAGAATGCCTCGCATAACTCCAAATACAGCATGGAGCGGCGTTGTTCTTGATCTCCAAGTGTTAATTCATTCCAGAAGGGTTTAAGAAACGACATCAAGTTATCGATACCAAAAATCTTAGAGAGAATGAGGCGGAAGTGCCTGAGTACCGCTTGGTAAGTCAAATCCGCCACCGTCCTCCGCACGTCACTTCCCTTCCACTAGTGCCGTTCACAAAGCGTTTCCATTAGATCTGGGATTTGAACATGAACGCCTTCTCGAAATCCAAGTATTGAGCATTCGAAAACCACTCTTCAGCGTCCGAATAGTACTGTACGGGGATTTTAACACGCTGACAACCTTTACATCCACCAACATCGAACTCTCCCAAACGTCGACAGGCTAGCACTTCACACGACGACAAGACTGCTCGAGGCATACCAAGACGACTCCCACAGAGACACTTGTTGCCGTCTATACTCCGCACACATCCCTGGCTTGCTCACTATGCTAACCGCATGCATTCTGGCTCGAAATGGGCCGAGCCGATCAGGCGAGCATGAGGCTGATGTCGCGCAACATCACACTTGAGTTAAGGTACCACAATCATCTGAACTGCATATCATTGGAAGGAAAGCATTCTTGACGACTATAATAGGGGCCTTCGAAATGTTGTACAGAATACCGTCGAGGCCAACGTGGGCCTGCCAGGCTGGATAGCAGAACAATTGCCTATGGCTCTTTCCAATGCGGTGTCTGCATTTGAGCGCAAGTGCAACCAGCTTGGCTGCAGCCTTTAGACAGTCTCATGATGGCTTTTGTCCGATGTTTGTTCCCCTTTCATCGAGTACGGAGCTGCCGATGTGCAGCCAAAGGATCATCGCAGAGTTTGTCTCCTCCTGATCTGCACCCAAGACTGTCCATTTGCTCAAATGGAAGATTATGGACCTGGTGGACCTCGCCCAGTGGTGCGAATCTCTCATATGGTTGATGCCGGTAGCATGGCATCTTAGTTGCGGCATTCGCCCCGCCACTCCAAATATAAAGAACTGGTTCGAACTGTCTATATCTTGAACCGACAATGATGTATGCATACCTCTGGTATGCTTGCACGAACGCAATCGTTGCAGCGTCAAGTGAGCCAAGTAGCCTCCTCGCAGGAGCGGCCACAGCATGAGGTACCCGAGATGGCATAGTGGTGTCATACAGCAGGCTTGAAAATTGTTCTTGGATAAATGTATCTATACAGCAATAACCCATGTCCTTTCAAAGTGTTGGTCTTGAAGAGTGCGAGGGAGGGAGAGGGGGACAGAGAGAGAAAGAAGGCGAACAGGATGACAGAGTTCAGTCGTCAGTCGTTACTGCTGTTTAGGTTTTTCCGAAAACGGAAGCGCCGGAGCGAGCGGCCTCCTATTCGAGTCAACTTCACCTTTCTGCCTCGCTCGCTTTAGCTCTTTTACTGACACCTTCATTTATGTTCGCGTCGTCTTTAATTTTGCCTATCGTTTCGGTTTTCTTTTACCACCCCCTCTACTTTACTTCTGTACAAAAGCACTTGGGATAGGTTTCTGGTCTACCACTACCTCCTTCGAACGCGTTTCTAGCAACACACTTCCCAGAACCAGCATCGACTGTTCAATCCTTCTTCTTGTCATTCTCTGATCCCTAATTGTAAGTTGTTCCACTTGGTTTCCGACGCGTTCTTCTGTCACCCACCACCTCTTACTGTGCCTCGTTTTCAAGCGGGGTCGCGTCCAGGAGCGTATCCCCTTTCTCCACGCAGCTACTTTGGTCAGGTACGCGTCCTCTAGCTTCTCCTCATACTTGGAAGACTTGGCTCTTCTTATTCCTATTTGATGTTTTTTCTAACATACCTTCGGTGTATTCAGTTCAAAGTTGACGGCGTGGCTGTTTGTACAACGCAGCTGCAGAATTCCGGGAGGAGTGTGTATCTGCTCTTGTCTTCTCCGTGTTATTGAGCGTAGACGGCCTGTACCAAGGTGAGCTACCCTAGACCTTGAATGCTACAGCTTTCAAATCTAACAACAACAGTCCAGCACTCGTCAAGTCAACCACTTGACTGATCAAGACGCGTTGTGTTTAAGTGAAAGTGTTTCTGGCATGAACAGGTACATATATTTTACTCAATACGTTGTCTAGAGAGATTTATCTGGCTTGTGGAAGCTGACCAACGTTCTATAGAGTGGTTCCGAGACAACTTCAAGCTTAATTACTTGTCTATCGTATCCGAGATGGAGTGCCCGTCGCCCTTCTTAGTCAACACGTCGACTATGGAGAGCACAAATGATCAAACTCCTAGGGTCCGGAATGTGCTGAAGAAATCCCGTCAGTCAGATGAGGGTCAAATACCCAGAAAAAAGTTAAGCCTACTCAACCTTTTCAGCCGTTCACGATCAGGATCAGAATGCCCATCGCCGACAGAGGTGTCACCACCCGGAGGACTACCATCTCCGTCGTTGAATTCCTCTGCGCTTAATTCTCCTACGATTAGCCCATCTTTCCCGAGCCCATTAGCCTCTCCTGGAATGGCATCTGTGATCGAAGAACAAGACGAAGAAGGTGAAGAAGACGACAATGATTCTGCTTGGGTGGATGATGAGGATGAAGAGGAGGCAGAATTAGTGGACGAGAAGCAGGATGAAGAGGAAGAACTGACTGCAAAGCAACAAGAGGAGGAGAAAAGAGAGAGGCAGCGGCTTGCTCTTGAGTCTCTCAATACTCAGCCCGCTTCCTTCATCCGACCCCTGCAGTCCTCGCTTGAGCCCCGGTATCACAGAAGCCCGCTCCCGTTCCCCACAGTCAAGTCTACCGACGAGTTGTCACCCATCGCCATTGCCAGACACCGAGGGGAAACAAACCGAAGACTCACTGGAGACAAGGTTGAGAAACTCACTGTTGAGAATAAACCTTCCAGCTCGGAACTCACTGCTCTGGCTCACAAGATCGCACTCTCACTCCCTAACAACCAGGAAAAGCCACACGCTCTCAGATCGATTCTTTCCCACATTGGCAGACGCAGCAAAAGCTTTGGTTCTTCGATCTCCACACGTCGGACTCCCACGAAGGTTCGATCTCGCAAGATCGACCCTCTGAAAGACCCAAAGATGGTCTTGGCATGGCCCCCTCGATTTGGAATCAATCTCAGAGATTTCGATTCGATCTTGGCTGCCAGCAAGCGTGTCGATGATGAGCACATCCAAGTTTCTACTGGTGACATCTATAGATACCCTATCGAGAAGGAGGAGGAGGATCGAGCTCATCGAACTCCTCAGATCGATCCATCTGGCAGCGAGATTCCTCTCCAAGATCACTATGACGCACGAGTCGAATCCTTGTACAGTGAAGAGGTTTTCTATGATGAAGATGACGCCCCCGGAGCACGCGATTCCCTTACTGATTATGAACCCAAGAACCCAAGTGAAACCTTGGATAACGACTCGCCTCGACGAGTTGGTGTCAGCGTTGACGGTGACATTTATGAGGTCGCCAAGAAGGCTGATCCAGGTTCTGCCGATTGCAGAGTTTGGTGCACCTATTTGGGAAGTTATTACCAGGTATGTCGATCTTCGATGAAACTCAGCTCTTGATCCGACTGCATGACAGCGAAAATCTATTGTTGGGAAACTGCTGACTTTGCTGTGAATTAGGGATACTATAACTTGAATAATCTCCCTCTTCGTCCTTCGTTAAACTATGATTTCGAGTATCTGCCAGCACTAGCAGTACGACGGGAAGCGGAGAGAGTTTCGTCCACCGTGCAAATCGTTCAGTTCTGGACAAAGTCTGACGGACTCATTGGATTCCAAGGGCTCTCTAAATTACAAGAACTCCTCCAGACCGTGGATGTCGCTGTTAGCACGTTCAACCATGTGAACGAGATCAAGCGTACTATTCACAGCAACGGACTAGTCTTGTCAGCCAGAAAGGAAAGCATGGTAGGACATGCACTGTATGGCCAGGAGATCCTTATAGTTCTCGATACTTGCCAGGTAATTCTTCTCCTTCGAAACTGGTTTTTGCCCAACTGACCCCACTAGGATTGGCGATTTAAGAGGAACCCATCTGTCCCGAGGACCCCGAACGGCCCTGGCATTGGCTTTTTCGCTGCCGTGCCTCTCATGATTTCTTCCGGTCACGCTTGGGGTGTCCTGTCTGTAAGCAGCAGAAGTTGTCGTGCCTCATTCAGCCCTAGCGATCGCAATGCTCTTGCAAGTATGGGCCAGAGTATTACAAACACTTTGGAACACAAACTCACCAGTAGCCAACGTCACGCCCGGCAAGAGTCGGCTTTGATAGATGACCTTGTTCCCCTTCCGCTAGATGTCTGCAAAGCCCCAGAGCAGACTCCCCCCTCATCATCAGATTCCAATGCCAATTTCCACCCGTCGCGGTTCCCTGACAATGTTCAGCTTTCACGGGACCCTGACAATGATTTCGGATCGGGTGGGCAATCAGCATCAAGAGAAAATGTAAAGCAAATCGTTGTACGGTCTAGTTACCGGGACTCGGTGGCACACTCCGAAAACAAGTCAGATGCTACGTCTATCCACACGGCACCACTCAGCTCGCCATCTAAGGTCGCTTCTTCCAGGACACTCCTCGATCATCCTTTGGCCGAGCATGTCAGAGGGAAGACACAGGAGCAAGGAGTCCCGGTGGTCAGACATCAGAGCAGCATGCTTTCGATATCATCTTCACTGAGATCACGCAAATCTACGTACGACCAGGCCAATATTGGCGCAATTTGCAAGGGTGTCCAGACGTCGCTCAAATACGATGAAGTGTTTGTGATCGAGATCTCTCTTGAAGTTACAGGTCCACCAGAGGCTGTGCTCGTTGGAGGTGCTGATAATACGGACAAGGCAGTCGATTTGCCCTCCGTTATCAAGGCTCTGCGCCAAGATTTGGTGATTCCATATTCTCCTGATCCAGCAGGCTTGAAGGATGGTGACTACCCCGCTGGCAATCTTGTCTTCATATGCTCTGGCGACCGCGTTGGCTCCAGCGATGAACGTTCTTCAGGAACTGTTGGCGTTTGCTTGCGAACTCACAAAAACCAGCAAAGCAACGGGAACGCAAGAAGCTTGGAACTTACCAGACTGGCAAAGTTCCAGACAGAAGTTAGAAAGGCATTGATTGGCAACCGTCCTAGATCAGGGCCCCACTCACCATTCCTGGCAAATGAGGCTACGGAGGTTGTCTTGCCGAGCAATAACTTCCGACCAACCTATCTCCCAATACCCCCACCACGACGTTGAGGACATCCTGTGAAAGCGACTTGGTGTGCAAAGCTGTCTAAGGACTTCAGAATTATGCAATCTCCCGGATTCTAAGATTTCCTGCTTCTTCGATTGTCACGCTCATATTTGTTCGCATCATTCCTGATTTCCGAAAACTTTCAACAATCAATATGGGGCTTATGAGGCTTCTAGTCTTCATCAACGGGGCGTTACATGACACAGTTCCGATGTAATGCCTGCATACACTCCACACATGGATCCTCGAATGTCTGTCTGATTACATACACGCAAATACGTACAACTTTCCCCGATCTTCAAGTTTTCCTTTGTTACTCAATAACGATGTCTCCTTCTCCTTTTCGATATGTTTCTACCGCTTTCACGCGATGCTTGATATCATATTGTGCTTTGATGCTGTCGCCCCTGGATGGGCTGGCTGGCTGGCTATGGTGGACAATTTCCTGCATTTCCAAGGCGGAGGAATCATCTCAAAAATGGCGTTGAAGGATGAACGACATAACAATCAACTAAGCTAGTAGGTTAGTAGCTTTGAGAGAGTCATAATGAAGTTATAAGAACTTGTTTGTAGAGATAGAAAAAATCACAAAATACTAAAACCCCCTGTGCCACTGACCATGCTGTGATTGTGATTTGAAGCTGTCCAGACAGAAATTGATATCACAGCTACCCTGTGCAAAGTAATAATCCACTAATCATTATTACAGTCACAACAAGAGAGCACATCAAAGATAAATTCAGTGTTTACTCTCTTTCTCATTGAATCGTCGATATACAAGGTACAAGTAGGAAAGGGGAATAAAACGCTTGCTTGCTTGTTTGCTTGAAGACACGCAGGCAAACACCATGCATGCATGAACGACGCCTCTATCGTGACACTTCATCTCATCTCCTCTGTCTCTCCTTCTTTCTTTTTATTGCCTTGCAGTAAATATACCAATCCACCAGCCCAGCCGCCCAGCCGTTATCCTAAACCAAACCCAAATCCCATCTCTACAACCGACTAAACTTCCTCATCACTTTCCTCACCAAGTAACTCCCCCTCGTCGTCATCCACGACGGCGTAATCGCCTCTACCGCGGGCGAAACTATCTCTCGTAGTGAAGCGGGCGGGTCTACTCCTTCCGAAGGCGGTGGTTGCACTGCGCCAGAGGCTGGAGATCAGGAGGGGTGCTGCTTGGATTGCGGCGACGAGACCGGCGATTATGAGGACGGGGTACTTGATATAAGGTGCTTCGCTGTCGAATGATGCTATAGAGTCTGTTAGTACTTGGATTGGGAATGGGTGAGGGAGGAGCTTACATTGTTCGCCCAAGCGAATCTGGCCAAACTTGTTGGCCCAGTTCTTCCAGACCCAGTAGCCGACTCCTGCTGCAGCGGCAATGGGGATTGTGACCGCGAAGAAGATGCCAGCTGCGCTGAGGCCGTGCTTCTTCTTGAATTGGTCGCCCTTGCCCGGGCATGCGTGGGAGATGCTCTTGTCCATTTGGAGACCGTCGACGCAGGTTGTGATTGGGATGCGGCGGTAGCCGGTAGGGTCGTCATACTCGATGCGGTCCTCGTCGACGGTGCAGATGAGTGCTGGGTCAGGTGGTGAGAGGCCGGAAACGAGGGCGCAGGATCCATCACTTTGACGTTCGTAGTTGAAGTCACTTTGTTATGTTAGCATGTTATAGGTGGAGTGAAGGATTGAGTCGACTTACCATTCGAAGTCCCGTCTTGTGCAAGAGCAGTTCTTTGCAATGTCGTGGAGATGAGGAATCATCCTGCCGTTGTAGCAGGTCTTGTCTGTTCTCTTGCGGTGATATTGTGATTCGTGACCAAACAAGCAGTCGTCATCTTGTTTGGGATGCTTGGGAGTCCAGAGGTAGTAGTCTCCTGCATTGACATTACCCTCGTCAAGCTCGCATTGCTGGTCTGTAAGACCAGAGAAGTCGAGATTGAACGTTATCAGTTTGCCACTTCCATCTTGGCCCCATAGGAGGAAGTTCCGCGAATTATCGCTTGGAACAGTGGTGATGTCATCAATCGTAACTTCGCTCTCAGCAAAGTTATACGGAACCCAAGAATCACCCTCGTCAAGAGAGTAGAAGACCTCCTTAGTGGGTTCTCTTTCCTTGACAATCACGACGATGGAGCCTTGGTCACCGAACTCCCACATGTACATTCCCTTCTTGACGAACTTCCAGTTGACACCAGCATCAGAGGTCATGAACGTGTCAGCATCCTTCTTGGTCGTGAGGAATTCTCCAACATTTCCAGTGCCAACCATTAGACCAATCGCAGATGCAGAGGAATAGGTGTGTGACTTGTCGCTACGCTCAGTGTATCCATGAATATGCAACGAACACTTGTCCAGTTTGCTGCCACATCCGTATTTCTTGCCATCTTCATCAGCTTTTGGCGGTGGGAGATAGTCCCACTCAGCTCCATCGTTATGGGTGATCATTGTCTTGAGCTTTTTACCATCCTTCTTGAAGTTCTTGTCCTTGTAATTTGAAACGACGTTGACCATAGCAACACCTTCAATGCCAAACATCTTCTCAAAGTCAACATAGCCAACAGAATCTCTGTCTACAGCATCCAAAGCCATGACGTAAGAAGTACCATTCGAATTGCTCTTGATGATGCTTCCATACTCGAAACCTTGCTCATTGTTGACCGTGACATGTAGAAAGACTGAGTGAGTCGAGCTGTCCAATACAGTGTAACCTTGTTGGTGATCAACGTTAAAACCGTGCGGGAAGTCGGCCGAGGCAAATGTAGCTCCATCAATGCTAGCCTGGACTTTCAGGGTAGACTTCTCGTCATCCTTGGTCGCAACAACGATGAATTCAGACATGGTAGCAAAGTCGACAACATTGTCAAAGTGCTGATTAGGTGCTTCGTTGAAGAAGTCGTCGCTGGATACCAACGTCCAAGGATTGTCGTTGATGTCGTTACTCTCGTGCTTTCTGGCTTCACAGAAGATGAGCTTCTCTCTGGCCTTCTCGTCTGGTAACTTGATCTTCTTCTGTGCCAATTCAAGGTTGCGATACTTGCTTGCAGGCTCCTCTATGAACTCGCATTTGCGGACATATCGTTGTAAAGTCTTCCAATCACCGTCGCCTCGATCGAGAGTGAGGGAAGCAACTGCGTGACACTCGGATCCAGGACAGTCTCGAGCACCAATCCAGATGATCCAATCTTTATTGTCTGGGTGGAAGTTCATGACTGGAAAGCCATCCACATTTGGCTCACTAGGCGCGTTGAAGCTCCTCACATTCTTTCCACGATCAGTGGAATAGAAGACCTTCTTTGACGGAGTCAAGAAGAAGACCATGTCGTTAAAGTATGGGTGAGGGTAAATAGCAACAATGGCTTCGTCCTTGAAAAGCTGGTCCCAAGTTTTTCCATGGTCTTGTGAAATGAAAACTCCATCCTCGGTTCGCACAAGAACAGTTTCGTCAGCACCAGTGCTGATGCCAGTCCTCTCGAGATAGACCTTGTTCTTGAAGTTATAACCGGGAAATACCTTCTGAACTTGATCGAGTTTGCCAGAGCCAGCAGGGGTCCCGCCAGCGTCAGCACACTTCCTGTCAACTGGTTCATCCTTTTGCTTTCCAGAACCCCTCTTGCACTGATTGCCCGGGATCATTCGCCAGCCATTTGTTCCCTTGAAAGTGTCCTCTGGTCCGAAGGCCTTGCATGCACCACATGGCAGTGGAGGTTTTCCTCCTGGTGCCAAGTTGCATTCTTTTCGATCCTCGCTCCTGACGAAATTGTAATCGCATTCAAAGTCAGCATCTGTGCATTCGCAAGGCTCGGAAATGTATTGTGGATCCTTGAATTCGTCTTTCAAGAAACAATCGGCATCTGCTTTGCGTCTTCGGTAAGACTGCTTCTGGCCCATGATGCAAGTCGGGTTGCCATCATCGTCAACTCGTGCAGGCCAAGTCTCCATATCGCTATCCTTGCACTGTCGCTCATGCAAGCCATCGAAATCCAGCGAGATGATGTAGCCGTTGGCGTTAGGCTTGGAATCATCCACTGCTTCGATCAAAAACTTCAAACTAGTTGAGTCTTGAGTAGTGGTGAGTTGAATTGGCTTGATCTTTGTATCCAGCTTCACATTTTTCCACTCTTTGCCATGATCGAGAGAGTATTTGACTTCGTCCGTGTAATCATCGTCACGCATGCCGGCATCCTTGATCGCAACCAGAATAGAACCTTGGTCGCCGAACTCATACTTATGTGGGCCATCAAGACCTTCTCGCCAAGTCAATCCAGCATCATCAGACACGTACAGATTTCCTTCACTGTAATCTTTGAGGTACGATCCAGTGTTACCAATCCCCATGACCATTCCAGGAGCTGGACTTGAGAACACTCGTCCGGTATTCGAGAGGTCAGTGACGGAATGCAGATGAAGATCCTTCTTCTTATAAGTCAAAGGCTCAAAGGTAAATCCGTCGTCAAAGCTGATTTGAGACTTGATCTTCTTCTCGGCATTAGAAGTCTCGACTTCTTCCCAGTTCTGCACAACATTGAGCATAACTACTCCTTGAACACCAGTAATCTTCTCGAAGTCCACCAGCCCGTAGGTGTTTCGGTTGGTATGCTCCATTTTCCTTGTGAAGTAGGTACCATTTGAATTACTGCTCAGGAAAACTCCCATTGGGTTCGAAGGCCGCGAGTTCAAAACATCAATTTGAATGCTGTAATTCGTGCCCTCTAACACAGTGTACGCCTCTTCCGTCAACTTGTGGTCGTGGGGGAAAATGGCTCTGGACCATCTTATCGTATCGTCTGAGACGTACAAGGCCATCTCATCGGTGCCTTCGGCGGATGCTGCAACTATCACGTAGGGTTTCACAACTGCCATGTTTACGACTCCTTGAACAGTTCTTCCAGGTTCAAGCTCTGGCTCGAATTCGTCCTTGAAATAGCTGTCTGAAATAAGGAGTCGATAATCCTTCCGCCATGGAGAGAATCTGCCCTTCACTACACACAAGATCCGATCACTATCCAGGTCTTTATCATAAGTGGTGAAAATGTCGGTGCTTTTGGCCCAATGACATCCAGAAGTATCGGCTCGCAGGAATTTGGGATCGTTGGCAAAGCCATCGGTAGTATACAGCGTCTGCCATCCACATTAGCTTCTCTCTTCAACGTAAATCAGAATAGCAAAACTCACCAATTCATCACAAAAGATTCCCGCACAATCCATCGCATTAAAAATAATCCTATCAGGATCCCCCGCATTGAAAGTCAACACTTCCCTAAATATGGACGCTTGACTCGCAGCCCCAAATTCCTGCCAACTCTCTCCCCTATCCTTCGTCATGTAATGCGTATTGTCACTCGTGATGATATACGCCCTCTTCTTATCAAACTGATGCATAACCAACTCCAGCATCCTACCCTCCATGCCGCCCTCTACCTTATTCCACGACTCGCCAGCATTGCTCGAGCGCCAGACGTCATGGGAGATGCCATCTTCGAACAGCAGGACGTCCGAGTCGTCGAAGTAGTTGACGTTGAACGGTATGAAGGGAAACTTGTTTTCTGACACCGACGGAGCGTCTTTCTTCGCTACGGCGGAGGAGATGAGGGACGATGTGACGAGGAGGGAAGAGCAGAAGAGGTTCTGCCAGGTCCAGGAGGACCTGCTCGAGCTTGCGGCGATGTGCAGCCTCATGATGGGAGGATGTGCTAGCGCATCAAGAGCCGTGTATCGGGGGTTTCTACACCCTTTCTCGGGTAAGGAATTACGTTTATTGATGAAGCTGATGGGATGGGAAGCAAGCAGTGTTGTTGCGTGGTCTTTGGGGTTGGCTCGTTGTTGTACAGTACGAGGGTCTGCCTTTAGAATAGCTGACGCTTGAAACGAGGATACGCCACAGCTGGACGTCTGACGCGCAACTCCACTTAGGCAGGGTACTTTTGCTTCCCCAATCAGATCGCGAACTTTATTTATGATATCAGGAGCTACATCAAGACAGATTGTCTTACAAAACTCTCCAGACTTTGCACGTGCATATTGAATTATTGATCATGAGAGTTTGTCTGTCCTACGTATGGGAGATTCTGATACACGATGTTCTACTCCTTTGTCCGACATCTTGGTCGCAAGTGCGAGGATCCTTTTCAGCCACAAATTTCACGTGATACCGTATAGAGGGTGGTATTTAGGTAGCAGCTTCTTTTCTTTATGGCAGCAAGTTCATCTTGAGGCTGGATGTTGGGAACATAGACCTCGAAGCTCTGCAACTGGTTGTGACCACGTTATGCGTTGGGAATGAAACCAACATCGCCCCCAAAATAACTCTTACATTCAAGCATTCTTGGCAAACAGCTGAATCTGATCGAAGTCTTGACCAACTTACTTAGAAATTTGCCTGTGATCACGGCAGAATCCTCTTTCCATATTGATGATCTCGAGGAGGATGTAGGAATTGTGACTGCTATTGCTAACATGTCTTCTTTCTCTAGACAATACAGACATTATACTCGGTACAGTACGTGGTATCAATGATCTTCATGCAGCAACCTTTACCCATGCCCATATGCAATGCAAACACCTGGAAAGCAACCTGAGAGACCATCAGCCCGCTAAAAGACTCGACAAAGTAATCATGCATGGGCTTCATCTTCAGCCCCATTACAAGGACTTCTTCTGTGAACTTTTCATTTTATTCCAAAACCTCTTGACAACCCCGTTCTCCTTCTCTGCAGGACCCCAGCCATCCGCCCCTCCGAATGGTCCTTTGGCCTCGTGCTTCTCGTCCAAAAGTGGCACGGGTTCCTCTCGTAGGGGGCTTTTCGTCGCTTGCCAGCCATATATGGCATTCTCATCCGCTCGTAAATCAGGTCTCGTCAAAGTCATCCTCAATGTCATCTCCCTATTTCCCGCCATCGCTTGCGTATATGATTCCTTTACTACTGCTGGCTTATTAATGCCAAGGTGTGCATAGTCATTAGAAGACTTGCTGCTCTCCAAGGTCGTCGTGCCTGGTGCTGTATTCGAGGAGCGGAAGCCAAATTCGCCCAAGGGTGTTAGAGGTGATTCAGGGTCGGCCATTGAAGCATCATCCTCAAATAAAGAAGCAGTGTCATCGGCCAAGAATGATTGACCCTTCTCTGACGCCGAATATGATTTCTTGGTCCTACTATTATCCTTGGACGAACGCTTTGGGGGTCTATTTTCCTTGTCTGCACCGTCCGTAATCCCGTCCATCGACGGGAACCCAAATTCGATAGCTTCATCGAACTTTTGTGGAGAAGCGAGATATACACGTAACTTCAGTCTCGCTTCTGGATCCTGGTAATGTGCGGCGTTGGGGTCAATCGACGCCACTGATGCTTTTGTAACGTGTTTTGGAGCTATCAGAGATAACGTGCGGGATTTGTTCCGACTGTGCAGGTTTGGCGGTTCGAATTTTGGAGAGCGTGGGCCCAACGAAGATAGCGAATTCCTCCCAAACGGCATCTTGGTGATTGACATTTGTCGTCTGAATGAGGGTCTTCTGACGCTCGAGGGTGTAGGAATAACGACGCCGTCCAGGTTCGCATGATAGTCATCCAAGACTAACTTCAGGTCCAGATCCTCTTCTTCATCCATCCACCGAAAGCTCTCGTACATCTCTGCGGCCATGGTTGAAGCCGGCTCCGCCGCATTATCCATTGTGCTGTCCATACTACTTCTTGGTGTGGACGACGTCGACAGGTCGAGTAGGGGACCTAGATTCCGGCTTGCACGACGACTCGCTTTGTAAATTGCTTCATCGGCGGCATCCAGGATAACACTCTCTCGCAAACGGGCTGCCAAGACGACCTGCTCCTCCCTCGTAAACTGCTTCTTCTTGATCTTCTCTGGCAGGGTCAGAAACCAAGATGCTTCAGTGCTCGACACCGACTGTTTGCGGGCGAGTTTCCGAGATCTTCGTGAGGAGGAGCGTCGAGGTTCGAAAGGTGCAACGTTGATGCCTCGACGGTCTGCTATCGAGCTCTTCCTGTGCTTTTGGATTGGCAGTTCATTGAGGGCATTGCATCGTGAGTTCTGGGCGAATCTCAATCGCTCCAGTGTTGAAAAGTACTGTGAGACACAAGTTGTTAGTTCTCATCTGCCTCAGGAGAAGTGACGGGAAAGAATTTGGCAAGTTCTGCAGGTACGATGGGGTATGTGACGGTTTTGCAGACTGTGCATGGGCGACCATAGCGCACTTGCGCCCTTTGCACCTAGTAGTTCTAGTCGCACAGAAATCGACGAACAGAACCGCTGAAGAGACTCAATAGTTCGCGCTGGCAGAGACGGCTGCGCTCGGAAGAGACGACAGCGCCTGTCAATCTGCATATTTGACTTTATGGACTTCAAGAAAGTGCCAAAAACATCAGCCAACTTGCGGCTAGAACAAGCATTGCCGACTCGTGCCCACGATTCAGACTCCTCCGCAATGTCTGACAGTCGCTCGGACAGCTGCTGCTACTGCTGCAACTTCACTTCAAGTTACGTCTAGACAAGAAACAGAGCGGCCCGTCCGACTTCCTGGTAGAGTCGGCAATGGATGTCTTGCAGGCCCATTGACGGAACGTGCTAACATACTTTTCGTTGAATAGCAATCGGCAAAGCTTCGAAGTCTTCCTCTGTTGTCCCGAATCCAGTTATCTCCTTCATATTCTTCCTAAATCGTCCGGATGGCAGACTTCGGGCGCTCGCTGGTCGATCGAAGGACAAGGCGTAGAGGGTTCGAGGAGAGAGGACCGCACTGTTCTCGGAATCTTCGAGTTCGGACGTCGATGAGGAAAGGATGGTCGAGAGATGTGTGGTCGAGCAGGAGAGGGTGTCGGAGGAGTAGAAGGGAGCCATGGAGGGAAGTGCATGTTCTGGCATTTGAGGAACCTGCAGAGAGCTGATGCTGCGGCTACTTCGCAGCGGCGCCATGGGACGGTCGAAGACGAATTGAACTGCAGCTGGATGCTTAATATTGCAAGTTCATGCAGGACGAGACTCTGCGAGGTGAGGGCGAAGGTCTGTTCCAAGAACTGGGGCCCGACTTTATTACACCCCTTGACTCCTCGAGCCCTGTCAGACGGTTTTGGACGACCAGGGAGTACAAGCTACGATTTCAAGGGCCTTGTGCGTGGATCATCTGTCCAGCCGGGAACACAGTGGAGGTTTCAAAGGTCTACAATCTGCAACCGCGGCTTAGGCAATAGCAGAACTATGGCGTCGACATTCACTACTGCTGTATGTACATAGATAACAAATAAAACGGCGTGTCTCGCATCGACGTGCCCTCAGAGGCTCCGAAGCAACAGCCATGCCGCTCGACTGTTTCGAGGATGGCTTTTCTTCTGGCGGTTGTCGTGGTGGAGGTGGAGCGCCGATACTCTCGTACAGTACTTGCTTTGTTCATCAAAGATCTGCAACGATTCGTCCGAATTATAGATATCACAGCAGGGGAGCTATGCAAGGGCTGCTTCGTCTGACGAATCACAACATGCATGGTACACAGGGGAGTTGTTGGGAACACCTCGAACAGGAGGCGAGAAAGGCGAACCAAGCCAAAGGCAACCAGGATGAGATGGAAGAGCGAGGGCAAGCGTTGTGCTGGACCAACGAACACGCGAAGAGCAGAGAAAAGGAAGAGCACGCGTAGCACAACTAACACGCCAGCACAATTAGCAGAGGTGCATACGACATACTTTTATCATATTTTCATAACTGGCACAATAATTCTGCTCACCTACCCTTTGGTTGGTCCGTCTGGCTGGATCTGTCACGTCAAACTGTAATAATCAGCAGCCGTGAAATCCTGGACCGCGTCGAAGAAGAAGCAGCCAGGATGCGATGCGATGTTCGGCAGAGCAATGACTTTCATACTTCACCTCTCCTCCCCTCGTCAATCTATGTAAGTGATTATGCTTCGAGCCCCTGAACAACAGCAGCAGCAACGACAACATCAACCATACGCTGTACGCTTGAACTTCAGATAACGCAGCTCCCGCAGGACACATGAAAATTTCATATACTCCGCATCACCCCGGTGTGTGTGCCTGCAGCGGCTATCCGCCCTTTCCCTCTCTCTGCGACACCCTCAGCTCCGGTACAAAGCCGGCGCGCAGCCCTCGTTAACTCGTGGTGCGGTGAGCAGCAAGGGTTATCAAAGCCATGGAGCTCGTTCACACATGGTTCGCGGCGCGTCCTTGCATAAGACCCCGGAAGAATCATCAGCACGGGGTCTCCGTGCCTGACAACACGCTCTCTTATTGCCTGAGGTGCGAGGGCGCAGAGAGGGAGGAATGCCTTCAACGACAATTATCCCGATATCTTATTGCATGAGGGGTTGCCAATGCAGCGAACAGAGCGCGAAAGCAGTGCAGGAGAGCCAAGGCAGCTCGGGATGGAACCTCAAACTTGCCCATTGGACTGCCGTCGGGGCAGCCACGGATTTACTGCTGCAATTCTCTGCATCTCGCACGCTGCAGAAGCTTACAGCTTTTTTCTCGCTGTGTCCAATGTCAGGATTGAACACGAAGGTTGGGCAGCGGGTAAGAACACCGCAAGAAGAGGCGTCGATGCAACAACTCTGGCCTAAATATCCACAGTTTTCTTCGTCCCGGATCCCGCCTGCCAGCTTGTCCTCTCGTGGTTTAGATTAAGTGCTTCCCATCAGCTTTGGCTGATTGGGCTGGAGACTGAACCGCCTTCCCGCTTCTACTCATGGACCCGCCAGGCTCATCATCCTCCTCATCCAGTCTCACGGAAGCGAATATAAATATTTTCTGGGTTCATGAGCAGCGGGCTCACGGCGAAGTGCGGTTTCATAGGGCTTATCAGCACGTTATTGCAGCTTCACTGTTCCCAATTAGGAGCGTTGTCCACCGTCGTGAAACGCTGCCACGGTGGCACAAACTCTGACGACGCGGGTTTTCGTAACTCTGCTGCTAACATTATTCATGAAAGTGCTAGACGGGGACTAAAGAGCGCTCTGATGTTGAACTATGGCGTGGATCAGCAACGTCCACCTGCGCCTGGAGAAATGGCTCGAACGGTTCCACGGAAACCTTCCTAGTGCTAAACTAACTGCTTAATTGCACATCAAGAAACTAAGCCGGCATTTCCCCTGTTATCACATATAAGAATGATATAGCACCACCAAAACCGTTTACTTCAACTGTCAAACTGCGAAACATAGACTAGTTCTTGGCAAGTTTTTCCTCCTACTGTTTGTGGCGTGGGTCTAAGAGCTCACAGCTTTTCTTCCTTCCAGTAGCACTAACTGGCCTTTGGAAGAGCAATACTCGCACGTCCACCCACTATTGGTGCAGAAGAGCATTCGAATAACAAGTTATCGAGTCATGGCCACCGTTGACTTTCTTTTGGTCGCTCTGCACGAGATGTGAGCCTTCCTTTTGCTATGGCGTTTCTTATCACCTCACAGGACGGGCCAGAAGCACAACCCCACCTATCTTCTTCTTCCTGCTCTCAGGACCTTCATTTCTTTTCCCTCGCCCGAGAATCCAATTCAAGGACCATCTGCATCGGACATTTTCTGGTCTGTGGTTCAGCTACCCCACCAACATAGAGGCCAAAGCACTCGATATCAAGGTCGGTATAGGATTCCGTGCTCCTTTGTTTTAATCCGATAATTGCATCTGCGTTCTTTTCATGATCTCTGACTCCACCGTGCGTTACAAACAAGCGACAATCAAACAAGATTGCCATGTTTCCGTCTTATGTGGTGGCTTGGTGCTGAAAAAGGTGGCGTCCCCCTTCTTTTGACATAAGCGCTGTCAGATGCAGTCCATCAGATATCACCTCTGAGGCTGTTACGGACGTTGCACCCTGCAGGACTGGCATGGAACCCAATTCACCTTCCAGAACGAGGTCATTCCATGTTTTGGTGAAGACCTCCTGACGCCCACTTCTCCGCATTCAAATGAGACATTGGGGGAGCCAATAAATTGCCGGGACCGTTCAGCCTTGCACCAGTCGAGGAAGGTAGGTTGGCCTTTGTTTTTTTTTTCACACGGCCTGGAGATATCGAGTTTCCTTCCAATGCTCAGAAGGAATGACACTCGGTTGCACAATTGATGTCGTTGCCAATACCAATACACCACTTCCTTCTTTTTCTTACCCGCTGACAGCTCCGTGTCTTTCATTCGCAACCTTCACATTTTTATATGCAAGACAGATCTTCGTCACTTCCGTGTTGTCTCTCATTCGCAAGATTGACACGGTAACATCGATGCAGAGAAGAAAACACGCGCGAGATGTAAGACATGGACGATCATTACTGAGAGGGGGATTTATCGGGGTCTTCGGATCCCCAGATTCCTTCGGTCTCGTTCCTTCCTTCTGCTGCCATGCATTCTATCTCCTCTTTTACGTATTCCCATTATTCCGCCTGCAGATGTATTGACCACGTCCCGGAGCTCAAGTCGAATTACAGCGAGCTTTGAATGTCCGTGTTCACCACCAACATTTACAGAACGTTTATTGCCCAGCACTCCAGCGCTGACAGGAGCATACTTCGGTACCATCAGTGTTCTTGCAATTTACTCGTCACTAATGTTGTGAGGCTTCGAGGACCTGAGAATGTGTAGGACTGAAGCCTGACACAGCGTTGTCCTTCTTGGAATACTTACAATAGCAATGAGACGTTTGTCTATGCCGTTTGGGTCACAGGATACAACTTTTTGAGTGAGGATAGGGCATTGCATAGATGATGTTTTGCTACTTTGTATAGAAGACAATAAGTAGTATGTACGAGGCATCATCAAGGGACAGTAAGTGAGTGTGCTGTCGAAGCAAGCGAGTGAGAGGGGAATTCACCATGCAATGTTAACACAACGTCAAGGAGATTTAGAGCAAGTGAAGAACGTTATATCTTTAGGGATCAACGTTGAATTGATCCTTCTGAACTCAATATTTGAATTCCTCGCTAGCAACTATTATACAGCTGCCCTTCTAGCCCGCAGACAACCTATACCTAACCTCTGTTCCCAGGCTCTCCTGGCCTTGAATCCTTCCTTCCCACTATCGTCTTCTTCCTGTGACATGCCCTCCTTAATAACAAGAACAGCACAACATCCGCCGTGCCTCCAAATAAAAGCCCAACCATCCCAAACGACACTCACCCTCAACCACCCTCCTCCATCCTCAAACACCCCAAACACCACACCTCCCCATCAACCCCCTTCTCCACACAACACCGACTACAAACCCTCCTCCGATGCAGCGCCTCCTCCCCCCCTCCCCTCTCCCACGGCCTCCCCTTCCCCACACGCTCAACAACCATCCCCATCCCCATCCCCTCCCCCTTCCCGTCCGCCGTAGCATACAACGCGGCCCCCAACCCAGTACACTCCCTCAAACACACAAAACACGTCCGCTCTCCACACCCTTCACAATCCACAAATGCATCGAGCTGTTTCCGCTCCGTCGGCTTGCGGTGGCAGATGTGGCAGGGACTTAGATCAAGTTGCTGTTTCCGTTCTTCTGCGGTTTTTTGGGTTGTCAGGATGGGTGATAGAGGGAGGTGGGCGGAACAGTCGTCTTCTGCGGGCTGTGCTGGTGGTAGAGGAGGGATGTCGATTCTTTGGCGCTTGATGCTGGTGTCGAGGCGTTTTTTGTTCGGGTAGGGGAGGATTTCTCGGGGGTGTTGAGGGGAGTAGATTGTGTGCGGACTATTGCTGGTTGGTTAGTAGATGTAGATTGGAGGCGAAAGGGGATGAGGATGCTATACCTGAACGTTCGTATAGAGGAGTCAAGATCCTCTGTTCTTCGACGCTTTTTGCTCGTGCTGGGAGAGGGAGGAATATCTGCTATTGACGGCATCTTTCTTTCTCGAGTCGTGAATCGTTCTTGAGGTTCGTTTCCTTTGGTGCTCGATCTAGAGTATAATGAACCTTGCTGAGTCCAGCAACAAATGCGAGGGCGAGAGACCAAGTGAATGGCTTTCCTTCGCTCGTAGCACACACACGAAGAAAGAGTACAGAGCGTAGTTGTCTTGTCTGAGAGGAGCAGATCGTGGATCGTGGTACTGTGTTGGATGTTTATTGTTGGGGGTGCCTGAGAGTTCGTGCCAGGAACCGATGTCGAGGCCCTTTGGCCGCTAAGCAGGGGGCGGTGATACCCCAGCTCCCGGAGTTGAATATTCGCTTAGCCTCGAGAGCAGTGAAACATAAACATCTCGAAGCAGATATCAAAGAAGAGAAAGGAAAGTTATGACAAGCAAAGCTGATTCGTTCTAGCTTGCGCTATAAGTTGCTACCAGCTGGTTTCTATTTCCGAGTAAAGTTCTCTTCCTTCAATTTTCATCAAGGAGGACCAAATCTTTGAATCAATGTTTGTTTTCCTGTTCCACCATTCTCGTTATTAGCATATTGACAGCTATTTTCTGCGCTCTGCCCTTTAATTCTTTTCTGTCAACCATTGAAGTCTGGCGGAAAGTTGCATTATCTTCTACTCCATTCTCCTGAACATACCAGTAGATAATACAATGGATGCTTTTGGCGAGGATAAACTCTGTAAAGTGTTGCTTAGTACGGAAACCCGGTCTCATTGCTAGCAAGATCCAACTCAAGCTCAGTCAACTGTTCCTTTCAGACCCAAGGACGCTTCTAGCATTAAAGTCTATGTCACTGAGCCTGCTCAATTTCTTAGCCATGACATTCTGCGCGAGGATACCATTGCTCAAGATTGGACATCTTGCTTCTAGATGGATAGCCTCGCTTCAAGACCTCTCTATTTTCTTCTTGAGAAATCTGAGAATCGGCGCTTCGTCCTTTCACAAGTGAGCTGAGTTGCTCATATAATGTCTCAAGTTTCTGGGTCAGAGTTGTAGAGACCATTCCACTTCTCTTGAAACGTTCAATCATGGCCACCGAAGAGTCCGTACGACAAGGCAATGACACAATACAATGGCATGTTCGCAAGCCGACCATTAAAGCCTCCCTCGAGACGAAACTACTCTGTTCTCTCCTGGACGTCATGAGCTCACCAGATCTCAAACAGGTCACATATGCTCAAGAACCTTACTTCCCTCTCGTCGAAAAGCTCTGCTATCGATACCACCTCAGACCTGGTACTGCAGTAGGCCTCGATAAGGTCCTCGAAATGTACAAAATCCCGAACGACGATGTTCTCTACAAATCAGTTCTTTTTGAGATCAAAACCCACAAAAAGAAGAAGTGGACTGGTGCCGTGGAGTATCACATCGAAGGACAAGCCAAAGTGCTTTACGAAGGAGGTGATATCGCGAAAAATCCTGCCTCGAACAAGAGCTTTGAATGTCGCCGAGAGTACAGCTGGGAAGTCTCAGCTGGGGAGACGGAGCTGGCGGAACTCTCTGAGGAGCTGAACTGGGAGTGCATTGCAACAATATTGGAGTTCTATGTTACATATACATACACAGCGGCTGGATCGAAAAGAGATTATGCAGGACAGAGGAAATGCAAAGACAAGCACCCTAACCCTTTGGAGAGTTTAGGATACTTGGGCTGGCTTGGAACGCCGACCGATGAAAATCGTCCTAATTTCAGACGCAAGCCCTAGTTTGATCAAATTACTCGTCAAGGTAGAAAGCTTTGAGATGGATGAGAATAGTGGGCTCCCTGAGCAATCAATGTACGATAGCTTGTGAGCAAAAGATAGATGGCAGTGGCTACCCTCTCACAATTGACACTCATTCCCACAAATAAATGAATTATGAACGGAGCAGGCACTTGAGCACAAGACAGAAAGGTAGTGCTAGTACGCTTCTGGATTCTGTTGAAGTATCAAATCGTGGAATTTTAGATAGAATTCAATATCTCTTTCCCTTGCAAACCCAATTTCCTCGGACTAAACGCCGCTAGAAAGGTCGTTAACACCCTTTTCCCATGGCCCTGGAGAATTCAGTTTCAGGTAATACGACTTTGAAAATGTCTCTGACACCGCTGGGACTGTAAACAACCCTCGAGAAAATGAAGTCTCTCAGCGATAGCTTTTTTCAAGCTGTGGATTCCTGCAACTTTTTTCCTTTCCCACTTTTAACTTAGATTTTGTCGAAGCATTCGTCTAGAATGACACAGACAGGATGCATCTGGTACCATTTCCAGTATACTATCGAGCTTACTCGACTTTTCTTTGCCACAATGTTCTGTAGGAGTACAGACATTGCTTCACGCAGATTTTCTCAATTGCACACCTACCTGGTATTATCAAGCATGAGCGTTCTTCTGGGGCTCTCTATCTCCCTTGTCCCTGCTTCCAGGGAGATTTGGATATCATTTCATGTCAAGTGAGCTGCGTTGCTTATCCGATGCCTCGTCTTTACATGTTACACCAAAAGGTTCTCAAAATCGTTTCCGCTGCTTGATCATAGTTTCAATGTCTCATTTTGGGAATCTACCAAAATTACGCTTGAACGCAGCTGTTCGCAACCGCGTTCAAAATACTTTCGACATCAAAAGTACCATGGTAGTTCGGGTACTCACTTCGATTTCTTGAGGAATGGAATAATACACACTCACTGTCAAAAAGCAAGCCAAATGAAACTCGCAACTCATAGAACACACATTCCATTACTCATTATCATACTCTAACTAGATAACTCTACAACCTGATGACCCCATAATGCAATGCAGTTTTTCTGTCTCCTTATTTCCTATTTTTCTTAATGCAATAGTATGTATGCAGCCCGCTATGCTTTAAACAGACAGATGGAAGTATGATATGTCCTCCTCTCCTCCACTTGCTTGATTTTGATTCTTAGGCATTTACAACCTTTCCAAAGTTCGTCCATGCACAAGCACACCCCCCGGTCCCACCATCAAACCCTCCCAGCGTTGTTGTACTGGCATTAAAGAAGACCGTCGGAGCAGGGTTCACCGCCACGCCTCCAAATGCTCTATTCTCACCACTAAGCTTCGCACTTCCTGCCACAATACCCTGACGATCGTTCATTTCATAGCAGTAAATCATCTTCGTTGCTGGATCGCCACCATGTCTATCCGTAGTGATCGTAATTGGGTACGGGAAAGAACCTGGTTGGAGCAATTCGGTTGTTGGCGAGGATGAAGATGAAGTTGCATTGTTCAACTTGGCAGAGGAACCCATGCGAGTCCACATTTGGACCAAAAACCTTGTTTCTGACCAGGTACATCTGAAGTTTGCTTCCGCTTCTGTGGCTCCACCATTGAGATCATCTGGTACTTCGCCATCTTGTGAGTTTGTCTCATTTAGGAGCGCCAAGCTCTTCAGGAAGATAGAGCGGTCGAAATAGCTGTAGAATCCATAGTGTTCCGTGGGCAAGCCGCGATCGTAAAGTCTGATGGGTTGTTGAAGTGGCAATGGTGACGGGAGTAAATTGGCGGGAGCGGCTGTACCATCACTGTTTAGAGATGGAGCAGGAATACTTTGCGTCACATTCGGGAAAGGGTCCGTGTCTCTCTCATCTAGACTTTCGTTAAAGTCCGGAATGGATCTTTCTTCCATGGAAGAGCTTTGACGCTTCTTGACAGACGAGGTCGACGCGTTGAGGGACGGCAAGAAGGAAATGTAGAAGGGCGTTGGCTCTCCAGCTTTGCTGCTTGACACAATATCATCGGTTGTGTTTCCCAGGAAGAACTCCTCTGCAAATGTTGGCGGTGCTGGATTTGGTGAAAACGTGACAATATCTCGTGCCTTTAGGAGCAAATGCTTCATGAATTGTCCTGCGGACACCGGGTTTCCTGCTCGAGTAATGAGATTCTTGTTGCCAGTGACATTTGCAAATGTAGCATTTGTAGCACTGCTGTTATCCCACTGAACGTAGAGAAAGAAGTCTGGCTGATTAGGTTGGTTTGGAGCAACCGAGGATTGCAAGTCTTTCGGAAGGTCACAGCTCCATTGTGTTGCCGGGAATACACACCCTGTGTTGGTCTCGATATTGACTGGAGCCACAACAGTTGATAGTCCCAGGAAGATAGGTGGAAATCCAGTGAGGTTAAGCCATTGCGATGGCTGTGTGACTGTGTTTGATTTTCTGTGGAGAGTTGTCGCGAAAACTATGATCAGAATGATCAAGGTGAGGAAGAAGATAATCAAGAAGAGATACCACCGACGGCGCTTTCGGCCTTCAGCACCATTACGACCATAACATCCTCGAGCTGGCACACAGCCACGACCTCGCCAGAATCCACCTGCCCGGTGTGCAACAACATCTTCTTTCTCGTGTCGACGACGCTTAGCTTCTGCTTTCTTGGAAGCCTTGGTTGGAGGCAAGCCATAGTGCTCTCCTGACACAGGCACTTCAAGCTGTCCGGCCGACCGAACAGCGTAACCAGAGTTTAAGTTGATAGGTCTTCGAGCTGGAGGACTTAAAGGGACTTCAGACATAGGTATAGCACCTCCTGATGACATTGCCTGTTGTAGTCCAGGGGAAACTGGTCCAGGTGAGAGTGGGTATTGTGTTCCAGCGGCGTGTTCTGGAGGAAGAATAGCTCTATATTTCACTCGATTCGGTGACGGTGAGTATGGTGGAGGACCTCCTACCGATGGGGAGTAGAAAGCTTGGCTGAGTGCTGGTGCTGGACCAGTGCGAGGAAGCTCTGCAGCTCTACCTACGTCTGGTTGGCTTCGCTGCGAAGCGTCGCTTAGGTCACTGAACGTAGGCTGAACGTAAGGATTATTGCTTCGCAAAGATCTGGTCCTTGGAGCATCAGCCAGAATTGGTACCTCTCTTTCTGGAGACTCTGTTTCACCAGCACACCCAAAGCTAGAAGATGTGTTCTCTCTACTGAGCTGATTACTAGCAAGAGATGAAATACTCGACGAAGTTACAGCTCCAAAACCGGCTGTTTCCGAAAGGACAATCGGTAATGTTCCTGTCGACGTTTGCACTTTGTGTCTGATGTCTCGAACCACTGGAGACTGCTCAGACTTCTTGGCATCAAGATCCCACCACTGTTCCGAAGCTATAGTTGTCGATGTCGCGGGAGTTGTAGGAGAGAATTGCTTCTCCCACTTCTTCGCATCCCTCTCGGCAGTTTGGGCTTTCGCCACAGCTATAGCTAAATCTGGCAGAGCAGGGGCTTCTTGATTCTCAAGCTCTCGTGTCGCGAAAGTATTCGATCGTGTCAAGAATGGTGTCGTGATATAATTCCACCATCCTTTCGAGCGTCTCTGGGTAGCTATAGTGCTTATACTTGCATGTCTATGAGCCCTCGTTCCATTCGTTACCGAGACTGCACGCCCTTTCCTCGCCATCACGGGACTTTCATCTTCTTCGAACACTGTATAAGTAGAAGCTACCCTAGATCTAGGTGGGGCGTGGGTCTCATCGTCGTCACCCCATGTGGTGACATCGTCCGAATCTGGTGAGAAATAGCTTCTCTGCGCAGCTATTCGCTGTCTCTCATCTTCTAGGAACGATGTTGGCATTTGCGGCACAGGAGGTGCATCATTGGCAGTATAGTGTTTGGAATTCGAATCGTAAAGCTCGTGGTCTAAAGACGTGGCCTGCATACCTAATGGTGACCACGCAGAAACTTCTTGGGCAGGAGTTATAATAATAGTTGGTGTATCTGGGGTGTGATTCATCGGTGGACGGCGTTCATAGCTATGTACAAATTTTGTTGTTTCTGACACAGCTGTTTGTGGACTAACCGAGTGTACTGATATATCAGAGGAAGGGATAGATATGCCAATGACTATGGGTCGATCACCAGGCGACAAATCTTCGCCGGGTCTGACTGGAGATTGGAGGAGAGAATTTCTCATCCGAAAAGCTTTATTTGGACTCAAAGTTGTAGCTGGTCCGGCCGAGTCCTTTGTGATTGTTGGCATCGTGTTTGGCGCCCTTGTCAAAGCCTTGGTCTTCTTTGTTCTCCAAAAGCCACCTGATGATTGGTTGGACTCGCCATTCAACGCTCTCAATGCCGCCATATCCACGAAACGTCCCATCTGTGGCATCGTCTGTGAAGGTTGTAATTGAACGGGAGGCATAGCTGGTTGGTGGCGCGAGAAATCTGTGACGACCTTGATCCCAGCTTTTGCGTTTTGTTTCTTCTGACGACCTTTCGATTTCTCCCTGACTGGTTTCTGCACAGAGTAGGTCCTTGTATGGCGTCGAACATTAGTCCGATTTGCAGCCTTGACAGTTACCCCCAAGCCAACCGTCTCCGGAGGTTTTGGCCATTGTGAAACTTGTATTGGTATTTTTTCTTTGGGAGCGCTGGAATCCTCCGCCTCTTCGTCATCCCACCAGTCGCTGCCACTGTTATCGTCATCGGCGCCGTCGAAAAGAGTGTCAAAAGGATTGTCAGATCGTTCTGTTGATGGGCTAGTACCAGACGTGTGTGCCTTAGCGGCAGATCTTGTAGACATATCGATGACCTCGAACTCGAGGGTTTGTGTGGAATCGAGCAGCGAACGAGAATCGTATGAGTCCTGCAGTACGATGGATGTTTTTGAAGCGATTGATGTTGTGACGTTGGGAGGTGGTCGACGTGTTGTTGGGTGGATTGATGGCAGGGTGCTGCGAATTGAGGAAAATAAGATTTTGTGATCGAGGAAAGAAGGACTGGTGAGCTCGAAACTTTAGCAAAAGATGTGAAAGTTTGAGTTTGAAAGCACCATTGTATTGTAGTGCTTCAACAGAGAACCATAGTATTGTGGATCGGTAGTATTTTGTTGGGGACAATAGGAAGGATGCGAGTTCAAAAATTCAATGATAACAGAAACGAACCACAAAGTCAGGTAACGACAGTAAGCAGACCAAGAATGTCCAGTGAGATCTCTGACAATGATTACGAAAAATTCGAACGCGTAGACAAAAGAGAAGAAGAATGAAACGGAGGATTCATGGCTGTTAGATCACGACCACAGGACTTAGGTCGTGACCTTGACTTGAGCCTAGGAGTCAGTGGGGCACGAGCATGCCCGAAATATCATTCGACCTCTCATTCGATCACAGTCGCAGGTCGACTTATTAGCAGCTGTACTCAAACCTTTCTGCTTCATGGTTCGTTGGGTATTGTTGCAATACGCGCCCATCTCTGCCAGATTGACACTGTCGATTGGCTGGCGCTTAGGAGCCACGAACGCCAATGAATCTGTTGTGGAAGGCAAAATGAATCTTAGGCTCACCAGCATGCCGATGATCAGATCATCAGTAGGCATGATTGGTGATTCTTTGAGGCTTCAATGTCAGTCTTTGATTGCTTGGCTCACCACTGCAGGACATGACTGTGACAGAGTGAGATGTGGTCTGATATTGCCAGAGCCTCACCGCTCGAGACAAGCTGGATGTGGTCTAGTGTCAGGAACAACTTAGGCATCTATAAATAGGGGTGGAAAGGGGCTCTTTCAAGTAAGGCTCTTCTCGATGTTTGCAATCCTGTTGTCTGATCATTAGATTTCAAGCTGATTCAGAACCTTTGTTCTCGAGTAACTTTCATGTTCCTATCTCGAATAGGAATCCGAGAAAGTGACATTATTTATTTGATGGACTATTATGCAACCCTCAAACGCTGAATATCCATTCCAGCCCGCTGAGTAATCTTGTGTTTGGACCACCAAGACGATATAATTTGGAGATCATATAGCTGATTTAAGATGAACTAGAGTAACACTTGGGTGACATGTGGCTTCAATGGAGAGAAATTTAGATTCTGTTGACCTGAATTTTGCTCTCCTTTGGCTGATACCTTGCATGCTTGACTTATATCTCTGTCCCGCCACTTATCTTCACTCTAAGAACTTTTAAATCTCTCCTTTAGGTAAAAGGACAACAGACCACGATAAATGTCTGCCACCGGACGCTTCGCTAGGTCTCTGATAAGCTGCCGCTAGACCCTGAATTGCGCTGCAAAGGCCCTGGCGAGAAATTAGGAAATTAAAGTCAGAATCCACAAGAGATATCGCGACATCCCTTCCTCCCCAACATCTCACTCAGAAATTAAAAAGAAAACAGAGACTTTTTCATTCTTCAGTATCTCCTCTTCCACCTGTTGCACACGCGACAACCGCCCGTGATAGAATTAACTGTGCGCCAGCTGAGACATTGGAGCCGTTAAAAACGTCTTATCCATTATACGAGCTGCCAAGCCACATCGGTACACTGCGTTTCTTCTCGCTGGCATCTCCCGAATTTCCATATCATCCACATCCACCCACCATTATTTTCCCCGAGCTGCTGCAGGCGGAGTAAGAGACGGAATACGAGGCCGGAGTGAAGAAGGCAGAACGACGAGTTGCTGCACACGAGGTAGAGGCGTCCATAACCACCAGAGGGTCACAGTGCCATCTGGTTCCCATCCTCGACCTGGCTTCTTTAAACCCCGCCGCCTTTTCTTCTTCTATAGGAGGGTCATTTACCCACCACCGGCGACGGTCTTCAACATCCAATACTCCGCAGAATTTGAATATCCAAGCAGGACTGGGCGATTCGAATTACAGCTCGCCGGCACACAGTGCGCAGACACTCGAGACTATCCCTGGCACGCCAAATCATCCTATGTCCTTGTCGCGGAGTCCATCTCCCAGGCCGGGAGGTGGATGGTCGAGTCCAGGTCTGAATAGTCCTTATGCGAATGTCAGTGGGCGATCGAGTCCTGCGAAGTCATACCGGGAGTCCAATGGAGGAAGCTCAGTGACTTGGGAATCTGCAAAGGCCAAGAGTGATGGGATCAATGGATACCCATCGTTTTCAACACAGAATAATGGATTTTTCAATCGACACTATCGAACTATCTCGAACAGTCTGCCACATTTCAATCTGGGCTCAGATAAGAGCTATGCAGAAAAGGAGAAGCTGGGAAGAGGGCGGTGGATGGGCCGCGAGGGCAGCAGAATGGCTAGAGTGAGAAGTCTTGTTAGAAGAGTCTCTCGAAACATGAAGTTACGGTATCTAGTCGTTATTGCGTTACTGGCTATGTATTTCTTATTCTACTTGACGCGTAAGATTTCCCCTGATCTTGCCAATGCAAATGCTCACACCATCCAGCTTTACATTACTACTGGCGCAGAGCGAAACACCTTGGAGGCGGCAAGAAGTTTGTGGTCATACTGGCAGCAAATCAAGGGGGTGGGGTTATGGAGTGGAAGGGTCCTCGAGAATGGGCCATCGAGCGAGATAGTGTGCGTAACAAGAAGAAGTACACAAACAGATGGGGCTACGATCTGGAAATCGTCGATATGAGCACGAAGAAACGATACGCACATGAGTGGAGAGAAAGTTGGGAGAAGGTGGACACAATAAGGAACTGCTTAAGGAAATATCCAGATGCTGAATGGTAGGTCCCTTTATAGCTTTCATCCCAATAATGCTAATAGCCTCAGGTTCTGGTGGTTGGATTTGAACACCTTCGTCATGGAACCATCCTACTCTCTTCAATCCCATATCTTCAACAATCTCGCCGCAACCACCTACCGCGACATCAATGAATACAACCCCTTGAATATCACCCACCCATTCCCAGCCGCACACCTCGACGAAGAGGCCAGGAGCCCAATTGGGGACGGAAAAGCGAGCTCCATCAACCTCATAATCCCACAAGACTGCTCTGGTTTCAACCTCGGCTCATTCTTCATCAAACGCAGCGCATGGACCGATCGCCTGCTAGATGTATGGTGGGACCCTGTAGGCTACGAACAGAAACATATGGAATGGGAACACAAAGAGCAAGACGCTCTTGAATTCCTCTACATCAACCAGCCATGGATCCGACCCCATACCGCTTTCATCCAACAACGAAAGATCAACAGTTTCCCCGAGGGCGCCTGTTCGGAGAATGGAAACGATACACGCATCCATTACAATGAGAAGGAACGCGACTTCGTCGTCAATATGGCGGGTTGTGAATGGGGCCGTGATTGTTGGGGCGAGATGTACAATTTCAGAGAGTTGAGCAACTACCTGAACCGTACATTGTGGGAGAAATTCAAAGAAGATCTGGTCGCTGTGATCTGGTTCAAGATCACAGGGCAAAAGATCAGGATATGAGGAGACATTCTAATCAAACCTCATCCCTGCTTGTTCTTGTCCGGTGGTTGTAACGACGTTGTATCTGCGATACCCTCTATTCTTGTTCGATAGGTTTCTTGTCTGCCTCGGTATTTGCATAGATCGGTAGTAGTAGCCTGGCCTGTGGCTTTGCTTTAGTTTATTCGTTTCCTTTTTTTACTCCGTGGATGGTTTCCTGTTTCGTTTTTCCTCGAGTCTGTAAAAAGGGTTGTGTGCGTATCCATGCATTTCTGGCTGGAGTTCAAGAGAGGGGAGGGATACTTATGTGTATTAGATCATGAATGTCAAGATTCTCTCTCCTGCATATATGCCACTGAAGTCACAGATTTGAATATTGTGATAAAGTGTAGATTGTCAGGCGGAAGTTGGGGATATCAAAGGTCCGAAATGTCCGGATTGATTTTGGCCAGCAAAATGCGCGTAATGCGCTGTATGCGCATACAGCGCTCATGGCGAGGAATGCTCAAATATCCGATTGTCAAGGAGTACTGATGATACAATCTCCTTAGAAAGTTGGGTGAATATTGACAACAAAAGATCCGTAATGACTAACTACCATAATCACCAAGACGGACATTCAAAAAGAGCAAGTGCTCCAGCCACTTTCATCTCAAGTCACCATGGCTACGATAACTCAATTGAGTTCATACGAGGCTAATCAGCATGGAGGCCAGCCTCCAGTCATGATGTCCCAAAGTTGAAAATCACCCTGAAAGTGGGGACATTGATCTCTTCTAACAGAGCCTGGACCCTTAACTCTCGTTACCTGAGAATGTCAATCTCTAGGTATCTTCTATTTCCAGACCCATCTAAACTATCTTCCTCTCAGCCATCCTCAAGATACTCTCCACCACACCGGCGACATCCAAACACTCCTCATCCCTCATATTACGTCCCAAGATCTGCAATCCACCTGGCACACCCTCACAAGCTTCCGACTCATCTATACTCATTAGCCAATGTCCCACTCTATCTCAAAACAAGGGAAACTTTACAAGCAGGTGCGTATGTGACACCTTTCCTGATGTATGGCTCATCGAGTTTCTTGTTGCTTTTCAGGAAGGGGATTGAGACTGAGGGGTACTATATCTGTCAGGATGAAAATACAAATAGGGACTTGAGGTGAACTTACGTCCAACAGGTTGGCAAACACCGTGTAAGGTGGAGCACCATAATTGTCGTGCTTCGGTGCCGTGCCTTGGTACACCGGCATCAAAATCGCATCCCTAATCAACCTCATTAGCACCTCCTCCCCTCGGCCTCAATCCAGAGCAAACTTACAATCCCTCCTTAACCCACAAATCCCGAACCTTCTCCTTCATAGCCTTCGCCTCAACATTCAGATCCCAAACCGCATCCAAATCCGGCACAAACCCCTTCATCTCCTCCACCACAATCGTCCCAATACTAGGAATAATTGGCTCTCCACTCTTCTTGATAATACTAAAAGGCGTCTGCTTTGGATCCAGAGAGAACATCTTGAACGCCGTAACCATAGCATCGACCATGATATCCTTTGGCAACAACGGCTCGATATCGACCATCACATGGCCTGCTGCACTCAGCGCCTTTGTTGCTTCATCAAAAACGCGGGAAAGAGTAGGAGATAGAGGCCAACGAGCATGTTCCTTGAGGTACCCCAACTTGAGTCTCTTTCCCATCGGCTGGAGATAGCGCCATGGTGCCGAGACGACAGTTTCGTCAAATACCCAGCAGTCAGCTGAAAGCACGCTCTTGCAGAAGAAATGAGCATCAGAGACAGAACGACAGATGGGTCCTGCACTAGCAAGAATGGCCCAACTTCCCACTCTACCGGGTCCTGTTTGGCCTCCATACGGGATACGGCGTGTTGAGGGCTTGAATCCCGTTACGCCGTTGCAGTAGGCCGGGATACGGATCGAGCCTGCTATATCTGTCCCGACGCCTAGGATGGAGCCTTTCAATGCGGAGAGGGCTCCTTCTCCGCCCGAACTGCCGCCTGCGGTCAGGTGAAGCGAATTGGGGTTCAGGGTGCGGAGGAAGATGTTGTTTTGGGAGTCTGCTGTCATGAGAGTTTGCGGGATGTTGGTCTTGACGTAGAGGACTGCTCCGAGATTGAGGAGGATGGAGACGAGTGCTGAGTTGGTGGTGGATGGTTCGTTGGCTATAAAGGAGACGTAGCCGATTGTGCTTTTGAAGCCTTTTACGTTGAATGAATCCTTTTGTTTTGTTAGATCTTTGCTCGGTAGAGGGGAAGTTGGATCATACTTTGAGAGAAATAGGCAAGCCATGAAGAGGACCTAATGGCTTGCCTTCTTTGGCAAGATAATCGTCGCAGTACTTTGCTCTCTCGAGCGCTTCGTCGAACATCGTTTCTGTAAGACAGTATGTCTAATGCTGATTAGCACTCTTAAAAAATGATCCAGATAGATGAACTCACCAATTGCTGAGCAACAGCAGCTCTCTTACAAAACGCCCGTGTAACATCCACACTCTTCACCTTCCCTTCTTTCAGCATTTCCGCAAGAGTTACGGCATCGTACTTCTCCGTAATCTCAATCTCCTGCTCGCTCAGGATCCCACAAGTTCTGGGGATGGAAAGGACATTCTGAACCGAGGTTTCAGAAACCGTAGACGTGATCGAAGAGGGAAGCAGCCATTCAGACGGGATCTTGGCTGATGTTTGCTCTCGGTATTTATTGGCGATTGTCTCCCACGTTTGATTTACTATCTCTGCTACTGCGGACATCTTGAGAATTGATGAAGGAGAAGATTCTTGTGTTGTACGAGAAAAGTGCTGTAAGAAAGACAAAAATGGACAGAGTTCTATGATTTTATAGAATGTACTTCGATCCAAGCTGACTATGACTTCTCCTCAACACACGTAGAGTGAACGCGCAAGGGAACATTACTGGCCATATCGGAATTCAAAGATGGGGCAGCCAATCAAGACATTTTGCGCGATACGCTAGAGATGCTAACACAAGGCCGTCGGCACTGGGTACTTTCCTTCGTTCCGATGCCAAGCACTGCTTCAGATCGTCAGATGGAGAGCTGCTGAGTATTGTTCGTGAGACTTGTAGAGAAGAATATGGTTATCAGTTGATATAATATTTCTCCACTTTTATTCGACGCTCTAGGCCTAGTTTCAGGGGTCACCTATTCTCACTACTTAATATATCCTCACTCACCTTTTGAACTTGCATCTAGAGACTTGGAAACATGATTTCTATTGAAGCGGATCCCATGCATAATATCTCATATTTTCACTTCTATGCATAATTTTCATTCACTCCCTCCTTCCAAACATCATTCACAGCTCCACACTCGAAGTCGAGGAAACATAACTGCACAACAAAAATATCCAAGAACCCCAAAGCAACCAATCAAACGCTGAATATCGTGCTCCAAGTCCTCCCGCTCTTTATCTTTGCCGTTCCTAGACTTAAGCACCATCACGGCACGGGGTATTTCGTCTCCACGCTTCCCCAGAAAACATGCCGAACAGCTCTAGATCGATGCAGTTACCCGTCTTTATGATTCCTAATACTGTAGTTTCCCGCGCTCTAAATAGCCTTCTCTCTTACTTTCTCGGAAGGCCCTCTTCCCAAAATCCAAGTCGCGTGATGAAAGACGAACCACCCGACAACAAAGCTAGCCAATCTTCTCAACATACCAGCAACTGATCTCTTCAAACAAAACATCTATCTATCCACAGTCGCCGAGATCAATCTCAAAGAATCGCCCCAGCGTTCCTATATAGGATCCCCCCTCCCGCGTCAGGAAATTGGCCACAACTGTGCCTTCCCACCAACCCTTCGTACCACCCTTCGATACGGGCCCCGTACCACCCGCCAATCCTTCGACACGAGCACTAAATATTCATTGGACGAAAGATGAGGGGTTTACTTGTTTGTGTTTTGAAGCGGAGGGAGGATCTTCGGTGGTGCTGCAGGTACAAGAAGATAGATAGATAGTATTGACCTGGGGAAATCAATTATATAGAAGGGTGTTTGAGCCCTGCTTATTTTTAATTTGTGAGGTTTTCTTGCCTTGCCTTGACTGGAAGTCACTCACTCGATCATGGCAACAGTCGCGTTCACGAACCCCCCGGCTCCTGGGGCTGTGGGTGATTTCACGTCTGACCCCGTCTACGAGTACGGGACGCCGGTTTTCGTTCAGTGGAACGGCAACGCTTCGTCCTTGACGTTATGGCAGTTGCAGCCAGGAGCGGTCGCGCTTTTTGGGTCGCCTGAATTCCTTATTGGTAGGTCACGCTTCTTGTATCGTTGGAAGAAAGAATTGAAGACTTGATATTGACATTAATTCCCGCTGCAGATGTTACAAATACAGAGAACTCTTCGGACGTAACACCCTACACAGACTTCAACTGGCTGGTTCAGACGTCGAAGAACTTGACTCTTTCAAATAGGTTCATCCTCAGCCTCTTTGATGTCGGGCAAGCGACTCCGCTATGTAATAGCCATTACTTCGAAATCAGGCCTAAGAGCGGCTCGCCTGTGAATGCCACGTCGAGTACAGTATTGTCGAGCAGCACTCAGACTCCTGTGTCGCCATCTGGTACGGTCGCGTTATCATTGACACCGGCGGCGTCTTCATCTGCAGCGAGTACCCAGATCTCGAATTCAGGCTTGTCTGTTGGAGCGAAGATAGGCTTTGGTCTCGGCGTGCCTGCAGCAATCCTGCTTGGACTTGCTTTAGGATGGTTCTTGCAAGGACTTTGGAGGAGGCGAGGAGAAAAGTCCCCTATATCGCCAGTATCGGAATCTCAAGGGAAGGTTAATGAAATCCCTGAGACTGTTGGAGATGAAGAGATGCCTGGGAGCTTTGGCGGGAAGGAGTTGGATGGAAGTGCTGGAGGCCAGGAGCTGCCTGGTAGTCTCCCGCCACATTATGAGCTGGCAGAGTGATGAATTAGCATCACTGAGCCTGTAATCAATACTCAAAACCTCGTCAAACATACATCAAAACTCGTACATGGTTTCATAGACCAGGTGTCATCATAAATATAGCGACAGCCTTCCGAGGAGGAGGTTTGAATACAACGCCTCTGATGTTTCTGAGGGCGTCCTCGATTAACCTTTCAAGTGTCTTTTTCTCTGCTTCGACTTCTGAGACTCGATATAGAACGGCGAGAGGCCACAGAGGGTAGCGGATGAAGAATTTCTTAGCATTGATATTGGCCTCTATCTTCGAGATGTCTGTCTTCGGTGCTTCGTGCGCTTCTTCCGGAACTTCGATATCGTTTCCCGATCGAGAGATCATATTCCGTAGTAAAGCGGTGGTTGCCGCTAGGTATGTGTACCCAGCTGAGAAGTATCCAGTGGACGGTATGTACTTGTGGAAAAAATTCAATTGAAGTAAAGAGCTTATCGCTAGTTGCTTGCCCTCTTTGGACAGCGGACACTGTCGATTGAGCTCATGAGCAAGAACTGCTAGACGGAACAAAGAAAATGGCATGCCGAGGATAGGCCAGGAAGCTTCGTCAAGAGCAATAGACAAAGGAGCAGATCGAAAGTACTCGTCTATCGTATGCCACCAGGGTTGATTCAGCATGTAAAACTCTCGATTGAAGAGCATTAAAGTGATCCCATGAAAAAGAAGAGCTTCGTAGGATATACGTTCATGAACCAATGATTCAGTTGATGGTCGGTAGAGTTCTGGATTTGATGTTCTCGCGAATTGTCGACATCTCAACAAACTCATTATACCATGCATGTGAATGATGGGTGTTGAGATATTGTAGCCAAAGCTCTATGGCATCGTCAGAGACTTATTCACGCATTTGGAAGAGTGCTTACATCGGCGAGTGCAAGTTGAGTGGCGGAGAGTAAGAGCCAATCTTCAGTTCCGTCTATAATTCCCGATTTGATCTGCCTCTGTATTTCGGCTATTGCTGAGATCCGCAGTGAAAGGGCGTGGCTTCTCATCCTTCCAGTCCAATCTCGATCAATAGTGAAATTTCCACTTAGGGAAGTGGCTGCACAATTCATGATAGCATGTTTTGCCGTGTCATGTTTCTCAACAAGTGAGAAAACACTGTCCATGCTATGGAAATGTGGATGAGAGCCCTTCTGAATATAGCTTGGGGCTACAGTGTTTCCAAAGTAAGCAAGCAGAGCCGATTCATCCCACTTGAAGCCGATGGCAGTTTCTTGGAGTTTGACTTCTTGAGGCGAAGTTAGGATGATGTGCCACAGGAGAAGTGGACGCATACCTTGAGACTTTGCTGATGGATGATTTAGTCCCTTACGGTATCGTCGATCCAGAGCATTTTGTTCTTCGGTAGGCCATTGGCATGTCAGAAAGGACCGACTGCAACCACCGCAGGCTGGCCTTTTCTCGTCACATTTTTTCTTACGTCGACGACCTGTTAGTGTCAGTACAATACATCTACTCTACATCGCTTCCTCGGCAAGAGGGACCGGTGAGACGAACAAGACATGCATCCCGTTTTACTCCGCAATTCATTTCTCGGCATGTCTGCATGTTACTGTGTAGTCGAAAGAGGTGAAAGAGGACAGGGTCGTGTCGAGTGTTCAGAGTTCTCATGATGCAATACTTGAAACACCTAGGCACAACACGTGCACCGAAAGACCGTAAGCGGATTTTGAGTAGCAACATTTGTCCAAGCACAAAGAACACTTCTCGAAGACTTCACTACAAGTGTTGCCAAGCCGCCATATCTGGACCCCGCCTGTTCTCCTCTACACAACTGTGCTAGCAGAAGACCCGGCATCGGTCAAGCGGATACTCATCTTGTTGTCAGACCTCACTCATCAACAAACCTGCAGAACGGCCCGACCTTTGGTGCATCGTCACACTGCGTCATTGAGACTTTTGATCTTGGAGGTGCCACGAGATGCTGCAGAGATCATGGTAGCGACGGTCGTATATCGGAGTTGATATAGGAAAGAAAGTTTCGCAACCCGAGATGGCGCGTTTGTCTTCATTAACTTTAGACGACCAGCGTCTGTCAAGCGCAATGCTTGATCTTCCGCGCATGATATTGCCCCTCTTTGGACCCCGCGGAGATCTGGTTCGGTTGGAAAAAGAGACAATCTCGGCCCCAATTTGGATGAAGCCTACTAGGTGTTCCTAGACGCTGCTTGAATGTCGACGGACCTAGCCGTGCATAGCTCTCTTGTGAAACGGGAGCTCCAAGATGGGTTACCAAACTTTGTTTCTCATGGAAAGATGCCATGCTGGCAAACTTGTTGTTCAAGTCGATTGACAACGAAAGAGGAAAGAACTGCTCACATGGCCATCTAGCTGCCACGACGATGCTGGTCTTTCTTTGTCCCTGCCACACCGGAGACAACACCTCAACTTCCCACATTGGCCACGGCCTCTTGTGAATCGTGTGACAAAGACTAGGGCAAGCACAAATAATGTTCCGTGTTATGGGGTCTAGAATGTCCATGGTCTGCAAGGGGTTGATATCAAGTGTTTTAATGCCAAGCACTGTGGCGGTCGAGCTGCTCGATTGGCCACTCGCCACAGTCTCTCAGAGTCTCTCCGCCACTCGGACTTGCGAACAGCACGTTGATCTGTCACGGGTTTCATGGCTGCAGGTCGTGGGGGGATGTGCTCTCTGGCTCTCTTGGTTGTCGTTGCTGACGTGAAAAATGCCTGTGAGTAAAGGAGGGATGTTTCGAGCTTGTCGGCTCGCGTTTCAATGTTCGACCCCAGATCTGCACATCGCTCGCGAATCATGGCCAAGCAACGCATGAGGAACGCCAAATCTACAAACGCCGAGCTCGAACCACCATCTTCCTCTTCTCTTCCACGACTCGCCGTTTCACAGGAGAGGTCTCCTTACTGGTCGACCTGTCATATCCTTTCATGAAGATCAGACGCACGAAATTCCCGACCGTTCGGCGTCTGTGCAGCTGCAGCCACTCGTTTCTGCTGGAGGCGTCCTCGCTTCCCTCCAAACACATCAACTTCAACCTATCCTATCCACGAGGTACCAGATCCAGGTCCTCGCGACAAGTGTTATCCTAACTCGCATCCATGTCTCTTTTCTTATTGCAATGCATCTTCCGGGATGACAATTCCGTACCTGGCTGGTGGAGCCACAAAGCTTGGATCCATGCAAGAAACTTTGGGCACTGACAGACCCTGAACAAACGGCCGAGTCCATCGCCAGCTCAGATGGGACAAAGGAGGTCGTGAGTATTTGACCTCGCTTTTGTCCCGTTTGTACTCTCTTCTTCTGCAGTTTGTTCCGTTGAAAGCCGTCATTCCTTTCGGTCCATATTAGAATTCACTTCTTTGTGACAATAGCATTGTGCCAGTCAGCGACTCACCACAATACTACTTGTTCACAATACCATTCATTCTCACAAAGGCATTACATTCATTCTGCTTCAACTACTTTCCAAAGCCTTCTGCTATATCTTATCCATTCAGATCCCTTCCTTATTCCTTCTACGAATTTTCTCAAACAAACCCATACACGCATACACACAATCCACACTTTTCAAACCCTCGAGATCAAAGCAAAAGCAAACTTTTCAAACAAAGACACACTCATCCAACAAAGATGCGTACATCACAGATCCTCAGCCGCCTCGGCGCCTCTCTTGTCTGCGCAGCAAGTCTGGTCAAGGCAGCAGCCTACACCGTGGAAGACACTTACGACTCTTCGAACTTCTTCTCACAATTCAACTTCTTCAGCGCCGCTGACCCAACCAACGGGTTCGTTGCCTACTCCTCAGCTGTCACAGCCAATAAATCTGGACTCGCCGGTTACGCATCTGGAGGTGTCTTTTTGGGCGTTGACCACACCACCACAAATCCTTCCGGAGGACGAGGTTCCACTCGTGTATCTTCCAACAAAGCCTACACGCACGGTCTCTTCATCGCCGACATAGAACATATGCCCGGTGGAATCTGCGGTGTTTGGCCCTCACTCTGGACATTCGGTCCCAATTGGCCCAACAATGGTGAAATCGACATAATAGAAGGAGTCAACGACGCAACCACCAACACAGTCACGCTGCATACCTCTTCTGGCTGCGCCATGACCTCGACAGGCTCTCTCTCATCCTCCAACCTAACCGGGACAAATTGCAACGCCGGAAACGGTAACGACGGCTGCGGTTTCTCAACTGCGTCCACGCAGGGTTACGGCGCCGGATTCAACGCCGTTGGAGGAGGAGTCTATGCCATGGAATGGACCTCGACCTCTATCAAGATCTGGAACTTTCCCCGCGCCTCAATCCCCGCCGACATCACGTCCAGCTCTCCCGACCCGAGCACCTGGTCCACGCCCGTATCAGCCTTCTCCTCTGGCTCCGACGGCGGCTGTGCAATCGACTCCCACTTCTCAGGACACAACATCGTCTTCGACACCACCTTCTGCGGCGACTGGGCCGGCAACGTCTGGTCCAGCACTCCCACTTGCTCTGCGCTAGCCTCTACCTGCGAAGCATACGTGGCGGCCAACCCGGCTGCGTTTGCGGAGGCGTACTGGCTGATCAATTCCGTTAAGGTGTACCAGGGCGCAAACACGAGTACGAAGAGGGAGGTGGCTTTTAAGGCTTGATGGACAGAGCTGGTCTCTCTCTACTTATTTCGATTCTTGTCCCTCGGGATCCTGTTACTTTACTTTACTTCACTTCTTGCAAATGTTTAGATTTTTGGGGAGTTGTGGGAGATACCATTTTGCGTGCATGGATGGCGGCGGCGACGCTTGTCTGCATAGCGTACAGTACATATGAGTCGAGAGATCTTGTGGGTACATAGGTCGATAGAGATAGTGAATGAAAAAACAAAACATACTGAAAACGTTTTTGTGAATCAATTTATTGAAAGTGAGCGTAGAACTGTTTGACTATTGGCTTGATATGTTTGATGCATGCGTAGCTACAGTATGTGAATAACAGCGAATGGTTTGCTTACCTCCGTCTGACGGAATCGTCTGATCCCACAGAGTCCCCTGATATACTTTTGCCGAGCTTGACATGTAAAGCTCTCTCATTTCGAGTTTTCCAAAGACAGTATTACTCTCATGACATTTGTCGAGAGATTGTTCCAAGAACTGCAAGACATTCATAGGTGATTGTATGTAGCAACTCATCCACGAATTGTAAAGCTCTAGGAAAGGTTGATGTAGTCTACAATAGATAGGTTTCAAGTCAAAATCGGCGACTATCGTTTATACGCACTACATCAAAAAGCCCCGACTTTGAGTCTCATTTTGTGTTATATACCTTCGAGGTTGAGGTCACACATGGAAATCATAAAGATCACACATTCAAAGAAAACTTGACGATCATCTATTTTACAGCCTCTATCTTCAACCTTCTCTCCTTTCTTCGGCCATCCTCCACCACGGTCAATACACATCCGCCAACCACATGCCAGAACAAAAGAGAAAGAGATAGATGGAGCAGCATTCGCCATTAGCATATTTGTTCTTTTAGTTGAAGCTCTTCGTGAAGGTGGTAACCACATCCTTCAGTTTAGCCTCAAGGTCCTTGCTCAATGCACCCTCCTTGTCAATTGTAGCCAACAGATCCGACTCGTTGGTCTTCAAGTGTGAGATAAAGTCGGCCTCCCATTGCAGGATCTTGTTGACAGGGACGGAATCGAGGTGACCATTGACACCAGCGTAGATAAGGGGAACCATTTCGTTGACGGCCATCGGTGAGTATTGCTTTTGCTTGAGGAGTTCGGTCAACTGTAAAAGATTGTCAGTAAACAATTCAGACGGTTCGATGTAGGATTACTTACACGTTCACCACGGTTAAGAGTTTGCTTGGTAGCAGCATCCAAATCGGAACCGAATTGAGCGAAAGCGGCGACCTCACGGTATTGAGCCAAGAAGAGCTTCAGGGAACCAGCGACTTGCTTCATTGCCTTAAGTTGGGCAGCGGAACCGACACGAGACACAGAGAGACCGACGTTAATGGCTGGTCGAACACCCTTGTAGAAAAGTTCGGCTTCCAAGAAGATTTGTCCGTCGGTGATGGAAATAACGTTGGTTGGGATATAAGCTGACACATCACCACCTTGGGTCTCAATGATGGGGAGAGCAGTCAAGGATCCACCACCGTGCTTGTCGTTCATCTTGGCAGCACGCTCGAGGAGACGAGAGTGGAGGTAGAAAACGTCACCGGGGTAAGCTTCACGTCCGGGAGGACGACGGAGAAGGAGGGACATTTGACGGTACGCAACTAAACATTGACGTTTTCGAGTCAGTATACTTCTTTTGGGTATCAAGAGGAGCTCGGGAGCTGAAAGGGATTGTATACCAGCTTGCTTTGAAAGATCATCAAAGATTATTACTGCGTGCTTGCCGTTATCTCTGAACCACTCACCCATAGAGCTATAGACAAATCAGTATACACTTTTCTCGGAGATTAAAAGCCGAGGAGCTTGTTCGATGACTTAAGATTGAGTAGATCTCGAAGAGCATCCCAAAGTCCTCGGCTCCTAGGATGAATGAATACAAAACAAGGACAGAATTTCACATACCATCCGGTGAAAGGAGCAATATATTGGAGAGGAGCGGCTTCCGAAGCAGTAGCAGCAACGACAATTGAGTACTTCATGGCATCGTTCTCCTCAAGAGTCTTGACGAGCTGGGCAACAGTCGATCGCTTTTGTCCGACAGCGACGTACACGCAGTAGAGCTTCTTGGTCTCGTCGTTTCCGTCATTCCATCGCTTTTGGTTAAGCATGGCGTCGAGAGCAACAGCGGTCTTTCCAGTTTGACGATCACCGATAATCAATTCACGTTGACCACGTCCAATTGGCACCATGGCATCGACAGACTTGAGACCAGTCTGGACGGGCTGGTTGACGGATCGTCGAGGAAGGATACCAGGGGCTTTCAATTGAGCACGACGCTTCTCAGTGGTCTTAATTGGTCCCTTGCCGTCGATGGGGTTTCCGAGAGCATCAACGACACGGCCAAGCATCTCAATTCCGACCGGAACATCAACCTATCAGGATCGTGAGCAACGGTCCGCAGACATCCCGTTCATGATGGCACTTACAATTTCTCCGGTACGCTTGACAGTCTCTCCTTCCTTGACCAAACGATCAGAACCGAAGAGCACAACACCGACCTGACCAGCTTCCAAGTTCATGCACATGCCCTTGACGCCAGATGCGAACTCAACAAGCTCCTCAGCTTGCACATTGCTCATTCCGTGCACACGGGCAATTCCGTCACTGTTGGAGATAGCAATCAGTATCCACTGCTGATGTAGTAGCTGGCTTATGATTGTACGAACCCAACGGAAAGCACTCGGCCGGTCTCTGCAAGGCCAGCCTCCTCTTGTACACCACGAATTCGTTGTTCCAGAATGGACGAGACTTCGGTAGGCGAAGGTTTGGCATCAGCTGCATAGCTTCGGACCTTTTATTGTTAGCATGCATAGTTTTTTGTTGTGTGTCGTGAATGCCTCACTTGTCTCGATGCTGTGTTGACGATAGCTGGAGCAGCATTTCGTGCCTGGAAGAATTTGAGTTAGCCGAAGTCCGAAAAGCTATGCAGAGAGCTCCAAAAGAGCTCAATCATCAACTTCCATCGCTGCAGGACATCAATTGAGCTTCCAGGAGACACTGTACTCCATTGAGATTGATTGCAGATATCTTTTAGAGGTTCTCGGTCTTTGTTGACGTACCACTCTGCTCGAGATTGCGACGGCGCCGACCGCCCGGGACGACTGCTTGAGAGCGATTCTGTACATGGCTGGTCCCACGATTTTGGTGTCAAGGAAAAGAGAGGAGATGAGTGTCACAGCTACTCCTTCAATTGAATGGAGAGGAGGTGGATGGGGGAGTAGTGGTATGAAGATTTCGCTCAAGAGGTGTTTTCTTCGGGCAAAGGTTCAAGCCAGGAGCGATGGAGAAAGCCGCTAGTCTAGGACAGTCAGGTGACTATCCGACCTTTCCCGATAAGGTATTACGCCAAAAAGAACATCAAGACTTCCAAATGTCATCTTGAGGATGAAGCTCGCCTGCCACTTTCTTCGACCGCCTGCAGCACTTCCTACGAGAACATGCTTCCTTATCATGTTTCAACTTCACGACCTCATGCCTGCTTGTGCCTCTTAGTTGTCATCGCGTTCGTTTTCTCTTCCGATCGAGTCGCTGTTCCACTCAAGCATGTCAAATCGTATTCAATGCGTTCATGGAGAGCTAGCTACTTGTCCTCGCTTTTGACAAACAGCTTCAATCCTACAATACGACTTCACTCATCCCGTCGTTCTTCTGGCGGTGTAGAAATCTCCGCGACGTGTTTTCCCAGGCCGCGGAGGATCATGCAATACGTAAAGTAATGTTGTTGCAATGGTAGTTCCATCACGACTGAGACACTATTTTCAGATTGCTTTGGGCCAATCTCCTGCCAAGAATGTGTGTGAGGCTTGCAGCTTGAAATCGCTGGAACATCGCGCAATCGGTCCTGGGGACAAATGCTGCGCCATATGGTTGATTGAGGAGATCCACAGCTTGACGTACCTAATGTGTTTTTTGCAGTTGCTGACTTGCTTCGAGCGTATTATTGCAGCTTCTCACAATAACGCAAATGGTGATTTGCTGTGAGCTACCGTCCCACTTTACATCTATTTTTGCATTCTACAGCACAAAAGCTACTAGCAAGACTACCCGCGATAGACGCTGAGAAGTTTAGGTGGGGCGAAATTCTGCAACAGCACCTTATTTGAAGCTTCTTCACTCGCCCGTTCGAGTCTCTGAAATTGGCATTTTGGTTATGGAGCCCGACAGCCCGCCCGGCATTCTTCCCCATTGCGATTCTGCTTCTATCAGAAATGATGAAATGACGACCCAATCCAGACGATCGTGCAGCTGTATCCTGGAAGTTGCATCCAAAGCTTTCGTTGGATTTATCATGAAAGGACGCCGCCGACGCCGCAAAGGTGTCAAGATGCTGTCAGCTTATCTTGACGCGTTCGAACAGTTTTTAGAAATGTCATTCTACAACTATTAATGTACCGAGTATCCGCTTCAAATGAGTGCAATGTTTCTGAACGAATGTTAATTGTCGCTGACCTTAGCGAAAGATGGCTTGCCGTATTCAAGAATCACCACTAGCGGATCGAGATTGAGAATCCCAAAGAGATTGACAGTACATAGTTGTGGATGTTCTTGTGGCTTGCGATTTCATGCAGACCAGGTATCGAAAGTACAAGGCTGAATGTATGGTCCCAATTCATGGCCAATCTCATGCCACTCAACCTCGTGTTACACAGACTGACAATCTTGCCAATGGAAAGACTCCCCAGCCTTAACAACTGCCCCTCATTTGCTACCGGGTAGACTTCGTGGCAGAAGAGGTAGCACGGCATTATCAACTGCAACTTTAAAGCAACTAATTCCACGGCACTTTGAGATACTAGTCGCCAATCGTATATCGAAACCTAGTGCAAACCAACAAGCACCATCGTCGCCCGGATTCACCATCTCGGGGATTCGGCTGGATTCAATCCGGACGTGGTCTACCAGGTTGTCGGTATCTAGTTGCGTTGGACTTCTAGCCAGACGGAGCAAGCCTGGCGAAGCATCCGAGAAGCGCCAATAAACAGATTCCAACAAGCTAGCGAGGTTTCCAGACGCTCTTGGGCTTTCCATACAGCAAAGGCTCGATACACGAAGCTGAACGGTAACCAAGTACGCTTACGTCCGTTGCCACTGCTGGATGTTACTTGCGCAACGGGACACCAATAAGTAGCTCTTGCCCCGTCGGCGTTCGAGAACTTGCTCTTTTTGTAGCAAAACCAAGGATCAGACTATCACTTTTGGCAGGATACACGAGATTGCGCAGAGCCTTCTCTCGTTGCTAGCCTTCACTCTTCCCACGTTCTGTCCTTACAGCCTTTGCCCAACAGTCCTAGGCTTTTCCAACTTTGCAGTCGGTACGCCACACTCGTTTCATCCGCAACTTTGCTGCCGTCTTTGGCCTGGTACCAACACCGGCCGGAGGAATCTTCGGTACGATCAAACAGTACATGGTTGGTTCCAGACTTTGTGAGTTCTTCATAGGTTGCTTACATTTTTTCAATTTTGTTTTGTTACCAGGGTCTAACAGCCTGCAGAATTGTCCACATCTCAGATACCTTCATCATGTCTTCGTTACTAGCACAAAAGCGTTCCTACGCTGTCCTTCGACATATCTCTAATGTTTCGACTCAAGTGCTAACGACTCCTCAAACGAGAGCATTTCGATCTTCGACCCAGCCCATGGGCTCAGCTGGCCTTGCTCAAGCCCCATTGCGACAAGATTCACCCGATTTTACATACGATAGCCACAATAACATCTCCCCTGATGACCAACGAGGAAGTGCCGTGCCGGTTACCAAGGCTACACAAGACATCAAAGAAGTTATTTCCAATCCTACCATCCCACGAGCGGCCCTGAATATCCAAGACGAGCGCCAAAACCTGGCAGCTAGTGTTCACCCTGCATACTTTCGCGGCTCCAAATTCGATCGGGTTCCATACTGGCAGAGGATTCACCGCTGGGAGGACATTGGTGAAAGAGAATTCTTGTCATACCGTTGGAATGTGAGTCTGAATAGCATAAACTGAAATACATCTTCTGATATGCAATTAGACTGCCAAGGATGTTCAAGGCAAGGAAAAGCTGTACTATTTTCTGAAAGAGGAGCTCCCTGAGAAGATGCCGGACACTCCGGAATATGAGCACACTCGCACCCGCGACGCCTTCTTAGAGGATGTGATCAGAGGCATAGATCTAGCTCCAATGTCAATTAGGCTGACACCTCACATTCTTGCCTCGATCAATTGGAACGATCCTCTTAATGATCCTCTTAGTCGTCAATTCATTCCAAAGAAGTCAACATTCCAACCTGATCACCCAAAACTGGAACTCGACTCTTTGCACGAATCAGACGATTCTCCTGTTGAAGGACTAGTTCATCGGTACACTGATAAGTGCTTGTTCCTTGGTGAGTCGTCGTCCGACAACCCTCAGAAACATCCTTTCACTGACTTTCTCAAAGCAAGCTCTCACTGTCCCCTGTACTGCAGATTCTGCACCCGTTCCTACGCCGTTGGTGCTGATACCGAGACTGTAACTAAAGCCGCTCTGAAGCCTGCACGTCGTCGTTGGGAGGCAATGCTTGGTAAGTAAAGTTCAATTTATTGGTTTCGCGATTAGTCTACGTCTTCAGACATCGAACTACTCTAGAACCTATTCAATTTCTCGACATGCCGATAGCAAGCGTACTGACTTCGAAATGTAAAGATTATATCGCTGCAACGCCAGTTATCCAAGATGTCGTACTTTCTGGCGGCGACTCCTATTCCCTCATGCCACAACACCTCGCCATAATCGGCTCTCGACTCCTCGAGATCCCGCATGTGAGAAGATTTAGAGTCGCCACTAAAGGTCTCTGCGTCTCACCCAGCCGTACTTTAGATCCAAACGATGACTGGACCGAGGAGTTGATCAAGTTATCCAAAGAAGCTAGACTCAGAGGGAAGCATGTTGCGATGCACACACACTTCAACCACCCTAACGAGTTCTCTTGGGTTTCTCGAGAGGCAGCTCAGAAGTTGTATGCTAATGGTGTAACCGTTCGCAACCAATCTGTTCTACTTAAAGGTGTCAATGACGATATTGATACTATGAAAGGCTTAATTCGAGAGCTTGCTGACAATAACATTCAACCTGTAAGTAGCCACTCTGCGCAACCTTGATAAATAGGACTGACTCTATCCATCAATAGTACTATGTCTACGCAGGTGACCTCGTGAAGGGCGTGGAAGACCTACGCACTCCACTATCAACTATCCTCGACCTCGAAACGCAAATCCGTGGCTCGATCGCTGGGTTTATGACTCCGCAATTCGTTGTTGATCTGCCTGGCGGCGGTGGAAAGCGTCTCGCTGCATCTTACAAAACATATGATCGTGCCACTGGTCGCAGCACGTTTGTTGCTCCTGCTGTGCATGGGAAGAACAAGGAAGGGAGACTTTATGAATACTACGATCCTTTAGCCAGCTTGCCTAATGGGGGCGAAAGCGTCGACTTCGCTGCTATAGAGCACATTGTTATCTAAGCGGATCGTTTCCTGCTGAGGCGTTATGCGAGGTGGACATAAGCGGTTTCCTTGGCATTTCAGGGGAGGATAGGGATTACACGTATTTTGCTTACACGAGTACTTCGGGCATTTACCATTACTTGGCATCTTACATTTGTCACCCTGGATTTGCATCCATTTCCTTACTGAATCCTTGCACCAACAGACGCCATTGCCTAGAAATTACGACTTGCTAGTAGATGGTAATGGTGGTCGCAGCATTGCTTTCTTCTTATTTCCCACAGGAAACGGTTCAGGAGCGTTGAAATTAGCCTTGTACATTGTTTAGCGCAAGAATTTTTCATTTGATACACGAAAAGTTTATTTGATTGATAGCTCTCACTTCTTTGACTTGTCATCGCTCTACGTTGTGTGATTCTAGTTGAACTAAACAGTGAATAGTAATATGAAAATCCACAAAATTCGACCCATCGCAGAAACGCAAATGCTATATTTGAGCTGCTTACATACTTATCTACAACCTGATGATAAGCTAAACTTGACTGCATTGTATTCCGGCCCATAAATCATAAATCTATCTACATGTCGAACCTAGGCCACGTCGAGATGATCGAGTGTACCCAAACCAGTCTATGCTGATGATCCCAATATCCCAACCGACCATGCACATTCCTCCCATAATGTACAATTTCTTCACAGCTTTCACTTCTCGTTTTCATATCTTTCGAGCTAGAGTCTACTTAGTGAGAGCTTTTGCTGCCATTGTCCGTCGGATCCTGACGGTTTGCTCGTACAGTACATCCTTGAATGCAAACAAGAATGCTGCAGTCAGCACACTTTGGGTAACTTTGGGTCCGATACCTAGAAAATTAGCATTTCTAATAAGGTTAGGCATGTCTTAACGTACCTTTGTACAGCCCAGTGTAGCCCTCTTCCTTAACGATTCTTCTCATAGCCTGCATCATATTCTCTTTATCTCCATCTCGTCCAGCGACATGTGCCATGCTCTTCACCGTGATATATGGGTATGTAATGCTGGTTGCAAATAATTTGCCTAGCGCTCCCAGCATAAACGCCATGGTTGGAGTGACCCTCCTCTTCTTCTCAATAGTGTTCTTCAACTGCTCGAAGATGGTATATTGTAGAATTGGGTTGATAACTAACACCAACGCTGGCACGACTCCTGCGAACAGAGCCTGAGGACCTTCCTCCTTGATCAAAGCCAGAAGAGTGCCTATTGTCGTAGGCGCCTTTGGAGGTTTCGCACCAGGCAGCACAGCTTCGTCTGACTCCTTGTTCCTCTGCCTCGTAGTCATCCGTGTATTAACCACCCAAATAGGGTTTGTGAGCAACACTGTCGCCGATCCAGCAATAGCTCCCGCAATCATCGACTCGACTGTTGTGAGTTTCTTCGACGCTCTGCCAGCTGTCACGGCAGCTTTCTCGAACCCGGATCGAGTCCATTCGTACCAGTAATAGTAGACGAAGTTCGTGACGCTGATGCCAAAGAGCGCTGAGTCGAGACCTGCGTAGAGTCCTGTTATGCCTTCTCGTTGGACGATGCGCTGGACTGCGTCGAGGAATCCGGAGTCGGCGCGCTTGGATTCGACTTGCGCGCGTGTGGAGAGGGTGATGAGAGGATATCTAAGCCTGTTAAAAGAAAACTATATGAAGCAAAGATGAAGGGAGCAGTACGTGAGAGTCATAGCCAAAATCCCTCCTCCTGCCCCGCTGAGGGCATGGGCAACGTTGTCGCTCTGCTGGGCAGCTGTTGATGGAGCCATATTTGCAGTTGTGCGTATGTATTGAGTAGTAGTTAAGGAGGAAGGAATCGTTCAATCATTCATGTATGTAGAGAAAGTACTACTCGCAATAAGTGCATTGTTCATCATCTCCGAGGTCTTTCACACGCAAAATCACCCCCCCTTGCTGGAGCCACGCTGGAGCCGAGGCAAGCATAATGTGGGGAGAGATTATAATACCCGAAATGTTATCTTAGTCTGCCACTCCTGTGGCAGCTTGATATCTTCTTAGTGCCCCACCATCAACGAAGCCTCATTGGCTCAGAAGTTGCTGAAGGGTGAGCACGTGAAATAGCTATATTTAGGCATTTAATAGAGATTCTGAAGCACCTCAATTTCTCTTCTTTTGGAAGCATCACCACCTAATTGATGGCCTTTCCTCCCAATCCGAGAATCAAGTCAAGAAGCCAAACAACACTGCGATTTCTTCGAGAATGTAACTGTCGAATCCTCTTTCGTCGATAGCATCGAGTTCAGGTGGGGCTGTGTTTTGATCTATTTATATACTATTTGGGGTCGCGAAATGAGGTTATGATATATGATCATCTCTGTTCGCAACAATCGCTATTCCATGCTGAATGTTCGAAATCATACCATACTCTATAACAGAGGGTTGGCATGATGCCTCCCGGTACGGGCATGTTTCATGAAGGCTTGCTTCCAGTTATGACCGTAATTCCGGAGGCTACAAAGAGGAGACTGGAACACCAATACCGTCCGACGCAAACCCTAGACCCTCAAAATGGCTCGAATAATACCAGCAATCATATCCCTTCTCCGATAGGTCCATCAAATGGCGACTCTCGAGGATTACCCACCCGTCAGGTGACTGATGAGACGCTCGATGATGCATATGTGAGCTTTATCATGTATTGCAATCCGTCAATACCATTGGACACGGATACGACCGAGCTCAGAAAGATATTCCGAGCACCACCAAAGAGCGATGGGAAGAATTTCAACACTTTCGTACTCTTCGAGCTTATACGGAAATTGGAGTTGAAAGAGATTAAAACATGGGCACAATTGGCTCTCGATTTGGGTGTAGAGCCTCCAGCTTTCGAGAAAAACCAAAGTGCTCAGAAAGTTCAGCAATATGCAGTCAGACTCAAGGTCAGTCCTCGCACTTTCATAGATATTGTACAAACTTTATTTGCTATTGTTCGTTCCATTGTTCTAGCTTCCAACGACTTTCAGAAGCCCACTTTTGAGCAATTGCAATCAAGTATGTGACATCTTAAATCTGTATCTATCGACTTAGAAGAGTTCTCGAAGGATTCTTTTCCATTGTCCTAGCTTCTAGGGAATTTCAAAATCTAAGAATCTATATCCCCCGATTGCCCAGGATGTCAAGGACATCGAGGACTTCTGAAAGAGCGGAAATTCAAGCCCTCGAGATTTGATTGACTGCCACATCAATAACTTGGTAGAAAAGTACTGAATGAGTTTAGCGATGGATGCACGCTATGCATGTCGACGCCTTTTTTGAGTATCTTTTAAATAAGCCTCATGTATACTGGACTCAAATTCCCTCTATGAACGACCCTTCTTCTGAATTTGGTCGCGATGGCGTTGCTGCTGAAGAAGATTTGGCTCTTCGTGCATTGTTACCAGAAACACGACCCAAGCGCGGCAGGAGGAAAGCTGAGGACAGAGACGAAAGCGAGACAGGCAAATCGCCTTCTCAGAGGCCTCGTCTTGATTCTCCAACTCTTTCCGAGGACTTTATAATGGCAAGGACATCGTTAATTGCCGATAACACAACACCAGCTACAGCTCATCCAGACTTCCAGCAGAGCTTTGGAGATAGGATGATGCCTTGGTCTGCAGATACTAGGGGCGCAATGGCTCCAGCTTTTCGTTGGCCTCCGTCGTCTGATACGTTACAGACTCCATTATCAGCATATCCCCAATCAGCTATAACGCCTTCGAATCGAGGTCATATGTGGAACGACGAGCCTCGTTCTGCAATCACACCTCAAAAAGGTCGTCGGCGGCGACATGGACCGGCGGTTTCATCAGCCTGGCCCAGTAGTGGGAATGCATCCTCTAGCAAACTCAGAGGACGACCGCCAAGTAATAGATCAGTGACTGATGGACCATTTTCGACATTTCCAGTCAATCCGAGTTTGAAAGAAGGACCGACAATAAACCTCAGAGACAGCAGCACAGTAGCTACGCCGATAGTATCAGATGCCGACACCAATCACTTTTTTCCACCGAACGTACCAGCAGCTCCTCCAAATCCGCCACTCCAGACTGGGAGGCCAAGTGGTCTACAGTTACAGGTACCACAGCGTCAAGGTGGTACGGTCAGGCTTGCAACTCCTCCTCCACCTGTTGTCCTAGTCAACGGCCAGGGAGATACAGAAATGCAGCAAAATCCCGCCGCGGACGTACAAACATTCGTTCCCCTAATGGAATACTTCGCCAACCCAGCAGCTCATGATCCAGGATTTGAGAACTTTGTCAGCATAGCATTCCGACAAAATGAAGATCCGGATCGTACGAACATGGATGCTTTAGAAAGTCATTTTATATGCGAGATCTTAGCCGCCGATTGGTACGATGCCACAGGAGCTAGTATCGAGAAATGTAGCATCGATGAGGCAGACAAAATCTGCAAAGAAGTTATCAAAAATCTGCAGGCAGAATCTAGCAGTACAGCAGCATTTCTCATCAACTTGTCCGCTTTAGCAGGAGGACCGTTGATGACGAGACTACGAATGACGAGGCTGGAGCAGGGTTCGGTTAGTCACTATGAATGTCATTGGAAAATGAGGTTTGGGTCTATTGAGGCAGACTTCAAAATTGCTGCGACGGTGCATCATGGTCCGGATTCGGGACCTTTGGAACATGGACCCGAGCAGAGCGAGGAGTCGTGGAAGAAGAGATACTTGGATCTGCAGCAGAGGATTAGAGAAAGGGACCAGACAGTGGGAAAGCTGAAGAGAGGTGTATTGGATGCACTAGTTGTGTCGAATCAGTTTTCAAGTATATAGTGTATGAATTGTACGAGATATGAACAAAGCTGGGGCATAAAGTATTGGCCAGAAATCGGTTATATGCAGCACCGACATTGAACCCATCGTGACTGATATGTTGTATTGATATGATTTGACTTTAGTCTCAGCTCTGTATTTATGAGCCACCATGTGCGTGTTTCTCTGGCATATAACTCCAAAGCTCCGTGGATCTTTCGCTGTCAACATGACTCCTTCCCAAAACGGTCCTACTAGAATCGAAAACTCGAACAGAGCGGTGTCGACCGTGGCGCTGGAAACCAGTTCTTCCCTTAAATGTTGCTTGTCCGCTTCTCTTGTCCATATCACCGCGAGCGGTCGAGGAGCTCAAGAATCCCTTTTTCGCATTGCACTTTCGTATAGTCCGTTGCAACACCAGTCTCAATCCAATTTTCAGATCCGGTCATGCTTTCCCATGGTTCTCTGGTTGTTGCAGCCCGAAATAACCTCTCGCCAAATGCTTGTTGTTCTCGACTTCCAAGTTCCTCAGCGTTCCTTCCCAAGCAAAACAGCGACGTAACCAAGTTGAATGCTTGTACCTACAACTCGAGAACTCGCAAATTTAGCGCCGATCGTGGGTACTTAAAGCCAGCTCTTCCCCCGAGTTCTCGTTTTCTTTTCTTCTTCTTCGGCTTCTCTAGGAGCTGTACCTGCGAACGACTGAGGAGCTCAAGAATCCCTCAGTCGGGGGGGCTTTTACATTGCACAACGTAAAAGTCTTTGGTCACATCGCACATTTTTTTGATTACACCACCAGTCTGGAATGACTTTGTTGTCGTTGTTGTCGCTGACCTCAGGTGGAGGTCGAGCTAGAACCAGCAGAGGAAAAAAGGTATGCAGACACTCACCATACCTGACGAATGCTTATACTGACTCCTCAACACATCTTGATCTAGACTTCACATCCATACTCTTGTCTTCGACGCGTCGAGGTGATGCTGCTGTTCGGTCGGCTTGGGTTGGGTGAGGTTGGACCAGGGAAGGAAGGAAGGAAGGTAGGAAGGAAGGTGGGAGCACTGTGAAGCCTGTACATAGAATGCAAACACCCAATGCAATCAATCATCACTGCTTCGTTCCTGTGAGCTGAGAATGAGTTGAGAGTTCGGGCGACTTACTCTTCAGTCATGCTCCTCCCGTCGATGATGCTCATCATGCTGGAAAAAAAGATGTCAAGATGTCAGAACAGGAAGGGAATGTGTGCTCTTTTATACTATTGTGCTGAAGCCCTAGCCTCAATTAAGTTACTCGAATACCATATTTGAATATATTTGGTACTCGGAAACGTCATCCACACCAATCTCAATATGACAAGCAGATCTAATGGACATGGGATACCTCTATGAACTAGGCTTAGACTCGAGAGTAAATCAAGACAGATAGGACTAGTACCAATGCAACTAACATGAGATATTTATGCGCGGAACTAATGCTCAAATACATGCTAGTAGAAAAAAATACACAGATGCCCATGAATTTGAAAGCTTTCTGACATCCACTACTCCAAACTTGCGAGAAAAATTGTAGAAAAGCACAATTTACAGTAGAAACTGAAGGCTGAGTATGTGCATCAGATCTTTGTTCAGAAACCAGATAACCAACATTGACCGAAAGGACTGTCATTATCAGTGATACAGATTTGCCTTCACAAAGGCAGTTTGATCTTTTATTCTTCCAACATTGCTTTTCTTTTCATCGCCTCCCATCTCAAAGTCCTCAAGCTCCCCTGAAGTGTGAATTTATATAGCGTCACGTGAAATGAAGGGATTTGAGCAGCATCCATGGTGACGGAATAGAGGAAGTGTATATGAAATGTGTATACTAAAAGTCGAAATGGATCTAAAATGTATGCGCCGGTCCCATTTACCAGAAATAAGAAAACTAAAGAAGTCATACGAGCCCCTTAATTTTTGCCCTGAGCCTCAGCTTCATATGTGTCCTTCGCTAAAAATTATTTCGCGCCTGTTCACAAGCCTATGCAGGGTGATCGCCGTCCGAGAATAGACACACCCCTTCTTGGAACTTTGAACACGTCCAGCTTTTTTCAACCTCGACCGGATTCTCCCAGCAGTTCCTGTCGACTTGCCCTTCGAAGCTGACCGGTCTTGGGCAGCGATGTTCACTTGTACCACTTTTTAATTCATTGAACACTGTTCTTCCACACCCTCGTTACCCTTCTTCGAGCCGCGTCAGTTCTTCATCCGCATTACCCCCCACAGCTTCGAATCACCCGTCTAGTGCGCGCTTTCTGATCTGCAGAAGTTCGAGGTCTGCTGGACGATTGGAACACACGTACTCTTCAAGATGGCTTCAGAAAAAGCTACAGTGTCCGGGTTGGATTCGGAAACTCAGGCGACCCGCAGGCGCAATGTTCCCTCAACATCACCCAATGGAGGTCTTGTGAACAGAATAGAGATCGATGATAAGAAGACACAAGTCAAGAAGGTATGTCTGCAGGTTGCTCATAAATTAAAATCTGCCCTGCTTCCCAGGACATTTTACTGACATTATTGTCTGCAGCAGGAACAAACATTTCTGCAATTCCTTGACGAATGGGAATTCATCATCGCGCCCCTTATCTTCACGGCATTGGCATTCTTCACACGATTATACAAGATTGGCTTGTCACCCATTGTTACTTGGGACGAGGCACAGTGAGATTTACCCCTTTCAGCCTTGCGAATACTTAAATACTGATTACTGGAAATAGTTTTGGTAAATTTGGCTCCCACTACCTCAAACGAGAATTCTACTTCGATGTCCATCCTCCGCTTGGAAAGATGCTAGTCGGATTGTCCGGATACTTGGCTGGCTACAATGGATCCTTCGAATTCAAGTCAGGGGAGAAATACCCGGAAGAGCTCAACTATACCTTCATGCGGGCATTCAACTCCTTCTTCGGCGCTATCTGCATTCCATTGGCCTATTATACTGCTCGCGAGTTAAACTTCAAGCGACCTGCCGTTTGGTTTGTGACTCTCATGGTCTTGTGCGAGAACTCGTACACCACTATTAGTCGATTCATTCTCCTGGACTCGATGTTGCTATGCTTTACTTTCACAACTGTTCTCTGCTGGGCGAGATTCCACAGACTGCAGAAGCAGAGCTTCAGTATAGAATGGTGGTCATGGCTTTTTTTGACTGGTCTGAGCATTGGCTGTGTCTGCAGTGTTAAATGGGTTGGACTTTTCTGCACAGCCCTCGTTGGTATCTACACTATTGAAGATTTGTGGAACAAGTTTGGTGATACCAAGATGCCAGTCGTACGATTCCCTACCCATTAATTGCCTTGGTAAATATGCTAACTAAGTGGCAGATTGATCTCGCGTCTCACTTGGCTGCTCGAGTTATTGGCCTCATCATTATCCCTGTGATTGTCTACATGCTATCATTCGCCCTTCACTTCGCGATTTTGGAGAACAGTGGTCCAGGAGATGCTCAAATGAGCTCCTTGTTCCAAGCCAATCTTAGAGGTACCGAGGTTGGAAAAGACAGTCCAATTGAGATCGCATACGGTTCACGGGCTACAATCAAGAACATGGGATATGGTGGTGGTCTTCTCCACTCTCACGTCCAGACATATCCTGAAGGCTCTACTCAACAACAGATTACTTGTTATCACCACAAGGATGCCAACAACGAATGGTGGTTTTACCCTAACAGAGCCCAACCTGAGTATGACGCAGAGGCACCACCCAAGTTTGTTGCTGATGGAGATGTTCTCCGTCTGATCCACTCCCAAACTGGCCGTAACCTTCACTCTCACGAAGTCGCGGCACCAGTCACCAAGGCCGATAGAGAAGTCTCATGTTACGGAAATACCACTGTTGGCGACGAGAAAGATCACTGGACCATGGAAATCGTCAAAGATGTGTCTTCAAACGATAGAACTAAAGTCAGAACCTTGACCACTGCCTTCAGACTCAAGCACACTGCTCTCGGATGCTACCTCCGTGCTGGCAATGTCAACTTGCCACAGTGGGGTTTCAAGCAAATCGAAGTCACATGTGACAAGAGCAACAATCCCAAGGATGTTTACACCCACTGGAACGTCGAGGCTCACTGGAACGACAAGCGTAAGTTGAGACCTCGCTTTCTGTGATTCAAGCTAACAAGTTTAGTGCCTGCTGCTGATGCCGGAGCCTACAAATCTCCTTTCTTACAAGACTTCATCCACTTGAACGTTGCCATGATGACCTCGAACAACGCCTTGGTTCCTGACCCAGACAAGCAAGACGATCTCGCTTCTCAATTCTGGCAATGGCCCATCCTTAATGTTGGTCTCCGCATGTGTGGTTGGGATGATTCCATTGTCAAATACTTCCTCCTTGGTAACCCTCTTGTCTACTGGGGCTCCACAGCCTCCCTCGGCATGATCGCGCTTCTTGTTGTCTGGTATGCCATTAGATGGCAACGAGGATATGACGAGTTGAAGCAATCCGATATCGATCAGATCCATTACGCTGCTTTGTACCCTGTTCTCGGATGGTTCCTTCACTACTTGCCATTCGTTGCAATGGCTCGTGTCACCTATGTTCACCACTACTATCCTGCCCTTTATTTTGCCATCCTTGGTTTCGGCTTCTGCGCCGATTGGATGCTGAGGAACCAAATTAAGAGTCTGCAATATGCCATTTATGGTGTCTTGTATGCTGTTACTATCGGTCTGTATATCTACTTCATGCCTATCTGCTGGGGTATGGTCGGACCGAACAGAGACTACAACTACATGAAGTGGTTCGAGAGCTGGAGAGTAACAGACTAAACTCGTCAAAACGATCTGTATCCCTTACTGGAATAGATCCAAAACTATTCGACGACGCTTTATACGATGGATCATAGAGGATTGGATCTCGGTCGGAGAAAGAGAACGTAAAGAAAACGTTTTCTGCACATGTGTTACCAAACATTTTTCGTTTGTCATGGCAAGGATTTCGGGAAAAGGGAATGGGGAAGGGATGACTTGTGGTGAAGCGGCGCCTAGGTACATCTCGAATCAACTCCTAATTCTGTGTATAAATCTATGTTTGCGGGTGTACCGTGAATGTATGTGAGTAGATAATGTAAGATCAAAAGTTCAACTTGCCAAAACGTCTTCCAACTTTGAGTGACCAGCATTGAATATACTTTGTACGCTAGCGGCCGCTTAAACGCAACCTAAATCTGTTTTGGCAGAAGAGCAAGAAATATTTATAAGGAAGTGCTCACAAGAACATGAACCACAAGCATTAAATTCTACAAGGCCGACGACTCCCAGACTGTTGCCACAGTCTACAATCGCCAATATGCATCCATCTCGTCAAGCCTACGTGGAGGAGGTTGAACCCGAGGTAAGCCTACCCCTCGAACCCCAGCTCCAAGTTCTCGAACTATATTCATATTCTCCCAGAGGTGTCGTCGCTGTCGCAAGTGGGGACCCTGTAGCTGATAAATCCTCCAGGATGTCGGCATCGACCTGGCAAACATCCGTAAGTAATACCTCTTCCCGAATTCCCTTCAGCCTAGCAGACACTTACTCTCCACGTTCAGCTCTCGACCGCGACTATGATATGCCCTCTGCAGGCCCGGGCCTGGCTCCCGAGCGAGCTTCGGCTTTCCAGGAGCAGATGGATAGGAGGAGGAGAGAGGCGCAGATTGTGGTGCCTACAGATGACGAGAGAGTGCGAGCACGACTTAGGGAGATTGGGCAGCCTATAACGTTATTCGGGGAAGATAAAGCGCTTCGACGAGACAGATTACGGAAGCTCCTCGCGATAGAAGCCGAGATCAACGCAGCAGAAGAAGAAGATGGCGACGAGGAAATGCGAGACGCGGCAGACGAGCAGAACGAGCAGGAAGAAGAGTTCTATACCAAAGGCTCGCAGGACTTGGTGGAGTGCAGGAAGCGGATCGCGAGGTACTCGTTGCCGAGAGCGAAGAAGCGGCTTATGGTGCAAAAGGTCGAGGCTACGATTCCGTTACGGACGCACGTCAAGTTCAGGAAGGCGATCAGGGAGCGTCTGCAAGGGTTTGAGCTTCAGGGAAGTCAGACTGCTGGAGAACGACCCGTGAGCATAACACGGTTCTCGCCCAACGGGGAAATCATCGCTGCTGGAAATTGGGGAGGTGGCATCAAGCTGCTTAATGTTCCAGGTCTCGATGTCATACGTACTCTTCGTGGACATACGGATCGAGTTGGCGGAGTCTCGTGGTACCCAGATGCTACACTTCCAGGCAGTACAGTCTCACCAGACTCCGTCAATCTTGCATCAGGAGGCGCGGAGGGAAAAGTGCACTTGTGGTCTCTGAACAAAGATACTCCAATCTCTACTTTAGAAGGTCACAACCAGCGAGTTTGCCGAGTCGAGTTCCACCCCTCAGGTCAATACCTAGCTTCAGCATCGGAAGATACTACATGGCGGCTCTGGGACGTGGAGACATCCACCGAACTCCTTCTCCAAGAAGGTCATTCTCGAGGTGTGTTCACAGTTGCTTTCAATACAGATGGTTCTCTACTCGCCAGTGCCGGAATGGATAGCATAGGTCGCATCTGGGATCTCCGCACAGGACGCACAGTAATGATCCTCGAAGGCCATATCAAGCCCATCTACACTCTCGACTGGGGCTCTGACGGCCACCGCGTCCTTTCCGGCTCCGGCGACGGCTGGGTCAAGTGCTGGGACGTCCGCAAAGTGCAACCAGTGGGCGGAATCGGCGCTCACAAATCCGTCGTCTCGGATCTTCGCTGGTATAAAGGCCAAGACGACCCTTCGACAGGCACTATTCCCGAACTCGACGAGCAAGGTGCGAGGAGGCCGAAGAATTCGGGGACCTTCTTCGTCTCGGGGGGGTTTGACAAGAATGTTAATATCTTCTCGGCGGACGATTGGAGCTTGGTGCAGAGCTTGAGTGGGCATACGGGGAATGTGCATAGTGTGGATGTGTCGAGGGATGCGAGGTGGATTGTTAGTGGTGGTTATGACAGGACGGTGAAGCTTTGGGGGAGGAATGATGGGTTGGGATTGTGAGATGCGGGGCAGCAGAGAGATGAATGAATAAGTACTGTCTAGATGCATGTTGATATACCAAGAAGCAGTAAGGTACAAAAGCTCTCTAAAAGTCCCATAACAGCCGTGGTCCGCAGCACCATTTTGAGTACCGTCTATTGCCTTCAATCAAGTCACCGTCTCGGAGCAAACATGTCGTCTTGATCTTTGCCGAGTCCAGCCCTGAAGATTTTGAGTAGCATGTTCCACTCGCAACACACACCCATACCAATATCCAGAAACCCCAGAACTTTACCACCTTATTTCCCTTTCTTTATCTATCTATCGACCTACTCAAAAAATCCACCACCTACCTACCTACCTACCTACCTCAGAGGTAAAGTTGCCAATACATCTCTCTCTCTCTCTCTCTCTCTCCCTCTCTCCTCTCTCTGTTCATCCAGCCCTCTCAGTACAGGTCATCACTTCTCCCCGTTCGAAATCTTGAATGTTTTGTGTGATAGACAATCACGTTGGAAAAGGGTAATTTGAAGTTGGAAAAACTATGAGAGTGTACATCGATACTTTCCACGAATAGCGCGAGTTGGGCGCGAATAGCGCGGAACGCGCAAAAAACCTCTTCCTCCTCGAACAATAATATCTAAAAGAACAGCACAAAACTATTGACCTGCCAACTCATCCTGATATACCCTTACTCTATCAACTAGAGTGTGGTGTGAAGAAAGTTCTCCTCATGAGATGCATCTCAGTCCATGATATTTGTGGTCCACGGTTTTGTAAGCTGGTTCTATACTTCAGTTCTCGAGTTTCTCACATCAAATAAAGTCCAAGTACTTAATGGGAAATCATCAATTTGATTATCCTTTCTGCTCTCTACACAATCTAATACAAACTACAATGCTATATAGGTATCAAACACTCTAATTCAGGCTCTGGAAAAAGAAAAATATAGCCATGAAAGATGCACTTTACTTCCGTAATTGAAGTTCTTACTCCTTGTCCTCGACCTCAGCCTTGGTAGCGGGGGCAATCTCCTCAACGTGAGTATCCTCCTCACCATTGAGCTCCTCGAGGGTCTTGCGAGCGGTTTCTGGGATGCAGAGGGTGGTGAAGATACCGAGCAACATGAAGAGAGCGAAGATTTGCATGACGTGGTTCAACCATGGGGCGGCAGCACGGCCAGTAGCTCCAGCCTTCTCACCACGGATACGGAGAGGGGCAATAGCGGATTGGGCGATGATGGCACCGATCTTGCCTGAAGCGGCAGAAATACCATGGGAGGTTGAACGGTAACGAGTAGGGAAGCACTCTCCTGGGACGATGAAAGTGGTGGCGTTGGGGCCAAAGTTGCAGAAGAACTGGATGAGAACATAGATGGCGAATAGGCCGTGATTAGAGATGTGGTTGTAGCCAAGTCCAAAGATGCAGAAGAGGATGGTCTGTAAATGTTAGCGCTATATATCTCACACGGCATAGAAGAGACATACAAGGATCGCAAAGCCTCCGAGTTGGATGGTCTTGCGGCCAAGAATGTCGACGGTGGCAACGGTAACCCAATACCCGGGGATGGCACCGGCCAGGACAATGATCAAGTTACCGACGGCAGTGTTGTGAAGGATTTGCCAGACATTAGATCCACCGGAGAAGCCAATGGTAGAGAGGATGACAGGGTTGTTGAGAGAGATACCATAGAAAGCGCTGTTGCCATTAGTAGACGGTTATTAAGCAGAACGGCCCAAGATCTTTGGTAATGTCCCGCACTTCGCTGGACATTCCAAACGAGCTTGATGTAGAAGAAGAAGTAGAAAAGACTTACACATCGAGGAAGAACCAAGAACCCGCTGTGCCGAGGAGGACCTTTCCGTTCTTCCATTGCGAGTAGTAGGAGGTGAAATCCTTGAAGCTGGCCTTGGGGATGGTCAATTTCTCTTCGCCAGCAATACGGCCCTGGACTCGAGTGATCTCATCTGGGCTGCCCTCAGATTTACCAGCTTTATAAGCGGTAACATCATCGGCTGCCTTCTCGACATCACGAGCGACATCGAACGTATAACGAGGAGTCTCGGGGATGGTAAGGCGGTAGTAGAGGGCAATGCATGCAGGTACAGCGCCAAAACCGACGAGGATTCTCCACATCTGCGGGACATAGTTAGTATCATCTTCTGATTGCTCCTTGCAAATTATATATTTTGGACACGAACCTTGTCAACAGCAATACCGCAGACACCCTGGCAGGTGGCATAGGACTTGGCGCTTTTCAGAGAGTCTTTGAAGCCGGCAGTAACAATGATCATGACAATAGCAGCTGTCAATTGACCGAAACCTTGCATAGCAAAAACGGCACCCATCATAGCTATCGTTGAGTCAGCATGAGTTTCATATACTAATTCCAAAGTTGAGCTTGACTAACCTCCTCTCCATTTGGTCGTAGCGAACTCCGAGGTAATGATGGAAGAGAGTGGGTAATCACCACCAATTCCTAGGACATTGTTAGTGGAAGGTCGAAATCTAATTCTGCCAAACCTTACCAATACCCATAAGCACACGCCAGAAGATGATGACACCAACAATGTTAATGGAGTATGAGTTGGAGGTAAGGGCCTGAGCCAAGGTTGCGAAGATGATGACAATGAGTTCCAATCCGTACATGCGTTTACGTCCAACGATATCAGCCAAAGCGCCGAAGCCAAGTTGACCAACGACAGTTCCTGCGGAAGTGGCTACCTTGATGGCAGTATCGGAATCTGTTGGCATAGCACCCTTGCTCTTTGGCCTGTAGATTATTATTAGTTTTAAGCTCTCCACTCCTAAGTTCCATGCTGTACTGACCAGTACACTATACCCAACATGGTGGTAAGGAGACCAACGGCAAAGATATCATAGGAATCCGTGAAGAAACCGATACCGGCCACAATACACGCACGAACATGGTACCATCCGAACGGGGCCTTGTCGATCTCGGCAAGGGCAAGACGTCTTCGCTCATTGGGGTCGGCAATGTGAGCAAAGTCATTGTTGAAGTTGTGGAAGGCAGAGTTGCCTCCTTCCGTTTTGGCGAGAGGAGCAGACATTGCTGCTGCTACTATTGTGAAGGCAGAGGATTATCGAGAGAGAGGGGAGGAGGGAGGAGGGAGGTCGATAAAAGAGTGAGCTGGCTGCTTGGGAGTCTTCTCTCCAAACGAAAACATGGGAGGGATGAAGGCGGTATTTAGCTTTAGCTTTAGCTATGAGGCGTGTTTGGTGGAACCACGGGCGGGCGTGCTCGCGAGGGAAGGCACGATGGAGAGCAGCGTGCAAGACAGAAAAGAGGGATGATTCACCCAGGCACCGTGCAGGTGAATACGATACGGCAGGTCCGACTCTAGGGCCTTGTTGGGGCCCAGTTGGAAGTCCAGGATGGGCCACAAACGGTCTCACAGTCATCTGGTGGGTGGTTTGTGGTTTGTGGTTTTTGCTTTGGGGCCCAGGAGAGATCTCGAGATTAGACCGGGACGTAACTAAGCATCATCAGACGATGCTCGCGAGGCTGGCGAGGCTGAACCCCCCGAAATACCTCTCAATGTCGAAGGGCGTGGATGAAACGGTCCTATGGGAGGCGGCGACGGAAGCACGTTGTTAAATCTACGAGTGTGAGCGGACGACGCAGTTGTGGCAGGGCCGCATGGGAGCGACCCCGGCCATGGAGGCTTTGTCTCTCCTCGCTACACACCAATTCTGCGCATCTGAGATTATTGGCAGGAGCCAGACCTGACTGCGATGAAAATGGTACTGTAGAATGTGAGTTAGTGCAGCGTAGTGGAATACAGTGCAGCAATAGTGGATGAAGTTAGACAGTAGGTTGAATTTCCTAGTGGATGCATTCAATTCGGGGCGAGCGCAGCACAGGGGTTTCGGTAGGGTCCTGGGGTCTAGTCTAGTCAGCCGAAGATATAGTGTGTACTCCGTAGTACTCTACAGTAGTGCAGATCATCATCCTCGACTCGCTTGTCTGGCGGAGAACCAGGAGCATGGGCCAGAGGGCTCACTTCACTCCCAAGTCAATATCCCAGCCAGACGAGAACATTGAAGTCGACAAGCTCATTCGTCTGGTCGACACATCCACATCCACATCCACATCCAGGTACCTACCCATTGATCATCGTTCATCGTTCATCGTTCAGCCTTCAGCCCATCGAAAAGGCCTCGGGCGAAGCTGCACATGCACCTGCATTGACCCCTCCAAAACCCAAGATGCAGACGTTGCCAAGCCTCATGGAACATTCTTAGAAGCTCAATGTCTTGGGTGACACGCCCTGACCACCTCGAATCCTGACGACAGCTGAGACCTCGCGCCATGATTCGGCGAGCCGCAAACACGTTCTTCAGCGGGAAGCGGAGAGAGGTCGAATCGTAATGTCTAGGACCAGCCCGTGAAAGATGAACTGCTCTCGTCCTTCTCCAGCTTTGCCATCCAGCCTTTGCTTTTGCCTGGCACTTTTGGAAAGGCGACCCGAGTAGAATGGTCACCGAAACTCAGGAGGATATTACAGTACACGTTAGGTAAAATCATCAGAGCTCCGAGAATCCTGTTCCGTTGGTACCAATTTGCCGGAAGACATGTTTGGAAAGATTTTTCCAGCAGAGATGTCTAATCAAGCTTCTTCCAAGCAGACCAACAAGCTTCTCGAGAGCCACCACACTGGACCCCAAGAGCAAAATCTTCCACATCACGGATCCCAAGAATTTCTTAGCCCAGAAAGAGGCGTCAAAGCCACGTCCGGATCTTACCAGGATAGCCGCTGGGTCTCTGAAAACCAGCCGCAAATGGAGATGTGTCAAGTGGCTCTCTCGCTCGCATTGCATAAATGAGATCTTCAAGCGTGGAGTTCTCCATAATCATCCTGCTGAGCACGTTGCCATTGCCATGCAAGTAGTGTCCAATTCAGCTCTTTTCTCCAAGCAAGTCCGTGACCGAGCTCGCCGTCCGCACACATCCCACCCGTTTTCTTCATCCGGTTCTCGAAGACGACTCGACCGAAGCGAGAATGTACGATGGCCATGGAGCACATGACGCATGGTTCGTGGGTACAGTAGATCTCGAGGTCGTGGCATAGATATCCATTCTGGTTGCCGTCCGGGTCGAAGTGTTTTTTCTCGATTGAAAGAATTGGGTGGTCCTGAAAAATGTCGATAGTCTCTTGGCACTGCACATCCGAAACTCCAGAGGTCAGCCTAGGTGTGCCATCTCGTTCTTTATCGGTTACTGAAGCGTTCTGTTGTTTGTCGTAGCTTGGCATTGAATTTGGGGCGGACTCCGCTGACGAATCTGACGCAATGGGTACGGTCAAATCTACCTCGTGGTGTTTTGATATGCCAGTCGACAGAGTTGGCTCTGGAGGAATAGCAGTATTGGGAAGCTTTTTGTGGCCGGTAGGTATAAGATCCTCGGACCCATTGTGGGCTTCAATTGCGTATTTTGATTGAGCGAAGTGGTGTAGTCCGTATTCAGAAAGGGTCGAACTATCACCGACAGGAGCAATCCCCGACTCTCTCGAGACTTCAACTGCAGATCCTCCCTCATCAAGCAGCTCTAACTTCGAACTCGTCGAATCCTCAATCACACCGGAAGAGCCTCGACTCAACTCATCCCTCCTCTTCAAAGACCCAGCAATCATCCCAATAACCCTCATCACAGCATGAGCCGTCACATTCCCACCTCCCACCCCCTTCTCCCCCAAAACACAGCCAGACCACCTCCCATCACCCGCAACAGCAACAACTCTCCCCTTCCCACCTTTCCTCTCAACAACCACGACTCCGACCTCCTCTCCAAAACCAGCCTCACTCGCTTCCCTCGCAACTCTATAAGCAAGATCCATCCATCCTTGCACCTCCCCCCGAATCTCCTCCTCGGCCCTCGAAACAATACTCGGATGCGGCCCAAACGGATTACTCTTCTTGTACACCGTCGGCCAATACAGCTTCGTCCACACCTTAGCCTGATCCATCGACGTCGGAGCCAGCAGCGGGACCTTGGCCGTAAATATCTCCAGGTCTTTAACCGTCGAAGAAAGCCCATCCCTGAGATCAGCCAACGAGACAGCACTCACAGGCCCAACAATCAGCAACAATCTCCCGTCCTCCCCTCCTGAGCCATTGTTTGCAGCAGCAGCAGCGAATGAGCCCCTCACATGCTCCGGAACCTCACTAACCTTCGCAAAGCGGCGCAAATGCTGGAAATCGAGTCCCCCATCCTCAGGAACCAGTTTCCGGATCAAACTACCCCAACAATCAGTCATTTTTTTCATCTCTTTCCCCGATCATCAGATCAGAGCCTCGCATGAAAACCACAAAAACAAGTAAATAAAGATATCGAAAATACTACGGAGAAGGGAAGTCCAACAAACGCAACGCAACGCACCTCAAACTCCCACTAGCAGCCTTGACAGGAACAGCCGTGACATAGACCTCGACAACCATATCCCTCCTCCTCGTCTCGAGGGTCGTTTTCAACGGCACTAGACGGCCCTGCATCCTCGTCCCTCCCTTTTCTCTTTCTCACTATTACCAAAATCTCCAGAGAAGAGAATTTCGGGTATGCAACTTTGCAATACTGTTTGTTTGTTTGTTTGTGACTTCGTTGACCGAGGCAAAGGCCAAGCCAAGGCTAGAAACCTACCTAATGCAAAATTTCGGTAGCCTCGCACACGTGATGTTGTCCGGGAGCTAACGAATTAAGCTTTTGCAGGGTCTGACCCCTGGACCCTGGACCTGGATTTAGGGTCTCTTGGTTCCTGTCCTGGTTGCTGGGGACGGAAGTGAAGGGATGTGAATACATATCACCATGATTATTTCTCCAGCGCTGGAAATGTCCCAGGATTTGAGAAACAATTCGGTTTCTCCCAAAAGTATTTATTGATGATCTATTCGATTTTGTAAATCTACCAGGATTTAAGGGGCAATTCGGTTCTCTTTAAGCTACATATTAATAATCCAGTTTGATGCTGTATGAGTGACAAAGTTAGAAAGGCTCAGGGGCGTGCTGTAATGTTGAACACATCATTATCACGCATCTCACATCACGTTAGCACAGTGCAAGTTGATGGATCATTTCTTTATTCGTAAGTCTAGTTACAAGTTTAAGTGAGTTTTCGCAGTTGCAGACAAGCAAAAGCAAAATATCCCTTTCCCCTGCGGAAACAACCAGATCTCGGAAAGAAAGAATAATGATGTGTGTATGTCGCATGGAAGGTTTGCTGTTGTCCACTCTTTCCTTTTCAATGAAGATACCAGAGGCAAAATCAGAGAAGACGAAGAAAGAAGTAGAAGAACGAGCAAGAACCCTTTTTCTTTTCAGGAAAATCACCGATTATGTGTGCAACCTTGAAGAAAAAAGAGAACAATTGCATGCGAAAAAGCCAGGCATTTTTTGGACGGAAAGACAGATGGGCTGTGAGGGTACAAAGTTGCACCAGACTGTCGAGGGATGAAACTATCCTGCGAGAGCAAGCTCAAGCCGGATTGTTAAATCGGAAGGACAGTTGGGCAGTCGGAAAATAAAGGGCAGAATGTGTCGAAGACACAGTGTCTGCTCGGGAATGTCGAAGTGAAGTAGAAGGCGCCCATATGACAAGCAAGAAAGCAATCCACCGTCAAAGAAAAGCAAGCAAAAGAAATGAAAATGTCTATGTCGTCGCCCCCAACCCGGTACAGGTACAGATCGAGTGCGCCGTGCTCGTGTTGTACCTAGCGCTGAGAAATTGTCGTTGCGATTCGTTGCCGAGATCTTTTGTGATCGAGCTACTATTGTACAAGGGCAGCAGAAAATGGACCGTTTTTGCCATTTTCGTGATGCATGCGTTTTGCGAATGTCGATCGAAAGGAAAGTCTGCGCCAAACCAGTATCTCTGGATGCTAATGTAACAACAAAGGGCCGTGAAAGTCGTATGAGAAAACAGTCGTTGCAGGAGGCAAGATCGAAAGGTAATGCAGAAAGGTGTTCTTCGAGAAGAATACCAAACGAAGCAAACCGAGGTGTATCGCGCATCCAGTTGAAAAGGGATCATTCCTCGTACCGTTACAATCGTAAAGATCATCTCATCGTTACGAAATGGCCTTTAGACCCAATTGCCATTGCCAATCTGACCTGCACCTCGACCATAAGGGAATTGGAGGGTTTGGGGAGGAGTGACTTGCTCGGTGGAAGGGAAACCACCTGGCTGAACAGCAGGGCGATTTCCTCCTAGGCCATTGTTGTTGCCGTTAGCGGGAGTGTAGGAACCATTTGGGTAACCACCACTGGGAGAAGTGAAGTGGCTAGCAGAGACAATAGATGGACCACGCTGGTGACGAGTGTTACCTTGACCAGGGTCAGCCTCGTTGGGAGTAGCTTGGCCGCTGTTAGGACCACTGCGACCCTCATTGCCTTGGATCTTAGCCTGGATACGACGACCGTAGGGAGTGGTGCGGATAGCAGGGAGATAAGGGCGGATAGCATCGATGAGTTGGACCTTCTTGACAGGATTTGCATAGTCAAGGGCGGTTTGGATGACATAGTTGGCAAAGGAGTCTCGGAGCAGACGATCAAGCTCGGTAGGCTGAAGCATCTCGTCAATGAGCATGTCCTTGGACGGCTCTTGAGCACAGCGCAAGCACTTCTCAATGACGTTGGAGCTGAACTTCTGCTTTGAGAGTTGACCAACACGACCACGGAACATCTGGACAAGGGGCTCGGTGAAGACTGGCTCGTTCAGATCCAGGATATACTGAACGACATAGTTGCCAAATGGATCTTGAACCAAGACATATGCATTGTTGGAAATTTGTCGAATCAGCCAGGCCTTCTGCTCACCTGACGCGTGATCAATGCAGCGTTGAAGGACACAACAACCGTGGCGATGAGTACCGACGTCAACACAGTGATGTCCAACAGCATCAAAGATGAATTGAGCATCGAGAGAAGACAGCTTGTTCAAGCACTTCTGAATGACATGGTTGCCATTGAGGTCCTGGATAAGCTCGACGACTCGGAAGCGAAGAGCCTCAATGATGGTTTGGATTTGACCGGGAGTAGAGATAAACTCGATCATCTTCTGCAGAGCTCGGGTTCCGTGTTGGTTGAGGGCAATTCGTACCATATCATTAGCAGCATTCTCAATAAGAACAGTGCGTTCCTCATCGTTGCAATACTCCAGAAGCTTTTGGCAGAGATAGTTGCCGAACGGATCGGTCATCAACTCAACGACATGTTGATTGGTCTCAAGCCAGATCATGTGAACCTGTTCCGGGTTGCGATCCTCGAGCTTCTTCTGCAGATAGCGACAACCATGTTGGTCCTTGCACAATGTATAGATCTCTCCGCCAAGAGTCTCCAGAGCCATGTTGGCGAATCGATTCATGACTGCAAGCTATTAGTAAGAGGTTTGTGGGTACAACATGAAAAACTTACCCTCTCCGTCATTCTGGCGTCTCTGTTGAATGACACGGGCTTGGCTATCGCGCTGTGGGGGAGCTTGACCGTACATAGCACCACCACCATAACCAGCGTATTGAGGGGAGTACATTGGTTGTGGAGCAAGCTGCATGTTTTGCATACTCATGTTCAACATATTATAGCTGTTATAATATTGTTGTTGGACTGGATAGGCTTGCGGACCAGTAGGCGAAGTGACAGCAGCGGTCATCGGAGCTTGAGACATGCTTTGAGTCAAGGACGGGCCGAATGCTGGTGCATTGGGGTGAAGAGCCGATGAGATTGAGTGGTAAGTACCGTTCTGAGCCTCACGCAGGGTGGCAGCCTCTGGGGAGGTCATCTCACGGCTGAGTCTGTTATTCATACCGTTTGGTGGAATGCGACCCAAGCTGGCATTGTGGTTGTGCAAGTGCTGCTGAGCATGAGAGTTGGGTGTGGTATTGATGGCATGGACACCGTTTCTCATCGTAGGAACATCGTTGGCAGAGTAGGAGGACTGCAACTTCGGCGGGGTAACTTGTGGCTTGGGTGACGACATCGGAATGTTATCTTGGCCTTGACCATCAACGTATTTCAGATCGAGAGAGTGTCTGAAAGAGTTGGATCGGCTGGAGATGGGAGACTCAGAGACATTGGCCTGGGAGTTTGAGGTCGAACCGTTTGCTTGGGCCTGACCCTGGGCTTGAATGCTACCTGGCAGAATCTGCTGGGACTGGGATGCGCGATGGCGGGTGAATGCACTCCATCCATTGGATTCAGGTCCGGTGGATTGGGCGAGCGCAAGATCAAGCGCAGCCGAGGAAGCGGAAAGCTGCATGTGGCGGTCAGTGGTGTGCAGGCTAGAAGGCTTCAAAGAACGTACCTGACTAGGGAAGTCCTGGTTGCGGATAAGGATTGGGAAGTTCTCAGCAGTAGTGTTCATGTCCAAATAGGTATTGACATCAGGTGATGCAGTTCCACCCTCTTCCTCTCCGAAGAGAAAGCGAGCTGTATTGGTCTGGTCGAGGGACAGCATCTCGTGCATGCCGTTGCGGGATTTGGTGACTGGCATTGAGTATCTGTTCAGACTTGAGGGTCGTTAGTTACGGGTTTCTTGACAGAAGATTGAGAAATGCTCAGATCGACAAAGGTGAATAGGGGATAAGGTTGAAGAGTTCGCAAGCAATGGCGGATAAGTATTTGACTGGTCTGTTGTACAGCGAACGATCCTGATCCGTAGACAGAAGTCTGCGCACCAACAAAGCTCGGTTTGAAGTTGTTGATAGAAGAGTTGGATTGAGGGTGAAGTAGATCGAAAGTGTGGAGAAGGAGGAAGAAGAAGGAAATCTGGGGTAGAGCTAGTACTTGCTTGCGTCGTCCGAACTCGTTAGCGCCGTCCGTTTTGCAGACTCGAAAGTGAAGTCTTTCCAAAAGATGTCGGAGGTTCGGAGCTTATGTTGATAGAGCCAAAAAATTTCGCCGAAATTAGACGAAGGAGTGCTTGAGGATATACCTCGAAGCGAACGCGATCCAAAGCAAAGGCAGTAACGCCCAAACAACGCAACTAAAGACACCAAAAACGCAAAGGGAGGTGGTTGTGGATGAAGTTGGTTGAGGTTGGAGGAGGAAGAAAATTCGAAAGAGGAAGTGGAAGGTTTTATGCACTAGTTGTGTGCCTGACGAGGGTGGTCTCGCACTATGCCCGTCCTGTCCGAACGTCCAGAGTCGAGCTAGCGGGGGTATGCTCGCGGAGGACATCATTGTGATATGTTTATCTAGAAGCGAATCCCAAATTCACAACTGGCAATGTCTAGAGTCAAAGCACAAACCTCACTGAGGATTGCAAGACCCTTTGACCTTTTTGACCTAATCGATCTGATATTGGGACACGAAGCCAGCGATACAAGTGTACAAATCTGCCCAGCAAGAAGAACACAAGTACGTACGCATTTGTAGCCCTATGGCTCGTAGGATCTTGTCTCACGGCCTCCTCCTTCTCTTCTTCGTCCGAATTGCGTCTTGAGCCTGGAACAGACTTGGAGGGCAGCTTGTCGTCCATCATGAATCGAGATTGTATGATTCCTGATTGAGGAGAAGTGAGTTGAGAGCCCGATCTCCCAGGTCGATTGTACAATCCTGGGGGAGAAGTAAGACTCGAAGTCGAGTATCGATTTGGTCGGGAAAAGACAGAGGGGAAGCCTGAAGTGGATTCTCGATATTCGGGAGGAGTCGTTGGTTCTGATTGGTGGCCCGCAGTGTTATTATTTGTTCGGCCGAGGTCTTCTTGCATCTGGGCAAGTTCCTGTTCTTCGCGTCGTTGTTGAAGGTCCAGCAATTGCATTTCAGCCTCGAACCGCCGCTTCTGCTCGCGAAGTCTCTCGTACTCGAGCTTCTTCTTTTCGAGTAATTGTACTTTGTAATTCTGAAACAATGGTAAGTTAGCCAACTGATTTCTTTGGTAATGTGTTGTGCAACTTTGACAATGGTTAGGCGTCGACCGCCTTGGGTGGCTGGGGATAATGGTCGTTAAGGAGACAATACATACCGAAGGCCCAAAATCAGAAGAATCCGGCTGGCCACGCTGAATGGTTATTGTTGACAATGTCGGCACTCGAGATGAATCGGTAGTAAATCTACGCATCAAACCGCCGCCTCCTCGTCCGTCCTGCAAAGGCTGAGGCAGGCGAGTGCCATTCGAATTCCTTGGGGGTGAGAGCAGGGACGCCTCGTGCTGCCCTCTGAAGCGCAGATCTCGATCGCTAGAGCCATTGTATCCTGCCATATTGTATACACTATACTACTATTTCTGTCAATTTCTACTCTGCATTGTGTGGAAGTCTGGAAGCAATTCTCAAGTGGGGTACGGTGGGAGCTTGCGAATACCGGTGAGGACAGCGACGTCGAGGGCAGGGAAGAGGAAACATACGCACATATAAGAAATAAATATCCAAGAAATAAGATAGAGAGAGCGTAATCGTGCCTCAGAGCACGCTCTGCTGCTTGTCGACCCTGGCGTTGTTCTTCGTCGAGAGCTGCGAGCAAGCAGAGGGAAAGTGCAGTCTCGCTCGTCGCTTCGTAAATCCTTAGCGTGGGTTAGGGACCCCCTACACTACTGTACCTAGAGTCCGTGGCACTGAACACACTCTTTTCTCAAGAAGTCTAGAAATACATTTTTATTTGGTTTTGTCTTTGGTACAAGCAGCAGCATTCGTTCAAATAGATGAATCTCCTCAGAAGTTGAATGGCTATAACATAACACGCTGGTCTTGCATGCATCAACACCACCAAGCCAGACCCAGACCATGCCAGACAGCAGCACAATTATCCAAGCACGCCGCAGCCGCAGGAAACAAACTACTGTACAGTATTTCCCCCTTCGTTGAACAGTTCGGAGACCCACAATTTAAGTCGTTCGCCATCTGGTCATCCTTCCAGCCATTTGATGGGTCCGCCATTATTGGTCGACCGCACAGTTCTCACGCCTCTGCTCTCTTCACCGCGAGAAGTATAGCACTGCACCTCCGTAATAATGAGGCGACTCAGGCGAGAGGTGAGCCGTGACGGACTGGCATTGGACCTTCGAGCAGAATCGACAACTCACTTTTTCACGCCTGGGGTTGATTGGAGTTTTGTTCGTGCTCGATCAACTAGGTTAAGGATGTCGAGGCTTCGATTTGATGAAACTGGAGCTTTCTCCGCCTCGACGCTCAGTGTGTCAAAAACTTCAGGACAACGAAAAGCTTGATTTGGCACCTCCATAGTCTTCACGTTATCTGGATCCGAAATGCCTGCTTGAATATGGGAATTTGTAAGTTCAAGTGGCGAAACTCAAAAACGCCATTGAGTTGCGATCAGCTTCCTCGCTGCCAGGGATACTGAGTTGGGATTTCCCCTCACATATGCCGCTCTTCTGACAGCTCGGGATGTGCTTGCAAATGCTTGGGCATATCGCTGCTAGCCATGCGCAGCTTCCGTGCCTCAGAGCATGTATGAGAAGCCCTAACACTCTCAATGTATATCTTTGCTTCCTGCGTGCCCCTTCAAGATTTGGTTTGGCCCCTGAAAAGAGGGGTTTGGCACAGCGGCGAGTCGACTCGAACATTAGAAATTGCCGCCGCCAATGAGCCTTCCTACGAATCAAATTATGTTGGACGGACTTTACAAAATCCAACGGCACGGAAGCAGAAGGCCCTGCATTTGACCAACAGCGGTGAGCCGGGATGTTCAATGTTTTAGTAAATCGAAGAAATGGACTGTCGGGGGCATTAAAAGGAACACATGAAAGAGTATCTTGAAATGGGATAATTCATGTTTATTATTTATCAGCTTGATTAACAAATTATTGCGTTTTTGGATATTGCAATGCTAATTCACCATTCAAAAGACAGTTCGCGGCTAGACCCGCAGGCGGTATGCCTATTCAAGGGTGTACAAAACAGTGACCAGATAACTTCAAATTTCAAACAGATTTTACATTCAAAGAATTGCTACAACGTAAATACTTCTTAAAATCCTTGGGAAACTGGTTTGCCACTTCAATAATTTCCATGTTGCATTGATTCAGCACGTGATATCGTCACCCACCAATTTTGTGGCAGAATCTCAGCTTCCGCGGGGTACCTGGATTATTTTTATTTTGGCCATGACATTTTTCGACAGCTGCGCAACTCAACCTCAAAATCAGAGTCGCCCGCATGCCTCCAAAGAAGAAGCCGCAGGGTACTGGCTCCGTCGAAGTCGCACCTGGGAAAGCTCCTGCGAAAACAGTAAGCTCTTTTTCTTTTTGTGTATTGGAAGCTCACAGCTAACTATTTAGTCACAGACTGGAGATACCACAACAGAAGGTACCACAGATGCTACGAAACGAAAACGAACAACGAGACCGAAACCTCCTGCGCCGGAAGAACCTCTGGGCCCAAGAGAAGATGATGGCTTTGCGGCGCTTCTCGAACCGTTCTACTCTGGCAAAAGCTTGACCGATCCTATAGATACAGCTCGAGTACCTGACATCCGTACAAACTTATTGGCAGAAGTACTGACAAAACAAACTTAGGATAAATGGAATCTTTTGCCTGCGTTCTTGAAGGTCAAGGGTCTAGTCAAGCAGCATATCGACTCGTTCAACTATTTCGTTGAGCATGACATTAAAGCTATTGTAAAGGCAAACAGTAGGGTCCTTAGTGATGTTGACAAGGCATTCTTTTTGGAGTCAGTATACCAATTGTTGTCTATTGACTATGACTAACTTGTACTAGGTATTCAGATGTCCGAATTGACCTGCCAGAGCGCTTAGACTACGACGACCGAAAGCCACTAAATGATATCACACCGAACGAATGTCGTCTGCGGGACTTGACTTATGCCGCTCCAATTCGAGTGGATATAAAATATGTTCGAGGAAAGCAGGTCGTTACTAGGACGAATATTGCTATTGGACGATTGCCTATAATGCTTCGCAGCTCGAAATGCCGACTTGCAGGCAAAAATGATCGCGAAATGGCGTTCATGAACGAGTGTGCGTTGGATCCGGGAGGATATTTCATCGTCAATGGCACAGAAAAAGTCATATTAGTGCAGGAGCAGTTGAGCAAGAACAGGGTCATTGTCGAATCGGACGCAAAGAAGGGGATTGTCTCTGCATCTGTAACCAGGTTAGTTGATAGCACTTCTACCCGAGAAAAGCACTAATTTATGATAGCTCTACACACGAACGCAAATCCAAGAGCTATGTCCTGCTGAAGAAAGAACGAATTTATCTCCAACATAATATATTGCAAGAGCCAGTCCCAATTGTCATCGCATTGAAAGCTTTGGGCATCCAGTCAGACCACGAGATGTTGCTCTTGGTCGCTGGCACAGATAGCAAATATCAGGACGAATTCTCGGTGAACTTCGAAGAGGCGAGCAAACTTGGGGTCTTCTCTCAGCACCAAGCTTTAGAGTATATTGGACAACGGGTCAAGATGGGTGCTCGCAACAAGACACAAGGGACACCAAACCGTCGATCTCCTATCGGAGACGCTCTCGAGGCACTGGCAAACATCATCATAACGCACGTTCCCGTTCACAAATTGGATTTCCGACCAAAGGCACTCTATGTTTGTTTCATGGTTCGTCGCGTCTTGATGGCAATGTACGACCCCAAACTAGTTGATGATCGTGACTATGTCGGGAACAAACGCCTCGAGCTTGCTGGTCAATTATTATCCTTGCTGTTTGAAGATCTGTTCAAGAGATTCAATTCAGATCTGAAGATGAATATCGACAAAGTCTTTAAGAAGCCGAATCGGACTCAGCTAGTAGATGCATACAATCATTTACAATCTACTGGAAATATCATCACTAACGGTATGGTCCGTGCAATTGCTACTGGCAACTGGAATGTCAAGAGATTCAAGATGGACAGAGCTGGCGTCACTCATGTTCTCAGTAGACTGAGTTACATCAGTGCCCTTGGGATGATGACTCGTATTAGCTCTCAGTTCGAGAAGACCAGAAAAGTCAGTGGCCCCAGAGCTCTTCAACCCTCGCAATTCGGCATGCTTTGCCCCTCTGATACCCCCGAAGGAGAAGCTTGTGGACTTGTCAAGAATCTTGCACTTATGACTCACATCACCACGAATGACGAAGAAGATCCTGTGAAGAAGCTAGTCTTCGTTCTTGGTGCGGAAGATATCGTCTCGATGAGCGGCAAGGAGATCTATGCAGAGGGCGCCTATGTTGTCTTCGTAAACGGTACACCTTTGGCTTTGACGAGACAGCCGAAACTTTTCCTAAACTCGTTTCGTAAGTTTCGACGTATGGGCCGAGTCTCGGAATTTGTGAGTATCTATATCAACCATCACACCAATGCCGTGCATATTGCTACCGATGAGGGCCGAATTTGTCGTCCGCTCATCGTCGTAGAAAACCAGAAATCGAAAGTCACCAAACGCTCTTTGGAAGCTCTGCGCAAAGGCACGATGGAGTTCGACGACTTCCTCTACAAGGGACTTGTTGAGTATGTCGATGTCAACGAAGAGAACGATTCAAATATTGCTTTATACGAGAACGAGATCAATGACACCACAACCCATCTTGAAATCGAGCCTTTCACTATCCTGGGCGCAGTTGCTGGTCTCATCCCATATCCTCACCACAATCAATCCCCGAGAAATACGTACCAATGTGCTATGGGCAAGCAAGCTATTGGTGCTATTGCATACAATCAATTTGCAAGGATCGATACCCTTCTCTACCTTATGGTGTATCCTCAGCAACCTATGGTCAAGACTCGAACTATCGAGCTCATTCACTATGATAAACTTCCAGCTGGGCAAAACGCAACAGTTGCTGTCATGTCATATTCAGGCTATGACATTGAAGACGCATTAGGTTGGTTATCCAATTTCTTTTCACGTATTCGCTCCAGTGAAGGTTTTTTTTGTTTTTTTTTCCCTTGTACCGCGCTTCTTGATTCTTTCTCCCGGTTATATTGTTCCGCTCCTGGTCCAATACTCCTACTTCTATCAATGTCTGCACCGACACTGGACATTAAAACAACCCATATGAAAAATGCTAACTTGCTACCTAGTGTTGAACAAAGCTTCCTGCGATCGGGGATTTGGACGATGCCAGGTTTTCAGAAAGAATGCGGCAGTGCTGAAGAAGTATCCCAACAGATCTGAAGATCGTTTGGCAGATCCTATGAAGGACGAGAAAGATCCTACTAAATTAATCTATAAGCATTCGGTTCTAGAGCCAGATGGCTTGGCCATGGTGGGAGAAATGCTTCGTGTCGGGCAGACCATGATCAACAAGGAAATGCCACTCAATACCACTTCGACAGGAATAGGCTCGGACTACGGAACAAATGAGCACAAGCCTGCTCCCATGAACTATAAGATACCCGAACCCAGTTACGTTGATAAGGTAATGCTTTCGCAGCAGGAAAATGAGTCATTAGTTGTCAAAGTCCAGACTCGTCAAACCCGACGACCTGAACTAGGAGACAAGTTCTCATCTCGACACGGACAGAAAGGTGTCGTTGGTATTATTGTCAATCAGGAGGATATGCCATTTGCAGATACGGGAGTCACACCAGACATTATCATGAACCCGCACGGTTTTCCCTCTCGTATGACAGTTGGCAAGATGCTGGAGCTTCTTTCGGGCAAGGCAGGTGTCTTGAATGGTACGCTCGAATACGGTACTGCATTTGGAGGCAGCAAAGTCGACGACATGGGACAGATTCTCATCAATCATGGCTTCAACTATTCGGGGAAGGACTTTGTCACTAGCGGCATTACTGGCGAGTCTTTGCCAGCGTACATCTTTTTCGGGCCCATATACTACCAGAAGCTGAAGCACATGGTTCAAGACAAGATGCACTCCCGTGCCCGCGGACCTCGAGCAATCCTTACTCGCCAACCAACAGAAGGTCGATCCCGAGACGGAGGTCTTAGATTAGGGGAGATGGAACGCGATTGCTTGATCGCCTACGGAGCTAGTCAATTGCTACTCGAGCGATTGATGCTTAGCAGTGACGCACATGAAGTCGACATCTGCGAAGTTTGTGGCTTGATGGGATACCAAGGATGGTGCCAGACCTGCAAGAGCACGCGGGGCGTGACACGTATGACGATGCCATACGCGGCAAAATTACTCGTGCAGGAATTACTAAGTATGAATGTCTTGGTGAGGTTGAAGCTCGAAGACGAGTTTCCACACCCCAGGAAAGGAGGGTGAGAGTTTTTATGACTCATGTGCTCAAGACGGTTGGCTGCATATGGAGGCGTTTCCGAGAACATGGATGGTGCATAGCCCTTGGCGCAAAAAATGTATTCTTTTGTAGATTGTATCGTTGTCGAAATATCTGCCCAATTTCGAGTCGAACCGTGCATGCATATGTGATGTGCCCAATCTGCAAGTGTTGTGATCTGATGTCATTGAGCATGAAATTCCAGCTATCATTAGAAGCTTTTTCTAAGAGATTCTTTGAGATTCAGCTTTCGTTGCAAGGATACTGTTTCTTCAGTGTGAATGCATGTGAAGTCTATCGATCAAGGTCCCAGCATGCAGTAATTCTGAAACTCAAAGTACAGTGTGCTGGCTCATATTCAGGCATTGTAAAAGTCCCAGCATTTGAAAGATAATGAGGTATTCTAAATAGCATTGTCTCTAAAATTTCATCCAATGCCACATGCTTGGCACTGACGTATACAACGGGATATACACTGTATTCAATGCATAGCAAAGATGACTTCATTCGTCCCTTGAGCCTCATCCACATGAGAGAACTTATGCATCAATCCATCAACAAAACACTCTCCCACAAACCTACAATGCTCAATGACCTTTCCCCTCCCAGCAGCACCAATCGCCATTCTAATCTCTTCCACAACATCCTCTCTCCTAGCTCCAAACATCCATTCCCGCCACCCAACTCCTTTTTTCCACTCCTCCTTCCCCTTCCTCCTCAAAACAAACACACCTCCACCCCTAAAAACAACAATTAAATCACCCACCTCAGCATCAAACGGAACCAAAGCCCACACTTCCGTCGAGGTCCTCGCTAACCGCCGTTTGTAAACTAAAGGGTGAGAGCGAGAGATGAGGTTCGTGACTGTGGAGAGCTTGGTCCCGAGAGGAGAGAGGAGGCCGTGTTTGATTAGGTGGCGGAGGTTGTGGGGGGCCCAGTTCATTGTGCGGCCTATGCCTTTTGGGTGTTACTTTTAGAAGGGAATAGGGAGGGAGAGGGAGACGTACTTCCTGGTGAGGGCTTGATGGAGGAGGTGTCGGGGCTGATGGATTGGATTGCTGAGTAGGTGGTTCCTAGGCAGGCTAGAATGGAGTGCGAGGGGAGGTAGGCGTATTGTGGTTTTGAGCTTGATGAGGTTGGAGAGGGAGGGATCCACCGTAGTAAGTTAGTACCGGGTTTTCTCTTTATGATGTGGATCGAAGAAGATGCAATTTTCCTCGCGAGTGTAGTTTAGTAGTAGCATTTAAGAAAGATTGAAGAAAATTATTGCTTACATCGACAATCTTATGCTTGTATTCGCTTCGGACTCGCCAATCTGGTGCCCAAGATGGGATTTTGGACAAATGCTGTCGTGAAGGGTCTTGAGATTGTCCTGCGTGGCTGAGGACTTCGTATGTTTTGTTGTGGTCCAGAAGATATTTCACTGTACTAAATTCACAGTTAGCCCTGTTATTGAAGAAATTGTAGAACAATTGGAATGTGTCTTACTCCATGTATACTCTCGCTGGAGATTTTTCGTACGTGATACTCAAATCCTCCCATTTCTTCGGCTTCCTTGCAATCCCAGAAATAGCAAACACCATATCCCTCCCATCACTAGCCTCTAATCCTCTCTTACCAACCAGCAAATCCAAAAGTCCCATTCTGCCCTCAAACTCCCTCCCTCCACTCATATCCCACCTCGGTAATGGCTCAGAAATCCCTTGACTAAGTCTATATGCTCTTCTTTCCCAATACATATCTTCTAGTCTCTGTCGTGCTTCATTTCCGTACCCGCTTCCAAAGATGGCTTTAGGCTCAGGTGCGAGGAGGGCGATGATGGCTTGACAGAATGTGTCCCAGGGGACTTTCATGTTGCCACATTGGATCCAAGGATTGGGAGAGACAACTATCTCTTGGAATATCCAGATTCGGACCCAGTACGGGCGCCAAAGAATCTTGAAGGCTTGTTCTATCAATTCATGTTTTCGCATTCCAGAATTTGAAACGAGACTATTGACCACAGCTGCTTTTGTTGTAGCTGTCAAGATGCTTGGACTTGACGATTCAATAGCTTGAAGTAAGGCATCTGAGCCTGCTGTTGCTTCTCCCAGAAATACCGTGGTGGACCGAGAAGCGGCGTAGATAGATCTCATTTGAGAGACGTGGAAATTCCTTTCCTCGACGTCGTCTTGGTTGATACAGATGCTATCGGCCCACAACTTTACCACGTTCCGAGGAGCTCTTAGATGCCTAAGTGCTCGTTCAAGGTTCTGGGTAATATGGAAAGGACGGCCATCAATCTCTATCTTCGCTTTGGGAACAGGATTTCCCCATGTATAAGAGAGTGCTGTGTAGCCTTTCTGATTGCCTTGACCAGACTCGGAGCCCCATGACGACTCAATCATGCGGCAGCTGATTGGAGAGGTGAGATGTGGAGCAGGTTGAAGGAGGATCAGACGAAACGCATCTCGGGGTCCTGTCAAGAGCTTATATGAGTAGGACGGAATGCGGGGAAAGGCGAGAATAGTCTGGATTATGGTTGAGAGTTCGAATTTATGGTGCATCACGCTCGAGACGCAGACTCGGCTATGAGGGATCGAAAAGGGGTACCTTTGTTCACATGGCGTGCTTTTGCTGAAGAAGGAGAATAAATGACTTCGATAACTTCGAGCCGCGGAGGACCGATTCCAATGAGAACGCCGCACTAGATCGTCTTTCTACTGTTCCTCGTTTCGATCACACATTGATTGACGCATGTAACTCACCACCATCCGGTGAAGAAAGGATGCGAGTGATGGGACAGTTGCAGAAGGGAACTGCATTTTATGAAGAGTAAGCGGGGGACGTAATCTTTTCTTGAAGCTACTCGGTATCATCAACATTTGACTTTGAGAGCTGCATGGTTTCTGGTAGCCAGTAAAACCCTTGAGCGCAGCACGTGAATGGAAATATTTGCTAAATTATTTCCATACATTATGCAAGGACCGGCTCTTTCTCATCGGGAGAAATAACAACAGTTGTACTTGCTAGAGATTGTCGATATTGTAAAGACTTCACTCTTCACTTCTTGGTGGTACTGGCACGTTGGGTCATGTGACAGTGTGTTTAGCGACTCGCTTACTGTACCGATGCTACCCTTGTTCATCTTCTCATCTGAAGTTCACTCACAACTGTCCAACAACTACATCCAGACTTACTGCCAATACCAAATCCAGCCTTCAAACTCACCTATATTCTGTCTAGCAGCTAACCAACATTATAACAGTCTCTCCAACAAAGCCATTGATGCCTAATTTACTTTCAATATTCTTCGAGTTGGAATCAATCTATTTTGGGACATCCGGCCTTCGGGATGGCGCCATAGATTCGAAGCAAAGAATGATTAGGGCTTGATATTCTTCAGTCAATCAATTGAGCCTCGAGTGGATCTTGATTGAAGCATCTTGACCTCATCCAACATGAGTGGCCGTCGTGCATTCAACACCACGTCGACGTTCGAGTTGTGAGGGTCGTTAAGCGCCCACGAACTGAGCCAGCGTAACGCAGCAACGATGAAGTCTTTCATTCGTCCCTGCATCTGCACATCACCGCCAATCACTCTCCGCCTCACCACACCTCACGACCCTCGCGCGCGCCATTCGATGAACCTCGAATGCTAATTTGGGATCTGGAAATTATCCTCACGCTCGTGGTTCGCATCAAACAGGAGCCGCCTTCTCTATTGGATACCGACGCAAGCACAGCGTTGTGGAACTGGCCATAGCATGATAAACGACTTCTGGTCCATCTCGTTACGGCTGTCATTCCCCACGCAGTCGTGGCTATGAGCCATGAACATTGCTCTCGGCGCGTTTAGGTACTCATGCTTGGCCTGCCAATACTGCCTATTGATCCGGATTGGGACCGATATCCAGCCCTGCGCCAATGTCTCTCTCTCTTAGCGCCGACCAGTGGTATGAATCCAAAAGTTGGATGTATAAACATATTGGTCACCCAGGAAATTAGGTAGGCCACCTCTCTCTTGTTATCTCATTCTCGTCGTTGTTGGTTGTGTGCTTTCTTGAAAAGTCTTCGTTGATCGAAGCAGTTCTACTATCCTTTAATAATATTCACAACAATCGTTACCGACGCCGGTCGTCACCTATTGAGCATCAGAAATACACAGCAGTTTCCGAACAATCAAAAATCAACAATGGCTACCTTAGATTTCCTTCCCGCTACTACTTACACACCACCGTCACCTGGGCAGGCCCGCAGGAACCAACGGTCGCTTAATACTATAATAGAGGAAGGTTCAGTGAGAGGATCACTGGTAGAGGCACGCGAGGTTCAGGTTAGGTCACCAAAGAAGGCAGAATGGCTGTCCCCGCTCAGCGACCACTTCCCAACACCTCGAGGCATTCATTTCATGTCTGCACCCAGGCCAGCTTCCTCTGTTGTGGATTCGGACAACGAAGATACCTTCTCCCCAGCGCCTTCATCTGCTCCATGGACGAGAGATAGCTACACAACACAGGCTACCGACTTCGATGACCTGTATGATGCATCTTCAGACGAAGAGCGAAGGAGAAAGACGAGGTCCAGGAGAACGAGCACCCAAAAGAGATCATCTATGAGCTCCACATCAAGCAGGACATCATTGACTTCACTTCCTACTTTAGTCATCCCATCTCAAGGAGATCCATGGCCAGGAGTTGAGGCATTCAAAAAGTTGACTTCTCCCGTACCTCCCACCCCACCACCCAAGGTACCCATGTCTCCTGCCGTCTTCAAGTACCTACAATCACAAGAAGTTCCATCATCCTCCACTCCTCCATCCCTGGATGGCAGTCTTTCCTCTGAGCAGTTTGCTGTTATGTCAGCTCCTCCAACACCGATTGTTGGAAATGACAGTGAAGCAGAGTATGATGGATGGGGAGGAGTTCAGCTACAACCTGCAGCAATGGCAACTTTGCAAGCCCTCTCTGGCGGAGATGATCTGTTCGAGCAACAGACTGAGCAAGTCATTGAGCTCTCAAACGCCTCCCAACCACCACGAGAGATGCAACAAGTTCTTCCTCCACTCAACACCAACCTCCACCGCAATAGCTCGGTTATTCTTTCGCCCGAACAACAAAGGTCACTGAACAGTCTGAGCCGGTTAGAGATTCCTTCACCTGGTGGATTTTTCTCCACATTGTCTCCTAATACCAGGCATACATGGCACTTGGTTGCAAGCACACCAGAGGATGCTTACCCACCCTCGTCCACCACTGCCGAGCACTTCTACAAGACTCCATGGTCCTCTGCACCAATCGAGCGAATCATTGAAGTCCCAGAGACTGCTTCAGAGGGTATGCTAACGGCAAGGCCTATCTTGACTCGTCCTGAGCTCCGCCACGAGAGCTCCGAGGAGACTGTCGTTCAAGCTTCCCCCGTTGAAGAGGAGGTTATTCCTGACGAAATCTTGGTGAGCCATGCCTCTGACTATGCCAGCAAATTGAACGACGTTGCAGTCGCCAACCTCGACAGGACTGGTCTCTGGCTCGCAGCTCAATCGGACTATCTCTCGGAACTTATCAACCCCACCGAGGAGCGAGATGATGAAGTAGCTCTACTGAAGAGAGCTGCCAGCACCAAGAGCCAGGCCGGCTTCTCTCCCAGCGAAGTCAACCTCAAGGAGAACCCACTACCCACCACTGACATCTCAGTCCCAGCACGAAAGACTGTCCGCTTCTCCAACGTTGTCAAGACCTCAGACGCCGTTGCTGTTCCTCTCCCATCAAAGCTTGAGCGACAAGAATCAGCCTACTACCGATCTTTCCAGTCTTTCGCCGCTGAGTCTAGACATCGTGATACATTCGTGCACCGACTTCCACGTTTCGAGGCTCTCCAGGCTCAACGTGTTTCTTTCAGCACTGCTCACCGAGCTCACCTGCTTGGCAAGTACCAATTGAGCGTCGTCCCCATGTCGGCCAAGCGTCGTCTGTCAGCGAATGTTGCACGAGGAGATGAGATCGCTCCTGAGGACCCGGACAAGCTTAGACGAGACAAAGAGTTCGAAGCTCGTCAACAAATGTCCGCTGCCAACTGGAACGTTCAAGCCCTCAAGCTCCTTAACGGAGGACGTCTGATCGCTGCACCAGTAGCCAAGCGTCTCGCAAGACTCTCATCCATAGGCCCCAAATCCGATGGTACTCCAAGAGATCGTGCCAGAATCTTGGATCTCGGTGGACAAGCAACCTGCGACTGGGCTTGGCACTGCGCAGCCGAGTATCCCAACACCAAGGTCTACACCATCACCACGAAGTCCCTCCGTCAAGTCTCCAACTCCAACATTCGCGGCCCAAAGAACCACCGCAATGTCGCTGTCGAGAAATTGACAAAGCTTCCCTTCAAGGACAACCAATTCGATCTCATCTCCGCACGAGAGGTCTACACAATCCTCAAATCGCAAGGAGAGAACGGCGAAGATGAATGGGACTCTTGCTTGAAGGAATGCTACCGAGTCTTGAAGCCAGGCGGATACCTCGAGTTTTCCATCATGGACTCGGATGTCGTTAACGCTGGACCTCTGGGATTGGCCAAGTCTGTTGAGTTCGGATATACCCTCAAGACTCTCGGCTATGATGCCCACCCAACCAAGACCTTCATGTCCCGTCTCTCTAGCTCGGGGTTCACCAACGTCAAGCGTGCCTGGGTTTTCCTTCCCATGGGCGAGAATCAAAGCTTGAAGAGGGAGAGAGAGGTTAAGAGAGATAGCTGTGGTGTTGAGATTAAGCTGGAGTTGGAGGCTATGGTGTCTGGTAGCACTGCGGATGTCGCGAGCGTTACTGGGGTTGTCGGAGCTTGGGCTTGGGAGAAGTGGTTGTTGAGAGCTAAGGTTCAGAATGAGGGCATGGAGGCCACTGTTGAGGGTGTTCAGAGTGTAGTTGAGGAGGGCAGGAAGTGTGGTGCTGGATGGAGAACTGTTAATGGATGGGCCAGGAAGCCCTTTTAGGTGGGATTTGGGTATGCGACTTAGGATTCGGTGGGGATAGGAGGAGTTTGGAGTGTATGTAGGATGGGAGGGGATAGGTTAATGGGTCGGTTGTAGTTAATTGGCGTCGTGAATATAAGCCGGTGGTGTTTTTGATAATCTACTCTCATCTTATTACATCCTCCTGTGAATATGCCTGCTCATTGACTGAGATGATAACGTGCTCTAAAACATTTATCGCAATGCAAGTTGAAAGTGCAAGCGCGGACTTGCTCACAAGGACATCGATCATTTCTCAATTGCCATTGACGAATCTATCTTCATTGCTCATCCTGGTATCTCTCTAACAGACCCACATTCCATCCCTGAAACATCCTCGCACTGGGCGGCAAGAACCTCGCACTATCCCTTAAACACGTCTCTATCTCTGCCACTGCATCAGCGGGCAGCTTGACGTCCTCCGCCTTCCCACTATCTATCAACGCTAATGACTCTACATCAGTGATTAGTTTCCATAGCACTTTCATGGCGAAGGTCCTAGATCCTGTCCCTGATATTGATGATGAGTAGAAGAGCGATTGTTGTAGAATCCAGAGATGTAATGATCCAGTAGACGACGGACTTTCTGGGATTAAGAGTGCTTTGGACGAGCATTGTGCTTGTAAAATTGATACTAGCTTTGCTGATATGAAGACTGAAATTGCTGGACTGTTTAGTGAAGATGAAATGGAGGTGCTGGTCGAGGATAATCGCCATTTATGCAATCTGACACCATTTGCCTGTATGTCCACGTCTCCAATGGAAACCTTGCAGGATTTACACGAGATTGTCTGTGGTCGTTCTGGATATTCCTCTTGGGAGCTTGTCTATATGTTCTGTTAGTCGTGAATTCGTAGATCTGCGTGAATGTCCCTCGTGCTAATCCCATGGCCTTCCAATACCTCGAGGAAGATATGGTGTGAAATGCCGAGGTCGCAACCTCCAGTCAAAAAGTAACCCATAATCCGGAGAAGAGGGTATGCAAGAAGACTGCTGCTTGCGCAGTATGGTAGCAAGGTCTCAATCTTGGGTATTTGTATCGGTGATAAAGCCATTGAGCTGCGGGAAGCAGGGCTTGGCCACCTTCTTGATACCCGCTTTGTTTCTCGAAATGAAAGATAAAACGAAACAGGCTATGCTATCTTACCTGTAGATTCTGACAATCTGATTCATCCAAGAGAAAACTCGCGACGTCTATGAAACCAACTCCAGATTGAGCAATAAATTTTGTATTGGCTCCGTATGCCCTGTTGGCATTGGAGATTGCGTTCTGATCATGGCCCGCTTGGGAGTTTCCAGCGTCTGCACCAGTGTCTGGTTTATGGCAATGCCAGAAATCCATCATCTCAGCCCAGTTCTCACTGGGAAGGTCTCGCCACGATTCAATAGCACCTTCTGGCACGATGACTGCACCACATCCTCGACAAGAGAATCTTGAATCTGGTCCAAGTTCCTTCGCAGACCAAGGAGCTCCACTGCTTTGTCCCCTATCAACACTTGTATTGGATGGCAGGCCAACCACTGGCAGGCGCCATGAAAGCTCTTTGTTGGAATTGACGGGCTTCTGCAGCTTCGTGGAGGCAACAGCTTGACCAGGAAGATTCAGAATATGATTGGTCCCTTCGTGGATCACATTTATCTGGCGTCCATCGGCAGACAATTCTGCTTCCGTTGTAGAATCGGAGGGTGTATCAAAAGCAGCCATCACCGATACCTGGCGAATGTTGGGTAGTAATTCTGCATAAAGCAGAATCTTAGGTTGTGCCATCGTATTGGGTGTTGTTGATGCTCGATAGATGGAGATGATCTCTATTTGGCCTCTCGATGTGCATTTAAAAAGAAGCCCCGCTTCCATGTAGAGGAAGGAAAGACTCGAAAGCTGTGCGAAAGCTCGAAGAAGAGATCTATGAGTTCCGAATTAATAGCTTCTACTCGACAGAGCTTAGAGGCCGCATAGTGATAGTCAACAGGGAGTTCGTCTGCCGACAGAAAGCTGCACTTAGCAGTCTTGGTCCCAAGAAGCTTGAGAACTCTCCGCAGCCTGGAGAAGCTTTAATTTGATCCTAGGAGGCCGCAGCTAAGGCAAATAATATATTCGCGTACGATGCGTTTTGAGCGAAGATGCCGGACCGCGAACAGTTGAGGTTTTGACCGTGATTGTTGTGCTTTTATGTCATGATGAGGAAGCCTCGACGCTTCAGACGCGACGTAGAGAAAATGTACAGCCTCGCTTCAACGTATCGGAGCTCGACAAAGCCTCCTCCCGATTGGATCAAGTTATTTATTAGCGTACCATAGTGAGATCATTCTACAGCCTCGTTTCCCCACATTTGGTATTCCCAACAGCTTCAAAACATCACGAAAGTCCAGCTCAAGGATCTATACTCTGCCATCATGTCTTCTCCTATGATAGCATGGATGCCAGTGGTGAACAGAATCCACAGATACCTCACCACAAGCAATTACGCAGCGCAGTCAATCAACATCTCATCCGTTGAAATCCACGATGTTGAGACAGCTCCAGAGAAACGACCTAGGACGCTTAAGCATCTGCTAAGAGCAAATCATGTCAACCACTCAATCATATACCATAATTTACAATATCATAATCATATGCCACATCTGCTGGGCTCTTCGTACTTGCTTGGTGCAGATGTTGAGCAAATGCAGAAGATTTATGATGAGGAAGCCAAAGAATTGGAAGAATGGAAAGACTCTCCTGCGGAAATATCAGAGACAGATTGGAGGGAATTTCTGGGAGATAAGAGATATCAAAGAGCATACGTGGACTTCTTCGAAGATGAGCTAGCCTTGAAGTTTGGATACGACTGGAAAAGAGTTGCCGAAGAATATCTCTTTACTGGAAAGGAACCTCTAGTCCATGGCCTCATTGGAGGAAGTATGTCTCCTCTGTTTGAGGTAAATCTTATATTATTGACATCAGACATTAGTTGGTCACCCCCTCATCCACCTCGGATACGCATACGAGCTCTCGAACAAAGAACTCGCCATGGAAGCCCTAGCCATGGCCTCATCCTCTTACAACTACCTCCACAAATACCTCGACAACGCCTCCTACACCAAGCCCTCTACATACAGCACCACCTCCCCCCTAGAAATCCTCCACAAGATCGCCGACGATATCCGTTTCGACGGCATCTTCGAAGGAAAAGGCGACCATAACATCGATACCCTTTTCTCGCAACACGAAGACTTGGTCCTCGAACACTGGAACGCGTGGCAGATCACAGATCCCAACAAGCAATTCCAAGATTCCCAAGAAGCTGCCGTTGCTTTACTGGTGAATACAGCACAGCCAGGAACCCACGCATACGATTTTTTCCTTGTTCATATCCTTACCACCAGCCACGCGGTGCGGATCCTCATCCCTCTGATACCCAAGAAATTCCACATTAGTCTAGTGCGGCAATGGTGGTTACTCACCATCGCTGTTTACGTTGCTCAATTACGGCCAAAGATTAATGATGATATTGAGGTTAAGCCTACTAAGCAATGGAAGTACGTTGAGGAGAAAGCTGTCAATGGACCGTGGGCTACAGATGCTCATTATGTGAAAGGTAAGTCTGTTCTCAGAGTACGGTAGAGCTTGTGCTAATAGAGAAATAGCACTTCGAGCAATCAAAGAAGCAGCGTTCACGTGGGGAGATGTTCATGAACGTTACCTTGCAGCAGCTGTCACATTCGCGGATGACTTCAACGGCTGGACAGGCTTCTCATCTGCTGAGGAAGAAAGCAGGAATTAACCAAAATTGTATATTTGTGAAATGGAGTCTGGCGTTTGTACTGGCACGACTTGAGCTCGCATCAATTTGCACATACCATCAAAATTGCACGAGATTGACGAAATCAATGACCACTTTGTAAAGTATTCATGTAGTTATAGTACAGTACAATCATCATCAAGATCTTTTTAACTCCAACATCCCAAGCCGTCTATGATTTTGAACTCAATCATCCTCAATATCATCGTCGCTAAGCACCAACTTTTGTTCTTGCTGCTGCAAAGGAAAACCATTTGCTGCTCCTCTTCCTCTTATCACTAGCCCCTTTTTCTTAGGCGAATTGCCCTCGGCTGCTTTATCTGTAGCCCATTCTTCTGCTACGACTCCCGTATCATCGTCGTCCCCTTCGTCGTTTGACTCTTCTGACGATATCCCAATCCCTTGGAACGTGGCTACCTTTTCCATCTCCTTGATCGAGACTACGGATGAGGTAGTCCTCCTGCCTCTAGCGACGAGAAGCATGTACGGCAAGCGCTCAAGTAGCATTTCTTTCCTTGCTGATGTACCAACTGACAAGAGAGGCGTAGCGGTTTCGGGACTGCCTTTCTCTTGTGTCGAAATTGGTCTAGAGCTTTTCCAGCTTTCCACCGTTCCAGCTTTAGGCCGGGCGAACCTTGCTGCCCCATTCGTGATACTGTGATCTGACTCGCCTTTCATAAGTCGTGATACCCAGAGATCTATTGCACTCTCGATCTCTTCTCTCATCCTCCATAGCTTCAGACTGGTCGGGTAGAACATCTTGAATGCATCGCCACCTTTGCCTGTTCGCAAGCCGCCGGCAGCTGGAGCTTTTCTCTTTACCGGATGTGGTAGTGAGAACAAAAGACCCCGGACGGCAATGTGAAAAGTGATTTCGTCTTGCCGAAGTATATCGCCGCCACTGCCACGGCCTCCGATACCACCGCCAAAGCCTGTGGGATTGATTGATCCGTCCCAGGAAGGGTAAAGAAGATCACTATCAGAGAGTGCATCTATGCAACCATTGACATGGTCCAAGGATGAGAAATCGTAAGTATCTGGAGGAGTATCACACGAGAGGATGTAGTTCTCATGTAGAGCAGCTACGAATGTCTGAGTATTTGTCCCAGTCTCGTCAATCAAGTCGTTGACCACAACCTGAGATCTGTTTTGACGAGAATGAAGTGACATAAAGCCCGGGAGTTTCTCAACATCCTCGGCCTTGGACACTGCTGGGGGATACTCATCACGCTTGTTGTAGACCACCTTCCCAACAGCGTGGAAGATACCCAAACTTGCTTCTCGTCGAGTAACAAGTTCCAAGCTTTCTTTTTCCATGCTCGTCAGAGCAACGTCTTTGCCAGTTTTCTTAGCCTTTCCAAAGGCGACCTTGGCACCCCAGTCGCCATCGGTATCTCCTCTCAGGCAGAGAAACTCCAGAGCGGCAACAGCACTTCTGATGTCGCCAATCTCGCCGAGTTTCTTGAGTACCATAGGGCCAGGAGTCGTCCTCCTGCCAGATTTCCTCGACTCTTTTTGCACTATTGTCTCGAGTGCTTTTGACAATATAGTTGGAGCAATGGCATTGAACTCAATAACTCCAACTCCCGGATGCTGCAGAATTTCTGCTCCCAATAAGCGGTGAGCTGTGAAACTGTCCGCAGAAGCAGAAGCTGTAGTGAGCAAAGTCTCGGATATAATCATGACCACGGGCGTTATAGGCTCATCAGGATGCTCAGTGAACATCATCGAGCGTTGCGGTGTATTAGCAGCAAGATATTGAAGTATGGCTGATCGAAAAGACTGTAAAGCAGTTGAAGATCGTGTGAACGTGTTAGGAAATTCCTCAATGAGAATGATATTTTTCCGGCGATCCAGTGGTTTGTCTTCTGGTTTCGATGGCACGGTACCATCGGAGGAAAATATATCAAGTTGCCCAAACTTACCACCTCTTCCCATGAATTCCTCGAATTGTGCTGCCATGGAAAGATAGCCATCTGAAGACGCCACAGAACCAACTGGATTGTGCCACTCAAGCACATCACATTCCATAGCTTTCGCCAGGAGCTGAATGGTAGTTGTCTTCCCTGTCCCAGCTCCCCCTTTCAGGACCAGAAGTCTTTGGTGTCTCAACCGGCCGTCCATGACATTCTCAAGCCATGTTCGAACGTCCGACACTTTCTTCTTATGAACCGCCAGTTCGTCCAGACTGACTGGCGCAAATTTCTCGGCCCACGGTCTTGTATCTTCAATCTTAACCATTGCCACTGGTTTGGCCGGCTTCATGAACCTCTGACTTGCACACGGTAGCTCCCCATCCCCAGCAGCAAAAGCATCAGTAGCTCTCGCACGTTTCCGAGCTGCCAATCCGACCAAACTGCCGCCTTGCGTACTGGAAGGACCAAGTACATCATCATCAGATATCATATCCACATCCTCGACCTTCTCTGCACTCGAGGTATGCATTGCAAGCTTCGACTTGACTCCAGTCCCACTCATACTACTTTCAGCCTGCTGCCGTTGCGCCTGCTTGGTGAAGAAAGTAAATATATCCCCACTTTTGCCCTTCTCGTCCATTTTCCCTTTCTTCTTGGGCTTTTCTGGACTGGTGCTAGCACTCTTACTTGCAGCTTTCCCTCGCGTACTAGGTAGGTATATAGGAGCTGCATTGTGAGGATGATTCGCAGTCTTCGCACGAGGCTGGAGTTTTACAGGAGCTTTCGCAGGCTTCTGAGATGCAGATTTCGACGATGCCATCTTGGTAGCAGTAGAAGAAGGTGGGGAAGAAGATACTAGGTCGAGCAATTGCGGTTTGGACTTGGTGATGGGCTCATCGTCCTCATCTTCCGAGGCGGATGACGACGATGAGAGGACATTTTTCCTCCGTCGCTTTGCGGGAGGGGCCATGCTGGCATTTCTTGTGTACTACATTAATCTGCGGCTCTGCAGAGAGTCGTGGGGTTCTTTGACATGTCTGTTGCTGCGTCGGTGTAGACCTTGGGAGCTCAGGCCTAAACCTGGAAGCTTATCGTGTCTACACGTGATCTCGCGCCGTGTTCGCGACGAGGAGAATACGTGCTCTAGGCACTTCGTACAATGATATAGGGATCCGATTGGATGTAGAATTACCTTCGTAGGTTTTTCTGAGGATATCAAGAAGCTACAATTGTGATCAATAACTTGAGATTGAGACAAATAATTCCGAATGTCCGCATAAGTCACAAGTTTTGAACCCAACCCCGACATTTTAGTCAAAATAAAATCCAATGTAAATGTACGTAATCTGCTTCTCAATTCATCTATATCTACCTATATATACAACATGTCAAGCCCAGGTATTTACTATCCCTTCGTTGCTATCTCATCACTTCACCCACAAAGCATGTCTGGGCGTAACTCTTTGGTTCGAACTCCTCGGATCAATCCACTCAACCCGACATCCTGCCTTCGAGATCTCCCTAATTTTCTCCGCCCTCCGGTCATCCATATCCTCTACCCACCCGATGAACTTTTCCAGTGTGATACCTTTGCCAGAAACAGATGGTGCATCATATCCGGGATACAGTTTTATGTTCCGTTGGCAGTGTAGTTTGAGAACTGTTTTGTTTGGACATTTTTCATAGCAGGGATGTCTGGGCCGAAGCCACTTGGGCAATTTACTTAGAACTGATTGTGGTAGAGATTCGAAGTCTTCTTCTTCTAAAGCTTTGGGTTTGGCGTCCTGTATGTGGTTAGTGCTTGTGATTGCAACTGTAGAGGGCTCAATGCTTGGCTTCTTTCAGGACTTCTCGACTTCTAGAAGTTCCAGGTGAAGTCGAATTTGTGCCTCTCAGTGAAGGGATGGAGTACTTACGATGAGGGGATAGTATTGTACTGTGATTTACTGTCAGCTCTCTGATACAGATATGGGTTACGAAGGTATTCCTTACAGTTCGATGCCCCTTCTTCATACAGCGAGAAACCGCCAAACATCAAGTCCTGAACGTATCTTTTCCTCCGCTTAATGATCCGATGCTGGTGGTCTCGAGGGAATGCTCCCACCTTCTCACCAAACCCATAACCGAAAGCTAAAGCTAAAGCATGAGTGACAGTATATATACCGCAATCTCCTCGCCATAAGTTCTGCAGTCTGCCTGCGCTTGTTCGAAGTCTCCATTCCGAAGGGACGAAAGCGCTACCTTCCTCGTTGCCTATATATTCAGCTAGCCATGCGAACACTGCCGGTATGCAATTTGACCCGTCTGATCTGGGGGAGTCTGGCAAGCCACTGTCACCTCCTGGATATGGACGTCAGTGGTGTTCTAGTTCAAATTAGGGAGGTTCAAATTAGGGAGAACACACCAGAGCATACATAATCTACAAGTTTCGCTTCAGGTGATATAGCGCAAACGGCAACATGTGCATCATTCTGATGTGTCGGGGTGAAGCTAATTGGAACGAACAAGTATCTAAGTTTCCAGAATTGACTCGTACTCAATCGTGTTCGAGTTAGACAAGCGAGTCCTTCAGGAGTGTGAGTCATTAGTTGGGAATAGAAATTTTGTGCAAGATGGAAGAATCTTGGATCTGTGCCTGAAGATCTGTAGTCTATACCGGAGTTCTTGCTATGCCAAAGATTCGCATAATCACAAACAAGTTGCAGATATGCGTCTGTACATATTTGAGGGGTTCCTGCTTTCTGATCTAGGACACGCAAGCCCAGCTTGCTATCAAGCTTCGTTCCTGAACCGACTGCATAAAGTCAGTTGATGCTCCGTTCTAATGATGCACACAACGGTGATGTTTCATAGATAGAAAATCTTACCATTTGATTCAGAGGGACTTGGGGTCGTCGAAAAGTGCGGGTAAGGGGGTAAAGCGTCGGCATTCTTCTCTTTCTTGAGCTTATGCCGCAGCTGATTCACATCATTAAGTGCTTTAATTCCTGCGTGACAGTCCGTTAGCAGCAGCTCTCTCGATTTTGGCAAAACCGTCACATACTACTGTTCAGCATCTGAGCTGCCTCAGCATCCGGTTCACTGAATATTTTCTCCGCTATTGAAGTTATAATTTCCTCGTCAGTGGCCGCATCTGGGCGATGCTCGGGGGCATTCGGATTCATGGTGTCGGATGTTTATTTCCCGGAGAATCTGCAACCACTTGAAATGCATCTTCAGATCGAAGATATGACTTCGGTTATATTGCATGCGAACAAACAAAACGCAGACGTTGTATCTATTGTGGGGGACAAAGAACACCGCAGACTGAACTTGAAAGGGCGATTCCATCTTCGGATTGTGACAAAGAAAACAAATAGAAATTGATGAGCGAGGATGACCTGGACTTGAAAGAAGCTTTATAGAGCTTGAAGAAGGCCAATCTGGAACTTTTGGCAGATCATTGTACAAATATGTAGACCTATCGTGGAATATTGAGGTGATTTCCAATATCTCCCTTCCCGTTCAATATCATGATCATGAGGGGAAAACGAATGTGCATGGCTGGATGTTCAGCGGATCTCCTTCAACTTTGCTTTGTATAGTATTAGTCTCAGGGATCATGTATTATCTAGGAAGAACGAAGAGAGCAGAGAAAAGTGAAGTCTGCCTCGGTTGTCGCGAAACCCCTTTCAGCTCGGGCAGGGGTCATTCGACCTTACCGGAAATCGACTAGCATGAAACATCGCCAAACTCAACCGCCACAGCGCAAAGCGGCTTCCGATGAACGATTGGTTGACCGTTTCTGTTCCTAGAGAACAAAGTCTGACAGCTCCTCCACTGCCATCCACTTCAACTTCTGCATTGGCCACAATCATAACGCCTTCACGATACCATTCACGTCCACCGCACAATGGTCATATTGACACAGAGAAGGGGGCTGACCCCTTACTTGCTGATAAGGAGTCTTCCCCTCATTCCATCTCTACTTTATTTGCTGCTCACGTTCATTAACTTTGATTCCGGCTAACAACCACTTGTAGTGCCATACGTTCATTAACAACTTCCTGCTGGACAGCACCACGTTCTTTCTTCTGCCTCTCTTCCTGACTCAAATTTACTACAATAACAAAGTCATTGTTCGACCTCGAGATCGATCAACGAGAAACTCCCTGAAGGTGCCACAAAGACCCGAAAACAAAGCGATTGTTCCTCCTATTTGATCGAGTCGGCTCCCCGCAGATTTCGAACCAAGGATCGAACAATCTACTACACATAAACACATTCACAATGTTTTCACAACTCTTCATCATGGCTGCCTTAGCTGGCGTCGTCCTTTCAAACCCAACACCATCACCGATATTCGGGCAGATCTCGACTCGAGATAGTGCAGTCACCGCAGCTGCTGCTCTACTTCAGATCGCGCCCACTTCTGGATCCTGCTCAGGAGCTCCAGCAGCGGGCGAGTGTGCAACCAACGTCCAAGCAGCACCATACCTCATCTCAGCCATGCAACAATACAGCATCTACAACCTCCACGAGGTCGCTGCCGTCCTCTCCGTCATCGCCTACGAGTCTGGGGAGTTCAAATACAACATCAACCACTACCCAGGTACACCAGGCCAAGGCACTCGCAACATGCAAATGGCAAGCTTCAACCTGATGTATGCAAAGAGCATCCCAGCATTAGCAACGTCCCTTAGCGCCATTACCACCGCAGACAGTACCTCTGGACTGAGCACGGATCAAGTAAACGCTATCAGAGTATTGGTCTTGCCTGACGAGTATACCTGGGCAAGCGGGGCTTGGTTCTACTCTACCCAGTGCAGCTCGAGTGTCAAGTCTGCCGTTCAGGCTGGTGGACAAGCTGGATGGGACGCTTACCTAGGCTGTATCGGTGCTACGGACTCTTCGGAGAGCTCTGCTCGATTGGCTTACTGGACCCGGGCAAATACTGCTTTTGGGCTTTCATAGATGAGTCAAGTCCTTGCTGGCGAGGCTGAGATTTCTAGATACCCTTTTCTTGTACATAGCTATTTCATTGCAATAAATCTTGAAATCAGATGTGATTTCACATACCAAAGTTTGCTTGTTTATTGAATGATTCCTCCTGTGCGTAGTCGCGTGCACGAGTTACCGGAATCAATAGTCCTCAAACACCAAAATCTCTTCCATCAACTGGCGTAAATCCTCAAATGTGTCTGGGGTCTGGGGGGTTTGTTTACATTTTTGGGGGGAGGTGTTGCTAAGCGAGTCACCAAGTTCTATCAACTATCTTACCTAGGTAGAGTCTGGATGTCTAGCAGATTTCTGCCTTATGATGAGGGTTCTACCGAGCTCTGCCCTTTTTTTTTCTTCCCCTGGATACTATATATTTCGAGTGATTCGGTGTAAATCAAGCATACATTATAATTTTACGTCCCTTTACTGACACAATCCTTTCCCCTCCCATGCTCAACCTCACAACATCATCCCACTCGTCTCATTCGACGCCCTACTCTTCAACGCCGCATACAGCGCCTCAATATCATCCCTCCACTGCGTAACATTCGGCCTCAACACCCTCCGATCATAAGTCAACAGCCCATTCACCTCGCCCTCTACATCCGTAGTTTGCGTCCATACCCCGCCACTACAAGCATACATCTCCGTCTGCTCTAACAACTCGGTCAGTAGTTTATGTGCTCTGTAACTCCATGCGTCGAGCGTTTGGTCGATCTCGTAGGTTTGGTTGATCGTGTTGATTGCTTCTTGGACGTTCCAGAGACTATTTGGGACGTGTTAGTGAGGGGGTGGATGGTAATGCGAGGGGAGGGGAGACGAACTGTTCGATTGAGACGTTGTTGCCGATTCCGCCGAATTCACCTTGGAAGCCGATGCGGGTGGGGTCATAAGGTGAAGAGGCGGTGGAGTAGAATGGGGAGCCACATTGTGGGTTGGCATAGTGGTGGTTGTCCTTGTGTATTTTGTCAATGAGCATTCTTTGGTGATAAAGGCTGGAAATCTTACACTAAAGTCTCCAGCTCCGTGGTCATACCATCCTGTCGTACTATCTACTAATCTCGTAGGGTCAAGAGACTTGACGAGTGCTGTGAGGCCGAATTCAGGATAGCCTTGGATTATTTGACCCCAGCCTTCGTTGTAAATAATCTTAAGTTGTGCATTAATACATGGCACTTCAAAAATCCTCAGAGACTCACCCAAACAGCAATACTAGGATGACTTTTATGCTGGTTTACAAGCAGTTCCAGTTGTCTCGTGAACTCAGCTTGCTGATCCGGATCAGGAAGATACGTTATACTGGTGCAATTTGCCAGGGTATAGCTCTGCAACGGTCGAAGAGCAGGCATATCTTGGATTAGAAGGAGACCCATTTGATCGCAAGCCTGGTAGAAAAGGTCGTTTTCTACTTTGATCTGTTGCCGTCTGTCAATCAAGAAGCACGCCTTATTTGTGGCCTCAACTCACATGTTTCCTCAGCATATTGAATCCAAGGCTTTTCAGTACTTCTAGGTCATAAACCATAGCCTCTCTGTTTGGTGGAGTATAAATCCCATCAGGCCAAAATCCTTGATCCAAAGTCCCAAACATGAATAACGGTTGCCCGTTCAAAAGCGGTCGTACAACACCATTTACCGTACCCTTCGAGATGGTGCGGAATCCAGTATAACTCCGCACAACATCGGACCCGAAAGTAATACTCATATTGTAAAGAGTAGGAGAATCCGGCGACCAGAGAGAGGGCGAAGAAACGCTGAATTGGAAAGGAGAGTCTGAGGTGCCGTTGTGTGTTGCAATAGCTTCTTCACATCCGCTTTCGTATATGGTTACTGAGACTGGTGTGGGAGTTCCGGAGGAACTGTGGACCGTAATGTTGACTGTTTGGGAAGTTTAGCAGATATTTGAGATGCAGAGACAATTGCGTACCTTGGCCATCCATGTTTGCATCCACATCTAGTTGAGTGATGAAGTCGGCTGGTGCAGATTCGACCCAGACACTTTGCCAGATACCGCTGCATGGTGTGTAGAAGATGTGAGATGGGCGTAGAGTCTGTTTGCCCATTGGAATGACATAGTCACCAGAATCGGTGGGATCGTGGACAAAGACAAGTCTAAGAGACTATCAGTAAAGGTGGTATTTCGGATCTGGGCAAGGGTTCACGTACAGCTCATTGTCTTCATCAAACTTAGTGTAGTTGGTTACATCAACTGTAAATTTGTAATATCCTCCACGATTGAAACCAGCTTGCTGACCATTGATATAGACGGTAGCTTCATAATCGACTGCTCCGAAATTGAGTAACACTTGATTGCTAGACCAGGAAGATGGTACGGTAAAGTTGGTCGAGAACCACGAGTAGAGACGATCAGTTTCCATGATACCTATGGACTGCTTAGCCAAAATATCGGGATTGCCTTACCATGGTCGTTTTACCTGAAAGTGCGCTCTCTAAACAAGACGGTACCAAGACTTCATTTTCAAGCGTCTGACCAAATGGTGGATCTTCAGTTGCATTCAAACTGGCTGCATTTTCATATCTCCAGATTCCATTGAGGTTTTGCCCTGGAAGCACCGAGTGTCAGCAAGCTTCTTTGTTTGAATGCTCGCAGCATCAGCATAGACTCTGCAGTCAGAGACACTCTCAAGTACACGTAGTTATTATGGACTTCTCTGCTAAAGAGTTTTATTAAGTCGTAGATACCTACATTGTGACCGTTGCAATTGTGGTCTAGGATACTCAGGCCAAGGATTCGTCCCAACTTCATAAGTCCAATTCGTCGTCAATGGAGGGGTCTTGACAGAATAGGTAGTGTTGCTTTGAGCAGCGGTAAATGCTGCCAATGGCAACAAAAAGAGCTGGCTTGTGAAGCGCATGTTGTCAAGGAACAACAAAAGCTGACAACCAGAATATCTATTAACCAATTTTCAACTCGAGGGGATTCAAAACAAACGGAAGAGAAAGAAAAAGTATTTCGAGCGGGGTATCGTTCTTACTTATACATCGGATCTTACATGCAACTAGCTCAGGAACATACTATGAGAGCCTCTGCAGATCACACAACATGAGGAGAAGGCAGGGAACCCGAGAAGCACTGGGAAGCCAGGGATGGCTGCACTCTTCAGATGAACTTTTCCTACTCAGGGATGGTACTCCGGTATGACAAGGAGCCATCGTGATCATCGTATCCTTTACAAATTTTTTGTACGTGAACATCCGTCTTCTTGAGCTCCGGTGTAAAGTACACCGGTACAAGCGTTCAAGTCAGACGCGGGGCATTGTGGAGTATTAAGTGCATTTGCCAGCCAAGGAATATTGACCGGAAGCACATAAGCGGCGTGATCTCGGGGCTTGAATATGCTGGGCAAACGTCAACCTGCATATCAGGATAAAAAATCATGTCAAAGAATGTGACGTTGAGCTGCTGTTACATGCGAGGGGAGACTTTCCCCGCACTTGCCAAGATCCTTACTAAATTTGGAGACGACCCCACCTTTCAGGGACACAGCAGCTTCTAACGAATCCCAGCAGCAAGAAGGTTGAAAAGTAGTTGGAGATTTATGTGCGAAGGCCGAAAGGTGTGGATCTTATGACAGAAGTGTTATGTCGAAATAGGTACACATCGAGAAGTGAGTAGATCGTCTTCTACTGATCATTAGATCTCATCAAGTGAAAATAGCTTTTGAGTTAAGCATTGACTTCAGTCAGCTCACAATAAACTCACAATAGCAATCTTCAACTCAATTGAATTGAAAACATATGAAATGATATCTCTCCTTCTGTTAGCCTCCATTTCTGAGCAACCACGTCTCAGTAATTGATATCGCTTCTCCCAACCTCAAAGCTCGCACTTCGAGACTTTCAGGCTTTGAGCGAAACTTTCTCAACTCCACGCAAGACAATGATGGCGTGCCAATAGGTATCGCCTGTTGTGTCGAGGAGACATAAAGCTGCATAGTAGCAGAGCCGTCAACATGTGCGATGTTGATGACTCTGGTTGATTCAACGAGAAATGGGTGTGTTGGCAGCACAATATGCCAAGCTTCATCAACACTGCTTGACATCAGTGCACAACAACAGAAGTGAAATACTGCTGTGTACATGGCATTGATACAAGGAAGAGAATATCCAAACTGGAAGTTACCACTATTGAAAGGGACACGCTAGACTAACGTGGTTTCTCCACATATCGTGATTATTTTCAACCTTAAACAAATCTTAACCAAACCTCCACAATATGTCGACCTCATTTTAAAGATTGCCAAAAATCCTTTTCGGTACCAAGCAGAATTATGTTTCATCCTGATTATGGATAGCTTTGTGACCCAAAGCTTCAGATATTTCTCCCGACTCCTTATTTACACCAAGAAAATAGGCATGCCCGCATCTGTCATTATTTACATGGTCCAATTTGATAATAAAAAACATGATAGGGTATCGATGAAAGAAATGCGCGCCTCAAGATTCTCTAGCCTATGTTCCTTCATATGGCAACGTGGCCATAGACGGAGCATGATTTAGACACGAGTATTCCGGTGTCACTGGTCGGTCCTCCAGATTCGGATTACGCAAGGGGGAAGGCGACGACGGCGAGTATGGTGCCGGATCCCTAGGTGGGATAGGGTTATTGTAGGCCGAAGACTCGTTGTACGGTGTATAAGTTGAGGGTGGAGCTCCGAAGTCATACGGTTCCGTTACTGCTGTATATGCTGGGCTGCTTGGACGAGGGTTCGCATCCCTAGCTGGTCTTCCACTGAATTTTCCACTGCGACTCGCATAGGATCTCCCTCTGCAGCAGAGGCAGTAGACCAAAAACCCGAGGACCGCTGCGACGGCGACAGCACCCACGCTGATGCTTGCCTTGAACCTAACCGTGTCAGTCACTGGAGTGTGATGGGCAGTACTGTTCGCCGTTGGGCTGGTAGTTGGGGCAGTTTCCGTTGCTGCTGTTTTCGATGTACCGGTTGAGGATGTGGTCTTTGAAGCGCTGGAGGTTTTCGTCGTCAACGTCGAGCTATCCGTCGAGGTTGTCTTCACCGAGCCAGTTGTGGAAGTAGCAACGGCAGTGTTTGTGCTCTGAAGACTGCTCACAGAGATAATTGTTTGAGCGACTCCTTGTGGGATCGTAAAGGTTCCATTTCCAGTCGAACAATCGCACGATCCATCTGCTGCCTGAGATGCGCAACACCAGTTTCCACCTCCACAATCTACCATTGACCCATTATTCGCCGAGGACGGTGTGGCTGGATCATCTGCTCCTTGTTGGCAAAAGCAGCTTTCTCACTCTCGCTCTGAGGTCCGCACATACCTAAACAGAATCCCCCACAGAATCCGTCATTCCACTGCAGTTCACGTTAGTTTGCATCCTTGGAGAAGAAGCAAACGAAGGATCTCAGGTAACATAGATCTGATTCTTACCAGAGGATTTGTGCAAGAGCCACGAATCGTCGTACCCAGCGGGAAGCTTGAGCCCACAATGGTCAGATCCGTAACGACACAAGCAAAATTCGAGAAACATGTCCAGCCGATCGGACAGCACTGAGTCGTGATTGCATAAGGATCACAAGGCCTCGAGTCGTTTGCCCAAGCTCGCCCAGGATAATAGCACTGGCCTGGCTGCTGAGCTTCTACACTCGCAACCCAAGTTGCCGCGATCAATAGCCCTGGAAAGTAAGTCAACATGCTGAAAATTGTCTTTCTGACTACCGTAACGTCCGAGGACAGGAGATTTCCTCCTATCTATATCTCTACTCCGCGCAGCCTCGCCGGAGGCTGGGGAATCTCGTGCGCGCACTTATCGAAAACGCCTGCAAGCCGCATTTGGGCGGAGTGCAACCCTCCATCACGAAATTCGAATGCCCTCTTCCACCCGCCCAATGACAGCGGAGTCTATGAAAGACCTGCATTCGAATGGGCTCTTGGCTCAAACAGCCTGTGAAGCTTGCGCGCGCTCTTACGAGCGATGATGTATCATGAACTAGCTACAAGGCAAAGTTGTGTCGCAATTACTTGAAGTTCTAGGCTGCCGGTGAAGATTTCGGTGCTAGCTACCTTTCACTCACCGCGAGTCTCGAGTCAAGCCTCCTGGAGAAGCCTAGGTGTCCCTCTTCGATCCTCGTATTCCTGATCAAGCTTGATTTTAAGGTGGTTGCTTTTTCCTTAGCGTTTTAGAGTTCCTGCAGATGTCCACGAAGATATGCTTGCCTCGTAGTGAGTAGTTGCGATATTCGCAACGTCTTATAGCTGGACTTACTATTACCTGAAGATATGAAGTCGCAAAATACGAACTTCCAATAATCTTAATCTCCACCGTGGGCTCCAGTCGTACGATGTCTCAGTGCGAAAGGCACCTCATCACTTCTATCCCGAGTCACGAGGCATGACGAAAAAGACCTCTGAGGCCAAGGGCGCATGGATCTCACGATGTCCAAGTCATAGAACTATAACTAGGTTCATTGGACTTCTCTTGCTCCCTATAAAAGATGAGACCCAAAAGTTCATATGTCTTAACACGTTAGTCACATGAATAGTCTTTCCCGCCGCTTCATCTGCTTGCTTTCTTGTCCCAGGACTCACACTTCCTCCGCAGCATCCCTAATAACGTCCACTACTTTGTCAGGCATACTCAGCGTCACCATATGCCCACTCTTACACCTCTCGACTTTACTGCCTACCATGGCTGACATCTTTGCTTGATACGCTTCGGGTAGGACCTGATCATTCTCACAAATCAGATACACGCTAGGTATCTCTTTCCACCCAGCATAATCAGTGGTCGCACCCCATCCCGATAGAGGCTGAGGTTTAAGAAGCGAGAGCCATTTCTCTGTGTCCTCTGGTGAGAGATCGTTGAAGAGGAGTTCTCGTGGACGAACGCAGTGCATTTCTCCTGCTTCTTTTCCTGTCTGTTCGAGTCAATTAGCGAAAATTACTTTGCGGTGAATTCTGAGTATAACCCAGACATTCCGAACTTTCCAAAGTATGGATTTGACCCAGACATTTTCCGCCGAGTCATTTCGAGCTTTGACTCCAACATTAAACACCCAACAATCATTCAAGCTCCAGTTTCCAAAGACTTCTATTTCAAGCAAAATATAACTCACCTCCAAATCCATAAACGGCAAAGCAGCATGGAAATGCCCCACCTCCGCAATCCCCGCACACAAAAACACCAACTTCACAACACCGCCCTTCCGCCCCTCCTTCCTTCCCAACCCTTCAATAGCAGCACTCCCCAAGAAACCGCCTGCCGAATGCATCACCATCAACACCTCTTTCTCTTCTTCTTCGACGAGTTTCTTGACCACGGCTCGGATGGCCGCTTCGTCGTCTTTCATGGACGGGTTGCCTGGGGAGCGGGACCCGGTGCTGGGAAGTGAGACGGCTTGGGTTTGGAAGCCGAGGGAGGAGACGGTGTTGGAGACGCCGGTGAAGACTGTGGGGCCTTCCCAGATGCCGGGGATGAAGACGATTGTTGGTTTGGGCATTGTGGAGGGAGTTGAGAGACGAGGATGAGATGCAACAGGTTTTTGAAATAAATATTACATGAGGACGTGGTAAGAAGAGAGGTTGATATAAAGACGACCCCATGTCAAAAGAGGAATACAATGCGAGATGCCGTCTTTGAAAATGCAGCTCGTTAATTGGTCGAAAGCCCGATAATACAATCTTCATTGGATTCCTCTTACACTTAGCCCATGTACAGAGTTACGGCTGATCGTTAGTGCTTAGTCTGAGCTGGAGCTATACGTAAGAGCAGCTAAGTGGCCAGCTCGGCCTGTCCCGAATCCGAACCTCAATAAGGCTACTCTACTGAGAATCGATGAAAGGAAGTACTGTTCTCTGCTTGATATATTCCAAGATCGCAAGTACTTTCTCGTCGTCGAAGCGTCTGCCAACAAGCTGCAACGAGATTGGTAGTCCGTCGAATTCCTCCGCATCATCTAGGTATTTCATTTAGAAAACGTTCCTTGTCGAGAGATATGAAAGACTCACATAACTTCCAATGATCCTCGTCAATATCCGTCATCGGCTTGAAATTCTTCGTCGCCACATCTTTGTCCTTGTCAACCTTGCCTACAGGAAATACAACGGCGGGATAATCCAATAAATTCCACTGGCTAGTATACCCCCAATACCTCGCCGTATCATGTTTCAGAGCAACCCCAGGACCGGCAGGACAAAGGATCACATCGACCATTCTTCCACTTTCCCCAGACGCCGTCTCGTTCCACACTTTCGCGTATTCTTTCCGATATGCTTCTCGTTCTTCTTGCCAGTAATACAATTTTTGTGGAGTCAATTTCTTGACGCATGGATTCTGTTTAATCATCCACGTTGTGAGCGGTCGCCACGGCTCTCCTGATTCGGCGATCGTGGCAGCGTCTTCTGCGCCGCCGTCTGTGAAGTAGAGGCTTGAGATTATGGCCCAGGCTTCGTCGTGCAGGTATGGATGCCAATCTACGATTTCGAGGTTTGGTAGTGTTTGGAGTTGCGAGACGAGGGCTTGGAGTGCGCGAGTTAGGGGCGGGTGAGGAGTGACGACTCCGTCGTTCCACGTTATTGCAATTTTTAAGGGCTGGGTATCTGATATTTGGATGGAAGTGTTCCAAGGCATTGGTATGAGTGCGGGTTCGGAGAGCCAGGGCTGAGAGTCGAGAATCGTCTTCATGAATAGCTTGATGCCTTCAAGACTGGTGCTCATTGGTCCGATTACTCCTGGTATTGGGTCGGCGCCTGCCATTGTGGAGCACCATCCATCTGTGGGAATGCGAAACGCAGTCGGCTTTAATCCATATATTCCACAGTTTGCCGCTGGACTTCTGATACTTCCTGCAACTGTTAGAGAGCCTACTCAGAGCAAAATCAGAAAGTCAATACCTCCTACATCTGAACCTATGCCAAGGCAGCTTCCACCAATCCCTATCAAAGCTCCTTCACCACCACTGCTGCCACCAGATGAGACGTTCCTGTTGGATGGGTTGACCGTCACGCCATACAGGTTATTATCTGTCTCTAAATGCATCATACTCTGTGGTTGAGTAGTCCTCGCATGAAAGACTGCGCCAGCATTCCACAGAATGTCCAGTACGTGTGCATTTTCAGTAGCAGTCTTGCCCCACCAAGCGACGTAGCCTGCATTTAGACCCAGTTCTTTCATTCCAATCATCTCTTTAACGCTGATTGGAAGTCCATGAAGAGGTCCGATAGGCTTTCTGTGTTGCTCAAAATAATCATCGAGTTCCTTAGCCCGAGCTAATGCTCTCTCGGGAAGAAGCTCGGTGATGCAGTTCGTCTAGATATGATTGGTACAAGAGATTGAGGATATAGAGGGTTCAAAGAAAACTCACTAGTCTCTGTGCAAGAGCTGCTCGACGGAGGAAGGCGGTCGTGACTTCGACTGCACTTATTTCTCCTTTGCCTAGCATGGCAACCAGATCTTCTGGAAGACATTGAGTGATCTTAATGTCTTTGAGCTCGAGAACCTTGCCTGGAATATCTAAAGAGCATTTTGGAAGTGCGTTCAAACTTTCAAGTCGCGCAGAGATCTCAGTGATGCCTGGAACTCTTCCAATACTTGCATCTCTGTATTCCTGAGCTTCTCTCGCAACATCCTCCCACTGTCTCTTTGGCTTGGTCTTCTTCGACGTTGACATTGATTAACTCGCCCAAATAGTTTCGGGAGATTATTTCCCATACTCATACATAGCCATTGATGCTGCTCGCTGATGCATCATGACTCTTCAGCTGGCTGCCTCAGACGCATACGCTTGTAGCTGTCTGATTGGCCGAGGGGAATAAGCACTCAATCCAAGTCCAACCAGGATTATGGACCACTTGATCTCCAAAAGGCCCAGAAAAGTCATCAAATGTAAGCTTTTGTTGCACATCGCACATGGCATGTCTTTGCTTTTTCTGACCGGATAAATTCGTCGAGGCGGAGAAAAAGTCCTGAAGCTGGTCGGAGAACGGATGCATGAAGTGTCCCCGCGCCCCACATTCACATCCAGCCCGTAGTATCACTTTCCGCGATGCAGCTTAAGAATCCGCTTTTGGGACGGACGACGGTTTTGTCTCATGATTTGGAGGTCACATCCCACCTTCGGGGTGGCAGCAAGATGCTTCACGCCCTGCGCACAGCCATATGGTTAGTACAGCACTAGTTTTATAAATATTAAAACTATCTGCTCAAATTCTGCTTCAGTGTCTACATCCCGTCTTCAGCTTCTTCGAATTCAAGCTCCGAGCTCGGCCTACTGTTCTTCTCGTCGACAGTATTTCAAAGTCCGTCATTTCCATTGGGACAGACCCAAAATGACTTCAGAGAATCTACACCAAGCACAGAATGGCATCAATGGCCACAAAGATCTTGAAGGTCTTGGCGGAACAACAGACCTACCTCCCGCAGACGGACCTCACAAGCAGCAAAACGCCTGGTCAACCCCAGGACCAGCTGCTTTTGATTTCAGGAGTAATTATCCCCAATGCAATGCAACTACACTATACCATAACTAACGCTCTCCAAGGCGACGTAGTAACAACACCAACCCCCTCAATGCTCGCCGCAGTACAAAACACTACTCTCCTCGACGACGTATTCATGGAAGACCCAACCACCACCTCCCTCGAGTCCCACCTCGCAACTCTCACCTCGCACGAAGCAGCTCTCTTCGTCCTGTCCGGCACAATGGGCAACCAACTCGCGCTCCGCTCGCACCTCACCCAGCCTCCGCACTCCGTGCTCTGCGACTACCGCGCTCACATCTCGGAGTGGGAAGCTGGGGGCGTGGCTACGCTCTCCGGTGCGCTGGTTAGATGCGTGGTACCTAGCAACGGGGTTTATTTGACATTGGAGGATATCAAGAAACACGTTGTTCTAGGAGACGAGATACATAGTTGTCCCACTAAGGTCATTTCATTGGAGAACACGTTGGGTGGGACGATCATGCCATTGGAAGAAGTGCGACGCATAGCAGCATTTGCGCGAGAGCACGAGATTAAGATGCATCTCGACGGAGCCCGGATCTGGGAAGCTGTCGTTGCAGGTGCAGGGTCATTACCTGACTACACTAAAGAATTCGATAGTGTCAGTTTATGTTTCTCGAAAGGATTAGGTGCGCCTGTGGGAAGTATTCTAGTCGGGAATGCGAAGTTTATTAAGCATGCTAGGTGGGTGAGGAAGAGTATCGGTGGTGGTCTACGACAGCCTGGTGTGGTCACAGCCGCGGCTCGAGTCGCTGTAGACGAGACGTTCGGAAAGGGACCGAATGGTGAGGGTGGTCTTTTAAAGCAAAGTCATATTACAGCGAGGAGGATCGCGAAGATATGGACAGATATGGGCGGGAAGCTGGATCAACCAACTGAGACGAATATGGTGTGGTTTAATCTTGACGATGTTGGACTTTCAGAGGATGAGTTCGTGGAGTTGGGTAAGAAGCATGGATTGAGGCTGCTAGGTGGACGTTTGGTGGTGCATTACCAGATTAGCGATGAGGCGGTGATTAGGTTGGAAAAAGTGATGAAGGAGGTAATTGAGAAGAAGAAGACGAGTGGAGGTGGTGCTGTTGAGAAGAAAGGTGGCGAGAAAGCCTATGGGACGTGATGATAGAAAATAGATCTGCGGTACATAACACCCAGAAAATAGGCAAGATGCTCTAATATACACGACTTATCATAATGTCTGTCTTGCTTCAAGGAAGTAAACTTAACCGAAAAGTATTCGCAGGATGGACAGACATTCATTTCACACTCATATCCATCCTGCGCGCAAACTGACAATGCATCTTTCTTAACCACACAACTTGAGGGGGAACAGAGGTATTTTCTAAACCAGACATCCACACAATTTCTTTTCTTTTCCGGGTCACCGGGATCAAGACCAGACTGTTGGTCAGAAACCACTCCCGCACAGACATTCGAACATTTATCACCCAATTCTTCGATTTGATGACAATGATGATGCCGTGCCGAAGTTCTGCAGGAGAAAACGGAACTGAAGGCGCGAGTGGAGGTGTGTAAATCGCATACACATGGCTCAAAAAGGGGGTATATCTCGCTTATTTGTCAGCGAAAGCGAACCAATTGTCCTCGACGTGCACGAACATTGTGACGAGGATGAATTTTATGAAGATTAGTTAAGCAGAAATGTGTATCTAACTATTCATACATATAAAATCTTAACATTTTCAAGTGTCTTCACACCTGATCCTACAAACCATCTCCCTTTTCCCCAACCACCATTCTCACCTATAACAAGGCCTCAAAACCGTGAACGGAATTTCATCCCCACTCCCACTCTCACTACATCCAACCCCGCTTTACCCCTAGTTCCCACTCCGTACGGCATCTCATCATATGTATCTAGTTTCTGGAAGCTCGCTCCGCAACAACAACAAATACAGTGCTCAAGTTGCGAACGTCCCTCTCTGATCCTGTGTTGAATCCTGCGTCTCAGCAATTTCAATGGCCGCTGCGGCAGGTATGCCGCCAATCGAGGATCCCCACTGGCAGCTATTCTGGAGAATGGTTGACGAGGAATGAATTGACCTCTTCAAAAGACAGTATTAAAAGACTAATATCAAATGAAGTGCTCGAACTTGAGGCGAGAACAGATGGAACAAAGAGTGGTCCGTTCTTAAAAGATATCATATAGGACCCTTGAAGCGGTTCGGTGCGTGTGAACAGGCTGACTTACCATTATGTGTTCTATGAGATCTAACGTCTGACGTATGACACAGGCAATAGCCATCGAGAGACTGACCCGATGTAACAGAGAGGTCTTGACAGGCCGTTGAGAACGGAGTGTTTTTTGAAATGGAATGCCTTTGGTTACGGAGGTGGATCGATGAGCGGACTTGCCCCGTTTAACGGTAGGAGGTGAATATACTTCCCTGGACACTTTGCAATCTTGGTAAATTACAGATAAAACCCGTTTCATGAAAAGGTCTTGTCTCCTGTGAAGTCCTAGGGTATGTTCAGTGGAATGGCGATAGGTCTTACCAACCTTTTGTCCAAGGAATGAAAATAATGAGAACCTGGACATGATTTAAGTTGCTCGCATCGATTAGGATCGGGAGGTTCCTGTCAAAATCGCCAAGACACAGGTTCCCAAGGAATGAAACATGGACTGTCCCTTCGGATCATGTGGCTGAAGTCATTGCTTGAATGAAATTCATGAATGGGCACAGATGAACTTCAGTGGCCCAATACCCAGTGCTTGGCTTCTTCTTATTTGAGTCTTCGAGGATATCCGAGATTTATCCTGGCCCCCATGATTATTCTTCGAAGTCCTTTCGAAAGTATCATGAATCCATGTTTTTGTTGTCTATCGATCTAAGGCCGAAAGTATGTATTGCATACCATGTCCGTGCCATCATGTGGGTATATCACGGCGGATACATTTATCGAACCAGAAGCGGGCTACTCCTAGACCGCTGATAACTAAGGCAAGATGGAAGTGCGCATTACGTGAAGTATTCGTTTTGAAGCAAAGACGGACATGTTAAAATCTCCATGTGATATGATTGGCTGTTGTTACACGGGCCGACGACTAGGAGCTCTTCCGAGCCTAGAGCACATAGCGTACCACCATCCGTGACTTTATAGTCGTTATCCTGTCAAGTGCGGAACCCAAACCTTTCCCCACATTCGTCTCAAGAAGCTGAGGGGTATCCAGAAAAGCTGACGAATGGAGAAAGCCGGTCTGCGCTTAAGACCACATGCCGAGCTTGAAGCCGGCGGATCCTGGTGATGCTACATGTTCCTACCCATCATCTCAAAACAGCTGCTGCCCCTCCTTCATCCAAACGATAGCATTCGCCCACGATAGAATTGGGCAAATGGGACATGTGCTTTGCTCTACTATTTGAGTTGAGAATCTTCCGAGTAATGGGCATCTCCTCTGTCTTCATATCTTCATTCCATACACTGAGCATATCTTTTCAATGTCGAATCCTACTGTTGTAATCATTCCTGGAGCATGGCAGCCAGCCGAGGCTTTCGAGCCGTTCGGCGAACATTTGAGAGATGTAGGATATCCTACAGAGGTCATCTCATTGAAATCTGTAGGCGGAACTGAGACTCCTCTGGCTGGGCTGAAGGAAGATGCAGACGCCGTCAGTGAGGTTTTGACGAAGCTTGCGGACGAGGCTCGAGATATCGTTTTATTATGTCATTCTTATGGCGGTGTTATTGGTAGTTGTGCGGTAAGAACCTTTCCCGTCAAAGTACAGGTTTCTACCCAGAAACATCATCTGTTGATGATCCTACTTCGTAACAGAGTCCATTTACCAACAGTTCGTGTTCCGATTATAGTTCGATGAGTTCTGACTTATCTTAGATCGAAGGCTTAGACTTTGCCACAAGAAGAAATGCAGGCAAAGCAGGCGGTGTCATCTTGACAGTATATATGAGTGCTTTTATGTTACCGAAAGGCATGAACGTACTGGATGGTCTGGGGGGGAAACCGATGCCGTGGATGAAAATCGAGGTGTGTCTCTCAAGTATTATCCCACGTTGGTTCATACTGATCCACCCTTATATCAGGAGGACAAGTGCTTTGCAGTAGCTTCAGAGCTACCTCAAATTGCACTGAACGATATGCCAGCAGAGAAAGCCAAGGCGTATTCTGCTCAGTTAACCCACACGTCCGTTTCTGCTTTCGCAACTCCATCCACGTTTGAGCCTTGGGCAAATGCCATCCCTTGTACATACATCTTCTGCGAGATCGATAATGCGCTTCCCCTGCCGGTTCAACAACAGATGGCCTCTCAATTGGGACCAAACGCCACAACGTTCAGTTTGAAAGCAGGTCACTGTCCGTTTTTGAGTATGCCAGAACAGTTGCGAGACGTGATTGTCAAAGCCTCTGAAGTGGGATTGAGCCGCAAAGCAATTTGAGAAATTGTATCGATTTGGAAAGGTAAGGGTAGGTCGTTCTAGTGTTGTTTGTGTGGTTAGAATCAGGAGAGAGCTTCGGGGGCGTCTTTCCAGAGAGTTATTGTAAGACAGGAATAGTTCTGAGGGTTCTTCATAGCACCTCCCATCGGATTGACATAATTCCAAACCCTAGTCGCACCAGCTACTAAGTCTTGGTGTGTGACACATGAAATTAAGGCAATGAGAAGATCGAGGCAGAAAGTTCAATGTAAGACAAAGAGGGGTAAGATAGAGATGATCGAGATCGTGGCGATCTGAACTGATGACGATGTGTAGTTCCTGAGATCTGATAACGAAACAAACAACATAAATCCCGCGGACAACGATGCTATCCCCGAGCAGTTGAGCTGGCATTGTAACTGTAACAGCAAATAGCGTCCCGTGCACAGGGAGGTTCAGTTGGAAACGGGAAGGTGTATTGGCGGACTGGACGGCTGGCTACTGGAATTCGGACCTCATGTCCTTTTCAATGTCCCAATTCGCCCAGAGTCCTGGGAGACCAGCCTAAGACATGCGACTTCCCTTATTCAAGGACGTGTCCTGATGGAGGCAAGAATGATCTCGATTGCTTGTGGCTTCGCCTTTCGACACGAGCAGAGTGATGAATCGTGACAGAGAGAAAAATGACGGTATATGGAATTTCGACGCAATTCGGACGACAAGGGAAGTTGAGGAAACTGGAAGGGCAGAGTGAAAGTGTGAAGGTGGGAGAGAGCTGTCGCGCTCTCAGGTGACACGGCATAACCTTATTGGCCCCACAGTCCTAGCTTCCAGTCCCAGCCTCTTCACCGTCACAACTTCCCTCCTTCCTTTCTTCCCTTCATTTTCTTCAATGCTCTCAAGTAATTCATTACAATCTTTTGCGGAGTTCACTCCGCACTTTTGACCAACCCTAGAAGTTTTGAGTCACCATGACCCTTCACAGCCCCTGTCCGCGCCGCACCAAGTTGCCTTTGTAATCTTACAATCCTCGGTGTTTGCTCGTACACAGTATTTTCACATTCAAGTGTCCTATCTGCGACTTTCCTTGGTCTTAGCGTTACAGTCATCCCGGAGAAAATGTCAAGGTTGCGGTGTTTGCTTGTAGTGGTCGTGAGATTCATTTCAAGTATAAGTTTTCTCTTGACTCCCCTGATGAACAAATTAAATCTCCTTCATGCTATGCACTGTCAACTCTCAATGTACACCTACCTACTTTACTTGTTCATAGTGATCTTTTTCCACGGTCCACGATGTTTGATAAGATAGTCAATGATAGACGATACAGGCAGGCTCCTCGCAAAGATGCCAAGTCCGACAGTAGAACGCGGCATTCTTTCCGGTCCAAGCACATGCGTAACGATAATCGCAGAGAAGAACAGTGGTCTTCACACGAAAATAGAGCTCTGAACATTGATGTCAGTTTCCCAGACACGTTTGAACTACGCGATGATCAGGCACCCAAAGCTAGGGCATACGCTCGTCCTGATTGTGCAACGGTCTCAATGCCGAGTATCTTCAAAACAGGGTACAATGGGTCTATCTTCGATAGATTTGGGCATAGAGATGTGCATGCTGAAGAGCCTCCACCGTCCTCCAAACGAAGGTCCTTTCCTTATGTTAGGTTGGATTCGAGTGATGCGAACTTCTTCGACTCCTCGTCCCGTGTCGAGGATGACAAATTTCACGCCGACGAGTGCATGTATACACAAATTGGTGGACCATCAACAATGCGGCCTCGAAGTGGAGCATTCGGACTGAGTGGCTATAACTCTTGTTACAACGAGCCATCATACTATGACTGTTCGCTTATAGAACTCGCTCCGGACACGGAGCAAGCATACGAGGACCATCCACACAACTCTTTCGTCGAGGATGAATTTCTCAAGTCATTGCTGCCTGCTGAGATCCTCAGCCTCTATCAGCAAACTCCAGAGCTGCCACTTGACCGCCATGATACTATCAATGCATCTGGACACCTTCTTGAGATCGAGGCAGCTCCTATCATCGCCGATAGTTTCAGCCATGGTAGAGCGCTAATTGAAGAAGCGCCCTTACGACTCTATGATACATTTTCCCACCAAGTTGACACTAGCGAAGACATTATCAACGAGGTAATGGTTGTTACAGGAGACATCATGGATACGATGATGGAAAGTGTGCTTGCAGTAGATGTGGTGTATGGCAATCCCACTCTCGAAGCAGAGCTCGAAAATTCCCCAGATCCTCCTTTCAACAGCTCATATCACAGAGAGCCACGAGATGCCGATATCAGCAGGTTCTTACAACAAATGGCTCTACACACGCAGTCAGCTCCTCCTCCACCACCTCTAAGGCCCCATTTTGTGGATCCAAACCACATTCCTTTGCGCAATCTTGCATTCGAGCAAACAACCAAGAGTCAAGATGATCATCCACCAAGCGTTGATTCAAAAGCCCAACTCGATCGCTACAACAAATGGTGGACCGACGCTCAAGCAAAAACATCCACCACGCCAGCCGTCCTGGACGGCGTCCTACGTTTTCTCCCAAGCACCCCACCCAGTCCTCAATCTGAACCCGACTGGAGATGGGCCGCGCACAAATTCTTCTGTCTCGCATTCAACTTGCAACCGCTATCCATCCCCCAACAAGATACTTCTGACTTGTAAGTAATATATCTCTCTCCTCACCTTTTCTTCGCACTCAAGCTAATCAACCTCGTTCAAGCCTCACATTCACAGCCCCACCAACCCAAGCTACCACAAACCTACGCGCCCTCCGCGCCCAACTCAAGCTCGAAAAAGTCCGCTGGCACGAAGATAAACTGCGCTCCCTATTCGGCGACGCAGTCGCGCGTGACGAGCGAAGCAAGAGCGTGTGGAGCGCTGTGATCGGGTTGAAAGAGACTGTTGAGAGGGCGTTGGAAGAGTCATGAGTGCTGAATTTTCTTTAAGAGGCTGTTTCTTGATACTGAATCGCGGCTTGAAGATGATATATTAATGATGTGCATTACGTGTGGTAATGTTATAATAACGGAGCTTAATGTCTGATGGTTGATGTTTGGATTTCTCTCGTACATTAGGACTCGCTTGTTCAGGGGTTGAGAACAGTTCACGTGCTCTGAGCTTGGAATGCTGGGTCGTTGCATCTCTCTTATAGCTTCAACTGCTTTTGCTTACGTTTATCTATCTTCTTAAAATAGCGTTGTATGAGGAATCGAGCAAGGACCTTACTTGAACAAGGTGTCCTTCATTTTCGACCGGCATTCCCGATATTTGAATTCATCTCTCAAGCAAAAATGTCTTTTCCTCTCAGCGCATCTCCAGTTCTCAATGCCCGTCATTGAGATAAAACAAGACCTCACATATTGATAAAACACGTTGTGAAAGGACAAGATTCCATTCAATTCTCATCTCCTATCCTACTCCCAATAACCAATCATCATGACCCTATGCAACCGGATGATCCCATGCATACATGCAATCCATTTTGATAAACCCCCAATCATCAGGCATCACATTGCGTCGCATCCAAAGCCCGCCCAATTAAATGTCCGTCATCGTCAATCCAATCGCGGCCTAAAAGCCCCTGTCTTTCTATACATCTCTGCCAACACAACTACGTACGCCAGGCACCATTAATCCAACAATACACTTTTTCTTCTCTTCCCTGTTGCTTCTCAGACCTCTCTCTCTGATCTTTCGGCAAAAAGAAAGAATGCAAAATAAATGCTTCCCTATACAAGAACAACAACAGAACAGTAACAGAAAGGAATTGTTGCCTCCCAAAACCCATTTCCCTATGTTATGATACGTTATTAAAAGCGGAAGGTAAAGCGTGAGTGTCGTTATTGCAAAAGTAGAATATTGATGGCATGCTATATTACTGCAAGCGCTTTCGCTTCCTATCTTCTTCTCTCATCTCTTCTTCGTGTTCTTCGTCTCGTTCGGCGGTCTCGGCTGGGTTGAGAATGTGTGCCATGCTACCCCTTCTAGTTGGTGGGCCGGAGTTATCTTTGAATAGACCTGTGCCACCACTTTTATCTCGAGAGGATCCCCAAGACCAGCTGTTTAGGTGGTCGACAGTACTTCCATTCGTATAGGGAGGAGGGGTTGTTGGCCGGGATCCTTCGGTGCGGCCTTGAGATGATGCTTGTGTAAGTGAGTAAGAGCTGAAACTATCACGTATGTGTTGGTCCTCATTTAGAACTATCGGACCTCTCTTGGGTGATGAAGGCCACTGGCTTGAGGACTGGCCAGAAGCAAATGGTGAAGAGGCATTCGCTTGCCAACCTTGTACGTTTCGAATGTCTGCTGAAGTATGGCGTCGAGGAAGGTTGGTTGGCGGCGATGCTACAGTTGCTAGAGGATGAGGAGGTGGAGGTGGGGGAGGAGCTTGAGATCTGAGTGAGCTTGGAGACGATTGTGACGTGCTAGCCCCAATCGACCCATATCGGCGAGGAGTAATCGATAAGTGAGAGGGAACGGGCGGCCGATAGTAGTTCTGTCGAGGGGGTACTCCCATGGTCGGGGCACGACGAGGATCATCTTGTGGGATTTGTCGAGGCGAGACGGGGGCGTTATCGAGTGAGAGATTGGAGAAATAGGGCCGACTTCCCGAAAAAGGAGGTTCGGGAGGCTCTTCTAAAGTTCGGATAACATCAACTTGTCGTTGTATCTCGGCTTGCATATTGATGACTGTGCACGTTAGTAAGCAGAGAAAAGGGAGGGTCTGACTGTGCTTACCATCCCGGTGTAGAGGTGTATCTGGATTAGGAATAAGTGAGAGGATAGCTCGAGACATGTCATGATTAAGCTAGGAAACAATTAGATAGCTGGCAAAAGAGCAGTACCAATTCAGTTGACATCGAAGACATAGACCAATAAACGAGAATAGCTTACTTGGAGCGATCTAGACAAAGCTTCCATAACCACTTGATTCCTGACATGCATGAATTGCGAATTATCCTCGCTTCTTGCAAGCCTAGCATGCACCTCATAAAAATTATGTTCAAGATGGGTTAATCTCGACTCGGTCGACTCTTGCATCGATAGCATTGGCTCTGCTGGTGTACCGGGTTGCGAAAGTGGGGGTTTCGGAGCAGAATATGAATCTCTGTGTACCAAAGCATGTCTTGATGCTCTGCGTTTGATCTCTCTGAGGCCAATGAGGTCGCCCCGTTTGAAATTACCATTTCCATGCTTGAATTCCCACAAAGGAGATTCGGGTGACCCTGTATGAAAGACATCGCTGACTAGAGCACGTTTAGCAGGCGTACTTAGCACGTAACTCGTTTTAACAAACCTTTGTGAAAGCCGTACATGTTCAATTGTCGCACGAATGACGAGATATTTGTGTGCTTGAAATATTGTCTGTGACATGTGAGCCAATATCTCGGGACGAGAGGTGCTCTTAGAGTACTCACGAAAGGACTTTGGAAAAGTCATTGGAAGGAGACATTACAAAGCTTTCAGCTGAATTCGACCATGATATCAGGTGCTGTATGCTTTGATCTTCTAACATACTGTACGTCCATTAGCAGGCACATCAGCTATAGTCTCAGCTTGTGCTTACTTGTACAGCTTGTGGATGAAAGCAGTCTGTACTACTTTAGGTTGTTGAGCACCTGCGGCGGCGGCAGCAGCAGCATTAGGTCCTGCCAGACTGCCAGAACTTGGCTGATCCCCCATCATCATTTGATCATGTACGCCGTTTGCATCTGTATCTGGGCTTGTTCGAGAGGGGGGAGCCATCGAACTCGTCGCAGGAGGTGTCACCTCCATTGGGTCACCGACAGGCGGAGCTGAGGTCTGTAGGATAGGAGTTTGAAGGATTGGTACTGTTCGAGCGGTCATTTGGCCTGGTTGAGTATCGCCCATGAAGGGACCCCGTTGCGCTCTCTCGTCCGTTGTTTCCATCGTCGAGTTACCTGTCTCCGTGTCAGTTCCTATCGGCGCAAATCGCACAGTGAAGTAATTGTCGGGGAGGAGCTGCGATTGATCTGCGAGAGGAGGAGACATACCTCATTGCATCCAGATTGACGATTCTCAGGTCTCGCGATGTATGGTGATGGAAGAAGCTCTTCTTTGTCTGATGCTACTGCTGATATGCAGCTATCCGCGACAGGGTTCACTCAAGCCGTGTGGCCACTCAGCCTCGCTGCAGCGCAGAATTTCTGGAACAAAGGATTGCAAGTTGGTCGAGGACTCAACGAGTGTCGCGTACGATGCTGCTGCTGTGGGAGGTGTTGAGGAAGTCCTGACTGTCGATTTTGGAATGCCGTGTGCTGAATCTAGAACTGAGAATAGCGTAGATGTTCTGTGCGAGCTCGACTCGGGGGCAAGCTAGTGTGTAGACTGGACCCCGCCGCGACTTTCTGCTGGCAGATACTCCCAAGATAGGGGTCAACGACGAAATGCACATGAACATGCACCTGCGACACAATACGATGAATCTTGAAGGTGGAGGTGTAGCAGCTGAGTCGAGATCAACGACAACGACTTGATTGACAGTCGTCGATTCACCAGATACGGGGTTCAAGGAGCAAAGGCAATTGGAATGCTATCATAGGCAGGTCATAGCAGTAGCACCCAGCACACCCTGGCGGTGGACGGGGGTCTTGTCCTTTTCTTTCTGTGGCAGAACAATGCCAATACACGGTTAAACTTCGAGAAAGGGATGGGAAAGGACCGAGCAAGGCCCTGAGCGGTGTTCTCTGCAGTGCAGTCCTCGCAGCTCGAATCGAACCTGTGGAGAAGAACGGCCCCCCTAAAAGCCTGGGCCCTTCCCCCTTTCCCACGCCATACAGCCGAAGCATGTGAAACGACAATTTCATACATAAGCTGCTAGAAGTCCTGCACGTCGACCAGAGCCTCACAATAGAATGTAGACAAAATGCACTGTTTTTATTGTCTGTGCCGCTGCTCAACTATGGACGAGGACCACGACGATGCTGAAGAAACCTCGGGAGAACCGAAGGGGCAAGAGAGCTGCATAGAATCTCGGATCTTCCGCGAGCTGCCCGATATGGACGTGGCATTCGGAGGTGGGATATGATATGCATGGCGGTCGGATGGCGAGGGATGGACCAGAGGCGAAGAAAAGAAGACACAATCGTCGTGCTGCAGCGCCAAAGAGGACACAAATACACAATGTAGGTCGGATCCAGCGCCTCCCAGCCTCCCCCAACGGGCCGGAATCAAGGAACCCATTCCGCAGACGGCCACCGAGATGAAGAAGGAAACTGGCCTGGTGAATCAATACTTTGTAGTCTCAGCAGCTTACCATACAGGAGCGCGCTTCCTTCTTTCTCGAAGCTATTGGTTTGTCCGATGGACGAACGGGGCCGGTTTCAGCTGGAGTGCAAAAGCATCCGTGCAGAGCCGACGAATTGGTTCTGCTCGAGTGCTGTGGCTATATAAAAGGCTGATATAGGTTGTCCCAGAACGGTATCATCCAGAACTGCCAAAGTGAGGATCGAGGTGGCGAGCAGGAAAGATGCTCAGCCTTGTGGAGGTGATTGGATGCGCACATTGAAGTGGACGCAGGATGTGTGGATGTGAGCGTTTCCGAGGCATAGAGAGGGTTCGAGAGGCAGCGCAGCCCTGCGGACAGAAATACATGCGGCAGCTTCCCCACGAACCCAAACGTCGATAATCCAACTAATGCTGGAGCTGTGCAAACTTAGCCTCAATTTTATGTCGTGGGGGTGATGATCTCATTCCTACAATGCGTTCGTTGATGTTCTGCCAGCCAAGAGCGCAAGTAGCACTCATGGAACCGGAAGTCCAGTCTCCAGGTGTCATCGGATGAAATCTGGCGATCTGATCGCACAATGGGCCAAATTATAGGCAATGCAGTGTAAAGTCAAAGTCGTACAGTGCATATTGTTGGACGGAGTGTAGAAATTGTATTGCGAGAAGGAAAAGATACAGGCAAGGCTGCGCTAAGGTGCTTCTCCACTTTTTCTTCCATCAGCCACACAGCCTTGTCTCGTCACGCCTCTCCTTCCTCAGTTAACATGGCGCATGAAATAATAGAACATAACAACACAACATAAGTTTGCAAACAAAACATCGACTAAACTGAAAACCGGATCCACCAAACCGGAAAAGGTCTGTCTGGGGGACCGCGAAGTGGCACCATAACTGATAAGCCCCCAACGAGGTCACCCTTCACCCCAGCGGATTCGAGACTATCAAACTCTACAGTCTGCGTCACCATCACGGCATTCCATAATCGACAATGGGCAAACTAACAGATATTCTTCAATCCCTTAAGAAGGAAGATGGGTCATCTAACGAATCTAAACGAGAGTCAGAGTGCGATAAACAATAAGCATTTACTGCTTCCTCTAAAGGCCACAGCTAACAGAATTCATAGGTTGACTAGCCTGGTCCCGTATCTCTCTCTCTCAGAAGTTCGAGCTCTTCGTCTCCGACTCAACGCTATCGTGATCCCCAACGACTTATGTACGAGATTCCCCCTGGAGATTGTGGAAAGCATAGCACAATATCTCGACCTCGAAGAAATCATTCAGGCACGCCATATATCCAAATCCTGGTGGCACGTGTTCGGATGCCGTGAGTCCTCGGTCCAATTTCTCAAGTGGCACTTTCCCTTAGTCTGGGAACAGGACTTCAAACATCTCACAAAGGATGAGCAAGTATCCGACAGGATGAGTCCTCACAAGCTACTGTTGACCGAGGCAGAAAAACGCATTCGGATCAAGCAGGGTCAATACCATTCCATGGAGGTATATCAACTAGCTCACAGTCTTAAAGAAGTCCAATATTGCAATGGCAGGATGGCTTTCCGAGCCGTCAATAATTCGCACGGCGACAATGAGTCTATTAATGTGTGGGATCTTCGATCAGAGGTCTCAGTACTGTATACGGATGAGAACCGGGAGGACATCTATCGTTGGCAACTATCAGATTCTCTCATAGTCTGCGAGAAGCGAGGGCCGTAAGTCATGCAATTCTATCCAGCGGCAAAGAATCTAACAATATTCTAAAGGCCAACCTTGTTGGTATGGCGTCTGGATCGGGATATCTCTGACAGTCCGACCGCTGTCCGTCTACCAAGCAATTATAGATCATTATCGGTTCGTCATAAGCAGATTGCACTTATCACTCACCAATCCGAAGTCATGGTTTGGACATGGGGCGGAGCTCTGAAGTTGGTCGATACGAGCGAATTTTCCCAAAAGCTCGGGAAGGGGGTTACTAGATTTCTTAGGGAACAAGTGCTCTTCCACCCCCTGCACTCTAGTAAGCTACTTTCACTTTGTCCTTGTGTTGATTTTCCTTTCCAGAAGAGGGTACCAGCCGTCATCACATGAGTGAACATGAGCTTGACAAGGTAGCTTTTTCGAGTCGAAGTCTTCAAATCGAAGGCTTCTGTGAAGTTCTAGAGTGGAGACTCGTCATTTGAACTTATTATTTCTCTAGCACACTAATCTGACCTTCACAGATCACATCTTTGTTGTTTCACAAGCATACATAGAGGATGGACGCGAGCTCCTCGTGTCCGAATATACCATAACTAGCAGTCAGTGGAAATTAGCAGCAACGCATCACTTGACAGACTTGAGTGCTTTCCTGGACTCAGAAACAGTAATTCAGCTTCATGACGGCAACATTGGTATACATGGCTTCGACGGTCGAGCCCAAAGCGATTGGATGAGGTCGAGCGATAAAATTATTTTCCCTACGGAGCGGCCATACCTCCTTACGACATTTGATATATCCACTAAGAGATTTAGCCACCAGACATACTGGCTCCAAGGCTGGGCCAGTGAGCAACTCGATATCTCGATCAATCGAGAACAAATACTGCTTTGGAGAGATCGGTTGTGTATGCCAGTCTACAATACGCACATGAATGCCAGACACAGACCAGAAGGCGTCACGGACATGATCCTTGCAGGATTTGCGCCAATTGAACAGAAGCCGTCCAAGATCGAACGGTGGTATGGACGGACAAAGGAGGACAATCAGGCTCTCTTGGTCCCAAGAGATGCTGCGATGGGCAAGAGTGCACTGGCATATTGTTGGATCGGAGGAAATGAATTTGCAAAAGAAGCACGAGAAAGAGGGTCTTTTTTAACGGAGCGGATGGTGCTAGGAGATGACGAATTTGTGGTGTTGGTGGGATGCTATGGCTTTGTGGTATGGTCCTTCGACGAAAAGGTTATCTTACGGAAATCGGGGTCGTCATCAGATCCGAACCTTCCACCAGGTCTCCTCCATCCACTTCATGAGAGATGGTAGGATATTAGAATGATCTGCTTTGAGGATGCAGGTTGAATTCGATAAGCAGATCGACGACTAATTAGAAGAAGCTTGTTGATAGAGATTGGCGTTTTTCAGGTTGCATGGTGTTCACGATACCCAGAAATAACGGAGACTTTACAGAGAAAGGACGAAACACATTCTTACGTAAGATTATGGTAATACCCAGGATGAATGAGTCCTGGCCGTGATTCGACAGGTGCTCTGAACACTGATTACTTAGTCTTTGAATGTATTGATAATGCTGTGGAGTGTCAAAGCCAAATGACATGGCATACCCTCCTTTGGGAAATGAAATTTTGTTCCCACCTATCAAATTGGCATATAACGCCTTTCGTGAAACATCCTTTGTCTCGTCTCTCACCTTCAACTTCCGTCCCTTTGCTTTCAAACCCCACGAACCTCACTAAGCTGCATTCCTACACCAAACCACAGAAACAGGGCATTACAACACGTTTTCAACCAGGCTCAATGCGGTGATCAGAGAACTTATCTAAATAGGCTTATATTACTATACATAAATCCCATCAGGAAAACTTCATCATTCCATCACATTCCTCTCATCTTAAGTGTTTCCCCTCCCCGCTTAATTCCAAAAGGGGATGGAACATTGCCAGCCATGGAAAGAGCGACTAGAATTTAAGTTTGAACCCCTATTTCTATTGCATATCGCAAAATGAAGGACAGTTCCCCGTGAAAGATCAGGTGATATTGTCAGTTAAGAAAGGAAAGAGCAAGCACCTGTTTAGCTAGGTAAGCATTTAGTTTGGGAGTTCGTGTTGTTGCATATCGCAAAACAGACGACATCTCCCCATCAAAAATCAGGTGATATTGACAGTTAAAAGGAGAAAGAGCGGGTTCCCAGGTAGACAGACATTGAGTTTAGAAGTCTTTTTTGTTGCATATCGCAAAATTAATACCGCTCCCCGTCAAAAATCATGTGATATTGTAGATTAAGAAGGGAAGGAGCGGGAGGACATTGAGTTTGGACTTTTGTGGTTGAATGTGAGGTTGAGTTGCTCGAGGGTTTTGGATGATTGGGATATCTTGATCGCGGATTGATGGTCTGCTTTAGGTTAGTGGACTTGCCTTTTTCGTCTTGCTTTGCGGACGTAAGGTTAGTTGTCCTTAGTAGGAAAATGTCTGTCCAGGTATTGTGGGAGGCAGGTTTGTTAGGTAGGACATTGTGTGCCTATTCAGAAATCGAGATGAGATTTAGAAGTTGATGTAAGGAAAGTCGTAGTTTTCTCATATTGTCCCAATCACTAATGACTTATGGTACGAGGATAGACTTCGATTGAATGCAAGTTGCAAGAGAAAAAGTCATGCTATGTGAAAGCATTGATTTTGTTAGTCTAGCTACAACTGAATTTTAATCTTCTTCCGCCACTAAATGTCCTCTAAGCACCAACACTCTTTAAACTCTTCACCAAATCCACAATACTCTCCTCCAACCCCCTAAACTTAATCCCCAAAACCTCCGTCGTCCTGCTATTATCAAACTTATACAGCCCTCCCTCAGGATAATCACCTCCCTTAACCTCCTCTCCCGGCAACTCATTCTTATACTCGGGGAAATTCTTCCTCACAATCTCACAAATCTCCTTATTCGAAAAGTACCCCGCCGTAATAAAAAACCTCTTCTGCGCCGCCTCAGCAACCTCAATCGCCTTCACATGGCAAAGCGCCAAATTCCGCACATCGACCCAGATATACGTCCCCGTGTCCGGAATCTCCTTCTTGCATTGCCCGGTTATCAAATTTCGGACCCGTTGGTTGGAGGTATTGAGGCCATCCAGCGAATTTAGGTAATGCACAATAGGACCCAGGACTAGGGGAGGACACATGGTGGATACGGTGAAGTTGGGCTTCTCTTTCTCGACGAATTCCCAGGCTGCTTTTTCGGCGAAGGTTTTCGAGGCTCGGTAGCCGTTGGCGGGGTTCTGGACTGCTTCTTCCAGTGTTACCGGGTTCCAATCCTTTTCCGAGTAAGTATAGCCTGGGCGAGTGCCCTTTGAGCCATCGATGATGGAGGCGAAGGAGCTGGTGATTACGACTCTTTTCACGGTGGGTACGTGGTTCTTGATGGCTTTTAGGATACCGGTTGTGCCGATGATGGCGGGGTCTAAAAGGTCTTTCTTGGTGTCGGTGACGTTGAAGTGGAAGGGGGAGGCGGTGTGGATCACGGCTTCGAGGTCGGGAAGGGATTGGACTGCTTTGTCGAAGGCATTTTCTTGGGCGATGTCCTCTACGATGCGGAAGTCGAGCTTGGAGGTGGGGATGTTGGGGTGGGCGGATTTGATGGCGTCGGCTTTGGATTGGGAGCGGACTGTGGTGATGACTTCGTGGCCGTGTTCGAGGAGGATGTCGAGGACGTGGGCTGCGATGAAGCCACTGTGGTTTGTCAGTATGTCAATTGCTTATAGGTTGGCGATGGTGGGGTAGCTCGATGATGGAGGGGTAATTTCTGAGGGTGGGAGTGCAAATAACATACCTGCCACCTGTAAGGAGAACCTTCATATTGAGTGATTTGGTAGTAGAGAATGTCCGTCTATTTAATTTGTTCAAGATTCGAACTGCAAACATGCGGAACCGCAGGGGATAATGGAAGTTTAAATACTCATGCAACTATGGAGCTGTTGCACGACATTTCCCCAAAACGTCATCAGCCGAGATGCAGCGCCAGTTCTCATATTTTGTACCAATCATAACATAGATATATTAGATGGACCTTCGCTTGAATTGCTCGGCTAGGATTATAGACATGCGATAACAGGCTTTCCTCCACCTTCGAGCTTGAATTTCGGCTATTACTGCCAGATTCCATTTTAACTCCGAAATGCCACATTTTTGCCGCTTGGGATATGCTTGTGTCTATCAATGTCGACTTCGGCATCAGAAGTCTCGATCTTAGTTCAGGAGAATGAGAGCAGTTGACAAACTCTTCTCCACATGATTCTTGGGAGATTAAAAGGAGTTGTCGTTGATTTTGAGCTGGATGGCTAAGATCTCACTTGCAGTGACAAGCAATAGTCGTCGGACAACCACCAATCATTATTGCCATATTTACCAAGACCTGTTCCTTCCTATCATACAACATACTCGGTCTACCTCGTACCTTAATAAACAATGAGAGGTTGCGCTTCAATTGATGATTTACGAGCACCCAGACGATCTCCTAACGCCGCCGCTCAAATGAGAGAATATAGACAAGCCTCGGCATTCATGCCGCCGATATCTTACTGCTGGAAAGCATTTCCAGATCTGCCTCTACCCATGGTCTTGAAACTGCCCCCTGCAGACATGATATCGAAACGAGACGCCCCCATTGCTTCGGGGTCCGAGAGACTCGAAAAATAGAAGCCGATGATGACGACTAGGTAGCTCAGAAGGAGAATGGAGCCTTTGAAGTAGTTGCTCTTCCCTTCGCCGTACATGTAGCTCAAAAGAAAAACGCAAAGAATGACAGTCACCATATCCCATTGTGGGAAAATGAGACTAAATGTGTGATCGATGATGTCCTTCGCTTCGGTCCAGTGACCGATATCCAAGGCGCTGTAAAGCACAAGTGCAGGAATCTGTAGCAGACAGACTTGAAGTGCGTATGCTGATCCAATTTCCATAGAGAGTGCGATGTTACCATTCATAGCGAACGATATAGCGTTCTAAACAACGGTCAGTAATGATTTAGAATGATGAGAGATCAACATGTTGCTTACCAAGAATTCCGTGGTGTTTGGCACAAGTGCAAAGAGAGTGATACCAAGGAATTTCTCGTCTATGCCAGATCCTTGCAAGATAACGTCGACGCAGCCAACGAGAATCTCTGCAATAAGGGCGTATAGCACAGTAGCTCCACAAAGAATCACAGAACTCTTCATTCGACTCCAGTTGGGTGCATCATGCCCGCCTCCCTCATGAGCTTCAGCACCAACGGGCTCATCATGGTCGTGCACCACACCAGCCTTGATGTGGTGTGGCTTCGTAATTGTTCCCTGAGCCGGGGCGTTTGCAGCAAAAGAGGTCCTACGTGGAGCTTTTGTGGCATCTCTAGCTGCAATAGTGGCTGCTGTAGCTGCGATCTCTGCAACTTCACGAACAAGACTTGTGTTCTGAGCATCTGTGAATCCTGGGATATGAATGTCGGAACGAGCGCTCTCTCCTCCGCTGCTCTTCGGAGGTGGCATGTGTGGAGTAGGAGCTGAGCCGTTTGCCCCAGGCGTTTCAACCAGAGAATTGTTTCGAGTACTGTCTTCACGTGGATCAAGACCGACTTGTTTCAGCGATTGGCCTAGAATGCGCTTGTACAGTTGTGAGTCTCGAACCTCTAATCCCTGAGCCTCGCTTGACGAGTTTTGAGTGCTTCCAAGTCTTTGCAGACGAGCGACAGAGTTGCCAAGTGGCTGTGAAGAAATTGGTATGTGGTGTACATCCGGGACCTTCTTTTCGTCTGACTCATTGTTCCAAATGACAGCAGCATGTGTCCGTAAAGTGAACCACAGACCAATTACGTAGGACAAGAAGAGCAAAACCGCCGCGAACCAAGTATAAGGGCGGACAGCTTCAATGTAAAAGCGATCATTCAACGTTGGAGATTGTGAGAAATAACAGCGGCGGCAATCGCGACTTGGTGATGGTCCATCGCTATCCTCACAGCTCAGACAGTTTAGTTCATGCTAGAATTGATTAGTACTTTGTTATTTAGACATCGAAGTTGTACTCACAGTGCCGTATATCTGATAGAAGAGGGTTGGACCAAAAGCTGCAATGACTGCAAAAAGTAGCATGGTAGAAGTCACACCTGCCGATTTCGCGTTGAATCGTTGAGTTTTCCGCTTTATTGCCCCAAAACACATGGATAGTCCTGGAAGGAAGAGGATACCGGCGAAAATGCTGCCGATGATACTTCCTTCTACCAGTGAGCCCTTGCCACTGTTGAGGGCCACACAGTACAGGAAAACCTCAACTAGAGTTGAGAAGAAGGCATTAATAGCAGCACCGAGACCCATGGAAGACTGCGCCGAAATAGAAGCAACTGCCTGGCCAATAAAGTATGCCAGTGGGATGATCGAGAACAAGGCCGCCATAAAGAGGAATGCATCTCCTACGATGAAGAGATCTTCAAACCCGAGCAACTCTTTGAGGATGAAGTAGTCAAAGATGACAAACAAGACAACGCCCATCAAGTTGATCAGAAAAATGTTGGTTCCATCAACAGTGTACTTCCAGTATTTCAGACCAACGGCACGGTACGTGCAGAGCAATATGGACGAGTTCGAGATAGCGCCTCTAGAATACTCCGAATCGGATTCGAAGGAGAGCGCTAACGGATGTCGACGAAGGTGGTAGAATAGCAACATCGTCACTTTACCCATTGGAATCCAGAAGACTAGGAACCAGCATATACCAGAGACAATAAACAACAGTGGTGTAATAAGTCCATAGAAGAACAGGAAGAAGATGACCCGGCCTGTATTCCACTGACCTCTGCCGAACAATCTTCGTTTGTAAGGTCGGTCAGAAGAACTTCGTTGATGACTTCGTCCAGTGCGGCCTAAGAGACTATCAGTCTCGCTGGCAGCTGAATCGATACTTCGTCGTGACCGTCCAACAATTGAACGGGTGCCTTGTGGGCCGAAGAAGAGTCTTCCATCCTCGATGTCTCCACTTTGCCACTGCTCATACTCTGTGATACTACGACCCTCGCCTTCATCCTCTTGAGCATAGGCTTCGTCTTGTTCCAAGCGAACGAATTTACCGAAAGGATAGAACAAGTATCCAGATAAGCCCCAAAGTACTCGACCGTACTCGATTGCACTAGGGGCAGCGGCAAATATGAAGCATACAACAGCCCCGACAAAAGCTATCAACGCGAGCCACCAGCCGAACCAGACGGTCCACAAGATGTTGAAGAACAATAGCCACTTGTTGACCCTGCCACCTGGAGAAGAATGGATATCGCCTTCTGCGGTCTTCTGTACCGAACGATTCTTTTTGTAAAGAGCAGGTTTCCAAATACGTATACCAAAGGGATGCGTCTCGTTGATAGCCTCTTGACGGTCCTTGAGCGTGAAGCTTTCCGCATCACTAAGATCATCATCGTCGTCGTCATCTCCTTCCGGCGGCGTAACTTCTAAGTCTTCATCGTTCACCTCCTCCTCTTCTGGAGGTTGATCCCTCGCGCCGTCACCTGTGATGCTTGCCGCCTCTGTTTGGGTTTCGGCCTCAACTTCTGCTTCATGGGAAGAATCTACTCTTGGTAGTGCTGGTTGTTGTTGTGTAGTGGGCCGCCTTCTGAGAGTTGAACCTTGGTGTCTGTTAATTGTACCGTATCCTGATGCACTGGTCCTAGTAGCGAAATCACCCTCGATCTCTGTCACGTCGTCGTCGACCGAGAACTCCTGACCGCGATGTGGTGCTTGTACATTCGACGATGCTCGACGCGGCATTCCAGGTTTCTTCGGCTTCTGTCCACCTCGACCTCGTTCGGGACCGAGCATAGGAGATCGTATGGGTTGGAATGATCGTGAGGACTCTAAACTGTGTGGTTGTGGACGTTCGCTGGTAGAAGATTCGCTATTTCTGTGCTCAGAAGACTGAGTAAAGTCTGGAGGTTGGATACTGCCTTTTGGATGGATTAGCTTTTGATCGAGAGAGATTTGGCCATAGGCCCGGGTATCTGCTGATGCCATACCATATGTTGTCTGAGTGTCCGGCCGACGACGAATCGTCTCTGTGGACTGGTAGCTCTCTGAAAGTCCTTCATCAGGTCCAATCTGATCGGAGATCGACTCCACTCTTGCCAGAGGGTGTCGACTATCTGTGGGAGAAGTGGGTGTCGACATGTCTGCATCAACAGGACTCTGCACGAAGTCTCTGGTGTCGACGTTGTCGTGGTCTCGTTCTGAAGCCATGCTTGCTTATGCGCGATATCTCTATCTGCTAAGGGCCATACGCGAACTATGGCATCCGTGCCGGCGCAAGCAAACAAGGAAGCTTTAAAATAGTGGGAGATCCCGTCGGGCCCTACGCGGTAGATCCGCCGAAGCAAACGAATGAAATAGCAGTGAAGGAACAGAAGGCATTCGAGCTTCGTTGTGATGTTTGGCTGTTGGAGATAAACAGAGGGCTCACGGTGGTCTGGTTAGGTAGGTTTCTACTTGTAGTGGTAGGAGAGTGAGATGACTCGGAGTTTCTTTTTTGTATGGCAAGAATGTGAGAAACACTTCCCAATCAAGCCCACGAGGTCTTTGAATACTGCATGCACAACTATCGAATGACCTTCTTGCAGCGGCGCCCTCAAATCAAGCCTTGTTTTCGTCCAACCCTGCCTTGCCGAACTTTTTGGTCAGCAAATCGGGGTCCAATCCGCTTCTACATGTTTGAGTCCTGAGGCCACAACTCCAAAGAGAGCTAGGTAGGTGACAACCGACGCGTTGGTACAGTGAGGCCTAGCTAATAATCAAAAAAGGTAGCGGCGACAACAGACTAGAACAACCACAACTACAATTGCGAATCGTCTTCTTCATCGACCCCTCATCGCACTCTTCATATCGTCATCATGGCTCTGGACAGTTTCTTCCACAACAAGATTGAGAGCATGAAGCTCGAGATCATCCAAGGCCAAGCCGTCCTACGAAGATTAGAAGCTCAGAGAAATGACTACAACTCGAGAGGTAAGACTAGAGGTCGCGCTTCGTGTATTCCCAGCTGACCCTCAACTAGTTCGTCTTCTGCGAGAGGAGCTTGGTTTATTACAGCAGCCTGGATCATATGTTGGTGAAGTGGTGAAGGTTATGGGTACGAAGAAGGTCCTGGTCAAGGTGCATCCAGAAGGCAAATACGGTATGATGAGCGCATACTGTTTCTTAAGAGGTATCTAACCTCCACATAGTCGTCGATATCGCCGATAGTGTCGACATCTCTAAGCTCACCGTTGGAAAGCGAGTGACACTTCTATCCGATTCCTACAAGCTCGAAAAGATGCTGCCATCCTCCGTCGACCCACTGGTGTCCCTCATGATGGTAGAGAAGGTTCCGGATAGTACATACGATATGATTGGTGGCTTGGATCAACAGATTAAGGAAATCAAGGAAGTCATCGAGCTCGGCCTGAAGCATCCAGAACTCTTCGAGTCGCTCGGCATAGCGCAACCTAAAGGAGTTCTCCTCTATGGACCACCAGGAACCGGAAAGACCCTGCTTGCCAGAGCTGTGGCACATCATACAGACTGCAAATTCATTCGGGTTTCAGGTTCGGAGCTTGTGCAGAAATACATCGGCGAAGGTTCAAGAATGGTTCGTGAGCTGTTTGTTATGGCCAGAGAACATGCTCCATCAATCATCTTCATGGACGAAATCGATTCTATCGGATCTTCTCGTGTTGAGGGCTCTTCTGGCGGTGACTCTGAGGTCCAGCGTACTATGTTGGAATTGCTGAATCAACTGGATGGATTCGAACCAACGAAGAACATCAAGGTCATTATGGCTACGAATCGACTGGATATTCTGGACCCAGCTCTTCTGCGACCTGGTAGAATCGATCGAAAGATTGAGTTTCCACCACCAACTGTCGAGGCTCGAGCAGATATTCTCCGAATCCATAGCCGAAGCATGAACCTCACTCGTGGTATCAACCTAACCAAGATCGCAGAGAAGATGAATGGATGTTCAGGAGCTGAGCTGAAGGGTGTCTGCACAGAGGCTGGTATGTACGCTCTGAGGGAAAGAAGAGTTCACGTCACACAAGAAGATTTTGATCTAGCCACAGCGAAGGTCTTGAACAAGCACGATGATAAAGAAACGTCGCTGAGCAAGTTGTGGAAGTAGAGGCGTTGGTTTACTTCAGCGAGAGTTCACGAAATGTACAACAGCACACTCGACAGAGCAATATCAAATCACATGCTTGCCGTGTGCCTCGAGACGAGGCCCGGCTCTTGTCCATGGCCTCACTCATACCCCTGATCCTTGAAGCAACTTTGCCGAGCCTACACGCATGCGTGTCTGTTGAAGCCTCGTGATGCCAGACTATATGCGCGCAAACCATTCTTCAAGTATTGACTTTTTATTTCTTTCACAAAGTGACACGAAGAGCTGCGTTAGCTCCAGTCGATTTATGCTTACTCAGGAGAAGCTGTCCATCCATTCGTGTGGGGGCCTCCACTATCATGATTTAAGTGGAGAATGACGTCCTGATCGCTTGAAGGTCCTCGTTCGAGAAAAAGCTGATTTCACAAACAAAACTCAAAGCTGCCCCAACTAATGTTTCTGGACTCAACGAAACTGCCAGAGCTGAACAATCTGTAAACAGCTCCTGCAGTAAATTAGATCGCCATATTTATTCATTTCCAAAGAGAAGACAAGTCAGCAACCCCTCGTTTCCTTCCCGTCATTACCCCGCCATTATTCCTCTTTGCTCAACAATTTGCAACACCCAAGCTCCCACCTCTGCAATTGAGAGCTTCCAGCTGATCCAGTGTCACAATAGCAGGCGACGTAATACGAGATGGCTCAATCACTCCCGTTCCGACAAAATTACAGGAAGCCCTCGCGGCAAGCTTCTATTGAGTGAGTTGAACTTCTACAACGGCTGTGGCAATACTGATTGGGAGCAGCCCTCACAATGATTTAAATCCACACATGGACCACTATATCGGTATTGATGTAGGTACTGGAAGTGCCAGAGCATGTGTCATCGACTCTTCTGGTGACATTAAAGCTCGTAAGTTCTACCCCACCGTTGTGACTTCATAGCATAGCTGACGGATTGAAGTGGCAACTGAGAACATTGGTCTTTGGCAACCCGAGACGGGATACTACGAGCAATCCACAACAGATATCTGGCGATGTATCTGCCAATGCGTACACAGAGCTCTCAGCCAGCATAACATCGACCCTACCACCGTCCGTGGAATAGGTTTCGACGCAACCTGTTCTCTGGCAGTATTCGCACACGATACAGATGAGCCAGTCCCTGTCACTGGCCCAGACTTCAAGAACGATGGAAATGATCGTAACGTCATCCTATGGCTCGACCACAGACCAATCGAAGAGACCGAGAAGATCAATTCTACGGGCCATAACCTCCTCCGCTATGTTGGAGGCAAGATGAGCATCGAGATGGAAATTCCAAAGGTCCTATGGTTGAAGAACCACATGCCTCCTGAGCTTTTCGATCGTTGCAAGTTTTACGATCTGGCGGATGCATTGACACATTTGGCTACTGGCAATGAGACGAGGAGTTTCTGCAGTACCGTTTGTAAGCAAGGATATGTTCCTGTTGGCGTTGATGGCAGCGTCAAAGGTTGGCAAGAGGATTTCTACGAAACTATCGGGCTGGGAGATTTGACGAAAGATAACTTCATAAGAATGGGAGGAGTCGACGGGGTGGTGAGCCTTTTCTTTACTGCATTTTATGATCTTGACTATTTGCTGACTCTTGCTAGAATGGAAAATACATGAGTGCCGGTGAACTTGTAGGTACCCTGAGCGAGAAAGCTGCTTCTCAGCTTGGCTTGCCTGCTGGTATTGCCGTAGGAAGCGGTGTCATCGACGCTTATGCCGGATGGGTAGGTACGGTGGGAGCAAAGGTCAACTTGGGCGCCGATCAACTCGACTCTCATGTCCCCAAGAACGACATGTCCCAAGCATTTAGCAGATTAGCAGCTGTGGCAGGTACCTCGACTTGTCATCTCGCCATGTCCAAAGACCCAGTCTTTGTCAACGGTGTCTGGGGACCTTACCGTGACGTTCTCCTTCCAAATTACTGGATGGCTGAAGGAGGTCAATCCGCCACTGGAGAGCTCCTCAAACACGTTCTGGAAACTCACCCAGCATACAACGAAACAATGTCCATGGCCGAGTCCTTTAACACAAGCATCTACGACTACCTTAACAACCACCTGGAAGAACTGAAGGACAAAATCAACGCACCAACCATCAGCTATCTCGGTCGTCATTTCTTCTTCTACGGTGATCTCTGGGGAAACCGTTCTCCGATCGCCGACGCAAAGATGACAGGTTCAGTCATCGGTCTCAGCTCTGATCGCAGCATGGACGGACTAGCCCTCTACTACTACGCCACCATGGAGTTCATCGCCATGCAAACACGCCAAATTGTTGAGACGATGAATTCGTCTGGTCACACTATAACCAGTATCTTCATGTCAGGCTCTCAATGCCAGAACAAGATCCTCATGGAGCTCATGGCCACTACATGCGGCATGCCCGTCCTGATCCCGAGATACGTGCATGCGGCCGTCGTCCACGGCGCAGCTATGCTTGGAGCCAAAGCCGCAAGCGCAGATAAGGATGGGAAGACGGAGGATCTGTGGAGTATCATGGATCGGATGAGTAAACCGGGTAAGGTGACGCGTCCAGGGAAGGACAAAGCGGAGATCAAGTTGTTGAATGTTAAGTATAAGGTTTTCTTGGAGCAGTGCAGGACTCAGCAGGTTTATAGGAAGGAAGTTGACGAGGCTACTGAGGGGTGGGCCGCTGAATGAGTGAGAAGAAGAAACGAGGAGTTTTAAACTTTAAAAGTATAGAGAATAGATCGTTATCTTTGAATTACATATGGGCAGATGTGATTACATTCCCCAATTTATCCGACTCCCGTTGTCCTTATTATTACCAGACATTACGAAAACCGTGAATATCAGCTTCCGAGTTCGCTCGTAGACCAACAGACCCTATTAGACCGAGTCCAAATCCGCAAAGCCATTCTCATTGATCCATCCATGCATCCCTCCAATCACCTTCATCCCTATCCCATCCCATCCTCGCTATCTTATAATCGACGCTAACCCACCCACCTACCTACCTGCCATATAAATCCCAACAAGCGAACATTTACCTCAGGAAAGTCAACGTGGTTTAATGGTAAAACATTAACCCACGTTGGCGAGAGCCTAATCGGAAAACGACAAATTGAGCCACGAGCTCCCTAGTAGTGGGTTACAACTGGCGGTGCGGAAAAACACCGGGGGCCAAAAACTACGAACGTCTGGAAAACAAAAACCTATTCAGTTAGGTTCTCTGCCCAGTGCACCATGCTTGAAAGACAGCGGTGTTGCGCTGGGATGAGTTTTGTCTTTTTCGACTATTGAAATTTTTTGGGGGGGGGGTTGTTTTGAGTTATGGATGGAGAGCGTGGAGGTGGTGTTCTTTTTTGGAAGGTGGGGTTGGATCGTATATTCATGAATTCGTTATAACTACCCGTAAGTTTGTATATACACCCAGCGTACCTCTTTCCCTATTCCCTACTTCACAAAAACCACCGAAACTCAGGCACACTCGGCCCGTCCCTCAACAACTCCGTAGGCACCTCCCTAATATCCAACTTCCGCCCCAACTTCCGATCCCGCCTCTTATTATCCAGCACCATAAACAGACTCAAACTCGCCGCCAGCACGGCCCCCACGGCTCCAAACGCCGCCGTCGTCGCCAGCGCCGGGATGTACTTCGGCGCGCTCCCGGGTGTGAAGATATTGCTGCTCACAAGCCCCATGACGTTAGCGAGCGGGACGCCGACGGACGTAAGGACCACGCGCCGGCCTTCGTGAGGCGTGTTGTTGTTGTACCATGTTGAGAGGAGGACGGAGGGAGCGGAGGTCCCCCAGCACATCATGAAGGTTGCGAAGTAGGCGACGTGTTTTTGGTTGATGACGTCGATGGTGGCGTAGATGAGCATGCCGATGAATGTGAATGTGAAGCCGAGCGCGATGAAGGGACCTCGTCGTCTGGTGTAATCGGAGGAGAAGGCGAGGATCAAGAGCATGACTGCACCGGAGATGTTGGGGGCGACGGTGTAGAGGTTGGTTTTCACGGTGGAGTAGCCGAGGCGGGCGACGATTTGGGGGAGGAAGAGGGAGACGGATTGGAGGGGCACGCCGAGACAGACTTCGATGGCGAGGAAGGCGTATGTTACTGGTTGGCGGAAGATCTTGAGACTTTCTTTGAGGTTGAATTGCTCGTTGACGACGGAGGAGGAGTCGACTTGGATGCGGTGGTAAGCGAGAGCCTTCTCCTTGTCGTTGAGGAAGCGAGCATTGACGGCTGATTTGGGGAGGTAGAGAAAGGCGAAGATTGCGAAGAGGAAGGTGAGGGATCCTTCGATTAGGAAAAGGTAGCGCCAGGGGTAGAGTCTAGTGTTGGTTATGTGGAAAACACCATAGGCTAGAAGACCAGAGAATGCATTTGCAATGTTGGACGCTGCGTAGAAGATTGCTAGGCGACGAGCAAGTTCTCCTCGACGATAGAAGGTGGTGAGGTAGTAGATTACCAACGGGAAGAAAGCTGATTCCGACATTCCTGAATGTATCATTAGTTAAAAGTAGACTGATGAAAGAGTCAAGCCATACCTAGGAACCATCTAAGTGTCATCATTCCAGCAAAGTTCGTAGCAGCCACAGTGAGAAGTGTCATAGAGCCAAAACATGCCATCAAGATTGGTAAGACTCGTGCCGGGCCGAAACGCTTTCCAAGCATTGCCTTGAACAGGTTAGCACACTTTCGTCCAACATGAAATATGCTCAGACTTACAATTGGAGGTGCAAAAAGCACATATGGGACATAGAAGACGCTCAAAATAATGTTGTACTGATTAGATTTGAAGTGCAAATCCTTCTCCATGCCATCTGTCTTTGCATTTCCCAAATTTCCTTTATCTAACTATTGACAAGTCAGTATGAGACTCAACGAAAGTATTGAACATCTGAAACATCTCTCCCGGAGGAGATTTTGAAAGCTCCGTTCAAAAGAAAAGGAAGATTTTAACTTACTGCATTGAATAAATACATTAGAGCCAGGACTGGCAATAGTCTGTAGTCAAACTTTCGACATAGAGCACGTTCGGCTCCATGATCGACAACATAAGCGGGCTCCGAGTTTCCAACCCCAGACTCGGATTCTGGCTCTTGATTGACTTCGTAGCCAGCTTTGTCGAATCGCTCCTCGTCCGATCCAGTATCTGTCTTTATTGCAGACATCTTGTCAACCTCGGATTGGAAAAACAAAGATGCCGGGAATTGCAATCGAGGACACGACGGAGTTGATATACGATAGATTTCTTCCCGTTCCTCGTACAAGCCACCTCAGTTTAAGCTCCTTCCCTTTGACATCTCTTGGCTGTCATTTTTCTTCTTATCGCAAAATTTTCCTTTCTTTTACGTCCCGTCGTGAGGTGAAGCTTTATCTTGGTCGTCAGCGGCTTGGCAGATGATCATCTAGTTGCATTGTCGTCTGAGAGCCAATGAAATCTTGCGATATGGAAGAATACTCAAAGTTTGCTCGGGTCTTTGTCCGCTATAATACAACCCCGCGTGATAAGCTCGAGGATGTAACCATCCAAACGGGCCGCGGGCAAGGGTTCAGTGGCCGAGAGTGTGGGGTTGCGATTCCGGAGGTATATTAGGTTGATGTGAAGATTTTTGATAAGAGGTGATAAAGATGCTGTGGAATTTTTCAATCCGAAATGCGGCTCCGTCTTAATCGACATTTTGCTTGAAGAAATTTTTCATTTTATGTGAGGAATTTTGACCATGATCTCGATATGTACTGCATACAAAGATCGCCAGTCGATGCCGTGGAAATATTCAATACCGAAAAATTAAGGACTGTAGTGTAACGTATTCTGAAAGACACTGTCAGTGGAAGAATATTTGAGCACTCGCATCTTTTGTAGCTGAGTAAGCTCTACAGTATACAGTAGAAGAGTTTGAGCAGCGGCCAAATCGCCCAGGTCTACAGTATTGTTCTATGACTCTCAAAACACGAGATGAATCACGATATCTTGATCAGGAACCGCCCACAAAAGGACTTCGAGGTTCAAGTGATGTCGTCCAGAATGGTTCACGTGATCATATGAAGAAAAAAAGGAGAAGCCAGCTGAAGTAAGCGAGCCATGACGGCATTGGGCGAAGAAACGCCACGCGACACCTCGGCTCGAAATGCAAGGCAGACTTGACACCGCTGCCGCCGCTGACCTGGGCCGGCGTGCATACGGTGAGGTGAGGTGTGTGCCGACCCTCAATCATAATCGTACGGTTTGTGCATGAGAGCAGAGCGCCGTTGGGCAGTCAAGTTCTGTCGTCCACGGAGTCGTGCTCCATCCCAATCCCAATCCCAATCCCAATCCCAATCCCATAGTGGAATCCCACCTTGGAATTGAAGGAGGGATGATCTGGATATATCGTTCCAAGATCTTCGTTGAAACTTGACGGGCGTTCTTGGCAGGATTCGGTCAGAACGGCGCCAGAATCTAGACCCGGCTGAGATGTTTTCAGGGGTTCACACCGGAGATATGGAGTCATGCTGCTGCACGCTGCCATGCCGTGTACAGTAACACCAGCAGAGGTTCCATTCAAGGCCCAGAGCATGCAGAAAATCGGCATCGTGGCAGGCAGCCTTACCCGCCGGTGAAGTTCGCATTTCAGCGCGCTCCCTTCTGCGTCACGCTGGCGTCGGTGAGCCTCGAGTCCCATGCGCATCTTCGTTCGATATACGAGAGGAGTGGGCGCAGAGAGCACAAGGAGAAACTTTGTGAGGTTCATGTCGAGTCGAGAACCAGAGTGGCGGTCGCAAATGACGTCGTTCTGTGCGTGGTCGGGAGACAATTGGGGATTAGTAAAGGGTCCAGCTTGGCAACAGGAATTAGACACGATTAGACACACGACTGTTGGAAAAACCAACGACTTTTACGACCATAGTACTGTAAGGTACCGCTGCACTAACACACTAATCCGGTCATCTAGTAATCATAATATTCGTTGGACCTTGCTACTAGATCAATGTTCATACAGAACTTGTACAAGTCAAAGTCGCCCCTGGGTGATCACAGAAAGAGTTAAAGTTGAACGAGATATCGTCTCAACTCTGCATATAAGATAGGGAAATATTGATGGAGAGCAGCTAGCAGCTAGCAGCAAGCAGCAATTATTGTACTTAAAGAATTAAAAAAAGATTAACACGCCTCCGCATCAAAATGTAGTGTGCTGTGGTCGTATTTATAATACGGAGATATGTGTGTGATCTTCCAAATAGGTTCCAGGTGGTGGCTTTCAAGCCTCGTCGTGCCACCTACTTCCTCTCTCTCGCCATAAAGTTCATTCAATCTCCTTTGCCTCCGCTTCCTAATGACTATGACCCTCTCTGCATTCACTTTACAATTGGCATCACGGATTTCTCCTCCGATGCGCCTTTGACAGTTTGTTATTTCCGAGCGCTCTTCTGCTTCCCTGACCTGACCAAAATCCAACCCTCGCCCACAAGGGCAACCCATCCGCAGATCTCTTCTTGGGCTTCACTACCCACTAATAAGCCCCTGCTGAGCCCTGATTACATCCTACAGCCCTCCTTCTCGCCTCTGGCTTCGGAGAGCGTCATCGACAACCTTTGAACACTCACAACCACAGCTCCCTAAAACAACTTACGACTCAGCCTCCGTCGACCTCAGCGCCACAGGTCACCCCTCGAGACTACTTGAATACGCTGTTCACAACTCAACTCTACGGCATACGACAAGAATGGATTCCCAAAGATAATGATACGACACTCCACAAGCAATTCTACAGCCTGAAACACGCCGCGATGGTAATCACATCATCTGCTGCGAGACCGCCACCACGGTCCTCACATTCACACTCGCATTCTCAGTCACATCGATCATCTGCCAGACCTACCACGACTCCATTGAGTCCCCAAAGAGTTGCGGCCTCCGTGGGTCAAGCTCTTCCTCCAAACTCGAACCCGTTTTTACGATCGCCTGCGCTTGCTACACAAACTGAGGTTCGCACACCAAGTCCCAATTACTTTGGCCTCATTGTCGACCCTGCCAGTGATCCAAGAGATTCTGGCGTTTTACCAAAAGACAATTGGAGTCCTCCTTCGTCTTCCATTCGATCTTTCGGTGCACCTTCTCCTAAACACATACCCATAGATGCGAATCCAGAATTCGAAGCTTTCAGAAGACAGACAGAAGAAAAGCATGGTTTCAATCTCAGCCATGGCAATCTCGCATATTTTGCTTCAACTCCCAGCGCGCAACCACGACCAAAACCCGAACGTAAACCTGTCAGGACGGAGACACTGGAACATCCCTCACCAAGATCTAGACCACAACATCGAGATGGAATACCAGATCCAATGCAGTTGGACAGTGGCCGCCAAGGTCGTCAATCTCCCGAAAAGTCCTTGAATGCTCCCTCATTCTTTGATATACCTCGTCAGCAATCCCCAGTGAACATGAATGAGCCAAATCCTCCTCTTCAACGCAATGTTCTCTCCAGCCTCGATGATCGACATCCTCGACTATCACTACCACAGAACAAGGCTGATCCTCCGTCTCCTCATCTGAAACTACAGACTCGTAACCAACACCCTCGTGCGGATACTCTTCCTTCCTCTCTAGAAGACGGGCCAGTCTTAATTTCTGTGGGACAATTGAGAGATATCCTGAAAGGCGTTCCTGTATCTCAATTTCTTCTTCTAGATCTCCGTGTGTTCCCTCAGTTCTCTCAGTCTCGCATACAAGGCGCCTTAAACTTATGCATACCGACCACTTTGTTGAAGAGGCCTTCTTTCAACCTCCAAAAGCTTCAGGACACATTCACAAACGAGACCGAAAAAGCTAGATTCTGCCAATGGAAAGCTGCGAAGTATTTGATAGTGTATGATGCATTTTCGTCCGAGAAGAAAGATGCAACTTCTGCGGTTAATACGCTAAAGAAATTCTCAAACGAAGGCTGGAAGGGAAACTCGTACATTCTCAGGGGCGGCTTTGCCGAATTCCATAAGCATTACCAGCAATTAATTGACAACGGAACGAATCAGGACCCACAAGCTTCCAAGATTAACCTCTCTCTAGGAACTTCAGGTCCAGGAGTTGCACCTGTTGCTGGTGGTTGTGTGATGCCTGCGACCAAAAACGCGGCAAATCCTTTCTTCAGTAATATCAGGCAGAACCAAGATCTTATTGACGGTGTTGGACAAATGGACGTCAAGATACCAAAGGAGATGGAGAATGCACCAGACAATCTTCTTCCCAATTGGCTTTTGAAAGCTACCGACAGACGAGATCATGGAAAGCAGGTTTCAGACAAGTTCTTACGCTTAGAGCTCGCTGAGAAGGACAGAATGAACAAAGCTCTTTCTTCAGGAGTATCCTATGGGTCCCAAGCCGCCAATGGTAAGGATGTCCAACTTGCAGGTATCGAAAAAGGTGGCAAGAACAGATACAACAACATCTGGCCATTTGAACACGCTCGAGTCAAACTCCAAGGACGTGCAGATGGGGCTTGTGACTACGTTAACGCAAGTCATATTAAGTCGTCGCGTAGCAATAAGCAATATATCGCTTCGCAAGGACCCCTGCCTGCTACTTTTGAGGTAAGTTCCTTACACTGGTGTTTATGAATCTATGCTCACAACTTGTAGGACTTCTGGAGCGTCATCTGGGATCAAGATGTAAGAGTCATTGTTATGTTGACTGCGGAGTCTGAAGGTGGTCAACTGAAGTGCCATTCTTACTGGGGAAGTAGAGAGTATGGATCAATGAAGCTTAAGGCTCTTTCGGAGAAGAAAGTGTCTTTGGATACGAAGAGGCATCGCACTCCATCAGAACGCCGAGACTCTGGCCGTCGACGGGCTATGACCACGGCGGAGAGTACTCCTGGCCCAGCTCTACCAGAACCTCCTTTCGCCATTATCAGGAAATTCACTTTAGCTCATGCTTCTCATCCGTTCTCTCCTATGAGAGAAATCACCCAGATTCACTATTCATCTTGGCCAGACTTTGGAGCACCAGCCAGTCCCGCACAATTGCTTGGCCTTGTCGAATTGACCAACATGATGCAGCAAGCAACATTGGCACCAACACAGTCGCCTCGATCAGACGAGCCTGAGTCTGGAGAAGTTAATCGACCTATGCTCGTTCATTGTAGTGCGGGATGTGGTCGGACTGGCACATTCTGTACCATCGACTCGGTCATCGATATGCTGAAGCGTCAACGGAAGGAGCACAAGAGTGGCGTCACTCCTATGGAGGTTTCGTCAGGAGATTACATGGGTAAAGGCAAAGAAGATACGGTATCTGGGGATTGGGTATTTGACCAAGACGTGGACTTGATTGAGAAGACCGTTGAGGATTTCCGCGGCCAGCGCATTAGTATGGTCCAGAGTCTGCGGCAGTATGTTCTATGCTACGAAACAGTACTGGAATGGATCGCCCAACAACAATTCGAATCAAGCAGACCTAATAGAGAACGAAGCGGTAGTGATATTGGGGTCGAGAGACGACCGTCATGAAACATCGACAAATGGTTGATTAGCGGAGGAAATAACGAATAGATGAACTGCATTGGCATTTGCATTGCATGCACGGAAGTGGCATAGTATAAATGGCTTTTATGGGCATGGGTTAATGGTTTTCAACACTGGGTTTTGAACTGGGATATGTTATGGGACGGCATGGATAGTCGTATCGCATGGGTACCCTTGCATGCGTAGCATGGCGGCGGCGTTATGAAGATTTGTCAAATTCCAGTCTTTTGTTGACTTGGAACGCGTTGAGCATTATTCAGAAGCACATCGAGATCCGCCATGAATAGATCATGGAATATTTTCTGAGACTTAACATCTTCAAACTGAGTGTGAAAGTGAGGTCCTGTGAAGTCATGGTTCACTTTTGATTCTCGCTTCAACAAAATTTACTGTTCACAGCACAATACTAAGCAGGCACAATACTAAGGGAGGTAGAGTCGTCAAGATTCATTTTTCCATTTATTTTATGAAATTTTTTAATTTTCTGTACCACTGCAGTTCCTTTCTGTAACAAGATCTTCCGCGACTGAACTGTTCAATACTGCGTCTGTCAAATTCCTTATCGTGCCTCAGGCATCACTGAGACGAAACCTTTCTCGAGCTGATTCTCGTGCTAACGATATTTACATCGCGTCGAATTTCAACCGTCGCGTTCATCGACCACCACCTCTACCCGAGCTTCTTGCTCCTCCTTCCTTTGCATCTATTCAATCTGCCGTCGAGATCGACATCATGTCTCTTTTTGGTAATCTTAATAATACCACGAAATCAGATTATAATGGCCTATTCAGTTCAACTTCGCAGCCTGCGACGACAACAGCTGGAGGTGGACTATTCGGCGGTCTGAATACCTCGACCTCGACCTCACAGCCAGCAGGTACTTCAGGGATGTTTGGAAACTTAGGGTTGGGAGGTAATACAGAGCCTACGAACACGAATACTTCGAGTTTCTTTGGCGGCGGCTTAGGGTCGACTCCACAACCTGCGACAACAGCAGCTTCTGGGTTTGGAAATCCTGCAACGAGCAGCGCACCGCCGGGAGGAAGTGTATTTGGACCTGGACCAACCATCAATCCAACCTCGCAAGCACCTTCAGGAGCTTCGCTCTTTGGCGCCAGTGCCTCGACTTCAGGGCCTGCTCAAAATGGCAACACAGCTTACTTCGATGCCATCCTGGAGAAGAGTCGCAAGAGAGCGCATGCCGAAAGCGTTGCAGATGACCTCCCACAGCTTCAACTCGGTCTAGAAGATCTTCGACAGCGAATGAAGCGCGTGGGCACCGGCGCACGAGGGCAAGCTGCTGATAGTCGAGCTCATTACCTTCTTGCAGCTTCCGGAGTAAACCCTGGCGATGCTCTTCGAGACCTCAACCACTTCACCGCAGCGACGGGCCGAGAACGACCACAGCCGCAAGAACCACAAGATGTCGATGTCGAGACCTACCTGACGAATCTTCAAACTCAGACTACCTTGAGCATGATCTCCGATGGCTTGGCGCGCTCCGTTCGAGACTTCGATGCTTTCCTGGAAGACAATGTGGAGATGGAATGGGATGCACAACGTAGGAGAATATATTCGCACTTTGGTATCAGACCCAAAGAGACTACGGCTGCTGGGAAGGGGAGCTTTGCTGCATCGGTTGGCGAGTCAAATGGAGCATTTGGTAGATCAAGACGAAGCAAAGCCCCAAGCCTCACCGGCTCGCGGATGAATGGTTCTCCTGGTGGAAGCACGTTTGGGAGATCTAATCTCCAAAAATCTGTCATTGGAGCTGCTGGTCCCGTGGGAGCTGGTCACCAACCTCTATTTGGGGATGTCGAGAAGAAGATGGAAGCTAGTAATGTCACTGTCACTGGTCCTCATGACCGATTCCAGCGCGAAAAGGAGAGCAAATATGCTGAGAAGGTGCAAAATCTCAACCTCGCGAGACTACAGAGACGCCCATACCCTGTTTGCTCGGAATTTGCAGAAGTCGTCAATTTATCACCCGATCAGCATGGCCCAGACCTGATCAAAGCCTATAGAGCTCTGATGGAGATTGTTGGTGAAGATCCGGAAGCTAAGCAATGGTCGGAGGAAAGAACCGCCAAGGAACGAAAATACGCTGACGATTACCTGGGCGACGACCCAGTCAAGGCGCTAAGCATGAAGAAGAGAATCCTTCGTGGTGGTGTTAGATGTCTTGAGAAATTGGCTTTCGAGAAGATGGAGGATGCGGTTACAAGAAATCCCCGAGACGCAAATGTTGGTGGCATTCCGAACGTGATCAACAAAGTCAAGGGATATGTCCGTCTACAAGCTGGAAAGAAGAACTTGGGTGGCGACAATACAGACTTGCAGATGCTAGGAGACGATTATGTCTGGGCTTTGGTGTACTTTCTTCTCAGAACCGGTCATGTAGGAGAAGCTCTTGACTACGTGGAACAGAATCAAGTCGCGTTTCGAGCCATTGATCGAAACTTCCAAGGATACATCAGAGCTTACTCTCAAAGCGATGATAGAAGACTCGACGATGTTCTGCAACAACGCATCAATGGCGAGTACAATCAGCGTCTTCGCATTGCCCCGGAGAACTCTATCGATCCTTACCGAATGGCATGCTACAAGATCATCGGACGCTGTGATCTCAGACAACGATTCCTGGAAGGCATCGAACAGAGCTTTGAGGATTGGGCGTGGGTGCAGCTTGTTCTTGCACGAGAAATCAATCGAGTTGATGCCATGGCAAGCGAGATCTTCGGCTTGAGCGAGGCTCAAAACACGATGAGAGAAATTGGAAGCCGCTATTTCACAAAAGGTGGCGTGGAAGGCAACTCGTTCGGCGTCTACGTCTTTCTTCAACTTGCATACGGCATGTTTGAAGATTGTGTTTCTTACTTATACACGTACAACTATGTCGACGGCGTGCATCTAGCCATTGCGTTGGACTTCTATGGTTTGTTAAGAGTTGCAGATCCAAATGCAGGCAGTGAAGATCTCCTGAGCTTGACCACTCGAGGACAACCTCAGATCAGCTTCGGCACTATGCTTGGTCTCTACACTCGGGATTTCAGAGCTGCTGCTGTTAGCGCTGCTGTAGACTATCTCGCACTGATTTGTCTGAACAAAGACCTGACTGGCCAAGGCGGAAGAAATCAAATCATGTTGTGCCATGAGGCACTTCGAGAGCTTGTACTAGAGAGTAGAGAGTTCGCACTCCTACTGGGAGATATGCGAAATGATGGACAACGAATTAGAGGTGTAATTGAGGAGAGGATGACTTTGGTAGGCTTGAATGAGTCTGGTGATTTCATGCGAACTATCACCTTGCAGGCCGCCAGCATTGCAGACGACAACGGACGAGTCACAGATGCTGTCTTGCTCTACCATCTTGCAGGAGAGTACGATAGTGTCATCAATACAATCAACCGAGCACTCAGCGAAGCCATTGCTGTCCCCATTGGCCAAGATCCTTTGCGAATCGAGCCTTTGAAGGCACGTGCTGGAGTCAATCCTCACGAACCTGAGCAAGGAACCGAATCTAGCCTCACCTCCATCGACGATCCCGTTCAACTGGCAGATACCATGAGAGAGATGTACGAGGCTCAAGCCATGTTCTCCTCCAAAGTCAGAACTACAAACTGGGAAGCAAACCGGGCTCTGCTAAACATGACGGTTGCAAAGAATAAAGTCGAGCGCGCAGACTTTGCCGGTGCACTTGATGTAAGTTCTATCCCATATTATCCTTGAACATAATACTAATAGTTTCCAGGAAATTCGCAGACTTGCAATCCTTCCATTGGAAGCCAATGGCAACCCATCTCTCATCCGAGACTGCGCAACCAAGTTCTCCAGTCTCTCACAATCCGTTGCTCAGAACGTTCCGAATCTGTTGATGTGGGCAATTCATTGCGCAGAACAACAACGGAGGAGTTTGATGAACAGTCAATTTGGAGGAAACGAGGGTACGAGACTGGCAATGATCGATGAGTTGAAGCAGATGAACATGGATCTCATGACTTATACAAGTCAATTGAGATATAGGTTCCCAGCAAGTATTCATGAGGCTCTTGCGAGGGCTCAGTCGGAATGAGTTGGTATTGGACTCTCGAGGATTAAGCTAGAGACTTTGGAATGAGGCTATTGAGGTTTAGTGACAGAGAATATGAAGGACATGCGTCCTGCATGAGGATAATTGAGATGAGATGTAGATACCCAGCATAAGACCTTGACTAGATGGCCAGTCAGAAGGCGGGTCGGTCTAGAAGTTCGGGAAATTCTTTCTCTGTATCATAGTAACAAAATGGAGGAAGATAGAGAGGTGACGAATGATACCATTTTGGCCAAATTCTTGTCTTTTCTTTCATGATGAAAGTCAAACTATCATGCTTTTTGATTCTACAGACTAGGAGATGTTGATTTTCATATCTCAAGTAGAAATGAATCCAAGGAGCTAGAACCAAAGAACTCGCTTTGTTATACTCTATTCGGAACGGAGGGTCAGTCGCTATTGACTTTTGTGCTATCTTGACAATCTATCCGTCTTATTAATAGAAGTGATATTTTGTCCAATGGGGATTCTTTACTGCTGCTTTCTTGCCAGAAGGATCATTATACTTTCTCTGCGATTGATTACTTATCAACATACTCTCTCTACCCTGAATACATGTCGACATTTGAGCCGCTGCAACTGCAATAGCACAAAAAGCTCTTCATTATTAGATTGTATAGGAAGAGCTTCTAGGTCAATAAAGCCATCCGTATGCCCGATAATTTACTTGCTGTTCATCGACACGCAGTACTCAAAAAGATCTACACACTCGAGTCAGGACCATGACTCGCTATCACCTCGGTAGCGTCCGACCATGACATGTTTAGCCAAGCGCAACAGCCACAGAGAGCTTCTCTGCAAGCCTCTAGACAACTCTAATTAAATTTCCTGCTTCACTTTTTTCATCTCACCTCATTTCCCGTCTCGCGCAGGGAAAAAAAGAAGGTCGTGCATGACTCAAGATTCCCCATACTTCTCTCCATACATGACTTGGCCCATCTGTCGTTGAGTTCGTACGTTCAAACGAAACGAAGCACCACCGCACACCACCCATGCAATCGTGAGGTCTGGCCCACGGGTCCTCGCAGCAATGCCACCTGGCGAGGAAGCATCTGGATCCGGAGCACAGCACTTGCAACAACAACAGACACAACAGCAGCAACAACAACAAAAGCGAGATTTCTCAGAAGAAGCAACGACGTCTCCCGGCGGCGATCCAGCATCCGCATCCGACCAAAGCAAGAGGAGACGAACGGCCGGCGGATCCTCGAGCTCGCGCGGAGTAGCAAACCTCACGCCGGACCAGCTTGCGAAGAAACGTGCCAATGATCGGGAGGCCCAGCGGGCGATTCGAGAGCGGACCAAGAACCAGATTGAGAATCTGGAGCGGAAGATTAGGGAGTTGACGAGCCAGCAGCCGTACCAGGAACTGCAGCATGTGTTGAGGCAGAAGGAGGCCGTGGAGGCGGAGAACCTGGATATCAAGAAGAGATTGGGGAGCGTGTTGCAGTTGATTCAGCCAATTCTTGGTCAACATGGTGAGTTCTTCTTTCTATGGTGTTGGAACTGGTATTTAACTGGTAGATATAGGCTTGGAGGCTCCGACTTATACTCCTCCTGCACAGCCGTATGTGCCCAATCGACCGAGTTCTGCTGCGATGAATGTGTCGACGCCGAATAGTGCTTCGTCGCCAGCTTCTGCTACACCGTGGCAAGCTCCTAGTGCTTCGATGACGACGGGTCATGATCCGAGAGCATATCCTCAGACTCAAGCTTTACAGACTCAGCAATTGGCCAAACAGAGACATGATATGGCACATAATTTGGACATGGGACCAGAGAGATTGGGATTGGACTTCCTACTCGATGGTACTCAGAGGATAAACAAGATACCCAATGGAGTCAATGGATCACAAGAAAGCTTCCAGCAAAACTCGAGAGAACATCCACCTAGTCCTGCTCATCATCGAAGCAATTCGATAAGCAGTCTCGCCAACTACCACCCCTCAACCCCAGCCGGAGAAATGACCGGACACACAGCACCAATCCGCAACGGCCCTCCAACCTGTCCCCTCGATAGCCTCCTCCTCGACTTTCTGCACAAAAAACAACAAGAAGCCCTTGATGGCGCCTCAACCCCCCACCTCGTCGGCCCCGCCTACCCCTCCGTCTCCTCCCTCCTAAACCCCGCCCGCGCCGCAACCTCGCACCCGCTCTCCAAGGTCTTCACCGACATCCTCGCCACTTTCCCCGACCTCTCTACCCTCCCCGAGAAAGTGGCCGTTCTCTACATCATGTTCCTCATCATGCGCTGGCAAATCGCCCCCTCACAAGAAACCTACGACCGCCTTCCCGACTGGGCAACCCCTCGCCCGTCCCAACTCTTCACTCCCCACCCAGCCTGGATCGACCACCTGCCCTTCCCCAAGATGCGCGATCGCCTCGTCGCGAACTACAACCCACGCGATTACCTGTTCGACAATTTCTTCATCCCGTTTACGACGACGCTCTCTGTAAACTGGCCATATGAACCCACGGATGCGCTTCTGAGTAGCGGCGCGGAGGGCGAGGAGTTGGTTATTAATCCGGTGTTTGAGCGCCATTTGCGGAATCTGGAGAATTGGAGTCTGGGGCCGAATTTCGCGAAGGCGTTTCCGGGGTTGCAGGATACGTATCGGTTGAGGGTTGAGGGGGATAGGAGGTGATTTATTTTTGTTTGTTTTGTTTTTATGCATGGAACAAGGACAAGATCGATCCGATAATAAAGACTTAACAATGTAGAAAGACACATCCAAAGGGCACAAACGGCGGATTTCGGACACGATGGCTTCTCAATCAACGCTGCGACACTCCGCAGACCCTATAGCCAATCTCTACCAGCAATACATGAAGCTCTTCCGCGACCGATTAAAGGGCACTAGAATCGGGCTCTCACTATGTTGCCCGTGCAGTTTATGTTTCATCAAAGGTCAAATGAGTGTTCCTCCTAGGAGTGCACAGGATTGGTAAAGACTGTTTGGAGGTTAGTGAATATTATCTTCTAAAAAAAATAATACTAAAATTTAATGATAATAATTTAATTATTATTAACAATAATTTAATTAACAACAACAATACTCTATAGCTTTTTATAACAAATAATGTTATAAAAAAAACGTAGTATAACAAACTACACTAGTTTTACACAACTAAAGCCACGGCCAAAATAACACTCCAAACACTACCACCATCCGTTCCTACGTTCGTCTTGTTTTAGGAATGTCTTTGTGCGGATTATAAAGAGGCCGTGGGGGTTTATATAGAGGGGACGGAGGACGGAGGACGGAGGGCGGAATACGAAGGACGGAGGACGGGGGCTGAGGGAGGTGAATGGAAAATAGAGAGTGGAAAACGGAGAGCAAAGGACCGAAAGAGGTGAATTTATAGATTCACTAGCTGCGGAGAACGGTTTGGAGAGTGGTAAGGCTAAGTAAGTGAATTAAATTAACAAAGAATAAGTATAAAATAGAAAATAGTTAAACTTCTTAGTTTTATAGTGAATAAAAGCATAAATTTCATTGGGTAATGCTTTAGATTATTATAATTTCTTTTTCTAATTTATTACCTTAATTAGTTATTAAGCAAATATATTTCCCTTTTCAGGTCGAGCAACAAAGGATCACTTCACCACCCCTCAAATGGTCCAGTCAGCATCTTCTTTATATCCTCAAAATAGCTTCAGAATACCATCTGCGAACTCTTCCTATGACACAGGCTTGTTTTTTTCTGGGTTGTATTATAAGGGATGGATGGATGGATGGAGTTCGGAGGGGTAAAATTCATGTTAGGTTTGGCGTTTGTTGCTTGTTGCGATGGGTGAACAGGTGAATAGGGAATAGGGAATAGGTGCATTGGGATGGGATGGGATAGGATGGGGAGCTGGTAGATATGGGTCTTCATTGTGCATATGTGCTTTTCATTTAGAAGAAGAGCTGGATGTGGTTTCTTGATGTTCGCTTTGATAGGGGTATTGCTTTTAAGCGAGGTAGAAATGCATCTTCAAGAAGATAATTAATTGCTCTTGTGCTTTGACTTACGAACTGGACAACGCGAATTGGTATTTAGAGTAAGTATCAAATCATCGATTCGCTAAAGAGGAGTAGCTAAACGCCTGGTATATCCACCCTTCACTTCCTTTCGTGGCCAACCTAGCAATGCAACCCTCTTTCCCTTCCCATCCACCATGCCCTTCCAAACCTCAACTCATCAAGTAAAGAACGCCACGCTAAAATCCATCCCGTCGTGACTCATTCGTCATTCGTCATCCCTCATGAATTCATAACCCTCTCCCCCCTTCCCTATCTCGACTCACTCCCCTCCCTCCCCTCAATCAAGACCACCACATTCACACACCCCGCATACGCCTCCCGAACCGCACAACTCATACACGTCCTCTCCACATCCGCCACCACCGCGCTCAGTCCCCAATGCGAGCACCACGCCCGCGCCAACACCTCGTTATCCTCGACCCCGAAACATTCCACCACGAGCACTTTCTCGCTATCCTCTTCCTCTGCTTCTCGCTCTCTACCCTCAGAGGTGGCTGATGGCGAATTACCCCGCGTAGAAAGACTATTGCCCGAATTCAGACCGCCCCAATCTTTGATGGTGAGGATCTGGTCCACTTTCACGGCCTGGTAGACGTAGTCGAAAAACAGCGGGTGAGGGCCTGCGCCGGCGCAGGGACAGGCGGCGATGAAACTCACGTCGTAGCTTAGTCTCAGGGGCCAGCTGCGGCCGTCGATGGCGAATTGGACGGCGGCGTCGTAGGTGAGTGGTCTTCCCGTGTCTTTATATTGTTCGTTTTCTGGGGCCGAGGAGACGGAGACGGGTTTTAGTGCTAGTTTTTCGATGCGGACTGTGTCGATGAAGTCGGAGGGTTCGCGGTCGGGGAGGAGGAGTTGGTATTCGGAGACGGGGTATGAGTGAGAGGGTGGGCCGAGGGGGTCAGATCGTTCGGTCATTGAATCGACGTCGTCTGCGCTGAGGATTTGTTTTGGTCTTCTTTGGCGGATTCGTGCTATTTGGATTCGAGAGAGGTCAGGGGCTGGTCTTGCTGGTCCTATCCATCCTCCTATCTCTCGACATGTAGGCGCGAGAACCTTTCCAACAATAGAGGTAGAGGACCAGTAAGTTGTGCTCTTATATTGGAACCCAGAGTGAGGATGCATGTGTGTCAGTGCTGCAAGAGAGTTGGCACCTGCATCAGTATCACAGTCGATAAGAGAGTTCATGATGAGCCATGGTAAAGTGACACCTGGAAGTATCACGCCAGTAAAGTAGGACATTGCGTCTGAGGAGCGGTCTTCGAGGGGTTTATCGTCAGGATCTCGCTCTTTGAGAATTTCATCGACCTTGACGAGGTTGGGCCATTTCATTGCTCGGGCGAACTTGCGAAGGGCTTTGACTTGTGCTTTCTTCGATTCAGACTTAAGACGTACTGTGTATGGTTAGCAAGTAAATGAATTGAGTGGAGTAGTAGCTTACTTGAATTGGAGTCATCACCCGTCTTATACTTTTCAATCTTCATGCACTCCCTCCACTTTCTAGCCAATGCTAGATCCCAAGCAATACAAGGCGGCAGCTGGGCCAATAGCCTCTCCTTCGCTGCATCTGTATGTTGCTTCGAATGAATCCTGATATCCAATTCCATACTCAGCAACAGCTGATGAAAGAACTTCTTGTACCTCCCACCATCCGTATAGACAGCATTGGCAAAGAACTTAGCCACAACCTGATTTTCCTGCTTGCTGAAATCAACCCACTCCCTCCTACTCAACACCACAATCAGATCCGCAATCTGCTTCTCCATTGCCTTATGTGGAGCAATAATCCGATCCGGATCCCGCAAGAGATTCTTGTAGAGATTCTTATACATCAGATCCGGATAGTCCTCTTCGAAGCCCCCCTCAAGATAAATCAACCGTTCTAGAATAGTAGAAAGCTCCACATCTCTAGGCTGCACACCCGGATCCCTCATCTCAATCCCAGGACTCGGATTCCCACTCTGTCCAACCCAATGATTCAACGTAATCGTCCCCGGCATCGCCCCATAGCAGAACGCCATACTAGGCTGCTCCAACGTGTCCCACGGATATTTCGCCTTCCCTTCCCCTTGTAACCTCAACGACGCAGCATCAAACGCCTCATACGCCGGCTCAGCACCATCACTCCCCGCATGTCCATTCCCCTCACATGTAGCATAGAACTGCACGTACTCCTCCCCCAAATGCGGGATCCCCCTCCGATGCCCCTTAAACACCGGGATCCCCGTACAAATAAACTCCATCGCCTTCCCCTGGCTCAGACTCGCGTCCCGTCCATACCCCCTCGGCGGCCATTCCGTCAACCGCGGGAACTGTATCTGCTGCTGTTGCTGCGGCGCCGGGAACGCAGGCGGGACGGTCTGCGGCCGCAGGATCTGGGTCTGGGCAGGAGGGGGAGGAGTTGCGTATGCGCCAGAGGACCGCCTTGGTTCGGAGCGCGAATAATGGGCGCTGTGCGAGCGTTCGGGGCGGGTGGTTGGCGGGGTCCCTTCTTGGATCGGGGAGCGGGGGCGGCGTGGACGTCTGTGGTCTCGACGATGTTTGCGCTCTCGATCGCGGTCTCTGTCTCTATCTCGTTCTTTATCCTGCTCGTCTTAGCTGTGTTGTGCGACGGAGCGAGAGATGTGTATGTTTGCAGATTCACTCACCTTTCTAGAGCCTGAGGGACTCTCCGAGTTGCTACGACTCCGGAAGAGACCGAATAGTTTCTTCTTTGCTTCGTCCATGATGGTTCATGATCGGACGGTGGAGATCTGAGATCTGGTGGTACGGAGTTGTGGTTTTGGGTGTGATGGAAGTGCTCATGTGAGGCCGCGTCGTTGGCGCGAGGCTGAGTTTGAGGTGTGAGTTGTCTCACCACTCAGCAGCGCCGGTGATGCAAAGCTGCCTGCTGCTGGCTAATCTGACGACTGAGTGTCATGATTCTGGTGGCGAGTTGAAGGTACTGGGAGGATACTATACGTTTCATGATTTGTGGCTGTCGCAGGTTTGAACCTTACTTTCTCGTGAGCACATGTCGGAGCACGAATCGGGACATTCAGCCTTGTACTACACGTGACGCCATTCGAAGAGATGGAGAGTACTTGTACCTCACGATGACGGAGAACGAAATGATAATATATCCTGAATTTCTCTTGGCCATTTATACATCCTGCCACCTTTTCACAGGCTAGAACCCGTTCACCCTTTCAAAAAATATACAATCTTTCTATGCCTCATCCTTCAATCGTGATATGTTCATCGTCAGGAACCCAAGTCTACAAACTCAATGCAATTCAAGTTTTCCCATCATGTCATGTACAACCGACAACGTTACATTGCGCTCTTCTCTTCCTTCCAACACTGTACTAATCTGTCGACTGGTTAACTCTGACTCAGAATCATTCTGTGCCTGACTTACTCTAATTCCATAATTGATGAGCAGGATAGCAATCATCGAGCAACCAACAACCAATGGACCAATCATATTATCAAAGTCTTTCCCGCTCCTCGCAATGATCATCTCTCTTCTCTCCTTGTGTTGGAAATAGCCCCAACCACAAGCAAAGACACCGACGCAAAGGAAAGCAATAGCCAAGACACGAGTAGTCGAGTTACTTGACGCATTGAACATAGCAAGAGCAAGAGTACTGATCAAGATAGAGATATGCAGCCATTTCAAGAAAGTTCTTTCGTTGGCCAACCAGACCTTTGGCTCAACTTTCAATGGTCCCGAGTCCTTGATAAGCTGAGTAGGTTTTGTAACTCCTTCGGGTAATTTGACTTTCTCTCGTTGCTTTTTCGCATATCTTGATTGGGAGAAGGACGGGAAGATGGAGGCCATCGTGCCATAGCCACCCTGGTTGCTTGAGTCTCCATTCTCTTCACTCGCCTGACCTTGAGACTTGCTTTTTCCAAAGTCTGACTTCTGACCAGCTCTTTCCTCGGCTGCCATTCGCTCTTGCATGTAAGACTTTCCAAGCGGTGAGCTGACAGCGGCACTATAGCTTGCCTTGTGTCTTGGTGTACCAAGAAAACTGCCGACAACCTGCTCATTCTCTGCTTTCTTGGCTTTCCTCTGCTCTTCTTCCTCAAACGCTGCTTGTGGGTCTTTGCGAATGTCTGTCTCAAGTTCGCTCAACCAGAAAGGAAGATTGTTAACATTGTCTTCGAACAATGTAGCCACACCATGAACGAATTTGGAAAAGCGAGGCGCCTTGTGAACGAGATGTGATGCGATCAATTCTTCGACCCATTGAGGGTACTTCTTCCCTCCATCGTCCTTGACCTTGATTTCCAGGACTGAAAACGGGAATCTGTTGATTTCACCCTGGTTGATGTTCTTGAAGGGATACACCATAGAGCTATTGTCGATGTCGTGTCTGTGCCAATCCTCAGGATTTCTGCATGGTCTATCTGGATCGATAGCATCCTCTCGGATGAAAGCCAACGATGTATCGATTGAGATCCTGACCTTGTCATCAAGGGGTTTCTGGAAGGCCGTTCGAGTGTAGTTCGCTCGCAATACTGGTTGCAGATCATGTTCTAGAATGAACTTTTGGATATCCGCGACAGTGTGTTTGAAGTCCTCGACCTTGGCTTCAGGTTGTCCTTGACGTTCCATCTTCTGCACCGACTTCTCCATCTTATATTCACCCTTGATGAAAGGCTGAATGTATTTTTCCTTGATTGGGAAGCGCTTTTCCTCACTGCTTCCGTTGTCGTGGATGATCTTCTTCTCGATCATAAGTTCGGGATTTGTGTTCAGTTGTCCATACCACCTTATTCTAAGCGAGGAAGCATTGACTTGGCGTTCGACCTTCTGGTTATACAAAGAGAATTCTGGATTGTCAAAGTAAAGAGAATTGAGAGTAGGGTCGCCTTGGCCTTCGAGCTCTTTCGCAGATTGCTGACTATAGACAAGGACAGGTAATCGACGAAGAATGAAGGTCTTGACCTCCAGCAAATTGTCGGGATGGATCCAGACTTTGTGATGTTAGCCGAGTCATAAGTGTCCAAGAAAGGGACGAACATTTGTGTGCTGTATATCTCTCTCCATTCTGTATCTGCGATTGAGCATCTGCGGATGAATCTGCCGGCGTGCCCTCGGATTCCTCCAATTGCTGACGAACGGCATAGTACATCATGGACAGCTTGTTAAGAAGGGGAGAATATCCTTGTTCGGAATTGAAAGGCCGTCTCGACAGGTTCATCATCATCATAGGTCTGATCTTGTAATTGTTGCCCCGCTTTCGATCGTGTTTTTTCACCTGGAAAGGTCAGCTTCGAGATCTTGATTGCCACTTCTCCCGCTCTCTGGAAGTTCTTTGCCAGCAAGGCATAGCTGGGACGAAAACCGCCCATGAGACTCCATCGAATTCCGCTATGCCACCAAAATGTCTGGCTAGGTATTACTCACAATCTTCAAAAATCCAGTATAGTTAATATTACTAAACTTCTTCAACTCCTTCGTCTCATTAATAATCCCATCCAACTCCTCCTCGACCTCCTTAAACCTCCCCTTCGTCACCTCCCCCTTCACATTCCCATCATCGGGCGCCAGATCCCTCAATTTCTCCGCCGTCCGATCCGTCCGCGCCTCCAGCGCCTTGAACGTCGATTCCTGGAACGCCGCCACCTTGTCCAGTTGCACGTTGAACATCTCCTCGCAGAACTTGTTCTCGTCGTCCTCCGTCCATGTTGGGTTGTCTTCGTCTTCTCGCAGCAGAGATTTCAGCTTCGAGTAGTCCATGTACCGGTCCTTCCATTGCGGATATATGGAGTTGCGGAGTGTCTTTCCGAAACGCATCTTGAGGGGGTGCAGAGAATGCTCGTGGAAGATGGGCGGTTGAGGTAGGCGGGGTCAATCACAACAGTACCTCTCGAAACTTCGTTATCGTCGACGAACAACTAGAATAATGGACTGGCGAAATGAGAACTGTTGTAAAATTTCGTCGTTCGTCAATTGATTCGTTGCCGCTAACAGAGCTGTCGATACTGGAAGTCAAAACTCTGCTGAAAGAAAGCTCGTCGTCCCTCACACGTGAAGGAAGGCCGTGAACAGGGTTCAGGTGAGCTTCCCTGGAAAAGTCTAAAAGTCTGGCTGGGAAACAGAAACGTGCACAACGCAGCTCATTTATTGGTCAATCTCATAGTTTTGCAAGCGGGCGAGAAAGCAACCCCACTTCGGCTTGGCAGTGGATGCGGCAGTGCTGAAAGGGGAAGGGTGAACCGAGGTAGCCTTGTGCTGTCAGCCTTGTCAAGGACAGGCATCTAAAGACGGAGAAATGTCTCTGATTGTATTATGTATTCTGCGCCCCAAGTTCTACGTACTTTGTGTGTTCGCGGTTGTGAGAGTCAATGTACTTACTGTGCAACACTGCATTCGTCTCGGGGTTGCCACGTTGAATTATCATTCCGAGTGTCACTCAACGGCTTTGTGTACCAGATGGTAACACTTGTTTGGTTACGACTACGGGCCTGTGCTATCCACAGCCCTTGGCCTCCTGCTGACCTTATGGCTGTTGCTACACTATACACATGCCACCCATCCGAGCAATTTTGTTAACCTTACCTAGGTAACCAAGTCCTTGCCTTCACGAAAACGCCTACAACCATTACCAGCATAACTTAACCATATTGCTCAACGCATCATATCGGACTGTTTCCCGAAATCGCTTAATAGCTCTGCTTGATTTGCCATAGAGCCGACTTGGCACGCTCTCGAACGTTGAGCTCAGGATCTTGCTCAAGCATTTCCAACTTAGAGAGGAAACCAAGTTTCTTCAGCTCATTAGCACGTTGAGAGCAAGCCTGTCCATCATTCTGGTCGTCCATCCAGGTAAGATTCGTCACTAACCAGCAGAGTGCTACTCGGACCTCGTTGCTTGTATGATTAAACTGCGGTACGAGCAGCTTCAATAAGTCGGTTTGTGCAATGACCAACTGACGATGTCGAGGGACGCTAGCTGCCATGTGAACTAGAATGTAGCCTACAGCGATGATGATTTCAGCCTGTGGAGGTGCAATCTTCCTCTCAGTATTGGGCGAGCTGCGGTTATAAGGATTGATGATCTTTGGCTTAAGCTTCGAAGCGAGGATTTCGAAAAAGCGATCTTGCCCTAGGGCATTGAACAGGAAATCAATCATCTCCGTGGTTTCCGCCGTCCCTCCTTGACCAGCACCGCCGATCAGGTTACGAATGAAGTCGAGACCCTGTTCTTGGACTGCGATGTCATCTTTCCTCGCCTTCCTAGAAGGGTTTGTTTCCGCTTCTCGTAAAGCGGCAAGACGAAGTTCTGCTTGTTGAATAGACTTGCTTCGACTGCTGCTTGGTCGTGAAATGGTAGAGCGACCAAAGGAATTACCAAAGGCAATGTTTACCTGCTCCTCAAACTGATCCATTTCTACGTCTTCATCCATCTCATCGCTTGGGGAATGATCTCTCTCTATATTACCTCTCGATAAAGAGAGAGCTTCGTCTTCAGTATCGTCACAAATCAGTTGAACAAGCCAGCCTTGTCCGAGCTCTTCTAAGCACAGTCTTTTCATATCATTGCCAACGCCATGGACAAAATGCTTCAAGGCCCACAAGGCATTAAGTCGTAGTTTCGCGTTGTTAGAACGTGCATGTTCGCACAAAATCTTCAGTACGCCAGCTTCAGATATAGGCTGTGCTTTCGTTAGAGGAATTCAAGAAGTGTGAGTAGGACTACTTACCTCACGCATAGGACTGACGTCGGTCAGGAGGTTGCAAACAGTTGCAGTGGCGGCGATCTGAACTTCGATGTCTGGGTGCTGGAGGAGGCGGAAGACGGGTTGGGCAACACCATGGTCAATCAGTGTAGTACGCAAAACACTAACTGAACGTGACAGCGCACGAACAGCACCACATGCAGCTACCAATACACTGAAGGGGTTTGTCCCGTAACCTTGTTTCGTCTCTGACTCAATAGAGCCGTTGGTAGCCTTTTCTGACTTGTCGTTACTTTTGGGTGACGGTTTCCCAGGATTTGGGCTCATCGACTCAACGATGTAAGGCATCATCCCTTGATCAACGATGGCTTTTCGAAACTCGTCTTTGAACGGAACAAGGGCAGCAATAGCTTTTAACGTGGCCTCTCGGACTTTGATCTTGTGTACAAGCAACGGGAGCTGACCCTTATTACCACCAAGTCGGGGCTGCTGGACATCGATGTTGTCTCCATCCTCAACTGTATGAGGGGACCAAGAACGAGAGCTAGTTGACTCTGCAACAGGGTCATAGGAGACTTTGAGCATCTTCGAAAGTTTGCTAATCACGCCAGCGTCGAAAGCGGCCTTTTGCAAATACTCACTGTCAGTAATGAGCATAGCAAGAATTGCAGGAGCGCGTTCCTTGATCGCACGATCCGACGTGACAGCTTCTTCATCTGCAATAACATCTTTTCCTTTGGATGTAATGGGACTTTCATCAAGCATGGTAACGAGAACAGGCACTACGAGTAAGCCAATAGCAGTTTCTCGCGTCTTATTCGTCAACCCAGCTCTGTACAAAACTGTCAACACCGAAGCAGCCATCAATCGTTCCAGCCCAACTCGCGACCGGAGTATAAAGATTAAATAGGCGATTAAGGGACTTTCAGGTTCCTCTGCCTCTCCCATAGCGGTATCTTGTATATCCATAGACGTGTCCATGCTTGTAACATCGTTCCAGCTGGGTATTGAGGCACTGCTATATTTGCTTGTGCTGGAGCGACCATTCAAAGCGAGGTTCTGGCTTGAGTTAGACGTACCCAACGGGGGGAACGCCGAGGTTTGGGCACTTGAACTTTTGAGCTGATGATGGGGCACGACAGGAAGTAAATAGTCAACCGCGTTGAGCTGTGCTTGGCGGGCACTTAAGGAAGATGCGTTGAAAGCATTCCAAGCCGCTCGGGTATTGGTTGCTGGTACAAAATCCGTTGACTGCGATACAGGAAAGATCGCTAGAATGGAGGGAGAATAGAGTAGCTGTGAAGCTCTAAACTTCGAATCTACAATGATGACAGCAATGGCTTCCAAAATGACCGACATATTGGAATTGGATGGGGCTGCTTGGGGAAAGTGTTCAAAAAGGCCATCTCTTTGGGCTAAGATATCGGCACCTGGGAGGACAAGGCCTTCAGCAGCAACAAAGCTTGCCAATTTCGTAGCAAGCGCATCTAAAACTCCAGTATTGGCAAGTCCTTGTTGGTGACGTTCGTCCCGACAGAGTCGACTTATCAAGGATGCCGCGAGCGATATTTGGGTTTGAACAGTGGACGATGCTGAGGTTTGTGACAGAATCCTGCACAAAGAAGCAAGATGCTGGCGGGAGAAGAGACCGTCTGCCAGAGTATTTATGCTTAAGACATGAGGATTCGATGCCAGTGCTGAAGCATCTGCAAGGTTGGAGAGAGCTCGAAGGGATGCGAGGACTAGCTGGGAAGGATTGCTCGATGGGCAAAGATTCGAGTATATTGCGGGGAGAGGCAGCGCTGACTGTAGAGGTGCTAGAAATGGAGGACCGCCTAAGAGTTCGTTAGTCTAGAGAATATATCTTGAAAGAATAAGTATCTTGCCTAATGCGATGCTTGCAAGAACTTGGAGACCTTGCAACCTAACCATTTCCTCCTCACTAAGGCTTCGAGAAGCGAAACTGTGATCGTGCCCTTTGCCATCTTGTCTGCTGCTAGACTTATTGAAGGTCAAACGGATTACCGGGTCTAGGACTCCCTGATGTACTGCCTGCTCTTTCTTCAATGGATGTCCAACAATCTCGTTCTTCAGGATCCTCAGGGTAGCTATTTGCTCAGCGGGAGTTCTGGCGTTTCGAATCTGTGCTACCCAAGGCTGTCTAGCCATGGCGGAAGAGGGAATATTAAGTCGTGCGGCGTATGTGTATTCGATGGCGAGAAAAGAAGATTTATTTTGGAGAGGATGCAGTATCGATGATGTTATTCGCAAGTCAGTCAGATTGTCCGACGATTGTATTGCGTGATATGGATGCAGCTGAGTGGTATGCGTGAATGTCGAGTGGAGTGTCGATGGTTCAGTTAATAATTAAGTTCGCTTTATTCAGATCAAGTCGCCTCGGAACCAAGGTTCACTTCCTTCAGCCTTGTCATCGGCTGATCCGCCCAAGGAACATCAAAATGCCACAATCCAAACCTTCAATGCTTGCATTCTCAACTTTTGCAAACGAACACACCGATATTTCAAACCAGAACAGAGCAGCGTTCAGCTAGCACGCCCTACAGAATATGTAGCCTCTCGAAAGTGCTTGGCGGAACTTCGATTCCGCAGTGCTCCCATTCTTGTTTCCACTCAATTGAGTTTTGGAACTTCGATTCACAGTAGGCTCGGTCGACCTAGGCCAAGTCCACGTAAAAATTCGTCGACGAGTGAGATTCGACGCAACGAACACACCTACCTTTGCGAAAATTCTACGAGAAAAGAAGAGGATATTGCTCACATCTACACGACAAACACAGAACACTTTAGGAAATATTATAACGACTCTCGTTCTTCTCCAACAACCCCACTCTCGCCGCTTCCGGACCTGGCTTCTTGGGAATATCAGAGGACGACTGAACATGACTCTGCGCTCGAGACCATGCTGAAGCAACATCGATCGTCTCCTGTGTCTTCGCCCATATTCCATTATGCGCCCACCTCGAACTCGCTGCCCACCTCACCGTTGTCAAGAAGGCAATCAAAGTCCAAAGCTTCCTTCGCGAAAGCGACCCCACCAGCTCGAGCACAATATGTTGACGCCGGTACACAGTGGAGTCCTAGATTGAATTCGAAGATGGAATCTCTTCGAACGCAGTCACCACTTGTGAAAATCGAAAAGCGTTCCCAAGAGCCAGAAGCATCAGTAGCGCTTGCTGCTGTCGCATCTATACCGCCGTCCCCAGAGAAGCCTCTCCTTAAACCAGAATCACCGGGGCTGAAAAGACGACAATCTCAGGATCCTCCAACAGCTTCCACCAGTGTCAGTCATACAATACAACCAAAGCGCTCCCGTTCAGACGAAACCATCAAGATCTTACCTGCAAAATATGAATTCTGCCCCGTTGAAGACATGGTGGTCCTGATAGCAAACATGATTCAGGAACTTATTCAAACCAACGACAGCCTCCCACTGCGAAGTGGGGTTCTTACGCGGTTCCACTCTCGGTGAGCAGCTTTGCTTGCTCTCCATAGCCTCATCTACTAACACGAATTTTGTAGAACACCGCCTGGCATCTCTGTTCTCGACTACCTCAATCGACTTGCAAAACATGCTACCCTTACACCTCCACTTCTTCTTTCTATGGTTTATTATATAGATCGACTTTGCTTGCTCTATCCCGCATTCACGATCACAACACTTACAGTGCATCGGTTTTTGATCACAGCCGCTACCGTAGCCGCGAAGGGCTTATCCGATTCGTTCTGGAACAATGCTACCTATGCTAGAGTAGGGGGCATCAAGATAGCAGAGCTGGGACTTTTAGAGCTTGATTTCTTATATAGGGTGGATTGGAAGATTGTGCCGAATCCCGAGGCACTTGTCGAATATTATGAAGGATTGGTGGAAAGATCACCGGGCTACGAAATCGAAGATACGAGTTCAGATGAGGATGATGACGATGAAGATGATAGCAATGATCTGGGTTCAAGCCCAGAAGTCAAGACTGAGGACATCAAGTCTGAGCCCACTACGGACACGCAGTGGAAAGCTTGGATGGATGATGTCTCTAACGTCAAGGCAGAAGGGTCACATGAAAGCAAACCAGCATGAGTGGTGGATGATACCCAGGAGGGCATTTGTTTTCTCAGCATAGGAAGGCCGGCGTTATTAAAGGGTGGTGACCTCATGGTATAGCAATATTGACCCAGAGATGGGATGAACATTGCACTTCGGATCTCTTAAGAGAACCGTCGGAGAGATATGGCTCAGAGTAGTAATACACTCTTCGAGCTGGGGATGTAGATACCCATTATTCTTACCAAGCGCGGAAGAAATAAGTACCGATGTAAATACAATTTTTTGCCTGCTATGTTCTATGTTTCCTGAAAGATTGTTGTGAAAGCTTGGTAGGTAAACTGGAGCTAGCCTTTGCCTTGCTCAGCCTTGTCGTGCCTCAGGTTACGCTCACTACTTATACCTCGTACAACGTCACTCTCAATTGACAACGTCCACGGACAACTTGCAACTATGAGAGTTCTCACAGTCCTCGCAGCATTATGTGCCTCAGCGCTGGCAGCAACATCAGATTTCATAGACAGCACAACCGTCTACATCCAACAGATTGACGCAATCTCACCCCCAGCACCTCTCGCCGACATCAAATACAACCCATCAACCCTCTCCGCCGAGCTCGTCAGCTTCGACGCCCCAGAGATAGAACCCGAGTCCAAACTACTACGAGTAGGAATCTACGATGTCGCGACCTCGAGCTGGAAATCCTCGACCTCGATAACGTCTGTAGAGACGTTTGCGAAAGGCTATTCACCAACATTGGTCCTGTCACTAGATGCGCAAGGAGGTGTCATTGGAGTGAGCTGCAAGAGTGGGAAGATAGATGCAGGGCAAACGAGGGATTTTGGTCCCAAGATCAAGGTCAGGAAGACGGTTAAGGGGAAGCTTCCTGAGTTGAATAAACCGGTTGTTTTGTCTCCTGAAGGAAAGGTTGCTACGCCTGAGCCGGAGAAGACTTTGCTTCAGGTAATTCCCGAACTTTTGAAATACTGGCAGAGTATTGTTGTGCTAATGTTTTGCTCAGAAATATTGGTGGGTTGGATTAGCTGCTGTTATGCTGCTTATGACTGCCGGAGGTGGCTCAGAATAAGCATAGTCGAGCATTTGATACCCAATAAAGTGTGTGTTGAACAAATTCTCTATCGTTTCTTAGTGCTTGTACCTGAAAGGTATCTTGTTTCCGGGTCATGTTCTGCTGGTTTGGAAGTCCTAGCATGCAAAGATATTGAACTATGCTTGTTCAAATCGAGAGTAAGTCAAAGTCGCATCTGTGCTCTTATCATGATATTTGCAGAGCACAATCGTCTCTTCACACACCTCCATCAAGTAGTGGAGAGTGCAGCTGGAAGCAACCCACTGCAATAACCGCTCTTGGCTATACAGAACGAAACAGGTATCCGGCGGTAAAGATAAGATTCAGGCGCGATACAAATTTAGGAACTACTCGAGATACTTCCCTCAAAGTCATGCTGGTAGCATTAATTCATTGGCTCGCAGCTTCTCAATTTTGTGGCCTAGTAAGCCAGGCACTAAGTGCAGGCGCGTTCCTGCCGTCGCCGCGACTTCCAAATAATCTTCGCGAATCTCTCCCGATCTAAACAATCAACTCACTTCCACTCCATCTCAAGACCAGACCGAACCGCAACGATCTTTCGAACGAAATCAATCAACACTCATTCAAAATGGCCGATCACAACGGAAGTGCAACAATGAAGGAGAATCTCCAACCTGTTGCTGAAGGCAAAGGAAAGGGCAAGGCCGCCGCCGAGCCTCAAGTCGAAGACAGCGGTATGGACGTTGATGAGAGCTCTGATGATGAAGAGGTTGACGAAGTAAGTCAATGATATCTGTTTCGATACAATCAATCAACTAACATGTTTTCGCAGCATGAGCCCATTGGTAAGCTCCACTCCCTTGCTTTTGCACAGGACCATATTTTGACCGCCCCTAGCTGATGAAGAGGACGAGGATAACATGGAGGAAATCAGCACCGAGAACATCATCCCTTCTGGTCGCCGCACTCGAGGCCGCAACATCGACTTCGCCAAGGCAGCTGCTGAGATGCCAGCGGAGGATGATGAAGATGAAGATGAGGACGATGATTTCGAGGCTCCTGATGAGGATGAGGAGATGAAGCACTAGATTCAGCGACACAATGGGGATCGACTTGGTCGCACGGCCTGTTATCTCAAGAATCCGACGTTGGCATACTTTATACGTTGGAAAATGGGCGGTTTTTTTTCCAAAATTCGGTCCTTGTCTTTGCGAACTGGATAGTTGTTTCCCTCACCACACTCGTCTTTGTCGTCGCATGCGCAAGGCATCTTTTGTTCATTGTCGACACACAAAAAGTTACGTTTTCCTAAACACGGTTGCATTATGACTCAGGGCATACGATATTGACGATTGAATTAAGATCTGCGAAATCGAATGGGGTTTTCATCATGGGGGCAGAGAAGCGGTTATTATGAGCATGGTTGTACTTTAGAGGAAGAACAATTAAAGGAGTCTGCGCAAAATAAAAAAATAAAAGCCTGCTGACGGAAACTACCCTCAATAAAGAATTTTCGTGCACTCAAACACTTTTTACCTTTCATCGAATGATTGTATATTGCAACGTGGACCCAACAAAGAAAATAATAGTACGTGACCTCGAGCGGCGCGCATCGTGTCCCCTTTTTCTTTGGGACGAAACCCGATTCGCGATTGCTCCTTAGATGACTGGGTGGCTTCTGGGGAAACCAACCGAACAGATTTCCCCCTCTCGAACCCTTCTTCTTCAAACCAACAACCATCATGTCTTCAAGGTGAGTAGTTTCAGCCCTTTTACACTTTTCCACCTCACGCAGGCCTTGGCTCGTGTGTCAATATTGGCGTTGCTCCAAAAGGAGAGCGCTGGCAACTACAACCAGCAGCAGCAGCAGCCACATCTGTTATCCTTACCCCAAGAGACGAAATGTATTAACACCAACCCCCAACCCCAGATTCCCCTCCTCAACGCTCCACCAGCGCGATCCCCGCTCCGCGCTCTTCGAGAACTACAACGGTGGTGGAACGCCAACGCGGACCTCGAATTCGTCGTCGTCGCCGTCGCCGTACGCGGGCGGGTACGGATACCCAGCATCATCGGCGAGCAATGGGTCAGTGATCAATGGGAACGGGAAAGCGGTGGGGTATAGGCCCGCGACGCCGAATAGTAGGGGCCAGTATAGCGATGCGGTGTTGAATGAGTTGGAGAGCCAGAATGAGGGGCAGGTGGAGGGGATTATGGGGAAGGTTAGGGCGTTGAAAGATGTTTGTTTCCTCTCCTTTCCTTTCTTTGTTTCTTGCTTGCTTGAGTTTTGGGAGGGGAGAGAGGAGGGAATTGGATGGTGCTAACGTGTGGGGGGGATGTAGATGACGATAGCGATCGGAGATGAGATCAGAGATTCGTCGGCCATGGCGGAGAAGATGAATGAGGGGTTTGATAGTACGCGGGTGAGGTTGAGGGGCACGATGAATCGGATGCTGGTTATGGCGGAGCGGACGGGGGTTGGGTGGAAGGTGTGGTTGGGGTTCTTTGCTGCGGTGGGGTTTCTGTTCTTTTATGTTTGGGTGTTTTGAGGGGATTGAGTGATGGAGAGATGGAGAAAGAAGCAGTGTTAGAGGGAGGATTGTACATCGCGAAGACTTTTGGAACAACAGCTGCATTGCATGGCGTTTTCTGGAGGGCGAGGGTTGTATTATACGCATTTTATTGTTGGGTCACAGGTGGACTCTGTCAATACATTACAATTCATTGAGATATCGAGGTGGTCTGGGTAATTATATTGGTCGGATTTCTCTAGCTAGAGCTACCTATTATTGTGGATAGTTCCCAGACGAACGCCAACCTCGACCTCGCAGACTCACTCTTTGTCGAGGGCTGCTGCTGCCTCCAATCTGACTGCTACCTCCTGAGATTAAGCTGCTCAAGTCCATGCTATTCTGAGTTCCATCGCTCCGGACCATACTGCTTGCTGCAAATTGTGATGGTAAACGTCCAGCATCCACACTGTCATCGTCGCTACTTGACAATTCTGCTTCAGTGTCCGTATGTTCGTAGCCACCTTCATCTGCTTCTGGAATATCGGCATCCATGTCCATATCCTCGTCATGGTGTCCTGCATTCTCGTGTACCAAGTCTTCTTCTTGAAGCATGCCTGAATTATCTTCGTCATCCGCACCATCTCCACCGAATCGACCGGCTGCAATGTCTTCTCCACGGACAATAGCCTCTCGGTATACATCATCTGGAACTCGGGCAGTAACCATGTCTCTACGGACTTCTTGCGTTCCATTCTCCTCATCCGAGTCCTCAGAGTCGTCTTCTTCCAGAGCAGTGTTATCGGCGTCTGGAACATCGTCGTCGAGATCACGAGCTTCTTCCATTTCACCATCCGCGCCTTCGCCTTGCAGCATTTCTTCAGCGCCTTCTGCTTCCGCATCAGCCAGTTCTTGAGCTAGCTGCTCGCGTCTCAATGCCTCTTGGTGCTCTTTCATCTCACGGTCCTCTTCACGCTGTTGATACAGTGACTTGGCAACTCCTGGCGGCTTGATCCATGAGCTGCCATAGTTTTGAATGTTTTGCTTGCGGCGCTCCATGTATTCTTCATCGTGTCGGAGGCGTGCGAGGGGAGTGCGGTGCAGGGCATGACGGCGGTGTGAATGCGGATGTTGATTGCGAGGTTGGGATGAAGGGTCGTTGTCGGTGGACTCGAGGAATGGGGTGTGATCGTTCGAGGTAGAAGAGGTGTACCATAGAGTGTAAGACTTCGAGATTGTGGTTAGATTAAAGACATTCAAGTAGGCGGATACACGTACATCTTGAGGTGCCAGACTTGGTAGCGACAACATCGTGAATACGTGAGAAGACACACCGTCTTTTGCTCTTATCTGCGTCTCTTAGTGCGTGCGACAAGTGTCGAGCAATTAAACTGCTCGTTGTTCCAAGACAAATTGATTGCAAAGTTGTGTTCGCTGAAATGTAAATAAAGCGTTAATCGCGTTGGGCGACGATATCCTCCACTCAGACATCGGATTCATGTAAGGCTGAACCAAGCCTAATTAGGCCCGGGCCCCCCACGCTGCAGTGCAGTGCTCCTCCCACTTTCGCAGCCTAGCCGGCATATTTCCATCTTGCAGCCTCGTACCGGGAAACATCGACTGTTTTGAGGAATGAAGAACAAGGTCGCCCTCCATCCAAGTCTTAGCAGCAATGCAGCCGGAATATCTGGATGAGTCCTGTCTCGGCGCCTTCGACTCCACTTTCCATGCTCCACAGTGAGGTGGCTCAGTGGCCGCTGAAGACTTCTTCCAGAGAAACGTTGTAATCGTCCATTCTCGCACCCGAAGCGTCCAGGCCGTGCCGCAAGGTCGGGAGAGAGAGTCATACAGAGTTGTAAGAGAGACCCAACGGAGCCAGCAGTTTGATTGACCGCCATTGACCGCTCTTCTCATTTTCTTTTTCGATGAGCTAACACCAACATTAATACATGTCTCCAAGTCGAAGGAGGAGCACCATCGATCGGGCGATTCCGACTGCGCCCGAATATGCAGCAATTGTTTGCTCCAAAAAGTTCCGTGGTCACGAGCGTGAATCCACCGAATGAGATCCAGATCTGATTTGTCTCTGGACGTGGGGCACGCTGCACGTCTGTTCGGGCAAGGGTTCAGAGCTCTGACGAAACCCTCCCTCGCCTGGCGAGATGCCTGTCTTAATCTCCTATCTTAAGCTGGTGTGTCATTTTTCACTGTACCATCTGCGGGGTTGGCTGCCGCTGGCCAGTGAGGGCGAAGACAAAAAAGATTTGGCGATGCAAAATCTTCCGCTTTGCGAACTGACGACAGCTTAGCTCCCTACAGTAGCTCCCTAGCTCCCTCTCCCTCCCCTACTGTAGCTTCCAAGGGCAACCAGCAGCCAACAGCCAAGGCCTCGGCGGCATGGGCCACGCGCCGCCTCTCACATCTCACCAAGATCTCTAGCTCTGCCTACGCCGTGCATACGAACCAATCGTCGTGCGTGTGTAATAATAAGGTTGTCATAGCTTGCAGTGCACCGCAGCGACATCGGCCCAGGAGAAGAAAGTTTTTTCACCATGCTCCTGTAAGTCACCACGACGGTACATCAACCAGTCAGTCCAGCATGGTGGTCTAGCAGCGACCAGGGAACACTGCTGGCCCTTAACGAGGCCATGTGTACCGACTACATGAGGCTGTTTGGCCCGTCGCTGATTTGCTCAACCCGCCTGCACGTTGCAACGAGGACTCCTGCGCATCACGACATATGCAGCTTGAGCTGCAGCCCGCTTCAGAGCACAGGTATCGCTGGTGTGGGGTGCTTGCCAACCCAAGCCAACCCAAGCCATACCAAGCCCTTTCAGAAGACTGCGCAGCTCTTCACAGGGTTTCCGAGGATCGAAAGATGCATCGGCTATTATTCTCTTGCCCACTCGACAATCTGAACCAGGTCACGGCACGGCGCTGAAATGCTAAATAAAAGTCGTGCCAGAAAGTCTCTTGAAGATGTCACCATTCGTGCTGATCCTGCTGGCCTGAACCCTCGAGGAAAGAGGCATGAAAATCATAAAACGAACCACCAAGAGGTGGTGTTGGCTCAAGGTGGGATCTCCTACTTCGTACTCGTAGCTTCCGTGTAGTGCAGCGTCAGCTATAGCCCCGATTCAAGCAGTGCGAGGTTGTGTTGCTGCTGTGAGAGTGAGAGTGGTCCTGATCCGGAGAGGGAACGAGGAGGAAGAGGAGAAACAAGTGGAGCTCTGGTCGAGCATGGTGCAACCCTTGTCCCTTGTCTTTCAGATGTGAAATCCAGCAATCGTAAGCAACGCCGGTAGAGGCCGGTACAGGCCGACAGCAAATGGAGAAGGATGGGTAGGGAAGGGAAGGGAAGGGAAGGAAAAGGGGAGGAAAGGAAGTGGAAGTGGAAGTGGAAGGACAGACATCGGAGCTGCTGGGCCTACGACCATGCCTGTTCTACGCCTACGTGCCTCTTTTCCTAGCTCGATTTCATATGCAGAGGGGCTCTAAAATAATAATTCTCATCCACTCACCCCATTTCCCAAATTCCGTGCTGGCAATTAAAAACCCTTCGTCCCCCCTCCAGATTCCCTCTCCTTCTCTTCCCCCTCCCCCAATACCAATCCCGACTCTGAGTTGCCCCAAAAGTGGTGTCTTGTTGCCGATTCACAAGATAACGACGTGAGTTTTCCCCCTCATTTTTTATCTGTAATATCCCGGACCCGCCAATCGCACGGCTATCGCGCTCCTGGTCAACACCTCCATCATCATGCATGAGGCCGTTCAGAGGCCACAGAGATGGAGAATTTGATTTATCGGGCTTCTCATTGTTCCAATTCTGCAGCGGACATTGAGGGGCGACAAACAATAATTTCGTTTCCGTGAATCGGCAAGGGCCATCTCGATTCCACCTCATCCTTCTGAGGAGCCTCGAGCTAGTAGTTACTACTGACCTACCACTTCACCAGCCGATCCTCTAAAAATCAACTCCCGTCATTTACTTTTTTCCCACTCTGCTTCGAAACGACAACATCTCGATTTTCAATTGATACTTACAATAGCTTCTGCAATTCGTTTGCTGACTTTGACCTTCTCCCACCAGTCCAAGACCATCCACCCCTCAGCCTTTCTGTGCAGACTACCCGCAGAAGAGGCTTTCCTGTCAATTGACAAGCCACAACCACCGAAATCGCCGCAACTTTGCCTGATATGGCAAGAGTCGACGATTTCAACGACAGACAAACCCAGATTGATGCTGAGAATGAGCCATACAATCCCTATGTGTATCAGACGGAGGACAACGGGTCATGGGCAGGCGCCCTCCCGGTGAAGCAGTATGTAACCATTCCAGGCACATCCGCCACTGCCTGTGCTAATGTGGTTCGTCTAGGGGACTGTATGATCCAGACTTGGAGAAAGATGCCTGTGGTGTCGGGTTTGCTTGGTCAGTAGTCTCTCCTCGATTGGCAACAATAGCAAACCGAAGCTGATATTGTATAGTCACATCAAGGGCAAGGCAAGCCACAAGATTGTTAGCGATGGTAGGCTCCTACATGTATAATTGACCAATATACGCTGACACATTTCTTCCACAGCGCGAAACCTCCTTTGTAACATGACCCATCGAGGTGCAGTGGGTTCCGATGCGCGAGACGGAGACGGGGCTGGTGTGATGACATCGATCCCCCACAAATTTTTCATTAAGAATTTCGAACGCGAGACGGATATCAAGCTTCCCCCTCAGGGCCAATATGCTGTGGGCAATCTTTTCTTCAAGCCAGATGAAGAGACTTTGCAAGAATCGAAAAAACAATTGGAAGAGATCTCAGAGTCACTGGGGTTGAGGGTATTGGGATGGCGAGAGCCTCCTAAAGATTCCACTCTTCTTGGTCCCGCTGCTGCTTCTCGTGAGCCTATTATTTTGCAGCCATTCGTTGTGCTATCATCTGCATATGGTTATGGCAATTCGCCAGAGACCACAGACCCTGATCTTTTTGATGAGAAATACTTCGAAAGACAACTCTACGTGCTCCGAAAGCGTGCGACCCATACCATTGGCCTTCACAATTGGTTTTACTTATGCTCCCTTTCGAACAAGAACATTGTGTACAAAGGACAGCTTGCTCCTGTGCAGGTGTACCAGTACTATTATGATCTAGTCAACGCTGACTACGAAGCCCATTTTGCTCTCGTGCATAGTCGTTTCTCGACTAACACATTTCCTTCCTGGGATCGTGCTCAACCACTGCGATGGGCTGCTCACAATGGTATGGAAATTTGTAAAATTCCAATATGACCATGAACTAACCTCTAACTAGGTGAAATCAACACCCTGCGCGGCAACAAGAACTGGATGCGTGCCCGTGAAGGTGTCATGCAGTCAGATATTTTTGGCGAGGAACTCGAGATGCTTTACCCGATCGTCGAAGATGGCGGTTCGGATTCTGCAGCTTTTGACAACGTCTTAGAACTTTTGACTGTCAATGGTGTTCTGTCCTTGCCGGAGGCTGTCATGTTGATGGTACCAGAAGCATGGCAAGACAATGCCGCTATGGACCCAGCCAAGGCCGCTTTCTACGAATGGGCTGCTTGCCAAATGGAGCCATGGGATGGGCCTGCCCTCTTCACCTTTGCTGATGGAAGATACTGCGGTGCCAACTTGGACCGAAATGGTCTCCGTCCCTGCAGATACTATGTGATGGATGATGACAGGATCATCTGCGCTTCCGAAGTAGGAACCATTCACGTGGACCCCGAGAGGGTCGTCCTCAAGGGTCGTCTGCAACCCGGCAAGATGCTTCTCGTTGATACTCTTGCTGGTCGCATCATCGACGACAGTGAACTGAAGAACACTGTCTCCACTCGCCATGACTTCCGATCGTGGCTTCACAAGGAATTGATTACCTTGCCAAAGGTGTTCGAAGATATCACCAACCAAGGCTCGATCGACCTTGCCCCAAAGCCTGATGGTTCTCCTATCCAGGAAGATGCCCTGCTTAGAGCTTTTGGCTACTCCTTCGAGCAAGTCAGTTTGCTGCTCGCACCTATGGCTTCCGATGAAAAGGAAGCTCTTGGATCCATGGGTAATGATGCGCCATTGGCATGTCTAGCACAGGCTCCTCGGCTGCTCTACGAGTATTTCCGACAATTGTTCGCACAAGTCACCAACCCTCCTATCGATCCTATTCGAGAGGCTATTGTCATGTCGTTGGACTGCTATGTTGGTCCTCAAGGTAACTTGCTTGAGATGGACTCGTCTCAATGCGGTCGATTGCTGCTTCCAACCCCCGTCCTCTCCATTCCCGAATTCAACGCCTTGAAGAATATCAGCAAGCTTCATTCACAGTGGACCGTCAAGGTCATTGACTTGACCTTCCCTAAGTCTGAGGGCACCCAAGGTTATATCCGCCACCTCGACGAGATCTGCGAACAGGTCACTGCTGCCATCGAGAATAAGGATCGCATTATCATCCTTTCTGATCGTGCAACCTCTGCCGAACGTGTGCCTGTTTCTGCGCTCCTCGCCTCTGGTATGGTTCATCACCACTTGGTCAACAACAAGTGGCGATCACTCGCTGCTTTGGTCGTTGAGACTGCTGAAGCTCGTGAAGTGCACCACATGTGTGTTCTTCTTGGCTATGGTGCCGATGCTATCAACCCATACCTCGCTATGGAATGCATCATCAAGCTCAACAGAGAGGGTTTGATCAGAAAGAAGCTCAGCGACGATGCTCTTATCCGCAACTACAAATACTCCGCAGATGGAGGTATCTTGAAGGTCATGAGCAAGATGGGTATCTCGACCTTGGCTAGTTACAAGGGTGCCCAGATTTTCGAGGCTCTTGGTGTTGACGACACTGTCGTCGACCGATGCTTTAAGGGAACTGCTACCAGGATTAAAGGTATCACATTCGAGCTCATTGCCGAGGATGCTTTCCGGTTCCATGAGAAGGGCTTCCCATCTCGCTACACTGTCAGCGTCCCAGGTCTTGTCGAGTCTGGTGAGTACCATTGGCGTGATGGCGGCGAGCCTCACATCAACGATCCTACCTCTATCGCCAACATTCAAGATGCCGTTCGCACCAAGAATGACAAGTCTTACGAGGCATACTCACTCGCCGAGTACGAGCAGATCAAGGCATGCACTCTTCGTGGTCTCCTTGATTTCAAATTTGACGAGAGCACTCCTGTTCCCATCGACCAAGTCGAACCATGGACCGAGATCGTTCGTAGATTCTGCACGGGAGCTATGTCCTACGGATCAATCTCTATGGAGTCTCACTCGACACTTGCTGTTGCTATGAATCGTCTTGGTGGCAAATCCAACACTGGTGAAGGTGGTGAAGATCCAGAGCGATCCGAGAGAATGGAGAACGGCGACACTATGCGTTCTGCCATCAAGCAAGTCGCTTCCGGTCGTTTCGGTGTCACCTCCAACTATCTCGCAGACTCCGACGAGCTTCAAATTAAGATGGCTCAAGGCGCAAAGCCTGGTGAGGGCGGTGAGCTTCCGGGCCACAAAGTTTCGAAGTCAATTGCACGAACTCGTCACTCGACTCCTGGTGTCGGTCTCATTTCGCCTCCACCCCATCACGACATCTACAGTATCGAAGATTTGAAGCAACTGATCTACGATCTCAAGTGCTCAAACCCTCGTGCTCGTGTCTCTGTCAAGCTCGTCTCGGAAACTGGTGTTGGTATTGTCGCATCTGGTGTAGCCAAGGCCAAGGCTGACCACATCTTGATCTCTGGTCATGATGGTGGAACTGGTGCCTCTCGATGGACTGGTATCAAGTATGCCGGTCTTCCTTGGGAACTTGGTCTCGCTGAGACTCATCAGACTTTGGTTCTGAACGATCTTCGAGGTCGTGTCGTTGTCCAGACTGATGGCCAACTCCGAACTGGTCGTGATGTCGCCATTGCTTGTTTACTTGGTGCCGAAGAATGGGGCTTTGCTACCACTCCTCTCATCGCTATGGGATGTATTATGATGAGAAAATGCCATCTGGTACTTTTTTTTATGTCCGTCGAGGTCTGAAACATTAAGCTAACTATATTTTCAGAATACCTGCCCAGTCGGTATCGCGACGCAAGACCCAGAGCTCCGCAAGAAGTTCCAGGGCACTCCCGAGCACGTCATCAACTTCTTCGTATGTCAAATCCCTATACTAATTTACTCTTTCCTTGTATGAGGGCTCTGGGAGCCGAGAGCCGGGCAGAGCTGAGACATATTGCAAACGAGAGCTCTTGAGACAGCTCCCGGCTCCCAGAGCCCCTCACTTTCGTTTCGATGTTTTACTATGCTAATTCGTTTGGCAGTATTACATTGCTAACGAGCTCCGTGCTATCATGGCTAAGCTTGGATTCAGAACTATCAATGAGATGGTTGGCCATGCTGAGCTCCTACGTGTCCGTGAAGATCTTCGCACCAACAAGACTCAGAACATCGATCTGTCGTTGATCCTTACACCAGCTCACAAGCTCAGACCTGGTGTTGCTACTTTCAATGTCCGAAAGCAAGACCATCGTCTGTATGTCCGACTGGACAACAAGCTTATCTCTGAGGCTGAATTGACCCTCGACAAGGGTCTACCATCAAGAATCGAGTGCGATATCGTTAACACCGATCGTGCCATGGGCACTTCCCTTTCATACCAGATCTCCAAACGTTACGGAGAGGATGGTCTGCCTATGGATACTGTCCATGTCAACATCAAGGGATCTGCTGGTCAATCATTCGGTGCCTTCCTTGCACCTGGTGTGACTTTGGAGTTGGAAGGAGATGCCAACGACTATGTTGGAAAGGGTCTATCAGGTGGTCGTCTTATTGTCTACCCACCACGAGCTGCAGTTTTCAAGGCAGAAGAGAACATCCTCATCGGTAACGTCTGTTTGTATGGTGCCACCAGCGGAACTTGCTTCTTCCGTGGTGTTGCTGCAGAACGTTTCGCTGTCAGAAACTCCGGAGCAACAGCTGTCGTTGAAGGTGTCGGTGACCACGGTTGCGAATACATGACTGGAGGTCGTGTTCTCATTCTCGGAAGCACCGGACGCAACTTCGCTGCTGGTATGTCTGGTGGTATTGCGTATATCCTTGACATCCACCAAGACTTCATGTCCAAGCTCAACCCGGAGATGGTTGAAGCTTCAGGCATTGATGATCCAGCTGAAATTGCCTATGTCCGTGGTTTGATTGAGGATCACCACCACTACACTGGCTCTGAGCTTGCAGCTCGCATCCTCCTCGACTTCAACCGCGCCCTGCCACGCTTCGTCAAGGTTCTTCCCGTTGACTACAAGAGAGTTCTGGAGGAAGAGGCTGCCAAAGCCGCCGAACTCAAGCGTGCCGAATTCCAACTGCCTCTCCTTCCAGGCAACCCAGTTCGTGAACTTGCCGAATCTCAAAAGAAGGAAAAGAAGAAGCCCGACCTTCAAGACATCGAGGAGACTATTGGCGATGCTGCTGCTGAGAAGAAGAGATCACTGGTATTGGACAAGACTAAGGGCTTCATGAAATACCAACGTCGTTCTGAGAAGTACAGATCTGCAAAGACTAGAACACGCGACTGGGCAGAGCTTTCCAAGCGTCTCGACGAGGATGAGCTCAAATACCAAGCTGCTCGTTGCATGGACTGTGGTGTTCCTTTCTGTCAGTCTGACTCTGGTTGTCCAATTTCCAACATCATTCCCAAATGGAACGAATTAGTCTTTCAGAATCAGTGGAGAGATGCTCTCAACCGTCTTTTGATGACCAACAACTTCCCCGAGTTCACTGGCCGTGTCTGCCCAGCTCCTTGCGAAGGTGCCTGCGTCCTTGGTATCAACGAGGATCCTGTCGGTATCAAGTCAATCGAATGTGCTATCATCGATCGTGGCTTCGATATGGGCTGGATGATCCCCCAGCCACCGAAGATTCGCAGTGGAAAGACCGTTGCTGTCATCGGCTCCGGACCTGCTGGTCTTGCTTGTGCTGATCAACTCAACAAAGCTGGTCACACTGTCACTGTCTACGAGCGTGCTGACCGTGTCGGTGGTCTTCTCATGTACGGAATTCCCAACATGAAGCTCGACAAGAAGATTGTCAAGCGTCGAACAGACTTCATGGCCGCTGAGGGCATCACTTTCAAGACTGGTGTAGCCATTGGACAGGACATCACACTCACCGACCTCAAGGCTGAGAACGACGCTGTTGTGATCGCTACTGGTGCTACCGTTGCCCGTGATCTCCCAATCAAGAACAGAAACCTTGAGGGTATTCACTTTGCCATGCAATTCCTCCACAAGAACACCAAGTCTCTCCTTGACTCAGAGCTTGCAGATGGCGAGTACATCTCTGCTAAGGGCAAGAACGTCGTGGTCATCGGTGGTGGAGACACTGGTAACGATTGTATCGGTACTTCCGTTCGTCACGGTGCCAAGTCCGTCACCAACTTCGAGCTATTGCCACAGCCTCCTAATGAGCGTGCTCGTGACAACCCATGGCCACAATGGCCAAGAATTTACCGTGTTGACTACGGTCACACTGAGGTCAAGCAGCATATGGGCCACGATCCTCGCGAGTTCTGTGTCATGTCCGAGGACTTCGTCGATGACGGAACTGGAAAGGTCAAGGGTATCAATACCATCCGCGTTGAGTGGACAAAGTCCGCCACTGGTGGTTGGGACATGAAGAAGATCGATGGATCTCAGCAGTTCTTCCCTGCTGAACTTGTTCTGCTTTCTATGGGTTTCTTGGGTCCTGAGGATCGTGTTCTTGGCAGTGAGATCGAGAAGGATGCACGCAAGAACGTCAAGACTCCCCCCGGAAAGTACCACACCAACGTTGAGGGTGTCTTCGCTGCCGGTGATTGTCGCCGTGGTCAATCCTTGATTGTCTGGTAAGTCTATCATGATCCGTTCATTCCAGCGTCCACTAAAATTATTATAGGGGTATCAATGAAGGAAGACAATCCGCTCGCGAGGTCGACATGTACCTTGAAGGCACTACTCGTCTCCCAGTCGCCGGTGGTATCGTGAAGCGCAGCGCCCACGAGATTCTCGGAAATCTCCAACACCGTGCTCCCATTCAGATTGCAGCAGCAAACTGAGTCAACGATACAGTCACAGGGACTGGAATTTATGACGACATTGACGACGAAATTTTCAACAAGCAGGAATGGGACTAAAAATGCATCAGGACCAAGGGTAAAGGGAACAAAAGTGCATTCGAGACGATGGTTCAATAGGCAGCGTGCAACCTATCACCATACCAAGGCATGCAGAAGGGAAAAGGGAAAGAACCATCTATCATCTTGGCTTGTACTTTTTTGGTGCGCTGCTTTTTTTTATTCTTCTCCTTACGATACCAGCATTCGTTTCACTTTTGCGAGGGAGTTTAGGTCCGCTGTTTTGGGACTATGCGACCGATCGATCGATGTATATAGAGCATTATGAAATGGTACATACGCAACTCTTGGAATGACTCTTGCGTGACGAGTGATGTGCTTGTGGGGATCGCGTGCGGGTTGCTCGTACCGGAAGAATTGGAGTGTGATGTAAAATTGATCTAAAGCTTGTAAGGCAACATCAATGGGAAAAGTAGTTCTCTCGAGTTTCAAGGTAGGAGGGAGCTCGCATATCGTTCCTACGTCACATTATCTTTCAAATTTTTGTTCATCGTTAGAACTTACTTAACCTGCATACTTAAATTGTCCTCCAATCTGTGGAACAATGACAATTTTCACTGTATTGTGTGATTGATATCTCAGTCACATCGCTCCTTAACTTTCAAGGCCAACTATCCATGCTCACCTTTCCAGAACACATATCGAGAAGCAACCAGGGTGGATGAGTGCTAGGAAGCTGTCATTTTCCTCAAGTCACAAGAGTCGCCTACTTCTACTTCTTCGCGTCAATTCACGTTATCTCAAGAGTCCCTCAAACTCACAGACAAGCTAAAATGTTCTGGGCGTTGAAGCTAAGCATATACCATAAGTTTAGATAGAGTTTCTTGAAAATCATCACTGGAGTCGAGTAGAGAGTTTGATGCAATTGTGGGGAGGGTTAGCTTTACGTTTCTTCGATATTGGATAGACATTGTGTTTTATACTGTAATCATAAATGAATTAACCCCATTGGCTTTGTGATGAGGCGAGTGGAATCAAGTTCTTCCATCTTCTGTATAGACAACCAAGCTTTGATACCAAGCCTCCCTGCTGGCATGCTCCTTCTGCGTTAATAGCCCCTTGACTTGATCTCATTCCCTAGAAGCAGCAAGTGTTAGCTATGACTCTAACACACCAACCAACATAAAAGAGGAGTGGAAGTCGAGAATTCCCCAAACCATACACTGTCTCTCAGCTCTATCATCATCCTTCTCCATCTCCGACTCAGTAGTATTCATGATCATTTACCATCCCTAAGTGGCTCATTGCAAAGGTGAGTCCATAAAAACATCAGGCTTAAAAGCATCCGCGGCACAAAGACCGAATTAGCTCTGCTTGCAACGCAACTCCAAATCCTAACGCTCAATATGCAATCAACCATCCAAGCAACAATCCCTGGATGCACGAAAGCTCGGCTACTTGCTTATCCGTGTCACCGATGCCTGCTCTGATAGCTCGTACTGCTATACCCACCAAGACATTTCTCAACATCCTTTGCCGCCATCCAGATTTCATTGTCCCTTCCTCCCAAGTACTTCACACGAGCAATAACCTCTTTACGCTTGTTCTTGTAATATTGCTCGGCGATATCATACCAGATACTTCTCTTGGCCGAACTGCTCCTTAGCCAGTATAATATGGCGTATTGGACGACTTGGCGTCTGGCACCATCATTGTACTGCCTCGCGTACGCGCTGCTCTCTTCTGTCTCCTTATCACACCCGACCTCATTCGCGTGCGGATTTGAAGTACCAAGGATCATTGCCTGGATACTCACAAAGACTGACGAGAGCGTGGATCGATTGGGCTGCCACTTCTGCTCTGGGGAGCAGGCTGGGAACGTGTTCAACAGCGAGAGACAGACTATTGCCAAGATTCAGAGAATGTTAGGTTGGAGGATATTTGTAACTTACGTTCACCGGTGGCATACAGATTAGGATTGAACCCATCTCTATGCGAGTCATGCCCCTCCAGCACAAAGTGAACCCTAGGTGGATCGACAGGCCAATCTTGAGGCAAGGCAATATCAAACCTGTTAAGAGTCAGTATGTTCGCTAAAGATCTAGTTCTTTTATGAAACGATAGCAGACGCCAGTCTGGCATCTAGGAAATACATACGCAAATAGCCCTCCTTCATAGACCGAACCCTCCACGCCCGCAATCAGAGCCTTCATGACATCTGGTCGACTTTCTGAGATCTTCAGAAAGATTCCAGGAGGTAGCGACGTGGTAAGAGATGCAATCTCCTTCATGAGTGCAGACATTCTGCCCGGCCTAGACTGAGAGAAGTTTGAGTAGAAAGAATGCCTATCCAGAACACTGTCAGAAAATGCCACACGGTTCTTCTCTGTAAAGACTGCCCAGGAATCTTTGGACGCCGAGTCGTTTCGGCGATTTGCTTCTGGGGCAGTCTTGTCGATGACTTTATAGAACTCGATGACTCGACGGCAGATTGCAACAGCCTCTTGGCTGTCTCCACTCCTAAGATCTCTGGATAATGTTTCGTTCCTGGAGAGACTAGTGAAAGCTTTGGCATGCTTAAGAGTCTCAAGCCCTGTTTTGACCAGTGACGCACACATACCAGACGTTGAATTGTCAAAATCGAAAGCTCGTCGATTTGCCCTATCCCCAAGGTCTTGGACACCAGGACTTCTCTTCTTGTCTGGACGCTTTTCGGTGAGTAATTTAACAAGAATAGGATGATTGGCAATTTGCACAATAAAATTCAAGACAGCGTTGTAGAGGTCGGCTCTCTTTCCCATGTCAACTATGGAATCGTTTCTAACAATTCCACAAAGTTTATCAATCAAGAAGGTCTCTTTGGACAGTGTGGGCTTTCCACGACATCCGAAGCAGGTCCACTTTTGGCACTTCCTGCAGAGCACGCCTGAAATCTGAGCAGGCTGAGATCCTTTGGCTGTTGCAATCCATCGTCGGATATGCTCCTTGGTCAGGCCAAAAGAGAGATCTGCTCGACAAGATCTGCAAGGGACTTTCTTGTATTGTGTATGAAGATTGGAAAGGAGACGCAGATTCCCGTCGATATCTTGCGATGACAGGATCTTGCTATCGTTCATGCTGAGAGCACCCAATTTGTTGGACACATCTTTGATTCTACTGGTCATGATGTCTTATGAGAATGACTAGCAAAAGTAGAGTGAAGGCTTCGAGGTGGTAAAATGTCTTAAGAAATTGCGTGTGTGATGGCATAAGGGAAGGTATCTTGTCAACATAGAAGGGGGAACAGGACATGTATTTATGGTCCACAATATAAAAACAAATGAATCACAAGAGAAGGGTTGCGACAAAGTGATTAGGGCAAAATGGATTGCTGATTCATAAAGCAATACTTGACTGGGTCGTCTTATGCTTTGGTGTTTTTCAGAGCCGCTCTCAACTTTTGCCTCCGCCTCTTCTCCCTCTTCTTTTGTCTTTTCAACTCCGCTGGATCTGTTGTTCTGGCTCGTTGGGTCTTTTTGTCAATATCATCTGGCTCATTAGAGCTCGATGCCGATGCCGATGCCTTCGAAGTCTCCATTTCATCCTCAACCTTCCCATCACCTTTGGACACAATGAATTCCGTGGTTTCCACTAGACTTTGTGCTGTTGTCTGACCTTGGTTTATGTCAGGTACATTAATACCTCTCGATGCTTCAACTTTTATTGTTTTGTGTTTCTTCGACTTGATCGATCTTGCTCGGTGATCTTCTTCAGACTCGCTCTGCTCCTTCATGGACTTTGCAGGCTCTGACTTCCTTGTCATCTTCAACTTCTTCGCTCGACCTAGTCCAGAACGACCTTCCTCTTCATCACTGCTTTCTGCCTTCAACGCACGCTTTGCACTAGTAGCCTTTTCCTCCGCATCTCTTGCTTTGCTCGCTTTGAGGCCTTTCGTAGGGAAGAATTTCGCACGCAATGACTTGTTGTTTCGTTCCGCTTCACTAACAAGAAAGTGAGAAGGAATTGGCGCGCCAACACCTAGGTATGGAGGCTGGTTGCGAAACAGGGCAGCATCTTCAGCCTCAAGCTCCTCTTCTTTTTCCGCTGGTGGTGGTGGTCGGGAAGACGAAGCTGTCCAGGACTTGATGAGAGATTCGCGCTTCGCAAAGGCCACAGCAAGGCGATTCGATATAACTGCAAAGTCTTCCTTTGCTTGTTTCGCAGGTTTCGAGAGTCCTTCGGCCGACATTCTTGGGGAGTTGTTGGTTGAAGAACTCAAAGTCAGTCTCGAGGACTATAATTATTTCACGTGCTAATAATAAAAGTATTGCGGCTTTGGATTTCTCGGTTACCGTAACAGAAAGCTCTCTGGCCGGATTGTATCGGAAAGAATCAGAACCTCGATAACCTCAAAACACCTCTCTTTTCTGCAATCGACGGTCTCGTGTGTCTTTTCTTACACCTCCCGTCAAGATGTTTAAGCTTGCTCGTAGCAGTGCTGTTGCGGCTGCACTCAAGCCAAGAAAGGTAGGCAATCCTCCCTGAAAGTCCTCAATCCTCTTCCAGCAGACTGACAATCTTTAGGCCTACGCGCCATCACGATTTGCAGGTGTTGCACAACAGAAGAGAGGTCTGAGCATTCATGAGTATCTCTCTGCGGATCTCTTAAGAAAGGTACGCGGACCCGCCACACTTAGAAAGCTTCCAGAAGCTCATTTTTCTGCAGTATGGCGTTGGTGTCCCAGACGGCTCCGTTGCAACAACCGCGGCTGAAGCCGAAGCTATTGCAACGAAGATTGGTGGAGATGATATGGTCATCAAGGCCCAGGTTCTCGCTGGTGGTCGAGGAAAGGGTACATTCGACAATGGCTTGAAAGGAGGTGTCCGAGTTATCTACTCTCCAACAGAGGCCAAGATGTTCGCCGACCAAATGATCGGACACAAGCTCGTCACGAAGCAAACGGGCGCGGCAGGCCGTCTTTGCAACTCTGTCTACATCTGCGAGCGGAAGTTTGCCCGACGAGAATTCTACCTGGCAATCCTGATGGACCGTGGCTCCCAAGGCCCCGTCATTGTGTCCTCATCCCAAGGAGGCATGGACATTGAGACTGTCGCCAAAGAGCAACCAGACGCTATTACCACGACATATATCGATATCCATAAAGGTGTTACGGACGACATTGCCCGCAAGATTGCTACTGATCTCGGCTTCAGTGAGCAATGCATTGAGGACGCCAAGGACACGATCCAGAAACTCTACACAATTTTCATGGAGAAGGATGCTACTCAGATTGAGATCAACCCTCTCTCTGAGACCTCAGATCACAAAGTTCTCGCTATGGATGCTAAGCTTGGTTTTGACGACAACGCCGAATTCAGACAGAAAGAGATCTTCTCATGGCGCGACACCACCCAGGAAGACGCCGAAGAAGTCCGTGCTGCTGAGTCTGGCTTGAACTTCATCAAGCTTGGAGGTGATATTGGATGCTTGGTCAATGGCGCCGGTCTTGCCATGGCTACCATGGACATTATTAAGCTAAATGGTGGCGAGCCAGCAAATTTCCTCGATGTTGGAGGTGGAGCTACTCCTCAAGCCATCAAGGAAGCTTTCACCCTCATTACTAGTGATCCTAAGGTTACCGCTATCTTCGTCAACATCTTCGGTGGTATCGTCCGATGTGATGCGATTGCCCAAGGTCTCATCTCCGTGGTTGAGAGCATGAACCTCAGCATTCCAATCATTGCCAGATTACAAGGAACGAACATGGAAGCAGCACACAAGTTGATCAACGATGCCGGACTTAAGATCTTCTCCATTGACGACTTACAAAGCGCTGCCGAGAAGGCTGTGCAATTCTCGAAAGTCGTAAAGATGGGTAAGAGACATTTCCTTCTACCTCATGAACGAGCAAGACTGACAGACATGTAGCACGTGATATCGACGTTGGCGTTGAGTTTTCTCTCGGTATTTGAGCGAATGATGTTGCTTTCATGCGTCTCCTTGTGTATTGATGTATTGATTCCCTCGCCTTTAGAAGATAGGTTGAGTATGTATAATGCAAACCATTACTTGTGCAAATATACCTTGGTTGATCAAGTCTGGCCTCCCGAGGTCGTCTATGAAAACCTTTGATCACCAGACTGACCTTTCCGAATCATGTAATCCCTAAGAAAGGATAAACTAACTTGCGCCCCAAGTGGTGTTGCTGCAAGCTCGTTCTATACTGCACTGTTTGGTAAAACTTACTAAGTTTCCCTTTTACTCGACTAGTAAGGCCGTGTAATTTGAGAGCTTGTCAAGAGGAGTTTAAAATTTCAAGCAGGTCGTGATTAGCCGTCTGCAGGATTTTGACTGATATTCTGGATCTAATGATGTTCTGCTTCTAGTTTAGTCATAATATGTGGCTTGCTTTGCTTAGATTTAGCGACGTTACACCAACTGGGATTGCAACGACCGTTTCTCACAAGGCCCTTTCATCAATACCCATAACTCTTCAACGACGCATCTAAGCACTCGTTGAACGGTGTCCATCCAGTCCCTTTGAGCCTTGCGAGCAACTTCTCATCTTCCGTAACATCGATTTCAGTCAGATCCAGCCCTGGGTCCGGAATATCGTCAGGAAACTTATGGCCAGGTCGAATCTTTCTCAACACTTTCAACACCTGGTTCCAATTATAGGGTTTCACCCATCCGAAAATACGGCGTCCGTTCACGTCTGGGTACTTGACTGCTGCGACGTGCAATCTCGCTGTATCTCGGACATCTACCCAATATTCTATTTGAAATTAGCGTATAATATGGGAGGAATAAATGTAGAGAGACGGACGAGGAGCGACACCCTGTAGAGGTAAGACCATCCCATCACATGCCATTTTGAGGAAATTCGCTGTGGACCTGACCTCCTCTTTCAACATGACCGGTCCGAAATTGGTGTCGGGAAGCACAGCATTGATGGTAAAATGGGGCTTCTTTTCATCCCTAAATTTCCACAGCGCCTTCTCAGCCTCTGCTTTACTGGCTCCGTAAACGACCCATTGCTGGCCTTCTTGCCATTCCGATTCTGGCTTCCATGCTTCCTTGATGTCTTGCTCGTTCCAGGAATTGGAGTCGATGCGTCTTTTGACGTTGGCCATTGCGCGACATGTTGCGGCTGAGGATGAGGTATACACAAAGCTTGCTACAGATTTTTCTTTGAGGCATGACTCGAGAATACTGGTGGTGGCAGCAACGGTGGGTGGGATGACTTTACTGGCATCTTTGTCGAAAGTCTGAAAAATAGGTTAATTAGCATGTGCTTTTGAGGATGGGTGAACTTTTCTGAAAAGCAGCTCTTCTGAAGATAAGCTCGAGATTAGTGCGTTGGTCAAAGTTCGACGTACCAGAATTAATGCTACATGAGCGACAGCATGGACTCCTGGTCAAAAGTCAGCAGTCTCATTATGACTTCAATGCTGTTTGCGCATTTCGTTTGATCCTCACACACCTTTCACAGCTTCATCAAATGCGCCATCGATTGAGATGTCCGGCACAGCTACAATCTCTACCCTTCCAGCTCCATGTTTCTCATCCAGTACCTTCTTGATAGTCTGTCCCCTCTTAATTGTTCTTGTTGTCCCTCTCACGTCATACCCTGCAGCCAAGAATTGGTCTGCAACATGAGATCCAATGAAGCCATTAACTCCAGTCACAAGCACAGTATGATTAGGAGACATGATGAACAGAGTGAGATCTAAGAATGAAAGACGGATCGTCAAATTGCACAAGTGAGTTGTGGGGAGTTTCGTAGCTCTATCTATGTCCGTTCAAGCACCGCTCCAGTGATAGTTTCATTTGGAGGACTGTGTTTCCTTTATTTTAATATTGGGCAAGGTCTCCATGCCCTAAAGTATGACTACAGTATACACAACCCACCAAGAAATGCTATGTGATTTCTCGTACACTAGACCAAATCGTAAGACGGACTCCCGTTGTAGCAGCAAGGATGGTAATTCCGAACGCGAAGTGTTGCAAATAACAAATTACAAATCCGTCTAAGACGAACAATTAGCTGCATATCCAGATCCACTCTAGTTGAACTTTTGCGATGCGAGCAAGTGAGCTTTGATGTTGCTCAGTGCGCATGCGAGTAAGACTAAGGAAGCGATGAAAAGTCCGCTTTCATTTAACCTCTTTGGTAGCCAATGAACTTATTACTCGTAAATAATATCAATGAAACATCGGTCAGCTCAAAATGTCTGCATAGGCTTTGGACAGCGAAAGATAATAGATCATGTTTACGAATCAAATCACGTGGGCATTCACGGAGCCAAGCTCTTGGACTCATTCCTCATGAAAGCCTTCTAGTTTCCTTTCTGAAAGCATTTTACTCTTTACATGATTATTGATCAATCCCGGTGCCTCGAATGCAAGAAAACTTTCAAGTCTCTCCAGCATGTGGATTTGAACATTCATCGCCCACCCAAGACCACATAAAACCAGCTCTCTTACGTGCAAGCTGGCGAAACTAGAATATTTCCTGTTTAAAAGTAGTCAGTTCTCCAAATTCGATTACAACTCGAGAAAGAGAACTCACCTCCATCAGGATAAATAACCTGTCCATTCAAAAACACCCCACTGGGCCCCGCAAGGAATAAAATACAAGCTCCCATATCCGTATCATGACCATACCTCCCACTGGGATTACTAGCCTCGGAATCCAAACTACTCTTTTGATCTCCGTCACTGTCTCCCGCTGTCATCTCACTAGGAAATACTCCTGGCGCAATACTATTGACTCTAATCTTTGCTTCGACGAAAGTCGTTGCCAGCATTCTGGTGAGATGCAGGAAAGCGGCTTTGGAAGAAGCGTAGGCGAATTGGCCATTTGAAGAGCCCTTCATGACTCCAGAAATTGAAGTGATGTTCACAATGCTAGGAGAAAATCCCGGGGTACTTTCTCGTGCTTTGGCCAGGAGTGGTAGGAAGCCGGCTGAGACGAAAAACTGAGATGCGACATTCGTTTCGAAGGTTGAGGCCCAAGCTGAGGGGTCTGACTTCATAAGATGGTCTGAGATGGATTGTGCGGACTGGAAATGTAAGCTTTTCTTTATCATCAATATGTTCAGGTTGAACATCCTGTATGGGATGAGAACTTGGAAAGCCGACATTGTTGGCAGTAGAGAAAGAGTCTCACCTTGAAGTCAGGCTTTCCATTTGAATATTTGGTGTTATCATCTCGAGCAATACCAGCGTTATTGACGAGGAGATGAATTCCTTTTGGCTCGTTGGACTCCACTTCTTTTACAAGCCTTACGATCTCCTCCTTCTTGGTAACATCACCCGGAAGTCTATTTTCTTCTTAGCATTCTGCTCATAGATTTGAGACAGTGGACTCACGCAATGATCTTCCCTGGTCCAGTATTGTATTTCTCAACCACAGTGTCCAAAGCCTCCTCCCGTCGACCTGTGATGTAAACCTTTGCGCCGTTTGCAACCAGAGTTTGGGTAATCATTAATCCGATACCTGTACCTCCTCCAGTAACAATAGCTGCGTAATTGGAAACATCGAAAAGCTTGTTGACTTTCAATTGATCATTGCTTGCTGCTCCTGTGGCCATTGTCCTCGTCAATATTGGGAAATTGGGTTTGATGAAAGTGCTGCGACAAGGTTGAGAAACGAGAATAGTTCTTGAGAGTAGTTTTAACATTATGAGTGAGTATGGAATATTTCATCTATCGAGTTATATGTGCTCCGATGGAAGCTGTGACGTTGAGGTCATGACGTTGTGACATTAACCTGCAAGGCTGACAAACGCGAGCTAGTAAAACCATCAAGAGGAGCATTTCTACCCTAGGTACTTTACATTAAGTGCATGATTGCATCTGATTTCGTTCTATTGATCCTGAGTCGAAATTGCTGCTGAGCAAACTCGCTTTCCACCGATCTCAATTTTCAGCCTTGTACTACCGCATTCTATAATCAGGATGATCATGCATTCTTCAAGCGTATCGACCTACCCGTTGTCTACACCTCTTCATGATGTGGTATCCCAGAACGAAAGCTGCAATGAATCTAAGACTTGCTGCCATCCAAACACCTCTTCTTGCCATGTCGTAATATCCCTCTAGCATAACGCCAACCGCATAAGACTTCTTTGCGTTTGGTTCTCTTCTCAATGGTTTCATACCATCACTCAAACCTCCAATAAACCAAGGATTATCCCCTGTAGCTACAGCTTCGGTACTGTCATCTACTGCAGTTTGATTGCCTTGCAAGCGACTTCGATTCCTCCTTTTCAGCGAGAAAGTAAGTGCATTGATAATCCACCGTACATCAACAGACGTGAATGTCGGATATGCCCATAATTGTACGGCATTGTAGGGAGGCAACTGATCCAGGAAATCGGCCAGTATACCCAATGTTAGACCCCACAGTAGTAATGGTCTTGTTTTTTCTGCTGACCCCGCATGGTCCCCAAGGTACCAACTGTATAGTTTGCTTGTGATCGATTTTGACTCTACCTCCTCGTTCTCTTCAGGAGGATTAAAATATTCCGCAGTTGAGCTGCAAAATAGCGACTCGGAGGGTAACAGTCGAATGGCGGAGAACTGCATTTTCCCCAGGATAGATCTTATGATAGCCTTGACCGCAGCTCCTCCTCTCCTAGCAAATCTATCGGACACATCAACATATTCACAGGTTCGTGAGGATGGTGAGAGTAGAATTCGAAGAGGGACCCAATGTGTCGAGGCTACTTCTGTAGGCTGAAGATGGAATGGAGGTAGATCTGGCTGGGTCCAGAGGAACACGAAAGGGCAGAGAACCATAATTCTGCAAGTGGTGGTTAGCCGTAGACCATATGTGGAGTGATAAATGTATGCACAGGGCTTCTTACGGAACTTTACCCCAGCTTGTGCTCACTACCCGCTCCGGCAGATTACCTACAAAGAATGCATCTTCAGACGTGAGATCCAAGCCTATCTCCTCGGAAGTCTCTCGGATAGCAACAGCTTTATCGTCTTCATCTTCCGGGTCCCTTTTCCCGCCTGGCAGAGCAACATGGGACGTCCATCGGTCTCCCACCCGAGCAGCCCGCTTAATGAATACAACTTCTGGATCTCCATGTTGGACCCATGATTGCTCGAAGAACTGTTGTACGAAAGCTTCCCGAGATGTGCTATCTGCCTGCGCAAGGCAAGTGGAAGGCCAATGCTCGTAATGTGGTCGTATACGTAGGACGAGTGCGACTGAAGCTCTCCGTTTGCAGCTTTCAGGATTGGGGACGTACGGATAGGGATCAGTAATCAAGCCCGACAGCGAGTCTCGGACGGCATTTATGAGGGCTGGTGCTTCCCCTTTGACTTCCTCCTGCGACATTGGAGAGAGAGGTCGATCGGTGTAATTGCTGGGGAAGTGCTTGGTGCACGAGACGTCTTCCCCAGAATTTCCAGGTTGTTGAGCCTCGGCTGCGGATGAGTCAGCAAGGATGTTTGTATATTTTGACCTCACTCAAACCTTTAATGATTCTGTACTGTATCGTGGTCTAGACTCAAGTAAAGTCTTAAGAGAAATATGTATTGTCGAAACGGTGTTTATGTGTTTGTCCTTTTATGATTCGATTGGCAACAAGAGAAAACAAGCCAAGTCAAGATTCACCACCAACGCTTGCTTTGAGTTTGGCGCTGAATGTGTGAGCTCTTACCGACATTCTTGATTGCGTTAATTGCGATATTTACGGCTCTACCTCTTGCGGTGGTGTACTGTAATGGTGTCAACTGTCCTTCGTTGAGTGTATTATTATGTCGTCTCAACGGCGCCCCCTCTTGGCTGTCTGATGTGTCTTCTGGAGATTAAGTAATTCTTCCCATTTCATTGAGTCTGCGTTAATTCGGACCGGTGCCTAGATAGATACGGAGGACATAATGTTGATGTTCATATCATTGATTTCAGTTACACAAGATACGTTCCTTTCTAAGTCGGAATATGATGACTTGCAAACATGGAACATTCGGATTGCAGGACGGATTCAAGATCAAATCCAATTCCGAGACGTGAGAACGTCAATCAGCTCAGGTCAGTACTCCAAGCAAATATATAGCCCCTCAAGATAGCATTATTTCCACCGCTTTAAAACCACCAGCAGCGAGACAAGCACCCCTCACCACCTACTAACTCTGACCCCTCCAAACAGCACCACTCCCGATCGCATCCCTCCCAGCCACAAAAACAGTATAAACCGGCCCCTCTCCCACCACTCCCTCCATCCCTCCACTAACGTCCACCCCGCGTAGCAATCTCACCAACTGCGCCGCAAGAGCCAACCCAAGCACAACCTCCCACTTCCACCCCACCTTCTTGATTTCGCCCACAACTAATTTCACCAACAAGACCAACAGCCAAGGTAACAAGCAAAGTACAGCCCAAAGGCCGGACCCGAATTGCGTAATAGCAGAGAGCAGCGAACCAAGTGATGAAAGGAGATATAACACAAGCACTTTCAGCGGGCCAGGACGGTCGGGACTTGGAGGAGTGTAGAAAGGATCCGGGCCCGTGTTTTGGGAGTAGAAGGCTGCTTGTTCGAGATAGTACGCTGTCGGCCCTCGATTCACCGGCGCAGGAAGAGCTGGAGATGGGAAAGCACGCTGCGACAGGGAATGCTGCATCGCGAGCCAGTCCGAATTGATCCTCTGGAAAGGGCGGTTTGGACGTCTGCCCGTGGACCAGTCGATAGGATCCATTGCTATGCTGCAGTGTTTGATTTCTCGTTTTAGGGGTTCGAGCTGTGGTGGAGGGAATTGCAAGTCGGGGTGTAGGTGATGAGTGGAGGAGGATGCTCTGTGTGACTGTGCGAGGAGGCATGATTTAGAATCCATTGTGATTGAGAACAGGGCTTGAGTATGATATGAAGCGGAACAATCACAGAGGGTGTGCGTGTTTGCGTTTGTCTCCTTGTTTCTGTTTGGAACTTGCTTGATTCGAGACTGGAAGAAAAGAAGAGTAAGCCATATTTCCCAATCTTCATTCGTGGTGTGCATCGCGTCAGTTTGGTTCGCACAATAGCAAGTACCAATAATTCACTTTCTGCACCAAGAATCAGACAATAGCAAGTACCAATAATTCACTTTCAGCACCGATTCTGACATAATTGAAAATAGTTCTTGGGATGCATCCTTCCTTTTATTGTTCAAATACTCCTCGATATTGACTCTGAAGTGTATCTCGTGTTGCAGCGGCCCCTTCGCTTAAGGTATGCTGCCTAATAGGGGGTTCACGTGACGGAAGCCTTGATTTAGAATGTTCTATTTCTTCTTTAGGGCTGGATGAGTCATTTGAGAGTTTGTTTCACTTTAGTGCAATTGTGTAATATGAGACCTGATGCGGAAGATGTGAATATTGGATCGTGTTGCAGGGTTAGACAGAATGTATCTTCACTTCCGGTTTCGAGCCCTCGTCTAGATATGTATGACAATGCTCAGCTTCAACGTCTAGACTGTGTCAGCGACATAATACACCCGAGCTCCTCTTTTGCCTTATCTTCTCCCTATCGGTCTCTGTGTCAAAAGGCAAGAAGTTGAAATGTTTTCTTCTCTTCTACGAGACATGTTTCAAAGATCAAGGTTTTATATTTAAAACCTTGATAAATAAGAGTACAAAGCAGATATAAGACGCGATTGAAGCATTAAAGTACAGTAAAGTATACAGAACAAAAAACAAAATAGAACCCGGGGCCGAATTCCAAGGAACAAAGTTGCGTCCACGCTCTTCTCCCAAATCTGCTGAGGCCAGGTAAGCCAGATCAGAGTCATATAGACAAATAGTTACAATTGAAACTTGAATTACAAAAGAAATCTGAACCGGAGTTTAAGTTTGCCTCTTTTGACTTACCCATTCCTTAATCAGATATTTCCCCTGGCGCAGCATGGGCATTGGAGTATCTGGCTTCAAATTATTGGTAACAGATCACTAACAGGCAAGGAGAGCTACTTACAAAAAGGCATCTTGCAGATCGAGTCTTTGTGATTCGAAAGGTAGCTATAGGTATAGAAACTCTCGGAGACACCCGGTTTCATGACAAACTCAGCCTTTATTGTATGAGATGAAACAATATCCAGCTTTGAACTCAGCCTTTTCTTCAGGACCCCAAGGTCTTAGAGTTCCCTACTTCTCCTCTTGTCCGAACAAAGAGGTGTCTCACCCCAAGCGATATCCATGATGGGCCACTGGCTTCGCTCTCAATAGGCGAAATTAGTGGGTATCTATTCAAGCGACAACTCAAGACTATATATAGGAGAGCTTATCCTGCCAGTTTAAACCATAAGCTGATCATTGCAGATAACCTGTTCACGTGCAGGCTTTCCCACTAACTCAACAAAAATGTTCTTTGTCTTATGCTATTCCTTTTGAGAAAGCGCTAATTTGGAATTAGTACGCTAAGCAAAATTGGTCGCTTGTTTACTTTGCGCCGAGTTGTCAATTTATGGTTATGCAATATCAACTCCTTTGCGATACCTTCGATCCTTCAAAGTCATCCAAATCCAACTTCCATTCCTTGTCTACTACACCGACCTCAACTTCATTGTGTCAATCAATCAATCTTTCAGATGGCGAAGTCGAAGATAGCAGCAGCGAAGAAGGTCGTCAAGAAGAAGCCCGCGGTAAAGAAGGCTGCTGTGAAGAAGGCAGTTGTGAAGAAGCCTGCGGCGAAGAAGCCTGTTGCGAGGAAGCGCGCTGTGAGAGGACCCAGCGCTCGCAGTCTGAAGTCCAAGGGCTGGCATGCTGTGAAGAGGGACAAATCGGCTGTTGCGCTTCTGCCACAGGAAGCCGTCCGATTACCATCGAGTGTAGTTCGCAAGCCATTCGGTATATTTAACCTGATAATTAAGATCACAGTGACAAGCCGTAGCTAACATTTGGTTGATAGACAATATGAAAGACTACTTCGACCAAATCCCGGCAGAGATATTGGACAAAATCATGAGCTACATCGAAAAGGATCAGGTCACCCTCGCAGTTCTCAGCGTAACGTGCAAACGCTTTGCCAATGAGTGGAGTAACAGGACGGAAAGTCGCAAAGTTGATCTTCGGGGAAGAGTTATAGACATCTATGGGAATGCATTCACTCTCCATAGTCTCCTAGGTTTATGGATACCAGACATGCATTACCATTGGCTTGCGAACAAGTTTTTGACCACGGAAACCATGTTGGAGGACTGGCGAATGTATCAAATCGAAACGGAGGATGCCAAAGAGAGAGGTCGGGAGATCAAAAGAAGACGGCGAGAGAAGAAGGAGTGTGCTCGAGAGCGTGCTCGGGACAAGAGGTTAAAGAAGAAGAATGACCAGATGAACGAGGATCATCCAGATTGGTACGACTCCTCGGACTCGGAAAGCGAATCGTCTATCGACTTCAATAATGAAGACGAGCCTATTCTCATGAGTGAGGATTCTGAGTCAGAGGAAGACAAGGAGGATGAAGAGGATAGTGACTCGTTCATTTATGATGATGATGCCAGGGCCGGTGATTGTAAGTCTTTCCAAGAGCCCCACTCTCTTCTTGCTAATGTATTATTCTATTGGTAATTATTTGGAAGTACAAGCTTGCTGACGCTTTCATTGTTAGGGGCGGCTCGAAACGGCTTCACGGGGTGAGGGAGGACGCTTTGCGAGATTGGATGACAGAGACGATATCTCGCTGGACTAAAGGGACGATCATCACTTTCTGTGATCAAAGTGGTATGTAGTCAATAGGATCCGCTCGGTGCATTGAGTTGCCATACGTTCGTACATAAAGATTTGTCTCCGAACGCAAATGAATGTAGGAATAAAAATCCGAAGACGTCTTGAACACATAGAGTAAACTACATTTTCGTATTCGGCGAGTCTAGTACTCTTTTTGGTGTTTGATATGTTGATATTTGAACCACTGTTTTCTTTTCTAATGATCTTGTGTCTGACTACAAATACTATCACTCGCTATTGATGGCCACGAGATTCGATACCTTGTGTTGTGTTAACTTGACCATTTCATCAAGTCAGGCAACGCGGACTTGCGTATCAACTCGCTATCAAGGAAGGCTGAAGTTTGAAGAGCTTTGGAAAGTGGATGTTAGATTGAGCATGAGAGAAAAAGCTCCAGGTGGCCGAATCCTGTTCACGTCACTTCCGAATAAGGGTACCTCACGAATCGCGGGGCAAAGAGACGATCCCACATTCCAAGTCATTCTAGAGTTCGTTGTTGCCATAAAATAGAATTACGAAAACCGACTTTAGAAATACTCAAATGACTATAATATTAACACAATCCTTCCCCCGATTTGCACTTCGCCTCGCATGATTATACCGTCTCGCGAACATCCTCTCTTAGAATAAAATAGCCATGACTCCACAGTCGACACAACACTACATTCAAGTACATTTAAAACAGGCAAGTCTCAGATCAAATTCAGCACAATAGACGTTTTCTTACTATTTGATCAAAATTTCCCCCTGCTACAAGTTGGGCAGCGGAGATGTTTGCTACAAATTTGTTAATAACAAGCGGCCATTGAGAAATTGAGAGAACCACTTACAAAAACGCTTGATGGGCGGCATGTGTTAGTTCTCCCATCGGCCTACGGTATATATCTAGTGCAGCGGTTGCTTGTGGGGGATCGATCCTTGCACCAGTGCCATTCGGAATGCACACAAAAATGTCATCGAATTGCTGTCTGCGGCGAGTCCTCTCCACCAGGAGAGCGGGTGCAGCAAGACCTTGGACGGTTTCACTATTCAACGTGGGCCAAAACCATTCTTTCAAAGCCCTGCCTGCTTGATCTGCAGCCCTGTCGAAGCCGTAGCCCTATTCACGAATTAGTATGAGCTTGTGAGACCAAGGGCACAGCGGCCAATGTATTCTGGAATCTTATTCCGAGAATCCAGCTCCCTAATTTCCTGTGGAGCATCAAAGACGTACGTTTCTAGCCGGTGTACCTATACCCATGATTGGGATAGCTATAGTACGGACAGCAGGCCAGACTTGGGCAATCCCGCCAATACTCGCAATAGATAATGCCGCAATATTAACAGCCGCACCAGGCAGTACAGTTGGATTCGCTTTACGATGGTCAGCATGGCTCGTTTGACAAGTTTCAGCATAGCACTTACACGCCTCCCTCAAAGCTATATAGTAACACTGTCTTACTGTCCAACAAATTAGCATTGCAAATTCCCTGGGAAATATTTTGCAAATTTGATATCTCTAAGCTAGAGCTTGCTGATAGACAAATAACATTTGCCACGTCCAGCACCGCGCGCAAAATCTAAATGAGAATAGGCTTACGATGATAATCGGCTCTTTGAATCGGTGTCCCTATCCCAGGCGGGTAAACATGGGCTGGAATTGCAGCTTGGGCGACTATAGCATCAACTTCACAGTGTACAAGGACGTGCATCGTATTCAGGCGGCTATTAGCAAAGGCTGGATCTCATCAGCTGCAGTCTACCTTTGAGGATTTCAAGCTTACGTGGCATTGCTTGTGCTGTCAGTTGGGGCAATCCTGCGGGACGAGCTGCGGCTAGGAACCCAGTCGCTAACGTTCCCACAGGTACGAAAGGATCATCTGCAAGAGTCAACCATTCGGCTTGAAAGAGATTCGAGGTATTATTTATCAGCATCGTGTTATCAGTCGGTATTACCATTGCATCACATGGATAATTGATAAGTTTCGTTTTCTTCAAATGGATTCTCGTAGGCCATGGCGCTGGCGCCACTGGCGCCAGCACCGGACGCGCAGGCCAAGGGCAGGGCACCATGAGTAACGATGGTCTTTGGAAGTGGTCAAGAGGAGTGTTAGGTGGAATGAGGGCCGCAGGCCAAGGTTCTGGCACACTACACAACAAATTAGCAGCGAGTAAATCAAACAGGTAAAGCTGATAGATGCTTAGAGCTTCGCTAGCTACGCGCTTTATCAAGAGCCTGTAAAGGAGAACCATCTATTTGGCCTTGATATCTCAATTTCTGGGCCCCAGAGTTGCCGTACAAAATGACAGCAAAGAGTTGTAGGATCAGGCTTACCAAGTCCGACCAGGTACAATCCATGGGCCAATGCAATTTTGTTGTTCAAAACCAGCCACAACTCCATTTCTACGCTGGCGGCTGTTAAATGCCGTGTCTGTCATTGCGCCCGGACCTCCTAGGCTGGGAGGCCCATTTGGAAGTGCACCGGCCGCTGAAGCTGCTGTTGACATCGCCATCGCGCGAAGTGATCGATTACTTGGCGTTTCAAAAGGATTACTATAGGAGCGGGGTTCGCGAGGACTCTCAGTTTATTACATTAAGACCCGCTTTCATGAGAAAATGGCCGGACTCGGCTCTCTTTCAAGTCTTTCATTGACAATTGACCTGTTGCGACTCCCCGTCTTTCCCGAACAAAGAAAAGGTTCGATTCAGCTGAAGAAAGAAGACGACAAGGAGATTGAGACAGGGGACGAGGGAAAGACAGTCCAGTCTTGATTGACAGGAAAATCTTTCAAGTGAACAATTGAATGTAGCATCAAAATATTATATTGATTCGCTGACACGAAAAGCCATTATGATGTGCTTCTATGCAATCTAAAGTTATTTGTGTGGTAACATTGATTGAGTACGCAGATTTACACAAAAGAAATCAGAGTCAAGCTTCAGAGCAGTCATTGTAAGATCGATAAAATATAATAATAGAACGACAACTCGAGAACAGTGTCAAAACCGATACGGAGGGATGAAGAACGACCACCTCAGATAGTTCCGTTCAAATCCATGAAGGTGGTAGTCCCACCCTCCATTACCATCCCACTTCGATTTGGTATAAGCAACATAATTCTCTCTCTGCTCTCTGGTAGCATCTCTCAAGCTAGCAATCTAAATGACATTCTGCGTTCTTGCTCGACTTCTGTAGTTTTTTCGAGATGTAAGCGGCATGCCCGAATAATTGTAATTATAGGCATGAAGGTAAAGATGGCCTCTCTTGTCCAATCTAGCATAAACGCACTCCCACCACCAGGGATTCTTTTCTGGACGGCCGAGCCGGCGAAACCCGATGAAGACACCGGCGCCGAGTGGAACACAGCGTTTGTCGGGTACGTTCAGACCGATCCAGAATCTTCCTGGAGGAATATATTTTAGCAAGGCATCGGGAGCAACTTGCTGCTGATTTCCATCCAGATAGTCAACGACGAATGGGCCATTTTGGTACTTCATTGTCCCTTCCAGCTCATGTTGATTCAGGAAATCTGGAATTCCGCCCAACGGAGCCAATTTTAGTGATGGCACCTCCTCTTGGCTCTGAACTGCTTCAACGTACTGTACCCAAAGATCTGATGTTGCTTGCTCTTCACTATCAGACGAGTTGTACCAGAAGACTTGCTATTCCCGATTGGGTGCAGTAGGGACTTCATCGGCTTCTATCCACTGGTCTGATAGCCAGAGCCATTGAGGGAACAGATCCAAATGTTTCTCCCAACCCCACGGCTGATTGACATCTAAGCGATTGGGATAATTTTCAAGATCTCTTCCTGCTTTTTGAAGAACTTTGTCTACTGGAAATCCGCCCTTTTGTCGCTTTCTGGGTTTCGCGAGGACTTTCTTGGCCTTCATGTTGATCGCTTGATAGCTAAGACAGCAAAGTATGGGTCACTGCAATGTGATTGAGCTCGAACTTATTCAGTGTCGCGATGAAAGCATCGAATAAAGCACTGCTCCACATGGACGCAAACAGCACAATTTCATTGAATTCTTTCAAACACATACTCACCAACTCTACAAGCGAAAACAGCCAGGACAATAAAATGGGATACACTGCATAAAGAAACTCGGAGTCAAGTTTAGGAATGACGCTTCAAAAACCAGTCCAATCTTGAGATTGCATACTAAGAATGACTTTCAAAACCTATATGGAGGCAAGAAAAAAGCCGCTCTGAGCTCATTACGAACCCAGCCATGACCATGATAGAGAACACCCTTGTCATCCCAGTGTTGTGTCCCTTGGGTGACATACTTTTGTATCTGCTGCCTCGTAGCCGTTGCCAGACTCGCAATCCAGATGACATCTCGCTGTTTTGGTCGGAACCTGTAGTTATCAAGAGGTGTGAGGGGCATTCCCAGATAGTTGTAGTTATAAGCATGAAGAAATACACGTCCTCTTTTATCTAGTTTGGCATACACACACTCCCACCACCAAGGATTTTTCCTGTAGATAAATTAGTGTGCGCTTTTGATAAAATTATAAAAGCCGAAAAGCTTGTTCGAAGGAGCCGAAACATATTGCTTTGGGATAAGCAGCCCCTAATGATCCCGAAGATCTCGGTGAAAATCAATGCAAAACAAGGGCAGAGTTTGACGTACTGTGGACGACCATTTCTGCGAAAGCCGACAAAGACACCGGCAGAGAGCGGCATGCACCGACTATCTTGAACATTGACTCCGATCCAGAAGGGTCCGGGAGGTACAATTTCCAATTTGGCGTCTGAGAGGCCTCTGTAGGTCGGGTCTGAAATAATGACAAAAGGACCATTGTGATTGTACATGTATCCTTCGGCGGGTGGTTGAGGGAGAAAATCCGGGACTCCTCCCCATGGGGCAAGTTGCAATGACGGTACTTCATCCTGAGTCTGAACAGCCTCGATATATGCCGATCACACATCGGCGGCATCTTGGCCCGAATCAGTCTTCCATTCCAGTGAGGGCGGTTCGGGGACTTGGTCGGCTGCTATCCAGTCGTCTGAGAGCCAGAGCCACTGAGGAAATAGGTCCAAGTGTGGCTCCCAGAACCAAGGAATATTAGTGCATTTTGAGAGGTTTAAGTCTTCTCTGCCACTATTTTTGTACACCTCGGATACTGGAAACCCTCCTCTTCGAAAGCCCATAATGGAAGATCGATACTGTACTTATGAATGTACTAGTATGCGTCTATAAGATCATGAAAATGACGAACTCTGCGAAATAAAAATGAACAAGATATCACATATGTGCAATTCAAGAGCGACAAAAACAACAATTTTTTAGATGAAAACATCAGACAAAGCGACTCGACCCGGACGCAAGCAGAATAATATTCAAGTACTATTTTATGACCAACTCGACAAGCGAAAACAGCCAGGAAAATAAAAATAGGGGTAGAGTTCATTCCTGAGGCACACAATGGTATGGCACGAATCTCCTGCGTGACTGAGGCTTACCCCGCATCCACTCGGAGGACTTTCCCGAATGCAGCTTTGCATCCGATGCATGCAAGCAGTCCATTCTGGAAACTTTCCCAACAAAAAATTCAGACAAGGGTTCGGACCGAGGTGTGCCGCGTGAGGCGTACCTGAGCTCCGATGACAGCTCGTCATTGTGAAAGAGGCATGCGATGTACAGCACGAGATCATCGAAGAGAGGGATCGCGGACTAATAGAACTGTCATTACCAACGCCGGTTCGCCTTGATGATCTGTTAGCCGTATTTGATAGTGCCCAGGAACTCCATTCTTGTCATCAAGAGATTGCCTCGATAGACTCATCCACCACTACATGTCGTTGTCGAACCTCCGTGCTATCGATATCGACTTTGCTCTTCCCGTTTGCCCCTGTACTTCTAGTCACCATAGGTTCCTCTCTCTTCTTGTGGTCCTTTGCAGGCGTGAATCTCTTCTTGACGGCTTGGATCATCTTCGTGAACCAATAAAAGTTCAGGGTGTTGAGCACAACATTGCTACCCAAGTATGTAAAAGCCAGCCAAATTGGAACGTACTCTTCGCCCGCGAAGCGCATGATGTCATTGTGGAGAGGAACTGCACTTTTGCCTGCAGCAGCATCCGCAGCAGACGCTGTTCCATTGCCTAGGGCATCGAAATGAATGCTGGTTGTAGCCGGCTGGTGGTGAAGAGCCCTCCAGACATCTTGGTATACACGAACGGATTGGTATGTTCCCCAGCATAGACGGCAGCAGAAAAATGTGAACAGCAGCATGAGCCCGTTGTATAGTTGTGCCTTCGAGCCGGTCATATCAAGTTTGTCGAAGAACCAGTGAAAGTTCAAGAACGGCGAGGACATTTCGTAGAGGATAAAGGTGCAACTATAGAAGTTTACGAATGGTCTCTATAATAGCACATTAGCATGCATGTATCAGGGCAGCAGAAGTAGATTGCATACAAAACCAAAAGAGAACACCAGGAGGGCGCTGATAGCATGGGCGAGCATGCCAAATCCAAAGACTTTGACATGTTGGATCGTAATCATCAAATCCCAGAGAAAGTATCCCGCGGCCAGTCCTTGAATCATACCGCAACCCCCGGTGTATCCCCAAACTCTTTGCTGCCAATCCATGTTACTTCGCTCTTCATCGACGTACATGACCCATAGCGCCAGGAAGGTGATCAAGGTACTCTGGAACAATGAAACAACATGGACGTCCCAGTTGATTTTCCGGTCTAACGATAATTTCGGATATCTGACTGGAAAGAGGATATTGGAAATCCATGGTGCTACGACAATGTTGATAAAGGAGTAGGCAAAGAATGATCCAATAACTTCGTGAATGTGGAGAGGAAGAGTTGGGAAAGACAGTCGCTGAGCAAGAGGAGATACAGCTTCGGCAAGCCACTGGGGACAAGGTATAGGATCGCGCATTTTGGTCGGAGATAGTGAGGAGGGAAAATGTAGGACGGGAGGTCAATTTTATTCCTTATCGTAGCACACACTCCCAGCACGAGGAGTGCGCAATGTGACTGTGCTGCAGGTTTGACAGCTCGAGGAGTCTGCAGGCAGAGTGACGAAGTCGAGGATTTACCCAAGAGCCAAGCTAAGCGCAAGCTGATGCACTGAACGCGTCTAACCGCTTCCGGAATTTTGTTGGGCTGGCCGACACCAGGATTCTGAACCGGGGGTCCAGTGAACGACGAACATGTAACTTTTGATGTTTGCAGTTCACAAATCGTTTTCGCGGGTGACCAGCTATCTTTATACATTTCAACGGTGCCATTTATTACACATCGAGCCATACAGCTGCTTGCACGGAATGACCGTCTTGACCCCAATCCGTTTGTAGCCTGATATATGCACGTGAACTAGGTACTGGTGGGAGCAGGCGTCCACGTGAGTCAGAATTACAGCCCTACCAGCAAATTCTAGGCACAGCAGGCTCCGCTTTACTGCTCGCTGACCACTTCGCCGTTGTATACGGTAATTCTATCCGGTGCTGGGTCGTAAACGACATCTTGAATCGTCCTTCTGGCCCTGAATGACTTTGACCCGGTGCTTAACTTACTCCCAAAGACAACAAATTCTGCTGGATCAGAGACATCAATATCGATCTCATATGGAGTTGATTGAACGATGCCCATTGCCAGCTTAGCACGATTCGAGACGCATTGCTACACCGATCAGTCAGCCATCATGCAATCCTTCGGCTTCTCCAACTCACCAATAGCAAGTCTGTATCCTGCTTCGTGCCTGCTTGATACAAACCCACACCTAAGCTGGCCAGAGCAAGTGGATCTGCCGAGCCTTGAGGTGTGAAGGCATTTCCAACGTTATTCACACCAATGACCGCATTCATGCCGTATTTTCTGATGACCTGTAGAACTTGAAGTGTACCTCGAACCCGTTGGCTTCCCTCATCCTTCTCAGTCGGTCTACCCATCATGAAAAGATCAGAACTTGGAAGTCCAACGAATGATATAGGCAGTCCGCGAACTTGTTCTTGCAGCTGCTCCCATTCTTCGGTTGTGAAGAGTGTAAGTCGAGTGCAGTGGCCAAAGATGATGGTTCTGTAAGTAGGGTAGTTGAAGTTCGAGGGCCAGTTCATCTTGTGTAGCAATCTGAGAGCTTCAATGACCATGCTTTGCTTGTTTGGGTCCAAGTTGTAGTCGATATGAAAGTCCAGGTGCAACTTGTACCGCTTGGCTATCTTAATTGCGTACTCAATGTTGGCAATCTGCTTATGAAGATCACCATTTGACTCGACATACGGCGTACTGCCAAATGCCTCAACGCCAGGTTTGCTTGCAGCGTTCTCGAGCATTCTCTGCATGGCTCTACCGCTATCCCTGTAGGAGAAAATAGGATCCTGGGCGAAAACACAAATTTGAATATGGCATCGATCAGAAAACTCCTCCTTGAGGGCGAGACCAGCTTCGAGACACTTCAATTTGACCCCCAAATCGACTTCGACAAAGGCTCTCATGTGCGTTACACCGAAATTGATGCTTTCTTGAATCAAAGCTCGTCCTCGCTCCATGAGATCTTCAAGATCAAATCTTGCTTTGGCTTCGCCTACAAAGTCATGAGAATAGGGGACTAGGAGACGACGAAATCAACCCACTTGTCAATTTCATTGCCTCAGCAAAGTCTCCCTTCTCAATCTCCAGATCTGCATACTTCGGGTGAGACAGAAGGTAAGATTTGTCGAGATGAATGTGAGGATGGCACAGAGAAGGGACCAAAAGACCGCCGTAAGGTTGATCAGGTTGAGACTCCGTCATGGAAGTGATCACACCTTGCTTGCAACATACATCATACTGGACATTCTCGGGCTTTCCAGCAATATATACTCCTTGGAAGTTCAGCTCCGCACTGTCAGTCGAAGAGGCATAGCTGCATGACGACATATTGGCCAAGATATTTTGCGTGAGTAACCGTAGAAATTTAAAGTCTCAAAATGAGAATGCAACCACACGGGCAGCAGCCGCAAGAACGCGGTCGATAATCAGAAGATGTAAATATCATATCATGAAAAAAAACCTACGACATGTGAGCGGGGAGAAAAGGATAAAATGAAGCTAAAAGCGGACTTCCTTCCCGCGAGAGCTTTAAGCGAACTTGCTTGGCCTAACAATTATTTCTCTATGCAACCTCATCAGAGGCTATTGTGAACAATGGCAGACCCATTGTACGAACTACTGGTACCTTACTTTGATGCACCATCCCCACGGCCCGCACCATCGTCCAAGGATCCAACTACGAGTGCTTACTTGAATCGATTGACCACCTTGCCCCTCTCTTCACTCTCTAGTACAGAACCACAATCACTTTCGCAGAGCACACATTCTCTCCTCCTCTCTCTCCAAGCACTCTCGAAACGCTCTCACAAAGCGATCATCGATTCCTCCACCCACTTATCGACTCTTTCCACCACTCTACCAGCCCTCGCTCAATCCACCGCATCTCTCCGAGACGCCCTCCCCAAGCTCGACGATGCCGCAATCCACTTCAGCGAAACCTACAATACACGATCAGAAAATGCCCTTCTCGACCGACGGCGAAAAGCCTTACTTCTCTCCCGTAACATCGATCGACTATCCGACATCCTCGACCTACCCACTCTTCTCTCGTCCGCCATCTCGAACTCAAACACAGCATCTGCCTCTACGAACACAAGCAGCTCAACTGCTACCTTGAACTACGCTTCAGCACTGGACCTCAATGCTCATATAAGGCGTCTCCATGCATTATACCCAGACTCAGCGCTGATCTCCAGCGTGGAAAAGCAGTCCGAGGAGGCTATGCAGGACATGGCTACAAATCTGATTGCAAGCTTGAAGACCAATTCTCTCAAACTAGCCAGTGCCATGCGGACCATATCCTGGTTACGAAGAGTAGCACCCGAATTAGATCCATCTCCTTCATCTAGCACTACAAGCACGAACATGCATCACGGAGGGCTAGGAGGAAGCAGAGAAGGCAGTCTCGGGTCACTATTCTTAGTCTGCAGACTGGCCAATCTACAACAGATGCTAGGAGCTCTCGAACCCCTACGCGAACTCGCAGACCAAGAAACGTTACGGTTATCAGACACAGTTGGAGGGAAAGAAAAGAGTAAATGGGAAGGCGGGCAGCAGACCGAGCGGTATCTGAAGCGATACATCGAGATCTTTCGAGAGCAGAGTTTCGCGATCATTTCTATGTACAGGAGTATTTTCCCTCCAGCTACGAACCACGAAGAAGCTCTGTTGAAGGGTCTAGGGAGGGAAGAGAAGAAGACCGAGGAGGATCCATTGATGCCATTACCAAGTGCCTTGGGCAGTTTTCCCTTACAGTTGGTTGGCATGCTGGAAGATACTCTGCGGAAATACCTCCCAAACGTGAGGGATAGAAGCAGTAGAGACAGTCTCTTAACCCAAGTCCTGTACTGCGCCGGCAGTCTAGGACGACTCGGCGGAGATTTCAGCATGATCCTCGCCTTCCTAAACGAAGGCGATGAAGAGACTGAGGATGAGTGGGTAGAGGTTATCCGCAAACACAGAGTCTTGGCCGGAAGGTTGGAACTCATGGTTGGTGCCAGGGAAGGCTAGTGGGTCTGAGCAAGATAGAGAAGATATATTTCTAGAATAGAACGAGCAAGGATTAACCACATGGTCAAATGCAGCAGTTCCCAGAGATCTAACAGTAAAAGCTTAATCAAACCTCATTCGCATGTGCACCCTTTCTCACAGTGGAGAAAGGCTCCAAACCTACAGTAGTTCGGTCCCGAATCTCCTCCACTCCCAAGTCCGTCCAAGACATAAAATCTCCGACCCCAGAATCCGTAGCCCCGGGACCTAAAACACACCTCAAATAGCCCGTAGCTCGGAGCAAAGAACTTGGGCCCGGCTGCAAATAGCGAGGCCGTTCGGCCAATCAGAGCGAGGGAATTGGTAATTATTGGAGCTAGCGAGCTCTGAGGAAGCGAATTCCATGATTTTTGAAACGCATCACGACTTTTCTTTTTCTTCTTCGTGGGTGCTGTTAACGGGGCTTATTCTTGCTTGCTTGATTGTTTCTTTTCTATCCTTGTATTGTTTGTTCGAATTTGCTTCTTCACTTGAGAGTCTGCGCTGAGAGCTTGCACGAGATAAGAAACGACGGCCTGATTTCCTCAGACTATCACCCCGTTATTTGATTTCACCAGTCATGTCTGTGGAGAGATCAAAGTTGTCATAGACTGTTCATTTCTTCTTCTTCTGGTATCAAGGACGTACCGCAAGCAAAGTATCCACAAGAAAGCCTGAAAGGCACGAAAAAGGCCGGCGTTAAAGCGCACAGCCAACAAAACCAGACCGGAACGCCGTTCTCCATGCAATCATTTCCGCATCATGTTCATGTCTTTTTGTTTATGTCGAAATACCGCCTACTCCATTTACATCCCCTTACTCTGAGATAGTTCTCGATGGCACGGTGTGTACTTCTTGTACGACTTTCTTATCCTCGGATGTCTTTTCGAAGATACCGCTGCTACCAGGACTTTGAGTGTCGACGTGTACCGTGGAGTTATTGGTGTCCTTCTCTGCCTTGGCTTTCATGAATGGCAAGTGACCGTTGACCTCCTTGTATCGCATGACAACGAAACCAAGGATGACACAGAGCCAGTACAAGTTGTACGAGATGACGGAACCATAAGTAGCACTGTTGGTCCAGCCGAGGATGGCATTGAAGATACCCCAGCCGCCACCACCACCAATTTCAGGATTACCAAACTATGTGTTGTTAGGGCCGTTGGTTATATACGGGAGAGCCACTTACGTTGACATGCCAGACGCTCTTGGAAATATCATATGAGCCCGCTCCTGCCCCTAATTCATCGGCATCGGATCCAACAGCATTATTCCACGCCTGAGCTTCGAAATCCCAGACAGCTTTGGAGAAGAGACCAGCCGCCACGAGATACAGGACACAGGTAGAGATGACGAGGAAGACTTGAAGTTTGGCCGTAGAGCCCCCCCTGTACAAAGGTCAGAAGTTGGTACTGCGTCTTGGGATTGAGAGCTTACTTGTACAGTAGCCAACCTACGAAACATCCAGCGATTAGACCAACGACGACGGGCAGAGGCACTGAAGTACCAGGAGCCGAGAACGAGACACCGCCAATGAATATGATTGCTTCAAGACCTTCTCGGAGGACGGTGATGAATGGGATGATGAACATGCAATATTTCTCACAGAAGCGTTTGAATGCAGCTCTACGACCACCGATGGTGACCGGCTGCGATTCCAGAGCCTTTGCCAGCTTGACACGCCACTTGTCCTGCAGCTTCGCGACTCGAAGGAGAGTAGCACCAATGACGCCGATAATGACAGCAGCAAATAGAGAAAAGGCCCCTTCATAGATATCCTCGGCTTTGCCATATGCGTCTTTGCCTTTGGTATACCAAAGTGCAATGCAAGCAGCGCCGATGATAAGGCAAATCACCAAACCCGCGACTACGGCAAGCCAAACCTAAACAACGTGAGCAAATCACAAGCCTCCTGCCACGAAAGAGATATTACCTGTCTGGTCAATTTCTTATATGTCGCAGCATCGCGTTGCGGGCCATCGAGAGTCTGCTTCAGGAAGGCAAGAAGAACAGAGACAATGATGACGGTCTCCAGGGCCTCTCGAAAGACGACGAAGAAGACCGGGACGGCGAAGACCTGGTTGGTCATGTTGTTGTTTGGAGATATTGGAATCGGTGGTTGATGTCGAAGCTATCTTGACGGAAACAGCGCACCAGGCCCTTATGAGTTTTTCGGGGCGAGAGTGCTGACAGGACTCGAGTACACCTGCAATTGGGGTGGGGAATGTTTCCAGGGTGGTAGTCGGTGGATGGAGTAAGGATCAGATAATGCAGATGGCGGATCTGATTAAGCGGAAGCGGGCAAGTCCAGGTCTGGCTCGTTGGACCACAACCCTCAAAATCGTACGACACTAGTAAACTGGTGCGAAATCTGTGGTGCGGCAATTTTGCTGGGCAACTCCTGCAGAGTGGGTATGACCCTAAGCCGATGATCGGAAGGCTTGGGCCAAGGTTATGGTTGGGTCGAAAGTTTGTTCGGAACGAAGTTTTTGTGGTTGCTTGGAATCAAGGAGTGGAGGTGGAGGTGAGGTACGCTGGGGATTTTGCGACCCTTGAGCCAACAGAAAAGGAGGCAGGTTTGTGTCTCGCTCCACCTTTGCTTGCTGCTCGAATTTGCAAGGAGGAGAAAATCTCTGGATTAAATCAAGTCACAATTTCGAGGGTGTGGAAGATCATTTAATTCTCTGCACAGGACAAAACCAGACCGAGGAAGAAAATCAACACGGGACGGCCTAAGGTCACTAACAAATTTTTAGGTTCAGCACCGCACTTTCTGGTTCGGCGGCTGATTCGCATGTTTCAACCACGCCTACCCCGATTAGGTATCGCCTCTCCTTAAAGCGGTATCGGGCAGAACTCAGTCGGATCAGATAAGTCAGAGGTGAAGACAACAGCAGGGGGACAGGAAAAGCTGAACGTGGTGGCTGGAAGGGACATCCAAAGAAACTTGCAGTTCTTGCTCCTTGTTGAGATTGCGTCAGATTCACGGACCTATCATTTCCCTCCAAGACATCTGATAACAAAAGCAAACGCTGCCCGCCAACTCTGCACAAGCATTGCAAGCATCAATTGCTTGTTTGACCCGAGAATCATACGGAGCGGAGCGTATTCTCGGACTGGGCATCGAAACAGGTCCAAAGCTGCTCAGTGCCCGCTGGCCAAGAGAAGAGGATCATCATCCTTCTTGGTGGTCCCGCACCACTTTCCTCGTTCCTCGCATCACCCCCATGTAGCTAAGCTGGGAAACTTTCGACGAATTGCCGAAGCTGGTCTAGACTCGTGTGTAAAAGCCACCCAAGAAGGACGTACAAACTCCTACTTGGGCATTTGCATGCAATATTGCATCTCCTCATCACATCCATTAGGATATCATACATCCACTTCACCTACAACTTTACCCCTCTGATAATCCGTGGGTCAGAATTGAGCTTAACTCGGAAGCTTTCAACCGAGCCAAGAGATTTGATTGATTTTCTTTTTCGAACTCTACGCTCTTGACTTGACGGCCAAGAAGTCCCACGATTGACCTTGAAGGTTTTCCCGCGCCTGGAGATAGGCTACATAATAGCAGTAGTCAAGTTAAGCTATCCACAGAGACAACTGGGTCCAAAGAAATTCTAGCGTACGATTAACCTTCCTTGCTACCACACCCTTCTGTGCGTTGGACTTTGGTAGCTTGGTCACGCACGCATATTCCGGCACGAAGAGCTCAACTTCTCGCGAGGGGTCACCTTCTCTTCCTGTCGTCGACCGCGAAATTTCTGCCGCGCCCAGGGTCTACACGAGTCAACCCCGTCAAATCAAATTCTTTCCCAAGAGTCACGGACGCTAGGTCCGCATCTGATAACTAGCTTGCAAGGGTTTTCCGACAATCAGATCATCTAATCAGTTATCTGATCGACAATTTTGGCACAACGTCCCCCCCTTCCTTCAATCACACAGTCTCTGGTTGTCACTGCTTCTCGTTCGTCTCCACTACACTCGGTCCACACCACTCAAGAATCGGTTTCCCGTCTCTGGTCCGGTCTCGGTCATTATCCAGTTCTGAGAGACTTCTGGACTCCATCGCAACCTGTCAGACAAGATATCGCCTCCCAGAAGAAGGAAGCTTGCCAGCGCTTGGTCTTATCCTCTCGAGGCCCTCAGGCGAAGTCAATACAGCCTCAGCTTCTTCCTCATACCAAGCTATTGTCGTCGACGACGCTGAATCAAAATGGCTATCTCTTTGTCGTATTTCCCCATTGTATCAGTGCTGCTTCTCCTGTTCGCCGCAATCGTAGAAGCAGCAAATGGTACCGTGGTCTACGACTTCAACATCACCTGGGTCACTTCGAACCCAGATGGTGCTTTCGACAGAACAACCATTGGAATCAATGGAGCATGGCCACTTCCTATTATGAGAGCCACTGTTGGCGATCAAGTCATCGTCAACGTCAACAACCAGCTGGGCAACCAAACGACGACGCTTCATTTCCATGGACTGTTCATGAATGGTACCACTGAAATGGATGGACCTGCACAAGTATCCCAGTGCGGTATTCCACCTGGATCTTCGTTCACATACAACTTCACGGTACGTGATAGCAGAAACGTAATATAGAAATACGACTGATTCTACATAGGTCAACCAACCTGGAACCTACTGGTATCATTCCCATGACAAGGGACAATACCCTGACGGTCTTCGCGCACCTCTCATTATCACTGATCCCGATTCTCCATACGCAGACCAGGTCGATGAAGAGATCGTTGTTTCTCTCTCTGATTGGTACCATGACCAAATGGCAGTCTGGATCCCCAAGTTCATCAACAAGGCCAACCCGACTGGTGCCGAGCCTGTCCCGCAAGCAGCTCTCATGAATGATACCCAAAACCTGACTGTTCCTGTTCAGCCAGGCAAGACTTATATGTTTAGAGTGGTCAACATTGGTGCATTCGCTGGCCAATACCTTTGGATTGAAGGTCACAACATGACTATTGTTGAGGTTGATGGTGTCTACACTGACCCTGCTGAGGCCGAGATGATCTACCTTGGTGCTGCACAGCGCTACAGCTTCTTGGTCACCACCAGAAACGAAAGTTCCATGAACTATGCTATTGTCAGCAGCATGGATACTGTAAGTTACATCCACAAGATTCTCTCGAGGCTATCCGCGCCTAACTTCCCTAGTCCCTCTTCGACACTATCCCTGATGGCTTGAATTGGAACGTCACTGGCTGGCTCGTCTACGATGAGTCCAACGATCTCCCGACCCCAGCGTTGGTCGAAGATTTCAACGATTTCGATGACTTCTTCCTGACTCCATACGATAAGATGGCTCTTCTAGCAGAACCTGATCAGACTATCTCCTTGGATGTCATTATGGATAATCTTGGCAATGGAAAGCCATAGTAAGGCTCTCCGTCTACTGATATCCATTTCCACTAACAATTTGGCAGCGCCTTCTTCGATAACATCACCTACGTGTCGCAAAAAGTCCCCACACTATACACGGTGATGTCTACTGGTGAGAATGCTACGAATCCTGCAGTCTATGGCGAGTTCTCTCATCCGTTTGTGCTCGCCCACAACCAAGTTGTTGAGCTCGTCGTCAACAATCTAGGCAAGTCATGCACAATACACTCTGATCAAGCTTGTACTAATTGCTACTAGATACTGGAAAGCATCCATTCCATCTCCACGGCCATAATTTCCAAGCTATTGCTCGTTCAGTCGAAGATGCGGGCACTTTTGACGCCACCAACGCCACCCAAACAGACTATCCTGCCACTCCTATGAGAAGAGATACATTTGTCTTGAGGCCGTCTGGTTATATCGTCCTCCGCTTCCAAGCCGATAATCCTGGCGTTTGGCTCTTCCATTGCCACATCGAATGGCACGTTGATCAAGGTTTGATGGTCACAATGGTTGAGGCTCCTCTACAGCTCCAGCAGTCCTTGACTATCCCTCAAGATCACATTGACGCTTGCCAAGTAGGCGGTGTTCCTTACCTGGGCAATGCTGCTGGTAATACCGTCGATGTCTTGGACTTGACTGGTGCCAATGTTGCACCTGGACCCCTCCCTGCCGGCTTTATTCCTCGTGGCATTGTCGCTCTTACGTTCAGTGTTCTCGCAGCACTTCTTGGGCTTGCGACCATTGTCTGGTATGTTCATAGTCCTCTGCTTGCCTCGACATGTTTACTAACTTGCTTTCAGGTACGGTTTGGCAGATATGGGTGCTGCCACTATGGTTGCCGAGGAGAAGCGAATTGCCGCAATGAACAATGAGACGACGCCAGTGAGCCGTGGCTCTGTTGTCTCTGAGACTGTGGAGTCTCGGAATAGATGAGAATGAGGACGGTGAACAGTAGATACAGGTGGAGGGGATGTAAATGATACCAAAGACATAATCGTGTGTTTATAGCTTCGATTGTGCCTTTTTCTTACAAACAGAATTACACACATGATGATGAGAACACGAAATGAAATGAAATGAAATGAATTTCAACTATGAATTCTTCTTCGCAAACTGTGTTGATGAGGGCAGCAAAGATTGGGCTGTGATGTGAGATTTTAAGTCGCACAAGTCAATCTGTTCGACGTTTTTGAGTCGCGATTTAAAGTCAGTTTACGCTACCATTTTTGAATTCTGGAAGGCCTTCGAGTTGCCTCTACTCTTCCGAGAAATGTAACAAAAAGTGGAAAGTTGTGATTTTGCCGGACCCGTGCAGATGACGATGCAGTTCACCCCCTGGTCCGAGCCGAAGCTTCGAATTTCTCCCGATGCGGAGAATGCTGGTGCAGCAGTTCGACAACGACACCATCTTCAAGCTCCCAACTGCTGTCCGACTTCTAAAACACGTCTACTCCTCGTCCGCCGACTATTATGTTGGTTTGAGCAATAAGGATCGCCCAATTGCCGCAGACTCACAGCCCCGCATCCAACTGGCGGAGCTGGAACATGTACTGTACAACGAGCAAAGCCACCGAGCTTAGTACGACCCGACTTAGTTCTTCGAATTGAGGAGCATCAGATGGCACGAGGTCCTGTAATTGTTGGTATCTCGATTGGCACTCTGCCAAAGATATCCAGAGTGGACAGTGTTCCTGAACCTCTAGCTTCAGAATGGTGCGCACTGGGAGTTCTTCTCGATGGTCTTTAGCAGATACATACGGCACGTTTTTGAACTCCCCATACCGAGCAGCTTCCTAATGTGTAGAATAGACTTCATCGCTACTTTTATCACCATGTCCGGCACGCGAAGAATGCCTGCCTATCGCCCCTCACTGCAGCATAAACCAGCTTCCAGAGCAACACATTCACAGACCAAATCCATTAGACCGATTAGACTCCATAGATATCACCCGAGACCGCAGAACCTGACGCCTGCTATCCAGCATGGCGTCTTTCAGAAACGACACTTTCACGACTATTTCGTAACAAATCTCCCTTCCTCCTCTCTTCACCCCGATTCACGCTCCTCGACCGGCCCTCACCACAAGCTCCCCCGAGCTGCCTCCACCCCTCACACACCTGGCAGCGGTCCCTCTCCAGCAGCAGCACCGCCCATGATCGGTGCGTCCCGCGAGCTTACCGTTGTCCGCATCCCGTTACGAAGCGCGAAGCATCACTTCGGAGTCTCTGTCTCGCGGGGACAACGGCCGTATAACGAGGATACGTACCAAGCTGGGACACTGGAGATACCGGCCTTTGCGAAGAGGGCGCCGATCAGTTTGACAAGGTCGGGGAATAAGACGAATGTGGGAGGGGCGACGTCGGCGGATAGTGCCAGTGGGGACCCGCAGGTGTTTTATTTCGGGGTTTTTGATGGGCATGGTGGGGTTGAGTGTAGTGAGTTTTTGAGGGAGGAGTTGCATACATATTTGGAGAGGTCGTCCCTGGAATTTGAGCTGGAGTCTAGCTTGAGGACGGGGAAGAAGACGGCGAGAGATGTGGGTAGGCCGAGTGCTGAGAAGGACCGTGGAAGTGAGCTGGCGACTAAGGGGAGGGAGAGTCTTGATAATATCAAAACGAAAGATGTGGAGGATGTCAGGGCAGAGATGAGCCTCCCGGTTCGTGGTAAAGATGGGAAGGTGGAACAACCACCAGCAAGCCCCGTGCTCGAAAGCGAAGTGCCGGTTGAGTTGGAGTCCAACAAGTCCAAAGCAATACAGTTGGAGAAGTCACTGGTTGCTCAGTGGAAAGAGACCGTTGGAGGATACTTTCGACGTTTCAGACCCGAGTACTTTACCCTACCAACATCATCTCTCGACGACCCGCCATCAAATGTTCCAATCTCTATCGAAACAGTCCTAATGTACGCTTTCTTGAAAGCAGATCTCGACTTTGTGACAGCACAAGCTCGCAAGCCAGATCCGGAATCAGAAAACCATCACAGCGACAAACCTTTGAACGCGGATGATATTCTAGGCCAACCTGCTCATCGCCAAAGTCAGCACCAGATTGGTGGACCGAAACGATTTCTTGGTGGTTCGACGGCTTCTATTGCGTTAATCTCGACTCCTACTCCAACACCATTTTGGCATCCTGCTTCACCATCTACCTTGGTCGTTGCTCATGTGGGCGATACCAGGATTCTACTCTGCGAAACTGCTACAGGTCTCGCAAAACCTGTGACTACGAATCATCACCCCAGCTCTCCTATCGAAAGCACAAGATTACGCAGATATGCAGCAACATTCGTGACAGACTCCTTCGGAGAAGAGAGAATGTCTGGTTTAGCCAATACTCGCGCTTTCGGAGACATGCGCTCAAAACGAATCGGCGTCTCAGCCGAGCCCGAAATTCGAAGAATCGAGCTTGCACCTGCGGAATACAGCTTCATAGTCCTGGTATCTGATGGTATCAGCGGCACTCTCACCGACCAAGAGATCGTCGACGTGGTAAAGGAAGCCAAGACTCCCGAACAAGGAGCCAGAGATGTAGTCAGCTTCGGTACAGAGGTCACTCGAGATGGAGACAATGCTACCTGTCTCGTGGTCCGTCTTGGAGGTTGGGAACGTAGGATTGAGGGCGGCATGGGGAGTATGGGGACGAAGGAAGTTAGAGATTTTAGGAAAGGAGATGCGTTGGATCCTAGGAGAGGGAGGACGTGAGTGAGTACATATGAGAAGATGCTGGCTCTGTATATATTATGATTATCATGTTGTACATTTCTGCTCTTTCAGTTGGCAGAGACAAAGAATAAGAAGTATTCATACCCCTTTTTTGCTCGCTACCAGATGAGGTGAGGATCACGTGTCGTTGTTACGTCACGTCACCTCATATCCATCTCCCTCTACCTACCTTCTCCTCTCATCCTCTCTTTACCATTGTATCAATCCAAAAATGCCACCCAAAATCGACCCAGCAATCCTCAAAGCTCTTTCCCTAGACGAAGCCAATACAACCATCTCCTCACACGGCGGATCAGGGTTCGTGAGCACGTTTAAACTTACCACCAAGGATAAAGATGAGAAGGAGAAACTGTATTTTGTGAAGACAGGAAAGGGCAGGGAGTGTGAGATTATGTTTGCTGGTATGTTGTGAGAGAGAATTACCCAAGAGGTTTTTTGAAGGGTGATTGGGAAAAAGGGGGGAGAATCACGTGTTTTGATATGAAGATGGAGTTTAAATTATAGGTACTGATGAATGATAATAGGTGAACATGCATCCTTAAATGCAATCCACTCAGCAGTTCCTTCTCTGTACGTCAAATCCTGTCCCTTGTTTTATATTGGCCCAACGAGGCGGAGTCTTTAGGATCCCCCACTCATCAAAGAAGATACCTGCGTTCAACACCATACTCTTCGTCTCCAAGAGAAAGTGTACCTATACTAAAGCACCACCAGCTGTCCCACCTCCCATGCCCATGGTCCCCTATCGCACCCACCCAACACCTTCTTCCTAGCCACCGATTTCCTCGCCCTCTCATCCTCCCCATCTTCAGGCGCCTCACTACCCCACAAACTCGCCCTCCTCCACTCAACACCGGCCCCCATCCCACCCGGCCACACCGTTCCACAATTCGGCTTCCACCTCCCCACCTGCTGCGGCGACACCGTGCAAGACAACACCTACCACCCCTCCTGGTCTACCTTCTTCTCCGAATGCCGCCTAACGCACATCCTCTCTTGCGCAGAAAAAAACAACGGTCCAGACACCGACCTCTCCTCCCTCGTCCAACAAACCTGTTCCATCGTCGTCCCCCGTTTACTCCGAGACGGACACCTACGATCCGCAGAAGGGAGCAATATAACCCCGGTCCTCGTACACGGCGATCTGTGGTCCGGGAATCATGGCCGAGGCAGCATCGATGGCGGGGCGGTGGAGGAGCGGGTTTTTGATCCGAGTTGCTGCTGGGCGCATTCCGAGTTTGAGTTTGGGATTATGGGGATGTTTGGTGGGTTTGGGGGGCGGTTTCGGGAGGAGTATTGGGGGGTTAAGGGGAAGGAGTGAGTCTTTTTTTTTCTATTGGAGTTGCGATATGAGGGTCTAGTTCGGAGTTTTCGAGTTGTTTTCTTGGGGGGGAGGACAGTGCTGATTTTTGGGGCAGTGAGCCGGTGGAGGAGTGGGAGGATAGGGTGGCGCTTTATGAGTTGTATCATCATTTGAATCATTATTCGATTTTTGGGGGGAGTTATAGAGGGGGTGCTGTTAGGATTATGAAGAGGTATGTTCTCTGTAGTTTATCCTTTAGAGAATAGGGCTAATCAGCTTGATAGCTCGTTAAAGAAGTATGGAGATGGGGGTTGAGCAGTGAAGACTTGTTAAGTAAGGGAATAGCACTTGCTAGCTCTTAAACAAGCAAACTGTACAGAAATCTGAGATGAAAAAGATGCACGTATTGCCATCAGGGTTAAGACGAATCCAATGGGCATAGCACATTGATTGCATTCTCAAAGTCACAAAAACGTTGCAGACATAAGTCTCGCTAAAGCATCCATTCTTCCATGATCAACTATGCTGCGCCGAATTCATATGCCCTATTTACTAACGCGGCGACTAGGAGACTCGTGGTTTCATCACCCCTCCAAATCATCAAATGGATATCCTTCCATAATCCATGCAAAACAATGTACACGAACATAAACATTTCCAAATCAATCATTGACTGTCTGCTGCTGCTGTTTCTGGAAGTTCACATCCTTGCGAGAAGAAGATCCTAGCCGGCTTATCGTAGTCATTCTCGAGACTGTAGAAATTACCTATTTTCATTAGTAATGTAACCACAAGCAAGATGTAAAGACTTACCTCTAGGAACTTGGAACATTCCACCTTTACCAATCCTAAATTCTGTGTCGTTGATGATCACCTTGACTCTGCCGTAAAATACGAAAAACGCCATTTGCATCCTCCTCGAATTCTTTGGCTTCTTTTGACCTCCCGGAGGAAGATCGACCATTCCGGCACCGAAAAACGGATAACTGAGTGTCTTGGCAAATTTAAAGGATGCACCAGCTATATCGCGAGTCTGGATTGCCTCTGAAGACAAAGCAACTTCCTCCTCTAGCTCCTCTACTTCTGCACCAGTTGGATCCTCTGGATCCCAAGCTCGAACTGCTCCAAATATTCTGCCAGGTTCCATTTCCCAAGGCTCCACTTCGTCATCATCCTCGGACTCAGGTTCCACTGTGGCTCTCTTCGACTTAGGCGCCTTCGATTTTCCTCTAGCGCGCTTCTTCGGTGGTTCAATTTCTTCAGCTCGGACAACTTCCTTGATACGAGGCAACATGTAATTTCCGAATGCATCGTCCATTTCATCCTCATCGTACTCGATTCTCTCGTTCTTCCAATAAGCAACTGGTTTGATAGAATTTCGTCCAGAACGAGTTTGTTTGAATCCAGCTCCCTCCAAAGGAGTCTCTCTTCGGAGGATGAAGAGACCATTATTGGTTCGTGGAAGGGGAGGACCTCGTTGCACTGCTGGGGAATCGGCCTCCTCGATGGTAGCCAATTTTGGTCTGCGGCCGGCAGGTTTAGCTTTCGCCGGAGCGATCTTTGCAGCTGCTTTCCTAGGTCTGCCCATTTTGGCGGTCGTAGTGCCATCAACAGACTTTCGGGATTTCTTTGCTGGGCGTTCTTGGATTTCCTCGGTCTCTTGCTCAGCTGGTTCTTCCGGCTCATCTTCTTGGATGACCTTCCTAGGTCTACCTCCCTTGTTCTTGACAGGTTGCTGCTCAGCTGGTTCTTCCTGTTCATATTCTTGGATTACCTTCTTAGGTCTACCTCCCTTGTTCTTGACGGGTTGCTGCTCGGCTTCTTCGATTATTGAGTCCTCTGGCTGGGAGACCTTTTTGGGCCTGCCAGTTTTGGCCTTTGGAGCTTTAACAGCATCGGATGATGAACCTTCCAACGATGTTCTCGTCCGCTTCTTGGGTTGCTGTTGTTCGACTTCTTCTTCTTCTTCTAGTTGTAGGACTTCATCGTCTTCAGGATCCGCTGCCTTCTTCGGCCGGCCTCTCTTCGCAACCTTCTCCGAAACCTCTTCTACAACCCTTTCCTTACCCTTGTTCTTTTTTGAGGCTTTGGGCTCTGGCTCGGGGAGTTCTTCAGTTATTGATTCGAGATCTTCATTCACATCTTCCGGCTCAGCAATAATTTCGCTGTCGCCATTCACCATTTGTAGAGAATCGTCTCCATTATCGAAGGCACCCCCGTCTATACTATAATCACCATTGTCCTGTCCCATGTCTTGATCAGAAAACGGAGCTCCCAGTGATTTGACACCGTTCCCATTAACAAGTTTTGTGCTGCTGAGGATAGGCATAGCTGATCCAGCACGTTTTTGTAGAGCCTTTTCAGGTATGGTGTTTTCGTCGACACTACTGAAGCTTGCATTGGAGAAGTCCAATCTTCGTCGCACAGAAGTTGACACGGAGGATGCCCTCGCAGCGGGTCGAACGGGTGAAGATCCTGGACCAAGCGATGGATGTCTGCGAGCTGGAGATTGTAAGAACGTCTTGATGGGTGATTTCGATCGAGGTGGAGGTAATCGCATACTTGCTTGCTTGCGTTCGTTGAGTACAGCGGCAGGTTCTGGAATGGTGTCTATACAATGTCAACCTTAGAATCCAATGTGCTTGCGACGCGTGAGCCTACTCTCGTCAACCTCCATATCTTCCTCGCTCGAGATTGTGGCATTCGCGTTCTTGTTTGTGCCATTCATTCTTTGTACAGACTTCGCCTTGGGCTTCTCGGGGGAGGAGAATAAGTGGTCCATGGGTTCCAAGCCATTCTCGTCTCGGATACCTGTATCCGGAAGAGTGAGGCCGGTTTTTCTACTCAATTATTAGGCAAGAAATCAAAGAAAATTCGAGCGCACTTGCCTGCCTCTGACTCCAACTTCAAAGAGGTATTGATTCTCACGCGGTTTCCGCTTTTGCATTGCCGCTTGGGGTGCCATGTTGAAGTTTGACGCGCCGGACGCGTTGATAGAGAGAAACTTGTGGGCTGATTAGGAAGAATTAATATCGAGTCGGTTGGTGACGCGACGAGATGTTTGCGTTTGCTGTTTCAATGCGACAGCCGCAGATGCGATGTGTTGATGTTGATGTGGGGTTGTCCTTCTCAAAAAGTTCGTGTTGGGCTTTCCGGAGTAAATATGCGCTAAGGGCGCGCTTCGGCTACAGTAACTTCGTCCTAAATTCATGTGAATGTCCTCCACAAATTAAGTGAACAATTGTGAAAATCCCCGAACTTGAGAGTCAATCAAATTCACCAAAAAAAGCGTATCCATAATCTGACTAGGTTTGGCAAATTTACGAAATATCGGGGTCGTACACTGCATGAAGTACCGTTTCTTCACTTTCCCTTCACAAATTGGGTGAACAACTGCGAAGTTCTGTGAACGGGATGAGAATATGTTATCAAGTACTGTATTCATTCTCGAGCTGCCAGACAAAATCTCTAGCATTCTTATTGCAATATCGTGAATGTCCTAAATTAGCATATGATCCGAGATCTTCATCAAAAGCGGCAATGAATGTGGTTTCTCAGCTGCTCAGTTTTGAGTCTATTCCAGATGCAATGTCTCTTCCTTCCAAAGCGCGATCGTATGAAAGTCTTTCTAGCATTCTAGCATCTGCTATCTGTCGTTATTGCTTTTATGTGCTTCAGTATCTAGATCAAGCTTCATAATATGCAAAGTTTGGCCGTGTAATCATCCTAGTAGTGTATGCAACCAAGGTTGCAATATGCAAACGGGTCTCTGCGCCTTGGAGAGGGCTTGTTGAATGCCTGATGTCCAGCCTTGCAGTCGAAAGTCTCCAAATTTCAGAACTAGCTCTGCTGCGAATGTGAGAACATGTCTAACAGGAAGCTACTTCAAATCGGCGAGATTAAGACGAAGAGCGGGCTTTCTCGTTCCTTAATAGAGCCCAACAAGGGTCTATGAAGAGTGGTACTGTTTCTGTGCGGTGCAACTTGTTCAACAGCCCAAAACTTGGCTCGATGTCTCATATGGAGGCATCAAGAAATCTATCCAGAGCATCCGCATACCATGTTTCTCGTAATTGGAATTAAAGCATAACTCTTCCTTGTGTAGAACGCACGCTTCATCTTCATAGTCTTGTGGCAGAAAATTCATTAGGAACGAATAGCTTGAGATCGGGTCTTGCGAACGGTTGTGCACACGCTAAGCCATGGGTTATGAATGGAGAGGTGCAGAGGATCACGCTGTGTCCCAAACTTCTCGCGATCGAAGGGTGGATGGTAAGGATAGCACTCACGAATTCAGGGACATGGGTATTGAGCTGGGAAATTTCAAGGGCCAAGTAGAGTATATCTGTGGAATCAACATCGTGGAGCCCTCAACGTATTATCAACGATCCTTGACGTTGGTTGTAATACTTCCATGATGGACAATGGCCAAAGCCATGCTGTACCCGTACTCTGTACAATGCTTAACTGATCTTGCGCCTATGTAATTGTGGAAGTCGATTACCAATACGAAGGCGGGGAATAAAGTACTATCTTGAAGAGTGCACAGTCATTCAAGAATCGTCAAATATTTCATCTTCCAATCCATTCAATACTCGAGTAATCTCCAGCTAATTGAGTTCTATACTAGGTAAGGTGTGCTTATATTCCAATAACAGCAAGGAGCTGGTGGCTGGTATCAGGGGTCATGAAATTAGCGAATCGCTTCCCCGCCCCTCACCTGCAGAAACCTCTATGTAGCGTCTTCCTCTCCCTCCAACCACATTCAAGCTTCACTCCTCAATTCGAAATGGACGACGAAGAGGAATGGCCGCTCTCCACTAAAGTCTCTGGACCTGCATCGTCACTTTATCCTGATATTGTGGGACATGGCATTGCATTTAGTGAAGCCTCGCCTAATCTGTTGAGTGCTGCCCATGTCGATATCGAGGCTTGCAGGATAGATAAGCACGGTGAGCACAACTTCCTCCGTTTTTCAAGGTTCAAGTGTTAATTCAGACTCTAGGTCTCGAGTCTGAAGCAATTGAGAGTTATGATGACTTGGTATTCTATTTCGAGACGTCAAAATCATGTCATGCAATTCCTGATTGGGATGATACCGATTTGAAAACAGACTCGATCATTGTCTCCGAAACGTCTGTCGATGAAGTAGACATCGATCATGGAGCTGAAGCAGAGATCTTGTATCCCCTAATCATGTCCTGATCTTGAAAATCAAGCTGATCTATTGGATAGCTTCATTCGTCGAATGCATGCGCATACACGTCTTGCATTATCAGAACAAGCGCTGAAATGCCTTCTGTCTCAGCACCAAGTCTTCTCACCACTTGCCAATATTCTCACCTCATTCTCAATTGGAAGTACCGATTACCACGAAGGAAGCAGTGGCTTTTACACCAACACCACGGCGAAGTGTCCTCAGGGATACAGCAGTAAGTGACTCTAGCCTGCACACTATTCCTTAACTAAAGACTATCAGTCCTTGAATTGGGTTACATACTAAAGTATGTCGAACCGGATGCAGCAAGCCTATCACCAGTACCATGGTCGGTTCGCCAAATGGCTATTTACCAAAAGGTCGACACGAAGACTCAAGAAACAAAAGGTTTCGTTGTTCAAGCCTCGACCGACGTCCGCCGGCGCAAAGAAGAGATCACTCAAAGCGTCGAAGCCTGCCAGGACTTGAGTGAGCATTGGACGAGTCTTCACTTATTGATCATCGGAACCATAAATCGGAATTGGGAGCTGTATCTGAAGAGCTTAGACATTGGCGTTGACAGACTTGTGAGCTTCTCTGTCTCCTTATCTTGAGACTTAGCTAACCTGTGATCTAGCACAACTCGCTTTATGCTGCGTCGTTGCCCAACTTCACTATTACAAGCATGCAAGAAGTTTCCAAATTCGTCGATCTTCTCATCAAGTTCATCCACATGTTAAAACTCAACATGGAGGTCTTCAACATGCTTTTAGGAGAGTCTAGAAGACCCGGCGGACGCGAAGAATTCGACAAGACGGATTTTAGTTGCAGATATAGGATGCTAGAGTGGGCTATCGATTCGACGTTATCAAAGACTAAACTCCTCTGTAGTCATGCTGAGCTTGTACTCAGTCGAGCAAACAATGTTGTAGCTATGGTGAGCTATGTTCGCCCCTTTGATGAAGCTAATTACTGATTTAGTCAATGTCTAGATGCGAGCTTTTAGTACGCTCCAAAACAACCAATTCATTCACAACATTGCACTCGATAGCAATCAAAGTCTGCAAACTATTGGGCATAACACAACGAGAGACGACAGCAACATCCTGCCGGGACCCAGACATGCACCAACACGAGAAGTTCCACGAGAAGCTAGGTCGACTAGAACGATCACCCTTATGATGCTTGTCTATCTGCCTCTAATTTTCACATCTGTAAGTAACCCCACCCCCCCTTAATCATCATTGCTAATTCCCTGCAGACTTTCCTAAGCATGGGATTCATACATGTGACTTCAGCCCACAATGGCTTGATCGTTAGAGCTGATGATGACATGTGGTTTTACCTTGCTCTCACGCTTCCACTTTCTATCGTTACATTGGCGGTATGGTATATATGGGAATGGAGAGCGCGTCGTAGACGGATGTCTCGTGATTTAGAGGAGAACGTAAAGTTAGAGTGAATCAATCGATACGCCTTTTGCCATTTCTCCTTCCGTGCAAATAGCGAGAGTGAAGCCACATTTCTGGTTCTGTGCCAAGTTCGGTAACTCGTGCGAGGCGGTAAGCCAGGGGTTCTCTTCGACGAAGTGAATACCAGACATATAGTTCAAAACGATCTATAACATGCTGAGGTATTTTTACAATGATAGATGACTATTGTCGAATCAAGATATAACAGCATCGTAATAAGAAAACCCTCATCTACATCGATCTATTTCTCCTGGATCCCGCCATCTTTCCCCACCAGCCCACCATTCAACGTCTTATCCCCATCCGTCGTGATCCTCCCCAACCCACCACTAACATCCTCCCCATCCTGCTCAGGCTCAACGTCCGCCGGAACAGGCGGTCCCGTGAACTCTTTCCTACCCCTGATTACATACCAAATCAAACTAATCAAAGCAAACCCCATAAACACTACACTAGCGTAATTCATACTCGTCGGCGTCACTGGAATAGCGGTCGGCATACAAAACAACACAATAGCCAACGAAATCCACGCTACCGTCGCCGCATTGATGAAGAACCCAAACTTGCCAAGCGAAAACGTCGAGTGTCGAACAGCTTTTCGGCCCCGGATTAGAGAGACGAGAATAGGAATCCCGTACGAGACTGAAAGACAGATGGTAGCGACGCCAGTGAAGGCATTGAATGCTGATGTAGAGCCGAAATATATACAGCCCAGAATACAATCAACAACGGTCGAGAGCACCAATCCCCAAAGCGGGATATCGAACCGTTTATCGACCCGAGCCCAGAGACGAGAACCAGGGATTGCTCCGTCGCGAGCGAAGGCATACGTGCATCGACTCGCAGCAGTTAAGGCTCCTACGCCGGCGAAGAATAGGATTCCAAGGATGAGGAACAGGAGGCCGAAACCACCGCCAGCAGAACCTGTGGCGATTTTGAAGACGAGACCGATGGGTTGGCCGTTGGCGACGCTGAGAAGCAGACTGACGTCTGGGAGAACGAAAAGTATGGGGATCAGGTAGACGATTCCTGTGATTCCGGCTGCGGCGACGGAAAGAACCATTGCACGGGGAACTTCTCGTTCGGGCATTTGGACTTCTTCGCACATGGCTGCTACCATGCCGTAGCCAGTCAATGTATCTGTCTCACATTAGCAGTTGGTCAATCTTATAAGATGAAGAGTACAAATACTAACAAGCTGCCTGCAGTAAGCCGACGAACCAAGCCCAGCCAGAAGGCCATCCACTTGCCGAAGCGTCGAAATGGGTAAAGACGAATTCGGCATTCCGACGATCATCTGACGTGACGAGAATTGTAACAACTATGATAATAACTGAAGCAGAAGTCCAGTAGATACAGATCTTGTTGATAAGATCTAGATGTTTGGCGCCAAAAACATTGACCAGGAAAGCGACGGACATGACACCCCAAAACATAAGCACCGTTTGCCATTGCGTAGCCACAAAAGAGTCGTCCCAAAGAGAGATGGCAGAGAGGATCAATTGGGCGCCGGAGAAGTTGATACTTAGAGTCACGGTCCAGTTTCCGACAAGTGTAAGCCAACCAGTGATCCAAGAAACGATCGGGGCGTATTTTTTCGTGGAAAGCATTGCACTCCAGTAGTAAACACCACCTGATGTGGGATATACAGCACAGATTTCAGCGAGAGAGGCTGCTATACTAAGACTGATGATTGATACGAATATCCAGCCATATAAAACAGTTACTGATTGGCCGTCTGTTAACGAAATGGCCATCGTTGTGCTGAGACCCTAGCAAAGTTAACAGGGATTTTCGAACAGGACTGAAATAGAAGACATACGAATGGAACGGCCATAATGGCAAATGATCTACAGATAATTAGTAAAGTCACATAGATTTCTTGAGGACACTTACAATCCTAATATACTCATCATGCTCAGTGATCTTGGAAGCTCGCTCTTGTAGCCCATGTTCTCAAGAGCAGCATCGGCATTGTTGTTGATGGTGGCCCCATCATGAGAGAAGGAACTTGCCATAGCTCGCCAGCTTTATATACTGTATTTCCAGAAAGAATCTAGAGAATGTAAAAATAAAAATATCCCGATTGTAAAAAGGGGAAGTGACGTCGAGCAACAAAGGCTCAAAGCACGAGATATATAGCTCCGGCTCTCATGACTTTCCAAGTAACAAAAGATAACGCGTAACGTGTAAATATCGGATCAAAAGCACTGACTTGATAGAGGCGAGTTTGTGTCAAAGGAAGCTGTCAAATATTCAAGGAAAGCTTGCAGAGAAAAGCGGAGTAAACTTTTCACATAACGTAATTCTCGTCAATCGGGAGCACTAAGGAACGGGCCTTGGCGATGATGATCGGGTGGAGCCTCAAGAGTTCGCATAGAGTGTCAAAGGGATCACGGATTTGATTTCAAAATGAAATGTAGAGACTCTCCAAGGTATAGATTATGAGATTGAAGCAGCAGAAACGCTCACTTGAACTCGTCTTGCTAATGAATGTACAAAACGAAGTGGGGCAGCTGAACACATGAAAGATATCAACTCCCTGACGCTTCCTCCATCGTGGTATGATCAAAGCACTGAGACAATATATCTTGTCTTTCACTCTCACTGAGAGCATTCAGATATTCATCTGAAAAGGGCGTCCGATCTTTAGACAATGCCAGGGACCGTAATGATCTTTGTCGTCGCCTGTATTGAACATCTTGAGTCGCAAAGTCTTTCGATGAACAAAGCTTCCAGGTCTCTTCCCTCATATATACCATCTTGCATCGCATCGTGAACTGATTGTAGATAACAGCCCAAAAGCCTGACTTCATAATATCCTGCACAGGATGTTCCAAGATGCCACGTGAGGTGCTAAGCCAATTCAAGGTCAAGCTATTACTCTTCGCCTGAGGCATCAAAGATTCTTTTGCTGCAGCCACATTCACACAATTTTATAACCACACCTACGGCGCAGCAGCTCCTTTACGCTGGAATATCATTCGAGAGGACCACCAGGGGTGCGCACACCACCACTCAAAACGTCACCGGTTCAACATTCATTATTGCTCGTGGTTTCCTTGCTCCAGCGTTTCTTTACCCCAGCTAGTCACCATGGCCTCTCAAACAAATGGCCACGATAGACGGCCCTCCGCAGCTTCGAGATTTCCAACGGCGCCCTCGATCATGACGATGAACGGCCACTTTGCCGGAGTTGGGGATGCCCCAACAAAGGAGCAATATGAGCATGGCATACAAGTTATCGATGAGGAAAAGGCATTCAAGTACGCCGAGAATCTGCCAATGTGTGTGTGTCCAAACTAACAGATATTCAGTCCGCATCTCAACACATATCTCCAACTCACCAAAGTCGCACAATCTGGCTTCAACTACCATCTGATTTCGGTCTTCGGCTCCCAATCCACTGGCAAATCGACATTGCTGAACCACCTCTTTGGTACCGCGTTTGGTGTGATGTCCGAGACGGAAAGGCGACAGACAACTAAAGGAATATGGATGTCGAAGAACAAGAGGGAAGGGGCGCAGATCCCAGAGTCGCAGAAGATGGCCGACAACATATTGGTAATGGATGTCGAGGGTACGGATGGCCGGGAACGTGGAGAGGACCAAGACTTCGAGAGAAAGAGTGCCCTATTCGCCTTGGCTACAAGTGAGGTTCTGATTGTCAATATTTGGGAGCACCAGGTTGGGCTATATCAAGGCGCCAATATGGGATTGTTAAAGACAGTTTTCGAAGTCAATTTGCAGTTGTTCTTGAAGGATAAGCAGTATGCGCCCCAAATGCCTCGAGACTCGCGACAAGTCTCTAACATGTCTCAGATCAAACCCTCGGTCCCTCCTATTCTTTGTCATACGCGATCACTTAGGAGCTACACCATTAGCAAACCTTCGAAATACTCTTATTGCAGATTTAACAAATATCTGGTCTACGCTTTCAAAGCCTAAAGGCCTCGAGAAGTCGCGCATAGAAGACTATTTCGATTTTGCGTTCTCTGCACTACCTCATAAAATCCTCCAGCCTGAGAAGTTCTTGACGGAGGTAGAGAAGTTGGGAACCAGGTTCAGAACTGGTCATCGCACAGCTAAGCAAAATGGCCTTAACGACCATGAATTCGAGGGTGGAGTATTCTTGCCCGAGTACCACCGCAGGATTCCGGCCGATGGATTCTCTGTATATGCCGAGGGTGTTTGGGACCAGATTGTGAATAATAAGGACTTGGATTTACCAACACAGCAAGAACTTTTGGCACAATTCAGATGCGACGAAATATCACGAGAGGTCCTGGAAGCATTCGACCTCGCCATTGCGCCCCTCGAAGAGCAACAAGCGGATGGGATTAGAACTGGTAAACCTAAAGTATTGAAGGACTTGGGTGTTTCCGGAAAAGCCGCCCGTGTGAAGAGTATCAAGGCCTTTGAGACGGAAGCCAGCAGATACCACAAGGGTGTTTATGCTCGCAAGCGTGTGGAACTGGAGGGGAAGATTGATATTCGACTGAAGGCTCTGTACCAAGGGCAGCTTTCAGCGGCTCATAAATCAGGGGTCGCGACTTTCAGTGATGCTGTTTCTACAGCTGTCAAAGCGGGTCAGAAGAAGGGTGCTTCCTACGAATTCGCGGAGATTGTGGATCGCGAGAAAACGATTGCTCTGAAGCAATTTGAGGCTGAAGCCAAAAGTCTTGCTATCGAGGGCGTGTCGTGGAGCAATTTCAAGCAGCAGTACAACTTATATGAAAAGGATCTGGACGAAGTGAGTGCAAGTTTACGCAAGGAAGAAATGCGACGACTTGCGACTCGAGTGGAGAGATGGGTGCGATCAAGGTTAGGTGACTCTGTTGGCCTTGAATTCAACAAGTTGGGTTCGGGCCGAGGCGGAAGTGGCGCCCCTGAGACAGGAGAGAGACCGTCGGAGAAAGATCTCTGGGACAGGATATGGACCTTGTTCACAGCCACCGTCAAAGAGGCAGAAACCCGCTTCATAGAGCGCGCCAAAAGTTTCGATGCGGATCAAGATGAAATTGAAGTTGGACTGTGGAGATTGCGACGAAAGAGTTGGGGTGTATTGAAAGCAAAGATTGATGAGGAAGTGATGGAAGGCAATATTCTGCTCAAGCTCCGAGAGAACTTTGAGGACAAGTTCCGTTACGACGAGGCTGGTGTGCCAAGGATATGGCGACCAACTGACGATATCGAGGGGATGTACACCAAAGCGAAGGATTCGACTCTCACATTGATTCCTTTACTCTCGAGATTCCGACTTTCGGAAACTTATGCACCTCCAGACCTTCCAGAGTGGATTGGCAATGCACCAGCTACCGTCGATGCAAAGGATGAGGAAGACCTGGTTCCTATTGGTGGGTTGGACGAGGAAGAAGGCAAGAGTCTCGAGGAAGAGATGACAATTCTCAGCGAAGCCAAGCGCCAAGATCTTGTTGTGAGATTCAAGAAGACTGCCGATGGTGTATATGTGGAAGCAAAGCGCAGCGCTATCGGCGGCGTGGCGCAGGTCCCCTTGTACTTCTACGGTTTGCTTCTGGCGTTGGGCTGGAATGAGATCGTTGCTGGTATGTCTAGTCTACTATTTCTATAAATTCATGCTAACATTTCCTAGTTCTTCGAAATCCTGTCTACTTCATCTTCCTCATCCTTCTTGGTGTTGCTGCCTATGTTACTTATACATTGAATCTCTGGGGGCCAATGCTACGCATGGCGAACGCGGCCTCGGCTCAAGCAATTGAGATCGGCAAGGAGAAGCTAAGAGAATTCTTGGAAAACTCTGAGACTGGGCGACAGGCCATAGGCATGAGAGCACGGGGTGATAGTGATACGATCAGTCTGAATACTCTGGATAGCAGGGGCAAAAGAAAGACTTCTGTTGAGGATGACGACGACGATGAAATATAGGCATGATGGCGTCTCTTTGGGCTTTTGTATATTGGGGGGAGGCTCACGGACTGCATAGCGGTTGTACTTTACAGATAGGCTGGTGTAATATGGGCGGGTCTGAAGAATCACATATGCCAGATTTGAAAAGCTGTACCCTGACAGACTGCATGTCTGAATGTTAATGTTCGACTGTCAGTACTCGATGCTAGCAAAGTAGCGGTAGCCCATAATCTCTCGGAGCCAGACATTCAGATCTCAGGATGTCTCAATTTGTAGTCCTACTTGTCGAGCCTCGAATTTCTTCTTTCAAGTTGGGACATTGAGCTCATATAGTAAAGTTTGTAAAGGGAGTTTAAGAGAACATGTGCTCATTCTTTTTTAAGGCACTTAGTCTTCATAGGATGTTTACATCCAATCTTCAACAATACCAATGTTTTACCACGCAAGCTATTCACATAACTTGGATCATTGTCGTCAAAACACATCGACACCCACTGGTCTCCCAAACCACGTTCCAAGCTCATCCCCATCTTGCTCCTTCTCCGCACTGAAGAAATCCGTCAACCGACTCGTCTCATCATCTTCTTCTACCGGCCACTCAACCTTTGCTGCCATGCCCTTCAATTCCAACATATCTTTCGCTGTTCCCCAACTAAATCTACACTCTGCTCCCCATCCAAAACAAGGATCCATATTCCTCTTCAACCATCCCGTAGTTTTCGAATCAGAAGGGTATCCAGATCCCCAAGTCTCTTGTCCAGCTTCAGCCGTACCGCTCATCTCCTCATCCCCATCTCCTTCCCCCTTCTTAACATAACTCTCAAACAAAACTTCCAAGGCAGCATCTCTCGTGACCTTCGCACATACACTCGCCGCACTAACACACGGGTACAAGCTATCCGCCTTCTTCGCAACCGTGACCTTAGCCGTCGGGAACACTCTCTCCAATTTCTTCTGATAAGTAGCTGGGTTCCCAATCGTATCGATATAAATCTCCTTCACATTCACACCCCGTTTATACACCCCCTGAATCAAAGCAATCGTCGCATCCATAGCTTGAGCATTCAAATTGTACGTCCCAGCCGGCTTCATCATATTCGCGCCAATGTCTCGAGCGGACATTACATCGACAGCCCATCCGCACTGTGTATACAGATCCGTATCCGGTGTACACAATTTCTCCATGAGATTCGAGCGTACGGTCGGTGTGAGCACTTTACTGTCGTCAAAATGATGCGTGGTTCGAAGTAAGGGATCTGAGAGCGGGAGAGGGAGGTAAAAGAGCCCATAAACCATGGGACCGAGAACGGGTCCGCGGCCTGCTTCGTCGACTCCTAGAGCGCATGCTGGGCCTGGTATCGTTTTCTCGCTCGAGGAGGCAGCGTCGGGGTTGGGTGTTGGTTGCAGTGAGTGTGGGACGGCCGAGTAGTGGGTGTAGGATGCGCCGGTGAAGAGGAGGTCGGGGTTTACTGAGGGAGCGATGAATACGTCTGCAGCGGGGGTCTCGAGAGCAACATCATCTTCTATTTGCGAATCTGCCATCTTTGGGGTTCAATTGTTGTGTTGAAGTGTGGAAGTGCTACTTCCCCACGGCCTTGGTCCGGGAGACGCGACTTGACGCGTTGGACTAAGCTTGGACCATCTCGCATAATGCCCCCCTTTTTCTCCTCGGCTCTGATCCGAGTCAACTGATATTTTTTCAACACATCCTGAGGTGCACTTCTGTGACTCTGTGAGGGATGTTGGTGACAACTCGGTAAATGAGTTCAACTGTTGGCGGTTATGTTGTTATGTGGTTTCTTTTCATACATCCGAATATTACTTCTAATTTCGGGGTAGCCCTAATGCGGAATTCACGGCCCTATGAGTATGATGCGTGCGGCACAGCACAACTTATGTCACTCAGCAGCGCCCCAGAATCATAAAACATCTGCGTTTCTAAACATTTTGTACCTCCCGCTCTTGGCATATTCTCCGCCATGGATCTTCAAAAGGTATGATCTGCTCCAGATACTTCGTCCCTTGGCTTACATGTGATAGTCTTCTACTGCTCCGGAGCCGAACTATATCTTCACTAAATCCGTGGCTATCTATTCTGCCTTGGTGGTCCATCTTCTTGAATGCTTTTTGACCTGGCGTCAACTTCGACTCCAACGAGCCATCGATCCTGTCACCGATGCTGCAGCAAGGAAAACACACTCTTGGCGACTGACCAAATCATGGTGGCTCTACATTGCGACTGTCCTTGTGATTACTTTCGATGCGATACCGTGGCTTTGGCGTCTGGTCCAAGCATACCAAACGGCGTACTTGCCATCACTCGGATCTGAGTTCTGGAGAAGCTCCCTGTTTCTCATGGCCTGTGGTCTGATGTATATGGTAGTCGGGACTCTGGTGTCTGTGGTTGAATTAAGGCTTTTGAAAGACTCCATCAACGTCGAGCCAACTCCAATACCGAGATGGGACAAAGTACTATATGATATCACAAAGGGGAAGCCTGTCCCTGCTATGATCTTGTGTCTCTGCTTTGACGTTCTTCTTCTCAAGGCATGTGGTTTGAAACTGCAAGGTCACCATTTCCTTGTCCTACTGTTGGTCCAAATCAGCTCCATCATTATTTTGTACCCAATCTATCTGCAGTATCGGACACATCGATCGTCTCCACTTGGTTCGGGAGCATTGAAGGATGGAATTTTAGAAGCTGCTACTGAGATCAACTTTCCCTTGAAGAGAATCGATGTGGTTGCCGGACCTCTTGAAAGCCTTGACCAAGGGGTGCAGTTCCTTGGCTGGCCAAGAAAGACCAACATCGTCATCCATGAAGCAATGTTGGATCGTTTCAATGCGCAGGAGATCCTGAGTCTTCTAGCTTCGAGATTTGGAGAGTGGAAACTCCGTGTTTCATTGGCCATCTATATGCTCTCAATGGTAGGTAGCTATAATCTCCGCAGCAAGAAGAACACCGCTAATCAGACCTATAGCTCTTCTTCGTCAACATGTTTACATATATACTCTTATTCATTAAGCAACGGGCTGTCTATGAGGACTTCGGATTTGTGGATGAATATCCCCTGATCCCCGGACTCATACTATTTGCCGTTGCATTTGCAAGGCCTTGTTCCTCATATGTGAGGATTCAACGTAACCTTGCAACCTACAGGATGTTTTTCATCTCCGGTGAGATTTTGCCAGGAACTCCACACTCAAACTTGAACTGACATATAATTCCCAGACAAACACGCAGCTGATAATGGTCACTTGACCGAACTCCAAGCAGCACTGGGAAAGATTGCGAAAGCACAACAAGAAGCTGGGGAGATTGATTGGATGTTTTCTATGTATTACAACGGCGAGCCAACTATCTCTGAACGATTAGCAAGGCTTGAAAAGATAGCGAGCGAAAAGGCTGGCAAGGAAGATTTTCTTGTAGAGAAGAAAGAGAAGGCGATAATGGCGTGAACTCTGGCTCTGTCCCTCGGACTCACAATCTTGTCTCGCATATTTCGTATGTTCATCAGGTTCTCAGAATAATTTGGTTGAATGCGAATCTGTTCCCAGATATTGACTCGAATTCACAAGGCTGTGACGTGTTAACACAATGAATGGGAAGGAACGATGAAGGATTGACTTTCAAACTGGAAGCTCTCCAAAAGAAGGGAGGTAACTTGTCTTATGTGATGAAAACAATGTACTTCATAAAGCAATTCTTTGATTGTACAGGCAGCAGTTGTCGAAATTACTGTACTTTATTCAGCCTCGTTCCTATTGGCCAGGATGGATGACGCTAAGAAGGCTGAGCTTAATGCGGTCCCTTACAATTACTGTGAATTTGTACCAGAACTCTTCCAACAAAATGATTACCGTCTAGAAACAATAATGTCCGACTCAGATGGAGAATATGTCGCAGACGACCTATCTGACGATGACATTCGCGCACATCAGGTCTCTCGGCATGGTACGCGCTCGACAGGACCTGTGAGGGGACCTGCTGGCTCGAGTACGCGGGGCGGAGATACGAATGCGGGAACAAGCAGGAGGAGAGCTGCCTGGGAAGATATCCAAAGAAGTTGGGACACAGTCGTCGAAGGAGCAGATGGCAGCATTAATTCTGCGGTTGAGGGGCTGAGAGAAGCTGGGAAGAGGAAACGGTGAATGCAGTCCTTCTATTGAAAGGATCTTGAGATGTGCTAACTTCTGCTGTCAAAGGTTGTTACGGGATACGACACCGCTGCAGAGAGGCATTATTCGGCATTTGATCCTTATTCTTGATTTATCATTTGCTATGATTGAGAAAGATCTTCGACCTACAAGATACCTGCTCACGATCCGCTACGCATCTGAATTCGTCACCGAGTACTTCGAACAGAACCCTATTTCCCAGCTTGGCATAATTGGTATGCGAGATGGACTTGCAGTACGGATCAGTGACATGAGCGGAAACCCTACAGAGCATATCGAGAAACTGAAGAAGCTTCGAGATCAGCAGCCTCAAGGCAACCCAAGTTTACAGAATGCACTGGAGATGAGCAGAGCCGCGCTGTTCCACGCACCCTCACATGGTACTCGAGAGATCTTGATCATATATGGAGCTTTGTTGTCCAGCGATCCTGGAGACATTAATGAGACGATTGCTGCCCTCATCACAGATCGGATACGAGTATCTGTCGTTGGTCTGGCTGGCGAAGTCTTCATCTGCTCCGAGCTATGCAAGAGGACGAATGCTGGTAATGATAGCAGTTACTCTGTTGCTCTCAATGAACAGCATTTCCGGGAATTGGTAATGGCACTATGCACCCCTCCAGTCACTCGGACGAAAAAGCAATCACAATCCAGTCTCCTGATGATGGGCTTCCCTTCCAGAACATCTGGTGCTGGTAAAGCTATGAGCTTTTGTGCTTGTCACAGCAAGTTAACTCGAGGCGGTTATCTCTGTTCTAGATGTGAAAGCAAGGTTTGCAGTCTGCCTGCTGAATGTCCGGCTTGTGGCCTGACACTTATTCTTTCTACGCATTTGGCGAGGTCATATCACCATCTCTTTCCACTCAATAACTGGGTCGAGGTACCTTGGTCAGAAGCTAAGAAGTCAAAAGCTTGCTTTGCCTGCCTCACTCCGTTCCCTGAAGTTCCTGTGAAGCTGAATGGCTCGCATACCGACGTGGAGATCAAGGGCAACAGTGAGAGTGGCAGATATGCTTGTCAATCCTGCAGCAATCATTTTTGTAGGTCCTTTTCTATCAGAGCTCTCCTATTTCTACCATGCTTCCGCTACTCTTCCCTTTGGAATAGCTTGTGGCAATGAGATTGCGACTCCTGATATATTGTCAAAAAGTTCTCGCTGACCCGATGCAGGCGTAGACTGTGATGTGATGGCCCACGAAACGGTTCACAATTGTCCAGGTATGGTGCCTACATTGAATCTCCAAAATCGGTTACTTACATCATGACAGGTTGCCAAAGTGATGTCCGTGGTTCAATATCTCAACAAGATCATGCTGCAAACAGCGATGCAATGGTCATCGGTTGAATCTCTGAAGTCGCATTTTCATTCTCGGTGGCGTTTGGGACATGGAAAGGAGCATAGCGTTGGGCGGCGAATATAAAATGGCGTACTTTAGGCTCTCACAAATCCGAGCGCTCTTTCCAAAAGACATAGAGGAGTTTCATGCTTTGTAGAAAGTGGGACAGGCGCGAAGCCGTGAATACTTGCCTTTTTACCAATCCATTATACCTCGGATCGAGACTATATTTCTGCTTAGGTCCAATGCAAAGACATAGATTGAGAATTATGTTTTGAAGACGAGAGTGTCTGTCCAACATTTGCCGTTTATGATTGCCATAATGTTCTGAAAGCTCAACAAACATTCGATTTCTTTTTGCACATTATTCCATCTTTTAGTTGTTAGACATCTTCCAAAAGTCTGGTTTTGCTCGAGTTACTAATTGAATTTCAATCTTCTATCAAATTTGCAGGCAATGCTCGTTCTACGGAGAGATATTGTTCGTGTAATAGACATTACTCAAACTATGAAAGCGAGGTTCATCTATAGAACTCCCAGAGATATTTCGAGCCTGGATTCAGGTCCAACATTGATTACATTTCAGCAGCTACACATATCCATTCTTTATGCTTCAAATTTACACATTCTCCTAGCTCATACACAACCACCCATCTTCTCGCTCATGGCACACCTCGACCCTTCCTCGTAGCCTTCGCCAACTCACTCTGCGCCGTATCATCCGCATACCTCTGATAAATCGGCAAATAATGCTCCCTCTCACTCGTCGTCGCCTTCACACTCTCCCTCTCCTCCACAGCCTTCAACCACGCTCCCCACCTCTCCGTCCACTTCTCACCTCCCAACTCAAGTCCCCCCTTGAAATGCTCAAACACCCACAATCGCACAGCCCACGGCGCGAGAATGAGATCTACCATCGAGATCTCCTCCCCAAAAAAGAACGGTCCGGAAGAAGAAGACATAGCCTCCGTAAACTCCCTAATCTTCGAAACAAACTCCCCCTTAACCTCCCCGAACCCCGCCTCACTATTCCCCTCCCCAGTAACCTGATACTGCAACGCTCGATGAAAAGCAGGAATTATCCGCGACGTGACGAAATCGCTCCAGATCCTGCCATATGCCCGTTCATACGGGTCTTGCGGCAGCAGTTTGGGGGACGAGGACGGATACGCTTCTTCGAGGAACTCGCAGATGACGGTTGATTCGTAGAGGGGCTTGTTGGCGTATTGGAGTGTGGGGACGAGACCGCGGGGGTTCAGGGAGAGCAGGGAGGCGGGCTTGAGGTAGGGGTTTACTTCTATGTATTGGAAGGGGATGGATTTTTCGAGGAGGACGAGGAGGACGCGTTGGACGAAGGGGCAGAACTGGGGTGGGGTGTTAGTGAGAGTGGAAAGGAGGGGAGAGAGGGAGAGGAAGAGGGAGAGGGACCCAGCCTGAGTAGAGTTTGAGGGATTGTTCGGAAGAGTGCTCGGAGACCATTTTTGCTGCTGCGCCTGTGGCGTGGGGATAGAGCTGGGAGTCGGGGTGGTTGGAACCCATGATTATGGTGGAGCGGTTGAGAAATGTTTTGGATGTAATTGAAGAAGAGGAAGAGATCAAAATGAAATTATGAGGATATAAGAATGATCCTGACAATTGAGCTGTCTGAAATTTTGATTATGAATACGTCTTGAGCTCCGAGCTACCCCACCATTGACATCCCGGCATGACGCCATCTACCTAGATACCCCGCATTATCCCTCTTGCAGCACTTGAAGCATTGGATGATTGGAACAGAGTAAGAGAACAATTCTTGTGAGTAACTCGGAAATTTGACTGAAAGAGATCGCTGCACAGGTATTCAGATCAGATGAATGTCTTGGTAGCATTGAAGATCCTCATTCCGAAGCAGGACTTTGTTGAAGAAGTGAACATGATAGGAAAAATATAAGCTTAAATCCGGAGATTTTGAATCCTTCAACCAAATATCTGCCGTAATTATGGGACTCTTTACTAGATTTAGTTCTCTTCTCGAACTCGTGCATCGACCTCGCCAAAGTATACAGAATGGAACTGGACAATGACACTCACGTCCTTTGCCGGACATTCAAAACACCAAATGTATGGTTTGAAGTCAAACATGTCCTATACGTCCGACATCAACTTGAACTTTGTTCCATTTAAAAGAAGACGTCCAGCTCATGCTCGGTGTCCATTCTCACGAAAAGCCTTACGTATTTAAACTTCAAACCAATCTCCGCTCATGTCGTCACTGTTTCTCCAGCATTTGATAGTTCGTCGGCATTTGAGTAGTTGCTCAAAGTGCGGGGTGATCGTCCGAAGTCCAGGAACATGAAGCTACCCCTCCTTAAGCATCGGGAGCAGAAATTTCATCGTCCTGCTGTCAATAGCCGTAGTTCGAAATGGCGGAGGGAAAGCCGTCTTCTGCAGCTAAGGTAGACTGATGATCATGAGAGGAGCATATAAAATAAAATTCAAGCCAGTCTTTCAATTTTCGGCATCTTTCGAGACCTGGATTGGTTCCTCTTTGCGAATCATCATGAAGTCGTCAACAGCTTTTCGTCCAGCTTTCCTCTCCGTTCTGATATTCACCTGCAGAACCACAACCCAAAATCTACCCCCAGGAGTGATCTCGCCTCTCGTGCAAACATGTGGTCCAACATCAAAGATAGTATGCATAAATCACTATGCTTCCGTAATGCCATACCATTTCTACCGTCAAGCTTCAGACAACGCATCGTATGAAGATACATTTCCCAAGACGATTGTTGGCAACGATTCGTCTTTTTCGCTTCTGCCCGGTGCGGATTTCTTGGTCTTCGATCAGCAGCGTGGATTGGAGATGCTGGGAACTGCACCGAGTTATGAATTTATGTTTGCGGTGAATGATGGTAAGTTTAGATCTCGCGGAAGAAATATCCATGCTGATAGTTCATAGCGGTGCATGAAGCTCCAGTATATTCTCCGGCAACGAATAAATTGTATCTGAGCCAACTGAGAGGAAATACCAGTCCTCCAGGCTTTCTACCTCAGTTGGTTGTGAATTTGAATGTTGACCCTCCATATCTGGGAGAATTGCTCTCTGACCCGCCGATTTATGCTCCGAACGGTGGAACAATTCATAATGGCTTGTAAGATCCTCGAGGGCAGAGACTCTGAAGACCTGACTAATACCAAGATAGGATATATTGGGGCGTGTCTGGAGGAAATGACAGCATTGGTGGTATTGAGGAACGGCCAGGTATTGCAACGCTTGACCCGACGACTAACAAGACCGTCACACTTCTGAACAATCACTTTGGCCATTACTTTAATACAGTAGATGATTTGTTTGTGGCTGATAACGGAGATGTTTGGTTCACTGATCCTCGTAAGAGCCTCGAATGATCGAAAGCTGGAGATCTGACAATAAGACAGAGTATTCATGGTTCAATGCCTTGACCGATACCGCGCCACAGTTGAACTCAGCATCGTACCGATTCCGTCCTTCAACTGGTGTAGTCACGATGATCGATGATACGATGGTACAGCCAAATGGAATAGCTATCAGTCCAAGAATGGAGAATTGCTCTGCAACAGAGAATCGGAAGGTGTATATTTCGGACTCCGGGGCCGTGACAGGCACTATCCTTCAGTCGTTGGGTTCCCATGGAACAGGCTTCAATTCGACTGGGTAAGTGCTCTCCTCGTTAGGAAAACCTGTCCCCGAAGTCTGACACGTCAAAAGAAAAAGAACAGTTTATGCTTTTGACTTGACTTCGGATGGAAACCACATCATCAACAGGCGTCCAGTCTGGTTTGCTCAAGACTTCATCCCTGATGGCCTGAAGGTAGCCAGAAATGGGTGGATAGGTAAGTTTTCAAGTTGAAGAAGTGTGATCAAGAGAATACTGATCTCCAATAGTGGCTGGTACCGGCACGGGTGTTGATGTGGTAGATCCTGACGATGGAGCATTGATTGTGAGAATCCAAACAAACTTCACAGTCCAGAATTTTGCGTGGACTGGAACTGATTACATGGACTTCTGGCTCATGGGTAATTCTGGCATAGCGCGTGTCAAGTGGAACTTGCAAGGGCAAGAGCTGAAGTAGTCCCAAGATTTAGATAAAAGTCAATTTCCCTTGAGTGAACCGCGGGCCCAGGAGTAGAATTTCGTTTATTGAAACCATTTCAATCTTAAGACAACTTCCTTGACGCCATGCTTCTTGAATGTATGCATGTCGACGTCTGCGTTGCGGCTAATGGTACCGTTTCTGTAAATGACCCAAGATGGCGTTGAGCCTTCTCAGCGCTTTCGGCTGCTCTGCGGCAACTTCGCCGTTCCGGATGTCATCGAGTTCTTTTCGGGCGTCCTTAACAAGAGGTAACAATCCTCCCCATACTTCATCCGCGTAGCGATTCAGGACACCGTCCCACTCCTCAAACCATTGCGCCTTGTTATATTCGTTAGAATTTGGTACCAGGTTGAGAGGATTGTCCGCAGCAACGCCGGTATGTTGTTCCAATGGGGGTAAGATGTCTTTCAACATGGCTCGAAGCTCAATGATTTGGTCTTGTGAAAGGCCCCAGTCATAGAATTCTTCGTCCTCCTCTGGTGCTTCAAATGGCTCGTGTAAGCTTGCAGGACCTGACAACAGATCCAAAACACCCTGGCCATCTTGGCTCTCCTGTTCTGCAACCGTTCCGGCTAATCTTTCTCCATGTAGTGGCTGGGGAGTGATTTGTGAGTGAGCCCACACCTGTTTGAAACCATTTGGGACTTCTCCGACCTGCGAATTCGCTGACTCTGTAGAAGGCGAGAAAGAGTCGATCCCATCTAAGAAGTCAGAGAACTCATTCTCCGATTGTCTAACATGAGCCTCGCTTTGTCCAACCCTCAGACCACTTGAGCCTCTTCCGGGAGGCTGACTTGGCGACTGAACTAGCTTTGAACCTTCCGCCCATGAACTTTCTCCTGGAGTTCTAGTAGAAGACTGGCCCTTTCCAGCATTTGAAAGAGCAGCAGCAGCTTGCTCATTCAGCTCATTCCCACCTGGACTCCCAAAAGCACTACGTGTTAAGCCACTTGCAGAAGCGGCAACTCTTGATAAAAATGACGGTTCCGCTGTGTCTTCAGAGTTATTGAGTTCTCCATCTTCGTCACCTGTGGCCGGACTCTTGCCCTTGGAACTGCTCATCTCGAGTCTGGATTTGGTCAAGATCGTGTCGACATAGTTGAGAGAGAACTCGGAGAAAGTGGTTCGACTTCATGGCCGAACGTTGCCGGATGAAGCACATGCTTTGGCCCATTTTTCTTTATCACCACGTGATTCGAAGCTGCCCAAATGCGATGATCCAATGGGAGCTCTTGGAATAGTGAGGCTTTTGATGAAGCTTGTATGGCTGATACGAGCTGGCCGGAGTCCGACGTTGAGGAAGTCCAGCGGACGAGGTTAGTTTCCGTGATGGTGGTACCGGAAAGACATTCGATGGAGAGGACCGACCAAGAGTCTTCAATACCTGGATGTGTTCGTTGTACTTGTAAAGACAGTAGGATTTCATGATGTGTCACAATAGGGGAAAAGTACATAGGTAGACAGTAACAAGACTTTCAACCTTGTCATCGATGCATGGAGATAACCTTATTTCGCACCCAAGGGCATCAAGCTTCGGTCCCAAGGCTGTACATATGAGTGTTGAGGGGGTGACATGCATGCCAAAGCAGGGAAACACTGCATCCATGGAAGTACTTGTCCAGGTTGAGGTACACCAGTACAGCTGAAAATTGCAATGTATTCGAGACTTGACTTGGCGCAAAGAGATGGACAGAACTTTCAAAGAAATGCGGTTGAGTGAGAGATATACCAACTGGAATGCTCTTTCGTCTCTGGCTATATAGTAGAAGACACAAGTGTAACCCGATTCACCGGCGTTGAAAAGATAAACGCAAAGGAGAATAATGCACGTCCACGTTGTGTACACTTGGTTTTGGAGGTTGGTCGCGCTTCGGCTGTGATGACCTAGCGAGGTGATTTTGCGTCTCTGTCGACTTCATCGACGCCCCACCGAACCTGGCAACTTAGAAAGCAACTCTGCCTTTGACCTCACCACATCGCATTCGCACAACCCTTCTTGCAACAACCTCCGACCTCATACCTTCAATCATTCACGATCCGCCGTCGCTCTCGAACTCTTCCGCCGCCCCTCTGACATAACCCCTCCACACCGATCCTTCCTTCCACAACCTGTTTCGGGGATCCGTTACCCTTGCTGCTTCTCAAGTTTCCCCTCAGCCTTCGGTGCGTCAGACAGCTGCGCAGCTCTGGCACGACTCGACGCGATCGAGCATAGACACAGTCTCTTCCATCCTCCGCCATACCCCGATCTACAACTGTTGGCGAGGAGTCTTCTCGTCTTCCGGGCTGTAAAAGATGGTAGAAGGGGAACCGAACTCTCCAACATGGAAGTTCACACAGTCAGTCACTCCGCGTCACCTTTGGTACCCCGTATCGCTTGGTGGTTTGTTGATGGGCTATGATCCGTGTTATCTGGGTGCAACTTTGTGCTTCAAGCCGCGCGTATAATAACAATTGCTAACGTATTTATCAGATGTTTTGGCGACAAGGGAGATGTGGAGGATATCACTGAAGGTTTGTAGTGGTTTAGATCTATCCAACATGCTGTCTATACGATGTTTCCCTCGTGGACTCCAGTGTCTGATTTCGCCTCCAAAGTGTGGTGCTGACATATTATAACTGTAGCCGATATCATCTCGACTGTCGAATTCGACCATACCGGCAATTATCTTGCGACTGGAGACAAAGGAGGACGAGTGGTATTATTTGAAAGGAACGAGACTGTACGTGCACCTCGTACAAGTTACTTTATAGCAGCGCAAGATATCCTGCCTACAGTTTGCTAACGTCTCGTACAGAAAAAGACATGCGAGTATAAGTTCCATACTGAATTTCAATCTCACGAACCCGAATTCGACTACCTCAAATCTCTCGAAATAGAGGAAAAGATCAATAAGATCAAGTGGTGCAGAAGACAAAATGCATCCCATTACCTCCTCTCTACAAATGATAAGACTATCAAGTTATGGAAGGTTTTTGAGAAGTCCTTGAAAGTAGTGGCCGAAAACAACCTCTCGCACGACTTGACCCCAGGAAATACTGCAGGAGGTGGTGGTGCTGTTCGACCTATCTCGAGTGTTCATTTCAATAGCGCTCACGACCTCAAACTACCCCGCCTCACCCATCACGATACTGTCGTAGCAGCAGTACCTCGCCGAACGTATGCCAACGCTCATGCATATCATATCAACAGCATCTCGGTCAATAGCGATGGAGAGACCTTCATCAGCAGCGATGACTTGAGGATAAACCTCTGGAATTTGAATATTCAAGACCAGAGCTTCAACATTGTGGACATCAAGCCAGCAAACATGGAGGAGTTGACTGAAGTCATCACGGCCGCAGAATTTCATCCACAGAGCTGCAATTGGTTCATGTATGCAAGCTCAAAAGGTACAATCAAGCTTGCAGACATGAGAGAGAGCGCTCTGTGTGATCAACATGCTAAGCGTAAGTGGATCAGATTATTGTAATCTATCTTTGCAATTTATTAACATCTATTTGCTAGAATTCGAACAAGAGGAAGACCCATCTGCAAGATCCTTCTTCTCTGAGATCATCTCGTCCATATCCGATGTTCGATTCTCTCATGATGGTCGCTATATTCTCTCACGTGATTACCTCACTGTCAAGATCTGGGATGTCAACATGGAGAGGCAACCAGTCAAGACTATCCCTATCCATGAACACCTCCGACCTCGCCTCTGTGATACTTACGAGAATGACAGCATCTTCGATAAATTCGAGGTTGTCTTCTCTGGTGATGCCAAGAATGTCATGACAGGAAGTTATAACAACAACTTCATGATCTATCCTTCGGACCCAGACAAAGAAGTCGAAGTTGTTCTCCAGGCTGACAAGTCGGCATTTAAAGCCAAGAAAGTTGGCGTTCCCACTCCAATTAACTCCTCAACCAGTCCCACAGCTACTAATGGCGGCAAGAAGGGTGGTTCAAGAGCTGGCAGTCCTGCAGCTGGTGCTTCTGGCCAAGGCGGTAGAATGAGAAAAGAGACCGACGCAGACCAGATCGACTTCAACAAGAAAATCTTGCATATGAGCTGGCATCCATTTGAAGATAGCATTGCCATTGCGGCTACCAACAACGTGAGTTCATCTCATTTTGGAAATACCGGTGTACATTGCTAATAGATAATAGCTTTTCGTCTTCTCGGCATTGTAGACTGTTTGTTCTGCGAAAGAGGTCTCTTGGTCATTATATCGGCGTTCATAAATGGCTAGCTGCAGCATCACCAGATTCATGATCTCAGAGTTAACAATTCCGTGCATGCTCTGAGGATTTTCGGTTATGAGAAACGGCCCAGTATCATTGTGGCGGAGAGATGCCACAAATCCATGGAGGAGGCTGGTTGGGATGACTGAGATGGTGGTAACAGTTGTCCTGATCCAGCGGGGACCTGGTTTGTTTTGCAGTCTGCTTAACGTCCGAAAGAACTCGTTTCTGGAGGGTTGAGAAGCTTGCAGAGGTTGTCACTTCAGCAAGGTTTTTCAGCGATCACGTACACTAGTTCATTCGCAGATGAATAATGCAAGAGATTTCAATATTATCATTATGCCTCTGAGATGTGATCCGGGCGGTCCCTGGCGTGCAAGCGGTCAATAAAAGCGGTCTGAGTAAAGAATAGGAGATGCTTGTCGTAAGTGAGAGAGAGAGAGGCCCACATTAACCCAAAGCCATATTTAAGACGAGTCGTTGTTTACTGAAGATATCGAAGTAATTAGAACAGTATGAGAATTGTCTAGCTTCTTATGAAACGTTAACAACTTCTGTTTAATTTTGTATATCGAGTCCAGGTAATTAGCTACAGTACGACAGCTGTTGACACTAACTAGTCTGACTCCGGATTCATGCTTCCTGGGGGCACTGTCTCTCCCAGCTCAGACCCGCACGCACAGCATTGCAGCATCGATCGCAGTGCTGGCATTTAAGCATATTTCGATGTGACCTTCCCCTTCCAAGCCATCGTCGTCCGCATCCGCATTCTATTCCTGGCTGGGCTCTCGGGATTTTGTGCCTGTTCTTGCCCTGACCAAGCCACAGCCGGCTGAGCCTGTCCTCTCCTGCGTGTCATTCATTCATTGCCGAATTGGCCCTAAACCTTACCCACTCATTATCCTGTGCAGTACGGGGCAACACACACACACACCACAGAGGCCAGCCAGGATCAATCCCCTCCATCGAATGAGCTGCCTGCCTATGATGCTGGATGATCAAATTTTGCCATTTTCCTGCCTGCTTGATCGTTCACTCTGCTCCTAACTCACTTCGGCACTGGGCCTTAGTCTCCGTAGTGTGATATCACACTTCAGTTAAAGTAAGTCGGCGTCCTAGTCAGCATGGAGGGACCGTGTTGCTTTCTGTTCATCTACGTGTCAGCTCGCGACTCCTTTCTCGCAAACTTTCTGCCTGGCCTCGCCGTGCCCAGCTCTTGCAGAAATCATCTCGAATGGCTCGTAAACGCAGAGCTGACTCCAGCAGTACTCAGTCCAGCCCCATGACAGTCCCGCGTCGAAGGTCGACATTACGAGAGCTCCAAGCTTCCACGACGACTGATGGCGATGTCTTAACCCCCAAAGTCATTGACGCGCGACCATCCTTGGAAAAGGCTGAGATGTATGGCATAGACGATCCACGACCGGCTTCCTCGAGAATGATGGGGTTATTGGGGCGCATATTCATTGAGACAATTCCACAATGGCTTGCAGTTGGTGCTATGCTCGGGTTGATCTTTGGCGGTTGCTGCTCAAATGTGAGTCTTGCTATGGTACGGATGCTTGGGATATGGCAGAGAAGCTCATAAATCCTATAGGTTTTTGCGCTGGAAGCTATAGTGAAGTAAGTCTTAGACACTTGCTTTTGGCTTAAAGAAAGCAGTTGCTAATACTATCTACAGTGTAGAGCCGGACAGTGGTATGTTCTTGAAGAGGCGTAGTACTTCTCAGATCTGACGGGACGTAGGAACACTTTTGACCTTTGTTCAATTCATCTTCGTGGCCACTACAGGATACTTTTCGCAGTTCGACCGGACCCGACCTCCTTTCTTCCTCACGCCGAATCACGTACCCATAAAACGATGGATGATAAATATACTTTTGTTCTTCACCATCAACGTCCTGAATAACCACGCCTTCAGCTACAACATCTCGGTACCAATACATATTATTCTCCGGTCTGGAGGAAGCATCACTACTCTGATCGCTGGATATATTTGGGGGAAGCGTTTCTCTAGGTTGCAAGTGATTGCAGTCACTCTTTTGACAATTGGTGTGATCGTTGCGGCATGGTCGGATCAACAGTCTAAAGTACGGTGCTTAAGAAGGAAGAGCAAGAATGCAGCTAACAAGTCTATAGAAAGATATTGCAACTTCTGAAGAAAGACCCGCGTTCAGTACTGGCCTCGTCATACTCTTTGTTGCGCAAGTTCTGTCAGCTATTATGGGCTTGTATACAGAAGAAACATACAAGGCATACGGACCCCATTGGAAAGAGAACCTCTTCTACTCACACCTCCTGGCCTTACCTCTCTTTATACCATTCCTACCTTCAATGAGGAGGCAATTCATAAAGCTGGCAGCTTCTCCCCCTCTGGGTCTTCCAGTATATGACCAAATCTCGAACCTACCTCCTGAATTTCAGAAAGGCTTGGATACTGTCCAGATCCCGAGTCAGCTTGTCTACCTCGTCATGAATGTTCTGACGCAATATGCGTGCATTCGAGGTGTAAATTTACTGGCTTCCGCAGCTTCGGCCCTGACAGTCACGATAGTACTAAATGTCAGGAAGTTGGTCAGTCTTTTGCTGAGCATCTGGCTATTTGGGAATAGGCTTTCACCTGGAACGCTACTTGGAGCTTTCATTGTATTCTTCGCTGGAGGAATGTATGGATTGGAAGGATCCAAGAGCTCTGGTAGAGCCAGACATAGAGCCAGTATTGGTAACGGCAAAGTAGGATAGTGTAGAGAAAAACCTTATTTGCCAATGATAAGAGACATTGAATATGTTTGCTTTTTCACGTGTTGGCGCGGTGAGCAACAATAGGCGAGTTGACTTGATCGGTGAGCTCAAGAAACTACTGGGTAGCTCTTCTCCCCAAATTCAGCCTTGTGATTTCCAAAAGTACCTTGTGCAAGAAAATTACTTGATACTCCACGTCCATCTTGAATTCTACCATCAATCTACCTTTGCACCTTTCAACAGCGCGTGAACAATCAAAGTTGGTAGCCATGGCTCCTGGTAAGCTCCATGCTCCACAATCTGCCCCGCAACGAGAGCTAGAATTCCAACCTTGAAAGTCCCCGCCAAAGACTGAGAATTCTTTTACCTTAGGGACTACCTCTCACATCCTCGATTCGGAGTCGAATTCCCCAAAACTGGGGTCCTCAACAGAACCTCAGACAGATCACTTATCCGAAGACGGAGAGGATGAATATAAGATGAGTCACGAAACAGGCCGCACTGGAGCAGGTTCGGAAGATTCATGGGACGAGAGGGAAGACAAAGAGGACGCGTTATTACCAGAAGCTGCCATGATGGCAGAAGAGACGCCTGCGACAAGCTCGCCCTCGGATACACAGGAGGGAATGCTGCCTCGAGACATGCAAAGGAAGACGGCATACTATGATTACGCTGCTGAGAAGCAATTGAGTCAGGCGGATGCAAAGCTATTCTACCAGCGAAGTCAATTGGAGGCTCAGAAGACGGGTGGCAGCAATTGGGGCGCTTCTCAAAGCTCTCCTCGCGGAAGCCCGGTCCTCGTCCCCAGGTCGGTGTCGAGCTTCTTTGAGGCGGATCAAGCTGGGTTGAGGAGGTCAGGTAGCATAAATTCTATGAAAAGTGGACAGCATGCTACGCAGAGGTTAGATTCTGTTACCTCCTACAAACCTCAAATACTAAACAATTATAGCTCTGGGAAATACAGACCTGCATTCCCCGTCGGTTTGGCTGATTTGTCAAAGCATCCCGAAAGCAATACCATACAGGAACCTTCGATAGCTGCTGCAAACAATTTCCACAATAGCCCAATCTCTCTTCCTCGCACAGAATCACTGCTCCGAGCAGACCAAGCTGCAAGAGATCATGCCGCACACCCAGGTCTACCTCATGAACCGAAGCCGTTCTTAGAGACCCAAGGTCTCCACGGAGCCGGGGCAGGAATTGGCGTAGGGAGTGGTGCAGGCGGGCTTGCTAGCAATGATGCGAATATCACTTCCGAGCTTAGTACAATCTATACCAATATTCAAAAGGTGCTAGATATTCGACACAAGTATATTCGTCTTTCCTTGCAGAGCGATGGAGACAACCCAAAAGACGACCCGAATTGGAATATCTATCCTCCTCCTCCAGAGCCTGCTTGGTATGAGGAGCGAGACAAAGCAGGCCCAAGTACTACGAATGGCAAGAATAGCCAGAATAATAGTATGGCTAGCAGCATGGTTCTTCCTCCACTGGAGAGGCCTAAGACGAGAGACGGTGAGCACAGCAGGAATTTCAGTTCTATGAATCTACCTGCAACTCCTCAAAGTCCCAAAATCTCTAAAACTCCGAAAAAGAAAAGAAAGCCTGGTCAGGACATTGGCGAAGATTTTGACATCGAGGATGTTCTACCTGTTCCCGGGCCTGGTGAGATGAGTTTCCGTCTCGATGGCAATAGCGTCTATCAAATCTACGAGAACTCCAAAGCCGAGGAGTTGGACACTCCGGTGATCAACATCCCTACAATCCGAGAGTTTTACATGGATCTAGAAGATATCCTGAATGTGTCCTCAGATGGCCCAAGCAAGAGTTTCGCCTTTCGACGATTGCAGTATCTTGAAGGCAAATTTAATCTGTATGTGCTACTCAACGAATATCAGGAGATGGCGGACAGCAAGAGAGTCCCTCACAGAGATTTTTACAACGTCAGAAAGGTGGATACTCACGTCCATCATTCGGCATGTATGAATCAGAAGCATTTGCTGCGATTCATTAAGAGTAAGATGAAGAAATGTCCAGATGAGGTTGTGATGTTTCGAGATGGCAAACATCTCACTCTAGAAGAGGTGTTCCAGAGCATCAATTTGACGGCGTACGATCTGAGTATCGATACGCTGGATATGCATGTGAGTTTCAACTTACAAGAATGCTGTACAGCAGCTAATCATATCCAGGCTCACACAGACTCGTTTCATAGATTCGACAAGTTCAATCTGAAGTACAACCCAATTGGCGAATCCAGATTGAGAACTATCTTCCTCAAGACGGACAATTTCATCAATGGTAGATACCTGGCTGAGATCACTAAAGAGGTTATTTCCGATCTTGAGTCTAGCAAATATCAGATGGCTGAGTGGCGTATCTCGATATACGGACGAGCTATCGATGAATGGGATAAGCTTGCAGCGTGGGTCGTTGACAACAAGCTCTTCTCCCACAACATCCGGTGGCTAATCCAAGTTCCTCGTTTGTTCGATGTCTACAAATCGAGTGGCTTGATGCAGAATTTCGAGGAGGTCCTCATTAATCTCTTTCAACCTCTTTTCGAGGTGACGAAGGACCCTTCCAGTCATCCAAAGCTTCATATCTTCTTGCAAAGGGTCATTGGCTTTGACAGTGTTGATGATGAGAGCAAGCCAGAACGTCGATTATTCAGAAAGTTTCCTGTGCCTAAAGTTTGGGACTCGAAACAAAATCCTCCTTACAGCTACTGGATCTACTACCTTTTCGCAAACATGGCCTCGCTGAATGTCTGGCGAAAACAGCGAGGTTTCAACACTTTTGTACTGCGTCCTCATTGTGGAGAAGCTGGCGATACGGATCATTTGGCTGCTGCTGTTCTTTGCTGTCATAGTATCAGTCACGGTCTATTACTTCGTAAGGTACCCCTTCTGCAATACATTTTCTATCTCGAGCAGATCGGTGTTGCGATGTCTCCGCTCAGCAACAATGCACTGTTCTTGGCATACGAGAGAAATCCGTTCTTGCAGTATTTCAAGAGAGGCTTGAACGTTTCGTTGTCTACTGATGATCCTCTTCAATTTGCGTTTACGAAGGAGCCTTTGATTGAGGAGTACTCGGTCGCTGCACAGATTTACAAGTTGAGTGCTGTGGATATGTGCGAGCTTGCTAAGAACTCGGTCACCCAAAGCGGTTTTGAACATACTATTAAGCAGAGATGGCTTGGTCCAGATTATTATCTGCCAGGTGTCAAGGGAAACACTATGGCGAAGAGCAACGTGCCAAATATTCGAGAAGGTTTCAGGCATGAGACTCTGTTGCAGGAGCTTGCAATGTAAGTCGTTCTCACCATCATGAAAAATCGATCAGTTGACACTTATAGGATTGCACGATACACTGCAGCTGCAACACCAACTCCAGCATCAGCGAGCACAGTCTCACAATTGCCCTTCGCACCCCAGCACCGACCAGCTTCACCAACATCGTCCCTGAAGACCAATGCATCTACGAGTACAATGCACCTCGATTCGAGTTCTCAAGCCTACCAACAGTTCCCAGCACAAGCCGCTCGAATCCCGAACTCCCACTCGCAGCTTCACATCGATTCTCAACAGCCAAGAATGAACCAGGCACAAGAAGGACATCAATCCCAGCCAACATCATCTCGTGACCACACCCGCCAGAATTCCACCTCGATAACCTCGCCAAACCTCGCAGGCCTCACGAGAGAGACTTCTTGGCCGGTAGAAGCATTTGGCGATCTTCACCTTTCTGGCAGCGAACCGAGGATCTTTCCTGGTGTGGTGAGCAGGACACAGAGAAGAGATAGTCTGGTTAGGAAGAGTAGCATGAGTGAGACGGATGATATTGCGAGTGCGGGGACCTCGAGGAAGAGTGGGACGGGCACTTGGAAGAGTAAGGGGAAGGAGAGCATTGAGATGGATGGCGCAGTGACGGAGGAGGAGGCTGAGGAGGAGATGGAGGAGAGTGATGGGGATATGGAGGAGGCTGGGGGCATGGATGAGTAGAATGGGAAACGTCTTTGAATTTGGGATGGTTGGGCGTTATTAGACATTTCTGGTTGAGGAGTGATGCAAAAGAATGGGATCAATTAGAATGATAGTAAAGGGACGAAACATTAGTTGGTGTAGGTTTATTGTAGATGTATACCCTGTTCGCTCGCTCTTAAGCTTCTAGAAGCGAAGAAATGTATGATTATGATGAGAAACGCTTGCTGTTTTGCTGTGATTTCTGAGGTTGATGTGAATGCCCCTCCAAGTCCGAAGGTCTGTTAGTATCGTGAATGTCGGGCAGTGGCCAGATATTGGGAAAGTTTTAAAGTCACAAAATTCCATGAACATTGGACTCCAGACTTTAGGAAGTCTTCAATATCACAAAGTCTCATGAACATTAGAGTCCACCCAAGTTCCACCCACTTGCGAAGAATGAACGCCTATACATCCAGACAACTAGCCTTATCTTGTTTATAAATTCCAACCCGAACATTGAATCTCTACCAAAGACCAGCCAAAGATTATTTATTGTACTGTACATACCTTCCCATCACATCATCGTCGACTCGTGAAAATTGTCCGAAAACAAAGAGGATAATCATCGGCCATCCAAAGTGCGGAACAGAAGCACGCACTTCCGACATCGCAGCACAAGGTTTTCGGAATCGCGAGAAAGAGAAAAATGATCTGCAATGCACTGCCGTCGGTTTGTCATCCCGACTGGTGTTGTACTGTAATCGATGATTGATCATTGATGGATGTATGGTACAAGGGAAGGGCGGGGCCGAGGATGCGGCTAAGATAGGTAGATAATGCATGTACAACGGTCGTGATGGAAGGGGAAGGAAGACTTTTCCTGGATACGGTAGATGGGACATCTTTGAATTCTAGGTTTTTTTTAGTTCGCGGTCTGATTTGAGTTCGCTCGCGCCTGCTGTATCCAGTCGAGAGGAAGGTTTAAGTGAGGGGTAGACAGAGAGGTCTTCACGTTTATCTTAAAGCGAGAGAGCAGATTGAGGAACATTGGGCGAGATGGCGAGTTCAAACGAAAATCACAATGGTCTAGAGAGAGAGGGATCCATCAAAGACCAAGATCCAGACACGAAGAATGCCTTCGCCACACGAACGAGCTTCAACCCGGACCAAGACGGCGACAGAGAAGGCGAGGAATCCATCGAAGAGCTCACCGTCCAAGAGAAGAAACTGGTGCGGAAGATAGACTGGCGATTATGTACCATCGCCGGGATCCTATGTAGTCTCAACCTACTCGACTCGGGCATCATCTCGAGCGCCTCGGTTACGAGTATCTTTGAAGATCTGGGGCTCGGGGTAGGGAATAGGTATTCGGTGTCGATCCTGGTGTATACGGTTGCGTCGGTTACGTTCCAGCTTCCGGCTACGTTGCTAGTGAGGTGGTTAGGGCCGAGGGCTATGTTTGGGTGTATTACTGTTATGTTTGGGGTTATTACTATGGTGAGTGGGTCCTTTGGGTTGGATAGGATGAGAGAGGCTGATGAGAGTAGTGTACTGCTTTTATTACTACTTGGACGCAGATGGTCGGGTTGAGGATACTGCTTGGGATTGCTCAAAGTGCTATCTTTCCAGGTCTTAGCTATCTTATTAGCACGTGGTATACCAGTATGTCAAATTCCGCGTTTCTTTTGTGTTCCTCATGAGAGTCAGCTATTCAGGATCATCCTCGAAGGAGGCTTATCAAAGACGATGTGCTTCCAGATATCTGTCAAAATTGTCTACTGATTCGTCTATAGGAAAGGAGCAGCAGTTGAGGTTTGCTTTCCTCCAATCTGGAGAAGTGACTATCGTTGGTCTTGGAGGCTTCCTCAACTTTGGTCTCAATCACTTGAACGGAAAAGGTGGTCTTGCCGGCTGGCGATGGATGTTTCTTGTCCAAGGCTTGATTGCTATTGGTAAGAAAAGCTTGTCGTGATAAATCTCGCACACTGATGCCATATAGTCGTAGGCTTTGCTACTTTCTGGTGGATTCCCGAGTTTCCAGACAATGCTCAGAAGAGCTTCCACTTCTTGACAGCCGAAGAGCAAGACTTAGCCATGTCCAGAGTCCAGGATGACCGTGGAGATGTAAAAGTCGAAGAGTTTGCCTGGCGAAAGTGTCTCGTGCACTTTGCGAATCCCATGCTCTATGGCTTCTGCTCGTTATACTTCTGCCTGAACCTCGTCTCGACCAGTCTTTCGTACTTTCTACCTATCATCTTGCAGTCTGGTATGGGATTCTCTGAGGATCAAGCAATTCTTCTTTCGGCGCCTCCTTACTTCTATGCCGTCATCCCGGTGATCATCTCTAGCATTGTAGGAGACTACTACCAGCTTCGAGGACTCGTCATCACGTTCAATTGTGTATGTACAATCATAGGATTCAGTATGCTTGGCTTCTCCTCTCAGGTCACCGTTCGTTATGTTGGAACCTATCTTGCAACTGGCGCCTACGTCAGTAACTGGGCTGCGATGACTGCCTATCAAACCTCAAACATCGTTGGGTAAGTGATCCTTCTGCCAAGACTTGGTGCTTCCCTGAGTACTGACAAATGTTTTCCAGACAATGGAAGAGAGCTACCTTTGCTGCAGCCATTACAGCTTGTAATGGTCTCGGAGGAATCGCAGGCAGCTTCATTGTGAGACAAAAGGAAGCCCCACGATATATGACAGCGATTTGGGTGAGCATTGGCTCCCACATCCTGATCATTGGCATCGTGGCGGTATTCACAATGTACTTCTGGTACGCGAATAACAAACAAAGGAAAGGTAAAATGTTGGTTGAGCGGACGATGAACTTCAGATATACTTTTTAATGCCGAGGTTTTGTATGCGGCAGCAGGGAGTTGTTGCTAAATTGCACTTTTGACACACTTTATGCATGATCCCCGTTCAGGCAGCGTTGCTGGAGATTATTCATGTTACATGACATTTTAGACGGAAGTACCCTCGAAAAAAGTTCGATCATTGAATTACGCTTAATGTCTGTTATTAATTGAAAGATCAAAAAAAATTAAGAATGTCTGTAGCGATAAAGAATACCAGATAATTCTATCAGATTCACACAATATAGAAGTTTAAATCCAATGTGACGTCCTTTTTTATGGGAGCCGTCTAGCGAAGCGGGCCCGCCGCCACCTTAGCGAATCGAGGCTTTATGTCGTATCGTGGAAATCAACATCCTCCACAATTCAACAGCTCCTATTCCCTTCTCGACCTTCCTCCTTATCCTCACTGGCAGCAGCAAGTGCTTATTCAGCTATTTTCCTCGGCCTGGATCCTGTGCACGTCTCGTGCTGTATCTCCCAGGACGCAAACGATATACTGTAAGCTTCCAATTTCGTGGTAGCCCGGAATCGCGGCCTCGAAGCTTGGAAGTTGGAACGGACCTCCCGAAATTACATGGGGCTATCTCAAGAGCGGTTCGCAGGACAATAACCACCTTGAACTATTCACGAGGGTTTCCCTGGCCTCTGCCAGTCTGCTTAGGTTGTTGCTGAAAGAATGGGTTTCCTCGGCGTCTACAGAGCAATATACGATTATGCGCCGCAAGGCGAGTCGGAGCTTGCTATTTCTGAGGGGGATATACTCTACGTCCTAGAGAAGAGCGGAGAGGACGACTGGTGGAGGGCAAAGAAGAAGGCTTCTGGTGAAGATGACGACGAGCCTGTTGGTCTGATACCCAATAACTATGTTGAAGAGGTACGTGCCTGCTTGGCTGCTCTACGTGGTTATTTATCTGCCTTGGATCTATTGTGTATATATATACACACGGCTTTTTCGAAGTGATATGATGCACCAGAAGATCTGCGGTGAAATATGCACAAGAATTGAATATGCTAACTGTGGTACAGGCTCAGCCATCGGCTCATGCTCGCGCCCTTTACGACTATACTCGACAAACGGATGAAGAGCTATCATTCACGGAAGATTCCCAGCTAGAAGTGTTTGATACTACAGACCCAGATTGGATATTGGTAGGACTTGACGGAGAATATGGGTTTGCGCCAGCCAACTATATTGAGGTGTCAGATGAGGCTCCTGCTTCAACTCCCGCAGCCTCTACCTCAGCACCTCCGAGCCTGCCCCGACGGCCTGCACAAGTGGAAGAAGAGGAAGAACCAGAACCATCGCCTCCATCGCCACAGTCGCCTGTTCATAACCCAGCTGCGGCATTGGCAGGTATCATAAATCAGCGAAAGGCTTCTGCTCCATCAGCTCGAGCACCCCCGCCACAATTCACGCCTGAAGCATCAGATGAGGACGAGGGACCAACACCCTCATTGCCAGCGCGTCCAGGATCAATAGCCAGATCACCTGAGCCCGTCGAGCCCTATAGGTCGCCCTCCTCATCAGGTGGACCACAAGCCTCACCACCTTACAACAGAGCGAGCTTCAACAGAGGTATTGACGATGAAGTTGCCCACCATGCACCAGGTGGTTTCCACATGTATAACATCAATGAGATGGTTGAGGTTATGGGGAAGCGGAAGAAGATGCCCACAACATTGGGAATCAATACCGCCACAGGTGTGATCTTGATTGCTCCTGAGAAAGCAAGGGATGGCCCGGAACAGAAATGGACAGCAGATCAAATGACGCATTACTCGATTGAGGGGAAGCACATCTTCATGGAGCTTGTAAAGCCAAGCAAAAGTATCGACTTCCACGCGGGGGCAAAAGATACTGCACAAGAGATTGTGAGCGCTCTTGGAGAGCTCGCAGGTGCCGTACGTGCTGGAGGATTGCGAGAGATCATATTTGCAGGCTCGGGAACTTCACAGAAGAAAGGACAGGTTCTTTATGACTTTATGGCACAAGGAGAGGACGAGGTTACAGTCGCTGTGGGAGATGAGGTAATTGTTATCGACGATACTAAGAGCGAAGAATGGTGGCAGGTTCGGCGACTTCGAAATGGAAAAGAAGGAGTCGTTCCTAGCAGCTATGTCGAAATTACTGGAACTGTCACAACGAGTAGCAACTCTGGGGTCAATGCTGGGAAATCACTCGTCGAACAAAACAGACTCGAAGAAGAGCGCTTGGCAAAGGAATCTTTGAAAGCAGCTCGGAGAGAGGAGGAATCGAGAGGGTCAGAGGTAGGCCCTGGGATGCGCCTGCCCGAAAGAAACAGTAGTTTGTCGGCGCGAGATAGTAACAACCATGGCCAACAGAGGAGAAATGACGGTCGACACGATACCCAGTCACGATCTTCGAAATCGAGTAAGTTTCCCTTTTGGAGCATAGACAGACCTCAAAGTCCTACAACACTGGGGACTTTGGTGCCTGATTAATTTCAGAGTCGTCGATTTGATACTAACATCACTAGAACCTGATCCATCGAAAGTACGGACATGGACCGATCGATCGAAATCATTCAGTGTAGAAGCTCAATTCTTGGCGTTGAAGGATGGAAAGATCAACCTCCATAAGATGAATGGCGTGAAAATCGCTGTACCGGTGTCCAAAATGTCCATTGAAGATTTGGAGTATGTGGAGAGAACTACAGGGGTATCTCTTGACGAAGACAAGCCACTTTCGGACATCAAAAAGCAGCAAGCTCGACAACAAGAGAGATCCAGAGATGCTAGCGGAGGGAGTGCTCCCTCAGCCGGCGCTACCATTGAACGTCCGCCTGGAAAACCAGAGTATGATTGGTTCCAATTCTTCTTATCTTGCGACGTTGCTGTTGGCCTTTGTGAGAGATATGCACAAGCATTTAATCGAGATTCTATGGACGAAAGCGTCTTACCAGATATTGATGCAACTGTCCTTCGGACACTTGGTCTCCGAGAAGGCGACATCATCAAGGTCATGCGGTTCTTGGACAAGAAGTATAATCGAGCCGGAGCCAAGCGAAATGTTAGCTTTGGTGGTGAAGAAGTCATTGATGGCGAATCATCCGGAGGTCTTTTCTCTGGTCCAGGTGGGACCTTGAAGAATAACACACGCAAAGGACGCCCGGCCCCTGCTGTTCAGACAAATGACACTGTTGATCCGGATGCTTTCAAGCAAGAACCGAAGGAGAGGAAGTCCGAAGGCGTTGCAACTCCTCTTGCATCGGTGCCAACACCTGCTCAAAAGGATATGGTCAGAAGTGGATTCGATGATGATGCTTGGGATGTGAAACCATCAAAGCAGCCTGCTCCAGCAACTACAAGTCAACCTTCACAGCCTGCTCCTGCACCGGCTCCAGCAGCTCCTGCCTTAACAGGTGGAATGCAAGAACTCTCACTCCTCTCTCAACCGCTTGAACCAGTCAAGGCCCAACCTACCGCACCTCCTCAACCACCCCCACAGATGGTGCAACCACAACAACAGCAACAACAAGCCCCCCAACCTCCACCAGTGACACCTTCTATTTTTGCTGGCATTGGCAATCAACAGACAGGTTTGGCACCTCAGCAGACTGGTGCACTGAATCCACAGTTCAACCAGATGAACCAGATGAACTCTGGTCTAAATATCGCGCGTCAACGACCAGCGCCGGCACAGCAGTATCAAAGCCAAGGCTCGCTAATGATTCCTGCTCCACCAAGCAGACCATTGTCTGCACCTAACGCGAATCAGCAAAGTGCTTTTTCGTTGCCCCCATTGCAACCCCAGGCCACTGGCATGCAGACATCAGCAGGCTATCAGCCACAGATTGCTCCACCTGGTCAAAGCCTGAATGACCTGAGATTGCAGCAACAATACACTAGCTTCAATGGCATTCAAAATGGCCTTCAAACACCTCAAACGGGCTTTCAGAACCAGCAGCAGCAGCAGCAGCCGCCACAGAATTTCAACCAATTCAATCCTGGAATGCAACAAAATGGTGGCTTCCAATATCCAATGCAGACCGGCATGCCTCAACAGAATTTCATGAACAACGGCATGAATAATGGAGGTGGACCATTCGCCGATCCACGGCCGCAGCAATTCCCTCCTATCCAGCCTCAGCCTACAGGCTTCCAGAGTTCCTTCCCTCAACAGCAACAATACCCGCAACCTACCGGGGTCAACTCTTTCCTTCCTCCACCTTTGCAACCTACACCTACTGGCGCCCAACCCCAGAATGGCTTTCAACCCTCCTTCAATGCTCCTCCAGTGCCTCCTATTCCTCAACAACATGCAATGCAACCATTGTTGCCCCAGAAGACTGGACCTCCACCGCCTGTGAGATTTGGGGTGTCGGGCGACACCAAGAAGCTCATGCCTCAGGCTACTGGGCGTAGAGCAAACCTGTCTCAAGCTAGTAAGTGTCTGCTACGTGCGTTTGGCTAGACTGATACTGACTATTCTCAGCTCCTCAAAACCCCTTCGGTTTCTAGGCTGGTGCATCTGTATATTCACGTGGCAAGCGAATGTTTCTTCTGTAGAATAGGCTGGCATAGCATGTCGATGTTAATATCACGAATACCAGGGCTTCCTTTTTCATATGTGTCAAGTGATGCCTGCTGTGAATACAACAATCTCTGAAAGGTGCTTGTGGCAATATGGGAATATGCCGCTTTGTGTATGGATGCTCGATCCACTATTCTCTGCATAGTTTTGAATATCATGAGGTGCTTGAACTTGTTGCAAACTCTTTCCGGCCGTCTGTCATTCATGTTTTCCGTGGCATTTGACAGCAGAAACTCTCTACTTGATCCAGATATCTAGGGACTTTTAGGGAGAACCTTCTTCGGCCCCCTGTTTAAACTTCTGATGTCTTTCAGCTTAAAAAATCTTGTTTCTTCGCTCTCACGTGCATTGACCGAGTTCTGACTCGCCCAGCGCCTCGAAACAATATCTAATCGCAACTCTAAACAGATCTTCGTTTCGGCACATCATTTCGCACAGACATGTCATGCAACCACCCTTGGAGAAATTTATGGTTATTTCGCCTTGGCTTTTCTGACATCTCTGTGTGTGTCTTGCTACAAAGTTCGTTTGATCCCAAGTGTGAAAAGTTTAAACGAATGTCATCAATTTGCTCCGGAGGAGGGCATCGCCGGTCAGAATGGTGGATGCTGGTTCGTGAATTGTCACAGTTCGATTGAGGGCGAGAACCAAGGCCGTAACTGTGGACCTCCGAGTGGTTGCGGCTCAAACAGTGCGCTCTTTGGGTCTTTCCCGCGATTCGCAACCTGGGCTCTCTCTGTACTTCCTCTCCCCGGATGGTATTTTTGGGATCAATGCATGCACGTTTAATCATACCCGAAAAGAACGAAATTGTCACTGCTTCTTTCTTCCCGGGCTCAGAGTTATCTGATTGATCTACAGGAAACATGGTCATTGTTTGAGGGTCGTCCGGGATCATTCTCCGGATTTTTGCTGGTCTGATTGTTTCTGGTCGATCTTATAATTGAGAGCATTTCCTTGGCCTACTAAAAGAGGCTCTTTTCCCACGATCTCCCCTGGTTTTTTGATCTCTTCTTTTCTTTCTTTCTTCATCATACTTCTTCTTTCTGGGGCTCCACGTCCCATTCTCTTTCTTAATAATTTATAGAATTCTTTCCTTAGAGTTGGTTTTTTCGGCAATATGCGTGGACAGACATTCTTTTCTTACGCGCTGGTCGCTCTTGCTACTACGGCATATGCTGCTCCTTTCGTTGCGGGGACGGATGATTCGCTTGAGAAGAGGGATGCTTATACACCTGCCAATAAGCTTGCCAAGATTGGCACGGTGAATGTGGGGAGGGAATACTTTTATAGACGCCAAGACGATGCCGCGGCTGATGGAGAGGCGGCTGCTGCTGGGTAAGTCTGAGTTTACCCATTTCATCCTATTGTATTAATATGTATAGGGCTTCAAGTGTCACATCCATAAAGGCATCCGCGACCTCGAAGGCGGCTGGAAGTCTTGGGGCTGGAGCTGGGGCAACATCAGTCAAGAAATCGACATCAAAAGCTGCTGGAGGAGCTTCTGCAAAGACATCGGCTCCAAAGGCTGGTGCGACTTCAAAGGCGGCTGGTAGTATGGCTGGTGGTGCGGGTGCTACGTCAGTGAAGGCATCAACATCGAAGGCGGCTGGGAAGCCTACTGCTTCGAAGTCTGGTGCCGCTGCTAAGGGAACGACTCCTGTAAGTTGAATCTTGAAAGGATTATCTACCCTCCCACCTATAGTTAGACTTTTGAAGATACTGGAACACAATGATTTTCTTGTGGTATCATGACTTCTAGGACATCCCAAAAGACTCGGAACATTCCAAACTTTACCTCTACCCTTACTCATCCCATCTATTCTCCCCTCTCCATCTCCACACCTCAACTTCCACTAACACACACAGGCCGACCTCCCAGGCTGCCCCGCCCCCAACGGCGCCGGAGCCGCAGCAGGAACAGGAAAAGCCCCAAAAGCATCCAAAGCACCAGGAGGAGCCGCCGGTAACGACACAGTAAGTCCCACCCTCTCCCCTCCCCCCAATTTCAACACTCACCTAACGAAACCTACCAAAGGCCAAAGCAACCGGCAAGAAAGACGCAAGAGCCAATATCCTAGCCGGCACGGCACCAGCGACGACCAAGAAGCCGGGATCCACGGCTACCCCGCCGAAGCCGAGGGATTCGAAGGCCCCGCAGGGGTGTGATCCTACTAAGGTGAGTGGTCTTTCCATTGTGGCAGTCGTAGGGAGAGGGAATGAATGAATGCTGATGTGTGATGTGATTAGCCTCAAGTTGCTGGGCCTGATGCTGGGAAGCCTGCGAAGCCGATGGCTAGTTAGGTAGCAGAGATGGGTTGTGTATAGTTATAGTCTAGTGTGGTTTGGTTATTGTATAAAAGTATCTTGATGAGATGAATGGAATGGCATTGTCTCTCGTTGTGAGTTTGAGTCTTGAATGTTTGAGTGATAAGGTGTAAATATGGTAGGTATTTAAGTATCGACATAAGACTACTTAAAACAGAGGAGTAGGAACATAGTCATCAGCAGTAAGGCAATGCTTGATTGAGCACCAAATGAAGCGGAAGTAGACTCTGAGACACGCCTGGGTGCTCTTAAGAAGTAGTTCTGTACTAAGCGTATCTAGCCGTGTCTTATTATCCTGTCATTGGCTGACCATCCACCTTCTGCCTATCTAGCATGAAGTAAACATCCTAACTCATAAGTAGCTATACATTTTGGAATCTTATCCCTATCTCACAAAACCCCACAACCAATCTAACGCCCACAGTCCACCAACTCCACCATAACCCAGCCTTTATAAACGCCCACCTACCAATGATTATAAGTCCCCTTCTCCCCCGTATCACTCAACGAACTAACATTCACCACATGGCCCCCCTTAACCGCGCTCTCCAAATCCTTCTTCGAGATCTTACACCGCGCCGTATACCGACACGGCTTCTTCTCCCCAAAGAAACTCTCATCAGGACAACTCATGCCCCACAACTCCCACAGCAGCACCCAGACCACCAACCCCGTCGTCACACTCACCAACTGCAGACTATTCAATCCCTTCGCCGTCGGCAGCGCGAAGAAAATGACGCACACGGCGAACCGATTCAGCATGCGGTGTTTCTTCGAGATGCGCACCCCCTCGGCGTCCTTGTGGATGTGCGAGATGGAGATGATGCCCATGCAGAACAGGGCGAGGCCTAGGCCCACGCAGTAGAACCACCGCAGGCCGATGGGGATCTCGGGCTCGGATTTGGAGGTGTAGGTTGAGAGGAGGGCGTCGATGTTGGCGTCGCGGCAGTCGGTGGCGAGGACGAGTTTGGAGAGCGCGGAGGCGCCGAGCACGAAGGACATTACGAAGGGGAGGTGAGCGGTTCCCCAGATCATGGCTGGGTGTGTGGTGTTAGTGAGGTGCTGAGGAGGGAGGTGGGAGGGGAGGGGAGAGGTACCTGAGACGACATTGCGTCTGATGGCGTGTTGGTAGAGGTCTGCGCCATCGAGCTCGAAGTATAGCCAGTTGAAGCAGAATGCTTGGACGAGACCAAGTGCTGCTTTTCCGAAGAAAGCGTTCAGGCCGAATGAAGCGGCGTTTTGGTAGATGATAGCAACGACCGAATAGCCAAAAACCAATGTGACGAATGCGTTCGTCCTTTCTGTCTTGTGCTCAATGTTGACGGCGGGATAGAACTCAAAGACCTTGTCAACCCATGCTGCAAGGCGTTTCGAGACGAGCTTCGCTCCTCGGATGACGATGACTACACCTAATGCTGCACACAGGTCGAAGACGATGGCGATCCAGATAGCTGCTAGTCGATTTGGCATGTCGATGTAAATCGATCCAACCCAGATGGCAGATGGGATTAGTGCTAGGATTACTTGGACTATCATCATGCCTCGGATCATTGGGATAGTGATTGCGAGGATTATGAGATAGGAAGCCATGAAGAGGCGAGCAGCGAGGTAGAATGCTATTAACATCGAATAAGTAGTGTTAAATGCATCTAGCATGTTGGTCGTCAAGCTAGTATCATGTTAGACTGATTGTAAGGAAAGATTTGATTCTCAGACTCACCCAAGCAAGCATGCCATGATGAACATGACCGACAGTCTTTGCAAGATATCATCAGTCTCAAACCAACTAATGATCAGAGCCAGATCACTCCAGATCTTCCAAGACATGATGAATGTGATAGAAAACCGGAGGAGTTCATTTCCAGTTGGGTCTTCAGAAGCATGATCTCCGTTGATGGCAAGAATACCAACATAGAGAAGGTCGACGAACAGCTCGAAGGACGCTACTTCTGTGCTTCCTGATGCTCTCCATAAGAGGCCCTTGTGGAAGTATTGCCGGACAGTAGGCTGTAGATGTGGTTAGCATTAAAACACCCTCAAATTTCCGAACAAGAAAAGTCCCCAGTATCTTCACTCTCAAAGAAAACGAAATCTCATGCTATGAGTTTTCAAGCCTGTTTTCATCTCACACGGCATAGGTTTCATCTTCCTCAAATCTCAAGTTCAGATCAAGGATCAGTTTGGAACAAGAAATGCTCACCTTCTTATAAAGTTTCATAATCCTCCCATTTCTCTTCTCAGCCTCCCAATCCTTCTTCTCATGAGACTCAGAGTCATGAATCGACGACGCACTCGAACCCGGCGTCGAATCCGTATCATACGTCCTCAAATGAGCCGAATACCCATACTTCGAAAAATTAGCATCCAACGACACCGCATGATCCGTCAACATATGTCTACAATCATCATCAGTCTCAGTCTCAGTCTCAATCTCAAACCCACTCAACTCCCCTCCCCAACACAAGACAAAGAAATAACAAACTCACAGCTCACTCCCCAACGCATCCAACTCGGCCCTCACGCTCTCAAACTCATCAAAAACATCCTCGCCATGCCGTCGCCTTAGATCCTCCCGCCGACTCTCGTGATGGCTGTGCGCGCGCCGCAATGCATCCAAGTGCTCCGGACTCCCGTTGATCACTAGATCAAAACCTTCGTCTTTACGGATCACTTTTAGCTTCTCTCTCAGGATCTCGGCTTCTTCGGGGGAGAGCGCGATGTGCACTTCGCGGCCGTCTGGGAGCAGGAAGTTGCGTAGGCGCCGGCCGCGGTGATGGCTGTGTTGGGGCGTGTGAGATGATGGGGAGCGTGGTTGTGGGTGCGAGGATGGAGGTGTGAGGGTTGGTGTTGAGGATGAGGTCGTCGTGGTTAGTTTTGGGGGTGGTGTGCTTGTCATTTTCGCGGGTTGGTGGTGATAGTGATGATTCGGGGCGTTTGTTGGTGGCGGCTAAGGTTAACTCTCTTCCTCTCCCCTTTTCTCTTCACTTAAGTGCAGAGTAAACCACCTACACGTCAACTTTCTTTAAGACACAAACAGAAACTAGATTTTTCGGCACCGCTTAGAAAAATAAACCATCCGAAAAAGGGATCTGTCATGCACACAAAAGTGAAGTTATAAGAGAGTGAGGTTCGAGTGTTTGTTAGCTGTGCCGCTAATTTCAGCCACGCCATGCAGGATGCTTATTACAGGCTTGGCTTTTCATTGGCGGGAAGGACGTGGGAGCACGATCTTTTGGTGAGTCGGAGCCGCGCTGACTGGTTCGCTGGGACGGATAGGAGGCGGCTTGTGTGTTTCGGGGATAAATCAAGAAGATAAGGTTTCATCTTAGAGGATGTCGATCCTTGTGGAGGCGAAGGAGGGAATTGACCTGGTGTAATGGTGTACCATTTGCTACGACGATATATCCATCAAAATACTACAAGAGCCGTCTTCATGCCGTTGGCTCACAGTTCTAATCCATCGGAAACAAAATGTAGTGAGGCATCTATTGTATGTACATTGGCCATGAATGGAATCGAATCCAAGACCCATGTAATAGAGTTGGGAAAGTATAAGTTTCCTCCGAGGGCGAAACTCAAAAAACACCAAGTATAGTATTTCTACAAGTCCAGTCAGTCATTCATCAGCCCACCTCTCCAACCCTAATGCCCTGCCGCGCCCATGCAACTAATCTAACAATGCTCCTCCCTCACAGCCTTATATCCCCACTTCACTGACGATTTTCGCTGCTTCTCTGTATGTCTTGAGAAGCTTCTCGCATTTCTCGCGCTCTTTCTTAACAGCATCGTCTTCATACAATAGCTCTTCGAAAAGATCTTCCCGGTAGAGTTCGCTCACCAGGCGGTTCTGAACTACGTCCTTGGAATGGTTGACCAAAAGATGCATGACAGCTTTGGGAACTTGGTCTGCTATCGATTCCCGGACGATGTTGAAATATGATGAGATCAACGCTCGAATGAGTTCCGTTTCCATGGCTTCACGGTCGGTAAGTGCTGGCTCAGTGTTGTTTCCCTGCTCCCGGTTAGCTCTCTCCATATAAGAAAGGGCTGTAGATCCTACAAATGGAGAGTTGTAATCATATTCTCTCTGTGCCCGACCTAGCTCGTAATCGTCCTCTCGAGCTTGTTGAGCAGGTGTTCTGTGGACAACGCGCTCTTCTTGCCTTCGGATGCTCTGACTGAAGCTTGGCTCCATACTTTGGCTCACGTGTCGTCCAAGATTGGGATTTTGGGCTGAAGATGCTCCTGTTCCCCCAGGGGCTCCATCCTTGCCAAAGAAGTAGTTCAGGAACGAGTCGCGTGCTCCTCCCATGGCTTGGCCATTGAATCTTGGAGGTGACCCAGCTCGGATTCCGTTCATTGTCGAAGTGATGCTGTTTCCATTTTCCCGAACTGCGGGCGACATGCTTCGAGGATTCTTGTGCAGCGCCTTTCGATGGGAGAGATTCTCAACCTTCTCGACCTCTTCTTCCTCATTCTCTGGTGTGTCGGCTCCGTTTGCACCACCAAGTTCTTTCTGGCGTCTTCGATCCCGTCTTTCTCTCTCTTCTTGAAGGAGTCTCTTCCTCTCCTTGTCTTGCTTGTTGCTGACGACGTTGCTCATGGCAGCTGCTGCCCCAAGGAAGTTAGGATGGTTAGTATTGATATATGCTCGCTGAATAGAAATAAGCGATTCAACATATGACGATGCAGGGCCAAGTCGTTCACGGAGTAAATCAGAGACAACTTCGATCAGCTTGGCTTGTAATCGAGGAAATCTCGTCAGTTCTGTTGATCCACAGGTATGGCAAATTTTAATCAACTCTTCGTACACTAGCTCCACGCATCTTTGGCTAGGAATCTCCAAAAGCTTGATCTGAGGCTTAACCAAAAGATCAAATGCAAGCTCGGGAACGAAGAGACTAGGTCGAGGTCCAGTTGAATTTCGGATCGCCGTCCGTATGTCGAGAGCAGAGAGGTTTGTCGTAGGGTCAATAGTTTCCAAAGAATTTCCGAATACAGAGTTGAAGATGTAGTATATTCTGGCACCACCGCACAGCTCCTTGGTCGAGATCTCTGTTGATGTACCATCTATAGACGAGATGAAGGAAGACGCGAATCTTGTCATAAGTTGTAGAACCAAAGATCCTCGGTGTTCCTTGCCACTAAAGTGCATGTCTCCGTAGCTAGCAAGTTCCTGCTGTGTTTGACCCATTAGTGTGTTGAGTCTCGCCTTGATATCAGGTAGTCGCTCTCTAATATGTGCCATCAAGGTTGTGTTCAAGCTCCTTGCTAGAAATTGGGTTCCACATCGGTTTGCCATGTTTCGATATGCGGGGTGATGTTTGAAGAAGTCCGACTCTGACTTCAAAGCCTCCGCAAGCGACTTGTTGCCCTGAATATCTTGTTGTGATCGATTCACAACACCAATAAATCCTAGCTTCAGAGGGTACACCCTCCCTGAAAGGATATCGAGTGCGTTTGTGCCATGATCCATGAGATCAATCTTTGTGAGAACTCCAATCGTCCTCCTACCTAACGGGTCGACATGGCGTGCAAGCTTGAGAGCCTCTGAGTTGACGATATCGACGTTCGCGGGAGACACCGCCAATATAATACTGTTCGGCTTGGCAATATACTCTGAGATGAGGTTTCGAGTCTGCTTTTCGATGTCTGTGGGTTGATCTCCAATTGGAACCTACACGTCATAATTAGATACTGTTTTTTTGAGTAGTCCAGGATCTTCAAATCTTACCTTTGTCAGACCTGGCAGATCCACCAAAGTCAAACTCAACACATGAGGAGAGTAGATTTTGAGATTAATAGGTTGTCGATTAATGCCCTTGTTGTTTCCCGCAATCCTTGCTGTCTCGTTCTCAATCTCGCGCTTTACGTCTTGAAATTCCGTAAACCTTCGATTCGGTATGTGATGGAACTCGGCCCATTCTGGTTGTGTAGCAACGGCAGCAGCAGTATGCGCTTCAGGAGAATCGTCATCGTCCGTAGGGATGTTGATAAGTTGTAGGATGAGGGGTCTGCGAGTAACAATGCCACTACCGCGAGGGAGAAAGTCTCGACCGACTATGTTCTCTAGGACTGAGGACTTTCCAGACGACTGTGAACCTACAACGACCTTGAAGCAAAAGTTAGCATGTGAAGAGAAAAAAAAGTACATGAGGCAATTCATACAATCTGAGGAAGATCCAAGCTATCATTGCCTATTGTGTTGAAAACCAAATCTTGGAGCTTGTTGACTATCCCTAACAGATCCTCGCCGAGGGAAGCCATTGTGTCGTTGTGTTGAAAGCAAACAATGTCTGGAGGAGGAGCTCGAACGTTTTCTGGGCGTCGCGTCGACGAGTCTCAGAAATCGTGGCTCGATCGCAGGAAAAGTGTTGAAGGCGCGTGAAGACAAATGTCGAGAAATGTCTTCAGGGGGTCCCAGAAGCTCGGTGTCCGCAAAGATTGGATTCTTTTGTGGCCGTGTTGAGGAGTCCTTCTACCAAGGTTCAAGTTGGTTATTGACTTTATGCGTCGCTATGATCCTCGCCTGCTCACTAGCCACAAAAGAGCGCCACACTAGGCTTCCTTCCGACTTTTGACGACGATGACACCGATTAGAACTTTCGCGCAAATTCATACAGCCTGCATCATGAAGAACAACTCATAGAAGTCCAACTGGCTCTGCTGGTGTACTCGGTCTTTCCAAACGTCTGCAATCAACACGTTGCTATTTCCATACGAAGACAAGGATTTGACATGGTTCAGATGACAGCATTGATCGCGTGGAACCTCCTTGTATTTTTGGATCATGGGCGCCCCTATTCACCAGACACTCGTCCGGTCACAGCGGATTTGCACTTTCATTTGTTATTGTATTTGATGCGGTTGAGAACTGAGATCTTTCAATGTCTTGCACCTGCTTAATTCAATACGATACATGTCCTTTGATATACCCCGGGACAACCCAGATTTATCCTTATGCGGAAGTCTTCCTTTACCAAATTGGTTCTCTAAGTCTGAGAGGTCTTGAGATTTTATTATTCTATTAGTGTATATTTTTCTGCGATTTTCTATTTCAAAGCTTATCCTGATCTCTTGGTACAAGTCAATGTGCTGCGGAGTAGAATCATGCGTAGATTCATTCCCAGAATGCCCAGCATGAAGAGCCTCATACTCTGGGTCGATCTTTCATATGTTATTAGAAGAATATTTTGACAATGCTGTGCAGCATATCTGGAAGCATTGTCTATCAGTCTTTCATTGTTCCTCTGCTCGATGCCTTCAAAGTGAGGCACCAAGATTTAATAGGGATGACATCAGGGTAGCAGTATATGTGCGGGGAAGGCACAGCAGATGCTTTTCTTATCACTGAAGCTAAATCCCACCATTTCCTCTTCTGCTCTTCAAACATCTAATGCACTGAATTCTGTCTCAAAATGCAGTTGTTTTCAAGCCTTGCTCTTTTTCTCTTTTTGTCGTCTACTTGCACAAGTCTTACAACTTATGCCGACCAGAAACCTATTGGAGAAACTGAAGATGCATTTGACACTATCCGAAAAGCGTGAGCTGATCCAAACCATGGCAAGATCCTTCACGTCTTGACTTATGTTCTTCCAGCTTGAAGAAAGCAAGCATTATTGACGAAGTCATCGATGACTTCCAGCCAAAATGTTTCGTAGCTCCCTATTATGGTAGCAAACAAAAGCCTGTAGCATTTGGCAACAGATTCAAACAGTCAGATACTAAATGGAAGCCTACATTGAAGACCTTCTGTCCGAACATGACAAGCACGCCGGGTCTTACAGTTGCCCTTACGGACCCTGATGCCCCTTCAAGGAAGAACCCGAAGTGGGGTGAGATGTGCCATGTAAGATGAGTGTTTCTTTGTCTTTCTTTCAATGCTTCACCCAATGTGTTACAGCCGGGCGGAGAATGTCCTTCCAGAGCTGGTACATTTTAATGGAATCAATGCCTGAGTGATCATGTGAAATTCCACATCTTCTCAATCTCCAATGGAACACTCTACATCGAGCACGACATGGTCTCTTAGGGTTGTTATTGACTAACTCCACAAGTGGATCACGATAATCTACGCCACAGCTCAGGACGCAGCCTCAGGTCCGCAAGGCCTGGAATTCGAGTCCGATTTCACCTCCCCTGCAGACGTCGTGGATTGTAAGTGTTTTCAATCCCTTCCATATGCTCCACTTTCTGATCTCAGAAATAGATAAACCGCCTGGTCCACCAGCAAAGACAGGCTATCACCGCTACGTCTTCCTTGTCCTGGAAGGCGATGTGACGAATCTCACAGCACCTGAAGATCGTCAGCACTGGGGTACCGGGAAGAAAGGACATGGTGTTAGAGACTGGGCTGAGAAGGAAGGCCTGAAGGTTATAGGAGCTAATTACTTTATTGAGAAGAACAAGAAGCAGTGAATTCGTTCTCAGCCAAGGAAGAAACAAAGGAAATACACATCAGGATGTCTTTCTATTGCATATTTGAGCTCAATTTGTTCTTCAAAATATATACTAGTCGTCTACTATCAAAAACGGAAATTGTACGACTCAAGGAAACAACAAAGTCCTGCCCTTAAGTGGGGCTGCAGAAAACTGAGTTACTAGGCACACGTACTTGAATTGGCATTGAGATAATTATCTGTTGACACCAGGCGAACAGTAAGTGTTGACAACATAAGTTTATTAAATGCGTACTGCATCACCTAAGTCATGTTCGCACTCCTAGCCCCCCACATATCAGAACTACCCATCCCACACAATCCCCAACACGATCCATCCAAATCCAAGACCAACACCTGTGTCCACATATTGATGGTTCCTTCAACAAACTTCCTTCCTAATGGCGAAGGTGCATCCGAGTATATTCACTCGCTTAGAACCATTCTTTAGACCTAGGTTTGAGAGTGAATCTAGAAAAACCGTCCTATTCTTGAAGCCGTGACTCAACCTTCCAAGGAACAAAACTTCACCACTCACCCGGGGCCGCCGGCCGTCCGCCGCCGACACCCTATAAATACACTCAGCGGACCCAGCGGAATCCCTCTCCAAGCAACTCCAGCAGCAGTGATCAAGCCACCATGAATGAAGGCTATGCAGTAGGCCGAGCCGAGTAAGACCCGCTCACCGTCATTAAGGAGGCATAGTATAGATAATTCCACGAACAGATATTAGTATCTAGAACTCCTGAAATATTGTTTTTGTTGACAGTGAAAGGTAGCATTTGTTGACAGTAAAACAAATGTGTTGACAGCAAACAAGATACCAACAACAGAATCAAATTCACCATAATCTACATCCCGTCAACCGTGCTTATTTGATCTTATAATGTTTGAACGCCCTTGTCTTAACTTTCCGCTCAAACATCAGATCTAGCTCCTCATACGTCCTCCCTTTCGTTTCTGGGATCCTGAAATATGCCCAGATCAAACAAAGCACTGACAAACCACCTGTTCCTTGCACATTAGCCCTCTCCTTTCCCGAAGTCAAGTTTTGAATTTTCTCTTACCGAAGAAAAATCCAATCTTTCCTCTCCAATTCGCGGAATCGGGATCTATCATGTAGGGAATAGCAACCGTCATGATGATACCAACCATTGCTTGCGCAGCAGTAGCTACAGCGATAGTTTTGGTGCGGACTTTTGTAGCGGAGACTTCGCAGAAGAGGACATAAGCTACGGGACCGATGGAGATGTCGAAGACACCATTCCAGATTATCTTTGGTTTTCATTAGCAATATGCATACCGATCGAATACAAGAAAGAAGGAAAGAGTTTCAAGGCTGCTAGATTAAGTTGGGAATTGCGTACCAATAGAATACATTGTGCCCAAACAATACTCTTGTGTTGAGCGTAGTCAGGAGCAAGATCCAAGAATCCGATGATGAACATCAGGATTGTCATCACGAGAAGGCCGATGTTGTAAATTCGTCGGCGTCCCCATTTTGAGATGGCGACCCAGGATGCGACGGTGGATACCCAGCCTACTGCTAGGAAGCCGACGCTCATATCGAAGGATTTGTCGTTGTCGAGTCCGATTACTGCTTATATGTAAGTATTCGATTGAAAAGTTCTTTCTGAATAGCCCGGTGTTGCACTTACGATTGAAAAAAAGTGCGGCGAATCCAACAAGGTAAATACCGCTGAAAACTTGAGTGGCATATACTCCGATTGATATCTCTGTTCTCCGCCAATTGGCTTTGTTGAAACAATCCCAATAGGTGGTTCCTGTTTGCATCTCAAGCTCTAGCTTGTCTGTTTCGATCATCATTGCTAAGGTCAACTTGTTATCGATGCTAGGAGATGAAAGTCGAATCAGTGCTTTCTCTGCTTCCTCGAGTCTTCCTTGTCGAATCAGCCACCACGGAGACTCGGGTGCAAAAGGCATGCCAGCCAAGATAATGATAGGCCAAAGCCATTGCAGAGCGAATGGTGCACTGTAAGCCCAGTGATTGTTCAATTTGGATGTCCCTGCTATAACCCCACTCGCAAGCAGCTGTCCGGTCACAAAACAGAGATTGATATAAGCTGTAAGATGACCTCGGAATGCCATGGGACAGACTTCGGATGCATAGGTGGGGGCAATTGTCGTATATGTTCCCAGAATGAGACCACCGATGAGTTCTCCGACGAGTAGAACGACGATTGAGCGAGTGAAGAATTGCATGAAGACAAAACAGGCTGTGAGAGACACGCAGGCTGCGAAGGTTTTCCTGCGACCCCACCATTCCATTGGATATCCGACGAGGACAGCGCCAACTACTTGTCCGATGGGATTGCCCATCCCCAAGGCAGTTTGCCAGGGAGCACTGATGATCTGAGGGCAGAACATGCGTTAGTAGGAGTACAAAGTATGTACAGTAGATCATAACATACATAGCTCCCCTCGAAGAGATAACCGAAATCTTTCTGGAACGCGCTCTCGGCATACAAGCTGCCAAGAAGCTGAGGATCAAAGGCCGTCATTATGATACCGAGCGAGAAGAAAGCAGACCATCCTACGGCAGCAGGGTAAAGCCTCACGCCTTCGAAGAAGGTCATGCTATGCTCGATCTCGGTAGCAAGACGGGCTTCATTCCCAAACACCTCTTTGGCGGAGAGATCGACATCGTCGGAGGGAGAGTCAACAACGACTCCTGCTTCTTCTGATTTGCCCATTCTTGACACTTATCCCAGGAGCATTCAACGACACAGAAACTAAAAAGAAGTCAGATATGAAAAGAAAAAGTCGCGCCAGAAACAGCATGGAAATGACCAGCATTATCAACTTCTCCCGGGGCAAAATTTGATACGGCTGGTTGGCTCAAAACCATTTGTCGGGACAAGGCGATAGGAAGGACTTGCAATGCGATAACGATGCTTGCAAGAGGCGTGCTGTCCCCATCTTTGGTGACTGATATTACCTGCTCGAAAGAGGCGCATAGCAACGTTGCCATGCCATGACCCAGAACCCTACATCCCACTTGTCGGCTGGAGAACAGCCGATGAGAAGTACCTCTGTCGTTATCAACGATATAAGATATGCGTGCAAGTTGGGTGAGCTGCAGGTAGGAGATCAGAAATCTGCAAGATCTTCTATGCTGGATGAGGAGGCAATCTAGGACTGTCCTAAATAAAAGGTAGGGTTGTGAGCTTTCATCCCACCGTCGACCTCACTTGAGTATCAAATCCACAAGTGGTGAGAAATACAAGATACAAGGAGGAAAAGGAAGCGGCGTTCAACTACCGTGCCGAGAGAGACCCCGGACAAACCCCACTGCAAGCCACCACTCTTCAGCCTAAACTGCCTAACCAAAAGAGGAAAATTCTCAAGATCAACTTAGCCGTGTCCAACGGCTTCACTTGCATTGTATAGAAAAGCTTCTCTGTGTTTAAGCATCGATAACGTGAGCAGTTCTAGATGTCGCCCTCTTTACTGAAGTCTTGGGATATCAAAGAGCCAGACAAAATGGGTGAGCCACCAAAGAGTAAAAAGATACACGCGTTCCGAAATTCGAGGAGTTGTGTACTCTCATCTTAATTACATCCTCCTCCCGAGTCTCATTGGAAATATTGACAAGCCGTAGCGTTTAGGTCAACCTGCCACATCCTCAAGATCTTGGCTTCGTGCGGCATAACCTCAATCGTGTATGGAATATCATAACAGCCATGATCCTTATGCTTCCACAGATCTCGCAGACGATACCGGTCCCAGGGCACCGTAAGGTCTCTCCTCGCACTAATGCTCATATCCGCTGTGACAGTCCCACGATTCAGCAACGCAACAGCATAGCTCCCATCCGCCATCGCCTTGGCGTAAACCTGCAAATTCCCATCCACATCCTGTGTCCCAACCACCTGAGCGGCTTGACCTAGCGGATCTTGGCTGACTTCGATAACTTCGGAATTCGTTAAAGTCTCAAGATCGTAATCGCTCAATGTCCTCACATCACTCCCAATCAGTAGCGGAGAAGCCACCATACACCACATACTAAAATGCGTCCTATACTCGATATTACTGGCTCCCGTCCCTACCAATTGAGTACTATTCCCATCCAGTCCCACGATCAACATATCATAATCATTCCAGTGTCCCGGTCCCGAATACTGCGTGATATTATTCCCAACATCCAACATATCCAGCACATCGAAATAATACTTCTCCCTATTCCCAGGATAATTAAAGTCATCCGAGATATCCTGCCCGATGCGCCACTGGTTCGCCCCTTCGCTCGCAGCCCATTCCCAGATATCAGCCCAGCCGCAGTGGCACGCATGATAGACCATCGGACGCGATTGTGCGAGTAGAGCTTCAGACATCTTGAGCACGATGGCTTGGACTTCGGGGATCGGAGCGTCAGGTCCTTCGCTGCAGCAACTGTCGTATTTCAAGTGATCGATTCCCCATGAGGCGAACATAGCCGCGTCTTCGAATTCGTGGCCTAGACTGCCGGTGTAGCCTGCACATGTACTATCTCCTGGCCCCGAATAGATACCGAGTTTGAAGCCTTTGGAATGTGCGTAATCTGCGAGAGCTTTCATACCGCTTGGGAACTTGACCGGGTCGGGCTCGAGTGGGTTTTGTGAGCGGTTGCCTTTGTAGTGTTGCCAGCCGTCGTCTAAATTGATGTAGATGAATCCAGCGTCCCGAAGACCGTTGGAGGCCATTGTGTCAATTGTGTCTCTGAAAAGTTGCTCGGATATTTGGTCACCGAACTGGTTCCAGCTGCTGAAGCCCATTGGGGGTGTCAAAGCGAGACCATTGCTTAGGCCGGTGGAGACGGGAACGTCGGTTTCGACTGTGAGTGTGAGGGATAGCGTGGTCATGGACGAGGTTGTGAGATTTTGGGCTATGGCGGAGAGCACGCCATAACTCAGGAGCAAGAGTGCAAGGAACATGATTGTTTGATAGCTTCAAGCCGCCAGACAATCTGAGAAGTCGGATCTTCAGGAACGAAGAAAGTAAGACAGTCGTCGAGGACCGTCAAGACGCGCTGACGTCGAACAAAGAAATTCGAAGGAAGAGAAGGCGCCAAGCATCTCAGGTAATGAAAAGAGCTTCCCTGAGCTATATGAACGACCCTTTGGTTTTCCCGCCAAATCTCCCTTCCCATAGGATATTCATCAAAAGATGATCTGTACCTTACCTGTACCTGGCCAATTCAAGCATTGTGGTATTGAGCTGTACAATAGCCAAGACCATCTTGCATGGAGAACATGCATATGCTACCCATGCCCTTTTCCTACCGACGTATTACGCCGCTCCCAGATTGCGGGGGAGTCGGGGAGGGCTGACGGCACAGGCTGATATTAATTCATATATGCCGGCCAATGGGAAAACAAATTGGCAAGATAAGCATCTGAGGATGAACGTTACATACTGAAAACAGATGCATAGATTCGAGGAAGGTAGCAAGTGATCACCGCTTGGCGTGGGGAAGAAGGTGAATCTTGTTCAAGAATGGCGATCCCGTGATCGTGATTTGCGGTTTTGGGGCGGACAATATCCTGATTCTTATTGTTCAGATCAAGAATGGACAATTGCGACGTGCAACAGAAATCTGAAATGTCTGAAATAGAGTCAGACGATCGCCACTTCTGAGATAGAACGAACAAAAGTTCGACATTCAGTACCAATGTTGGGAACGTTACAAAAACAATCGCAACTTGCGATACGCAACAGAATCTGACCTCTGCATATCTGATCTCCAAAGTCGGGTTTGTGTTAGCTGCTGGGTGGCGGAAGGAGCTTGGTAGCTTACTACCTGCTTGATCTTAGAATGCCCTCATAATAAGAGCACATGATGGAGCAACTTGATCATGGATGCTCGTTGTAACGTTCAGGTCGTAGATTTGATCATAGAAGTTTAATTTTGCTGCTTGGTATGTTCTGTCCTGGGGTCATGTAGCAGGTAAGTCTCTACATCCATAGGCTCGACTGAGCATCTATTATTGGATGTGAGCAAGCTGCTCGTCGGAGAGCTTTGCATCTCGACTTCTCTTAATATCCTTCTCTGCATGTCTAGCCCATTAAAGAGATGAATATATTAAGTGGGTTCTGTACTCATATTCTCTGGTTTAGACTTAGACCACTGGAACATATGTGTGAGATCACTTGGTGAGAACTTCCGTTGTCGAGACGAGTATTTGCCTTACAAGACGAGAAAATGAATATCAATTGCAAATGACGGCATGAAATCGAACTTGGTAGACGAAGACAGAAGCTTCAAGGTGCAAACTTCTGAATCGCTCGATTTCCATAGTGCAGTCTATGACATTGCAATATCGACCTTTACACAGAGTACTCCTGAGCTTTGGGATCATAGTAATGGTGCATCTCTTGCCCAGCTTTCTCATAATCGCACTTCTCGTAGAACGGTGCGTTCTTTGGAGAACAATCCAAGATTGACTATGATTTTCATTAGTACTCATTCACAAGATTTTCAGCAAACACTTACCTTGTAGCATCCCACTTCCTTGCCAATATGGTCCAGAGCTTTGATGAGCTTCACACCGAACTTCTTTCCTTGCATATCTGATGAAATGGCAATGTCTTCGATATGACCTTGGGTTCCAAGCTCATATAAACTGTCCCATCTATTAGCATAAAGTCATTCAGTTCCTGTAGCGATTACAAGACTTACAATTTCTTTTCCACAAGCAAAGTCCCAGTCCCCACAATTGACTTTGACTCTTCTCTCGACTCATCGACAATCACGACTGTGTAATAAGTCCCATGGCAACTCTTCATCCAGTCGAAACGTTCTGTCCATGCCGCCTCTGAAATATCACCCACGTGCGTGAGACCCCGTAGAACATCGAGATGTCCCCTGTGAAAATCGCTGCGCTTGAGCGGTCGAAGCGTACAGCTATCTGGTAGAGTAGCCTGAACTTCTTGGGAAATAAGAGAGGCGGAGAATTGCTCTTGAGAGGAAGTCATCGTGAAGAGATGTGGTTGGAAAGGATTCAAAGGTGGGGTTAAAATGAGAGAAAAGAAGAAGTGGGACGAGGTCTAAGGAATGTATAGAGAGAAAAAAAAGTTTGCACGGGATATACCTAGGTATCTGATGCAACATGCCTATGTTTCATAGATTCCCCATGTTGCCATTTACATGAAGTAGCAATATAGGCAATTAAAGCTCCTGGTGAGCATTAGGGTGACAGCAGCAAGCATCCAGTATGACGCCATGCGATGCGGCGAGGAGCTCGAGCTCCAAAATCCACCAGAAGGGTTTTTTGCACAGGCAAACTTCAGCACAACAGTAAAGAAACAGATAAGCAGAGATGGCAACGGAAAAGGAAAGCAATGCGCCCTTGTAATCCAGCTGAAAGATGGGCCAAAAGTGAATGCCAAGCAGGGAATTGTGGCTGAGAGGACGAATTTGACTCGTTGCGTAGCGGGGGCTGAGTCCTTGCATCTTGACAAGCTCATTCAGCGTGTGTGTGTCTGTGAATCTGCGCGTGCAACCTCACAAAAAGTCTTCGCGATCTCTTCTTGCCTCCTTGTTTTTACAATCGACCTTTTCTATACTCGTAGGAAAACTCGACTGTTGTTGAAGTAAGAGATCTATTATGACTGGCCCTGCAACGTGAGATGCCCCTCCCTTACTGGATGAAGATGGCTATTCCTCAGTATTCCTTGCGAGGAATGACAGCTGACGAAACTATTCGAACAGACCTGGCCAAGAAGGCCCTACCTTCGCTCCTCCTGCTCTGCCTGCAGGTTGGATTGCACAATGGGACGCCCATAGCAAGAAATATTACTTCGTCCAGCTGTCGACTGGCGAGTCGCAATGGGAAACTCCTACGCATGCCGCGCCCACAGGTCCAACTCCACAAGCTACACCGCAGGGAATCGATCACCCTTACGGAACGCCGGGAGGGGTTGAACAGAACCAGTATGCCGATCAAGATATTGTGAATAATGCGGATGGGACCCAGAGTATCAGAAGGGCGGATGGCACGTTGGAGCCGTATACTGCAGACAGAAGCTTGACTGGAAATATCGGGGTAAGTTTAGCTTCAGATCTGTAGAAAGAGGCGGTACTGATATTATTGTTTAGCAATTTGCTATGAATCAATTGCTGAGTGGAGGAAAGAAACAGAATAATCAGAGCAGTGGTTTGGCAGGTCTGGCTGGCCAGTTTTTAGGAGGAGGCTCAAGTCACAACCAGAGCAGTGGACAATCAAGTTCTAGTGGAGGATCAGGCCTTGCTGGTGCATTGATGGGAAGTCTGCTGGGTAGCGGCAAAAAGCAGGATAACCAGCAGACAAATTACTCCGGAGCACAGAATACACAACACAGTTCGAGCGGTTTCATGGGAAATCTAGGAGGAATGTTCGGTGGCCATTCACAAAGTTCTTCTTCTGTACGTGTAGACCAGGATTACAATGAGATTTACTAACTTTCGTAGCAGGGAAATAACTTCGGATATTCTTCTCATGGCGGCTCTCAAGGGGGATATTCTGGTTCTGCACCGCCAACATCGTACCAACCTAGCGGTCAAAGCACCTATAACCCACAGCAGCAACACAATCAACCACAAGGACAATCTTCATACTCTCAAACACAACCTTCGGCACCATCGTACGGCCAACAACAGTCGTATGGTGCTTCAGCTCCACAGCAATCCTACGGTTCATCACCAAACCCTCAACAACAGCATTATGGGGCTTCTCAAAATCCACCAGCCCAGCAAGGCTATGGAGCATCACCAAATCCTCAAACTGGCTATGGTGCTCCTCCTGGAGGACAACCTTCATATGCTTCTCCACCTTCTCAACCATCTTACGGACCTCCTCCAACTTCTCAGCAGCCTTCGTATGGTGCTCCCCAAGGCCCCCAACAGCCTCCGTACCAAGCTCAGCAGCAGCCACCATTCGGAGGGATTCAACACCAAGACACTTATGGACGACCTCCGCATGATCCCCAATACCCTCCTCCCCCTAACTATGGAGGCCAGCCACCCCAAAACAGCGGGAACCTGCCCCCGCCACAACACCAGCACTTCCAAGGACTGCACAATGCAGAGCATTCTGGTGGTTTGTACGGCAATAGTCCTTCAGCTCCACCAGTACCGCTGGGCAGTCATCCAGGGCAAAATCCTCAACAGGGAGGATATAATGCACCACCAGGCGGCTACGGTGGACAACAACGATGGTAATCTGAAATGACAATGGCGTTGGCACTGGCGGCATGAAAATGACTGGACATTTCATTTGTAGGATGGGAGTTTTCTTTCCAATTAGATGGATGATATCCAGAAAGCGCATCGAATGCACGACATGTAGTCATAATGCAAGTCTGATCTTCATGAACTTGCAATGTCAAGAATATTATGTCTTCTTTTTTTCTGGATCTGATCTTCCATGTCCTATACCTTTCACCAGCACGCTGATGTACTTGGCAAGGTGCCAACCTCCGATCGCAAGTATAATGATGTAGACAGCAGTCGGAAGTAATGACCGTGGAAAGACATTGTAGATGTATGGATCGAGTATAATGTCGACAAAGACTGGTGGTACATCATTCATTAGAGTCTTATTCATGGTGTAGTAATCTGCCGCTGCAAAGATCTGCAGCAATAATGTCGAAGAGGCGCCTTTCGGTGTATGTTTGGACTTCTTCTCTGGTCTTGCAACACTTGGCTTTTGGCTTTCTGCATCGAGCAGGTCTGGTTGTCTAGATTCGGAGAACTGTGCCAGAGAAGTGATCAGATCTGGGGTTTCGAAGACGGTAGAAAGATCATAGGTTTCGAGACGAAAGGAAGTTGGTTGCTGTCTTAATATTAGTAGGATTCTTGTGACAGGAGAGTAATTGGATTCACGGTGGCAGCCCAGCAAATCCGGACTTCGTATCTCTGCCCCTCTTGTAGATTATGAAGTAGATACCATGATGGCTGCCCATACTTGGAAGCGGTCGTCGGAAATTCTGCTCCAATGTGCGTTCTCAAAGACCAATGTTGCGGGGATAGAGCTTCGAGCTGTAGATCCTCCAAAGTTGGATGTTCGACTGGGACTTCGAGATTGCTCGGTGCAAGGAAGATGATCTTTTCAGTATTTCCTAGTACCCACTGAGCATGCAGAATAAAGAACAAAAATAATTGAAGCATTCTGTACTTGGTAGGGGCAGACTTCCATTTGGCTTTCATCTCATCTCAACCTTGAGCTGCTGTTGACACCCATTTTAGTGGGGCATAGAAGCTTGGACCATGCTTTCCCAAAAAGGCATAGTCGTGCACAACACGTTTGTTTATGCAGGCGCGACTAAGCGAATCTTAAGTCTCAATCAATAATAATCCCCCTGTTGTACCACTCCTTCCTCTTCTTCCCCACTATCATCTTCGCAGACCACAATCACGACCTCACAGACAAATTTGCTGTGATCTGTACATCCTACACTGTCTTCTTCATTCAATCAACACCGCAAACATGAGAGAAGTCATTAGCATCAACGGTATGTGTTGTTTTGACGCGCTGCACACCGCTCCGTCCCGCGTTCCATTATCTGGGGTCCTTTGACTGATATATCTTTTTCCAATAGTCGGTCAAGCTGGTTGCCAGATTGCCAACTCTTGCTGGGAGGTAAGCTTCGACATCTTCGCAATCATTGTTTGCGCAACAGTTTTCTGTTGTTGACATCTGACGTGACTAACGTGAGGGGTTTTCACTGTAGCTTTACTGCCTTGAGCACGGCATTCAGGTATGTTTATCTTGCACCACCACGCTTGCAGACACTCTCTGCATACCACAAAGCCTTTGCTGACGCGTATTGACCCTCTAGCCTGATGGATACTTGACTGAGGAGCGCAAAGCTGCCGACCCTGATCAAGGTTTCAGCACTTTCTTCTCCGAGACCGGTATGTACACCCATGAAGATATAATTCGAAGATTTTCTGACGTGTTTTGGTATCGTAGGCCAAGGCAAATATGTTCCCCGAACCATCTACTGCGATCTCGAGCCCAATGTCGTCGATGAAGTCCGCACCGGTACCTACCGCAGCCTCTTCCACCCCGAGTTGATGATCACTGGCAAGGAGGATGCCTCAAACAACTACGCTCGTGGTCACTACACTGTTGGCAAGGAATTGATCGACCAAGTCTTGGACAAGGTCCGCCGTGTCGCCGATAACTGCTCTGGTCTTCAGGGTTTCCTTGTTTTCCACTCCTTCGGTGGTGGAACTGGATCTGGTTTCGGTGCTCTCCTTATGGAGCGTCTATCAGTCGACTTCGGCAAAAAGGTGAAGTTGGAGTTCTGTGTTTACCCAGCTCCCCAGACTGCCACCTCTGTTGTCGAGCCATACAACTCTATCCTTACCACCCACACCACCCTCGAGCACTCCGATTGTTCCTTCATGGTTGATAACGAGGCTATCTACGACATCTGCCGAAGAAACCTTGGCCTTGAGCGTCCTAACTATGAGAACTTGAACCGCCTGATCGCACAGGGTATGTTCCGTGTGCTACATGCATAGTTTACCTCGAGCTAATCATTTATAGTTGTTTCTTCTATCACCGCCTCCCTCCGTTTTGATGGTTCCCTCAACGTCGATCTCAACGAGTTCCAGACCAACTTGGTCCCATACCCACGTATCCACTTCCCTCTCGTTGCCTACGCACCTGTTGTCTCTGCGGCCAAGGCTTCCCACGAGGCCAACTCCGTCCAAGAGATCTCCATGTCTTGCTTCGAGCCTAACAGCCAGATGGTGAAGTGTGACCCACGTAACGGAAAGTACATGGCTACTTGCTTGCTTTACCGTGGTGATGTTGTCCCCAAGGACGTTCACGCTGCTGTTGCCACCCTTAAGACCAAGCGCACTATCCAATTCGTTGACTGGTGCCCAACTGGTTTCAAGATTGGTATCTGCTTCGAGCCTCCTCAAATGGTCCCCAATGGTGATCTTGCCAAGGTTAACCGTGCTGTGTAAGTTCCTGTGCGACTACTCAAAATTACCATTGGCTAACATATCCTAGCTGCATGCTTTCTAACACCACCGCTATCGCCGAGGCCTGGTCTGCACTCTCCCACAAGTTCGACCTCATGTATTCCAAGCGTGCCTTCGTACATTGGTATGTTGGTGAGGGTATGGAGGAAGGAGAATTCTCTGAGGCACGTGAGGATCTTGCTGCTTTGGAGCGCGATTATGAGGAAGTTGCTACTGATTCTCTCGATGATGCCGAGGGTGCTGAGGCCGAGTACTAGACAATTGCTCCGCTGAGTGATATGTTTATCTCCTGTGGGGTCACATACTTGGAGGGCTAGATTTGGCACTTGATTCGAAACTTAGTACTTCGTAGGGAGTATTGGAGCCTCGTCATCATGTTCAGCGCGGGGTTAATACAACCCTTTTTTTCTTTTTCACTACGAGTTTGTGTGGAGGATTTCCTTCAATCAGAATGATAAACAATGCTTCTTGTAATTCAGACAGCAATAGGCAAATCAACTGTCAATACTACCCAACTCCCAATGCACTGTGACTCTGAGGCCGCAAACACCTGCCAATGGATAATTTTAATGCATGCAGGTAATCCATGTGACCTGCACGATTCTACCCATTCGATGCACGTTAGGCAGAAAGAGAGACGAAGTTTGAGGTTGCATCGAAATCATTCGCTTGGTGGTCAATTGCCCCCAGCCGGTCGACAAATGGTGAGGCGGGCGACAGACGGAGAAGCGCCAATCCTCGTTCTGTCCCGTGCTAGCTCCGGATCATCCAGCATCTACCTCATTTCTTCATTACGACCACAGCTTTGTCAACAGACATCTGTCGATACCTTCAAACACTTTTCTCCCATTACAGCCACCATCTGCAGCTTCAGTTCCGAGATTGAAATCATTCGCAGGTTGTGTAAGGCTCACGAATACCATCGAGACTCGGAAAGCGGAGCGCGATGGCCGAAGATCCAAGTAAGAGCTATTTACTTCTTAGATGTGAACAATTCTACAATGGTAGTTGGAGGGTATCTGAAGCTCTGTCTGGACATTAGGAAATATGGCGGATGAGATCGGAAATTTAGATGGGATTCAAACGCTGACTGACGGTTGTTGTAGCGGCGCCAAATCTGAACCTCACTCCAGAAGAGAAGCGCCTATTCGGACAGCTGTTTCGACAAGCCGATTCGGATAGTGTTGGTGTGGTGACTGGAGAGGTCGCTGTTAAATTCTTCGAGAAGACAAGGCTTGAGCCGCGTGTGCTAGGAGAGGTGTGTATATTCTGTCTGCGCCAACCACTGTCGCACTCCATATTGTCTTCAAAGTGCACATTGCTGATGCTTTTCTGTCTCTCTAGATATGGCAGATTGCGGATAAAGAAAATCGAGGCTTCCTCACACCTACGGGCTTTGGGGTAGTTTTGAGATTGATTGCGCACGCCCAAGCTGGAAGAGATCCCACTCCCGAGCTGGCACTGAAGCCTGGTCCCCTCCCCAAATTCGATGGCATAAGTGGCTCTGCTCCGGGCATGAGCCCTACGATTCAACCTCCTCCCGGCCCTCCGCCAAGCGCTTTACAACCACAAGCAAGCGGATCTGGTCCCATACGAGTTCCTCCGTTGACTCCGGAAAAAGCAGGCCAGTATGCAGCTTTGTTCGAGAAGTCAGGAGCTTCCAATGGAGTACTTCCAGGAGAGCAGGCAAGATCCATATTCGAACGCTCAGCTCTCCCAAATGAAATTCTGGGAAGGATATGGAATCTAGCGGACACGGAGCAGAAGGGCTCTCTTCAAGTCAACGAATTTGTGATCGCTATGCATCTGCTAGCATCATTCAAAGTGGGCGCTCTCCGCGCATTACCGAACGTACTTCCAGCAGGACTCTACGAAGCAGCAGCTCGGAGACCACCAAGTAGACAGTCTTCAGGGGCGGGAGCTATGTCAGCTATACCCCGGCAGTTTAGTGGTGCTCCTCGTACTGGTAGCCCTCTGAGCCGACCTGCATTTGCTCCGCCTCCACAGCAGTTCCCTCAAGCCTCGGGTTCCGCTGGAGATTGGGCTATCACGCCTGCTGACAAGGCAAAGTTCGACAATATCTACAATGGTTTGGATAGGACTAACAGAGGATTCATTACTGGGGACGAAGCAGTACCATTCTTCAGCGAATCAAAACTTCCAGAAGAAGCTTTGGCGTCAATCTGGGACCTCGCAGACATCAACTCTGCTGGACATCTGACGAGAGATGAGTTCGCAGTCGCCATGTATCTCATTCGACAGCAACGAGGGAAGCGAGATGGACGAGAGTCTTTACCTGCTACTTTGCCTCCTAACCTAATTCCACCAAGTATGCGAAATCAGGTACGGCCCGCTCCTCTTCCAACCGCTCCAGCTTTCGATGCCCCACAAACCATGCCCAAATCAGCAGCGGAAGATTTGTTTGGTCTGGATGCTCTCTCCTCTTCTCCAGGACCTGCTCCAGTCCAAGATCCTCAATCTACTGGTGGCTCAGGGTCCTTCGGTATCAATCGGCAGGTAACAGGTGATCCCTTTGGCGCCCCATTGACTCCAACATCACCTGCACAACTCTCTCCCCAGCATTCAACTCTTTTCAAGCCCTTTCTACCAACCTCGTCGTTTGGTCAAAGCATCACGCATCAAGGTACTGGAGGGTCGAATAGTTCAGGCCCATCTCTGCAGCGAAGCTTCCAGCCCCAGAGTTCTTCTGCTACCGAGGATTTACTAGGTGACAACGATCCCGAGATAAGCAAGAGGCTCACAAACGAGACGACCGAACTTGCAAACCTTTCTAATCAAGTTGGCAATTTGTCAAAGCAAATGCAAGATGTGCAAGGACAACGAGCAAGTTCACAGAACGAGTTGACCCAGGCGAGTACTCAAAAGCGTGAGTTTGAAACTCGCCTCGCCCAGCTACGCTCTCTCTACGAACAAGAAGTGAAGGATGTAAAAAGTTTGGAAGAGCGCCTTGCAGCATCCCGGGCCGAGACCAAGAAATTACAAACTGATATTGCCATGCTTGAAGGAACTTATGGAGACCTCCAGAACCAGCACCGCCAAATTGTTATAGCATTGCAGGCAGATCAACAGGAGAACGCCAACCTAAAGGAGCGGATGAGAGTTGTCAACGCCGAAATCACACAGATGAAACCGACGTTAGAGAAGCTCAGGTCAGATGCTCGTCAACAGAAGGGATTGGTTGCAATTAACAAGAAACAGCTTGCAACAAATGAAGGGGAAAGAGACAAGCTGAAGGCCGAGGCTGAAGATCTGAACAAGAGTATCAAGGAGGATACAGAGACACTTGCTGCGGCTGCAGCAGCTGCTAAAGTACAAAGCCCACCGCCCGCTGAGAGGTCTGCTGTTGTTAGCCCCGCCCCATCGACCATGAGCGCCAACAACCCATTCTTCCGTCGACATCCAAGTTCGGGCGATATTCCCACATCTCCCTTTAGTGCATCGCCTGCCGTCAATGATCGGTCCTTCGAGAATGTATTTGGACCTTCATTCGCCGCTGCTACTGAACCACCCCCAGCGACGAGCTTTAAATCAGAAGGTGCTCGGTCACCTTCAATCGGATCCGCATCAGCTCTTCCCGTTCGTCAACAAACGACTGGAGGCAGTGTGTTTCCTACTCCCTCTCCTCCTAACCAAACTAGTCGAGAAATAACTTCGACCAGTGAGCTACCACCGCCTCCGCCAGAATCAAGACAAATTAACTCTAGTTTTTTACCTTTTCCTTCACATGAAGATTCAGTGACATCTTCTCGGCAAGTTTCAGCACCGAACAGTAGATCTGGGGAAGACACTGGTGCTGATACTCCTACAAACTATATGGGTATGACACCAACAGGATCTTCAGCAGCAGGACCAACAGAAACTGCCAGAGCTGTATCGCCTAGTGTCGACCGTAAATCTAATGCTTCACCCGCTGGCCTTGAGCCACCTCAAGATGCAATTCCAGGTGCATTCCCTGGCGACTCTCACTCGAATATTGTGGCAACACCCACTGGCGGCAGTACTTTAAGTGAACAAGCCGCGGCTGATCCCTTCGCTCTAAATAAAGCCCCAGAGCGCACTGGCACTGCCAAGGACGACTTTGATGCTGCTTTTGCTGGCTTTGGTAATACTGCCAAAGCTCAAGAACGCTCCAATACTGGCAATTCGTCTGCATCTGGCTCCGCTAATGTTGCCGGGTTCAATAAGGAGTTCCCGCCAATCGCTGAATTAGAAAATGACGACGAAAGTGACAGCAACGACGAAGGGGGTGGCTTCGATGATGACTTCGCCCCAGCATCTCCTGGTCATGGGAGAAAACCTAGCGGGGATAAAGCTGTCACTGCCACACAACCAACTAGTACACTGAATGATACATTGGCTGTAAGACCTACGATCAACACGCAAGCTTCGGCACAAAGCATGGGAAGCAACCCACCACCTGCCAGTGCTCAAACCTCGCCACCTGCGTACAACAAAGCTGTATCTCCAGCTGACCAAGCTCAATCACAAGCACAGCAATATATCGGACTCCTACCTTCTCGCGAAGTGCCTACACCCACATCGCCAGAGCAAAATACAAGCACCGCTACCAGCTCAACACCATTTGGTGTTCCTCAAGTCTCATCACAGCCTGTCCCACCAGCTAAGATCCCTTTCGATGACGATTTCGACGACTTTGATGACTTGGAAGACGCCAAAGAAGGAAGTGCTGATGATGATTTTGCAAATATCTCTAATCATGAGCGCGGTGGCCTTGACGATTTCAATCCCATGTTCGATAGTCCTCCAGCTTCCAAGGGACAAGAACATTCAACACAAAGTAATGGATTCGGTACCAGCAATGCTTTCGGAGATTTCACTTCATCGCCTAGTACCACGCAGCCACCTTTGGCTACACAGGCAGTGAATGATAGCCATGATTGGGATGCTATTTTCGCTGGTCTTGATGAACCTGTACCAGCACCAGCCGAGGCACCAAAGACCGAGCCTGCACCGACAATGAATAATGGTACCTCCGCTGCTACCGCAGAGAGACCACAGATTGGTCGAGCTCTGACGGAAGCCGGTGTTCATGATGACCCCATCTTGAAGAACTTGACGGGAATGGGATATCCTAGGAATGATGCTTTAGCCGCGTTGGAGAAGTACGATTATAGTTTGGAAAGGGTAGGTTCTCCTCTGTTTTGATTTGGCGTTTCCTTGGTGCTGATGAGATGGTCGTAGGCTGCGAATTACCTTGCCAGTCAGTCATGAATTGTGGTTGGTGAAAGGGGAGGAGAGGGATGGTGTGATGGGTGAGATTGGTGAGGGGGTTCGAGATGTGCATAGTTTAATGAAGTGTATTCTGTGATGGCATCTTAGCAAGCAATGCATGTTCTGGTGTCACTTTTGTCACGGTGCAAATTTTGTGTTTCAGTCGTGTCGTATGGGTTTGAGGTTCATTTATCTTTGTAAGTGTCCTTTGTCCTTTTGGACGCAAGATCTTCCAAGTGGAGACCTTCTTTTAGCCAATTCTTTGTTGAATCATCGAGCAAGGTCTCATTGTCGAGGTGAATGATCAACATTGTTATTATCTAGAAGCTTGCACATTCGCCGTTGAATTGTTCTTGTCGTTGTGGAAGATAAATGGATGGCTTGGGTATCTTGGAATTTTAGAATATCACTTCCCTCACTTGATCACTTTCTGCTAGTTGCTATAATGATAAATCGTCATTGATTTCATATCCATTTGTATTGTCTGGGTTTGGTTGAGGACATAAAAGGAGTATGAAGACCTGCGACGCATTTATATTTGAGACTGGCAGAGTGTACCAAACGCGATCAGAACTTCGATGACCTTCAAGTCTGTATCAAGGCTATGAATCTATCGAGTGATGCTGATCTTAGGCTACCTGGGTAAGATCCAGTATTTTGTTCATCGAAGGCGTAACTAGCATCCAACCAAAGACGCAAAATCATGCCAACAATCGAACTTACTTCTTATGTTGTACACATTGTACGACTTGTACTGAGGACATGTCGCATCCCTAGATTCTGTCCTGTGACAGGCGTATGTCATTCCAAATGCAAACATTACTTCTAGCTTTTTAACCCTCTATTCACCGGTCTACGTCATCCCTCTCGTTACGCCAATTTCATTCATTTCTCCTTCTACCCGATTGAGTCAATTCACTATATCCAAAATCGCCTCAGGTTCTTCTGAATAGAGTCTCCAAATCGAAATATAAATAGACTCTTCACAACCGTACTTGGACTCATGCAATAGACTACCTATCATCTTGATCCCGAGCAAGCAGGTACCCGTCGTCTTTGGCACCGGGTCGGCTCCAATTCAGTCAGATTTTGCGGTTATACGAGGAGCTATAGGTACTGAGGATAATATTTTGTTTGTTGTTGTCATGTCTGTCAACTATTGTCATGATTTGAACTACAGTCAGATTATTTCAAGTTTAGACGAACGAGATATCCTGCCTGCCTCCGTTGTGCGGATCAGAATGGGTATTGGTTTAAGTGTTGTTGTCAAGATTGGTTTCATTGTCAACTGAAGAACGGGATTTGAGATACCTTATTTCCACCCATAACTAATGCAAAGATGTAATCGAGCAGAAGTTTTCATAGGCGCAATTGCATGGAGAATGGCAGATTGGACTTGAATCCGCTGGAGCTGACTTGTTTTTATTTCCCTGACGAAGAGCCGCACCTCCAGGTCATAGATCATCTTCTGGAACTTTTCTTGCTAGCAAAAAGTCGGAACTTCTGGTTCTTTTATATTCAACAAATTGGCGCCTCAGGCGAAAACAGACATGTTTGACTCTTGAACTTTCAGGTTGTGGAAAGAGGCTGGGAAATTTGGATCATATTCACTATTCTTTTGTGAGAGTGTCTACTCTTTCATAGGGCCTCAAGTGAATCGTTTCCGTAACGCTTTCGCGTCACTGTAAGAGCACGCTGAAATGCGTCGGCTTAAGGACGATAAATACTCCCCTTCCTGCAAGTGTTGAGAAACATATTAGAGAATAATTTCCAGTGGAACTCGACGAGGAGTTCTCGGAAAGAATAGCATTTTGCAAGTGGCACAAGCTTCGTGCAATGCACTTTCATTACAAAGATCGTAAAAGTTTGCGAAAAGCAAGACTAAGCTCATGATTACTGTCAAGAGATTAGCTGTTGTCAACATGATAATCGGATTTGAGACGGCAATGGAACCAATATTGACAACAGTAGTGGTTGAATTATACAGCTAAAGGCATTTTCTAATTTTAAAGTTAGGTTCCTGCTCCAAATGTCCCTTCTTTTTTGATGACTTTCGCTAGGGAAAAGTTGGGAATTGGTCTTCGAGCCAAACCCGCTTTTCACACCAAGTCACGCTGCTCACAGTCATAACTTCTCCTTGTAAAGATTTTGTAGAACACGAAAAAGCCTTATAAACGCATTAGCGTTACGAGAGTTCATACATTGCTTTGTCCACAGAGGTGAAGCAAAGTCGAAAAGGATTAGTGAATAAAAACAGCAAACAGGTTTCCTTCCAAATTCACACTGATTTTCGACACAGGTGAATTGAAGTCGAAAAGGCTTGGTGAATCAAACATTGCGAGTACGTTTCCTTCTTCTGATTTTTACGCTCTTGGATCCGTGCTATATAAATAGCCAACAACACGGCGTTGTTTCTTTCTACAAGCATTCGCAATGGAAGTGGCCTAATGCAGAGTCTCATCACCGTAAATAATACACGCCCGGGAGGTTTTGCTAGATGTTGCGAATTACTAGCTCATTTATTTGCCCCGAAGACTAGAGTTTCTGAGTTCTAATTTTGTCCTTGTCATGATAAAGTTCGTTGTCAACTTCTGTTAAGTCTCGTTGAGTTCGGATGGTGGTAGCAATTCAATCGGAATGTAACCACAAACGCCTCACATTCTTCACGCCCCAAATTCAACGTCTCCCATCCTGTCCCATCCAATATATCTCAATCCTCCCCCTTCCCAACCTCTTTCACTCCCACTAAAGAAACCACCAACGTCTCCTACCAACCACCAACAAAACAAAATGCACCACCACATCATCCTCCTCCTAACCCTAACAACCCTCTCCCTCTCCCTCCCACACTCTCTCCCCACCCACCACACCCAAACCTCAAAACTCACCTTCCGCCGCTCCTCAATCCACTTCCCATCCTCCTTCCGCTCCCTACTACCCTCCTCCTCTCACCCCCAAAAGCAAAAGAAAGACGAACAAGCCGGCACAACAGCCACGACGCTAACGAAACCCTTCTCCTTCACGATCTGGAATATCTTGCATCACCCCGAGAGCACGGTCGACGGCACCAGTGTAGGGGAGCCAGGGGAGGGACAACCGACGCTCGCTGAGTTGAGCATTTTTGTGGGTGGGGATGTACATGGGGAGAAGATGGTGAAGACGAAAAAGAGGGGGATCTGGGGATTTTTGAAAGGCAGGGAGGAGGTGGTGGAGAGGAAGAAGATAACAGGGAAGGGGATGTTTAAGAGGAAATTAAAGGGAGAGGGAGATGATACTAAGTACCGGGAGAAGAATCGTGAGTTTTTCTGCTGTGGTTTCTTATTGAGAAGGGATTTGCTAAGAATGATGGATATATGTAGCACATTCGGATGGCCATAAACATGGACATAAAGTTTCGGATACACAAGCAGTCGCTGCTCCGACGGCGCCGTTGAGGGTTAGTATGGAGCATTTTACGTCGTTTTTTTGGAACGGCGAGGGAGGGGGAGGGGGGAATTGAGAATCAGTTTCAGAAGTGGTTTGGGTGGGGAAGAAAGTGTGAAGTGGGGAGAGATTTGGGGTGGAGATGAGGAGAGGTTAGATGTATGTGGATGAGTGGTGGGGAGGGTGGGATAGTTGAAGGAGATTTGCTTTCTTGTATACGGATTTTTTCTTTCCTTCTTTTTAAGGGTGGTGTATTAAGGGTGTAATAGCTTTTAATGTGATTATTTAAGGATGGAGGCATTGGAAGCTTTTTCCAGGAAAGAAATTCATAATCATTTCTCATTCTTTTTGCTTCCTGCAGGTTTTCATTTTGGCATGAGCCAAAACTCAAGTAGTGCACCTTGAAGTTTTGGCGCCTACTAAAAGGGCCGGATTCGTCTCAAACGTTAGAAGAGTTGGTTCAGTTGGCGGTATACATGCTTGCTATTCGGTAAGTACTGGAGAGGCATTCTGTCGTTGGGCTTCGAGGCAACTCAAGATGAGTTGACTCGCGAGATCTGCGCATGTAGCGCATTCCACGCGAGAGGTGGGGTGGTAGAGGAGCAAGGAGAGAAATGCTTTACTGGAATTGATCCAGTAGCACCTCGGACTGAAGTTTTACAAAATACTTAATAGTTGGTGAACCTCACCCCTTTCTCAAGCGAGGACGAGTCTTTGTAGATATTCGGTAGCAATTTATATCTCTTCATCATATATCCACAACCCAACCCATCACTCACCTCTTCCCACCCCTCAAGAAAACCCTCCCCCTAAAACCCTGCTGCTTAACAAACCACCTATTCAGACTCCTCAACTCCTCCCCATCACCGCATCCCACCAGCTGAAAATCAAACCTCCTCACCAACTGCGGAATCAGCTTCCCAATCTCCAACAAACTAATATTCTTCCCAATACACGTCCGACTCCCCATCCCGAACCCCAAACTATATTTCTCGACCTCCGCACCCCTCCCTTGCTCCTCGAATTCGAGCCAGCGCTCTGGTCTCCATTCCTCTGCGTCCGCGCCGAAGATAGAGGGATTGCGGTGCGCGACCCAGGCGTTGATGCCTATCGTTGAACCACCGGGGAAGAAATGTCCAGCGAGAGTCGTTCCTTCCGCGGGAACGATGCGCGGCATGGTGAGGCCTGTCGCTGAGTGGATTCGGAGGGCTTCTTTGATCACTGCTTGTAAGTAAGGCAGCGATTGCGCTTCTTTGAACGTCACAGGATCCGAGATCTGGCCCTCCTTTTCGGCGTCGTCGATTTCAGTCCTTAGTTTCTCCCATGTCCTAGGGTGTTTGAGCAGGTTGTATAGGATGGCTGAGAGGGTTATAGCAGTAGTGTCTGAGCCGGCTCCGATGTTCGATTGGCACATTGTGATTAGATCCATTTTTGTCATTTTCTCTGGATCCGCTTCGTGGGCGAGGAGGATCTTCGTCATGATATCCGGTGGTCCTTCTCTGTTTTTACTTTCCGGGTTCTTGAGTTCTTTTTGTCGATTCTCGATTTGGCGTAACGTGTATCCGTATACGTATCCGTGGCCTCCGGTCATGGGTAGTCTGGAATACAGATATTGATGGATCCAGGGAAATACGCCTACGAAAGTCGAGTAGGAGCCGCGGTCGTCGATGGCTTTGAAGACGCCTTCTTTGTCTTCGCCTAGGTCGAGGAAGCCGAAGCGGGAGCCGAAGGTGATTTCGCCGATTACGTCGAAGGCGTAGCATTGGAGCCAGTGTTGCAAGTCGATTACCTGGGATGTGAGAGCGAGGGAATGTAGACGCGAGGTGAAGAGGGCGGAGCAGTTGTTTACGAAGGGTTCGTAGGTTATAAGTGCAGACATGCTGTAGAAAGAAGAGAACTTTCGTCGTTGCATGCTGTGACGGTGGGCATTTTGGTCGGAGAATAGAGAGGCTTTTGATGGATCGGGAGGCATCCATGCTGAGTACCATGGTGCCTAGTCTTTTGTCAGTAATTGTCCTTCTCTATCCTAAGAGAAACTACCTTGGAAAAGCCCTTCCCAAGACCGTAGACAATTCGAGCTCCCTCAACATCATCTAAACTATACTCCCCTGGTGCGATTCTCACCACGGCTCCATATTCCTTGTGTAGCTCGACATTCGTCCTTTCAAAATCTCCCTCGTATAACTTGCAGAAATACCACCATCTCGTGAAACGAGCTAGGTACGGACCAGGTACCGAGCGGAGAGGGTCGAGGATATAATTGAAGAGAAATAGGTAGAAGATATAAAGAAGAGGAAGGAGAAGAATAGATGTCGGAGACAGAGAAGTGAGTTGTGATATCATCTTGCAATTACAGTAGAACACAATGCTCGATTCATAGTCCAGAACGAGGAAGATAGTATTTAAAGGCCTCGTTGTCGGAACGTGGGTGAGCTCTCACCTCAGCCTTGCCCCTCACCGTAACGTTCAAGCGGGGAACTTCCATGTCGGCTCATCGGCCGAACTTGTTGTTTAACCACTCACCTCTAAGGCAATAAAGTCAAGCTTTACTAAACACAGCTACTTGCATAAAAAGACTGCCGAATGGCGGGGAAGCTCTCGGAAACAGAAATCGGCGAAGAGAGCGAGATCCAATGAGCAGTTTATCCGAGCCATTGAATACCGATTTTCGAGCGTCCGATATGTCCGACTTAGTTTTATATTTCATGTCGGTATATGGAAACGGTAGATATAATCAATCTTACTTTCAATCTAGATCATGAAGACAGCGAGAAACAAGAAAATGTCTAGCGCGTACACATAGACGAACTCATGTCCAAACACCAACTCCACGCTTCCCAAGCAAAATCAAAAATTCATCCTCGCATGGCTAGCAGATGTCTGCGAAAGCGTCTGTTTACCGGGCAACAATTCGATCCCTCTCAACCGTGCCCGAGCTCTATCAATCTCGCAGATTTGATCGATCCGTGCTTGGCCTGTTGGCCAGTCGAAATGATATAGAGGTTCGAGAGTGGGACCTTTTCTCATGAGGATGTAGCGTTTGATCCACCATCTGCGACTTTTGTTAGTCTGTGATTGACAAGAGAGAGAGAAATGCCCTTACGGAAGTGCTTTTGTGATTTGATAATGCATGTGTTTCCGAGTAGGGACGGCGAATACATAATCTAGTTCTTCGAGAGTGCGTTGTTTGGTTTCTGGAACCCAGAGGAAGATCATGCAGAATGCTAGGACGTTGAGTCCAGCGTAGAAAGAGAAGGCACCCTAAAGTTGGTTAGCAACTAAGATGTCTTTGCAAATGATCTACTTACCACAATGCCCATCGCATCCAACATCATTGGCAGAGTGATTCCCAGAACAGCAGCCCAGAAGAGGTTTGTTGCCACGGCCCAACCCATACCCACTTCACGATGAGAAAGTGGAAAGACCTCAGCGGAGTACGTGAAAGGGACCGGACCTTCGCCTGGGCTATAGAATGCGCCGAAGACGTAGATGAAGAAGGCCATTAACCCAACATGCACCTCTTTATTCGACGGTGGAATAAGCGAGCATAATGCAACTGCTAGTAGACTCCATGCCATGTTCGGAAACGTGAAGAGCAAGAGACTTCGACGTCCATATGTGTCGATAGTCCATATAGCTGGCCAGGCAAAGATGAAGTTCGTGAGTCCGAATCCCTGAATTTAGTCAGCTCATTTTCCTCGCAAGGATATTAAGTGACATACAAACGAAGCCCAAAGAGCTTGAAATTGACTCGTCCCCGCTCTCACAAAGACATTCGACGAGTAGAATGCAATGACGTTAATCCCACACATCTGCTGAGCCATCATAACCGTAAATGCCGCTAACGTCGCCCTCCTCAACCTCGGAATACTAAACAACTCAATGAATCTCTTCATGTAGGTATGCTGCCCAATAATCTCGGCCTCAAGCTCCAACTGTGCATGGATATAATACAAATCTCTCGCAGCCTGAACAGGTGTATTCCGTAATCGGAGAAGGGATTTGTATGCATCTTGGTAGAGACCTTTCTTCATGTACCATCTTGGAGATTCGGGACAGAGATAGACGAAGAGGACAAGAGGGACGGCGGGAATGAATGCAGAGCCAAGTTGCAGACGCCAGGAGATGGAGGGTACTTTAGCGACGATGAGGTTGGCAGAGAAGCCGAGGAAGATTCCAAATGCTGTCCACATTTGCCAACTCATTACCACTGGAGGAAGTTAGCTTGCACCTTGCAGAAAGCTCCAAGTTCTCGTTCGGCTAAAGTGGGTCTGAGAAAAAGGGGTCCTTACAAGCTCCTCTTATACTCGCAGGACTATTCTCCGCCGCATATATCGGTATAGTAGATGCCTTTGCACCCATTCCAATCCCCAACAATATTCGACAGACAAGTAACTGCGGCCACGTCTTAGTGAAAGCTGATCCCAGTACCGACCACAGACAAAAGTTCCCCGAGACGAATATAGCTCCTCTTCGTCCCAGATATTTGTTCAATGGATCCGAAAGCCAACAGCCAAGGAACGCTGATCCGACATATGGCGCGGCATTGATCAGTCCGACGAGAAACGAATCGCGAGTCGAGGTAGAGGCTATCCCGAAAGCTTCAGGAAAAGTGAGGTTTGCGCCATTAGATCCTGTTGAATGTCAGTTCCAAGCACAATACTTCCACCCAGCCCAAAGTCCCAACCACATCCCCACAACCTCACACCCAAAAGTCAAGAAGAACTACCCACCAGTCTGATCCCATCCCTGCACCGCAGCACCCACCGAACAACTAATAATAGTCAAATAAAGACTCAGCGGCTGCCTCCACTATCCCAACGTCAGCCTCCAACCCATCTAATCCCTAGCCATGTATTCTCACCTTATGCAACACCTCATCCCGCAAGGCCTCCACCTCCTCCTCACCCAGGGCCTCCTCCCCCTCAATATCCTCATAATTCTCGGGGTCCCTCGCAACCAGTGCCCCCTTCCTTAACATCGGCAGTACATCCACCAATCCCCGCCTCTGCGCAAAGTCCTCTACATCGCGGAGCAGGGTCGCGGGCGAGATGCCATGGAGGGGGTTTTGTATCCTGTTACCATTAATCATCTACATTTATCTACCAAGAAAGGAAGAAAAGGAAGAAAAGGAAGAAAAGGAAGAAAAGGAAGAAAAGGAAAGACATACCTCCCCTCAAGATTGAGATTCAAATCCACCGCCTCAGGCCTCCCATCGAACTTTTCCCTGCGAAAAGAGACGTCAATTTACTACCCCACTACCAAACCAGAGATATGATACCGTTCGTAGGAAATCCGATCAACATGCACAGCGTCCGCTTTATTAGCATCCCTCATCTTCCATCATCATTCAGAAAGAAAGAAGAATAAAGGTAGCGTGAGAATCGAACCGGGCAAAGCGGGGGAGCGCGCATGGTTTATAGCTACAGTATTACAGGATTGAAGAAATGTGGCTTGCAGGGGTGGGGACGCCTCTTTTCAGTAAGTTGGTCTTGTGCGATGTGCCACCGTTTTCTGTCGGGCGGGACAGAGGAAGGAAGGAAGGTAGGGAAGGTGGGCTGGGAATGGTTTTCTGTTCAGTGGTGGGGTGGTGAGACCCTGTTGATCTTAGTGCTGTCATACTTGAATGTTTTGTTTGCTTGGGATGGGAGGGGATGGAAGGGCGGTCTAGAGTGGGTGAAACTTTAGCAATGGACAGCTTTCTTTCCAGAAACATAGTCCAATTATTCTTCAACATAATCAATTGCATCTTGGAAATTGGAAAGGGAGAATGGCAGCTGTCAGAATCGTCCGATATTAAGACATGGGGACCCCAGAGTGTTGGTCCACTGGAAAAGTTCGGCTGGTTCCGGATCGACATTTTGGAGTGAGAAATGGTTGGGTTTGAGAAGGACATTTGCAAATGTGTTCAACAGCAACATCATGAGAAGGTAATTGTCAGACTAGAGGTCCAAACACCCACACGGCCCTATGGGGGCTTCAAAGAGGACGCAAAGAAAGCCAAGAAGTCCCGAGCCCCTAACAGAGGTATCTGGGAGAGAAGATCCAAAGAAGTTCGAGTCATAGGCAGAGCGAGAGACCGTCGAACTATCAATCTTGAAGTGCACCCAGGTCGCTATGGAAAAAATGGCGGCATGCTACGAGAAGGCTTGCAATGGTTCCATGGCCTCCAGAAGTTGACAGTCGAAAGAGGTCGGCATGTTTCTTAGAAAACTACATACACAACTTGATATGAACGAGAGTCGGAAGAGAGGATATATTAGCTGCGAGATATATCCAAGGAAGTCGAATATTGGCATATTCTACTCGAAGGTCATGTTGAAGCGCTCGTACGCGATGAAGATCGATGGCTTAGCCAGCAATCAGAACATACCACCTCATAAGAAGGGTCAGCGTGGATTTCTCAATTGATATTGTTGACCTTTGCTACAATTGTTAAATTTATGCTATCTCTGCGTTGCCTCGATATTAGGTACAATCTGGCTAGAACAGAGATCATCATACCCATAGACGCTCTGATCAAGACGGACATTCACACCCTCAAATTGTTCATCCGATGTTCAGAGCATTGGACCCTTAAAGATGTACATTCAATCTACCAATATCCAAGCTCAGCTTGACAGGACTAATTCATCAGTCAAGTTTGAAGAGAGCACCTGTACGCCCGCTTTCTATCGATATGCCCAGATCTATTCATGGCTTGCGAGTCAAGCCAGCAATGCTTGTGTATTATACATTGCCATCCTCATCTTCGTCCTGGTCTAGAGGCTTGTATTTTCCGCTCTTAATGCTTCCCTCCTCTCCTTTGTTTTTGTTAACCATGCGAGAAATCCAACCACCGACTCCCTCGCTCGTCGAATCCTCGTCTCCATATTGTGGTTTTCCGTTCTTGATGTTCACATGTGGTGGATCGATGTCCAGTCCTGGAATGGCGTTTGAGGGTCCGAGGCCGCCATTCATCTGTCCTACGATTCCTCGTCGAAGATCCATTGATGGAACTGGTGACCCTCCCATTAGGGAGCCAGTCTCAGCTCGAGTTGCTGGTGTTGGCATAGCTGTCGTAGCATCACCAAAAAGCGTGTCCATATCCTCTAATCTTACACCAGCCGTCTCGGGATATATGAAATATACTGTGAAATGGTAAGTTGGGATGAAAATCAAGCTGGCAGGAATCACATACCAACTATGAAACTCGTAGCACAGAAAAATGCGTGCACGAGGTAAAGACGCCATGTAATCCACTCTTGTAACACAGGTGTCATCTCTCCAACGAGCCAGTTGAAAGCCCAATTAGTTGCCGTTGACAGACTGGCACCCTTTGAACGAATGCTCAGAGGTAGAATCTCAGGTGGGTAGAGCCAAGGAATAGGTCCCCAACTGTATCCAAATGCGGCGTTGTATATCATGACGAATATGACAACCAGTGTAGGCGTGATTTTAACATCGAGATATAAGAAGTACGAGATTAGTGACAGAGAAATGACCATAGCAACAGCACCGCTAAGCAGAATGAAGCGACGACCCCACCTGTCAACAAGATACCATGGTGGTACTGAGGACATAAGATACGTTATAGCGTTTATACCGGTCATCAGAATTGCTGATCGTCCAACCCAGCCGGCAGATTCGAAGACATAAGGCGCATAGTAAGAAATGACGTTGATACCATTGAGCTGAGCAAAAGCTTGAGCGGACATGGCGATAAAGACTCGAGTACGGTATCGTCGGAACATATCTCGGTAAGACTTTTCACCTTCTTGTCTTTGCAGTAAGACATCCATTTTAATTTCGCGGTATTCGTCACGGGCTTTGGCATTGTGAATGTCACCACCTCCGTAAAGATTGGCTATCACAACAATACCTTCTTCATCATGGTCATTGTCCAAGAGCCATCTGTTTGGTCAGCAATTGAAGTTTCCGAGAAGTGCGGAAAAATATACCTTGGTGATTCGACAATGACCAAACTTCCGAACCCTAGCAGAGCTCCCATAACACATTGCATCAACAAAGGAATTCTCCACGAATAGTTGCTGTTGATGTAGCTGCAAAAGTAATCCACCCAGACAGAAGTAGCATATCCTGTGATATTGCCCGTGAACTCGATACACGCCAACTTGCCGCGGTTGTGTGGAGGTGAAATTTCGGACTGATAGACAGGGACAATTGTTGAAAGCATGCCAACACCAACACCTGCAATGATTCTACCCAATAGCATCATTGGCATGCCATTCGCGAAACTCTGTAAAGCACCGCCGGTAAAGAATATGCAAGAGCCATAGAATATAGTTCTCCGTCGGCCGATAATATCACCTACTCGTCCTACCACCAGTGAAGAACAGAAAGCTCCAATTTCGAGAATCGCTACCATAGTCCCCACTTCGGCTCGTGTGGGCTGATTGAAGTAATCTTTGAAGAATGGGCCCCTATCGGCTGTTAGACAGGCTCGTGAACGTGGAAAACGGTCTTACGTGATGATGCCCGACATCACACCTTGATCGTATCCAAAGAGAAACACACCTAAGGATACAAATACACTGGTAAAGTATCTAAAAGGCAATTAGCTTATGGTCGAAAGTATTTTTGCCATGCTGCCTACACCAAGGGCTTGCCGGTCAGGCCATGCATCTGCCTTTCCCCTCCAGACATGATGGCGGCTAGGATATGCTCTACTCGTGAGATATAGCGTGGAGCCGGTTCTGGAATTCGAATATCCTCTTTAACGACTCCACGATTGTGTTTTTCTTCCTCGGTATCGTCCTCAGGGTCTTCTTGATAGCGAACCTGCTTCTGCCGGGGGGTCCGTCTCGAAGAACCACCAAACACCTGTTCTTCTAACGAGGCTCGTAACTTGCTGTGTAATGGGTCCTCGGCGTCTATCTGTAGACCAAGATCGCCGTCGTCCCAGGAGAATTCAGAGCCAGGTGAGGAGGACCTGGATAGAGATGACCGGCGGCCCTGCTTTTCGTTGGAGCCCAGCAGAGCAGCTGAATCGGAATTCGATGCTTGGGTAGATAAGGTTCGAAGTGGGATATTAGCAGGGAGCCGTCGGGGAGTCTTTGAGGGAGGAATATTGAAAGAGTAGGACTGTTAGCAGAGTCCTAATCTGCTGCGTTGGAAAATATCGGGGAAGCTGGAGAAAGGGTGGGCGTGACCAATGAGTTGGTTGAAGGAAACTAATGCTGGGACCAAGAAAACCCTTAAGTGAAGAATTGTGGATCATGCATGAAGGTGGTATGTGAGTGGTACTCGAGCATCACATGCAGGGCGGCGTGAATAGATGGCAGACGGGGAGTGGAATGGAAAATGCAGAGGCAGAGGCAGAAGTCAGTCAGGTCAAGCTGGCGGAGAGAGGTTGCATTGCAGTGCAGGAGCGTCATCGGGGACAGGAGAACAGGGGACTTTTTGGCGACCGGATGGCTTCCACGTGACCGACGGGACTCCACCACAGCCCCATTCTGCTGCCAACTTGCGAGTTGTTGGCGTTCCGTCTATTTGCCTTTGGGAAGATAAGCATTGCTTCTTCTCCATGAAGAGGTCTGGCCTTGAGTTGTCTCGACTGATAACGATGCATGCAAGCGATGTTGTGGTGGCAAAAATGGAGAGACCGCAACGATTGTTGAGAACTCTGCTTCTTCTTCCAATGGCTCATGATGCTGACAGTGCGGATCGCAACATCGTATTTCCCAAGACATTTGTTGCACAACTGCAAGACATTTGACATCACATCACAGGATATACCTCGGGTCGTTCATGGCGAAGCAGCTGTGCTTGTCACGTTGACTGATTGCACCTGATCAGTTGCCAGCGACAGAATCAGAATCAGAGTCAGGGATATCTAAGGGGGTCACGATGGAGTAGAGACGAAAAGTGGTTCAGTGCAGAGATGAAAATAACTTTGTTGTGTTTTTGGGGTAGTTCAGCCGCAAAATATATATTAGATGGCAATAATATTTTGGGCAATGAGCGAGGTCTAGAAACTTTGCGAAGTTCGACATCACAAGAACTAAACTACATTTTCCAGCCGCAGAGGAGCATCAGTTCGGCGACCTTCCTTCACGAGGCTATTTGAACTCTTTCATTCCAAGAACATTATATGTCTCTCCGTTTCTAAGTACGAATTGTCTCAACATCTGCGGAATATCCGTCGAAAGAACACGCGGAGAAGCAATATATCAATACTTCACATGGTTCCTTTCCAAGAGTCTCCCTGGTCGGTTCTGAAAATTCTCTCTCATGACCACTCATATCCAGTGATGTGACCAGACTTTTTCGTTGCTGTGCACAAGTTTATGCCTTTTTCCATCGCATCTGGTGATAGCCCGAATTTTTATATACCTACGTGCATCTTCAATTCGTCTTCGCTTCAACGCTCATGTGAGGGGATACAGCCTGAATCAAGCGGCAGTGCCCGCCTCGTCAGCTCAAAGTACCTGTGTAGCCTGTTGAAGTATTACAAGCAGCCGCATTCGGTTGCGATTCATTTTGCCCATTGTATCGCCTGGGGGTTGCCCTGGTGTTCTAGAACTATTCTTATCCTGGTATATCTCGTATCGTCAAGGATCTTTGCAGAGAGGAGCCATACAGAAAGCAAGAATGGCCAATACAAGGGAAGCCATCCAACTCGGCCTGCATATCAAGGAAACATTCACGATAGGACACGATTGCTCAATGGGTTTAATCCTGAAGCTCTCGAGAAAAGGCCTAAAGTGGAGTCGCGAATGGACACAAGATCTTACCACGATTCTACAGATGTTCTGCCCTCTTCCCCTCTTTACTAAGGGGTTTCTGTGTCTCATTTACAGCCTCATGCCGCATTGAGAACAAAATTTCCCAATCTCGTCATCATTCATCATCTTCCCCTCGTCCCGCGGCGATAGATTCAGGCAATCCTTGCGGCCGGTCCCTTCTGGAGGCTGCACCATCTGGTGGAGTGGAGGCGATCCCGACAGAAATCTGGGATGAGGTTGTGGCGCTTGCAGAATCTCAAACACAAGACTACGCGGAGGCTGTGCAATTACTCCGTAATAAGAGCAGAAAAGTGCCGCGGAGGCCGTTTGCCGTACGATGTTTGCTGTCGGATTCGAGGCTGGGTCGAGGTCGAGGTCGATACCGCGACAAATACTTTCCCTGTGTCAGCAGCTTAAATAAAACAAAAATATTCTTCTCCTGTCTCTTTTTCTCGCATGGCATGAAAGCGCTTCGTCAAACCATGCTCTGATATACGGCATGCCTGCAAACATCGCGGAGCATCATGAAGACTTGCCCAACCCAGATTGGCTAATTAATTCATTTCGGACATATAACCAGGGTTCTGTGAGAAGCCACCAGTCCACACCACGGCGACAGTTGGCATTGAGAACATCAAATTAGTTACCAGACCAGTGTAGCCTGCCGATTCACCTTCCACACCTCACTCATACTTCTTCACCTTGACAACACAGTCACCTCGCACATCATTCACTCTTCCCTCGCAAACGTCTACATCTCCATCGTCGTCGCATCCCCGAATCAACTCGCAATACTAAAATAGAAAACAACACAAGCTGTCAGTGATCTCGGCCGCACTCTAATTCTTTGGCGCACACCCGGACTCGATTTAGTGCGCAGATTGAGCGTTCCTGGAAAGGGAAGTGGCGAGTTTGGCCTAGCGATCAAGAGAGGCTGGTCAGGGAAGGAAAGGAACCTCAAATTAGACATTTCCAAACCACGCCTCACCTCGATTCACCTTCACTCCTCGACCTCGACCTCGACGTCTCCTCCTCCACCTCCTTTACTTGCTGTCGCTGGTCCCGCCGTCGTCGCATTGAGTCGTCCGCGACTCAGCTACTGCAATTAACTCTTGCGACGATCAAGGCCGGACGGACTCGATCTACGGCCGAAGAATAATTGGAGCTCTTTTATCTGCACTCAGGGCCGACACCACAACAGTTGTTCCAACAGTTCTAGGACATTCGTAATACAAGATGGGGTCAACGCAGTTCGGGAACTTCCACAACTTCTGCAGAGATAGTACATTGCCGATATGTAATGTAGGCTGAGCTAGAAGTCTCTTGGAATCGAGCTCCTGTGCTAATTGAGTTCTCACAGATCTTCCCTGGATTCAGCTACAATAATTCCGCGGGGTTTGCAGGAGGATGCGAACTTACAGGCATACCACTTAGCCATGGACGACATCTGGGCAATTTGGGTGCGTGGAAGCGATCGATTATACCGAATGTTTGAGCTGACGATGGGCAGGTTCTATACTTCTCTGTGGAATAGCAATTGTGGTCACAGCCTTCCTCCTATGGCGATCGGAACAGAAGCAAGCGGCTGTGGGACGGAGGTAAGTCGTACATAACTATGTTCGAGGAGGCAATGGCTGACTTCTGCGGCAGAGAGATGCAAGTTTTCCTCGTCGGATACATCCTCATCGAGATCTGCGAAATCTTCACTGTTGGAAAATTCCCATTGAATAATACGGTTCGAATTGTAGGTGGTTCCTATTTCGAAGACGGAACTTAACTGACCCCGGGAAACAGGCGTTTACTGGAATGCATCTGGGCTTCATAGTTGCGACTTTATGGATTCTAATGCTCAATGCAGTGGTGGGATACCAATTACTGGATGATGGAACACCAGTCTCGGTTGGTCTTATGGTTGGCTCTGCGGTAGCACTCTTCACCGGAACTGGTTACATTACGCTCGACACAGGTTACAATTGGACTGGTCATTTCCACGACAGCTTGTCTGGCAACAACAGGAACATTCCACTCTATGTGCTCTACCAATTAGCTCCTCTCGTCTTCCTGTTCGCCTTCTTTGTCCTGGAAACCGCATTGGTCATTCGAGTCCTAGGAGAACGCAAACCCATGATCTACCTCGCTGCAGCTGCTCTGCTCTTCGCTATCGGTCAGATCTTCAACTACGTGGTCAGCGTACACATCTGCCACGGCACGAGTGGAAAAATCGACGGAGCCCTCTTCGAAACTCTCTTCACGCTTCTGGCTGTCGTTATGGTCTGGGTATTCTGGTCAAGCATCACGGAAGATGATTGGCCAATGCCTATCAACAATACATACTCATGATCGCGACAATGGACCGAAGCATAGAAAACGGAGTTCGGGAGGTTACTTATTTTACGAGCATCATACGTCCTTAGACGATATTGTTTAAATTACTGCACGAGTGCATTTTCGCTAGGAAGGGGAATTAAGTCATAAGGGATGAGGATTAGGCATTGGCAGATACTTCCTCTGTGGAGGTAATCAAAGTTGAGGGGCTAGGAAAGTTCTGCTTCTGGAGAGAGGGGGGAGATTCAGTATCTTTGACGATGCTGCTCATTCGGCGATGAGCTTGTACATGATTTTCGATGTTAGTAGTATACCCACATGTAGCGCATAATGGAAGACGCAATGATTACAAACAGAAGGGACTTGATCCATGTTTTTCTTGGTGATTGAATGCCTGAGACTTCCTGTAGTCTGATGGGCAGTTCCACTAACAGTTCAATCCCTTCTTGTACTTGCTTTGAACTAGAACTCAACTGTCAAAATACATCAGTTCCACTTCCACTTCCAACTCTCCTAAGAATTGCACCTAACCAATAAACCTCAGTAAGCAGTTCTCAAACCCAAATCTTACACCCAGACACACCACTATCCAAACCTTGTTTTCCACTTGCATACTACCGGTACTCAACCCTAAATATCAAAGCCGTGACCCAATTAGTGAGCTGAATACCGATAGTTTCAAAGCTTGGCTCTTGGCTCAGAAGTACAGCGTTCATCTCAAAGCAGAGACATATCTGTGTAGGTAATAAAAGTCCGCTTTTTGCGCTTTACGCGAGCGGGAAAGGCGCGGACTGCGCGAGATGCGCGAAATGCGTAGATATCTGGGTGTCAAGCTGCATGAGAGAAAGACTGAGTTTCAGGTAAATGTTGAGGACGAGAAACCTATAATGCCTACTTGATTCTTTATCCAATTTCCCGAAAGAAGTACAATTCCTTCTAGTCTCAAGCAGCTGCCTTCTGGTTTTACTTCTATATGTGATCAGTATAGTTCTCATTTGTTAATAGTCAGTCTAGCTGCACCTCCAAGGGTGGTATCGAATTGCTCACTAGCTGAGACTGTGTTTTCGAAGAATTTTGAATATTCTACAGTAATCTAGCAGTAGAAACGCCAATCCGCCAAATAGAAAGAAACTACTCAAAGCCGGGTATCTCTCGCTCGTAACGCCAGTCATGCCAATAAACGCCTCATGATCAATGCTAGTCAAACGCAGTACAAGCCAGAAATGAAGCAAGCGCTAGAATAAACTCCGTAGAATGCTCTAGGTCTTCATTCCTCGTCATCATCTTTCTCTGCTTCCCATGCAAAGCGCAAGATAGTACCCGAGTCGCGGCTCACATACAGACTCTTCATCGATCCCTCCCTATCCTTGACGAATCTGATACATTTTGGCGCAGTACCAGGATACATCCTTTCTCCTTTCCTCTTTTTCTTGCTACTCTTGTTCTTGAACGCTGGGAAAGGGATTTTGTTTCCGCTCTTCAATGAGAATAGTTGAACGTAGGGCGTATCGTAATTTCCCCATTGAGCTGCGGCAACGAGACCGCTTTCGGTGTCGACGTCGAAGCCTGAAATGCCGGCTAGGAGCTTGTAGTCGGGATATTCGACGTATGGTGCGGTGACAAGAGTTGTGCGTTTCGAGGAATGAGGTCGTTCGTTGGCGAGCTTCAAGTAGCGGAGATCGTACTGGCGCATCTGGTTAGGTATCCCGGGAATGATTATGCGGTGTTCGTCGACTTGTCGAATATGTATGATGGCGTTGGGGTGGGTGATGACGGTGGCTTCGCTGTTGAATTTTGGATCCCGAAGGTCGATTCTGTAGGCTTGGCCGCAGTGGCCACCACCGAGGAGAGTATTTGGATTTTGACCGGATCCTGCCGCAGTTAGGAAACAAACGGCGGAGTAAAGTTGCATTTCAGAAGTATGGGCAACGTGGCTGTTCTTGTCCTTTAGCCAGTGGAGATCCTGTCTCTCTTTATCAAGCATGAGAATGCCTTTATTGGTACCGAATGCGAATAAGAGGGAAGATTCCGGAGGAGCAGCTGTCGAAGTGTACACTTCTGCATTGCCTCTTACATTGCCAGTTCCAAGTGAGATTGTTGGATGATCTAGCCACTGTGATCAGCGCAGAACTATTGTTTGAATCAGGTTGTCCTCAATCATTGGTGCGGGAGAACACAAGATTTTTCCAGAGTCAAGACTTACCCGATAATCCTCGCCATAGTCCGATGCCGACCTCTGATGATCCCGAAAGCCATGTGCTCGCATGAAAGCCAGTAGTATCATGGCTACTGAGGGATGTTGTGGCACCCGGGGATCCGAATTTGAAATTCCAATTCGCCGTCCTATTACCAGCATACTTGTTGAAGACATTATTCTTCGGACTGAATGATGCAAGGCTACTTATAACCCAATCGTCGTGAGCTAAAATTTCACCCAGGATTAGAAAACGCATACTAGAAACTCGTTACGGCTGGAAAGAGACGCAAAGTATAGCTTGTAAATGGAACAGAGAAGACAGCGTCTGGCAGTTGGAAACAGTACATGAGACCACGGACAGGACAAAATGGGTCGTAGAGTTAAGTAAAAGCAAAGCAATCCTATCCGAACAAATAACGGAGGCAATTTGCAAAATGAAATCATATCTTACCTGAATGTACCGTAAATACAAGATCCTTCTCTCGGTCTAGGTGGGGGCTAACGGCGAAGTACGGCTCAATATCTAAAGGGAATGGCGTATAGAAACCTTGGGCGACCAAACCAGCAGCCAATATGCTGCGTGGACAATCTAGGCCGGGACCGTAACCATACTCTCGTTTCATTACGAAACCAGAGAGTGTGTCTTCTAGGTTTGCGAATCGTTGGATGCGCCCCATCTGTCTCTTTTCATTCTTGGCTTGAATCTCTCTCCGGCGGTCACGCGTCTTGCGTCTCTTGACATCCTCAGCGGAATATGCTGTGTCTGCTGGAGCCGTACTTCCCTGGACTTTGAAATACTTTCTCTTTTCTCTATCTGTGAGTTAATTAAGTTAGCGAAGATACAAGAAGGTATATTCGAAAGCCCAACCGTAGTAGTATCCTGGAATGTCCTGCGCTGGACGATCCATACTTGGAACGTTACGCTGCTAGGCGTTTCCGTTGATTCTTATTGACTGCTTTGGGATAGGAAGAACAGATATGCGTTACAACCTAAGTCAAGGGTTGTAGATCGAAAAAATTGCCACAAAAAATGACATTTTGATATGAACAAGTTGAAGGCAAAACTCAATTCGGAAAGGGCAAGCGGAGGCTTGGATCGCGCCCGCCAAGTCGGTATCCACACCCCTTCAGTTTGGCTAACCTCACGACCAAGGCACTCAACCATTTAAGAAGTTTTCAAGACCGTCAGAGCCGTGCTTTCTACCATCTTCCGCTGGTTCACATTACATTACAATCGGAAGAAACTCAATCCTCCAAAATGGTCTATACTCTCACAGTCCACCTCTACGCAAACGAGAAGCCCGATTCTATTGACCGCATCAAAGCCAAACTCATCGAGGCAGCTCGAGTCTACAGGAAAGACAAGGAGACAATTGATTGTAAGTCTCTAGAACTGCAATTAAGAACCTCTGCCATACTATTTCCGTGGTCTGCAATCTTCAGCTGGACCCAATGGATCACTTTACACACTCTGCACCTGATATCGTACACCAGTCCGCTTCTGGGGCATGCAGCACTCGTCAAATGCAAATACACTTATACTGACACTTTTCTGGACAGGGTTGGTCATGCAAGATGTCCACGACCCTAGAGCGTTCACCATAGTAGAACGATTTGAGAACGAAAGTGTACGAAGCCCTCCTATACCTCTGTGACCCCATCCTAATTATGAATACTCCTGCAGAGTCAGAAGTACCATCTTGAGAATCCATACTGGAAGACCTTCGACCCCTATGTTATACCCCTCCTTGATAAGAAGATGGACCTCCGCAGACATGAAGAATTGGACACCAGCAAAGACGTTGCGGTTCCAGTCTAGGAGTCTGTGACAGGCTGTTCAGAGGTACAAAGCCGTTATTCCAACCCGACGACACTTAGTATCTTCTGTCGTCAGGGACACTTAGTACATTTGGCTTTGTCGTGTCCTATTATATGCGACCGATAGCTGAGCATGTTCCAAATAATTGCACGCATTTGATCATTCGCATGTAACGTTCTCGGTGAGGTGAGTATTGATATGCATTTGCTCACAAAACAATTATTTGCGACACTCTGCATTTTTAGATTACCCGACGATGAAAAAGTTTGATTATATAACTACACTATGGAATACCTTATGATAAACAAATACAATATTCTAGAACTCAATATGTCTATGTGAGTATATTACTTAAGCTGCGAATAAAAAGTCTTGTTGTAAAACCAGTGAAAATAATGAAATAAACGTTAAATTTGGGCGATATTTAAGGTATAGTTACTATATGTTTATAAGTTCCAGAGATCTTCGCAATCATTGAATGCTACAATCCTCTCAATGCTATATTATAATTCCGAAGGTTGCAGAAAGAATTGACTTTTCAATACATTCCTAGCCGGTTGCCGTGGTTCCGAACCCCAATTTTCACGAAAGCCATCACTCACTGTAATTGGTCAGCCTCGTCTACTGCTGCTGGGATCTAATACTCAGCCGGATCTACTGTAAACCATACACACCTTAATGAACCTTCAGTATTTCGAACCTCACCTCACTCTCCACTCCCCTCCTGTACCATACAGTCAGTGTTCTCAGTATGCGAGAAGCTTCATTCTAGACTTGAGAGCTCGAAGCTGCAGAGAAGATGACGGGGGAGGCGCATGCGCGTCCGTAAGTATCCCTCAGGAGACGCGACGCGCCTTATGGTCTACTAATTATAATTATATAGGTTCGAGGTCATAGACTTGACTAGTGACAACGAGAGCCAGAATGGCGATACGCGAGCTAGGAGAGCAGCACAGAATAGCAGGAGTGTGAAGGATAGCCAGTATGCCAATATTCCCTCGAGTAATCATGGACTGCCGGAGGAATACAAATGGAAACGACCATCTTCTCACAAGAACTCCAGTCGAACAAATCTCTCCGACTACAAGTGGCACGAGAGTCCTAAGATCTTTGATGCAATGTTGAACAAATCGCATAATGTCTCAAACAAGGCACTACATAGGAAGTCGAGCGATATGGACTCTGGTGGAGCGGCCCCGATGCCAAATTATCCTCCTATCCTGCCAGGCGCGACAATAGAATCTCGTAATTTCGGCCAGAACAATAAGTGCGGGCACCAATCCCTACCCTCGGGTTTATTTGCAGGTGAATTGCCAAAACAATCTAGTGAACCAAGCTCAACAATAGAATCTCCTCAGCTCGACCAGAATGACAAGCGAGGGTCCAAATTCATACCCTCAGACGGACTTGTGGGCCAAGTGCCAAAAGAACCTCGTGGACCAGGATTGACAAGAGAATCGCATCAGCTCGACCAGAATCACCAAAACGGTTATAAGATTCTACCTTCGAATTATCTCTCATTTGCAGATAGGAAACCAAAGAAGGTTAGAGCATTTAAGGGTCAGCAAAGATCTGTTGTTAATTCATCAACAATGCATAACGACACTGAGGAGGAGACGAGAATCACATATTCTCCGCTTAATCCTACAGAGCCCTCGAGCTTGAAGCGTCACAGACTAAACACCAAAGAATCCCTTCAGAGATCTTCAAATATCCCTACGCACAATTATAACAACAGAGGCTTCCAGGAACATGAGCCACCACCTATCCTACCAATGAAGAAGACAGTGATCTCTGGTGCCAGCAGGGCTGGAGGGTCAGACTCTCCATCAAGTTCTTCAAGCGCCACAGATAAGCGGTCGACTTCGAGCAAGACAGAGAAAATGTTAAGAGAAGATCTCGTCCCTCAGTTCAAGAAGGCAGCAGCACGATATGAGGGAAGCTTGCCGCAGGATCAACTTTCAAAAATCGCATCACAGGCAAGACACATAACTAGAGATACGAATTCTGGACTGACGGAAGCTAAGGTGGCTGTGGACATGGTAAACGGTCGCAAATTCAGACAAGATTTATCCGAGAATGGCGGCACACTCTCTGATAAATACAAGCAAAATTTGCCTCAGATAGTCCAAGACCTCCTGGACGACGCCATGAGGGAAAAGGTGTCGAGTGTTATGATACCAGACGCTAACCAAGATGTTACCATGTCCGATGCTCAACCTGCCTACGACACCCCGACGACGTCCGCAGAAACCCCAGAATCTGACAATATGTTCGAAGATGCACACCAATTCCCTACACAATCCAGAATATTGCCAAACTCACGTTTCCAGCCTGATTCTTCACCACCCACATCGTTCAGTCTCAGCCGAGCTAATTCTCATAACCAGTCAACAGAGCCTGATGAAGGTACTCCAAGTCAGACAGCATCTCACAGTGGCAGGGTCACAAGAGGAGCCTCGAAACCCAACTACTATGGCCAGAAGAAAGCACCAAACGCGCTAAACCATGAGCCCGCGAACACCCAAAAGTCCACTAGACGTAACCGGGAGTCCTCTAAGAGCCAGCAGGAGAAGCAAATCACGAAGCCTAGCCAACGTACAAGGGAACCCTTCAGAAGCCAGCAAGAAGAGGAAGTCACGGAGCCCAGAAGCAAGGAAAGAGGCAAGAAAATCACAATGTCTGCACCCGTGCCTCTCGACAAGGACAGTGGTGGCACACCCTCTTTTGGTTTATCAGTCAGGACAAAGTTGGAGTCAATGCTGCGCCAACGCGAATTACATGGCATGGTCCCCGTTAGGCCACGAATCGGACAGATTTCTTATAAAACCATGGCCACCAATGCTATCGAAGACTCATTGGTACGGGACTACCAGTGGGTCCATCAGTCTGGGGACGCAACGACAATCACATGGACTGGAGAGACTACATTCGTATCTGGAGCTTTAGCTCATTATGATGTCCACAACATGCAGTATAATCGTCATGGAAATCTTGTTGTGGGATCAACTGCGAACAAAGTTGTCAAGATGATTGACGGCCACCGAGCCCTCCGACCCATAGTCACAGCAGCAGAGAATAAAGAAAACTCTTTGCCGGCAATGCGTGCAACTCAAGATGAGTGGCGATACGCGCCAGTCGTCTCCAGTGCATATTGTGATGTCAATGGATATACCTTTACCGCTTCTTTCGACAAGACGGTCAAAATCTGGAGAGTGTTGGAAAAGGGACCTTCTATGCAATTAAAAGGCATCTGGTTACATGACTTCGGTGTCAACTTTGTCTTAACTTCAAAGCATCATGACATGGTCGCGACCGCGAGCGAAGCGCATAACGATGCCGTCCGGGTGTACAAGTTTGACGAAACAGATGTGTCTCGCTCTGCTTATGATGTTTATAATGCGGATAGGGCTCTGACAAGACCTGGAGATTTGAGGATGGCAGATAAATGGGCATACCATCCTGCTACAATGCAATGGGGAAGGTCAGATAAGGTCTCGAACTTGTTACTCGTTGGGTACTCACCTCGAGGTACTAGTAACGATGAAGCGGAAATTCCCGAATCCAAGAGAAACTCAGGTGAACTATGCTGTTGGAACGCCAAAACCGGGCAGCAAGTGCTTATAAACGCGGGAAAGAGTGCCAATGTCTTTGAAGTCATATGGCATCCTTCACAACCCATCTTCCTAGTGGCTACTGCACCATCAGGTACCTTCGACTCAAGGAAGACCCGGACACAAGTTCGACTGTTCCAGCTTGTAGGAAGTGACATCGAAAGTTTCCAATGTGTCAAGACCCTGGATTGCCCAGCATCTGATGTCAATGAATTGACTATGATGTAAGTCTCAGTACATTCCTAAATGTTCAAATTTAACAATTTCTAGGCCCACCAGCCTTCACGACGGTTATGTCACAGCTAGTTGTACCGATGGAAAAACATATGTCTGGGATACAATGCACGATGACAGACTTCTTCACGTCTTGCCACATGGTGGTAAGTTGTTCTAATTTCTAGAGTTTACAATGGATACTAATGTGTTGTGTAGATTCTATAGATAACCCTGACCATGAAATCCCACTTGAGCAGGCGGATACTGGCGTCAAGTTCGCAGCTTGGGGAAGATCTTCTAATCGTCTCTACACTGGTTCGTCAGATGGGGTAGTGAAGGCGTGGGACATAACACGACCTACCGCTGACGCCCTTGTACGCGATGTCCTCAGGGCAGCAAGTGGCATATCGTGCGGAATATTTTCTGCCGATTTCTCAAAGCTATTGATAGGCGACGGAGCTGGCCATTTACATCTCATCCAAGCTGCTGATGACGAATCTGACGACCGAGACCCTCTTTTCCTCCCGTTAACTCGTCGAAAATTCATGGTTCCACATCCTGATCCCTTTTCTGACCGCGAGATTTTGGAAAATCGAGAAGAATATCGCAGGTACATGGAGCAAGGCATCTTGATCAAGCTCCCAATGGATGTTCCAGGATGGGGAGCTCATTATAGGGTTGGCAAAGGTCCGAATTATGATCTATGCGGACTATACCGCAGTGATGCACACGAAGATGGAGACAACACGAAGCCCCTGTTGCCAAAAATTGGTAATACGACGAATTGGGATGGTGTTACTAAAGTCCGCCCGCAGGTGGGCAACTTTCCCGTGCTGCTGCCAGCTGAATCAAGCCGGAAGCGCCAGCATAATAGACTTGAAGATTTAGACCTCGATGTCAACAAGCTCTTGGCCTCAACTAAGTCCAAAGATTTGAAGCAAGATCTGGCTATCTCGGCGGAGTACATGCTGAATTTTGAAGAAGAGGGAAGAGACTATGTTTTGGACAAATAGTCTGTTTTTGTAGATATGAATTGTATAGAAGAAATGGAAAGTTTGTCCACACTCGTGTTGGTAAGCTGAATAAAATCCGAGTGTCTCCCTTAATTCATTTTGCAAGTCGTTGCCGAGCCCATATTTGTTAAGTTATCATTGTCTATTCTGTTGTGCATGAACCAGCAGCAAGCAACAGTCTCCCCGATTGCACTTCTCTGCCAGGTGCGGAAAGACAGGTTTCTTCACCCACCTGGCTCAAACTCAACCTCTGCACTACGACTGCGGCAACATGTGTCACTGAGATCACGTCCAGAAACGTTCGCGGATCTTTGTCAGCTCCAGCATGCTCCTCTGTTCTTTGAACGACGCACAATAGTTCCATAACTCGCGCGATCCTTGATTCATACCCGCGAAGCTCCCCTCTCTCTTCCAAACCGCAAAAACGCATAATTCTGCTCGCGACGACACCCAAGCGCCAAAGGAAAATACCCACTGATGCTTGCCCTCACACTGGGCTTTACAAAGATACGCTGTCTGCAAGCTAGAAGAAGTTGCAGCTGCTTTCCAGAGGCTCTTTCAAATGCTCAAGCTGACAACCACTCTAGCAGACTCTATCAACACCCCAGCAAAAAGAATAAATTGCACCAACCTCACAATCCCAGTCCTTCATAAGCCCATACCGTACCCTACGATCAACGAGCACGATCTTATGTGATCACACTCCTCCTCACTTACCCACGAAGAAGTTATGCACGCGAAATAATACACTGATGATGTCGTCCTTCAGTCCTACGAATCCAGCCTTACAACTTTTTGTCCTCTCTTGCACAGTCCTTCCACTCCTATGCGAATTTCAGCGAGAATCAAAAAAGCGGCTTAGCGTATCTCGTTTAAGCCCCTTATATTGATGAAGGCGGGGAATTGACGATTGGGAGGCTATACACGGATATTCGGGCAGTTGGGGAATGGGGGTACAAAGAAGATAGCTTGAAACATGATGGTGGGTTTATTCTATACATGGGGGAATATGGGACGGTTGAAGCAGCTGCTGGTCTTCATTTATACCACTTGATACACCTCCTCTTATACGATTCTGTTTAACCTGCATGCATATCTATGAGATCGCGGAAGCAGTTTAGCATATATCGTGAAAATTCTTATACTGGTTGGTGGAGAAAGGGCATATCTTGTTGGAAGGCTACGCGATGACATTAGGGCAGCTAGAGAGTAGAGATACGAGGGAGATGGCTTGGATATATCTGGAGACTTCTATATATAACGGAGGGTAAATCTCGACGTTGACACAGTGGCTCATCACTGACGATCTCCTCGACATGGAGAATCTGCCAGTCATTGAGTATCGATTCAAACTTGGAACCAATTCGAATAGAGGGCGGCAATGGCTTCAGTGTGATAAAGGGTTGGAGAGCATATTCATATCGGGGGATGGTTTGTTGGCAACGGAGATGCGTATCACAGGGGAAACCTGCGAGATGTTGAATGTGTGGAAGACATACAAAGATATTGATATTGGCTACAAAAGCGAAACTGAGAAGTCACGGGTTTCGATGATTAATGGCGCTTCCCTGGGCGATGCAGTTCTGAGAAAAATGATACAAGAAAACATCTGCCTAGACGCCGATTGATGCAAATGAAATAAGGAAGTCAGCTACAACGGCTTGGAAGTGTCGTTGAAGTGAGCTGGGTCACGAGTTGGAAAGGGGCTCGGCTAAGGATGGTGAGGATGGAGAGTGGTAGCTACAATGGCAGGTGTCGCCGAAGCGAATTCTCAAATCACGAGTATTAAAGGGGCTTTGCTGAGGGTGCTGAGAAGTGCGGAAGCTACAATGGAATGGCAATGCCGTTGACGTTAACAGCTGGATAATGAGGCGGAAAGGGGCTTTACCGAGGGCGGTGACGGATGGCACAATATCCTATCGCCACGAAAGACAACAAGCTTCCTGTCTCCTGGGTGAGTATGAATTGAGGGGAGTCTGACGAAGAGAGATGATGGGCATGAAGTGTCGTTGCGCAAGGTCAAGTAATAGGTTGAAATACGAAGCCTGTGGTACCAAGTCGCACCTGAGGCAATGGGCTACATAGAAAGAAACCTAGCCAAGGTCAAAAATATCATTTTTTTTAATAAGAAAAAACTGCAAAACGCCTAGGCACACAGAGAAATCTCTGTGTGCCTAGGCGCCCAAGCGCGAAGCATTGTCCGAAGTCGAAATGGCGTATTAAAGGAGGCGATATGGCGATTTTACAGGGGAGGGGACACCAACCCGGTCAAGGGGCCCGCGGCCCAACCGGATTGGATGGCAGCGAATTGCTTATTTAGATCTATGTTGTGGGTTTGGCGAGACGAAGCTGGACTACGTAGGTGGGTGTAATTTCCGAGGCGGAGGTGAAGGTTTCTTAGCTTGCTGTTAAGGGTTTTCTTGTTGTTAAATTGCAGAGCTTGAATTTTTTTCGTTTCATGTCATCTCGTCTCCTCTCTCGTATTCTTCGCTTGTAAGAGTTGTGTAGGTATAGAGCTTATATCTTTCCTTGAATGTTGTCTCACGAATTTTCTCACTTCACTTGGGATTGTGGATTAAGCTTCGACATTGCCTTGAGAACGAGTATGGATCTTGCTTATGGGATGTGCTACAGTATACAGTGCGCTGAAGTGGAAGAACATGGCATCATTCGAAGGAAAGCACAACGAATTGCAAGAAAGTACACAAATACATAGAGGGAAGGACCTTGCCCTCTAACGTCATCGATCACAGTCACAAAGCAAAGCCAATTTTCCAAGTTCAGATTATGTCTTCCCTTCCACTCGCCCGTTTTTGCCAGGCAAGCATTACTTAGATACAAAGTCAATTTCGCTTTCCACCCCATGCCAACCAGGAAAACCAAAGGAAGCAAGCTGCTGTACATTTTCTGCAGGCAATTTGGGTTCCGAGACGCAAAGAAACAGATCATGATTATGCTCCATCGATGCCCATGGATGCTCAAATGAGTTTGAGGCATGTCAATTTTTTCCCTTCTGAGGTATCATGAACGCCCGACGCCAGTGCAATGCTATATGTGAAAAGGAAAGGGGTCAATATGTAAAGGATTCCATATGATCTTTGAGACCAAGAGGTTGGGTTGATTAGGTGAAGTGTCGGATGTTCTTAAGAACGGTGTCCTGGTGGAGGTGGCTGAGCGGGTGATGTTTGGCTCTGACCTGGGAATACGAATCCAGGAGGGAGCATGGGCATACCGTTCGTGAAGTTCATCGGGAAAGGAAAGCCTGGCATGCCGAAGGGAGGGACCGGAGGCATAGATGGAGGAGCACTAACGGCAGAGGGTCTGTCCCGACGGTCGTCGTCTCGGTGATTATCACGGCGGTCGTCTCGATCACCTCGTCGATGTTGTCGCTCTTGTCGCTCTTCCTCATCGCGGTCACGGGTAGACTTGGGACCATTATTGCCACCCTTGTCTGTTTGCATGCGACGGCTGATAGCCTTCGAAGAAACACCTTGGCCGATCTCAATATCTGGCTCCTCGACAACAAGTCCAGGCTCGATGGGCTTGCCACCGCTACCACCGTACTCGGCAGTCAACATCCACTTCCGATCGGCATCAGTGAGTTTGCTAATGGGGATGATGCTGACTCCAGTTTGGTAGTCACTGCAATCACGAGGTCCAAATCCGACACCCCATCTTGTCTGGTAAAGTTAGTCTTGGTACATTACATGCATGGACTCTGGAACTTACCCTCAGTTGAGAGTCTGGTGCTCTGTTCTTCTCCATCTCATCCTTGGCTCTGACCGCATCGGCACGGCTGATCATTTTGACGAATGCGTGGCGCTTGTCCTTATTGACGATGCAAGTCTGAACTTGACCAAAAGTAGAGAAGATATTTCTCAATTCTGATTCTGGCATACTGTTTGCTAATTAGCGATATTCATAGTAGAGCGGTACTTGAGACTTACGTGACGCCCCCGACAAACAGAGTGCGACTGAGTACTGCGGAATGTTAGATCTTATAGTTTGCGGTTTGATTGCGTGCATACCTTTGATGTTTCCCTTGCCAATGGACGGATCGTGGTCAACCCACTTACTTCCACCTCCATTTGTTCTTGGCGGGGATGGGCTGTTCCCACGGCGGGGAGGACTACGCTCACGGTATCCATTAACACGACCCCCTCGTCCTCGACCACGATCATCTCCACGATTACGACCTGGCGAGTCTCTACCATACTCAAATCCTTCCTCATGACGACGAGAATTTGGTGAATCACGAGCACCCCACGCACGAACAGGAGACCGAGATCGAGAGCGGCGACGGAAACGACCTGGTGGTGATCTCACAGCCTCATTGAAACTATTGCGATCACGTGATTCTTCTGGTCTAGCACCCCAAAAACCGTTCTGAGCATTTTGATTTTGATTTTGGGCCGCAAATGGCGGTGGGGGAGGAGGAATTCCACCTGCTCCAACCAAAGGAAGACCTTGATTACCCATAGCAGTAATGATAGCACCAATTTTATCAGGCCCGTACCCCTGGTCTGCGAGAGCCTTGATCAACATCAACTGGGACTGAACAGCTGGATCAAGGGCAGCAGTAGGAGGAGGGATTATAGGCGCCGGGGTAGCAAATGGATTTGCTTGATTACTTGCAAAGTTCTGAACACCATTACTCGTTCCTTGTGGTTGCGATGCAAAAGTGGCCGATGGCACGTTTACAGGCGGTGGAATTGGTGGGAACGGAAGGGACTGAGTCAAGCCTGCAACTTGCTGAGCAACTGGATTACTTTGCGCATTTGATACATTGTACGAACTACCCGGGACCTGAGATGGGGGATTTGCGGGAGGAGCAGCAGCAGTATTTTGACGAGCCATGTTGGCGAGAGCCTCCAAGATCGAAGAAGTGTTACGAACGGGGGCCGGGTTAGGAGTCGTGGTTGGCTGCAATCCGAGGCTTCTTTGTAGATCTGCTGGAGGACTTCCTGGAGGCGTGGTAGATACGTCTGTGAATTGTAACAGTAATTAGAATGTGACTCGAGAACACTGGTAGATGTAATTGTGGTAGCCTTACTTTGTGCGTTCAACTTCTCCTTGAACGTACTAAGCATCTGGAAAGGGAAAGTCTGGCCTTTCTCCCAGATTTCAACGAGCTTCTTAATCTTCTCCTACAAGACAAAAAAACAGAGTAAGTGGAGGTTCATAGGGGGATTGGACTGTGCGCATTGGATATCTCTTCATCAAGCAACATAGTGGAAGCTGGAGTCACGAGGACCATGCGAGTCCGAGGTCTATAGAGCTCAAACTTTTGGGCGTACCTTTTGATCACCAGGAGCAGATTGAATAATGTCGTTCATCAGTGCGGGTAGCAACTCCTTTACTTTATGGACACCAGCGGCATAGGTACCATCCTGAGCAGAACTGTTTATAGGTTGTCCAGCGCTCTTGGCTTGCTCTGTCCACTTGCGGGTTACGGAGTCTACGACGTATAGGACGCCCAACTTGTGTGTGGCCGGTGCCTTCTTGAAGTGTGTATACAGCTTTTGGATGAGAACGGATTCGGACTGTGTATCGTAACGTTAGCTTTGGGCCATCTCCAGCGACGACCTCCATGAAGATGAGCTTACCTGTATGTTGGCGTTGCAGAGGGTGGTGATGCTTTGAATGCGAGAACCTGAGACTCCTGGAGGCTTCAATAACAGCATGGCTTGCAAGCCAGCTTCTAGTTCAGCTACTGCGGAAGACATGTTGTACTGTAGAAGGAACACGACCAGCGCAGGTTCAGTTGCAAAGAATGTGTAGTTGCGAAGATCGAAGGCTTCGCGAGATTCTACTTCTATCCTCGCTCCAAGCCCCGATCCGCTAACACGAAGCTACGAAGAAATGAAGCAAAAGTGAATGGATTTCTATCGCGATTACGATGTGCGACCGGCACGATGAGTTTAGCTTCGAAGGCACTCCAGTCAAGAGACGATCGAAAAACCAGCGAATCTCAGAGACCGCAGGAGACACCGCAAGAAGGATCTGTATTAGTTGATGGGATGTGTATCTGTAGATGATTCTTCGTGGCAGTTGTGATGTCGTTGGGAAGAGGTCACAAGAAGAGGAGAAAGTGCCACCACTTCGGTTTTAGGTCTTTTTTGACTAACTTTTGAAAGCCTGCTGCTGCCTTAAGGCAGCCACAACACCAGTCACGTGGAACAAGCTTTGAATGCAAGATACTGGTGAATGCATGAAGGAACAGGGAATAAAAAAGATTTAGCCTGATTGTTCGGAAGCTTCTATATTTTTTTCTCTTCTTCTGTGTATCATTGCCAGCCCCATGTGCCGGAGGGTTTTTCTGTGGCAGGGATAGATGGAGCTTTCTTCGGCCAACAACGGGTCCAACGACTGGGAAGTCCGACCTAGCCACCAACCGAAGACTCTCTTTCTTGCAAAACACGACTTTTTTCCTTCAGATCTCCTCATCACATCTCCCTCACACCACAATGGCGTCAGCACTTCGTCTTGGTTCATCGGCCTTAAGGTCTTCTCTCACAGCTCCAGCATTCAATGCTAGAACCGCAGCCTTCAATGGCCTGCGATGCTATTCTTCAAGTAAAACTCAGGTAAGCTTGATTGGATTTGTTCCAAGCTCTACAACGAACCCCAACCTGACAATCAGCCACAGACACTGAAAGAACGATTCGCCGAGCAACTACCAGAAAAGATTGAGCAGATCAAGAAGCTTCGCAAGTAAGAATTGATGGAGAAAAATCGAAGGGCATTCCTTAATTGACAAACGTAGGGACTATGGCTCTAAGGTCATCGGTGAGGTCACTCTCGACCAAGTCTACGGTGGTGCTCGTGGGATCAAGTCGCTAGTCTGGGAAGGTTCAGTTCTCGACTCTGAGGAGGGTATCCGTTTCCGAGGGAAGACAATTCCAGAATGCCAGGAGCTTCTGCCAAAGGCCCCAGGTGGACAAGAGCCCCTACCCGAAGGTATGCTATGATAAGATTCTGCTTCAATTGATATGCTAATTTCCGCCGCAGGTCTCTTCTGGCTGCTGTTGACCGGTGAGGTGCCCAGCGAGCAACAAGTCCGCGATCTCTCTGCCGACTGGGCTGCCCGCTCAGATATCCCCAAATTCGTCGAGGAGCTCATCGACCGATGCCCCAGTGATCTCCACCCAATGGCACAGTTCTCTATCGCAGTCAACGCTCTCGAGCACGAATCTGCTTTCGCCAAGGCATACGCTAAGGGAATGAAGAAGACTGAGTACTGGGGCCACACTTACGAGGATGCTATGGACTTGATTGCCAAGCTTCCAACAATTGCCGCCAGAATCTACCAAAACGTCTTCAAGGGAGGCAAGGTTGCTCCAGTCCAGAAGGACAAGGATTACTCCTTCAACTTTGCCAACCAACTCGGATTCGGCAACAACAACGACTTCATTGAGTTGATGAGACTGTACCTTACCATCCACACCGACCACGAGGGTGGTAACGTTAGCGCACACACCACCCACCTGGTTGGAAGTGCTCTCAGCTCTCCTATGCTTTCTCTCGCCGCCGGCCTCAACGGTCTTGCTGGTCCTCTTCACGGTCTCGCCAACCAGGAGGTCTTGAACTGGCTCACCAAGATGAAGGCCTCCATTGGAGATGATCTCAGCGATGAGGCCATCAAGAACTACCTCTGGACCACCCTCAAGGCTGGCCAGGTTGTTCCAGGTTACGGACACGCAGTTCTCCGAAAGACTGACCCCCGATACATGGCTCAGAGAGAATTTGCCGAAAAGCATCTCCCAGATGACCCAATGTACAAGCTTGTTAGCCAAGTGTACAAGATCGCCCCAGGTGTTCTGACCGAGCACGGCAAGACCAAGAACCCATACCCCAACGTTGATGCTGTAAGTTCACATTTGTTATCCCCTTGAGTTTCAACACTAACATGAACTCAGCACTCTGGTGTCCTTCTTCAATACTACGGCTTGACTGAAGCCAACTACTACACTGTCCTCTTCGGTGTTTCCCGAGCCATCGGTGTCATGCCTCAACTTATCATTGACCGTGCAGTTGGAGCTCCTATCGAGCGACCCAAGTCCTTCTCAACAGAGAAGTGGGCCGAGATTGTCGGAGCTAAGCTGTAAAATACCAAGAATGATATGAAGTCGGGGTGGGATGGGTGCCGGAATGCAGATTGTAAGTTAGGTTAGACCGGCTCTGGAGCGACGTTTGCGCTGTTACCTGTACTTTACTCGAGCGTTCTGGTGCTCTCTCGCAATCACTCCTGCGTATAGAATGAAATTCGTGACCAAAATCTACATTATAGACTAGGTACTTCTTATATGTGAAAGTGTTACAAATGTTACCGAAATCTGAATGTCACGTTAACATAGACAAAGCACTCCAGCTAAGAGTTCTTGGCATGAACGAAGCCGTGAACGATTGATACTGATACAGGTCCATTGTTCATCATGATACCTCACATCCACAGACTCGATTACTTCTACTTATCTAAGAAGCCTCCGAGGCAATTCTGAGCATCCCCGACCGTCTGACTCTGCCACAATTCGCAATTGCAGCAGAATGTCTGAAACTCCTCTTGATGCGATGTCTCGAGCACGTGTGTCCTAGCTCTCGTCGGGCTTCCCCATCAATTTTCTTCACCCCGAGGCATTGAATGCCCAAGCGAGACCAACGATTGAGCTCAACAAGACCGACGGACAACCTAAATCCAGGCTTGACCGCAATAAGCACAGCGGGATCTGCTTGCTGGACCAGCAGCAGCCTCGTTGAAAAGAATGCGCGGCATCAACAACCTGTACTGCAGAATAGCTGAGCACGCTGAGGACGCTGACCGGGTAAGATCTGACATACAGACCGCCAGATGCGAACATTTTGCAATCTATCGATCTCACATCCCCTCAAAACCCGCCGAATAATCATCAGATTGAACCCTTCGTGCCTCGTTTCGTGCCACTTTTGCCGGCTTCGGTTCGCATCGAAATAAGCAATGAAAGTACGATAAGGGGTTCGGCCACCGAATCAGAGCCAACTGGTAGCCGAGCTAGATACATCTTACCGTAGCAAAACTCCCAACTCCCTTCCCTTTCTCTCGACAACAACCTCTCACGATTATTTTTTGCGACGAAGCACCCTAATCCCTTGGTCAGGGCCCCTCAATTTGCAATCTACTCCCACGATGTCAGTCGCAGTCGCAGAACCGCCCAAGCTCGAGAAGAAGCCCGTCAAGTTCAGCAATCTGCTGCTTGGGGCTGGGCTCAACATGTGCGTTTCCAAGTTTCCAAGATGCAGAAGAACTACAGACAATCAATGCTGATGCGGAAACAGGTTCGAAGTCACGACTCTGGGACAGCCATTGGAGGTCGTCAAGACGACCATGGCTGCGAACAGAGGAGACTCGTTTGCTGCTGCTCTTACTCGAGTTTGGGGTAGAGGTGGTGTTCTTGGCTGTAAGCTTGCACCCGTCATCTCCCGCATTTCGAATCTCAATCGCACAATCAACTAACATTTCATCTCTCGACAATAGTCTATCAAGGTCTCATTCCCTGGGCCTGGATCGAAGCCTCCACCAAAGGAGCCGTCCTCCTCTTCGTCGCCTCCGAAGCCGAATACTATGCCCGAACCTTCGGAGCCGGTGATTTCACCGCTGGTGTCACTGGCGGTGTCACTGGTGGTCTTGCCCAGGCATATGCTACCATGGGTTTCTGTACCTGTATGAAGACGGTCGAGATCACAAAGTCCAAGCTCGCGGCTCAAGGTGTCAAGCCTCCGGGTACGTTTGCTACATTCATGGATATCTACCGCAAAGAGGGTATCAAGGGTATCAACAAGGGCGTTAACGCCGTGGCTATCCGTCAAATGACCAACTGGGGTTCTCGATTTGGTCTCTCGCGTCTTGCGGAACAGGGAATTCGAAAGGTAACTGGCAAGGAGGACGGTGCAGGATTGGCTGCTTGGGAGAAAATTCTGGCGTCGGCTTTGGGTGGTGGTCTTACTGCTTGGAATCAACCGATTGAGGTCATTCGTGTGGAGATGCAGAGTAAGACCGAGGATCCCAATAGGCCGAAGAAGATGACCGTGGGCAACACGGCCAAGTATATCTACCAGCAAAATGGACTGAAGGGTCTGTACCGTGGTGTGGTTCCCCGTATTGGATTGGGCGTTTGGCAGACGATCTGTATGGTGGCTATGGGTGATATGTATGTCTTTCCCTTCCCTACTTCTCCTTCAAATACTGATAATTTTCACAGGGCCAAGACCTACGTCGAGAAACTCACCGGCGAAAAGGTTACAGCTAAGCATTAGACGGCGTTCTTCATGGTACAACGGATCACGGCATGCTTTGGAGGTTTCTAGATTTTACCCACGCTTTGGAAGATCTTGGGACATTGTCAAAACGGTGGTCAGTCTTTGCTTACTTGCACATGGAAAAGGATAGAGAGGACTTTCCGTTTCTTTTTGTTTGTAGGCTTTTCTCTATTAGAGCATGGCGGATACATAGTTTGCTACTGCATGCGCATGCACATGATTCACGGCAAGAAAGGGCGTTGTATCTGAAATGGATATTTTAATCATGTCCCATTTATGTTGTCCGAGGTTGGCATGTGATTTTATGCTTTTAGTGACGACTCAATGTTTTATGGCTATTTGGAGGGAGGGAGTGAGGGAGGTGGAGTCCGTCTGATGTCCAAAAAATCCACGCTCGCCAATACATACCTACCAAACAACCTCCCTTCGCGACATACATCCCAACCCAACATCCACTCCAAAATCATACACTAACAGTAACAGTAACATCCTCTCCCGTCCTAGCCACTGTTACCTCCCGACCCTCTTGTCAATCTCTAATTCTACTTGTCAATCTTTAATTCTGCTTGTCACCATCTCATCTTCCAAGAACGGAACAAACCACACAACCTGGATCCGAGAACGTCTAAACGTCAGTGGTCTCTCTGCTTTTGGTACGGTTAACATGCCTAAGAGCGTTAGATCATGTGTTTATATGTACCTAGAGAAGTTGTTCAAGCTCACACTCGTGAGTCAACGCTCAGAGAGGGAGGGTAGGTGAATGGGGAGTGAGTGAGTGATGGAGAGTGAATGAGAGGGGACTCATACCTATCGGCCACCGCGGTCCCGCTCCGCCTATATATACCTCCAGCGGCCGCCCGAGGAATCCTCTCCTCTCTCTTCAAGCCCAAGAAGTTGCAAATCAGAACTCCCAAGACGCCTAGCCCTGGCTTGTGTGGTGTCTTGTGAAGGGTTCTAGAGGGTATATGTAAGGTCGAGAAACATTCGGTGATCTTTTTCACCCGCTTACGGAGTGGTGTGAGACGTGAGTTTTTTGTTGACAACAAATGGGGATGTGGTGGCAATATTCTATCAATGTATAGATAGACGCAAGGTGTGATGCTTTTGGGAAAGATGTAACTGAAGACAACTCTGGCTTCGTGGAGCCCATGGATTGAAGAGTGAGACTGCACGTCTTGTTTCTGTTCAGACGCCGCTTTTTTCTTTTGAGGTCAAGGTTGGCGGCTTGGGGAGAAGGGAAAAGAAAAGAAGAGGTGACAATGAGAATTGCAGTTGATGATGGGGTTGGTAGTTGACAACAAGTGTTGGGACCGAAGAAGAGGCTACTGTTCTGTCTGTATTGCTTCTTGAGGTGTCATGTTACGGTACTGCTTGTTATTCATTGCTCCCGGGGATTTTACTGGCCAATCGGGAGGACATATTCGACTCCACGGTATTGTTGGAGTTTTCAAATTGCCCGCTGGTTGGGGTGGTTTTTATACACTATCAACACGACGGATTCACGCTAAAGGCAATAATTTGTCTACTGCTGCTTTGATTTCGGTGCGTTTCGATTCGATTCCTTGGGGAAAGATTCACTTCAAAAAGGAGGATCTGTCTACTATTTTCGAGTTTCGTTGCGTTTCGATTTCTGAAGGGAGAATATTCACCCCAAAAGTAAGGATTCATTTGCTAATTTTTCGAGTTTCGTTGCGCTTCGACTTCTATAAAAATAGGAACGCATTCCGCGTAATCTCGTCAACTATCTCCTCACACATCTGCCACCCCAGACATCGGGAGATTCTCAAGCACCCTCTATACCAAGCCCCGGCTGTCTCTTAGATTAAACGTGCTTCTCGAGAAGAAGTTTGAAATTTTTCGCGACGTGGACGTGCTGGTTGACAACGGTCAGTCTAGTTGGGATGAAAGAAGTCTGAGACAGTCAATCTCTTTATTCTTTGCAGCCGCAAAGTTCCTCGGTGCGCTGGAAATGTTTTGATAAATGCTCGCATTGTCCAAGAAGATCAGACGACTTTTCACTGTTGATAGTTGGACGACTAGAAACAACTCTGCAAAAGCTATGATTATCTAAGGAGATTAATCTACTTTTGACTGTCGAAGGTCAGAATTAAATAGAAATAACTAAGACAATGCTTTTATTGTCCAAGGAGCCCAGAAGTCTTTCGATTGTCAAAAGTCGGGATTGGGGAGAATCATTTGGTTGAGAACTGCTCTAAACAATAGTATAATTGTTGTCAACTATTGTTCATTTATTGGCACAACTACAGCTACATAAGAGATAGTAGTACTTATACCATCCTTACACATTTCTACCGGAAGAAGGATCCTTGAGCCCAGGGACATTCTGGGTTCCCTCCTTGATCTCTCTCTGGTTTCGTGGTTGAGGATGAGAAACGTGTTCGCGGCCCTGGTCGTGTGGTTTTTATAATTCTTTGTGAGCGGGAATGAAAATCTCAGAGTTGAGCGGAGTCATCGATGGTTCTGTTGAGAGCCGATTTGAAGATTCACTGTGTTGAGACGTTGTTTGCTGGTCTGTTTCTGTGAGCGTACTGGGCATTTCTGTCCAATTAGGGATGTAGTTCATTCACTTCTGAGACAGCACGCTGAACTTTTCTATACGTATGAAAATTTTATATATTCACTTTATAATTCGGACGATTTCCATCTTCCCGTCCAGATTTTTCAAGGCTCTATTTTCTATAAATAACCCTCTCTGTTACCAGTACCAATACTTGGACAACAGACAATTTGTAAATTCACGCCACTTCCCAGGAGGAATTCCAGCTTTCAGGTCAAGTGCGGCCCTAAGTTAAGGAAGTTGAGTGGGGAACTGCCAGCCGCAACGAACAGAAGTCTCAGACGTAAGAGCAAATTAAAGTTGACAGCAAAAGATCAGAAACGGCAGGACTTTGAGCCTTGACAACAATGGATGTCTTTACTGGAACACAGCTTATCCAAATTAATTTTCTGGTTCAGATCAGGGATCAAAGTAAAGACCCGCTGAGAAGATACGTCTATTGTGATAGCTGGACCTGGAGCCGGACCCGGAGCCGGGACCAGGACACATGAGTCTTTGCTGTGCTCGAATGATGGTTTGAACTCCGAAAGTTGTAGCTATTCAAGCGCAAGATTTTATAGCTGAGCTTCTCTTTACCAAGATACTTGGAAGTTAGCTTGTCAGTTTTCATTCACTTTTATCTCTCTTTCTTTGGTAGCAGAGCTGTGGTGAATTGGTAACTGTAATATCTTTGGCATTAGACAAACCTGTTTCTTTCATTCACTTCTCCTCCGTGTTTTTGTTTTTGTTCAGGAACTACCTACTCTACCAGTATATATACCTCGCATAGACCTCTGTTTGAATACCAAACCAAAAATCAATATGCTCGATAGAAATTATGGTCCGGTACTTTGTTGTTTTATATTTCTCAAGATCAAAATTACTCTTCGGATTTGCAGAATCTCTGCTGTCATCTGATAACATTGTTTTTATTGACGGCAGAAGTAAGAGTTCGAGTCACAGCTCGTGGCACACTTAAGCGAAATACAGCAAAAATGGCCATTTTTACCCTATTTTTAAAACTTTATATTAAATCCAAATATTTACACTTTTATTTTAAATTAAATTCTTTTTTAAAACTGTCACAGCGCCAGCTGTTACCAATCGCCTGAGCCAATCGCCTGCGACAGAGGCCAGGCCGGGAATGGTGGCGTTCTCGAGCTTTAAGCCTACTAGGGCTTAGCTCTGTCACAGTTCTGGTGTGACTAGTGGTTGTGGTCATGTGATTGTTTCAGCTAGTGTTTGAGGACCCAGCTTATCTGCCCTCAACACTCTTCCACTCTTTTAGTTCTTTGTCTATTATTCACAGATTAGTATGTACGTCTTGATTCCATAGTCCAGAGTGCGTGCTGTCACAAGCTCCTCACATGACATCCCCTTACTTCTAACATATATATGTATATAGATCTCTCCTCCTCTCCTTTCTTCTCTTCTTAGCTTTAGATTCTAAATGAATAGCCCGACGTTGCGTCGCTGTCACGGTTATGGAGTCACGTGCCCGCTACGAAATACTCACGTGACCGCTCGCCTGTATATATGCCCTGCCTTCCGGCGCTTCCTTCCTTTCTTTCCTCTTTACCTTTAGATTCTAAGAGATAGCCGAATCGATACTTCGTCTACGTACTAAGCTTCCCACCGTGCTGTCACATTATCTAAAGGTCAAACAACCCCCTACCAGCCTGGGAAGGCATAATAAAGAATATCCGACCAGAGACTGTACGCGTTGGACGTGTACCGCGAAGAGTATATCCTCAGTTATATCTTCAGCACCACTAGACCCCCGATATCGAATGTCGACACTCAGACTGCAGAGCCATTCGATATAGTCGACAATAACGAAGCTTCCTCCCCCAGAGTACGCACCTCTACTTCTACTCAAAGGGCCAGCCCTCGAAAGCTTCCTCGAATCATCTACTATCCTCCGCCTGCAAGAATGAGTGCACAACACTCCCCCATCGAAGACGCCGTCTCTTCGGACGACGTACCCTCCCTAAGACCCTCTATTGAAGGGCACACACTCACCCCTACGCCGGGTGCCCCCTCTCGGACTTCTCAAACCAGCCCCTTACGTCAAACCGACTTTGCCGAAATTGCAGACGACGATCCTGAGCTCCTTGCCTTGATCCAAGCGGCTCGGCAACAGCTTATTCGAGACAGAGCCACTCGCGCC